GGGGGGGGGGGGGGGAGAGAGAGAGAAAGCTCAGACCTTTGAAATTTGGACGTTTGGGCTTCCACGATTAGTTCCGGATACACGTGGATGATCTAATCATGGACGAGGGGGGACACCAGTCGACGTAGATATAATCGGGAGGGAAGGGTGGAGAAGGATTGCGGAAGTAATGGGCCGAAATGTGATGGTGAAGAATCACAAAGGATGGAGAGAAGAAGTAAAGAAGAAGAAGAAAATATTGGCGGAATTCGTGGGAGAAGAGGGGGGGGGAAATGTCCAGACCCAGCAGCTTGGTACTCCGTGCAGTCCTGAGGGTCAAGCTGGCAGTCAGAAGGATTGAGTTGGGATTATGATGGACGTTCTCTTTTGTCTTTTCGTTATCTAGGTGGACAAGAGAACGAATGAGTTGACGAAACACCGAGAGCAGAGGAAGAAGAGTTGCTCGCGAGGATGAGGAACTCTCTAACGGGCGAGGAACCCGCGGGAAGGACGAAGGATTGAGCTGGTCGGAGGAGTCGAACAGAGACGATCTCAAGGGCACGGAGATCTCCCGAAGCAAGAGAAGCGGACAGAGTACCGAGTATGAAGAAAACCAGAGAATACGGAGCAAGTAGTAGCAAAGAAGAAAAGAGGAAAAACAAACCTATAGAAGAGCAGGAAACGTTAGGCCTTCCAGGAACTGAGTAGTTCGGTAGCTCGTTCCGTACCCAACCACGAGTCCACAACTGCTCCCAGAGTCAAGAAATGGACCAGCCAGCAAGATCGAATTGATTGTAAAAAGCGGGACCCCCTCCCCTTCTCAAGTACTCCGTACGCCTTTGAGGGATGAAGTAACGATGCACCGTGCCCTCGTGGGCTAACCATTCACATCTTTCCGCTCGGAGACGGGAGAGTGGACCCCCCTCTCTCCTCGTAGCCCATTCAAGCAACATCAGATCCACGCCCAAAGCTGCTGATCGTGCCAGCACAACCCTACAGCACGCCCCTCTTTCCCAAGCAAACTGCAGAAGAGGGTTGCAGCTCCTCCACATTGCCACGTCCCCGAGTCTATACGGGTTTCAACAGTCTATACAAACAAGTACCGTTGTATCTTTGCTGGTGCCGCTCTCTGCTAACGACATAAACACTCCAGGTTCTATTAAACTACTTCTCACTCCATTTTGGACCACTATCTAGGTACTATCTAGTCTGTAAGCGCGACTTCAGCGCGTAAAACCCCCGGTCGTTTCACCCTTACAACCCCATCAATCAAGTCGGTCCCAATAACCAAGTCGGTCAACTAAATATGCCATCTGGTAAACCCACCAATCCGTAGGACATCTCACTTGCACCTATCATAACTCCTGGATTTTGTTGCCAGGGTCTCATGGCGTTTATGATGATTCTGACTGGCTCGATTGTTTGCTATTGTGGCTATGAGAGATCATCAATATCCAGAATACATCATCCCCACTCCGGTTTAACACGACTAACATCATCCTTCCCACCCAAACCTCAAACCCGTTTGACTCCCCGTGAGTGGAGCTCGCTCTTTCTTCTACCTTCGGCTAGGTCTCGGACAGCCCGGCCACCAGCCCCTCCGCTTCTCTTTTCCATTTACCCGTTTCCCAAAAAGCGGGGGTTTTTGAATCTCACAGTCGTGATGATACACCCTATTGTACCCATAGTAGCAACCAGATCCCACGATAGGTGACAACACTCCAATCACCCCAACCCTCGTCTCACGGGCCTATCGCGGGTCCTATTCTACCCAAGTAGGAAAAGCAAAGGCAAATGTTTGATCGGTTTCCAAACTGACGACGGGCCCCGCCGTGAATCACGCACGAATGATCGATGGAGCTTATGCACCGGCAGAGTGGTCCCCGATGCGCGATGCGGCCATGGGTCTCGATCGAATCAGATTCGTGATTGATCAATCGAGATCGAGATCGAAATATTAGGGGAAATGGCGCCCCAAAAAACCTATTAGCAAATAAATCAGCAGGATTTCTGGGTATTGGCAGAGGTATGGAAGGGCATGAGCCCCCCTCATGATGCATCTTGCTCGGCTCGCATCGTTAGTTGGTGGATAATGCCGATCTATCTACTGTACAGCAGCTGTGAATATTGTGAGGTACAGTAGATCTTAATTCGAAATCATCCTATTAATCATGCTTTTTTGGAAGATAAGATCGAGAAATATTGCCTGGTCTACCCGGAAAGACTTACTTACTCAAGGGACATTCCGAACGATCTCGAGAAACAGAGGAAGACGTAGTATCCCTCGTCTTCAAATCTCTGAACGGCCACTGTACATTAAAACTAGAAAGCAAATCCCGAGAAGAATCCACTTTCCTCCTCTCGTCCGTTCGGTGACCATACTCATCCTAGAGGGTAGATGCGGATAGAATTCGATCAACAACGAATAATCACCCCATACCCCATCGTCAACGATAGCCCAAAGTCAAAAATCCAAGGTTTTGCAGGGCTTGGGAAACCCAGGATCGGGCCCACTTTGTATCACATCAGCCTGTGGGTGTTACTTTGCAGAATACTGTAGTAGAATTTTAACTTCCTTCTTTACTTGAAACTTAGTTTCTTGACAGCACGGTTCTTACGTTCTGTGTTTCCCTCCTCTTTCTGATTTGGCCTTTTCCGCCGTCCTAGGATCACCTGGCGCGGCGCTAGGACTCGAATGATAGGCCGAGAGCGGCTGGGGGGATCGTAATCCTAGCCGGGGACGTGCGCCTAGGCGAGCCTCGCCGCCCATACTGTACCCAGTAGCTTTGCATTGCAATCGCCAACGGTTAGTTAGGGTTTGGGGAGGGTAAGCTCTTGGTAAGCTGATTGTGGTAAATAAAGGATAGGTCATGTTGGATGATGTGAGTGTTTAGGCCTCATTTCTTCCTCATCCTGGCTACGAGATGGTAAAAGGGATCAACCCACTCCTTTCCCTGCCCAGCTTCACACCCTCTCACACACACACTCCCCCCTCCTATCACCGTGGAGGCGGGAGGCCTCTGATCACGCTGCGTTAAGAACATGGGTGCGGCTGCTCGTGCGGTGATCAGTGCGGTGCAATCAACGCAGTTGACAGGTCGCTTTCCTGGTGTCCGTGATGCTGAGCTGAAAACATACGCACACCCTGGCAGACCCGGTCTGTGATTTCGATGACATGTCAAAGCTCTGGAAATAACTACGACTCATCCTACCTCTGTGGAGTCAGTTAGTGCCGAATTCTCGATTAACTCAGAAGATTATGTGTACAATGTTGATTTACTTTATGAATTCGATCTCTCCTCGTACCTGCTGCGCTAGATCAGCCCTCGACGGTGCATGACCTCGCAAACTCAGATAAGGTCCCAGTCAGTCCAGTAATAGCATCATAGTCCCCCAATAAGATACACATCCGAACTCATGATTCAGGATAGCCAAGCCAAGGGTCCTATACATTGTTTTTCCTCTTTTTCTTGGCTCCTCGGCCCCCATCTCTAGTCTAGTGAACTAGGCAAATAAAAAGGCATTCCATGAACTACTGCCCCATACATAGTTACTTTCCTCCTATTAATATCTCCTATTTCTAATTACAAGATTTTCCCGGCATCCTACACTTAACTACGGACATCACATCTTCACATGCGTATCTCCAGAACCCTGCGCTAGTAACTAGCAGCGGAGTCTCCTCCGTTTCCTGCCCCCGGATCCGAAGGGGGGCCTGACAGAACACCCTTTAGCCCTGCCTATCTCCCTGACTAACCACAATAATCCCAACCCGACTCCGTCACCCGTAACCCGCAGCCCACAAAGACCCGGGTATTCCACAGCGAACCGGAATTCAGGCTTATGAATCAGTCCGGCGCACGATGAGACCGACATGCGTACCGACTGCGCGTCGTCATTTGTCCGAGTGCCGGAGGACGAGGCATGGCTAGCGAGGGCCCAAATTCTGGGACATGGGTTGCATGACTCCTAGGGGCCTCCAACTATAGGTAGGGAAGGGGAAGGAGATGGAGATTGGCTGCTGCACGGTACTATGTACTGTACATAGTACTGTACATTTGCCGGGGGGAACTTCCTCTGCGTATGTACAAAGATACCGTGTTGCGGCGTTAGACTGTGAAAATTGCTACATATATCACTTCGCACTATGCATCCTGTACTTAAAACTCCCGGGCCCTGATGTACGGGAGATATTGCTTTTTCGCAATGGGGAATGGCATGCACTAGCTGAGCACCGGGTAAAAGAGCAAGCAGTCAAACTGCGTCTACTAACTCCGGCTTGGGCAGTGCGGGGAAATCCCTCTACGCGCTACGAAGAGTTCAAGAGACTTGGTAGATTGCATGGCTCAGCAGAGCTTGGAAGTCAATGTTCATCTTATCATAAGATTTTAGCGCCTATGCCACAGCAACTTTAAATTGCCGGGGGCCTGACTCGGGTTGAGTGATGGGCTGTCATGTCAGGAGGGGAAAAGGAAAGGCAAAAAAGGGCTCTGAACGCGACTACACCAGTACAAGCTCTCAGTCATCGATTCGTCGTGTTACACTTTGACCGCTTGCAGCTGTCAAGGACTTGGGAGGCGCCGGATGTTCAAAAGGCTGCAGGATGCATAACAAAGAAAAGCGCGGTGTGAGATGTGACGGTGGCCCAGACCCTTTTGCAAGGGGAACGCCTCCAGCTCGGCTCCTTGGTTAGAAGCCATGGTGATCTTGTCAGAATGAGGAGAGCCAAGAGCAACTCTTTCTATCTGTCCTTTCCACGAATGCGAAGCGATGAGGAGATAAGGAAATCGCGCGGCTCAACCGCGAGAGCGACATGAGAATCCCGCAGGTACCAGACACGTGCGGTGGGGGCAAACTAGATTAGGAGGAGAAGCCGATGCTAGTGCGAAATGGTGATGGTGGCCCAGCTAAGGCCAATTTACACCGCACTAGCCATCTTTCCCGGCAAAATCCGCCCTCGGAGTTCCCTTCGGCGCGCATTCATCGATCTGAGCGCGCTAGGAGAGTTGTCGCCATAGCTCGGGGTAAAGACGGGGCCACTCTGGCCATGGCTGCTCTCATCAGGACGGAAGCCCTCACCGTTGAGAGCGGTGTGCCAAAGACTATTGAGGGATGAGCTCCACTCCTCCAAGGCACGCAGTCGTTCCACATCGCTCGCGCTCTCGACGACCACCGTGCCGCACTCCTGGTCGATCTTGGCATTAAGCTTCTTGTCGAGTATCAGGAAGCTCAGAATCTCCAGTACCTCATGTACGGAGATCTTGATGTGTTTGGAGATGAACTGGAGCGAGAAGCGGGTGTACGGCGCGATCAGCTTCAATATAGCCTTGGTGCGCATGTTCCGGCTGACCTCGTCGATGTTCTCCGCAATGAATGGGTCAGCCAACACGTCGGGATTCTTGCTCAGGACGGCTTCGTAGGCATGGATGTCGTCGCGTTGGAACGCATCCACCAAGTCAGTCATGGCGGAGATCCGGGGATCATTCTTGTAGGGCTTTGTCTCTTGGGAGTCGAACGGGTTGATGTCAGATTTCATCAACATGGTGGTTAACACCAGGTACTTGAGCACCTGTATCCGTTGCATGGAGCCGGCCTCGTCGTAGTTGCGGAATGACTCAAAAAAGTCACTCTGGGCCTCCTCCCAATTCTCCTCGCTCATATGCATCTTGCCACCGCACTCGCGAATGATGCCCATGATCTTGGGGTGAGGCACAGCCGATCGAACGCGCAATGCTCGCTGGTAGAGTGCCTTGAGACGCTTATTATTCTTCATCTCTGCGTACATCTGGATCTCCAGCGCGTACAGCTCCAGCAAGTAAGTGCCCTTGCTGCTGTCGTCCGTTCCGTCCTCGCGCTGGCATGCCCGGTGCAATTCCTTCACCTTCTTAGCCAGCTGAGTATATTCTTTACGGTCCAGCCATAGCCGGGACAGCTTGATGTTCGTCTTCAGCCACAGGCGTTCGTTATTGGTATTCTGGAAGGAGTCGAGGGTGAGGGAGTAGAATTGTTCCATGCATTGGTATGCCTGAGCGTCATCGGAGCCCTTTTCAATGTAGTCGAGCATATTATTGATGGATTTTTCGGAGTAGTTGCGAGTGACCGCGGACTTGACGTATGTAAGGAGTTCGCGATAATGCTCGACAGCCTAGGGAAGGAGGGTCAGTTGACGGTTCTGTCGGGGAGCTAGATCGCGTTGCCTACATCACTGTAGCGTCCAAGCTTGAACTCCAGCTTGATCGCTTGTTTCAATCCTTTAAATCCCCTATGGCGCAACAGCCAGTCAGCGACGTGACGAAATAATCCGGTTGCTGAGATCTTCGTACCATTCACTTTTATCTTGTTCCATCGGAGGCAGGCCGAGGAATTCATCCACAGCCTCCTCCGGATTATCCACCTTCATCTGTTTCGCATTGTAATATTTGTTCTCGATTCCAATATCGGCGGATTCATCATCTTCATCATCTTCGTATTCAAAGTCATAGCTGCAGCCAGACAGGTTAGCTCAGCCTCAGGGAGTGGTGAGCGGAGACCAGGGTGAGGGGTCTTACTCCTCGTCAGCCGAATCTTGCATGAAATCGTCATCGTCAGACATTTTGTCAAACTGCGTTTCGTATGGAAGACGCTAAGGAAATGAAATGGGAGGGAGTGATATGGAGGAGGAAGAGAAAGGGGTGGTTGTTGCGGGATGTTTGGAGAGGGCTTTGGGGATGGGGAAAGATAGACTGAGGTCCGGAGAGCTGTGAAAGCCTCCGCCTTTGGATCTCACTCCCCGCCTGAGGCCAGCAATCGAATCTCCTCGCAGCCCTTCGAGCCTAATTATTTAGATGATAGACTTGGCTACGATAGAAATGCTTCCTTTCAATCTCGTTCATGCTGGTCGCCTGAATTACGCGATACTTTGCGTATCTAGCAAGCTTATGAAGCAGCAAAGGGCTTCGGGGGCCTATGACTTCTGCCACGGAGTATACATCGTAGGGCCAGCAAAGCATGGAACCACTCTATCCCAATTCAAGAGACCCTGGTAGCTCCAGTCCGTACTTAATTTCAATCTACTCCTCGGATGGCATTCTCTGGCACTCAAGGGACCGCAGGTTGCAAATTCAACTAGCGATAAGCAAGAGTGCAGAATCACCGATTGAACCACGAGAACCCCGTTATAGACACAATCACGCCGAGCAGTAGAGAAGCAAAGACATTCGATTTGGTCTTTTCCCCACCGGAACGCCCTAGGGAGAAACAAGTCTTCGACAGCCGAGCAAAGTGGACCAGAAGGGGGTCATGTGTGGAAGGAAAGTTGGTGGTACCTTATTTGCCGATCCCCTTTCAGGGCGCGATGTCATCGACTCCGGGCAGTGCTGGAATGGATTCCCTCTTCCCCGATCCCAACTTCCCCCCTCCTCCCATTTCACCCTAATCACGCGCCCAAGACTATATCTGTTGTGCTCGTCCGACTCCCATAATTGAATAATAACGACAGCGGCCTTGACTATCGACCCCTGAATTACGCCAGTGGCAATGGAGCTATGCGGGCGTCAGAAGGTCGTCCAGCGCAAGATGGTGCTACTGTCAGTTGAGACATGGGTTCTTTGCGCAACATGATCCGGTACTGATGGATATATCTAACAGAGGTGACGGCGCCTGTGGCAAGACTTCGGCGCTCAATGTGTTTACAAGAGGGTGCGCAATCTCCGGAAACCCCCCTTCTCCCCCTCCGCGTTCAGCTTCCCCACACGTCTTCGAGCAGAAAGCAGACAGCTAACACGTTTTGACTATAGGTTCTTCCCAACGGTTTAGTAAGAATGCTCCAATTGAGACTCGGCGGTCAAACACCACCATCCTCGGCTATACTAACCGCTCTTTACTGTCGCGCAGTGAGCCCACGGTCTTTGGTATGCGCATAATCCCTATGGCTGCAGATGTACAATCTTGTCGCTAACTATCGTATCTATAGAGAATTATGTCCACGGTATGATACTCGTCGAGTAACCCCTTCACCACGCACCACACACTCATGCGCGCAGATATCTTTGTCGATAATGTACATATGGAGTTGTCGCTATGGGACACGGCCGGACAGGAGGAATTCGATCGGTTACGCGCGCTCTCCTACGAGGATACGCACGTTCTGATGTTGTGTTTTAGTGTAAGGCACAAGCCAGCGGAACACCGTCTTGAAACTATGCTGATAGCCAGATACAGGTCGACAGCCCCGACTCCTTCGAAAACGTCGGGTCCAAGTGGATTGCCGAGATCAATGAGAATTGCCCTGGCGTGCGGGTCGTGCTCACCGCGCTCAAGTGCGATTTGAGGAAAGACGAGGAGATGAATGATAACCCGAATGCGATCACGTTTGATCAGGGTCTGGCTAAGGCCAAGGAGATTGGCGCTGTGAAGTACTTGGGTATGTGGTCTGCAATATCAGGGTATAAAGGTGAGACTTGGCGCTAACGAATGCGATAGAATGCTCGGCCGTTCAAAATCGCGGCATTAGGGAGAGCTTCTATGAAGCAGCCAAGGTCGCTCTCGAGGTCAAGCCCGCTGGGGGCAAGGGCTCGGGCTCTTCGTGTATCATCATGTAAAGCGCAGCCCGCAGGATAGCTCATTTTCCTTTTTTTTGGCTTTACCTATGCGTCTCGTCCTACCCAGCACACGCAGCACACCCTCGGCAACCCTTCGTTTTTCTGTGCTCTTTCACCCCGTTCTTGCTATTGAGCTCGTTGATTCCCCTTTGCATTTCATGTTGTTGATTACAGGATCAACCATGACCACTTTATTTCCGAGACCTGGACACATCATATAGTTGGCTGAATGACCAGTGCTTCCCCCTTTCCCTTGCATGGCTCCGTCCTCTGGCTTATCGAAGCATTTCAGCGAGGTTGGCTTTTTACTATTACTCTATTATCTACCCCCCAAATATACCTATTACATGCTTACTGAATTAATTATTTCTCTAATCACTCTATTCATCATTTCACCCTGTTAGGGCCATAAGACCGGGTTCATATAGCATTGCACCCAGCTTGGATATACAACTACAACCGCACACACACACCGACGGATCTATCACCACTATCAATTTCATAGCAGCAAATCTTCCTCTTTAACAGGATACACCTCCTCGATCTTCTCCCCATCCCCCTTCTTACACGCAAAGTCCTCATTCACCCTCTCAACAAACCTCTCCACAAAAGCAGCAGCAACCTCATCAATCCCCACCCCCGTCACACCAACCCCCTCCAAACTAGTCGCCTCCTTCCCTTCAAGCCCACACGCCACAATCTGTCGGAAATACCACATCGGCTCCTCGGTGACGTTCAGACCAATTCCAAAACTGCTGATATTCCGTCTCAAGTGAACACCCACCGCGGTAATCTTCTTCGGCGGTGCCGAGCTTGACCCGGAGCCAGTCTTGTCTGATACCCATACACCGGGGTCTTCTGTGACGAACCCGTTTACCCCATATTGCTTCAACAGGTCAATGACGCTGTTCTCGAGGACTCGGATGTGACACCGCGGCGTGAGGTTGAGCCGTTTTAGATCCAGGATTGTATATGCGACCATCTGCCCCGGTCCATGGAATGTAGTCTGGCCACCCCGTAACGTGGGATGATACTCTGCCTTCGCAGGATTTGACCCCGAGGGCGTTAGTAACGCGCGAATTGGTTCGAGGGGCGGTGGCAGCGAGAGGTTCAAAGGGTCGGGCGGACAGGTGTTGGAGGGGGGCAGGTCGCGCCGGCCGGTGGTGTAGACGGGGTTTGGGGTGAATGTGATGATAGTCGGGTCTGGGGGTGGCGGGGGTGTTTGTTGTACGGAATTGCATGCGCGGATGGGATCCAGGGGGGATGGCGAGGCGAGTCTTTTATGCGTGAGGAAGCGGGTTGTGAGGGCTTGTTGGACGGCGGAGACTCTGGCGAAAGGTGTGGTATTTGGGAGGTGAAGGTGAGCGAGTCTCATTTTTGCGGGTGATGTTGAGAGATTGATAAAGATTGAGGAGTGTGTAGGAAAAAGGAATACTCGGTGGTGGTTTGGTAGGTGTCGTGGTTCATTATTGAGCTGGGAATTGAGATTGGGGTTTTCCTCGGAGAGTGTGAGGTCAGTGGACTTGGTGGTTTGCGGAGAAGCTGCGAGCTCCGGGCTGATAAGGTTTTGATAAAGGCGACACGTGCCTTACTGCGTATAATGCATTGAAGAAAATCTGATATGGTAGAATAGAAGTACGTTGCATGAAAATATAGATGTCATGTTCATGTTGATTCATTGCTCATTTCATCTTCTTACTCCTTCCCTCACGGTACTTTCATCCTTACAACACGTGAACAAGCCAAAAGAAAACTAGCTTTTGCAAGTCCGATTTCTTGCCAATTGGACCAAGTTCAACATTTCAGCTACTCCGAATTGGACAAAGTGAGGATCAGCCTCACGAAAGAAACCTTGATCACTAGTACTAGCCCATGTCATGGTGAGCCCCAACATCCCGCAGGATGTCCTGACTATACGCCATTGACCAGACCAGCCTGCGAACCCTCGGGAGACAGCAAAACCCAGTCACGGACGCCGCCCTTCCAATCCGCAATACGGCCCTCACGCACTTGCACCGTGACTACCCGGACATCCCCATCGATGGCCAAGCTCGGGCGACGGGCACTGGGATCATGCCGCTGTTGCTGCCCAAAGAGGTTGATCTCCTCTTCCTCGAAGGTGTTGTTCTCCAAGTGACGCTCCTTGCACCAGGACTCCTCCTCCGATCCCGGCTCGAGGAAGCGTGCCTGTCCGGTAATTGTGGTAGAGATGCTCGACAGGGCACTAGTGTTCAGGTTGAGCAGGAGGCTAGCGAGTGAGGAGCGGGTAGCCGCGGGGGGAGGAGAGCCTTCGCGGTCTCCCTGAGCATTAGGCGCCCGGGTAGGAGGCCGATGGGACACCCAATCGTGAACCAGGAGTGAGACACGCGGATTGGATAGGAGGTGGTTGGTCTTGCGGGACGCGGGGTTGGTAGTCATAATGATGGTCGGGTAGGGGTCGTAGGGAGTCGACGGAAGGTAGGTGTAGGACATGAGAGAAATGTGCGGGGTGAGGTTATCACATGTTGCCAGATGCAGCTGGGATTGTAGATCGAGTTAGCTTTGGTTTGCAGAGGGGGATAGAATTGATCTCGAGTCCAGGGCAATGGCGGGTCACGTACGAAGCGGGAGTTCTTCAAGCAGGCCACCACCTCGGTGGGCAGGGAGGTTGCCTCATGAGGATGAGTAGTCGTGGCTGAGGCCTCGTAGGAGAGGGGAGGGTTAAGAGATTCCGCCATGATCGTGGACGAAAGGATCAACAGGAGGCTCGAGATCAAACGACTGGACTTAGCCCGTCAGGTCTGGAGGGTCTGGACGTGGGATGCTCGATTTGCCAGGCGGTGAGCAGCGGGTATCGACGTCATGGAATTGGTGCAATCGGGCTGCAGATACGGCACCCAGCAGGTAGGACTTAGAGCTTTAGTAGTACGCTATCTTACATGCCTTGGCTGATTGGCTCTTTATTGAAGGAATCACAGCTATTGGGAATTGTACGGCCGTAGATAGCCGAGTCCCAAAGTCCAACCGTCAGGGTTCTTCTCCATACACGGCGTCTCGCTCTTAACGCGACAACCTCCAGGTTCAATTGCCAGCAAGCCAGGAATGTGGAGTCTAGCTGGATCCGATTCGTCATGATGGCGAAAAGCGAGCGATAGCAGTGAAGATCATCCGTCCATCCATCGGCCAGAGAACCAATTATTACGATCGATGCCGGGGATTAAATCGCCAATGTTCGCAAATTTCCCTGTTTCCACGGCCGTCCGGTCGACGAGCCGTTACATACTGAGAAAGTAGAGGAAGTCTTTGGGGCCTAGTCCTAGTGGCGCTGATAAGACACTATGACTATTCAGGAGAAAGCTCAGCCACATGTATAGATACCGTATCTCAATGTCATCTTACCCTTCGCCCTACCACCCTCAGTAATGCTGGAGATAAACAAGTAGCCCTCCATTCCTCCTACTGATACTGGAGGACACATAGCCATAACTATGCAATCACCCCCAGTATTTCGTACAAATAAACCTATCAAAATATAACACTAGTTGGGTTAGTCAACCACTTTTGAACCTCCCGAGTACATATCTAAAGGTACATAAAGTACTCCGTACAGTACCCGAAAAGCTCACCTTTATCCCCGCACCCACTCCAGCTCTTCCCTCCCCCAGGTCTCTCGCAGACCGGCGATCAAATCAATTCACTGCTCATAGTCAGCAACGGCCCTCGGACGGAGATCTGCCCTCCGTGACTGATTGTTATCAAATCATTCCGCCGATACTCGTTCCCTGCCCCGGATTTCACTCGGGGCACGCACTCGTCGCGTGCTTTTACTTTAAGAGCTTGAGCTTGGAGCTTAGTCTTCCCCGGTTCCCCGACCACCACCCCTGCTCCTCTTGCGACACTAGCAATCACTGCCTCCTCTTCTCCTCTTCCTGCCCCTCTTTCCAATTCAACTTGTCCTCTTCTCTTCATTTATCCACCTCTCCCCACTTGTGACTATCCTTCTTAAGTTCTTCAGTCCCTTCAGTCGTCTGATTTCCACTTCCCCACAACCCTCCAAGGCCCTGGTCCTTGCCACCTCCCTCCCTTCCCATTTACAACAACCGAGGAAGCTCTCTTCCTCTTCTCTTTACCTTCCTACGATACTCTCAACTTATCCTTGTTCCCCTCCTTCCCTGTATTAAATCCATTCTATCCTTCTCCTCGATCGCACCTTCCACCATGCTGGGTCCGCGCTTCATCCGCTCGGCAACCGCCTCACTGGTGCGGCCCTTCAGCTCCTCCGTCGCGGTCTACCGCGCCCCTTCCATCAGAGACCTCACGGCCGATTCGACGGAAGAGTTCAGTCGTCGGCAGAAAGAATTTCGCGAGAACCTCGAGGAGGCCCGCAAGAGAAAAGAACTGCAAGAGAGTCAGTCCGTCGCTGCTTCTGCTTCTGTCCCCTCATCCTCATCCTCTTCTTCCCGTGAGTCCGCTCCCACTGCTCCGCATGTGAGCAATGCGAGCACTTATGACCGAGTTCATTCTGCTTTTGATGCAGCTGAGACTCTTGACCATACGGCATTGGGCTCACTCGCCATGCACCGTTATCTAGGAGAAGAACAAGCCGCGGAGTCTGCGTCCAAGCGCGGGCCTTTATCCTCGCTGATTTACGGCACCAAGGAAGGCCAACATTTCGACAAGGACATTGAACGGTCTTTCTCGCAGGTACTGGCTCGCGGCAAGTACGTCCATTCGATTGTGTTCCATGAAGTCAAGCCCGACAAGGTCGACGAGTATGTGGAGCTGGTGGGCCAGTGGTATCCCCGCATGGCGGGCACCGAGGAAAACCGGGTCAACCTAGTGGGCAGTTGGCGCACGCAAGTGGGCGACAACGACACCTTTGGTAACTTTTTCTTGACCCTCCGTGTGCATTGTTGGATAGTGCCAGACTGAGTGGCTAATCCCTGTCAATTTTTTTACGATTTTACAGTTCACATCTGGGAGTACCAGCGGTACGAAGGATATCATGCCTCTTTGCACAACATTGCTAGTCACCCCGAGTTCCCGGCGTTCGATCGTAAGCTCAAGAGCTTGATCAAGAGCAAGAAGACATCGCTGATGCAAGAGTTCTCGTTCTGGCCCACGACTCCACCTCGAAAGCTGGGTGGCTTGTTTGAGCTCCGATCGTACACTCTGCACCCAGGCAACCTACTGGAATGGGAGACGCACTGGCGTCGCGGTCTGCATGCCCGTCGCGAGGTGATGGAAGGAGTGGGCGCGTGGTTCGTGCAGATTGGTGACCTGAATACGGTCCACCACCTCTGGCAATTTGCGAACCTGGAGGAGCGCAAGATCCGCCGGGAGCAGTCGTGGGGTGTGGAAGGGTGGGCTGAAACGGTGCACAAGACGGTTCCCCTCATCCAAAGCATGCAGAGTCGAATCCTAGTGCCGATGCCCTGGAGCCCCGTCGGTTAATGTTGGCCGACCCTGTGGGAACCACCAAAGCATGGAAACGGTGGAAGATTTTCCGTGGCCGCTTTCTTTCCCCACGTCTATACTGTCTCTCTGCAGTATTACGTCCTCTGTCTGGTTCTTTCTATCAGGATCTTTGGGGTTCTGCAGACCCCAGATTCTTGCACGATGGCCGCGGCCCTCCCGCGCAAACGTGCCCAGTTGTATCGAGGATGTTGAGAAGTCTGGCGAAGTTATTCCCGCTGTAGGTCTATAGTTCTGTATCATGTACCTAGGCATGGGGCATCAATCCAAGCATACATTATATCCTCCAAATTCGAGTCTTGATCTTGCCGCTTTTCCATCATCTCATCTTCTCGCTACGGACCGTGTTTCCATGAGTCTAACCGAAAGAGCAAAGGCCTCGGGTAACCCCACCTCTTGGACCTCCTGGACGGCCGATCACGTCCCTGTGATGCTTTTTATTGGCACCTTGGTGAGTACCACCGCAACCGCGTCTCGCTGAAGCACGTGGGCTGCCGAGCGGTACTGAATGTGTATTCTGGGGTTCTTCAGGGGTGAGCATATATAGACAGTAGATAGATCTATAGATTCTACATATGGTGGGTCGAAAATGTGGCAAAAACAAGTGGACCTGATATCGCCGCAAAAAATCCTCCAAAAAGTATGCAGTTGTTGTTGTGCTGGTGCTGGCCTCTGCAGCCAAACAGAAGGGAAAAAAAGGCTTCGCCGATCTCGACGTCGCCCAGCGCCCCATCTTTTCCGGCCTTCGCTCCGCTCCCCAACAGCGGGGCCCTTTAATTTAGTTTAACCGTCTCCTGCCTGTTTTTTTCCTTTCCCCTTTCATCTGCCTAACGCCGTCACGAATTCCCTTCCCTCCTACGCCTTCCAAACAACTCCCCCCGTCCGCTCCGCTCCTCTTCGAAACGACGCGTCTACCGTTACGCCTGAGCCTGGCCCGCCGCAGAAGCTTATTTGGGCTCAAGACACACGCCAGAGCTAGGGATATCTGCGCTGAGGAAGAGACAAACCGTTGGGTTACGGACTACAGACACGCAGTATAAGACAGAGGACTGTTTTGTGTTCTCGGGTACTCGGTGTGGCATACACAGGACGACTGAAGGCCAGCTCCACGACAGAGAGTCCACGGTTTCGCGAAAATGGTCTACATTCGGCAACATGTGTTGCCCAATTTGCGCAACTACAAGTACGCGGGTGTTGATCACTCGCTCATCAGTCGCTATGTCCTCAAGCCGTTCTACAGCAAGTGTGTTATCCATTTGTTTCCCATGAACATGGCGTGAGTGCTCCACCTCCTCATACTCCTCCTCTTGCGCGAGGCCTAAGCTGGCTCGCTCCAAGCTTCGGGACAGCTGTCACCGGCTCTGGCTTGGAGATACTAGCTTGCGCGCACCGAATTTGATACTGGGGACAGTCTGGCTAACGAGCTTCTTCTTCGCTCTCTTGCGCGAAACAGACCCAACCTCGTAAGTGTCCTGCTACACGTTCTCTTCTTTTACTGTTCTTGGCAACACGCGCTGCAAAGAAAAAGAGCTTGAATTAATGGCCCGGCGTCTAGATCACCCTGACCGGATTCTTGTTTGTGGTACTCAATTTCCTAACCGTGATGTGGTACAACCCCGGCATGGACACGGACTGCCCGCCCTGGGTGTACGCAAGCTGCGCGATTGGCATGTTTTTGTATCAGACTTTTGATGCGGTGGACGGCATGCAGGCGTACGTTTCAACCGATTTAAGTTGGGGTTGAAGTACTTGTTGCTGATCTGAACTAGACGGAGGACGAGGCAGAGTGGGCCGCTGGGCGAGCTCTTTGATCACAGTACGTTGAAATCTGGAACTTCTCGAACGCAAGCAGTCGATTAGGTTAAGAATGACTGAGCTGACTTTGGCCTAGGCGTTGACGCATGTAACACTGCCTTGGGTGTGCTCATTTTTGCCGCGGCAATGAACCTTGGAAACTCCTGGAGCAGCATATTGTGTCTTTTTGGATGTAAGCTGCGAGACCCCCGTTGGATTATCAAGTCTTCCCATCTAACGGATCTTTTTTTAAAGCGACTATGACCTTTTATGTCCAGACCTGGGATGAATTCTACACCCAGGTGCTGACTCTCGGTGTCATTTCGGGCCCTGTCGAGGGAGTCCTCACTCTCTGCCTCGTCTACGCTATCACCGCGTACATGGGCGGCGGTAGCTTCTGGCACCAACCGATGCTCGAGACCCTCGGTGTCGCCAAGCCTAGCTTCGTCTCCGACCAAGTGTATGAGATGCCTTTTACGCAGTGTTACCTGGTGTACGGTGCGTTTGTGCTCTTCTTCGCCACCGGCTCGAGCATCTGGCACGTTATGCAGGTGCGCCGCCAGCGCGGCCTGGACCCTATCGCTCCGCTATACGGCCTGCTGCCTATGATCGCCATCTGGACCCTCGTCCCGGCTTATTTGTACATGCAGCCCGCGATCCTGGAAAACCACACCATTGCTTTCTCATTGTACGTTGGTCTGGTCAACGCCTACGCGGTGGGCCGCATGATCGTCGGTCACTTGGTGCAGTCTGGATTCCCGTACCACAACATCTTGCTGTATCCCTTGGCCCTCGGTGTGATGGACAGCGCCGGGGCGGCTGTCGGTCTGTGGGCAACCCCCATGCTTGGAAATGGGTCCAACCAGGTCATGTTTGTGTTTGGCTGCCTTGGGCTGTCGATCGGTATCTACGGTAGCTTCGTGGTAAGTCTTGCGGTCCTGCCCTTGTCCTATTTGAGTGTTTCTGTTCTGATTGCCTTGTATAGTTTGACGTGATCACTACCATCTGCGACCACAACGACATCTGGTGCTTGACCATCAAGCACCCGTACGTCGAGGAGACCGAGCTCAAGGACGGTGCGGCCATCAAGGCTGGCGTCGAGAGTGCGGCGAAGAAGGACTTATAAACCCGTCGTTCGGAGACTGGCGTGCAGCGCCGTGCATTGTTGGGTGCACTTGTAATAAGACCTGCGTGTGAAGGTCAGTTCAACCTGGATCACCGCGAGTCAATTACCAAAGAAAAAGCATCTCGTCCGATTTGGCGAATTGCGGGGAGACAATCGAGACCACGAGTGAGGGGGTGGACTCGGGATCGGAACATTATTTGAGGAGGCGGCAAGACCAGCGGGGATTTGGTCCTAATGATTTTGTTTTCAGCCAGTACATAAGCTTAACAACATCGGTTTGCTCGGTGTCATAGACTTTTAAATGTAATGTGAGATGTTCGAAACGAATGTATGCGATGTGTCCATAACGAGCTATAGATAACACCAAGAAAGATGGACTGTTGATAAGCACTTGACTGCTTGCCCAATTGTCCAGGCAGACCCTTGGAACTGGGTCGGCAGAATCACGGCGGTATCTCCTGGGCGGTACGATTGGCGGAAGCTCATCCACCGCGCCTGCCCGAAACGACCAGGCAAGCGAGGGCACAAACCCTACCCCATCAAATCCTCTCAAACTTCTGCTACCCTCCATTCCGTGTTCACACAAGGCCATCGCTATCAGCGCCATTCATCAACTCCCTCGCTGATCAATAACCGTCAAGATGGTGAGTTTCGCACCCGTTCTGTCTCGATTCCCTGCTCGGCCGGCTCGATCACGATTTTCATCCCGAACCTTGACCGTTCGAACCGACGCATCGAGAACTTGCCCCCTTAGCCATCAAACTCTTCATCTTGCTAACGTGACCCTCGTCGATAGGTTCTCGCGGTCGACCTCCTCAACCCCACGCCTCAGGCTGAGGCTCGCAAGCACAAGCTGAAGGTACGCTAGCATCCGGAATCCGATGGAAATGGAAAAATGAAGATTTGGAGATGGAAACGGCAAATGATGGGAGCGCGGATGTGGAATAAGAGACTTTCGGATGGGACGATGCAACGACTCGACCTCCCAACATCGACCATCAACATCACTCTTCGACCACAGACCCGTTCCCCTCATTTTGCTAGAAAGAGATGGAAATTCGATATGATGATGGAATTTTTGGAATGCCACTATAGATGGGAATAGTCGTGACTGACGAAACTCTTCCACCTCTACAGACCCTTGTGCCCCAGCCCCGCTCCTTCTTCATGGACGTCAAGTGCCCCGGCTGCTTCACCATCACCACCGTCTTCTCGCACGCCCAGACCGTCGTTATCTGCGCCGGCTGCTCGACCGTCCTCTGCCAGCCCACCGGTGGCAAGGCCCGTCTGACCGAGGGCTGCTCGTTCCGCCGGAAGTAAACGAGACGCGCAAATGAAATCTCTTTTTTATTTTATGTCTTGTTGAAACGCACAGAGGATAGCATGGAGCAATTAGGATGAAAATACCAGTCCCGGGTTTTTGACCTCCGCTTCGGTTCGGTACTTACGGAGACCGCCCGTCAAAATGTCACATACCAAATCAACCCTTTTCTCTTTTACCCACACCTTTTGCCGAAAATCTTTTTTTTGCTTATACACGGGATAACGATGGAGGAGGAGAGAAGGAGGGGGGAAGCTGCCTTGGGAATTCATCGACGAAAGAAGTCAAAAACTCCCCCTTTGGATTCGATTCGAAAAGCTATCCCATTTCGAGGGGGTGGTCTTTTTTTTCTTTCTTGAGGTTTTCCCACGGGCTGGCTATGATATGTTTACGATCCATACCACCTTTCCTTTTCTTTCTTTTTCCTTGTTACCCATGGAAATCCCCCCAAAAAATTTGAGATGTGACACACTTTGACAAAACCAAACTCCCGCGCTCTTCCAATCCCTAATTGCCTTTTACCGTGCTTGATGATGCTGTTTTTCCAGCGGTTCGGCTATTTTGTTTCTTTTATATCTTGTTTTCTGTTGCGGATTGATGACAGATAGAAGATGGAATGACTCGCGCCCACCCCCCAAAAAAGCGTTCGACGGCATTCTGCTGAGGGAGTTCCGGATATCTGGCACAGAGGCACTTGGCCCGACCTGGTGCTGTGCTTTTGCGTTGCTTTTTTTCGTGTTTTCATGTACTTGCATTTCTCTGTAAATGGTGTCATACTCTAATCGAGATGTCCCCGATACTTGAGCTGCCGTCGTAGAAGACTTGAGTAAAGAATGTAGATTTGGGCTTAAAGTCGATATATTCCATCGCCGATTCTAGATCCCGAATATAATGAATATCCATCGTCGCTATCCTAAAACCGGAATACTACTTACTATGACCCTGCTATACAAGCACCCTACTTTGTCTATCCTCAACCACTACAATATTTACCCACGAAATCCAATCGTCATATAACACCGTCGACAACTTATCTCCATCTTCTCATTACTCAACGTCATTCCCACAAGGCCCTACTGCCAGTGCCACTCCTCAGCCTCCCGTCCCCACTGCCGAGGACGTGCATTTCCCCACCCCGACTCCAACTACAATACGTAAAACCTCCGCGTGCACGGTTGACAATCTTGTTCAGGTACAGCGTTGGTACTTGACATTTGATGCATGACATCATTTTCAATGGGAATTGATCGAACGATCTGCTGTATTCTGGTATAGTCCTATGACGTGGTGAAAAATAAGACGGTGGGAAAGGGCGTTGTCAATGTATGGATCAGAGTATGTCCATGTCGCGCTGATTTTGTGGAAGTTAGGCAATGAAGACTATCGGTATCGGGTAATATTTTCCTTAAACTTATTATTTGGACGATACCGTGGATGTGTAGTGATTACAACTACCTAGACATACTTAGGCATAAGGCTAGAAATATACTTTGGATCGAGACGCATGCAAACAACAATCAACTTTTCAATTACGCGTATGTAATAAAAGGTGCCCGAGGGTATGACGTTTCGTTTATGAATAGCACATATGAACGGAACGTGTTATCGTCATGGGGGGAAAAAAAAAAAGGAAAGATCGTTAGATATGGGCGGAACTAGACTGATTTTCAATCGACAAGCGACTGGAAAGACAACCTTAGATTCCAATGTAAACCCACATGTCGTTATGTGTGCGAGCGGGTGGAGATGCGAAAAGGAAACCACCCCCAAAAAAAGCTACCAGGAGGAAAGACCGAAAAACCAAAGGCCGTATGGGATCATTTCCCGGGCTTAGATATCAGCCAGCTCCTTGGCCTTGGCCTTGACGGTAGCTCCAAAGTCGAATGGGCGGGAAGGGTCGCCGCCAGTCATGAGAGCCAGCTTGCCGGAGGTATCGTTGATCAGGACGCTGGTGAACTGGTTGCGGCCAGTGACTTCTTGAATGGCATCAAGGGCCTGGCGGTCACCGGAGGCGTACCTGGCGGCATCGATCTTTTGCAGGGTGTTGTAGGTGTTTTTGACGAAGTCAAAGAGGAAGAAGGCGGTTGGGTGGGGGGCGGGGGAGGCAATTTGCGGGTGGGATTCGAATGTCCTGTTTCGCTGATGTTAGTATTTGGTTCTTGTTATATTGGAAAGAGCTTGATGGGCTAGAGGGGATTGTGTCTTGAATGTGCCGTACGCGGAGAGCTAGCTCACAGACATGGTGCTTTTCTGGAGAGGCTGGGGGTACGTACTCGATCAGCTCCTTCATCTTGACATCGAGAGCCTCAAGACGGGCACTGTTCTGCTGGTTTGACATGATGAGTGATAATTTGAATGTGAGGGAGAGTTGTTGGAGGAGAGAGATATGGAAGAAAGAGAGTTTGTTGATTTCACGGGATGGTCGCCAGGAACGGGTTGCAAAAAGAGTGCTCGCGGGGCGCTGCCACCGCGATGAAATACTCCGCCAAGCCTTATCGGGTCCTTATCTTATCGACATCTTATCGCGGTCCCCCCCAATTCCTCCGTTTGCCATACTTTCGCTTCTTTCTCTGCTGTCGTCTCTCTCTCTCTCCTTTTCTATGTTGAAAATTGCCTTCCGAAGACTGTCGCTTCAATCATTACATTCACTTTAACCGACCTGTTCCCTTGCTACCATGGCTCCAAATCCATCAGCCTCGGCGCGCCAACCGCTGAAAATCCTCATGCTCCATGGCTACACCCAGTCCGGCCCCCTGTTCCACGCAAAGAGCCGCGCCCTGGTCAAACACATCCAAAAGGCCTTTCCCCTGCACGAGGTGTCCGCAATCTACCCAACGGGTCCTCTTCGCCTGAGGCCAAGTGATATCCCCGGTTACGAACCATCCGAAGGAGGGCTACAGGAAGACGAGATCGAAGCATACGGCTGGTGGCGTCGATCCAACACTGCCACTCCTCCTCTTTACCAGGGCCTAGAAGACGGACTTGCAGCCGTGGCTAAGGTGCTTTCGGAGGAGGGCCCCTTCGACGGTGTCATTGGATTCTCACAAGGCGCTGCCATGGTGGGGATGGTTGCGGCGTTGTTGGAGAGTGGGCGCAAGGAGGCCTTTGCGAAATTTGAGAAGGATGAATCGGAGGGAGCGCCGGGAATACACTTCCCAGCGTCCTTTGCTGCGCCCGGTTTCCAGCATCCGCCATTCAAGTTTGCGATTGCGTATAGTGGATTCCGGTCTCCGGGGGCGCGGTATCGTGGTTTCTACGAGAGTCCGCCCATTCAGACACCGATTTTACATGTGCTGGGATCTTTGGATGCGGTTGTGGAGGAGTCGAGGAGTCGGGCATTGATTGAAGCTTGTGCGGGGGAGCCGGAGAAGGATGGTTTGGTGGTTTGGCATCCCGGTGGTCACTTTTTGCCGAGTCAGCGGCCTTATTTGGATGCTGCAGTGCGGTTCATTCGGGAGCAATTGGAGAAGAGCAGCGGGGCTACAAAAGCAGATGAGGAGGAAGATGTGAACGATATGGACGTTCCATTCTAGTCGAATGTCCGAGCCGATGAGTATATATATAAACGGACGAGGTGGGTTGCTCATATAGATTACATATATATAGACAGCCTTGTTCGACGCCGGAAATTTATTTTTAACTTCCGATCTTGTCTTGTCTTCAAATGTCATGATATAACTGGTTCAATAAAGCCACTTATACAGTGGCTGGTCTCTTCATAGCAGGTCTACCGGCGATATTTTACACACGGAGCAGCATTCCCACATCTCCACCACCATTCAACTCAACGAGCCTTGGCCTTCTCCCCACGAGTCGGCTGGATACGAGCCATCATCTCCTCCTTGGTGATCAGATGATCGATCCGCTCCAACAGACCCAACAAGCTCTTCATATCACTGCTCCACTCATTGAGAACGTCATCCGCATCCCGAGGCTTAGCAAAGTTGACTAGCCGCGCGGGTCGGTCGATCTTGGCATAGATGGTCTTCGACGTGACCAGCTCACTAATGTACTTCTCGGTCTCCTCCTCGGTCAAGTCCAGCAGCTGGGTCAAGCGGGGCATCTGAATGCGAGTGTAGTACTTGGCCACGACACGCACGTTGTGCTCGATAACCCGCTTCCGCAGATCTTGCCATCTGCGGTGAGCCTGGTTATCGGCCGACTGCTGCGCCTGGGCATCGAATACATCGGTCTCGCAGAGGTGAGGGCCGAACTGCTCAGCAACCATCGGCCAGCGCATCAACTCAGGAATAGTGAAGAGCTTGATCAAACGGGCTTCCACGGGCACCTGGGACAGCCGGGGGTCTTGTTGGATGCGGTGCAAGAGGTCTGACTGCTCGTTGTCATAGGGGGAAAGGACAATATAATAGACGATGCGCGCGAGAGACTGTAAGTTGAAAGTCGTTCGTTAGCACATTATAGATTACCCCACCCAAGCCAAGGGTAGACTTACTGCACGCAGCTGTGCTGGGCTTTTCTCGACTGCCTCAGTGTCCAGAACCTCTCGGTAGTGCTTGCAGACTTCGAGATACTTGTAATCGTGGTTGGCAAGAGTGATCTGCTGGTCGTAGTACCGCAGCTTGAGATCGGTCACATCGTCATCCACCTCCATCGGAGCCTCATCCGGTCCACGAGTCTTCTCACGCTCCTCCGCCTGCTTCTTGAGCTTCTCAATCTCCTCGGGACTCTTCTTGGGTTTCCGGGAGAAGTACCGCTTGTTGATCTTGCGGATGAGAATCGAGGCCTGTGTCCAATCTCCACGCTCAATACACAGCCCAACCTGCTCCAGGATGAACTCGGTCTTTTCCCTTCGGGTCATAGATCCGAATGTCTCCACCTGCAACTCGCACAAGATGTCGGCCGCGGCGTTGAGATCGCCTTGCGACTTCTTAATGTTCGACAGGATACGTGTAACGCGGGCTCGCTCAACTTCGACGAAAATCTGTGAAGAGTGATATCAGTGTCTAATTCAGACAAAGGTTCTCCTTACGACGTTGATTGTTGGTATCTTACCTTGCCTTCGGTGACTGTTCGTAGAGTCTCGATGACCGAGAGCTTGACGTCAAGGTTTGGTGTATCATCCAAAAACTTCATGACCTCCTGCACCATTCGCGTCGTCGCCTGCTTGAGCTGGGCATGTTTCTTAGAGAGGACGAGCACTTGATCGTTGAGAAGGCTCCAGTCGCCGGAGTTCTTGCTGATATTGACGATGGCGATCAAGAGGCGCGAGGTCGTAGCGAGATCGGACGCCTATCGTATAGCACCCGTGATTAATGGAATGAATTGGAGGGACGGGTGATGACGAGCTAGCGTACCTGTCGGGCTTGCTTCTCCAGCACCAACAACTTATCGATCGCACCTTGGACGTCGGTCTGAATCGAGTCAAAGTCAGTATTCATAGAGTCACTATCGGCAGGCTGGGTAATTCGCACCTTGGCAAGGGCCTCAGCTTCCGGAATGAGCTTGTCGGCGTCCTTGGTGAAGTCCTTCTCGGGCTTCAGCAGGCCAGCGGACATGATGACGATTGTGGACGGGAGTCTTGTATATCGGTTCACGGGCGATGAGGAAATCCAAGGCAAAGGAATCTAAGTAATGGTACTGCGAGATAGCAGTAGAGCGATGGGAGGTAGAATCAGAACGGGAGATGGTGGATGACGGTGATGCTGGAGCTCTGGGGGTCCGCCCTTGACGCTTGGTAGCTGCAGCTCAGCCTCACGTGATCCAATCAACACCGCCAGTGACCAACTAACAGTCTAACAGGAGTATGGACTGAAATACGACAGAATCGAAGCCTTTTGCATATGCACATACAAATATCTTCTCTTCCCTATTGTCTCCATGTTGGTTTAGCATAAAATTTTACTTACAAATTATTGAATAATGGGACCAAATCACATTTACTTATTGGGTACTAATCATCAACGATTGAGGTTTTCGAACGTGTAAACAGCCTATACTTGTCCTATGAACTTCCAAGACATATGCTAGAAAATATAGTCGACAAATCACCCCAGAACGATCTGGAGAGCCACCAGCGGTTAAGTGCGAACTGCCAACTGGAGGCCCCAGGAACCGGGAATTAGATAAGCCTCATCGCAATCACGCAATCACGCAATCAGGCCCTAAGCCGCTTCGGGATTTGCAGATGTATAGAAAAAATTCGGCCACAAAATGACTAACAGTCCGTTCGAGGGCACTTGGGTTCAAATTCGCATCTTACCTTCGACTGACGACCTTGCCGCCTTATTCTTTCCTTTTGAACCTGCCCAATTTGCTTCTTCTGCGCGGTGGTGTTGCGATTGCTCATCCGATAAAGTGACAGGCTCCTTATCAGTAGCTTATCACCAATCGTGACTGGCCATTTACTCAGTCCGGAGTAAGTTCTCGATCTCCGCGGAACTGGCAGCAGCGTGCATGTACAGTCCCGGGCCTTTATCGGACTCTATTCTTATATTTGAGCAGTCAAGGCCTCGTCTTATTATCTTGTGGCCGTCTTCCGCATTCTCTGCCCGTACAGCAGCGTCTACAACTTTCTGCCTTGAACCGCCACTATCTGGAGGGGTAACCCGCACTTTGCGGCACGATACGACACAATGAAGGACGCATCCAATGGAATGGGCCCAGCGCCATTGATGACCGCCTGGAATGTTGAGTCGCAAATACACTTGATCGTTGGAACCAATCCTTTGGCTGCCGCTCGATGCGCCAAAAGTCTTGAAGCTGGCGCAAACCCCATCATTATTGCGCCGGAGACGGCCGAGGTGCATTTCACTCTGGCCGATCAGATTTCTAATGGCTCGGCCCAATGGGTGCGTCGCGAATTTCAAGATGATGACTTGACTACCTTGGGACGAGAAGAGGTAGATCGTGTGGTGGACACAGTCTTTGTCACCCTGGGTGGCAGTGACCCATCGAGTAAGTTTTCGGCTGGTTGTCTTAGATTGGAAAATTGCTGAACAATAGGTCCTTAGGCGCGCATATCTCGAAGCTCTGCCGGCGCTTGCGAATCCCCGTCAACGTATCTGATGCACCCGAGCTGTGTTCGTTCACGCTACTTTCTACCTACTCCGATGGTCCTCTGCATATTGGAATTACAACCTCCGGCCGTGGCTGCAAGCTTGCATCTCGTCTACGAAGAGAGATTGCTGCCTTCCTCCCAGCCGACCTCGGGTCAGCTATCGACCGACTTGGTAGTGTGCGCCGAAGGCTCTGGGAAGAAGATAATGACGCCGGGCTCGGCGAATCAAATATGGATGGCGATGACGATGACGCTTCGGGCCAGAAACACACATTCAACACTCTGATCACGGAGAACGATATCTCTGCGGCCAAGACCAGGCGTATGCGCTGGTTGTCACAAATATGCGAATACTGGCCTCTTCGGAAGCTTGTTTCGATCACCGACGAGGAGATTGATTCTATACTCAAAGCATACTCGTCTACCAAGGACACCGAGCCAGAGACTAATGGAGTCAATGGAGCCAATGGAGTATCAAAGAAGGGGAAGATTGTGCTGGCTGGCTCTGGACCTGGACATCCGGACATGCTTACTCGCGCAACCTACAAGGCCATCCAGTCTGCCGATATCATTTTGGCTGATAAGCTTGTTCCCGCGCCAGTACTAGAACTCATTCCTCGCAGGACGGAAGTTCACATTGCGCGCAAGTTTCCCGGCAATGCCGACCAAGCACAAGAAGAGTTCCTGCAGATGGGTCTTGCATCCCTGCGAAAGGGACAGCAAGTTCTCCGTCTGAAACAAGGAGACCCATACCTCTATGGTCGTGGTGCCGAGGAATTCGAGTTCTTCCGGGCTGAAGGTTATACTCCAGTTGTGCTTCCTGGTATTACCAGCGCTATGAGTGCATCTCTGTTCGCCGATATTCCGGCCACCCACCGCGGCGTGTCCGACCAGGTGCTGGTCTGCACTGGCACTGGCCGGAAGGGTGCTGCTCCAGAGCCTCCAGCATACGTGCCCACTCAGACGGTTGTGTTTTTGATGGCTCTTCACCGACTCTCTGCACTGATTGGGTCTCTTACCACACACTCGGCTGAAGACTCAACCCGCTCACGCACCCTCTGGCCAAAGGAGACGCCATGTGCTATTGTCGAGCGTGCTTCGTGCCCAGATCAGCGTGTTGTTCGGTCAACTCTGGAGCATATTTGTCGAGCATTTGAAGAGGCGGGCTCTCGGCCACCGGGTTTGCTCGTCGTCGGCGCCAGCTGCCATGTGCTGCACAGGCCCGCGGAGGACCAGAAGTGGGTGATCGAGGAGGGGTTCCACGGCTTGGACGGATTGCAGAGCGAGCTAGATGTTGCAATGTCCCTGGCTGAAGAGAAGTAAGTGGAATTGTTGCATATATAAGGCGATGGAGTTATGAAGAATTGTACATAGACAGGAAACAGATACCCAAATGAGCATTTTGAAAGCTAGAACATGATGACAATGATTGTGATATTGATATACAGCCTATTGGAAGCATTAAGATTTTCAATTAGCTTTAGTGTAAATTCATGTTGCCCCAAGAACCAAATCACAATAGCTATTGTTGTAAACCCCGCCATCTGATTTGGCATTAGCTATGACGCCATACTTCACTAACCCCGACACCGCCTCCATCTCCATCTCCATCTCCACCAGCTCTACCTAACGCATTCAGGAAAGAAAAGCATTACAGAATGGCGCCGACTTCCCATCTTCCTCTGTTCGGCGGAGTCCGGTATGTCTATTAAAGCCCATTCTGCTTGCAAACTATGACCTTTTGCTAATCAAACACGTCTCTATCTAGAGCCTGGTCCCAGGACGACTGGACCTCCTCCGATGACCGCGTCCGTGGCGGCTCCTCTCAATCCGAACTGACTTGCTCCGCCTCTTCATTGATCGCCAAGTTCCACGGAACCCTCGACATCAAAACCCTCGGCGGCGCTGGTTTTGCTTCGCAACGTACAAGAGGCGAAGACCGAACATGGAATCTCTCCGCGTACGACGGCATTGAGCTGGTCATCGACAGTGCGGACGGCAAGCTCTACACTCTTACATTGAAGGATGAGATTCTTCCCAAGCGTCCTGATGGTCGGGAACAAAGCACGATAAGCTGGGAATTTGATTTCCGGGCTGAGGGCCGTCGGACGATTTTCGTCAAGTGGAGCGACTTTAGGGCTACATATCGTGGGAAGAATAAGGATGATGCCGAGCCGTTAGATTTGAAGAGGATTAAGAGATTCGGTATCATGATTAGGAGGTACGTGTTGTATCAATTTTCTAGGTGGGGCTGGGCAGGTATTGACTTTCGGTTTCTAGTTTCTTCGGAGACCAGGAAGGTGCTTTTGCGCTTAACCTTGTTTCAATTGCGGCACTGCGCACGGAGCGATACCTCGATGAACCGGATGATGAGTCCATTGACGATATTCTGTATGAGAAATCGGCAGCCGAGGCTACTTCTTCAGAGCAAGTCGGAAAACGTCGAGGGTGGTTCAGCTGGTTGACTTCATGTCTTCTCTAACTAATTCACTGAAAATCCCCCATTGTAATAGTGCTGAAGTGAGAATCTCAGCAGATATTTCGGTTGAGTAAAATTGCAACTACCATGCTGGGGAAAAGTCCTATATTCAAATGCAAATTCTCATGTACATTCCCCGTTCAAAGGAGTAAACAAAAGATGGCAAATCACTCGACACCTGGATAATTAACCCATTCCGAGAAGTCCATGCCGCCTGGGCTGGGCATATGCTGCTCCACTGGGAAGAGACTACCCCCGAACCCAGGATCAAACAATTGTTCCGGAAACGGCATGAACCCTTGTAGCGGTTGCTGTTGATGGAAGGACTGTTGGCTGTTTTGCTGATGACGTGGGAGCGCAGACATGATAGTTGGCGATGGGCCAAGAAGTCGGTTGATGACTTCATAACAGCGAATGGCAAATTGATTGTGGCCCAGAGAAGGGTGGGTCAAGAGGGCTTTGGTAGTCTCGACGTCTTGCAGCCAGCTTGGGGCATCAGGATTTGAGGGGTCGGTCATGAGGAGGACGATAGGGATAAGACCAGCTTGGAAAAGGAAGTAGCTGAAGGACAGAGTTAGCTAGCGAGACGAGATTGGCTGTTAAAGGCGAGTTTAAGAACTTACAGCATGTACCATGCTCCAATTCTGGTGCACATATAGTTGTCCATGTACTCAGAGATGGAAGAGATAGTGAGTCGTGCGTTCTGGAGGCAGCGTAGGCGGCATTCCGTCTCACAGGGATCATCATTGCCTCCTTCGGATGATGCAACGGATGATACGTCGGAGCCACCGCTATGAGGACCCCAGCGACGAGCGGCCCAGCGGAGTAGGATTGGGCGGTAAATAAGAATCGTCAAATTCCAATTCCGCCATAGAAGTCGATTGCGAACGAGGGCGAGGTTGTCTGGATCTGGCTGTGTTGGATGCACGGCGAGAGGTTGCAGTGGATAGTGCATGTAGGAAGGTAGACCACTATACCACTCTTCCATGGGCTTTTGAAGATTCAAGGTTTCTTCAGGCGTGATGCTAGGACTAGAGATAAGGCGCTGATACACGCTGTTGGTCAGGAGGTGGAACTGGGCTTGTGCAATCAAGCCGGAATAGAGAGTGGGCCCGGGTGATTCGAGAGGTAATGTAGTTGTTTCTGGGGTCAAAGCCTAGAAAATACCATGTCAACTTGGAAAGCTTCTTATACTTCTGAACTGGTATACTCACGTCGTCATGAATATTCAAGACTTGTTTACAATCCATGACACACTCTTCTGGAAGAAGGATCGGTCGGCCAAAGGTTTTGGCAGCACCACTGTCAAAGATGAACACGCCCCACCATAGTCGCCGACGGATTTCTCGCTGGAGAAGACTAATCTTCCAGCCTGGGAACTCCTTATGTAAACCCAGACTCATGGCCATACGGACAGCCAGACCCAGATAGTTCCAGCCAGTGTTGGGCTTGTTCCGCTTTTGAGCGTAGTTGCTCAGCAATAAAAGTGCTTGGACTAAGGTCAAGTTTCCCGTTTCAAAGACAGACGCTTGCTGTAGACAGGCTCGGGCTTCCTGGTAGAAGGTGACGTCAAGGTCTGAGCTGTCATCTCCAATACTCCATGCACCAAGTGCTAGGATAGTATTGAGTAGAATCTGCCAAGCAGTACCGTGAGGCCGTAGAGACGGCTCATTGAACTGCGCTCGGAAGGTGGGTTCGTGGACGAACGGGTAACTTGTGTGGTAATTCAGGAAATAGGCGTCAATAAACGCTTGTTCAATCAAGCCAGATGGAGCGCTTTCGAGGAGCTGTGCTTTGAGTGGCACACCACCGGATCTTGATGCGCGGACGGGGATATTCAAGTCAAACCCATGGTCAAAAAGTGCTCTCAGCGGAACGACACTGGACGAAGCTCCTGTTCAACTAGTCAGAGCGTGGCCATAAAAAATCACATGGATGGGCATGTACGAACCGAAATAACCAGCACCTTCCGGCTTGATAGACAATGCGGCCATTCCGTCAGCTAGATCACCCAGTACGAGCTCCTTCTCGGCCCAGTCGAAGCCATCTGCCTGCTGAGGTAGAGCCTCGGGTGCGGGTTCAGTCCGCTCGGCTTCGGGCTTTGCTGGGGTCGAATGTCTTGAAGACGATTTGGATGAGGGTGCTTTGGGAGCCTCTGGATTCTGCAGGAGAGATCGAAGAGTGGCATCGAGGTCACCTCCAGGAAACAGCCGGCCCAAGGCTGTTTCAAATGCATGCAAGCGGTCTTCAACATAGGTCAAGTGTCTGAAGTTCATCGTTAGCGTTCTCTGTTTTGGATTTTTAGAATAGAAGAAAGAGGCTTACTGCCTTGTCAATGGACTCCGGGTGACCTTCGGACTGTACTTGCACTCCTTGTTCAGCTGCTGGCATTGCAAACAAACCGGCCTCTCCTTGGAGCACTAAAGTAAAAATGAGCATCAAGTTTATGTAATATTATCCCATTCTCTGGTTCGAGACTTACCCTCGACTTCCGGAGTCGACACTCATCGCACTGCTTTTGTATCAGTATCTCCCATTTCAAAGCATGCGAGGCTTCTTCGACTCTCCTCGGGAAGTTAGGTACATACAGCGAACGAATGGGAATCACGAGTGCTTGCCATCTTTATCGATGCAAGTTGGTTCGTTTAACTCGGTTTTTAATGCGCTCTGATCATGACACAGCTCGGGAGTCATCTTTTCCAGAAAATCAGCAAAGTCAGTTCTGAATATTTGCGCATATCATGCATCAAAGTTGATCCTGCAGGTAACACGGAGGGGCAGATGTATATCACAGCAGAGTGGCTCGGATGCAGTCACTATAGACGCGGAGGGGCCGGAAGCCAGGCGGGGTATTAAAGCAATGAGATATGGATAACTCACGATCGGCGCTAGAGCAAACATTGATCAGTTAAGACCATCCAGACTCACGATGCGTTGGATGAGACGCCGCATTCAACGGTCCCCTCGATAGTGGGGAAATCAATCATGTGATGCGCTGAAAAAATCATAGTGTTGCCTCAGGCAGACCGCGCTTTGGGCATCTTCTCCGCGGAAGCCATGGAGTTAACCGGGCAGCGAGTCTTTATTAGGTAACTGTCAGTTATTGAAGATCAAGATAAGCAATAATTTAACTAGTTAATTTCTGATCTAGGGATTGTGGCGCAAACTCACTCTAGTACTAAACACGTTCAGAGAAATTTCACAAAGCCTAGAAATTTCATGTCAAATGCTAAGTCTCGGAAGTATATTTTGGCAGTGGCCTAAGATCACGAATCCAATCGAGTCTCACCAAGACCTATGCACAAGGTTGCTTCCTCCGGTTATAGTCAGTTCAAAAGTACAGAATATAAACATCCATAAACATGAAAACTATTACTATCTTCTATGCAATCAGATTAGAGATAGAGCCCAACTCGACTCCTAAAGGTCGTCCAGCACATCAATACTTTGATACTCTTGGCACTGATACAAAAGCGGGCCAATCACATCACCACTTCAGTTTTTTTCTCTTGACATCACCAGCACCACAACCTCAAGATCGAGCTAGAAGAGGTTCTTCTTTCAAAAAATCCAGATATTTGAACGCCTGGGCCTGTGTCCAAAAGGCTAGCCCCCTCAGCGCTTGAGCAGACCGAGGCGCAACCATGCCTTCTCAACCCCCACTACCGCCCCTCCTCACACCCTATCTATCAAACCAGCCCGAGTCCTCCCTCACGCTGGTCTCCTCGATTTTGGGCGCAACTTCTAACTGGCTCATCCTGAGGTACCTACATGCAGCATTGGGTTCATCTTCGAACTTTAACGCCTCCGTTGGAATCGATGAGCCCTCCAATGGTGCTAAGAGGAAAGTGGTACTTGTGAGCTTCTTGCGAAGCTGGGAATTCTGGAGGGTAGAAGCAAAGCGATTGGTAAGTATGCAGGATTGATCAGCATTTATTATCTGATAGTCCCTCGAGGGCATCTTACGTCAATTCTTGACATATGTAATACTGACAACGCACCAGGGCCTGGACCTTGCACGCTTAGCAGACAAGCAACAATTCGCATTTGTGGATGGCCTGTCAGAACTATTCAATACCCCTGGCACTGCCTCTAGTGCACCGATGAACATAGGAAGCGCGGTGCGCACAACCCTCCCTATCCGATCTCATCCTGGTGCTGTGCCTGGCAGAGGACCGCCCTCAGTGGTAACAGCTGAGCGCCCTGGAAACGAGAGTCTTCGCCAGAGAGAGCCTGGCACCACTAAGAAATTACACTTTACTGGGCATGGAATTGCCGCGCTGGATGCTATGGAGAAGGACATTATCTCTGAAATCAACCGACAGAGAAGTTCCATGACCGACGGCGATGAGGTACTGTTGGTCATTGACCAGCCGGATTTCCTTCTGGCCGCAACTGGCGCAAGTATGGGCATTGGAGCTACTGAAATGGCGGAGTGGGTGACTGGATTACAGCAGGTATGGAGTTCAACTAAAGCGGACAGCCTTGGTACGAGTACGAACTGACTGGTCTTGTAGCATGTGCATGCAACTGTCTTGACTATGGCTGCTGATTCCCCCTTGATACACAACGCGTCTACTACTGGGAATCAGCTATCTACGCCCATTGAGACGGAACATGCGGCGTTTGCCATTGGCATAGCCCACAGAGCTCGGTCTGTGATGCAGCTCCGTACGCTTGAGACTGGTGCTGCGAGGGATGTGAGCGGAGTGCTCAGAATCAGTCGTGGCGGTGGCTGGACTACCGAGGCAGAGGGCAGCCTGGACGAAAGGGAGTTGCTGTACTATATCCAGAGAGATGGTGGAGTTCGAGTATTTGGGCGTGGCGAGTCGTAAGATGTTTCGATTGCGGGGTTCCTATAATGGTTAAATATGCCTCCGGTAGAAGTCTAAAAAGCGAACAACCATGACGAAGATCTGGTTATTTCCAACGGCTGCGCATCGAAGATAGACCCAGAAATAGAAGAGAGATATCTTCGCATTGTTTATCTGTCACGACATGTGGATATTCGCCAGTCATAAACGAGGAGAAATAAAAGGAAATTCATGCATGTTTTCCAAGACCGTAGCCTTGATTTTTATGCCGCTTTGTCCTCCTCGCACAACTTTTCATCCTCTCGAACCGTTTGCTGTTCCCGAGGCTATGTGCAAGTGACGCAACAAAGGACGAGATTGACGATCGTAACCACACCAACTCCACGAGAAAAAGCGATATTTTTATTTCGGAATTGCCATTTGCATTTCGAGTAAATCTATCTCGCAATGCTAGGCCATGTCATGCCAGGATGTCCGACCCACCCCTCATTTCTTTTCCAGCCTCTCCGAGCAACGAAAACGCGACGCCGAATGGGAAAACATTGTTGATTTAGGAGCTCTGGGGGCCACGGGCGCCCTTGGGGGTACCGGTCTGGAAGCCGTTCGTGAAGCGGCGGTGGACGTCGCGGAGGGAGCGCAGGCGGCCGGAGCCGGTGGTCTTGCGGCGCTTGGCCTTCTCGCTCCAGTTGACTATTGTTTTAAGAAAATTCCGTGTAAGCCGATGTGTCTCGTAACCAGAGTCGTATCATCCACAAGGTTGTTCTGCGTTCCAATCGCAATTTCACCTGAGAGAAGGGGGAGTATGCGTACACTTGCGGGTCTTAGCAGCAGGGTAGCCGCAGTTGGCGCAGGTCGACTTCTGGATGTGGAAGGACCGCTTGCCTGTCAAGTCGCAAAAAACTTCCGTCAGCAATTTGTTCCTAGATCACTGCATATCGTCCACCCGTCGTTGTCCATGGGACAGTTCCAATTCGTATCGATCCTTTGTAGAGAAACGTGCAAACTTCGGACCGGACGGGTGGATCGAAAAGAATCGTGGGATTATGGGAAATACTAACCACAACGACGGCACAGAGTGTGAGTCTTGTTGTGGCGCTTGCCGAAGCTCGAAGTACCCTTGGCTGTTGAAAGTTGTTAGTCTTTGAACGGATTCGATGTTGCCGACGATTGCGCGGAGCGAGGATTCGATATCGACGTACTCATTTTGAATTAGGGGAACTGCCGGAAACAATGAGATGTTAGTAAATCGAATGAAGGACGAGGATTGTGGTGTGCAAAGGGGGGCAGCATGCGAGCGTACCTGGCAATTCCGTTGAAGGGCTGTTGTCGGGGTCGTCGTCGCTAGGCGTATCGAAACTTCCCACGAGTGGTGATGGTGTCGGCTAAGCGAAAGCTGTGGGCACATCACGGGATCCAGGGCACAAGCCCTGACCGCAGTAACGTGACACTAATCACATGACATAGACATGGCCCGTGCTGTTACTATCACGTGATGAATAGTCTCCACATGAGGCGCAAAATACTGGACCCATTCAGACCACATTCAAGACTCACACTGTACATTCCCTCTATGCTCTCTGTTCCTTTACAACATGTGATAGAAATATGGACGAAAATGAATGTACCAAAAGCCTTAAACCCACTAGCTCGTCAGACAAGATCCATTCGCTGGTAAAATTGTAATGTGTTATCTCTTTTGTACAGATTGTTCATGCGAATCATAGAAGGGTATTATAAACTGAAACGCCCAGAAATGGAGAAGAAGGATGAAGAGCTCCATTTAAATACACTAATCGTTGTCCTTTCCGATAAAATTTGCCATCGGATCCTCGGCAGCCAGCCTGCTCCGCTTGTATGATTCGAGCTCTTCCTCTGTGATGCCAGACTTGATCTCCTCCAACGTCCGCTTCTTGCTGTTATTCGCTTTTGATTCTTGGGCCTCCTCCCCCTCGGACTCGTGATTACCGTTTGAGTTTTCTGGTGCATCGCCGGCGACATTGGCATCACTCCCTGATAGCAACAACATGTTGCCTTCTTGGCGGAAGGCTTCCTTGCCATCTTCGCCCGTGCAATAGCTGTTCTTTACAGTCGAAAAACAGCAAGCATAGCCCCACTTGAATTCATACCACCAACTGCCCCAAACCGACGTATGGTTATTGACCATAATGTCTTCAGGATACTTCGACTTCGTGGCTTTCTTGGGGGCACCCTTGATGGCACCTGACTCGTCGTATTCCACGAACCGTTCATTCTCGACAACAATCGTGTCACGCATTGGGGTGGCGCCCAAATGTTCGTTGCCTCCGTATTTATCCAAGAGGGCCTTGCGATGGGCTTGGCGTTTGGCCTCAGATTCCTCCGTCTCTTTCTTCCGCAGGAATTCTCCAGATGTTGGATTTGCTTGCAAGTGGATCTGTGCCCTGCCTGCTTCTTGCGCATCCCAAGCATAGCGCTGAGCCTTTTCGAATTCGGCAGCATCGCCGGAAGCGCGAACGAAGTTCTCCTCTGCAACTAGCGCAGAAGCCTGATCTTCTTGTGCACCCATGTCCACCATTCGACGAGTTTTTGGATCATATTTGGCGGAATCAAGATCCAGGTTCAGGAGATATTTAGCGGTGTCTTCACGGATGCGCAGGTTACGCGTAGCAGTGCTTTGTTGTCGACCCATGTCGGATTCTTCGGCGTAGCGAATATCTTCATCTTGTGCGTCGTCTCCGTCCTCCCCGTCTTGCAATTTCTGAAGATCGGCACCCTCCTTTGCGGCTCGCTTCATTGCTTCAAGCTCTGCGTATTCATCAACGACCTGGCGATATTCGCTGGCATCGTAGCCGTTCCAGCGGTCTCTCTTCGCATCCCAACCCATATCCACCTTCTGAATGACCTCATCTGCCTGGATATCCTTGCCGGTCCACTTGGCACCCTGCTTCCTCGGTCGGCTGAGACACTCCTTTGTCTTGTGTGTCATTGAGCCGCAGTTTTCACATGCACCTTTGCGATACTTGGTGGCAGCTGGTCCGGCGCGCTTTCCTCGGTCGTACCATTTTGACTGATCTTGCGCTTTCTTTTGTAGACGTTGATGTTCGAGATAATCGTCGTTGGATTCGTCATCGACATAGAAGGGCTTTTTGGAGATGAAGGACGGAATGTATTCGTTGCGCTCCTTGGACGCCACATCGGCTGGCTTTCGGGACGACATGATTGCGGGAAAAGAGCGCAGTAAGTTACTGCTGATTTAAGAGCAAGAGGCGCGGAGTAATCCTTCCAAGGCACCCAGGCACTTTGAAGAAAGAGTGAGGCGAGGTTTAACGGGATGCCAGGCCCGATGTAGTGATCGACGGACCTGGAATTTACCCGCAGACACGTGACCAGGCGTCCCACTCGCGCTCCGCTCGCGCGCGTTTGTCATGCTGGGGCATAGCTCTCACGTTTCGCAGTAATTTATCGGCGAGTCGCGCGAATCATTCAATGAAGGGGGTGAATCCACATGGGAAGACAATTGTTCCGCGCTTCTTCGCGCGATGTTGCTGACACTTCCTGGTGAAGCCATTCTAACCCGATGGAGCCCTTTCGCGTACGCCTTAACTGCATCGATCACTACCAGGCGACTGCGTCGGAACTGGACCCTCCTTTACCCTTTCGGGATGGAGTTTCAGAGAAGGATTACAGGCCCAGAGTGCCTGTGATCCGAGTATTTGGAGCGACCGAGACTGGACAACGGATATGTGTCCATGTACACGGAGCATTTCCATACCTGTACATCGAATACAATGGGTCGCTGGCGCCCGAAGCTGGTGTGTTTCAAGAATCGAATGAACACGATGCACGACTGGACTTTCATTGCTAAACGTCTGTAGTAAACTCAGTGATACGTACTCTCCACCTCTCGATCGATCACGCCCTGGCGGTCAGTTACCGGCGTAATGCCTACGATCGGAAGACCGCATACGTCGCACACATCACCCTAGTTAAAGGGATTCCATTCTATGGATATCATGTCGGCTATCGAACCTTTTTCAAAATCTACCTGCTCAACCCATTCTATATCACTCGCCTAGCAGACTTGCTACATCAAGGAGCGGTGATGAAGCGACCACTCCAGCCGTACGAGAGCCACTTGCAGTATGTCCCGCAATGGATGTGCGATTACAATTTGTATGGGTGTGGGTATATGAACTGCAGCAAAGTCAAGTTTCGAGCACCGGTGCCCGAGTATTTGGAGCTCAGCAATCTCCATCATCGCTGGCATGACCGCTCCATCAGTCCAGAAAGCATCCTCGATGACCCGGCTCTGCAGAAACAGAGCCATTGCCCCTTGGAAGTTGACGTTTGCGTACAAGACATACTGAACCGTTTTGATGTCAAAGAACGTCCGTTGCATCATGACTTCACAGAGCTTCTAAGGCCGGCTGCGATAAATGAGCGCCTGGTTCCCAGCGTCGCCGGGCTTTGGCAGGACGAGACGAAGAGGCGCAAGAAGCGGATGGGTCTCACGGATCCCGACAGTACCCCGTTTGGCCCCGAAGATCTGGTCTCCATGTCGGCTGACCCACGAAACCAAGCTAAGGGAGGCTGGGTTCACGAAGACGAATTTCGTGAATTGGTACTCCAAATCGCCGCGAATGAAAGATCTGAAGATAATGAGAGAGACACATCCTTTGAATCATTTCTGAGCCCCGATTCTGAGAAGGTGAATATTAAAACAGCTTTGACCAGCGTGCAAGATTTCTATCCGGATAGGTTGCATGAATCGACTTTGAACGGCCGTCAATATGAACGGCAGGATGTTGATGAAGCAAAGGCTGAAATATCTGTTGATGAAGGTCTCGCCCTATCTTCTCAGGTCGACGGAAACTATGCTTCAGAGCCAGAGCTAGACCAGCCAAGAACTGACGAGGCAGGAGAGGAGAAATCCCACAACCAGCCACATCCTTATGAGACTCCAGTCCTCGAGGAGAGTTTCTATGATGGTATTTTTGATGAATTGACCGAGCCAAGTGAGGTCCAACCAGAGCACGCGCATCAACCCAACGTGCTCGATCTGCATTCGAGTGGAACCTTGACCAATATACCTCCTGCTTTCGAAATGGGCCTTAAAGCCGATATACAAGCGCAGCGTCAGCTTAATGAGAAGGCAAAGGGTTTCAAACGCGCACATACCGAAATTACCTCTGATAAAGCAGCACCATCAGTCAAGAAACCGAGGTTCTTGACCGAGCCAGACGATATCAACGCGCAGGAGAATGGCATAGAAGATGCTTATGATCTAGAGGCTGCCAAAAGGGCTAGTTATCCCAGCAAGCATTTGGCGGCATCGCAATCATCTGAGTCGAGGTCGTCCTCCTCCCAAAAGACAATTCGTCCATCAAAGGCGACGGCCCAAGTGCACAATAGCAGAATAAATTTCCCCGTCGTCAAGGATCCAAATGATCCTTTGACAATCCTACGCTTCAGCCAAGACGATGGGCATTCTTCCTCAAAAAAAGACCTGGAATATCAGCCTATGCAGAACTCGTGTCCTTCCGCATCGGCCACGAGTGCTACGCAGGGCGATGCTACCGGAGCATCTTCTTCACTTCCCCGTTCATCCTCCACAATGGGAAGATCCGTTATCGCACTCGATCCACACGTCGCTGCTCTCAAGTCAACAATTCACGGTTCTTTTGATTTCCAACGAGACGCTGTTTTGTGTCTTCCCAGATTCGCTGGGCCCGCCACCAACGAAGTAGTATCAACCATGAACGATTTTGGCCGCCCTGCTGTCATTTATCAAAAGGCATATTATAGTAATGAGGCTGATGTCCCAGAGAGACCACGACAGTATGCTGGCCGAGAGTTTTCGCTGGACAGCGACACAATCCAATTTCTTCCCGAATTTGATCCATCGGGGAATATACCTGCCATGTTTGGCGAGCAGCAGCCTTCAATTCTCGTTGACCGAGAGAAAAAAGAGAAAATTGATCAGCAACTGCGCGAATCTTGTACCGCCAGATTTTGGGAATTTGCACCAGTACCGCCCAGTCGGTCCGAGGTGGTCGACTGGTTCGAACAGATTGAGGCGTCTTCACGCAAAGCTACAACCGCACCGGTCAAACATAAACCTTGTCCCGCCAAGAATGTGGAAGCTTTGTCACAAATTGAAGGCCCGACGCAACGGAATCCGTACGGCTTCAAGTACTCTCAGAACGCGAAGAGCACTAGCGTGGAACATCAAACCATGTACATGAGCACGATGAGTTTGGAGGCCCACGTGAACACTCGTGGGACGCTATCAGCCAATCCAGATGAGGATGAGATATCGTGTCTCTTCTGGTGTCTCCAATCTGAAGACGAAGACATCGAGGTCAATAGCTATCTGCCAGACGTACATGTTGGAATGATCTACCAAGGCGAAGGAGATAGACCAGAAGCCAAGATCTCGAAATCTCTCAGGATAGAGGTTGAGCATGAACCCACTGAACTTGATCTGATCAATCGACTTGTTGACATCGTTCGCTACCATGACCCGGATATCATCACGGGCTATGAAGTTCATAATGGCTCCTGGGGATACGTGATCGAGCGAGCGCGGAAGAAATATGACTTTGACTTATGCGCGGAATTATCTAGAGTCAAGTCGCAATCCAAGTCGAAATTCGGCAAAGACGATGATCGCTGGGGATTCGAACATGCCTCGTCGATCCAAATGACAGGCCGACACATGATCAATATCTGGCGTGCAATGAGGGGCGAGTTAAATCTCTTGCAGTATACCATGGAGAACGTTGTTTTTCATCTCCTGCAACGCCGGATTCCCCACTACTCCGCCAAGGACCTCACGCAGTGGTACCAAAGTGGCAAGCCCCGAAATATGCTCAAAGTCGTGGAGTATTTCACGTCCCGAGTGCAAATGAATCTGGAAATAATGGAAGCCAATGAGTTAATTCCCCGAACCAGCGAGCAAGCGAGATTACTGGGCATTGACTTCTACTCTGTTTTTGCCCGCGGATCCCAATTCAAGGTCGAGTCTTTGATGTTCAGAATTGCCAAGCCCGAGAACTTCTTGCTTGTCTCTCCAAGCAGGAAACAAGTCGGACAGCAAAATGCCCTCGAGTGTTTGCCTCTGGTCATGGAACCGCAGAGTAATTTCTATACAAGCCCTCTTCTGGTCCTCGACTTCCAGTCGCTCTACCCAAGCGTGATGATTGCCTATAACTACTGCTACTCGACGTTTCTTGGCCGAGCTGTTCAGTGGCGCGGCAGGGATAAAATGGGGTTTTTGGACTACAAGCGGGAACCACGACTGCTGGAGCTCTTGAAGGATAAAATCAACATCGCACCGAATGGTATGATTTATGCGAAGCAAGAAGTTCGCCAGTCACTGCTTGCCAAGATGCTCACGGAAATTCTTGAGACTCGAGTGATGGTCAAGTCTGGAATGAAGGCCGACAAAGACGACAAAGCCTTGCAACGGCTGCTCAACAATCGACAATTGGCACTTAAGCTCATTGCCAACGTGACGTACGGATACACATCTGCTTCATTCTCTGGTCGGATGCCCTGCTCCGAGATCGCAGACAGCATCGTACAATCTGGGCGAGAGACCTTGGAAAAAGCAATTGCGTTCATCCATTCTGTCGAGAGATGGGGGGCCGAGGTTGTCTACGGAGATACCGACAGTCTGTTCGTCTATCTCAAGGGCCGCACACGGGACCAGGCTTTTGACATTGGTGAAGAGATTGCACAGGCAGTGACGGACATGAACCCGCGCCCCATCAAACTCAAATTTGAGAAAGTCTACCATCCCTGCGTTCTGCTAGCTAAAAAGCGTTATGTCGGATTCAAATACGAACATCGCAAACAAGCCGAGCCCGAGTTTGATGCCAAAGGTATTGAGACTGTAAGACGTGATGGAACGCCTGCGGAGCAGAAAATTGAAGAGAAGGCTCTCAAACTTCTTTTCCGGACTGCAGATCTCAGCCAAGTCAAGTCTTACTTCCAACGACAATGCAGCAAAATTATGCAGGGTCGGGTCTCAATTCAAGATTTCTGCTTCGCTCGAGAGGTTAGGCTGGGTAGCTACAGTGAACGCGGTACACTCCCCGCTGGAGCAATGATCAGTACCAAGCGCATGTTGGAGGACCCTCGTCTGGAGCCGCAGTATGGTGAACGCGTCCCGTATGTAGTCGTTACTGGAGCACCTGGATCGAGACTCATCGATCGATGCGTGGCGCCCGAGACACTTCTCCATGACGCTCAGCTTGACCTCGATGCGGAATACTACATTACCAAGAACCTCATCCCCCCCCTGGAGCGAATATTTAACCTTGTTGGAGCCAATGTTCGGCAATGGTATGACGAAATGCCCAAGGTGCAACGGATTCGCCGAGTCGACGTGTCGTCAACTTCAGCCCTGTCTCGCTCGAACCGGGAATTTGCGATTTCGAAGAAGACTCTGGAATCTTACATGCGATCTTCTTCCTGCATAATCTGCCGAGCCAAGTTATCAGATGCCGCAGTGCCTGTATGCTCCGAGTGTTTGCAGCAGCCGCATCTCGCTCTTCTCAATGTCGTTTCGCAACTGCAGCGGGCCGAAAAGCGCGTCCTCGACTTGGAGGCTGTGTGTAGGTCCTGTATGGGTGTTCCACCGGGTGACACTATTGCGTGTGATAGCATGGACTGTCCTGTTTTCTACTCCAGGACTAGAGACGCAGCGGGTTTGCGGCATATTAAGGCAACGTTGGAGCCCGTGGTGGAGATTCTAGAGAAGAAAGGAGATGATGGCCTAGATTGGTGAAAGAAGACCGTCTATGGCAATGAAGACTTTTCTTTCTGGGTCTAATTACTAGTTCGGTCTCCTTGGTACATCGAGCTGCATGATGGGTGTCTGTACTTCTAAGAAGCGCTTTGTTCTTCTAGCAAGAACGGAAATATCGTATTTGCTTCAATTTCAATGAATGTATGACGAAGATCAGAACCCGCCAGCAACAGGCAGCATCGTAAAAACAAATTGAAAATAGCATCTCAGCAAAACTTTTCTCCTCCCCCGGTATTCCATCATCTTGAAACCGACGTGAAGAAGTTATGGTTGGCGAAGCGTTCAATGTGATCATCAGATGTGATCACCAGTCGTCTCCATCGGCGGCATCGTAATCCTTGCCTGTCAATGCGATCAGCTCATCAATTGCACCAGGCTTCACATCGCCTTCTTTCTCGACGATGTGCAGGTCTCCATCTTGCTCATCCTCATCCTCATCCTCATCGGTAGCTTCCTTTATAGCTGCCTTAGCATCTTCCTTGACGTCATCCATGCTCCGGTTGGGTAGCACCGAGCTCTTGTCAAGGCTGGAGGCTTTGTCATCTTTCGTGGTCACAAAATCGGGGTCCATATCATCAATTTGTTTCTGTTCTTCTTTGTGAACCGAAGAACTACCTCCTGGTGTCTTGTGGTAGAGATCTCTCTCATAGAGGTCGTGATCACCGAAATGACCTGGTTCGCGACGACTAAGATCTGCCCCTATCTCTGTTGGCAATCTTGTACCAGTTGCATCTGTTTCGTGCTTTGGTATAAGCCCAGTCCTTCCATCTCGACCAATTATCTCCATGACTTCAGCATGTGTGAAGCTTTTGGACAAGCCCTTTTTGGCATCGAAGGCTTTAGCTTCAGCCGGCGCATTCTGCAACTCATCAACGGGGGTAATGACAATTTTAGAGAGAACTTTATAGAAAACCCATGGAAAGCTGATGAGAGGGAGTCTGCTGATCTCAAGTTCATCTTGGTCATCGTAAGCGCTTTCATCTTGCAGAGAGGCAAGCGCATCCTGGACTTCTTGATGAGTGATGCGATACATGGCGACTGCCAAAGGCGCAACATGGCCAAAGTCTCGCTTGCCTTCAAGATGCTTGTAGCACTGGTCTTGGATGCTCGATTGAAGGCCATTTGCAACCTTGCCCAGTTCTTCGTGCAGTTTGTAATCCCTGCACATGGAATTGTGCTCGAGAACGAATGTTGACCAGACCTCAAATTCGGTTTGAATTCCATACTGTGCCATGATACGCCGCATTGACGTGTCGTAGTTTACCTTTAACTCGCTGGCAAAATGCTCAAATCTCTGACTTTCTTCCTTGAGGCTGCATTCGAGAATACGGCAGTCGAAGGGATTGCTCAATTTCGGCGAGAAGTCCTCAGTCTTGACAGCATCATATAACTTACCCAGGATTTTCCTGGAATGGTAGGTCCTTTTGTGCTTTTTATCCATGAAGTGTGGCCAGGTGTGTGGCTGAAGAGACCTCTCCATGACAGCAGGGATTCCTGTCTTGTTGTAATCCACAGCATCCGAGTGCAACTGCGCAAGGCGGATGCACTTCGGCTCGGATACACCGTCTTGAAGCTTGTCACCATGTGCCATATGAGCGTGGGCAATCCGTGGCAAGCTGTCATTCTTCATGTACGTGACATAAAACGAAGTAATATCGTTGATAGTCACATCACGGTCGAGATCTGGAGCCCTGCGGCTGACATAGTTCAAAGGCTTCACAGACCAGTCATCAGGAATCAGGTCCTGATCCCAGATGACCAGATAGTCATCGCCATCGAGATCACCTCCAGAGCACATGCTCATGACGTCCCGATCACCGGTTTGTGGGAATACAATAACATCGACCAAGTGTCTGAGTGCCTCGCAATCAACAGCGTGCACAACGCGAATATCCCCTATTTGCAGTGACGGGTTGCGAGCGACGATGCATACACCCTGGATAACCCTGGGGCGGACACCTTTCTCTACACTGCTGATTTGGACAAAAATCTCCGGAAGTGCTGCTATCCTTTTGTCGGTGGCCATATTCTTGTGCGGCACTTGGCGATCGAAGTGACCCTTCAAAGTTCCAGTTTCATCAAGAACACCAAGGAGCGATGCGCCCTTCTCAACCAAAATTTTCGCTTTGTCCTTGAGATATTTCTGATGCCAGGATTTCCACAGAGCGAGCATGGAACTGACAAAAGGCTCATTTGTTCTTCGGAATCCAGCCGACACCATTTCCGCCAATGCCAGCGTCTTCCGGTTAGGATCGATAAACTTCTCAAGCAATTCAATCGCCTGTCTGTCACTGCCCATGGCATATCTGATGCTCTCTAACATGGTATTGAGCCTGTCGAGAAAGACTTGGCCTCGAATACCCAGCGCTGATAGTACCAGGATGAGCTGGCGATTGAGAGTCGCAGCAGAGAACTGTGACCATCGAATAATCTCGAGTCGCTTGTGTTCGGCCTCAAATTTGATTTGGCTTGGACGAATGTGCAGATCGTAAGCTATTGGGTCAGATGAAACTGTCAACATGCCCTTGCACCCACCCAGCCGAAATTGGTACGCTGATGGAGGCTCGCCATAGGGATCGAAGATACCCATTTCCGCCGAGAGTACCCTAGTGGTGAATTTCGAGATCTTTCCAATGCCGTCAGAGAAACAGTATCCATTGCGACTTATATCGGGAATCTGTTTAACGGTGACAACACATCCAGCAAGAGCGCGTGTTGTTGAAAAACATTGACCCAGGCGTGCAGCATATCTTGCGACATTCCGGATCTGACTGAATTGACCCATCCAGGCTCGAATATGAGCCGCTGTGAGATTGGCAGTCGGAGCGAAGAAATAAGCGCCATGCTCACGGAATTGAGAGTTACCAAAGGCCAGAAACTCGTAGTGACGGTCACCAATGATGATACCGTTTTTTAAGGTTCTCTTAATCCGAGCAAAGACCTCGTCATTGGACTTGAATGCATTTGAATAGATCCGGCCTTGAGTCTTTTCGTCCGTGAACCGAATACGGAGAAAGCGATCAAGGTATTCTTGGTAGTTACGTGTCACCCGATTCGAGGTGTCGATGGTCGGAGTGTTGTAGTGAACAGTCGTTGGCGTGATCCGTGCGGTTCGCATGAAGCAGCAGTAGTTAGGAATCATAGATTCAGAGATACCTTTCGGATACCGGATCTTGAAAATCTCCATTGGGTCAAGATACTGCTCTTTGTTCGTAGCAACGTGCTCTAGGAGTCTTACGGCTGAAGCAGCTCCCAATCCCTCGAGATCCTTGACGAAGCCACGCGACATCGTGAACTCAGAGAGATAACCGTTGGAAATACAGACTTCCAGTTGGTACCGAACATTGAAGGGAAGATAGATGTAATCGGTATGAGCCATCTCTTCGAGGGTTGAACGAAACCGTGTTCTTGACTCGACCACGTCAATCCAGCGCCAGACAGGTTCAGGGCGCTCCGTTATAGTTCTGAAATGTTTCTCATTTCTAATGAAGATATTATGATCTTTCAAGATCTCAATGAAGAGCTTGTAGTTCTGTTGGAGGTGGTTTCTGGTGGAGAATGTGAACTTGAAAACGTTCCATCTGCCTGTGAAGAGTACGAAAAGTCAGCAAACCAAAAGCCAGCTCACAGAGATAACAGAAGAAAGCATACCGAGATCGACAATTTGACCCGATTTGCGCAGATTGGTCTTGACCAGGTCTTGAACCCCGGTCTTGTGGGCAATGCATGTTTGACGCTGCCATAAATCCGTGTTGCGCCAGCTGGTATGAGTACTAAACGTACTCAGAATATCCGTGGACTGTCGATGATAGATTGGGGGAGAGTCCAGGATAATGATGAGTGACACTTCACCAGAGTCGGGTTCATGAGTCTCCCACACTCGCGTGAGCTGAAGAAAGGGGATCTTCAATCTGAAGGTGGACGGACTGAGTTCCGGGACGCTTGGGATAAAAGGCCGAGCTTCATGTACGGTCACACTAAAGTAGGCATGCAACACCTTTGATCGAACGTCCACCACAACCTTAGGACTTGCCTCTTTTTGGAAAGTGCGCATGGCGCATGTGGTGAAATCGTCCAGGAGCACCCCAACATCAAACCTCTTGCATGGCAGCTCTTGCTACGGTTTAGAGACAGTCAGTACCCCGATCAAAAAGAACTTGAAGTAAGATGTATCTGGATTAACTGACACATTCCCTGGGATACGGTGCATCCTCGCCGCTTGGACTTCTCAAGAGATGACTTGGTAGGCTGAAATCTAGTGCCACGACGAGACTCGCGATGCGCCCGCTGGGCAGGCGGATATTGTAAATCCCGCTTCGCCAGAAGGAATTTGCTGGAGGAGGTCTAGTTGAGTCAAAGCCAGAAGTCTTAGTACCTGACAGCAGTACGACGTGTAAGGACAAGGAATAGCAAGAGTCAAATGAATTGAAGCTGCTTTGGAAATGGGCACGTACTTGAAGCGTATCCGGCCTTTTGGAGCTCGATTTCCATGGCGGTCATGGAAAATGTCAATGGAACAGATACTACCTTCCTTGGAAAAGACCTGCCATAGGACTTGGGCATTTGCCTCTTGGGGCACCCGAGAGATATTGACACCAACGGTCTCCCACTGCTTCCAGGGCAGCCAATGGACCGGCGGCACGGATATGGATGGGAGACTGGTCGATTCAGATGGAGCCGACATCCTGGAAAACTTGATGATATGAGGAGGAGGAAAGATATAGAGGAGAATTTTGATGAGCGGAGAAAGACGAAGGCAAACGATATGTTGTGCTTGACTAAGCAGCAAAGGAATTGAAGAAAAATGGCGCCAAGTCTGTTCCTCGTGCAATGATTGCTTTCAGTAAGCGGGATCCAGCGAAATTGGATGATCTTGTAGAGTGGATAGTGTGATGACCTTGCTTGATGTAGCATCAGTAAGTTGTAGTTGTTGTGTTTAAGAGAGAGAATCGGTGGCAACGATGAAAGATTAGAGAGAGATATAGGTCAGAGAGCTACAACCTTATATCAGTCTTAAAGTCCTGAGAAAAGAAAAATATGTGCGTTTCTGAGCCCAAGGTGATGTTAAAAGGAAAGAGATTGAGGGCATCCATGATGAATTATGGCCTTAGTCAGAGGGATACTGATTTTCACTTAGCATAGTAAATGCAGAGGATCATTTGCTAGCCAGATAAAGAAAACCTATAGATATGCATATAATAAGGCGATGAGGGCTTTTTTATCTAAAAATGTGGTCCTAAGTAGGCGATGGCTCTCAATTCAGTATCTAATTGGACTCGAATTGAAGGCAAAATAACGCCAAGAAACAGCAGAGGGATGTGGTATCAATGAGAGAAGTGTAGGAACTATTGAATTCATCACTGCGCATGTAGGCACCTGGGTATCAACTAATTGTTCGATGCAGAAAGTGCTGTGCTCGTGAAAAGAAAGTCTTTTGAGAACTCCAAATCCATGTCCAAGTCCAGACCCTGCAGTCGGTTCTCGCCCATGTTACCGAGCGAAGCAGTATTGTTCGGACTGCCCTTACTCCCAGGACTAAGTTGTGATTTAACATGGTTATTAGTGCCAGCATCAGTCAAAGGCTGCCGGTTACCTGTTTTGGGCACATTTGTCTTGGTCAATGAGCTGTCGGCTGCAGGTGTCTTAGGGACGAGTGCTTGCGAAGGGTGCATTGAGCGACCGTTACCCTTGGGACGTTTTGGCGTAGGTCCCTGCAGATTGGATGCTAAGGATTCAAAAGACTCTGAGAGTTGCATTTCATCATCATCGTCGTCATAAGAGGTTGATTGACGCCGGCCAGGGGTTGGGGCGATATTAGGGTCTCTGCTGTGTTGAGACTTGCTTGAGCTCTTGTCGGCGGGTTTTGCAGAGAAGCCCATCACATTCATGAGCCGGCCAATATGTTGCTGGGCTTCTGAGAACTCTCTAGCCTTGGCCGCTCTCTCATCGCGAAGAGATTGAATCTGAGGAAGAACGTTAGATTCGGAAGAAACGAGGGATCACGCCTGTAGGATGACCGCTGACCTTTTTCTCCAATTGATGGATGCGCTTATCCTTAGACTGTAGTTCTTTGGACGCATCGCTCGCGGCTGATTGCATCGCTTTCTGTAGGAGCCCGTGCTCTTCCTTGTGTTTTATCACCTGCAATCCTTTGTTAGAAAACTCTTTCGCTCTTCGACTGGTAGGTTGAAGCAACATACTTCAGAAGCAATTCTAGCAATTTCTGTTTCCCTGTCACGATTCAGGCTCATTATATCGGCTTTTGCTTGTTCCTCAGATTCGTGCAGTTTTGAGTAGAGCTGTTCAATTTCCCGATTTTGATCTTCCACCTGTACAAGAGCTGAGCGAGTATCAAAGACGGAATGTGTGACAGAGACAAGGACATGGATTGTTGAGTTATTGAAGGAAGGTAAACTTACCATTATTTGAGCAGTGCCAAGCTCCGTCTGCAGACCATTGTTCTCTGCCAGCAGACGTTTGACTTCATCCTCTTTTTGGCTGCAAAGTGATGACTTTGTTTCCAACAAATTCCTCAATTCAGCAATTTCGTACTCCAGGGCGTTGGTTGCTTCGGCAGAGGTAGCCCTCTCATGAGAGAATGTTTGCACCACCTGCTCGAGATGTTTCCTCTGAGACTCGAGCTGACGTAGTGACTCATGTAACTCCTCTAGTTGATCATCTTTCTCAGTAGATATCACAGCCAACTCGAGTTCGCTGCTTCGAGCTCGTTCTTGCTCGGCTCGGAATGCATCATCTGCGCGGTGCTGTTGGTCACGCAACTCTTGCCGAGCCAACTCAAGGGCTTCCGACAGTTCCTCAGCACGTGTGCTTGCAGTTCCAGCATGCTCTTCAAGCCTAGCCAGGTCCTGTTGAAGAGTGGCAATCACTTGTGTGGATTGGTCCAGTTGTCTAGTCAAATCCTCGTTGTGCTGTTGCAACTTCTCAGCTTCATACTTTTGTCTGTCTCGCTCTTCCTCGGCGGACCGCACAGGGCTTTCAATATCGTAACAGCGGCGTTCAAGATCAAAGCAAATATCTTCGACCATCTTCATAATGTCAATGTGAGACGTCTCAGCATTTTGCATGTGCATCTCAGTAATACTAGCGCGCCAATCCCGGATTGGCTGGCGCTTTGTAGTAAAGTCCTGCCTGTTGCGCAGATTCAGCGAGTTGCGAAAGGCGTTGTGCTCAGATTGCGCGAGTGTACAGCTGGAAGGGCCGAGCGACTTGGTAGCCCGCTGTAGGAGGGATTTCATTAGGCCAATGTCAGCCGCGTCCCCATCATGTGACAGAGCTGCCGCAAAGTAAATCTCATAAAGACTGAGTAAGACCTTATTCTGCAAGCCGCTGTATGTACAGTGGCAGATCGGCGAGCCCTGGCATTGTGATTGAGCAGGGGCCACCGGAAACCTTCCGAGGAGACCAGCGATGGTCTGTTTGGTAGAAGCCGAGTTCAACAAAGACGTAATGATAGGTTCAGACAGATTGGCCTGGAATCCAGAGAGGAGAATATCTGATACATGGAGATTGACCATGGATTCGCGTCCAACCCCGTCATCTTTCAAAGTGTCCACGGTGAAATGAAGAACTTCATATACGACAGAATCGTCGTAGCCCTAATACACTTTCAGTTCAAGGATTTTTGCGTCTATTTAGGACGAACTCACCACCAACGAATCTGTGAGGCGTGAGACAAGCTCGGGTGACATGGCTCCCAAGATTGCTCTGCTGTCCTTGGAGACAAGCAGGCGGAGACCCAGATCCCCAATATCAGGTGGCAAGGCTTTCAAGGGTTGTAGAGAAAGCAGAAAAGTTACCCCCTAATCATCAGTGAGACAACAGAGAATCAGCAAATGAACAGAGAGAATGCGGTTGGGGATGCCCTTACCATAACCTGTATCTCCCTATTTAGATTCTCCCTGGCTACCTTCTCACAAAGCTTAGCAATCTTGGAGGAGCTGTTCAAAAGCCATGACTGCTTCTGATCTGGCTCAACAGCATCGGCGATACAGATTGCAAGACGAATACTTTCGGCAGCTTGGGCTGGTGTGAGAATGTTGCAGTTTGAGGAACAGGCCAGGATGACTCGCAGAACAACCAGATCTAATGTCTTCATACCCCGCTTCGGGCCAAAGAAATGCTGTATATTAAGAAGCCAAGATGGAGTGCCCATTCCATGATGCTGGTGAATTTGCTTTCGGTGGGTCATTGATATCTGCGCAAAAGTTGCCAGACCCAAGAGGTTCCCCATGTGATCGTCAAGATTGCGCAGTGTTTTGGTTAACTCCAGCTGTAGATTCGACAAGACTTCTGTTGGAACCTCGTAAATGAAATTGGGTGATCTTTGTAAGCCAGTCATTAGAGCATGCAAGGGTGCTATCGCCTCAGCTCCGGGGTTAGCGGCCACGGCAGATACTAGCTTCGTGATAAAACCAGCAAGACGAGCAGGGAGCACAAAGCCCAACGGAAGAGGTGAAGAGAGCAATGCGATGCATGCTGAATGATACTGTGTGGGTGGTCAGTCAATAGATCTAGGATCTTTCCACTGATATCGCTGTATAGGATCGACCGACCTCGGATTCTCCGGCAGTGAGGGCTTGCTCAAGGAATGCATCCAAGAGAACCGGCTGGCGATGTAACAACACATCTCTGAAGATTTCAATCCGTGCTAGCCCATTGTTAGTACTGGTCAGACTCCAGATGGGGCAATCTCAAGTTACACACCAAAAGCTGCGAGCAGTGGGAGTGCGACACGCGATCGAGACAGGCTTTCCAGGAGGACCTCCGCTAACCGGCCCACCTGACAGGGTTTGTGAAGAGTCCAGAACCGCAATGTTGAAAGAGCGCTGGTCTGGATCAGACTGTGCAAATCCTATTCATGGGTGTTACCTATCACTGTCTTCTCGCCAGAAGGGTTGCGCATGTTACCTGGAGAGAGGGCACATATGGGGCCGTCACGACACGTTCAACCTCGCGCGTGAGGCGAGTGATTTCCTCAGCCATCATGACGGCTTCGCATTCGAGATAGTTCAAGGTTGGTGTTATCGTTGCCGTTATCGTTGTCGTCTTCCCCCATCATCGCGGTGATTGAGAATTGTGTTGTCGTCGTTGCCCCCTCAACGGACGGTGATCTACTTGACCAATGAGAATCGCCGCTCAGGTTTACAATAATAGACAATCCACTCCGTACAGTGCGCTCTTTCATCTTGAAATTTACAAAGAAACTATATGACTGGGAATTTATTAGTTAACTCCGAGCATTAGACACTGCACTACATGCGTTGAACTTGGCGATTCCTAGTTCAAGGCTATGTTCTGAACTTCTAGTTACCCCCCGGCCCCGCCCCCACGCGTCCGGCGGAAACCAACCGCACGAAAGGACTTCGCCTCTCGGCCGAAGTCCGAAGCGGGGAAGTTAACTTCGCCTTGCTTTATCTGGGGCACACCATCGTAGCTTGCTATGTCGTGAACGCTTAAGTGGCCGAGATCCGTTTTCTCTTCTGTAAAATATTCCATAGCTGACAGCCATGCAATAGAGCTTCTTGAGTCACTCTCTTCAACCCTCCTACAATCTATACATATAGCCTCGGCATCATGCGTGCATCGTTCTCAATCCCTCGTGGATTCCTCCCCACTTCCTGCTTGTCCAATTGCCGCCCCAGGATCTCACAGTCTCGGCGGTTCGTGGCCAGCGGGGCGAGTCGAACAATTTCCACCACCAGTGCGAATGGCAACCAGCACCAGAATAGCTCCTCCGGCTCCAGCTCCTCGACCAATTCCTCATCCTGGACCGCTAGTCGTACGTTGCTCGTTTCCGCATTCGCAGCTGGATTGGGCTACGGCTATGCTTCCTATGGGCGAGAATCTCCACGGGCGGCAAAGAAACCACAGTATGGTTCTCCAAAGGATTTCGAGAAGGTATGATCATCGAGCCTCGAGCGTCGCTAGTATCGGAAATTCACAATCATAGGCTATCGCTGAATTAAGAGCGAAATTGGGCGAGGACTCCATTAGTACCGATGAGGGCGACCTCCAGCAGCACGGTTACTCTGAATGGTCAAGTCTAAATGCTGACAGACTCCCCGTCGCCATCGCCTATCCCAACAGCACCGAAGAAGTCGCTGAGATTGCCAAGGTCTGCCACAAGTACCGGATGCCAATGATTCCCTATTCCGGTGGCTCGAGCCTGGAAGCCAATTTCTCGGCCCCTCACGGCGGAATGACCATTGACTTTGCGTCTATGAACAAAATTTTGGAAATTCATCAGGACGATATGGATATTGTTGTCCAGCCTTCGATTCAGTGGATGGATTTGAATGAGAAGATCAAAGAGACTGGTCTTTTCTTCCCGGTGGACCCCGGTCCCTCTGCAATGATCGGTGGTATGGTTGGTACGAATTGCAGTGGAACAAACGCAGTGCGGTATGGCACGATGAAAGACTCGGTGATCAACTTGACAGTCGTCTTGGCCAATGGCGATATCATCAAGACGCGCAGGCGTCCTCGCAAGACATCTGCTGGTTACAATCTCACAGGACTGTTCGTGGGCTCAGAGGGGACATTGGGTATCGTGACAGAAGCGACCTTAAAGCTAGTTCCCATCCCTGAGCTAACTCGAGTTGGAGTTGTGGCATTCCCGACCGTTCGTGACTGCGCATCCACTGCTATGCAGTTGATCAAGAAGGGTATTCAAGTTCAATGTATGGAGATCATGGACGAAGTTCAGATGGACGTGATCAACAGAGCGGGTGGAACCGGTAGAACCTGGGGGGTCTCTCCGACTCTTTTCTTCAAATTCAGCGGAACGACGGCTGGTGTCGCTGACAGTATCAACTTGACGAGAGAGCTGGCTAAGAATAACGTACGTCGGCACATGGAACAGGGTGCGATCTGCAAGATTACTGATTTGAATGACAGAACGCCGTTGAATTCACATTTGCAAAGGATGAGAAAGAAGCACACGACCTGTGGTCTGCTCGTAAACAGTCTCTATGGAGTATGTTGGCCCTGCGCAAGGAGGGCTCCGAGGTATGGTCAACGGACGTCGCTGTGCCGCTCTCAAGGCTGCCCGATATCATCGAAACCTCGAAGAAAGAATTGGACTCCCTAGGCCTCTTTGCCAGTATCTTGGGACACATTGGCGACGGCAACTTCCATGCCAGCATCATGTACGACCGCCAGGACCCTGAGGAACGAGCCCAGGTTGAGAAGGTCGTCCATGACATGGTTGATCGTGCCCTTGAGATGGAGGGTTCTTGTACGGTATGGACGAGTATTCCATGTCGAATGAGAAGTGGGTTTTACTAACAGAGACTTACAGGGCGAGCATGGAATCGGTCTGGGTAAGAAAGGATCTTTGAAGAAAGAGCTTGGCAAGGGTACAATCGACGTCATGCGGAGCCTGAAGCGCTCCCTTGATCCCCATTGGCTTTTGAATCCTGGCAAGATCTTTGACCCAGAGGAAGATTCATAAGACGTTGCTCGTGTCTGGAAATAGGGACTTGCAGGTAGATTTGTATTTAGCTTAGAGACAACAAAATTTGTGCTATGAGAACCCCTCAAGTCTTTTTTTTAGATCCGTACCAGGACGGTGTTTCCTAAAGCCATGAGTTGTGCAACTCGTGCTCCAAATCTAAAACCTCAAAATATCTCTCAAAGATTCCTGCACTCCATTGACAGCCTGTTCCAGCACTTGGGACGTCTAAATTTTGGGTGGCTCCACCGTGCAAGATTGGTGAAGCAACTTCCAATCGACTGACAGATGCATTCTGGCTCCAACTTTCCAACGCAATTGAATTTAGGTGATCAGAATTACGACCATCAACTGGTGGTGTCGCGAAGACACTAGGCTCCCTTTGCGCCGAGTCTTTAGCATGCAAAGCCTGGGAACGTAGTTCTTCGATGTTTCTCCAGCGGCGATCGAGAAAGATATCGCTTCGCCTTTTCCAGTACTCATAAATGTCGTTAGCGGCAGTCCATGCCAAATCCACATCATCTCCCGCTGGAACTAGCGACAAGTTGATGTACAGATAGGAGAGGGCGTCCCACTCGAGGTATGTCTGGAACAGCCAAAGCCATATCTCCCCCTTTTCATACTGACGCAACATGCGCGCACGTTCCAAGATCTCAACACAGGTTCTTCGGAAGCTTTGTTGCATTATCAGGTGTTGAGTCTGCCTCTTTCGCGGCTTGTTCACCGTAAGTTTGAGTTTGACGAGAATGAGGCGAATGGATGCGGCTGTGATAAAGTCCAACGGGATACTCTTGTCCAGCTTTGACAGATATTGTTGCTCGATCTGCTCTCTGAACTTGTTGATGGCCACGCATTTCTCAGAGGCGGTCAAAATATCGTAGGTATTCTCTTGACAGAACTGGTCGGAGAAGACTATTCGGCGTGCAAAATTACTCCCTTCGAATCTTACCAGAGTGAAAGACATTTCTGTTCTTCCATGATTTGCTTGAGGCATCTCGCTCATGTCAGGGTGAAGGCTCGCGTCGTTGACATTGGAAGGCAATCGGGTGGTGAAAGATGTAGAGAGAATATGTGGATCGGAGCCGTTGTCTTCGGCAGTCCGCACGTCCAGAATACAGATCTGCCACCATAATCGACGTCTCATCTCAACTTCGAAGGGAAGAATATCGAGTTCCAGACCATCCTGATGGAGCTTGTTCTGAAACGCGATATTGACCACGACCTCAGTTAAGCGCTTGGCATCCGGACCTTGCTTGTCGCATCTGCCACAGACCTATGGCAGAAACAATAAGTTTCTCTCCAGGGTTTTCATGACAACGGCAACCTACAATGTACAGCACAAATGCTTGGAGAATAGTAAAGTCCGACGTGTTCAGCAAATCAGACTGTTCAAGAGATCTCTCTAGCTCGCTCCGAAATCTTTTGCAATGAGTAAGATGCATAGTACAGCGGGCAGCGAGATTGTTACCTTTTCAAGGCTACTCCTCTCGACTCCCAAAGCTCTTCCCCCCATTCTTCCGCTGACATTGTGAGCACAGAAGTGTAATAAATGGCGAAAAATAGAATATGACGGCTTGGGTCAAGATGCGTTTCGTCTCGTGCAAATTTCATAATGTCTCGTTGCACAGTCGGGGCATGTATGATCTTCAAGACTGGATCAACTCTATCAAGATAGTTCTGCCACATGAAGAAGATGATCCTGGGTGGCGGGTGAAGAGAATCTAGACTTGCCGTGGGAAATAGTCTAGATGGTAATCCCGTTCGATCATGGCTCGGCACCACCGATAAGCCAAGATCATTTTGAGACTGGCTTGACCTTTCCGAGTCAAAGATCATAGACCCCTAATACCTCATCAGAATTATTTGGTGGAAGAGAATATGAATTGTTGAATATACATTACTAACCGTTCTCTCCGCCGATATGATTTGGCGATTCGCCGCACATGTTTCAAGACCCTGGTTATAGTTCCCGTCAGGCCTTAAAGATAGATGAGACTGTTGCAACAATTCCCTTATTTGGGAAATGCTATTCTCGAATAATTGCAATGTACCCTCAATTCGATCAATGCGAGTGCTCAGGACTTCATTGCTTTGACCCAGGCTCCCATCTTTATTGGAAGTTGACCTCGGCGCTGGGTAGCGGCATTTTATTTTGACCTTCACACAATATGAGCAAGGAATTAACTTATCACATTTAATTTTCCGCCGCCGACACTCAAGACATGATTTCGCTGCAACAGTATTGATTGCAGCGTGACTCATTATCTCTCCCAAAACACTCCGTCTCTGTCGCGAATGAATCAGGCAAAGCGATCGATAATGCAGTAATATTGCGATCGTCAAAATGATGATTCTCACATAGAACCTGGTTGGTGAGAGCGGACAAGCGGAGAAGCATGACCGTATTTATAACAGCGGAGTTGCACGGCCTTGTGAAAGGAGCGGAGCTTAATAATAAGTATTCTGCTTGGAAAAGTCATTGGTCTGCTCCTACAAACAGTCCCAAATCGCTCAAGCATCCTCCCTTGTTGATTGGCTACGGCGGACAGGCGGTTTCGAAAGTCCGCTTTGCTACAGTAAGCACGTCCCTCGGCACCCGTGCCTCACCGTAGTTTTATTACAAAATCATGTAACTTCATGAAATTTCATGAAATTTGATGAAATTGCATCGTTGGTTTCAATTGGCTCAACCCTCGCTGCTTTTGTGAGCTCCGTAATTTTGGGACGCGAAATTGACTACCTAGCCATCTGGCCCCTCCATAAAACAAAAAACGAGTTAGTCTGGAGTGCAAGGAAAAGGGGGTCCGGTCTCCAACATGTGTGATCCATCAAAGCACTTAGAATAACAATATAAGGATCTACGACACTTTACCAAGTTACCGTTATAGAACGGCCTCTATATAGTGATTTTATTGTCTTTGTTTCTACCAAGGATGGAGTTGAATGATTTCGAAGATTTTTATGTCAGTATCCAATTCTGTGCCCTCCGAAGCCAATGGTGGCCGTATAATGCACAATATGCAATTCTGTCTATACCAAAAGTCTCCTTGCGTGCATAACTGTCCACCTGAAAATCGAATTCTTGATCCAGGATGTTACAATATTCATTTCATTTCAGCTAACTGTTCCAATCCTTCCCCCTTCCTAGACCTCCGTGCACAGACTCACGTCCCACTAGTCATGAATGCTAGCCAAAAGGGCTCATGCTTCGGGCGATTTCGATATGAAGATATATAAAGCTTGAGATGTCATTTCTATGGAACAAAGTGTCATCAAATTGAGATACGCAACTATTTAGACATTGTTCAAATTTTCACAATCTGCTGCAGCAGATCTGCCAATCGGTCTGGCATGCTCAAGAACGGCGAGTGGGAGCTTGGTAGCCGGTAGGTGTTCTCTGGTCCGCCCATCTTGGAAGCAAAAAGCTCCTGGAATGGAGGTGGAAGCGCATTATCTTGCTCGCACACAACATAGGCACACGGGATCTCTGTCCATGGCTCATACGTGGACTCCCCAGAAAAGACCGCACGTGAAGTATGGAGTGCCATGGCGTTCCATTTTTCCTGACTTTCAAGGGGAATATCCTGCCATCCGACCTCTCCAGCTCCATCGGCAAGAACGTAATCGCCCTACTCTTGTATTAGTACCTACTTTGAGAAACACAGTCATGCTCTCGATGATGGAAGTGTATTTCTAGATCAAGCCCCAGGCAAACTTACTTCAACTTTCATCCATGGCAGATAGTTTCCTCCAAGCATACCGAGCAGACTTTGTCCCTTATCCAAGGCAAAGGCGGCAAGATAAATGACCTTCACAACACCACCAGTCTTACCTGCCTCTACGCGGGCGGCTTTGTTAAGCCCTTCGACGGCAGAGGAAGCAACAACACCGCCATAGGAGTGAGCCACGACGACCAAGTCTCGTCCCTCGTCAGCAAAGGCAGTTAGTACGCCGCGTAGAGAAGATACATCATCGGACAGTGTCTTGGTGGGTGGTTCAGCGCCAATTGAAGGGTGCGCGGGGCAGTTTGAAGGGAAACCGAGGGCTTCCAACCGAGAACGAGTGGCATCGAACACGGCTGGAATGACCCAGGCACCGAGAGAAAAGACGAATGTTGGGGCACTCATTTTGAACGAGATCACTGTTTTTCAATGGCTGAGAACGCACTTTAATGAGCTTGATATTGTTCAGTTGAATGGCGACGGAGAAGTTCAGGGGAACGGAACAATCGGCATCTACCAAGTGTTCCCCTCTTCATGGAAGGATCAGATGCGTGACCACTAGTCTGAGTATTGAACACCATTTTACAATTTGAAACAACTACCGCTCCATTGGGATTGATGCTGGTCCCATAGCTTCCTCCCCGGGGGGAGCTTAATGACCCGAAGTGGGTCTTGGGGCCAGAACTACGCTCGTTAAAGCATAAATGGGTCTATGGGCTCTGATCTAATAAGCCACACCACTGTGCTGGGAGTTAGTCTCTTCTTTGTACCTATCATAACCTTGTAATGCAGCGTACGGGCAGCCGGGATATTTCATTATGATCTTACTTGGAATCCCGCCCCAAGGGCCCTCGGGGCGGCCCCTCTCGCTTGCTGTTCTCAGTGGCGCGATCGTCAATTTGTTTCCCTGAAGACCCTCTTGCAATAGCTCTCTGACTCTTGTCCTTCTTTCTATCATGTCGAAAACATGGCATCCAACAGGTCTGAAGAGTCTACTCAATCCACGCAGCGCATCACGACGATTGTGCTGGCCATTCTGGCCATCATATTCTTGTTCCTGAGGCTTGTCGCTCGGCACATGAAACGCATTGGCCTTGGTGTAGATGACTGGACCCTCATCGTGGGCTTGGTGGGTTTTCCTGTTAATTTGGTCATGATAATGTCAAATGAATTTCTAACAACGCCTTTAGATCTTTGTTTTGGTTATTGCTGGAGTCAATCTTGCTTGTGAGTACACAGATGGATAAGATCGCATGCAATCGGTCATCTAACGATACTCAAGGCATTGAATATGGCTTGGGACGGCATACTGACACGATCCCTCCTGAGGAACTGCCCGTGTTCTTGAAGGTATGAGACCTTGCATAATAGCTTCACTTTACAGAAAGGTCGAAAATCTAACTAATACGTTAATAAAGTTGAGCTACGCATTCGAACCGCTCTATATCACCACCGCCGGTATCATCAAGCTCTCCGTGTTGTTCATGTACCATCGTATCTTTCCCGTCCGTCTCATCAAAACTGGTGGCTACATTCTGGGTGGGGTCACATTGGCTTGGGTCATCTCCGTCGATCTTGTGGCCATATTTCAATGCGACCCTATAGCCAAAGCATATGAACCCACTCTTCCCGGTCATTGCATTCAACTCAAAGCGGCGCTGATTGGCAATGGAGTGCCAAACTTTGTCACAGATATCTTGATTCTCGCCTTGCCGGCTAGACTCATCTGGCGTCTACAAGCAACATTGTGGCAACGAGTATCAATCATCGGTGTTTTCCTGACAGGCAGCTTGTTCGTGACCCTCATCCGCCGGACAGAGGCAACCACAACATTGAACCGGGCTAATTTTGGATCTAGTGTCGTCTTCGCAAGCATCTACCGCTTTAGCCTTATATTCATATTCAACATCAACGATGCTGCATGGACTCTTGCCGATGCACAGACCTGGTGTGTGGTCGAGACCGCCGCGGGTGTTATTTCTGCATGCCTGCCTACGACTGCCCCCCTGGTCAAAACATGTACCAAAGGCTTTATCTCAACCGCACGCTCGCTGTCCAAATCCAATTTCACGCAGTCGGGAACCAGGACTTTTTCCAAGGGTGATGCTGGTGCCACGGGGTCAAACACCGCAGAGAATAAGATGACGGGATTGCGAGCCGATGGCGCTCACCGCAGCAATGGAAGCTATGGGCTGTCGGAGTTGGGCCCAGGAGGCCGGGAGATCCCGCATATGAAGGGCAAGGGATGGACAATAATCAGCGCTGATGGCGAAAGCGACTGAACTAGAGTATTGGTGGTGGTCCGGGCTGCTTGCTCCGATCCACCTTTAAAGTCCAAGCTTTATGAATATCCACATGCATAAAATTTCGTTACCTATTTTAAAGAATTTGTCGGTTTGCCCATGTAGCTTAAATTTGTAGTTGGCGCCATCTTGGTCATTCCATAAGAATTAAAGATTCTATTGATTTGGCTGTCCTGATATTAGGAGAAATGAATGATCTGATACTTGAGTCGCAAGGATCTGAGAATTTGTTAAAAGCCAACTTATTTCTACTCCAGACCGATGTACTTCTCCATTCACTTGCCGCTCCAAAACATACCGGGTGAACAATTTGACAAAATCATCGAATACGCAGTGTAAAGTCTGATTTTCTCGGTTCACGCTTACAGAAACGGTGGCTAGCACAGTCGCCGCAGTGGAGAAGACATATTGCGCCTCATGTGGCAGACATTTCTGTTATACTGTATACTGTAGAATAAAGGCCTAATCGGTGAATTCTCCCTAACTTCGATCTATTTGTATATGGGATTTGTTGTAGCAAGTCTCTGACAAGTATGCTTACATTATGTGAGGTGCTGAAAGACATCTACAGCCGAGATTCCTGACAGGGAGAAATGCGACCCAAATTCGTCTGGAATAAAGGCAATGTGTTGCGCAGCCTCTGAAATTTAAGGTTGTTTCTCGTACAACAGCTTTATTATTTCTCAATCAGCTTAGCATGACTGTATGGCACAGACTGGTCCATTCAACAGCGTGTTCTGCCGTAACGCGCCGAGGCTTTTGTGGTTCATTTGTGTAAAAGCAGCGGCCATCCAGTACGAAACGGGGTATGTCTGTAAAATTACGTTGCGTATTAAATACGAGTTTCTGTAACATATCATTCCTGGTTGGTAATTATGTGATTACTCGGAGATGGACAGTATAAATATAGCCTGGTCGGCCTCGCAGAGGTTTTTTCCAAGCAGAAGACGAAGCAGCAAAGAAATACACAAAGCTCACAGTTTCGCCAATCCAAGGTCACAATGGCAACTTTGAAGAATATCGCACTTGTCGGGGTATGTGACTTGGCACTAAGCTAATAAGCATTGTGAAAGTCATTAACATTCTTCTAGGCAAGCGGCAACATTGGGAAAATCATTCTAGAAAGCTTGGTCGTCTCATCTGATTTTGAAATTACTGTTGTTTCGCGAAAGGAAAGCAAGGCAGTTTTTCCCTCGGGTGTTGCTGTCTATAAGAGTGACTTCTCAGTTGCGGATCTAGAGGCTGTTTTCAAGGGCAAAGATGCTGTGATTTCAGCATTGGGAGCCACTGCATTCGGCGAGCAAAAGAAACTCGTGGATGCAGCCATCAGTGCCGGTGTGAAGAAATTCGTTCCATCGGAGTTCTCGGCGAGTAGCCAGAATGAAACGGTGATTCAGCTGCTGCCACTCTTTGGGCAGAAGAAAGAACTCATCGAATATCTGAAGACCAAGGAGGCTGATGGATTCAACTGGACCGGTATTGCAACTGCTGGTTTGCTCGATTGGGTAAGTACGTGTTCATTCCTGGATTTATCAGTGACTGATGCTAAGGGCACACTGTGACAGGGTCTGGAGAACGGTTTCTTACAGTTCGACATCGCCAGTCGTACGGCTACCATCTGGGATGGCGGGGACAAGAGTTTCACCCTCACCAATGAGAAGTCCCTTGGTCAATCAGTTGTCTCTGTCCTGCAGAATCCCGAGCAAACCAAGAATAAGTATCTTTATGTCGCCTCCGTTGAGACCACTCAGCGAGAGATCCTTACGGCCCTGGAGAAAGCGACTGGTACGGAGTGGACAATTCAGGAAACCACAACCGAGACCCAGCTTAGTGTGGCAGCAAAGAAGCTGACTGGTGGTGATTTTGAAGGTGCCTTCATCTTAGTTAGAGCGACTGTATTCGGCAACAGCCCAGGCCTCAACGCCAACTATGTCAAGGATACAGAACTAGCGAACGACATCCTGGGGTTGAAGCTAGAAAGTGTGGAGGAGACTGTCAAGAGCGTTGTCAATAAGTAGACAATTTCATGTACCGGCAGATACGAATAGAGGTCTGAAGACCATATCATAGCGTGTCCCTCCTTCAGTAAAGACAAAGGCATGGTAAACTTAGATGTCCGCCGTCCGGAGACAATCAATCCAACTCCGGCGTCGAATGGGTCCAGGAGATGACAATGAGCCAATCGCGTTGGGCGAAATTTTTTGCCCGCACCAGGGGTGCTGAGTCAGCGCGGGGCAGCGATAATTGGTTGCGATATCGCAGGTGAATCGAAGGTTGCCACAAGCAATTCATCTTCACCAACGAGTCAAAAAGGTAAGTTCTGAGTGTTTGTCTTTCCCTTGCGTGTAAGAGCCTGTGTAGGGTCCCTTCCGTGAGAGCGATGATGCAATTGAGCTCGCGGTGCCCTCTTATCCACTCTGCGGGGCAGTGGTCGGGATCTTGACTCACAAGATCTTCGAGGAACGTGCTTCTCGATTCGATATAGCAAAAAAAGATTTAATCACTGTGCTCTAGACGCTCTTTGGACAATTTCGATCTACTGATACTGACTGCAAGATAAATAGTCACCTCCTCGGCTTCCTGACACCCTGTACAAGATGGCAGCCTCATATCCCAAGAAGAAGTGCGGTATGGCACCAGCGTAACCCCAATAATCCCAGAGGATCTTTCCATGTATGCTGACATATATCCTTAGGTGTTCTGGGTGCCACCGGATCTGTGGGCCAGCGCTTCATCCTTCTGCTGGCTGACCACCCTTTCCTGGAGCTTCATGCCGTGGGTGCCTCCGAGCGCTCCGCCAACAAGAAGTACAAGGATGCTGTTCGGTGGAAGCAATCTGCTCCTATGTCTGAGAAGCTGAGCAACCTCATACTTCGCGAGTGCAAGGCAGAGCTGTTCACGGATTGTGACCTAGTCTTTTCTGGTTTGAACAGTGACATCGCCGGTGAGACTGGTAAGTACCTCTTATCCAATGTTAACCCTTCAATATTTCAAGTATGCCATATTAATGTTCAAACAGAGATGGCTTTCATCAAGGCAGAGATTCCGGTCTTCTCCAACGCGAAGAATTACCGCAAGGACCCCATCGTGCCTTTGGTGGTTCCCACAGTCAACCCCTCGCACATGGATCTGATTCCTCACCAGCGCCAGCACTTCGGCCTGAAGAAGGGCTTTTTGGTCTGCAACTCTAACTGCGCTGTCATTGGCGTTGTCATTCCCTTCGCTGCCCTACAGGCTAAGTTCGGTCCCGTTGAGGAGGTCGAGGTGTTCACTGAACAGGCCATCTCCGGCGCTGGCTACCCTGGTGTTCCCAGCTTGGACATTGTCGACAACGTCATTCCATTCATCAGCGGCGAGGAAGATAAGCTAGAGAACGAAGCTCAAAAGATCCTTGGATCTTTGAACGCCGATGCCACTGCGTTCAACGAGCAGGCTGGCCTGCGTATCGGTGCTACTTGTACCCGCGTTGGCGTCACCGATGGCCACATGGCTTTCGTTTCGCTCCGTTTCAAGAACCGTCCTGCCCCCAAGGCTGAGGCAGTGGTGCAGGCGATGCGTGAGTATCAATCTGAGGCCCAGAAGCTCGGCGCTCCCTCTGCGCCAGAGTTCGCCATCAAGGTGTTCGACGAGCCCGATCGCCCTCAACCTCGCCTTGACCGCGACATCTCCAAGGGTTACACCGTAAGTGTTGGTCGTGTCCGTGATGGCGCTGAGGGTGGCTTCTTTGATATCCGGTTCGCCGCGCTGTCGCATAATACCGTCATCGGCGCTGCTGGCTCATCTATCCTCAATGCTGAGGTTGCTGTCATCAAGGGTTACATCTAAATGTAAATACGAAAGGAAAAGTGGAGTTTTCAGCGATGTCAAATAATTTCATTCCACCAAATTTATAGATGAAGCGAAGCTTCTATTAAAGGGACATGTTCTTTGGAAGCTAATTATAGTACAGTTGTAGTACATTTCTTGCAGTTAGGTCAGAATTCAATTTGATTTCCTAAACGGGATGGCGATAAGGACCGATAACATAAGCGGGTCAACGGTAATCCCGTTTGGGCCTAGCGCGGGCTAGGGCACAACCCACACCACGGAGCTAAGCGAAACGCCCTTGTTAATCTACGCTATCCGTCTCCTCAACTGTCGTGACTCTTTGACAACCCATCTCCGGTCGACAAATTCATCACAATGGCTCGCGGACCGTAAGTGCCTTACAAACGCATCCTTTCGATTACTCGCAAGCAGCGACAACGGTTTTATTTCCTCGCATCGGGACTTCAAATCGTCGCCTCTGCTGGGGGATCAAAAAGCAAAATTTTCAACTCCCAAGAAATCCGCAAAACTGACCCCAATGCCTTTACAGTAAGAAGCACCAGAAGCGCCTTAGCGCGCCCTCGCACTGGCTGCTGGACAAGATGTCCGGCACCTACGCGCCCAAGGCCTCTCCCGGTCCCCACAAGCTCCGCGACTGCCTGCCCCTGATCGTCTTCATCCGTAACCGGTACGATTCGCACTCTCCATCGAAGCACAGTCAATCTGTGAAGTTCCGGAACCATATGGACTAACGCTCTTTCGAAATAGCCTGAAGTACGCTCTCAACGGTCGCGAGGTCAAGGCCATCATGATGCAGCGTCTGGTCAAGGTTGACGGCAAGGTCCGCACCGACACCACCTTCCCCGCTGGTTTCATGGACGTCATCTCTCTCGAGAAGACCGGCGAGCACTTCCGTCTCATCTACGACACCAAGGGCCGCTTCACCGTCCACCGCATCCAGGCCGAGGAGGCTGAGTTCAAGCTCTGCAAGGTCAAGCGTGTCCAGCTTGGCAAGGGCGGGATCCCATTCTTGGTTACGCACGATGCGCGAACGTGAGTGCAAACTCTCCACGAAGTTCCGTGTCATTCAGTCGTTGGACCAAGCTTTGGTTGATCAACGGGGGATGAATCGAACTTCTGTAAGATTGCAACAATCACAGGACAAGGTTTGCTAATTTGGGCTTCTTGTCTACAGCATCCGCTACCCCGACCCCGCCATCAAGGTCAACGACACCGTCAAGGTTGACATTGCCACCGGCAAGATCGTCGACTTCGTCCGCTTCGACACCGGTGTCGTCGCCATGGCCATCGGTGGTCGTAACATGGGTCGTGTTGGTGTCATCACTCACCGTGAGCGCCACGACGGTGGTTTCAACATCCTGCACATCAAGGATGCCATTGACAACACCTTCGCTACCCGCGAGTCCAACGTCTTCGTCATTGGCCAGGAGAAGCCCTGGATCTCCCTCCCCAAGGGCAAGGGTGTCAAGGTACGCTATACCATTGTTTCTATCCACTCGTACCAGTTACTTACGTTATCGATAGCTCTCCATCTCTGAGGAGCGTGACCGCCGCCGCGCCCACGCTATCGCCAACTAAATGTCTCACGACATTGGCGAATAGCATGCTGGCTCTCATCAGTTTCTTGACCTTACGGCTGGTGCTGATGGTGACCAAGCAAACCCAAAAAATAAACCACAAAACAGTAGCTGGGAAAAGGCGTCCTGTCTTGCTTAATGGGCTTGGATGGTGCTTCTTTCCGTAGATTCGAACCATAGCAAACAAATGAGGGACGGGATCACCGTCCTGTTTCCGAGTGATATGATACCTATTTAACGTTGTCTTTTCTTGAATGATTCAATGACCGTACTTGATTCCCATGGCCTGCCACCTCTCCTCCCCGCGTTTGTTGAACCCACTCTACCATACATTACCTACCTTTGTGTCGTGTGACTATCGATACTAGCTATCGCCTTGCGCCCGTCACAAACCCTTTCGTCCGTACATTTTCACTATTCACCATGCGGCCCGGGAATATGTAGATTACTGTTGGCGCATTTTGAAGCCACATCTATGCCAGACGGCTCTCTAGACGATGGCGTGGCCGTTCAACGATAATCTTTGGGCTTGGCTCGTCGACATTGTTCCCTCCGGATTATAGGCGCCCTCAGGCCGGATCAACCCAGGTTAGAGCCCTTGCACTCTCGCCATTCGTTTAAATTCTGAAGTATGTTTAACGCTTCGTCGGACTCATTGAGGCTAAGGCAGAACCAAGAGCTTGGAGTAACATTGCACTCTAGGTAGTTAGGACTTGATGCACTCATTCGGCACCTTATTTTAGGTTTAGCGGACATAATGTTGCCCGGCATTACACACACCTGGGCATGTCTCTTTCCAGTGAAATATATATATATGGCTGTCGGTTCACGGTGGTGATATTTATTCGATTCGGCGCACTGTTGGTCAGATCTTCATATGTCATTTACTAGGTAAAGAGATATCGTTCCACATCTCTATGAGTTTGAGCATGACGAATGCGAGATCTTAGGACATATTAGAACGCTGCTTCACTATGTGCCCTGTCGTCTATGGTCCTTATGTTTAAGTCCGAGTCTGGAATCTATGGCGTTTCAATCCCAAGAGTGCATAGGCCCAGTGTTATGCCATTTTACCCCTCGCCTGATTATCTACCAGAGCACGTAGATGCCGGTAGCAATTAATGTCGACCACGCTTGATGTTGGTAATGTTGGGCAACTCAGGCACCAAGAAGGCACTTGCCAAGGAATTCGTCCCTCCCGTTCATGCATGATCTTGCACAGCATACCCCGTACCTCGGGCAGCCATTGTGAGTCTGGGGAAGGCATATCCATGCCAGATAGGGGCGACGAAGCTAGCAAACAGAATGAGCGGTAATAACTGCGGGTCAAGAAGTTTAGAAACAATAGGGTTATGGGGTGCGGGAGAGAGTTTGAATAACCTTTCAAGATCTCGTATTGTGTTTGCCTAAATTCTATATATTTACAGCGTACACATTTCACCGACATTTCAATCAAATGGTTCCTTGTCCGAGGTTGCAGTATGGGGTTCAAAAGAGGGTACGGTAAAGTAATTCGACCCCTATTACTTACTATCAATTGCAATAGTGTTTACCTGATAGTATTCCCCTAATCGGTGTGTCTTTGCGGGATGTCGTTGAAGGGAAAGCCCGAATAATATTCCAAATACCGGTAAATATCGAGACTGTGTTTCCAGAGATAGAGTTTCAAGGGCGCCATAGAGTTCCTTGCATTGAACTTACCGCCGAAGTGATTCATGGGGCAATCTGGGTCGCTTTTCATCTAAAAATTTGATATCGATCATTAATATCAAACACAGTCACCGGGAATGAGATTAGTGCCACTGGAAGTTTCTCGTCTGGGGGGGATTGCGAGTCATGCGGGTAACGGCAATGAGTATGCGTCGTGGACTAGATATAGATAGACTACGTGTAGTTAGTGTAGCAACGACTCCGGGGCCACACAATGCAACTGAATATGTTTATTTCCTTCAGGTAGTGCCAGCTCAAGTCCATTTCTCAAATTGTACGCTGTGGCCCGAGTCATTCGAAGCATATTTAGAATATGGGGTAAGGCTATTGTCAATTCCGTCAATTTGAAGGGTCTCGGTAATTCAATCCTCCGCGCACTCATGTTCAGCCCCCGCCTCGTGACTTAAACATCCCCCGAAAATTAACTACTCCATTCAATGCCCATTCATTGGGATGTTTCTTCCAAACCGAGATTAGAAACAATGACTGGGAAGATCAGTTCAGACGTGGAGAATTTAAAATTAGTTTGTACTGATGTGTATGCGGCGATTCCATTCCATGATACCGGGTTACGCGGGGACAGAGAGGACCCTCAGGGCGCCACTCACCGCATAGTTAGAAAAAGAAATAGGGGGAACAGTTTATTCGGATGTTGTAATATCGAGGCAAGGGAATCATTTCCTTTGCATATCTCGTGGTTGCTTGGACCTTCTCCTCAACCGGGCCCTAATTGTCCACCCACTGGCTTGCGAAATCGTCACAGAGAAAGTTGACTTGTGACCGCCAAAAGATTAGACACCGTCTGGCAATCCACACAACACATCAATCAGCACCTGCCTTCGCTGCGGAGATGCGAAGTCGCTGGCGGCGTACTCCGAGCCGTAGTTGTACATGACACAAAAACACACCGGTCGGTAATGATGTTATAGGAAATAAGACCCGCTGTGCTCAACACCGACTTATTTTCACCCAATTATTTTCCCTGAACGCTGTTGTTGGTCCTGATACATGGAGAAAGGCCCCCTGTACGTAGTCTCCAGTGCGCGCGATGGGGGCCATGATGGCATCCTCGATCGACCGATCGACGTATGAGAAGAGAGAAAAGACATCACGCCTGCCAAGACACCGTCAGAGTTGGACCAGTAATTTCATACTCCTGAAAGCTGATTATAGAACTTCTGCCGGCGATGTGGATTATCCGAGGGGCTATGTGACTGTCGTGGAATTGTGGATGCAATCTAGGTTCGGCCCTCACCATAGTAAGATCCAGCAGTGTACTTCAAATCGCGGTGCAGCTGTCAAGCGTTCTATTCCATTGCTTTGCTTTTCTCCGATGGCGTAGGATCAGGCCCGATCATTCGTCATGCGACGTGGTATCTGATGTGTCACCTCTTTGCCGGACCGTCGCGCTCCCTCGCCTCCACTTGGATAAGGTACCCGGATTCCTGTGCCACCATGCCGGAATATGCACGACAGCATTGCACTGGTGAAATTCCAGGGATTTTTTGATCCGTGCAACATAGTCACCCGAGGCGTTGTGCCCTTTCATGAGTTTTGCCTTACTCTATACGGAGATGGAGTGCAGGTACATAATTGGGATGTCGTTCTTCTGTTTATCAGGTTCGTTTATTGTGCACTCTGAGTGGCGGAATGTTCTCCCGTTGATTTCCTGGATATGAAATTCTGTGAATGCTACACAAAACGCATAGTTGGAAGGGAACTAGCGTCGCTTTTAACGAAGACAATGAGATTATTCGAGTCCGCCCACAAAAAATTTATCCTCCCTTCTAAGGCAAAATCCTTAGTTCAGAGGCGTTGGTGCAGCACAGTAAAAATACACAGGGGGGAGCCGATCGACCACTGATAGAAACGGAGGTATAGGCCGATCTCTATGGAGACTATTTCATGGTTTTATGTCAAAAACCTAAGTGATCTGAGGGAGGGTGATCTGCACCAAGAGAAAATGATTGTTGCTCTCGTACGAAGTTCGAAGCCACCTTGTCTCGCGGGCGGGCGAAACGGGGCCAGAACATTCTCGCTTCCCAATTATGGCAAGCAGAAGCAGCCACTGGTCTTTTGGCCTCCCCTGCGACCTTGATCGCTGCAGATTCAGAATGTTCAATCTTATTGCCCACGTCGTCGACCCTGGACGTTGATATAGACATCATATACCAAAGCAAGCAAATGCCATGATCTTTCAAGATCCAACCCAAGCTCTGGGACATGTGGATCAACCGAGATCCGAATCCCAGTGCCTTGGACCTGGGTTCCTGTAGCCGCTCCCAGAGAATTCCAGAGCCTTTAACGACATTCACGTGGCGGGAGAGTTTAGATGACATTATCTGCGCATCATGCGCCTGTGCAGATCAAATTTATGGAGATACCTTTCAAGATTGTGAGAAGGGCTTCGACCGATGCAGCATGTAAGGTGATTCTATCAGTGGCGGGGCGAATTATCGTACCAGAACATGGCAATGATTGAACGCAAGCCATCTAAGAGTCATGTCTCAGTGACTGTTGATCTTATCTGTTAAATTTTGTTTATTAGAATTTACAAATTTGTTGTAACTTGGAACATCTTCTTAATCTCACGATTTCAGCGGTGTAGGACTGACTGTTGACTGGCTAATGAACAGATACTGGCTAGGCACTTAAGAGCCAGCACTTTTTAGGAGTCCTAATTGGTATCCAAAAAATTATAAGCATAGAACTAGCCATATAACTCTCGGAGGTTGGTTTTTTCTATGTTGGATTCGAACATAGAACCGACATATTGCCAACATTTCAAATCGCCTGGTGATCAGCGTCTAGGGCCAAAAGCTTAAGGGCCCGACTGCTCATATTTTTCAGAACAACTTGCATTTTTTAGGTCACGATTATCCCCCCTACTCCAGCGATGGATCAGACCCCTTTGTCTATAACGTCTTGTGGCCCTTCAGACCGCAACAATCACGGGCGCGATTTGAGCTTAGGTTGACGCGAGACTGCCAAGGCACCGTGATCCGGATTGATTAGACCTAACAACCAATAGGCCCCTTCGATGAAATCATCACAAGAAATGGAAAGCACCAGAAATTCAGATTTCTCGTCCTTGCGACCGCCACACTCGGGACATAGGGCTCTCCGCCCCGATTTGGATTCGATCATGATCGCCGATTCCCGCCCCTCGCTCTGGCTTAGTGTCATGGGTTTGGTGCCCACTCGGCCTCGATGAAATACCGTACTGTAACATTCTAATAATAATCAAGAGTCACCGACCCGTGTAGAGATAGGGTGGTCTAATTATAAAGCCCGTAATTGCTGAAAAGGACGGGTTTGCACTAGCCTAGAGAGAAAGAGAAAGGAAATAACGCAGTTCTGTAGCATGCCTGAGTTACATAGGTCTCATTAATTCTTTCTAGATACTTCAACCCAAACAGGGCTGGAAATAATCCGATTATTTGACTTTCTTTTTTCTGCACATCCTTTGTTGTTAGTGAATACCCCGGGCTCCTCGAAATACTTCTAGAAAGTCAAAGAATGGCATCGAATTGACCGCTTCCCAACCGATTTTTCCCACGAACAAGGAATATTATGCAGAGAAGGCGAGGAGTATAAACAATTTAAAAAACCAGTTGTTGTGTTGTCAACTTGACTGCTTTGCAGGCCCAACGGGTGTTCGGCATAGTCAACGGGAATGCGATTCGGGAACGAAGTTAGCGAGTCAGTAACCTACGGACGTAATGATAGCGCGCAGTATCTAAGTAGTTCGCCGCCAGGGGACCATTCCTTGCGGTGGAGACACGCAAGACCTCCCCGGTCGATCTAGAGCTCTTTTCAAGGAAGCATACGTGTTTTACCACTGTCAATCTTGCCCCTTTTCCCCTAGACTTTCCTGCCCATCGGGTCTTTCAACAGGCTGGGAGATTGGCGCCCCTCTCCCGTTTTCAACAAGCCCATCATTTTTCTATCACTCCCACTATAATCATCCTCGTGATATTTTTAACGTGGCAGCACGGTAGCGAGCAGGGATGAAAGGAAATTGCGCTGCCCTTTCTTATAATCCAATCATCTTGCCCCTACTGCTTGCTCCCATCCTAGACCTTGTTAGATTCTATCCTTCCCTCAGAGATTACCGAGTATTGACCCTCCCCCCTCACCAAATTTCTGTTTCATTAGTTCTCTCCTCCACCTATCTGCATTATTTACCTCCTTTTTCTAAACGCCTCTATATTCCTTTGACTCTAGAGACTCTTAGATTCTGATTTTTGGCCGTGGACCTCGTTCTTCGCTTTTTTCCGCTTTCCACGACAAGCGCTTGCGTCCTTTGCGGCAGGTACTCTTGTATGACCCAATGCTTTTGAACTGCTAGACCGGGCCCGGAGGTGCGGTAAACACATAAATGCAATCAATCTGTGCCGAGGGACCCTGGTTTGACCAGGTTTCCAAATTGCGATCATCAAATCTTATGAATACTTCTCCGTCACTGATGAGTAGACTCGAGATGCCGCAATCCACATCCCCTCATACTGTGACGGCAGACTCTACTCAATCCTCCTATCAGTCTCTATTCCAGATTGGGGCAGAATTTCCACGGTTTGTGGTTCCTTATCGCTGGTGGGAAGATGAGGCTACCAGTATCCTGTGGGCATTTAACATCCCCGAAATCCGTCAAGTCATCCGCTATGGACTGTTTCGAGATGAGAACTTTCCACGAAATTCCCTTCTGAGTCGCAACGCTGATACCATCGATGCTTTTCTCGTGGCGCTGTCGGACCCACGCGAGCATCAACTCCTGGGTAGTCTCTCCCATGTGCAGCGAGTGGAAGAGATACTACGACGTTCGAAGATCCAGCCATTCCAGCCAGTGCCCTGGATGTGGTTTCCACCACAACCGGGCCATGATTTGAATGCTCGAGAAATCGCCGAAGCGATTGAGGCAGAAAGCCACCACCAGTTTCGCAAGATCTGCTTCGAAGAGATTGTGCGTGCATCTCTTGGATATAATGCGGTCTCGGTCGAATGGTTTCTCCTACAGCATACCGCGCTATACAATTATATTTACAACCATCTTCATACCTACCCAGAGGAGATCCCTCTCTATCTAGAAGCAGAGAAGGTGAGTCCGACTCTATCGCTAAGGACTCTTACTCGTGACTCTAATCGTCTATAAAAGCATTTGCGAACTAAAAGTCCCTTTGCCCATCGAGCGTTGATACACTGCATTCGCATCCTACAACCAGATTCAGCTTGTGAAATGCCCCAGGCGCTCACTCCAGGCTTCGGATTTATAGCAGGTCCCGTCCAGGTGCTATTCAGAGACCAACCGCCAAGCTTGACCACCGTCCTCAAAATCTTTAGTGTCTTGGCAGTTCGATTCCGACGCCACTACATCCATACTGCCAAAATGGAATGGCATTTACCATTAGACACTTCCATATTATTCCTAGAAGATTGTTTGAATTCGACTTCGCCCAAAGACCTGGCCCGCACGATGACAGGGACCGACGAGCTCGATTTCTCCGGATTGTCCCGACAGAGCATCCTCGCAAACGACAACTTTGTGCGAAGGCTTCTGACCAATTGGCATGACCTCAGTATATCAGTATGGGAGTGCTGCACTGCATTACCAGACATTGTCCCATTCCTGCGAGAGTGTGCGCAGGTGAGTATTTCTCCCCTGTCAAGTGTCCATCGTGGACAGTGTCACAGGTATCGATGGAAGACTCTAACGGGGGGCAATTATAGGCCCTCCTTAATGCCCAAAATTACCATTCGCTAACGGCCCTCGCCGTTGGTTTCTACCGATACAACACTACAGCGCGTTCGCGAGGCCTCAATAGCACCATTGACGGCATGGTCGTCACGGATCCTCTTCTTCTTCCACCTGAAGTGGTCATCATCACTAACCCTGCCGAAAACTATGCGTCTTATCGACAGCAGTACTGCGAAAATCCCGGAATTCCATTTCTCATCCCTCACCTTCGTGACTACCAGCAGCATGGAGAATCCGCTATCCAGCCCTTGCTCCAGTATCTGCAAGTCCAAATGTCGGCCAAGACGTGAAACGTTTCATCGACGCTAATTCATACCTTCCCTTGCTGTCGGTGAGAGAAAGGAAGTGACCTACTTCCGCTCTATGTGTGGCTGCAAGTGGCTGCAGATGGTCATGCTATCTGGGCTCTATGACAAGGGACCGTTTCGAAGTCTGGTGTTTGTCTATGGCGCTGGAAATATTATAGATGAAATTTATTTGGGTGACTTGGCTTGCTTGTTTAGATTGCTTCGGGTTTGATGGCACTGCGTCCTTCTACGATATACCCATTGCTGCCATCTGCAATGCCGGCCGTCTGGCGTTCCTGTGTTTAGTCTATACGACCGGTATTTTTATTTGATCTTATACCTCCTTTCATTTTCCTTTCTGTCACACGAGATGAGGGGGTAGGGGGTCTATAATAGATCCTATTAAGACTAGGTGGCATGCATCCCAGCCCGGCCTATTGGAGCCAAATGGACGCGCATCTGCCATCAGGCAACTGGGACAGGCAACTGTGAACAACCGAGACCCAGACTGGTAGTGAAAACCAGCATGACTCCCAGTATGCCATGCGAAAGAGATTTTACGAATCATATCAAGTCCATCGCGCCCGAAGCGCCCGAATATTCATTCCTTGAAACGTCATTCATTCCCTATAGAATCCGAGAGCGAATAATAACACCCAATTATTGCAGGACTAGATGCCCAAATTCCGACTGTACAGTACCGTTCCAACGCAGCTGCTCAACAGCATCACAAATTTTTATTCTCGTTTCCCGGCTACCTTGGATGTTTTGGTAGGTCCGAAGATGCCCACGAAATAGGCCAGACGATTGATAAAGAGAAATGCGGTCGCGCCGATGTTCCCCCACGTCAGAGCATTCCACGCGCCAACATCCGAAAATGCAGTCCAGCCCATCCCCAGATACGTGGCATAGACGTGACCGACATCGGCGATAGCCAAGGCAATCAGGTAGTTACGCACGACCTTGGGCTCTGTGCTTGTATGCAACACGGCCACTCCGATAAGGAAAAGGAGCGAGTATAGGTTGCCAAGTTGGTAGGCCAACGAGAGGCTGCTGGGATGGGCGGAAGGAGGGTCTGCTTGGGGCGTTTGACCAGCGATAAAGCTGTCCAGGTCATATATCGGGGCGAGGCTTCCGAGAACCCTGCAACGAGATGAGAATGAGTGACTGGCTGAATTGAATGGGCGAAAGAGGGCGGGCAGGGGGCATAGTTACAAGGAGAGAGGTTCAATGAAGCCAAAAAGAACGTGTGGCCAAGTGGGGAGGATAGTTGGCATTTTGTCTGAGATCTGATATTGGTTAGTCCGTTGTAGCTGTGGTGCAACTGGGGGTTGCTGGAGCCGGTCGATTGAAGCTTCGGGGAAAGCTTTAACCTCCGGGGAGGAGCGGGGAGAGGCACTCACTGGGCGCCCTGCAGCAACACAATGGGATAGAGGGAACGAATGGTCTAGAATACGGAGACAATGGCCTCAACTCGAAGTGTTCAGAGAATTGAAACCAATTTACAGAAGAACAAGATCACTTGATCGGTGGATCTTGTTTGAGGATTGCTGGCTGACGTATGCGCTGCGCCCATCCATGGCCGTCTTCACCGCCCGTACAAAACGTTATCGGGACTTTATCGAGGTTCAACATCGTCTCAGCGCGGGAAACAAAAAGAAATCACCGCCCGGTCCGCCCGGTCCGCCCGTTATGGATGATCGAATCGATTCTCTATCCTTCGAGATATGTGCAACATTCTAGAGGGAGTCTACCGTTGAATGAGCTCCGAAGATGGATCCTACAGGGGCTCTCCGCCCCCTCGACGAATCTTTACTTCGCGAGCTTCCTCAATTGCCAGTGCGAATCGCTCCTTTGCGGGAGCCAGTCTCGTCGCGAACTCTCAGCATCCCATCTCCCTTAGAACCAAACGCGAGCGGTGCGAGGGACTCAAGTACTATTTCCAAGGCTGCCCCAAATGGCGGAAACCTCCCACCAAACACCAAGGCGGGCCTACCGACGGTGAAGGAGTTCCTCAACGCGGCGAGAACTAAAAAGGCCGAGTCCGCTACGACAGATCCCCAATCGAATGTGGAACCACCACCCAAACCTATCCTCCCCGCATTTGTAAATCTCCGTGCTCTAGAACGCTTCCAATTCTCCTCCTCTTTCGACGACGACGCCCTCCACGGACCGCGCAAACGTCGGCGCTTAGACCTGCAGGCCGAGTCTTTCAGCGAACACTTGCAGCTACCCATCCCTCAAGCCCAAAAAGAGCAACGCCCACCGCCCTTTGGCCCTTTTGCTATTCTCAATGGATTGAATGAGCCGCCGCCAAATGCTGCTCTTCTGCCGCCAATTGAGGCTGGCTCCTCTATCTCCCAGCTTCTGACAAAGCCTTCTCAGCGGAGTGGTACGGCCGTGGATACTGGCAATCCGATATCCACAATTGGTACCATCGGCACCACTGCTGAAGCGCAGACTGTAGAAAGAAGAGAAGCGAGGATTGAGGAGCTTCTTGACGCAACCCTTGATGACACTAACAATGATGACGACGACCATGATCAAGACCTTGTGCAACAATTCAATCAATATGATAACCCAGATACATCCAGATCAGACCGGGGAGCAGAGCTTCTTCAGGATGCTGGGGCTATGCCTCATCCTGCTCCGATGGCTGATGAGGAGCCCATGTCTCCCAGGACGCGGGGCCGATCTCGCAAAAACTTGAGAAAATGGACTGATGAAGAGACGACGGCTCTGCTCCGAGGTGTGATCAAGTGTGGTATCGGCAATTGGACGGCAATCCTTGCACAGCCAGAACTCAAGTTTAACAAGAGAACAGCCTCGAACTTGAAAGACAGGTATGCCAGGTTGACTCTTGCTATGTCGATCCATTGGTTGACTTTGTCATAGGTTTCGAGTTTGTTGCCCCTGGGCCTATCGGTAAGTTGGCCGATATATAGACTCATAGGCCACGTCAACTAACCCTAAAAAAAAGTGCTTCTGATCCCAATGAAGCCACGAAGCAACTGCGAGATCAGCTTGCCAACGCCCTCCTTAAAGCTCAAGCAGATGGCTCTGCCAACAGGCCTGGTGAGATCCAACTACCAGACCGAAACCTTGTCAACGCTGGGTCTGAGCCCAGCTCTAGCCATGGGAGTACCCCTGGCAGCTCGCATACTTCATCTGCATCTAGCATGTCAGCCGGCACACCAGACACAGAACACGGAGGTGTCATCACTCCACAGCACGGGTCTCCTTCAAGGAAGAGCCAACCGATAGCCCCTGAGCAGTCCCAATCAACCCTAGAATCCCTAGGTCTCCCAGAAGCACACGTTGCAACGAAACTCAAAAGACGTTCGCGCCGCCCATTCACCACTGCCGAGGACGAGGCACTGCTCAAGGGCTACGCCGTGCACGGCTTTCAGTGGACTCTGATTCAACAAGACAAGCGACTGAATCTCGGTCACCGCAGAGCAACCGACTTGCGGGATCGTTTCCGAACAAAGTTTCCACACGCATACCGCGATGGGGGCTCGGTCAATGGCAAGGCCATCAATACACATGCTTCAGGCCAGCCTCTGACAGCCAGTACATCGGGGTCTTCTTCTCAGAACCGGGATTTGAGTAACGAGTCAACCCCCACAAAGGCCCAGCCCACAGGCCACCGTCGACCCAAGTCTCATAGCCGTAATCCTTCCAGTGTCTCAAATGCCAATGCTGTACCACTGGAATCGGCATTCTTGCCCCCGCCACAAGGATACTTGGATCAGTCTACGAACATGGTACCCGGCACACTCTCATTCCCGTTGGATGATAATGCCACAGGAGCTCCGTCGCCTTGGGAGGATAATACGCTCGCGCCCATGGTTTGGGATGATCTCGGCTAAAAGTACAATGCTTAAGGGAAATTTTTTTCCCACACAACAGATCTTTGTAATGAGTGATGATCCCTTTTCACATGTAGGGTGTTGATTTGTCCTTGCTATTTTCACTTGATATCCCGCAGTGCACGATGGCTCTCATTCAGGACCCTATGTTTTGGAAAAGTTGACACTCAATTTGGAATTCAAACATTCAATCTGTCTCAATTCTTCGGTTTTAGCGTAGTCATTTGCTTGCTGCCAGTATTCAATATGCAGAATGGAGGTTCCCATAAAAAGCCACACAGGGAGGGAACATCAGACACTCGGGACGAACCCCATTTTATCAGCCTCGAAACATGGGCATGAGATTCCTGTGGATGAGAAAGGCTCAGTGTCCAGGCTGCTTCCAATTCCCTCCATTGATACCAGGACGATGAATGAAGAATAGACAAGTGCGGAACAAGATCGGATATCAAACTATTGAACCAAGCGCATGATGAGTGACCAAATAGCATACACCTGTCAGTTCCTTTTGTGGAGACACCAATCCTGCGATAGAAACAGGAGAAAAACAATAAAACTCGGGAAAACAAAAACAAAAAGGCACATCGCTCAAGTTGCTGAGTAGATGGAAAAGGCAAGAAATAATCACAAAGGAAAGTCGGGCACGTGATGCTCTACAAATCTACCACGCATTGCGGTCCCAGTTGGGATCTAAATATCCAGCATATCGTCAGCTAATACTCGGAGCCAGAACTCGGAATTGAAAGAAAAAAAGGCGAAGAAATATATGCACGCACCCTGTATGAAACTGGCCAACACCTTACTTCCCGTCTGCAGCAGCGGGTGACCCGCAACAATCTGCAGGAACCGCTGAAGCCCCTCGCGTCGGTGCTCAATGACGTCGTCGCTGAACCGGTTGGTAAACACCTTGCCCGGTAGTGGGGGGATTGTCACGCGCGTGCTCTCGCGCTCTAGGATATCACGAAAGTACTCGAAATCAGAGTACCGGCGGCGCACGACGGAGTGCTTGAGTTTGAAGGCGGGAATGTTGGTTCGGCAGACGATCTCGTAGGAGGTGTACATGTTGCGGGAGGTTCCGTGAGTTTGAGGGTTGCGTACCTATTGGATCAAGTTAGAAATGGAATAAGGAATGGTGCTGTGCGTGCGAGTCGTGTGTGTGGATTGGGGATATCACTAGAGCTTGGAACGCGGGGTAGAAGGGTAAAGGATGAATATGGAGAAAAAACCCTGGAATGTCATTGCTTTATAGGAAAGGCTCTTCCGGTGGGATATGCGACTCACCTCAATCTCGAGGAAATTCTCCGGGGGGCCATAGATCTCCTCAAAGGTCTGCTGGCGTGACTCCGGGACGGACTGCATGGTGGGCGGGGTGGGCGGGGTGCTCCGGGGATGCTGCGAAGCTGAGCTGGATGATCTTCGAAAATACGGACGTAGGCTGTTTTGAGCAGAAGAACAGCAATATCAAAAGTCCTCAAGAGCAAATTCGCAGGAGGTTAGCCAGTCTCCGCACCGCAGCGTCAAAGAGAGCGGAGGAGCGGGGATTGAGCTCGGATCTTCCAGCGATGATGACGAGGCGGGAAAATGGTTGATCCGCCCTGACATGGTTATCAGCGGGCCCAGCCGAGATATGCTGTTGAGCTTTACTTCCTTTCTCAACCATACAAATTACAATGAACTGGGGAAATTCTTTGATGGAAGCCCTTTCGTGACTAATTGCTACTTTCAAATAGCTTCAATTGGGATACTGGCATTTTCGCTGAATTAGGCTGATAGCAGCTCAATTTTCTGAGGGAAACTGCGTTCTGAGAAACATAGGCACATCACTGTTGAACTCCTTTACGTGACCCGATAAGGTGTCGGGGAACCTTCTGTGCTGCGGTTCAGGTGTGGGATCTGTTGTGACTCCGAATAAGGTGGAGGTGGTGTTGCAAGACGTTCTGTTGGTGGTGACCCCTGCCGCTGCCGCCGCCGCTGCCGTTGCTTCTGCTTCTTACTGAGACGGAACCAGTAGAATACCAATGCCAATAAGAGGATGAGTCCAGCAAAACATGCAACGACAGCGCCGCCAATGACCTTTCCGGGAATCGAGCCGAACTTGGCTTGTGAGCTCGAAGACTGCGAGGTAGTGGATGAGCTTCCAGAGCTTGAGCCTGATGGCGTGCCGGTTGCATACGGATAAGCGCAGTCTGTGATATTGTTGGTAGGGCCTTCGACGGACGCTGCGGAGCACCAGTCGTCAAAGGTGGTTTTCACGCCTATATTGCAGAGACTGGTGTCAGTCAAGGGATGCTGCCATACAGAAGAATTGGCCGCCTCACTCTTGATATCCTCATCGCACGCGTACGCAATGCAGCAGCCAAAGTCAGAGAGGAAGTCTGGGGTCTGGCACCAGCATGCCACGCTATCGACATCGCACCGGCCATGTACAAATGTAGTGCCGGTGCAGAATACCTAGGTCATTCCATCTTATTAGTCATAATGGTACAATCGAGGCCAACCCCGAGAAGACCATAGAACTCACGGCGCAGTCATCTGGAAACTCATGAGTGAGGTTGTACAGAGTGTTCGCGCCAATGGGGGACACGAGCGCCGCAACAAGCCACGCCAGAACAAGCTTCATGATGCTTGCCTGTGAGAGTGATGCGCAGGTAGTGTAGGGAGTGGTGAGATGAAATGATGAGTTTGTGACAATCGATTGAAGAATGGTAGAACTTGGCCGTGGGTCTCTGTGGCCATAAAGATCGTCGTGGGAAGCCTCCGGGGGCCGGAACATACACAGCCTCAACGGGCAACCTGCAGTGCAAGGCAAGAAATTGTTATGGAACAGGTGCAAGACTGCCCCAAAGAACGGTGAAAAAAACTGTAGAGGATAGCAGGTTATTTGAGGTCATGAAAAAATTCCCGTTGAGTCGAAGTGAGTCAGTTGAGGCTCGGCTCGTTAAGGCAAATCTTTCATGCCCGGCGGTCGAAGGGGACCCTGTATGTTGCTTGTTTGAAGCACGGGGGCCAAATTTCGGCTAGTCGAAAAATAAACCTTTTTCTTTGACCCTACAGTTGTAGTAATTGAAGCGCATACTCGTGACCCCTAGGATTAACAAAATCGATCCATCAATCGCATCCATTGCCACCTTGTGCAGCATGCAGATTATGTCGGCCCCCAGACCAACACCATCAACAACAGCAGCAATGTTGAAATCCATGTGCTATTTTACGTCTACTTGTAAAATCATGATCCGGGATTGAAGTTTGACAAGGATTTGAATAGTTTGATAGATGTCGATGATTCCTAAAAGATGTGGTGAACAGCCAAGAGAGTCCATGATCTTGCGTACTCCCTTTTCGCTGGAATTATGCTCTTGGGATGTACCTGGGTCAATTTGAGATATATGTTGAAGACATTGGGTATTTCTTTTCAAGCTATTCAGCATTGAAAGAGCTACGAAGAATTAAACATTCGACTGGCCCGCCCCACCTTGGCGGAGTTAAAAGGAGTTAATCCTTGAATCGTGGGTCAGCGTGGGGCATGACATAACAATCTCACTTGGGCGGTGACTTTCGGTATCATGCTATCGATAAGCCCCGTCTCCTCATCTCTTGATCTTCTACAAACACCTCAATTTCCCTCATCATGGCCTCTTCACGAATACCGTCCGAGGAGACAAGCGACCCGGAAGAGGATCAGCCCGTCTGGCACCCAGCCCATGAACAGCTTGACGAGACACATTCCACAGACCCGGATTACCAGCCCAGCCCATCCGAGGGCCAGCGCAGACTCGGGGTGCTCGACGAGTGGGGTGGCATTGAGCGTTATGAAGACCCGTCCGGGGATTTGGAGGAGGAGGAGGAGGATGATGATGATGATGATGATGATGATGATTACCTCGGAGCTGAGAGGTTCGTGATCAGGGACACCAATGATCCCACATGTACGTCCATGTTTATATGTCATTTCCTCTACTTCTGCATTCGAGATTCTGGTTGAAGGGCTTCTCACCACTTATGTACAGTTGCGCGATCTTATCTATTCCAGCTACTGGCATCCGGTGGTTTCCGAGAGGCTCTCCTTGCCAATGGTTTGGATCCGGGCCCGGCACTAGAGGACGACGACTTGGAAGAGCCCGATGAAGATTTCATCCTTGCCATGACCGCTAGACTAGCAGGAAGACGGCGCAGACCGAAGTTCGTGTGGCCCAAAGTACCTAGCGAAGAAGGCACCAAGTTGATGAGATCCGGGCACTTTGGCACTGAGCCATATTACGTCGATCGAATCAAGAAGCGCAAAGAGGTCTTTGCCACAAATCTCATGTGGCGGGAGCTTGGAATTGATTCGCATGGCGTGCGGATGAGAGCCGATCAGTCCATTTCTCAGGTAAGCACGGATAGCCGCATATGCCAACCCCAGAGGGCATACCTGTAAATGCATTTTGTGTCCTAACATCGTGATGTAGACTATGATACCTGGTTCTCGAGCCGACAGCATCATCCACTACGATTCCAGAAGCTACTCGGGTGAATTCTCTAATGATGGGGACTTCTTTTTCTGCTGTGAGCAGGATTTCCGGGTTCGGATGTACGATACATCCAACCCGTTTTCCTGGAAATATCTGAAGACTGTCGAGTATCCTTATGGTCAATGGACCATCACAGATGCTTCGCTTAGCCCGGACAATCGCTTCCTCGCCTACAGCTCGATTCGCAATGCAGCCTACCTGGCGCCAACAGACCCGGACGATGATTCAGATCCGATAGAGCTTGACTTTGCGCTTTTGCCGAATCAGCCGATAACACAAAGTCTTGATCTTTCACGTTCACGCTTTGGTGTAGGTTTTGGGGACCAATGCCAGTCCTTTCTGAAGTTTGATGCAGAACTGACTTTTGTGCTGACAGATTTGGTCACTTCGATTTTCGGGAGACGGCCGGGAGGTCGTAGCTGGGACGTCAGAGAACTCGGTGATAGTAGTCGATCTTGAAACACGGACGCCGGTTCTTACTCTAAAAGGTCGTCACCAGCACCATGTCAATGCAGTTTGTTTCGGCGACACGTCATCGCCTCACATTCTCTACTCTGGCTCAGACGATACGACTTTGCGTGTCTGGGACCGACGCTCAATGGCCGACAGACGCGAAGCCGGCGTGTTCCTCGGCCATACGGAAGGCCTAACATACATTGACAGCAAAGGCGACGGCCGCTACGTCTTGTCAAATAGTAAAGACCAGACGATGAAGCTTTGGGACTTGCGGAAAATGATGCCGCCTTCAAGAGCCGATACGTTTGAAAGGAACGCTTATTCCACAGAGTTTGACTATCGTTTCCAAGAATACCCAGAGTCACATCGTGTGGCACATCCTCATGACCACTCCATTGTCACCTTCCGAGGCCATCGCGTTCTAAAGACCCTAGTTCGCTGCCACTTTTCGCCTCCTGGCAGCACAAACTCGCGCTATGTCTACACTGGCAGCGCAGATGGTAAGGTCTACGTGTACAACATCGATGCCACGTTGGCTGGTACTATCGATGTCCAATCCGCGACGATGAATTCTCGGCCTCGGGGGCCAGATATCCTCACCAATATGTGGGATCTCCATGGGGATATGGAGTGGAGAACGTGTGTTCGGGATGCTAGCTGGCATCCTAATGTTCCAATGATAGCAGGTAAGCCGCATTGAGAGTCTTGTCGAGTCCACTATTTGATCTTGTTCGATCGCGTGAGCTAACCCGGTCACTCTTGCTAGCAACTTCCTGGAATGGCTGGGGTCTGTCTAGCGGCACATGCACGATTCATTCCTGGAACGACGGCGCCGACGACGAGGGCGATCTGCCAACTGGACGGAGCTACGATCACAAGTTAAGGCCCCTTCCCGAATATAACCATTATCAGGACGATTCTCCACCTAGTCCGCAGCGTAGACGCATGCGCCGCACCCTTCGCAGCAGGCCGGTAGCTCGAATGGAAACGGACGAGGACGACGATGACGATGCGTGGTGAAAAGGTCCAGAGTGTACTCTAAGTATTCTCGACTTGGTATGCGAGAATAGAATTCTCTGGGATTGGTCTTCCGCGAGGTCATTTGACTCATAAAAGGTTCCTGCATGTGCTGTACTTAGCGATGACTAACGAAGATACAAATACGATTATGTCTAACTATAACTAGATCCATGTATCGTAGATTTGATATTCGAAAGCTTGAAAATGGGTATGGAGGGTCGTTGATTGATCAGAAAAATAAAAGACCCCTATTGGTACAGGTAAGTGGTATATGGTATCTCATGGGTGGTGATGACGCACTCCCATCGTATCCCAAATAAAAAAAAAGTGGTCGCCAATGATTGTAAACTCCGGACGACAAGGCAAAAAAAAACATGGAGCTGCTCAGCTGTGCTCGCTGACAAGAGGGGCTCAATTCGCCCCCCTTTTTCGTCCAACGCGCACGCGAGCATAAAACGTCCGCAGAATCCGTCCAGCTCGCTCAGCAGATGCCCATCTCCGACTGCGGCGTGTATTTCCTATCTCCTGCCCGTTCTCTCCTTGATTGATTCGGTTCTCGATTAATCGTATTGTGAAGGTTCTTGTCGTTTATGCGCCACCGACCAGGACCTGGTTAACGGGAATGTGGACTGGAGTAGTTAATTGAATGTCAGCTATATATTCAATGCTCGATGATGCAGTGACTTAGCGCATTGCTATAGCCAGCACTTACTCAACTTGACGAAGTATCCAATGGCACCCTGAATGTCCGTGTCAGCGTTATTCGACAATTGCTCGCACTCCGCGACGAGGCTCCAGATGATAGTCGCAACATACCATAACCAGGAATCCCATGCCTACAGCCTGGCTGATCTTGATGAACTCGCGCTTGTCGGCTGCAAAGAGTGTCAGTAATCTCTCCGATCGGCCACGGGGGGGTCGACATTACGCTTGGTGCAACGGCGAATGAAGAGGCTTCCCTCGCGGACAAAGTCCTTGGGGATATCGGCAAGCTCTTGGAAGGTCTCAGACATTGTGGATGTGAATGGCGAAAGGAGAGGAAAGATAGGGAGAAGGAAAGTCTGGGGAATTAGGATTGGGAAATACCACTGGGAACTTGACGAGTCGTGGCCTTTCTGGAGACCGCTCGGCGACCCGGACCGGAATAACTATATTGCAAGGCGGAGCTTAGAAGCTCAGTCGCGCCCTCGCCCGTAACTCCCTCTCATCAATTATCTCGAATCTCGCTCTGCTCCAGTCAACCCGAAGGTACCGGGTCTTGTCTAATACTATAAAGTGGGAGGGATTGACCTGTTTCCTTTCTTTGGGGGGTCTTGAAGGCATAGCCTTGGTCTCTTTCGCCGCTATAGCCGTCGCCTGTCTGTGGCCGGCGCGCGCTTCTCTTTCTTCCTGTATTCCGGAATCCTGATCTCAAGGGAAATCAGCCTGTACGTGCCTCGTCAGCTGGCACTGTTCTTATTCTTGCGGTGGTGAAGTACTGGTCTCTGCGGATTGTACGTATGGTTGTGTCTTTCTCCTTCGTTGTCGTTACGCGATAGTGTTATGCTTTTATTCTCTCCTTCTACTCTAAATCACCCGCTTTTTTAAAGCACCATTCCTGCTTGCTTCACACTGCCTTGTCAATCCTCTCAGGATTAGGTGTTGAAAATCTTTCTTCGTGCTAATTGACCATCTGTCTCTACAGACATGTACTTTTCTTGAACCCAAAGGCAATCAATCAGCAGAAGATTCAAAAGGGGCCTGTGTATTGTCCAACATCACCTCTAACTCAATCCAATTCATTCTCTCTGAAGCCCGTGGTCAATCGGCAACCGCTCTAGTTGCATAATGGCGACTGAAGATGATAATTTCGATATCGACATCTACGGGGATGGTGGAGGCTTCAATTCCAACGACCAGGGTGACACGAAACCGGAAGGTGATGATGTCGACCTAGATATCCCAGAGCCCGAAGCTCGCGCAACGACAAATAACACGTCCACGTCCCCCTCCACTCTTCAACCTTCTTCCACACATCAATCTCCATCCTCATCAAAACCTCAGATCGAACCTACCCATCCCACAATGTCTTCACACTCTGCGAACGGTGACCACCCCATGTCGCAAGAAAATCTCAATCATCAAGATACCATGACTGCCCCTCACGGTGTCAAGCGCAAGGATTACGAGGATCGCCCCTCCGATCCCGAGGCCACCACCGCGCTGGTCATCTCAGACCTTTTCTGGTGGACCACCGACGACGACATCCGTGGCTGGGCGAACCAGGCACAAGCGGAAGAGGACCTCAAGGATGTGACTTTTAACGAGCACAAGGTGAATGGCAAGAGCAAAGGGTAAGTCTCATCATTCCTCAGTTCACACGTCTTATCAACGTCAGGTAGCTAATCAGGGTTCTTATTTCTACCGTTACAGTCAAGCCTTTGTAGAGTTCACTACTCCTCGGGCCGCAGCGGCCACTAAGGTCTACCTGGAGACCACATCTGGACGAAAGCACACTGTCCAGTACGCCAATCCGCAAATGAACCCGTTCAAGACGCACCCCAAGGATGGCCAGCAGCGCAAGGATGGCCCCCGCGGCGCCGGTTACAACTCCGCCGGCAATCAGAACATGAACTTCGGCGGCCCTAGCGCAGGTGGCGGCAACATGAACATGGGCGGTTACCGCGGCCGCGGCGGCTTCAACCACAACCGTGGAATGGGCAATATGGGCGGTTTCAACAACCGCAATAACTACAACAACATGGGCGGCTTCCAGAACGGCGCCGGAGCTGCACCCGCCGGCGGCAACATGATGGGCGGCTTCCAAGGCGGTCCCATGGGCGGTATGCAGGGCTACGGCTTCGGCAACCGTGGCGGCATGATGAACAATATGCGCGGCGGTCCCGGTGGCATGCGAGGTGGCCGAGGGGGCAATATGGGTGGTTCGGGCATGATGATGCCCGGTATGAATCCAATGGGCGGCATGGGCATGAACCCCATGGCCGGAGGCATGAACCCCATGATGGGGAGCATGGGCGGAAACATGGGAATGCAGGGTGAGTGATGAGATTCATGTCATCTTACCTTGGCGGTTCTACTATTCTTGAGAGATGGACATCCTTTCTAACTCGATCATGCCAGGATTCCAAGGCCCTAACCCGGCATTCAACCAGAACTTCTTCGGGGCCAACCAGGGCGGCGACAGCACCTGGAACCCCCACGGCGCCAAGCGTAGTCGCCAAGAGTAAGGGACTGCGCCCTGGGTTGTCTTGTCTGTTGTCTTTTTGTTGAGAGTGAGAGAGTTTCATTTTACCTTTCTTCATTCGTCCCTTCTCTTTCTGATCTCCACTCACATGGACTCTCGAATTGCACTCCCTCGTCGATTGCTTCTGATCGAGACCGGGGAGTGAAGAAAGAGAAGGGATGGATTTATTAGGGTACGTCTAGCCTCGAATGGGATTCGAGATGTTTTTTTTTTTGCCTTCTTTATCTGGTGTACTAGATGTAATTCAAAGGTGTTCATCCGCTTTCATGGCATGTATTATATTCGATGGCGGTGTTTTGGCTATTTGGCTCGGGCGTTGTGCTCTCTACGGGTGGGTTTTATGGCCTTTGGACTGAACTGTCTTATATTTGTATCTTACGTTCAATGGGGCACTGGAGAAACCATTGACTCGAAGCTGTAAAAGGTGGACTTGTAAAAATGTATTCAAGTTGGGCTTATCGCTTCCACTTTGACTGCTCTATTACGCCATCGTACATGTTTACACTCGGGGGTACACGGCAGCTTAGAGAACGCAAAGAGATTACGGAGAAAGGACACGGTTCAATTCAAACATGATGTATATTCTTGACAACAAACTACATGGGCTATCATCAGTCGAGCTCAATCAATTCAGTGATATGAAAGGAAAATCAGCAGTCAAAGAAGCTACTAATGTATAGCTCCCCTCTTATTTGTCGGGAACAGACTGAAACCTAACCGACACCGAACTCGTCACTTGAATGTCTGGAGGAGTAAGATCAAGCGTTTCCGAAATGGCTGGAGGGTTAGGAGGAGCAGCACTACCAAACAGAGCCCCCCCTCTCGTACTTCTCATGGCAACGGGGGCACCCCCAGCGCCCCCAAAGAGAGATCTCCCTGGAGGAGCATACTGCGTAACAGCATGCTGCCCACCGTTGATGATCTCTACGGCATACACTTCCCTCCCAACCTCCCCAGCATAATCATTGGCTTTAACAATCGCATCACGAATAGCCTCTTTGCGCATCCGCGAGCGCAGGTCCTTCTGCGTCGCCTCGCTCAAACTCCAGTCAATCGCACTGATTTCGACATTAGAGTATGCCACGAGTTGGCCGACGACTTCGCTGAGTTTGGTGATATCGCGGAAAACAATAGTCAGAGACATGGAGGCTTGATACACCTTGGGCAAGGGCTTGTTATCCTTGTCGTGGGGGGTAAAGTTCCTCGTGCGGAGATAAGTAGATGCGAATTTTGTTACTGCTGCGTCGGCGGTGGCAGTGCCGTCGTTGGTTTTGGGGGATAGTTTTTTGAAGAGTTCGCTGAGTTTGTTAGACCGGGAAATGACATCTTTGGATACAGTTTCTAGGTCTGAACCTTCGCATTCGACTGTCAGTCGGAGGGATCCTTGTTCGGCAAGGCGGGTGATGCTTGATTCGCCGTTGACGTTGATCGTGAGAGGTTCCATGGTGTTGAATGGTTGTATTGATGGTAAGTGTAAATTTGTTGCTGGCTACGAGGATCCTTATATAGTTGCTCGGGAGATCAGGCACCAGTCACTAGGGCTTCTCGCAGGACTATGCTCCGACGGTTAACTACGGCCTACTGTAGGTGGTTAGCTAAGCTTGGCAGATGATGCCGATGATGACTCATCCATCACTGTCTCGAACAGGGTTAGCGCATTTTGGATCTTGACGAGGTGTATGTACAAAGATCGTAGCTCAACTATTCAGTAGGTGCTCCTTGATAAAGTTTATTGTCCTCGAGGACAAATCCTGCATGCTTATCGAGCTATCGGCACCCTAGCCCTCGGTATGGAAGAGCAGAAACGAAGAGGATCTGCCACGGATAAGGAAAGATCGACGGTGACGGGGCATCACAAAGATGTCCAACCAACTGTATGCAATAAAAAAATGCCATTGATCTTAAACAGAGAATCATGGATTCTTGATTCTACTCTGGTTGGAAATCTCAAGGGATGCAACGAGTATTGAGCATGGCATGCAGACACCCCATACGAAGGCCCATCGCCCTTAGCATTTTTCAACATCCTCCCTATGTGCGCAACGACCTATTATTGCGCATTTCTTTTGTCTTGAGGGTCATCAAAACGGACCTTATAAATTATTTTGCTTGAAATGACAGCCCATGTCATCACCGGGCACATTTCAACTCTTCAGCTACTCTGAATCGTGAAACAAGGTTGCCTCTGCGAGATATCAAGCACATCTTGTCGATTCCAGCTTAGGAATAGGTCAACATACGTCCCAAAAAAGAATGATCGGAGAAAATGGTCAACTCTTCAGTTAAACTGACACTTGAGTATATTGCTCTTGAATATAATATCTATAGTCAATCGACCGGTTCAGTAGATCAAGGGGGCTATCGAGCCGTGATCCTGGAGTGGCCCAACCAATTGTCCATATAGAGATCGCATGTTTACTTTTCCCCGGCAACTTCCGCTGTATGTACAATTTCTACAATTTCCCAGTCTACTCGCATTATCAAATGACAGCCGCTGTGCTTTAATTTTCCTTTGGTCGAGATTACCAATCAAACGTTACACTGTATACGGAGTCAGAGTGGGCCTGTTCCCAAAATACTAGAGGCTCTCCACAATCTGGTTAAGCTATGTTTCGCCCTACGGTAAAACATCTTGAGAATCAGCACTCAAGAGTTAATCAGTCAAAGAGGAAAGTATCTAAATCAATATTTCGTATAGAATAGTCAACTAGACTTGCTTATCATAATATCAAAGTATACTGTGTGTCGTGTCGCACGGGCATCAGACAATTGCCCCGCCGAGATCACCCCACTTTTCGTCATCATCGATCTTCTGGAGAGAAGATCAGCATATCATCTCCACCATCGAACCTTTTCCTTCTTTCTTTTTCTCCTTCTCAACCTCCCACCAATTCTCACAACACCCCCTCCCATCCTCCAAGACCTCCAACTACCAACACCACCCAAACATCTCCAATACCACCAAAATGCCCGTCGAAGTGATCGCCAGGTACATACCTTCCCCTCGCGTTGTCCCGTCCCTCCCCCAACCCTCTCACAACCTTTTTACTCACACCCACCCAGCAAAAAAGACTTCCTCGAGAAGATCCTCGACTCCGACGCCGGCCCCATCGTCCTCGATGCCTGGGCCGAATGGTGCGGCCCCTGCAAAGCCATCGCCCCCAAAGTCGAAGAATTCAGTTATAACTACCCAGGAGCCAAATTCTACAAGGTCAACGTAGACGATGTGCCCGACGTCGCCCAGGAACTTGGCATCCGGGCCATGCCCACCTTCCTGTTCTTCAATAAGGGGGAGAAGATCACCGAGGTGGTTGGTGCGAACCCGCACGCGATCGAGATCGCCGTCCAGGCTCTCGTTGCGGCTTGAGAGGTTGGGGCTCGGATTAGGGAATGGGTCGGTGGTTTGATGCTATCCGCCGCTTGGATGTCGTGATGAGAAGCGGTGAATCATGAATGCATGAAAGAACTATTTTTTTCGCGGCCCTTTTTGGGGTGTCGTGGTCGTTTCTACGTCGGTATCAATGTAGTTTGTAATTTCTCGAGAATGGAGAGCCGCTAGGGTTAGGGACGGGGAACGAATCGTCGTCGGAAGGAGTCCCGTGCGACCGGTCACATGGTCCGCATTTTCAGCCTCGAGATTATGGACAAGCCATGCCCAAACGGCGTAGATGCCTGATTTTGAAAATTGGATTACAACTCTCGCAATCTCCGGAGCTCGGACCTGGAGCTGTGAGGCGGAGTCAAGATCCAGCTTGGATGGGTCGGTGGCCCGACCCGGGTGTGGAACAGCTTGGACGATGCGTTCCGGCACTAAGCACGGATTTATTGTGGGTTCTATGTATGTGCTGTATCCACCATGTACGTGATAGCTGTAGTGGATCTGCTTTGCACTGCCTCAAGCCCACTCTGATTTAATCCTTTACATGACTCGCGCACATAAGAAGCCTTGCTGCGCCGAGTCTACCCGGTCAAGCTTCCTTCACCGACTCTTGAGGCGAAGGCTGTGCAAAGACTAATTGAGCCTGATATACGGAGTATATTTTGTGGATTTACCACATTTACAAGGCGGAAAAGGGAGATGGTAGCTGAACAGGTGTAATTTGTGAATGCTGTCTATCTGGCCTCGTGCTCCGATGCGATCGTGATCATGAAGCCGTAGCAGCATAGCGTGTAACGACTAAAAACATAACGTCATAAACAGTGCAATCTCCCTGTGATGAGTACCGACATAAAAAGGGGAAATGGGCAAAAGAATGGGATAAAAAAGACAGGACAAGAAAAGGTGCAAAGCCCACCAGGTCTAGTCTTGGTGATATACATACAGGTACATGCATGTACAGTACAAATTCCTCCGAGGTAGCAAGGGTCCCGTGGAGGTGAGGAGGTAGGATGGCCAATCTCAAATGCCCATCCAAAGACTGGGCCAGGAACATCACCGGTGAGCCGCATGGAGAAGAGGATTTTTTGGGCTCAAAATCTTTGCAGCGGAATTAGGATGAACGATGTGCAAGAATACAGAAATCGAAGTCAGTCACAAGGCTGCCCATGACACTCAACAATGCTTCAAAGCAGAAAATCTGAAATGAAATCGCATGGTAGATGGTGGGAGTGGAAAAAGAGAAAAATCAAAAGAAAGATCAAAGAAGTAATAGGAACACAAGGGGAACATGGAAAAGAAGAGAAGACGTTTCGGAGAAAAAGATCTCAACCAATTTTTGGAATAGTCTTTTGAGTAGTCTTTGAACAGTTTTTGAACTCCATAAAAATCAACAGGGAGTTGCGGGGTATCATCGTAATAATAGCCTGCAGAGGTAATCGTATCAAAATCAGAAAGAGGGCTTCTTATCCCAGGAGGGATTAAGACCGTTGTCTCGCGAGGCTTGCGAGAAGATGACAGACAGCGAATGTCCCAAGAGGTATTGGCAGACTCGCTCAGGGTTCCAGGCAGACACGCCTGAGCGAAGTTCATCGGCCGGCACTCCCCCTGTCCAACGAGAGAGCCTGTCGAGTGAAGACCTCAAATCCGAGTCAAGCGCAAGCTCCTCTTCTTTCTCATAGAGCCCCACGTCTTGAATAGGTAGCTCCTCATTGCTGAGGGTGTCGTCGTCCAAGCTCCAACGCAGGGGTGAGCGAGATCGTGCCCTAGTATGCAGCTTCAGGTCTGTATACGGTGACTTCGGGCGGAACCCGGAAATTGCCGGGCTAGAAGGCCGAGAGGGCAATGTGAGATCAGTGCAGGAGGAGGTTCTCGAGAATATCAAGGAAGGCGGACGTGGGAGATTTGATGCACAAGGCACGGTGATGTCGGTGCCAGTTGAAGCCTGCGTATACTCCGTGCTGATAGATTCGGCGACAGATTCCGCCTCCCAGTCGGAGCCTGAGTTGTCTAGAGCGACAAGCTTGGCGTCTTCCTGCTCAATGGTGGTTTCGGCGTCAGGGCCATATACAGTAGCCTCGAGGGCTTCTTTGAAGGCAGCACAAGCCTCCTTCTTGTGCTTATCGCTCGTAGATCTGGCAGCGGTTCTGAGCCTGAACATTTTCACGACGACGTGGATGCGAGTGCGCAAGGGATGGCCGATGCCACCTCGAGGCTTCATGCCACGGGCTTCTGGCAACATCTGAAAGTCCACTTCGATCATTCTACCGGGCGCGATATCGAGCCGGCCACGAGCAAAGTACATAGCTTGAGGCCTGGTACGGCAGGGGCATCGGCACCCAGACGAAGGATTGTCCAAGGAAAGGGGGCCGATGACTTCCCGAGTGGTGATCTCCATCCCTATTGAGGTCAGTGAATCTATAGTCAGGTATCGCGGCAAGTAAGAAGTGAAATAGGGAAAGGAGGCAGATAACGGAAATTGCTTACCACCGGCAGAAATCGAGCTCGTGCCAGTGAGCGGCTTGCGGAGAGGCAGTGGCGGACCTGAGAGAAAGGATTTCGAACCTCGGAGAGGCTCCGGCGAACTTCGGAAAGGCAGGCTGACAGACCATGTACTCGAGCCTTGGGACTTGTTAGAGTCCCCTTTGCTCTTAGAGTCCATGATAGAGATCTCCATCTCAAGCTCAGACATGCCGCGCACTTGAACTTCATGCACTGCGCCGGCCATATAGGACTGGTTTCCTTGAAAGAAGCTTTGTTGTCTGTTCGTACGTGGGATCATGCCCTGAGCTGGAGCGTGCTCTTGTCGGGCTTGATTGATCTGCCAATCATATTGCTCCGTCGCGATGTAGAGTTGGGGGTTGACCGTCGTTAGGATGTCAGGCCCTGCCTGTGGGTTGAAATGAAGGGGATCCGCAAATCTCATATCCCGGTCCATGCGAAGAGATTGACTCAAAGCTAGATCTTCATGAGGGCTGTTGACGTGCACTGCTTGAGTGCGCTCCATAGGGGGGCATATATGACACCGATCTGCTGACGGTGGGCTGTCACAGCATGTAGAGCAGGAATTGAAGACGTGCCCGCACGTCTTGCAGTTGTTGACCGATGAGTGAGAGCTCGCTTGGCCTTGCAGGCCACGCAGGTCAAGTGGAGGTCGAGTGCTCTTTTTCTTGGATCGGCCCCTTTGGTTGCTACCAGAGCCAGAGGGCCGCGATTCGGACATGGGAGGGGATTCCTCTGTTGCCTGATAAGACTGTGAGCCCTTTGGTCTTCCGTCATAACTGTCGGACACCGAGCGTGCCCGAAGAATTGGCCTGGAGTCGCCATTGCTTAGCTGGTTGCCGCTTACACCAGAGAAAGAATGGTGCTGGCCTCCTCCATCGGCATTTCCAGAACGGCCGTATCCTTGCTTGTATGAAGCAGAACCGCCGTTGCCCGTGCCACGGTCGAAGGAGCCACCGTTGGAGTCATCTCGGCGACGCTTAGTAGGACGACCATGACTATCTTGTGAGTCATCGTCAACCGACGGTGGCTCGCACTTGCAGTGTTCCATAAAACACTGATAGAAATCATCCCAATCATAAACGGTTCGCGAACAGATGCAAACGGTCTCACAGGGAAGTAACACTTTGCGGTCTTTGATGATATCATCTGAGGGAAACTCCTTGTGGTGATTTTTATAATGTTCCCGGATCTTATCCTTCCGACGGGGGCGGGTTGCAAGACTGGTACAGCAGTTGTTGTCGTGATGGCAGTAAAACTCCCAGCGCGGGTAATGCTGCACTTCAACGTGTCTTTTGAAGGTGGCTTTGTTGCTGCCTTCGAAGCCGCAATTATCAGCTTGACAGCGATAATATTGCTTCTTTTTGCTGTCTGGGGGCGGCATTTGCCTGCGCCAGACGGAATCGAGGTACTTTGTAATCTCGCCACGGATGCTGCCCAGACCCAGCACGCTCGGAGACGAGCTTTGAGGGTTCGGGTTTCGGGCAATTACCCGCCTGACGGTATCTATGATAGAGGAAAGGTCCTCGGTGTCGTCAACTCCCTGACCCGGAACGCCCATGCCAGGTCGTGTGGACATCCTCTGTGAGGCGTGTCTCGGTGGAACCTGATTTGCAGTTGCAGCAACGACATGCTCGGCGTTCCCATCATGAAGATCCTTGAGATTCTCAGGCAGGTACAGCAGATGCTGAGGGATCTCTTGAGTGGGATACATCGGACCAATACCCTGCAACGGGTCGAATTGGGAATGCAGGTCGCCTGCCACTTGCTCCACGTGGTTGAAGGGCTGATGCTGTGCATTAGATACAGTATCAGGTATGCCTTCACTGGATGAACCGGACACGGATGTCCGCTCTGTAAAGCCCGGTGGGGCAGGATCACTCCAGATCTCCGAGGCTTGAGAGGAATATGGAGGCTGCCGTGGTAAAAAGAAACATTAGTCTTCAATCATGATTCGGGCTATGAAATGACTGCTCGATGGGACTCACAGTGTGTTGGCCACTGACTGTACCAGGAGGCAGGCTGTTAGGGTGATGCCGTTGCGTCATAGTGGGATGAGAGGTAGCACCAGGGGCAGACCACATAAACTGGAAGGTGTGATCTTCCGCTTGCTCAGGCAGGGCCGTGAAATAATACGAGGGGCTCATCTCTGGGAGAAGTCCAGGATGCCATGGTTGGGACATGGTGTTAGAAGTGTATAACAAGACCCGACCGGAAGGGAAGGTCGGGAAGGGAAGAGACCCTAGAGGAGGAAAAGAAGAGAGCAAAGAAGAGGAAGACCGGAGGTAATCAGACAGACAGCGAAGGGGGGCTTTATAGTACACGAGACTCAAGGCCAGGGAGCTAGGTCCCAAGCCCAAGTACTGCACAATCCCAAAACGAGAGGGTGGTAGGGTTCCAGGGTTGAAGGGTTGAGGGGTTCAAGAGAAGGAGGAGGTTGTGATGTATGGAGCCAGTAAAAAATTGCAAACGGTGCAACGGTGCAACGGTACAACGGAGACAAAGTATAACGATTGAGGGAGGGGGGATCAGAAAGGTGGGGAATGAGGATGACCGCGGAGAAGTACGAAACAGTGTGAGGTCTTCGGAAGAAAGGAGAGATGGGACTAAAAGGAGTTTATTCTTTGTGTCGGGCCGATGGAGGGAAAAAAGAATAATCAGGAAATCCAGTAATGGTCAAAGGATGAAACGGAGAGCATGAAGAATAATGGAGGGAAAGAACTATGGGGTTTGTTGCTTGTATTATACCGGACAAGCAGAAAGAAGGGTGGAGCAAGAAAGAGCACCGAGTCCGGGCAAGTTGAAATTGCATACCACCCAGAAAAGGCAGCGACGCTAATTATGTTACGAGTAATTAGCAATACCCGGGGTTGTGTACGACAGTGATCAACCAAACGGAGGATGCAGGAGCATTACTGTTCTCGTAATGGGATCTATGGAGTCGAGGTGCACACGGCCAAGCAGAAGAATCCCCCTCAAAACCAATGACGATGGAGTCATGGTATCCACGGGCATACATCATTTGCCGGAGACAAAAATCAGGCGCGCAACGAAAGGGAGCCCCGAAACACACGTTCAACCCTGCTACGCCTTTGTAACGCCCTGGGATCTTGACTGGACCAACGCACTCTCCGGCCGCTGCGCCTCTCTCTGTTACTCTGTCTACCCGATGACAGAGCCGTCAGATCGTCGCCCAAACCATACACGAGGCATCGAGCCAACAACTGTGGAACGTGATGGCTTTCTCCATTTTTTTCCCTTGCGTCTTTCTTCCTAGACAACATATCACCAGTCCGTCACCTTCCACATCCGTCTATAGATCCGATCATGGATTTGCAATTTCATTGAATTTGGGAGAAAACGCAATACCACGCGCATCCAGTTCGTGAGCGTGCATGCTGAGCTGGTCAGCTTCGGGGAGATATTCCAGGGAGGGACAGAATTCACCTCTCTCTGGGTACCGGTCCGAAGAGGCCGCTGATGGACTACGGCGCAACGACTTTCATCGGGGTGCTTGCTCCGAGAGCGCTTCAGAGGGGTCAGTGATCCAGGGGCACGTATGACCGTGCCAGAGTGGTTCGTACAGGGACGGACTCTGATGGAGCTACTGCACTGATCTGAGCCACCAAAAAGCAAGCGACCCGAACAGCCGCGCGATCTCTCCTCCACAAAGCAGGGGAAGGTTCACATGCTCGACCTCATTATTCTCCATGGAACCAATTCTCTCGAAATTGCGGGCGTCCGGCAGAGGCGCAAGCTGTCATATGAGCTGGGACCCATAGACAGCGCAATCATTCGCTAATTCAGAAAAAAAACCCTCGGATGAAGGTGAAGGTGCTACTCAGGGAACACGCCAGCCCCGTTTGCCCTACCGTCAAACCCACCAACGGTGATCGTTGTTGGAGGCGTCATGACACGGCGTCATAACACGGGGCCGAAGCGACACCCCAGTCCAATGCTGGCCTCACTGGAGGATGCGCTCACCAGTGGGACCATAATCACCACTCAGAAAGAAGCAATGCGTCGCCGGGGCCAGCATCGTCAACTGCCGCCAGATGGTTCCCGCATCCGAGTCGGCCGTAACTGCTTTTGGGGGGCCGTCGCCGCTGAGAAGGGAAGGCTTCCCTTCGCGACCCTGTCCGATGCGAAGCGACTCCCTGCCGATCACCCTGAGCCAATAGAAACGGGGGCACGTCCATGACATCAGCTACGGCCACGGTAGGGGTACCGATAACCATGCGGCTACCTAGCTCCGGTTTCTTCCCCCCTGGTAAAAGTCCAGGGTCTGACAAGATGGAGATATGGAGGATGCGACCGGCCCGATCGCCATTTCTGTGTCACGCCAAAGATCTGGTCCTCCCCATTACCATCTGAACTGCTGCAAGCGCCTGGAGAACAATCCCCCCGTACCTGCACCGTGGCTAGGATCTAGGTACTACGGAGTACGTTATCTATGCACGCGCCCGTCGGCGCCCGACTCAGTATGGAATATTCGAAAATTCCACGCGGAACATCCAACTCCAATGCCCCCAACCGTATCGGCAGACCCAAGGCGTGGCCGGGGAATATGGAAATGACACGCGGGCGCATCCCTTGCGCCCAAGTCCAATGGGCAAGGTCTTCATCGGGGCAAAGCAAGCGGGGCGGGAAACTCATGATGGGCGGATGGATATTCCCGAGGGCGAGAGATAGGGAATTGCAGGGCAGAGCAGGTTGGAGCAGGGCCGATCGCAAACGGTGAGGCGATAGTCCGAATGATCAATCCTGGCAAATGTGGAGGAATCGCAGAGCGAAAAAAAGCGGGGGAGAATAACTTTCACCTCCTCCAGCCTTCAGCCTCCTTTTTTTTCTCCTCTCCTCGACCCCCAATTCTACTCTGTACAGTTGATCCCCGGATTCCATGTCGTACACCGGGCATCCTAAATGGGACACGCCAGACGATTTGACACCCGAACGTATCGGCGTTTCTCATGCGAGCCCGGACGTTGCGGCAACGATGCGAGTCGACAATTACGGTGGACGATCCGGAAAAAGCATCCATCGCATTCCCCGCAGCCAGTGGCACATTCGTAGAGAAAAAAAAAGCTAACTCGGAGATAGCTTGCCAGCCCTCTTGAACCCGCTCGTGCTCGCCGTAGGGCGTTTTGTGGTAGAACCAATCGCTTTGCAGGATTGACCGTTGGCAATCCATTCGTAAAAACTGGGCTGACACGAGGCCGCGAGGTGAGACGGATCGGCACTCCACGGGCCTCCAAGAGGCTTAAAATCTTGGCTTGGTGCGGCGAGAAGGACGCGGAGGAGGCGGTGGGTATTGTGTGCGGACTATGGACGACCGGCTCGCGATCGGATATGATGATCAACGTTGGCATATTAGACATGCATACACCTGACGCTGGAAAAAGGGGGGGCGGTCACCGTACGCGTGGTCGGAGTCTCGGTTCCAGCAGGACGCATGAAGGTATCAGAATTCTCCGTGTACGTACTTATCGAGGGGATTACTAGATACTGGACGGTGAGGATAAAAAGCGTTACCTAGCTAGCTATACGAGGAAACGAAAATTTCCATCCCCATGTTTTCGCCTTTCTTTTTTTTTGACTTCTGGGGGTCAGCTAGCAGTGGCCCTGTAGGGAGAAGAAAAAGGAAAGAGAGACGCATACAAGGAAAAAGTTGAAGCCCCAAAAAGTAAATTTACGCCGATAGGGAAAAGTTTATGAAAAAATAAAAATAGCAGCGAAAAAAGAAACCCAAGACCGAGTTCCCTAACTGGAAGGGAATGCCTGCACGATCGATCCCTCGTCCAAGCTTCCACGAATTTTTTTTTCTATATCGTCTTATCTTCACAAGTAGTTATACTCCGTACAAAGTAAACAAAAAGTATACACTAGCAAAGTTCCACTACGGTGCCTACCCGGCCACGACCCACCGAAAAATCCCTGAGACCGTGGGTCTTCCACGATCCAAAGTATGGCACCGAAACCTTGGGCCAACGACCCATCCCACGCCAATGTAGCAGGAATGCACATCAGACTACATTGAGAGCCATACTAATCATATACTAATCATATATTACCCGTTATCCCGAGAAAGATAGGACGATTCAAAGTCCAGCAGCGATCATAAACGATGGCCAAGGCAGAAAAGGCCAGAAATGGTAATGAGCAAATCAAACCGAACGAAAAGATCAGCTGATGGCTGATCGGAGCACGTACCAAGACTGACGGGGTCCATTTATAAAAATATAAAATAAAAAATAAAAATAAAATAATGAAACGCCCAACCCAACCCCTCCGAATTCAATGCCTAACACTGCATGAAAAAAGACAATTTTCTTATTGTCAATCAGAGTGAGTAATTGCGAGTCAAGAGGCTATCTGCAAAGCCTGCGTATTGCATGCTGCACTTGATGGCATCTCAGTCCTTGATTGGCTCTTATCTCTACACTCCCCTGGCGAGGAGGGGGAAGGGGGGACATTGAAGCTCGTCCCCCTCCCGCCAGGGATGGCCACGCGAGAACCAGAAGTCAAAAAAAATCTAATAAATGGATGGGAAATTTCGTAAATATGACATGATAAAGTCTGAAGACGTTGGAAATTTTTTTTCTTTTCTGCAAGTCAGATGAGGAGGGGCAGGGTGAAGGGGGGGCCAAAATAAATTACAAAGAAGAGGAGCAAGGCCAGGAAAGGTAATCGGCCAGTCCCTGTGCATGATTTGCGGGAGTGGGGTTGAGAGGGTTTCTTGGGGCCTGTTCATTCTTGCAGCTTTGGCTCAAAGTGACGGGCTGCATTTTGCATTAGGAGATAATTTTAAGTGTCCTCGAATATTTTTTTTTCCATCGTCTTGTGGCGGATCTTCCGTCCTGGTTTGCGAACATGAGACTTTTCTCCTAATCTCCACCCCCTACACGTTGGCTGAATAGGCTGGCAGTCTTTGCAAGAAGGGGGATTGGATCCTCCATTCCTCTTTATGCGGGTCTAGGATATTGATTTGATTTGATTTTGATTATGGTATTTTTTTTTCTTATCGTTTACATTTTCCTTCCTTCGCAATTTGATTGTGTGGTCTCGGTTGTGTTACGGCATGATATTATGCCTTGTCTTGACAGAGATTTCACGGATGATGCCATTCCCGAGTCCGAAGAGGTCTGAGCGTGCAATAATGGCTCGTCTTTTCTCGGTATTTTGAGTGAACTCCTTACCGCTGGGAGGGTTGGGCTAGCATTGGCAGGTAGCGTGTAGCCGCTTCGGAATATTGGAGATTTTTTTTTTCTTTTCCCAGGTTCCAGTTTTCGATAGCAGGGCCCAAATCCTACGGGGGAGGCTGAGGGAGATTGCATCATCTTGAGAACACTTGGAAAAAGACAATTGTAATTGCAATGCATAAATTCACGGTATATGTTGTACGTCTATGTAGGAGTGGGGGGATAATACAATAAAGAAGATGTAGAAACACAAAGGTCACAAAGAAAAGAATCACAAAGGAGATAATCACAAAGAATAAGAACCACAAGTGAAAAGAATCAAAGACAAAAGCAAATACCAAGACATTCAAGACTCCCCAGAGCCATGTGGATTCCCAATGTCTTCAAACTCCAGCTTCTGTCGGCAGGGCGGACGGCAAGGCCCAACCCCGGCAGCTGTTGTCGAAGTAGCTCCAAAAACGAATGAATGCCATGTCTCCACATTCGCGCCGGCATGGCATATTTCTCGGCAAGAAGCCTCAACGCCGCACTTGCAGAGGGATGTTGAGATGCAAGAAAAAAGTCGTGGTGCTCATGAAGGAATGTTCGGTGTAGAGGTATCAGTGCTTGCCATTGGGTGCCTGGAAATTCTGGCGTCGACCTCAATACACTTCTTTTCCACCATGACCAGACCGGCGTAAATCCCGCTTACCTCGGTGATCAATTGATCTTCCATGATCGTGTATCAAACTGCTTCAACATCGGTGGTTTAGCACTTTTGGTGTACGCCTTGCGTGTATGCAGATTCTCCATTCCCAAAACACCAATCCCAGTCACCAGGTAACCAAAAAGAAATCAAAGTCCAGAATCCAGAATTCAAAATCCAAGATCCGAGTAATCAAGTCCGACCGTTCCGAAACCCCTCGAGCGCCCATTTCGTATTGTCACATCACGTCAAAGTTGCTCTCAGTATAGAACAAAAAGAAAAAAGAGCCATCGCAGCGACAAACACTTGAGCACCTGCACGGTAGGTGCAGAGATTCGAAGCGTAGCCGAAGCTACGTCGATCTCCTGGACTTGGAGGCGCTGAGGGGGGGCCATGACGGTGAGTTGCTCCCTTTCTCCCTAAGAGCGGAGAGGGAAGGGAGAGGGGAGCTTTTGGTCGAGCCAAGCTTGGGTTTGATATCGGCAAAGGAGAGCTGGTCTGGGAATCCGGTGGTCTTGATACCACTGAACTGCGAGCCAAATTCGAGGAGATCAGGGTTCCTATGGAGAAGAGTGTGGTTAGGGTATTGGTAAAGTGGAATAAAGGTGAAGAGATGTGAAGAGATGTGAGAGGTACGGGATTCACAGGACTTTGAAGCTTAGGAAGGAAGTGAAAATAGTGGAAGTGGTGTAGGTGGTAATGTAGGTAGAAGGGGACATGAACGTGGAGGTGGACAAGGGATCAATGACGGTGGTATTCCACAGCAACGCAACACGGATAGAAAGACAAGTGTGTATACTGTATGCTTGCCGCGGAGGGGAACTGGAGCTAGCTTACTTGGAGCTCATCTTCGTAATAGGTAAGGTGTTGGTGAGGAATGAATAGATGCCGGTGGATAGCAGCGGTCTATGTAGGAGGGATTAGTTAGATAGGGTAAGGGGAAAGGGGAGACGGTCATCAATGACCTCAACCCGGGGGGAAAATCGCATACAATAGGCTTCAAAGGGTACAAGGAGGATTGTGGCGGGATAACAGCTTCCCGCCGCAGCGCCGGCGAGAGACCTTATATCCTCGTCCTCAACACGGTCAAGTCAATCGTAGGCTACCATAGTGATACCCGGGTTCAAGGGGGTGAATCACAGAGGGTATGAAACTAAGAGGGTTGATAGACGTAGAAAGGGTGACCTCATCGTAGGTTGAGCTTCGCTGCGATCCTAAAGGATCCGCGCAGGGTGCAAGCCTAGGATCCATCGCGGCGGATCTTCTGGAAGCTGGCTGGGAAAAGTAAGGTACCGTTAGCGCGAAAGAGAAAAAAAAAAAAAAAAAATGAAAAAATGATTAATAAATCAGAATAACCAAGGGTAAAAGAACAGGGTGAACGAGGTGAGAGGGTGACGGAAAACGGTGAGTTGAGGGAGAGGGAGAATGACAGAAGACTCCAAGCGGGGCGGGGGAGGGGGCAATCAGCACAAGTCACAATTGGTTCTTCGCTCTACCCCTCAGATGTGATCATCAACTGCAGAGTTGCAATACCCGTATAGTCAATACGGACTAGAAAAACGATGCCCGCCACAAGCGGGAAAACGTAGAGTAGCTATGGAACTGTCGCCAGTGTGGCCTTGGCCGTGGTATCGTGCTATAACCCGCTCTGCTTGGAATCACCATGGGCTGTCGAATCTAACAATCTCGACGTTCTACATCAAACCACATTGTTGCCGGACTCTGCAGTTGCCATCGCATACGTCGACGGGACCTTACAGGTGCGGCACATCGGGACTCTTGACATCTGTCGAACATCGGTGTGTCGTCGATCCAATCTTCGCTTCCGTGGAGAACAAAACGGGTCCCAATGCGGCAATAACTGTATTCGAAGAAATTCAAAAATTGCAAAATGCAAAAATGGGGTTTGAAAAGAAGGTTCCCACTGAATCTTGCTTCCACCTTCCCCTGCTAGGGTGTTTCGGCACTTCATAGTTAAAATATGGATACCGCGCCTCTAGTGTAATCAAACCCGAAGTATACAGGACATTTACGGATATCTGACCGTTGTGAGGAAAGCGATCGTCTCTTCCTCCCACGGAGCAGTGACTAGAGTCGAAATTTCTCCATGGTTGCCTAATCGCCTCAGGATGGGCAAAAGCCACAGATGGCTGGTGTAATGATCACGTCGGCTGGGTCTCGTCAACAATCGCCCAGGATGATCGCCCGGGGAGCGCCCGTAAACCCACCTATCGCTCTCTCCAGTCGAATCATTGCCATCATAGGCGAAATCCAAAATCCTCTACGATCTGGGCAGATTCACCTTCCCACCCAGATGGGGCTAATGGTCTCCAAACTACGCAAGTGGTCCACCGAGGCCAGGGTCACGAACCGGGACCTGAGCCCGAGTAGTCCGAGAAGAACGGCGCTCCCTCGCCTCCTCGGTATCGTGGATGCGCACGTTCCAAGACGGGCAAACTATTCCAAGGGTTCCCACCCAACTTCGATATTTTTCTATGCAATCCTTGCCCAACACTCCAGCCAACGATGTTCCGTCATTGCCAAAATATGAAACACCCATACACCGAGCCAAGGGGGAGTGCTTTACGCCGAGGACTTGACTCACACCTTTTGCGAGCAATCAAGACGGTCCACGTCGCCGCGGCGGAGTCAAGGACCCGGTGCACAGGTAACTATTCAGGGAATCGCGCTTATCTACGCTAATGCCAGGGGGGGGGAGAAATTGAGGTCATCTAAGCATCAACCATCAGATTCACGATGGACTCGATCCATCCAGATACCGGATCCAGATGCATGCAGCAATTAGCTTCAGGGCATGAATAATCGAGGATGGGTTGTGCCTGGAGAAATGCACGGACTTGTCAGAAGAAATTATCCTCACCACGGATTACACCTTGTAGCTCCATCCCAGAATGTGCGTGCTGTAAGAATGGTAATCCAACGTGCCAAGGGTACCGGAGCTAGATCGTCTCCACTAGTGGGCCTGGGTTCTGGATGGAGTACCTGTATGTACCTGGGGTCCCCAGCTAGCATCCTCAAGACTCTAAGGAGAGGTTCATACTAGCGGTGCCAGGATGTTGCTTTTTTTTCCTCATTATTTCCACTTGCAGAAGTCCGCCGGTTTCAATAGAGTAATAATAATTCGCTAGTCGTCATAGGCCATCGGGTGGTCGAGGTCAAAGCCAGGGCTCATAACGTCTTACGTCAGGATCGTACGTGCCCCTCTCTCGTGGGTGGAAAGAAAAAGGCAAGAGAAAAAAAAAGTCCGACGGTTCCTACCAAAAGCGATCCCGCGGTAATTTGCGAAATTGGGTTAACTCGAAAGAAAAGAAAAGCTAGACTGGTCCAATTCACGTAGTTATACTGTACTACCAACAATTCAACCCGGCCACCAGCAAGGCAGACCGCCAAGTGTGGCGGTGTGGCGGTGTCTCTGCCCGAGGCAGAGACAGTAGTGGCTGATACCCAAACTCCAACCCTTCTCTTTCTCGACTCTTGCATCAACAATAGCAGACTCACCGCTGCACCACGCCTCTATTTGCTGCCTAGTTGATCTTCAACTATTTTATTTTCTGAGACCTCGCCCTTCTGTCTAGACCTCAACCCGTTGTAGGAATCCAATCACCAGCACGAATGTAAAATAGCGCCCTTTTTTTGCGCCCAACTCGTTGAAATATATGTTTGCTTTTCTCATCGCCAAACTTAGCCCTCCCCCCACCACACACCTTCCAACATGCGAGCACATACCCTGAACGTTCTGGAAAGAAAGCCTTGACCATCCCTCCAGGGCATGGTCTGTATATGTTCGAGACTTATACCCGAGAATAAAAAGAAAAACAAAAAATAAAACAAAACGCCGCATGAACTCAAATTCATGGAGACGGAGAACTAGCCTAGCACCATCTAAAACAGTAGTGAATGCGTAACATTATTATTATCTGACCTTAGAAGCCCATCACAGCCCGATGCACCGGCCGAAACACCTGCTGAATATTCCCGTCAAGAGGCGATCGGATGAAATTTCCACGGTGACAGGGCACTACACGCAGAACGAGACACTGACATCCGGCTTCGGGAAATTCCCTGGCCAAACCTAGTATCCGTGCTGAATGCACCAGACAACTCATTACCCAGTTTTTGTCTATACTACAAAGCTGGGATTGGCATGGCTGCTTACTTGACCTGGGGGGCGAATATATCCATCCACCTCGGCTATTGTTCGAAAAAAACACTACGTTTACTATTTGCGATGAGAGTCAATTTGAGTTGTTGAGCGGGCTGCGAGACAATCTGCGGCGCGGTCAGACGGGTTCGCAGCTTTGGCAACCCCGGTTATCATCCTCGGCTCGCACAGTAGGAATGTAGATTATTTTGTTAGATTTTCAAGGAAATTAATGTGGATGCTGATAGTCACGGAGATTAACGTAAAGTGTCCGAGATGTGTTCTTGATGATCCTTTGATGATCCTTGCCAGTTGCCTTCCCCCAACACTAATACTGTATTACAATTTAAAAATCAATACGAGATATTCTCGTTCAAGTCTTGTCGCCTCCATGAATATTCCCTTCCCCATCCTTGTCTGAGCCTCTAGGAATGAGCCTAAGGAAATTAGTGTACGCTGTTAGCGTCGCCTCTTCTCCACACGATGCGCTGGTGATCAATGGATCATCCACTGCCTTGAGGTAATTCTCTCAATCCTGTGAATCCCATACGTTCACGGCGTGCACCACAATTTCATCATCGTAATCCTCGGACTCCTCGGCCATCCCGCCCGATCCCAACCATGATGTATCGCGTTAAAATGGGAGAAATCACTCATCCAACCCCACACACACCCGGGGGAGAAACGCCGAGGGGGGTTTGCGATAATTTGAAGAGGATCAGACCTCCGTCAATTACCCTCCTCTAGGTGTAGTACGTCTCCCGGGTTTCTCGGAGCCCTACCTACCAGAAGCAGTAGGTCATACTCCCTGACTCGGTACACGCTTCACCGTCAAAGTCTCCGGTGCTTCGCGATGAGGATGGATTGTGGCGCAATGGCCGATCGCTTAGGTGGCTGGCCACGGCCAGCTAAGGTTGCAAGGCGCTTCTGTGAATATTCAATGAGGCATTGTATTCCATCATACTACTATAGCGTACTTCTTTCTTTTACTCTGCAGATGCGAGTGCGAGGCGCTGCAGGGGGTGGAGTGGCTGAGGCTGTGAGGTTGTGCGCGATAGGCTACTCTCTGTACAATGTACTTGGACTGTGATTCTATCCAATGCCCAAGGCGCTTTTTAGGCATTCGCTGGACGGTGTGCTCCCCCCGTAGGTCATCCAGGATGGATGGACGAGGTGACGGAGTCTGAAGGGAAGAGAATCGCCCTCGTTCTAGAACGGGTCGTTCATCACTGCCATTTCTTTTTCGCCGTCTTGTTGGCAGATCCTCCGTAGCGCTAGCCGAGAATATTCGATGTAGCGGTCTGGTCGAGTCCTCGTTTACCCTTGGGGCGCGCCTCGAGTCTGGAGTCTAGACCCTTTGGCTCCTCTTTGGCTTCGATTTTGCACAATGGTGTGCATTGACGTGGTGCTCGTGAAGGAGCTAAGTATTCGCATGAAGTCATGCGTATCGGTCGCCTGAGCTCTATCGCGGACATGTGAGGATCTTCGGGCACTTGGGGGGTTTGTCGATCAGGTTCCCACGAGGGCCAGACTGATCTAGAGCGAACTCTCATTATCCTATCCTTGACTTAATATATTGTACAGATTACAATCCGCCGCAAATACTAGCCAGGGCCAGGCCCAGTCCTAGAAGTAGTACCTGGTAGATAATATTACTACGGGCACGATTCCGCTCTTGCTGGTAAGCCTAGACCCAAGGGCCTATAGGACCAGCCTCATCAACACTAAGAATAAATCATGAACTCGGGAAATTTTTGATTTTGTTTCATTCAGGGGAATCTATGCAGAGGCTCGAGATTGTGCCAGGGCAATCGGAAACCCTTCACGCGTCGTCTCATGCAGCCAGAACGGTCCACCTTTCCACCCGACAACTCTCGAATAAGAAAGACGGCCAGAGTAAAAACCCAGTTTTGTAAAAAGAACAACACCAAACCCAGTAAAACCTCAAACGACGGGAGAGCCGCTTAGATGTGGGTGTCGTAGGCGATGGGAACGACGGTCTCGGGGGCGTTGCCGGCGGAGGAGACGAGGTGGCCGGAACGGGGGCCAACGGCCTGGCGCTTCAGGTGAACGTGGACACCCTTCTCCTTGGCCTCGCGCTTCTTGATGGCGTTCTCCTTGACGCGGTTGATGAACTCCTCGCGGGAGCGGGAGTGCTGGACGTGCTCAACGCGGACGTTGATGCGCTTCTCGAGGTAGCGGTTGTTGACGCGCTTGTACAGGAGGACACCGACGGAGGACTTGGTAACGTTGTAGACGACACCGGTCTTACCGTGGTAGACCTTGTGGGGCATACTATTGGGAAGAAGGCGTTCAGTCAATATTTCTGAGGTATCGCAAAATTGGTGTGAAGACGAGTGTCGAAGAGAGCAAAGAGGGATATTCTGGGTGGCTTTGCAGGGAAAATTCGAAATGTACTGACCCCTTCTGGACGGCACCGTTAACCTTCAGGTCGACAATATCACCGACACTGTAAATTGAGAAAATTCGTTAGTTCCATGCCCTTATGTTTCGACTTTCAATATTCCGTCATTGGCAAGGATTCGATCATACCGGTAGGTCTTCATGTAAGTGGACAGGCGGATCATGCCATGTTCCTTGAAGTTACGGGCGAAGGCATACTATTATTCCATCTCGTCAGTATGCTTGTGTCTCCTTCTCTCTCGCTTCGTAAATCCAGCTCTCGTCTCGTCCACCACCGAGATGTTGTCGAGCAAAGGTTCGTGTGACGGGGAAAATCGAAGAGCGAGGAATCGTAGACGTACCCGAGTGCCGGCGCGCAGACCGTACGAGTGAGGCATGACGGCGGTGTTGTGGTTTGGGCGTGTTGAAAAGTGTCGACAACGGCTACCTTCTTCAAAGCCGTGAAAGTTGAACCGGTGGAGATTGTGGAAGTGTTGCGCAATCACGTGAGTAGGGCATAGCCCCGACCACTTCGATCAGGCTACCCCTTTGGGACTAGTGCATTTAAGCGAACGATTTCGAACTCGCTCTGACATCTGAGTGCGATCTTCCTCGAAAGTGTGCATTCGACAATCCCGCCAACCCAGGACACCCAGCAGCAATGGCTCCCGCTCCGTGAGTGACAACGACCTCAATGATCAATGTCGCATTATTCTAATCGATTTGTTTTATAGCCGTGTCTACTCCAAGACCTACAAGGTCCCCCGTCGCCCCTTCGAGTCGGCCCGTCTGTTAGTACTCTCCGGCCACTGATTAGAAGCGTGCTTCTAGTTATGTCGTGTGTTCCATATTAATTCACTGTTCATAGTGACTCGGAGCTGAAGATTGTCGGCGAGTACGGCCTGCGCAACAAGCGTGAGGTGTGGCGTGTCCAGCTTACCCTGTCCAAGATTCGTCGTGCTGCTCGGTATGTTGATACAAAAAAATTCGAGATTGAAGGACTGAGAACGGGCGCATTGAGCCATGGTCCTTCGGGTGAAGAAAGAATTAGGCTAACCTCTTCTCTCCCATCTTTTCCACAGTGAGCTCCTCACTCTCGACGAGAAGGACCCCAAGCGTCTGTTCGAGGGCAATGCTCTGATTCGCCGTCTCGTGCGCATCGGTGTGCTCGATGAGACCCGCATGAAGCTCGATTACGTCCTGGCCCTCAAGGTCGAGGACTTCCTGGAGCGCCGTCTCCAGACCTGCGTGTACAAGCTCGGCCTCGCCAAGTCCATCCACCACGCCCGTGTCCTGATCAAGCAGCGTCACATCCGCGTCGGCAAGCAGATCGTCAACGTCCCCTCGTTCATGGTCCGCCTCGACTCCCAGAAGCACATCGACTTCGCCCTCACCTCGCCCTTCGGTGGCGGCCGCCCCGGCCGTGTTCGCCGCAAGAAGGCCGCTGCCGCCGCCGGTGGTGACGGTGACGCCGAGGAGGAGGATGAGGAGTAAATTACTCGCTACCACAAAAAGTAAATTGGGAGTACGGTCGGGTTTCGCTTTGGGCAGCTCAAACACTCTGGGAGGTTCATGGCGACTGCAGCATAAAGCGTTTCATGTTGTATGATCATGCAAAACAAAATGAATCTATCAAACAGCCTAATTGGCTTCAATTCGGAACCCGAATCTCTTGGTGCATTCGTATTATCTCTCTGGGCTCGGCCTTTTACCGCTGTAGACAGTATGTAAAATAATGTAATTCCAATATAATTCCCTAACGCCATTCCCCACCCCCACGGTTTCACCTGTCATGTTAATCATTGCCAGAGGCGAGAGCAGCATCTAACTCCAGTAGCGCCTTGTCTCTAAACACCAACTATTTGTTTCAATGTCTCTTCCGCACCTCTGTACCAGCGACCCATTTCCTCGAGCCCATCGCTCTCACCCTGCTGCTTCTTGCGCTGGGCCTCGCGCGCCTGTGTAACCGCCTCGACCTTCCGTCGCTCAAGCACAGAGCACTCCCGCTCAATGGCCTCGGCTTCCCGAGTTTTGCGAGGCAGGGTATTTTGGACGGCAAGGATTTGGCGGTTCAGCGCGGCCAGTTCGGCCTCCCGTTCCGATAGTAGGGCCATGGTAGCCGGAAGTGGTAGATTTTGGGAGGATCGAGGGTCGGAGGATGTCATACTGGCGACCTGTTTCGCGCGCAGGCCCGCGATTGTGGACTCGAGGTTCTCGATTGAGTCGGGGAGAGTCGAGAGCTGTGTCATTTGGACCTCGACATTCTTGTAGCCTGTCATAGATGCGATTGACGTTAGCCAAAGGAATGGGATTCTTATTTCGGTAGGCGCGACTCACGGCGTGCCAATTCTCGACTCATTGTCTCCATTTCCTCGATCATGAGACGGGCCTCTTCCTTTCGCGACTTGAGCTCGGCTTTTACCTCTGCCAGCTGGGTCTCCAATTCCACATTCTCATTGTGTCCGACGACGAGGGGTGGATCACCCACGATTGCGCGGAGGAATTTTTCCTTGGTCACTTGCTCGAGGTAGGAGAATCGTAGTTTGGAGAATAGTTCCTACTTGGTGGAAACGACGGAGAGGGTCAGCCATTGTAAACACGCCATGTGAGTGGACAGTTCGTCTCATACCTTGTAGTGAGTGAGATCTGCCTCGAGCGAGGCAGGCGTTGGATCGTTCAAATTGGATATAGAGACATCGGAGCCACGCTTCGAGGGAGACGGATTGGAACCGCCGACATCAGAAATGGGCTCGCTGATTCGAATGATCGCGAGCTTCTTCTTCAGGTCGCCTTGTTCTTGCTCGAGCTGCTGAAGCACAGCATATGGGTCAGTCGTTTCTGCCATTCCAGGCAGTCAGTTATAGCTTAGCGTAGTTATTTCGAGAATTAGGTGTGTTCGCGAAGAGAATATGGTCGACACAGTGCGCGCCGCCAGTTTAAGGCGCGGGTCGGTAAATAACTATCGCGACTGATAACAGCGGGGGGCAAAGGCGGTCAACGACGATAGGCGCAATATTGGAAGGAGCTAGAGAGTCGCCTTCCCTTACTGCTACTTTCGATTGGGAGGTATTTTTGTGGCTTTCTTAGAATGGAATGAGGTTTTCAAGTTCATCCCTCTTCCACCTCTAATACCAGTCATCACAGACATATAAACCCACATCGGCATGTGAAGACTGGACAATCATGGACGACGACTACGTTGCGGAGGTCCTCGCCCGCGAGGCGCGAGATAGCTCTCAGAGGTATCAAACGGATGGACTCGGCGCATATATGCCACGAAGGTTTGATTTCACTCTGGATCAAGTCTCTCTAATGTCCGAGTCACAAACTGACCTGATTCTGCCACTAGACCTGCTGGCATTGCTCCCAAACCAAACACTAGATTCCTGCGCCACCTCATCAAAGAGACCGATAGTCACAATACAGCCCTCAAGCGCAAGGAGGAGAGAGAGGCAAGGGATCGTCTCCGCCATCTGAGGACCCAACCTCAAGATGACCGGACCTCGGAACGTTCTCCTTCCACCCGAAAACATCACCCTCAATCCAGTTCGTCGGACCTCACAAGAGGTCAGAGAGAGGAGCGCCGGGATCGTCCGAAACGAGGCGAACGTGAGAGTCAACATTCTCAGCGAAAACACCGGGCTCGGGACTCATCCGCCGAGAGAGATCGATCACGACGTCATCGCCACCGAGATGAGTCGCGCGACCGATCCTCGAGAGATCACCGAGACCGTCGAGACGATCGGGACACTGAGCGTCGTCGGAAGCGTCGTTCGGGCCGTGACAGGTCCCATTCACCCTCACGAAGCCAATCCCCCCGGCGGGACAGGAGCTCTGAACGCCATCGCAAGCACCGCCACCGATCAGAGTCCCGAACAGACAAACCGTCGTCACACTCACGGCGGACACGAACAGAGCGATCTGACGGTGCCGAACGTGACCGCCGTCAGCCCCCTCAGAAATCCCATTCGCATTCGACTCGAACGTCAACCGATCCGCGCGATAAGACACAAGACTCGCCCTCGAACGGAGCCAGGGCTTCCACAGCGCTACGGCGCGATCACTCCGATGGTGATTCGGATCCTCTGGAAGATCTCGTTGGTCCGTTGCCTCCCCAAAAAGACGGTGAGGGTGCTGTCCCTCTTCGTTCGCGTGGCCGAGGTGCATACAAACCTAGCGCCAGCAATATCGATGCCCACTTTGCTCCAAACTACGATCCTACACTTGACGTTCAGTCTGATGACGATCGGATTTCGTCTGTAGACAATTCTTCCCGTCGCCCGGTTGCGGGTCTCATGACTGCGGATGACGATTGGGACATGGCCCTCGAGGCACTGCGCGACCGACAGCGGTGGAAGCAGAAAGGAGAAGAGAGACTACGCGCTGCAGGATGGAACGAGGAGACCATTGATCGGTGGAAGAATAATCCTGCATTCACAGGGGCAACCAGCACCGAAAGTAACCCGGAGAATGTACGGTGGGCAAAGAAGGGTGAGGGCCGTGAGTGGGATCGGGGGAAGGTGATAGGTGAAGATGGGCATATAGATGTCCGAGCTGCCTGGTGATTCTACATCCATTTCTGCTTTTCTGAGCGTGGCATTGCATGGTTTTCCGTGCCTTCATATTCTTAGCTCTTCTTTATCTTGATACCATTATATTTGGCGCATGGGGGAACGAGTAACCAGGATGTCGTTCATACTTCTCCTCACCGAATTCATTATCCTGATTGACGAGTACACCTCTCACGATAACCTTAAATTGGTAGTACCATACTACTGTTGTAGTGACAGGCGGAGCTCTCGGAGTGCGGAAGAGCCCCGCACTGGCCGACTATGATTCTTCAGCCAAACTGACAATGTCCGTCATCCACTCCGAGGATTGCAAATTGCTTAGAGATCAAATGACTGATTGATAAGGTTCCTTTGACCCCACCCTCACTTTCTTTAAATCCCAAGAATACACTTTCCCAAGAATACACTTTGTCTTTGACCTACATTCGTCCCTCCCCTACACCACACACAGCATTGTTCCCATCAACCATCAATTCCGCTCCGATCTAGGATAGACCGACTCCGATAACCGCGACACTCGGCAGATTCTATACGACAATGACGGACCAATTTGCATTCTCCTATCCATCCCCGCTGGAGGGCTATGAGAACCTCGAGCCGCTGTCTGAGTTAGTGTCATAAGGGTCGTCCGCTATCAGCACGCTAACGAGCCGGAAATACCAGTGAGCGCAACGACGATGGCAAGTCGATTAAGAACCCCCAGCACGGGATTCTCAGCAAAGCCTATGAAGAGTTCCCCGATCCATTGGCCAAAGATCGTCGCGGTGGTTTCGACATTCACATCTACCATTTCCAGGTCGGGACCTCCCCTTCCTCAACGTTGATCCATTGCAGATCCAACTAACACCCGACCAGACGAATCCCGATCAAGTCGCATTTGCCAAAGCCTTGTATGAGCGCATTCGACGCGAATGTAAGCATGTCATGCCCCAACCTACCCATATTCGATCTCCAACTCCAACTCCAAATCTAACTGCTCCTCTCCATCCCTCTCCAAGCAGTCCAACTGACCCTCTCCTGCAGTCCCGGAACTCCGCATCTACACTTTCTTCGACAGGCCCATCGGCCCTCACCCGGTCGCCATGTTCGAAGTCAACCTCTTCACGCCTGCGCAATTCGGCGCCTTCATCCCCTGGCTGGTGATTAACCGGGGACCGCTCAGTGCGTTGGTCCACCCGAACACGGTGGATGAGGAGGAAGAGCGGAATCATACGCAGCGGGCGACATGGTTGGGGGATCGGATTCCGTTGGATTTGAGGATATTCAAGGTCATCAAGGAGAAGCAGAAGAAGGAGAAGGAGGAGGCGGAGAGAGCGAAGGCGGAGGGGAGGTTGTAGCTGCATGTGGGGTTTCTAGTTATTAGTCGAGGAGAGGAGGGGGGGTTTGTTGGATTTGAGCGTTTCTTTTTGCCATTATGACGGTTTTTGATTGAGACATGAGTATTTTGATTTTTTTTTGGAAGGGTGTTAAAGAGGTGACCGGGGAAGAAAGGTGTTTTTGTACGGAGTAGAGGTAAACCTGTCGAAGGGTCGGATAGCAAGGGCTGGTATCAGGGCGAGCCTTTATTGGCGGGCTGTAATGCAGACGAACATCAGCTCGGACAGCCACGGGGACGATTAATCGACAGTTCTGGTTCGATTCTCGGGAATGGGACGTGTCAATGGCCTCGATTGAGGTGAAGGTAAACAATAAGAGCAAATGAACTACTAAACCCTCCACTCCACTTTAAACCCGATCCTCTACTTCCCTCGGATGACCTCGTCAGGAGCACAGTAGATCACCAGATCGCAGAACACAAACCTCCCCAAACTCAGTCCAACACGCTAATCCAATCACACCAATTAAACCGACCAGCAACTAACCGTGTTTAATGCACATGCAGGCATGCAAATAGATTAGATCTTCCCCCATCGAATCATCGGCTCGAACCACCTCCCACCTGGTTCCTGATGTCCGGGGGTCATGTACATTCCAGGCCATCCCTTCTTTCCCATGGAGCATGGATATACACCAGCGGGGAGGGGCGATGTTACCTTTTCAATCTCTCAAGTCCTTTCTTATGCAGGTTCGGGCACACCGTGATCCTGTATCCTGATCAGACTCGCTGGAATTTTTCCAGCTGGGCTATGCTACCCGGGATCAAGACTGCGATCCTGCTGAAGAGTTGGGGTGTGATTTGGATAATAGTCTTCTCAGGAACAGGTTCTTAAAGGGATGGTGTCCGGGCTGAGAAGCATCGTCTGTTCTCTCGGAACTCGGCAATTTTGAGGTATAATTCTGTCCAAGTCACTTCACTGTAAGCTGCCGTCCAGGTTGTCCTGATGAAGAGGCACTATCCTATGACTGTTCCAGGCTAATGCTTGTATAGAAACAACCTCGGCTGGGATAGATATCCCAACGTAAAACATTATTAAACATCTTCTGAGCAAGGAAAGCTTTACCGACTTACTATACAAGCTCCCACAGACCAACGCTGAACCATGCGGCACTTGATACTATACATGGCGACGCTCGCCCCTCTCACAACCTCTCTAGTCCAATCCACAGCAATCATCCCATCATACGTCTACGAGTATGGTGTGTACAAGCACTATCCACCCTCAGTCGCTTCCATTCTCACATCTTCCTAGCCCCTCTAGTCTGGCTACACAGCCAAGATGCATACCGACCCGGCGACATGCAAGCACAGCTTGACCATACTACACCCGAGGTCAATTGGACCGCCATCCAAGGCGCACCATCACCACTCACACTGAACAATCTTGACCAGCTCAATAGCCTGGGGAATACGAGTGTGTACCTCACGTCCCACGAGGGCATCACTGCCAGCCCCGAGCCAGCTTGGTTTCGGGGTATCATGCCCGATGCAGAGGGACGGATTAGTAATGGTACTGGGTGTGCGATTATCGTCGTTGATCATGGGAAGGGGAATGTTGATGCGTTTTACTTTTATTTCTATCCGTGAGTGACATGTCTAACCTTGATACCATGCGCAAAGATCTACTAGAATCTGTACAGTGTGACTAACCTAGATCTCAGGTACAATAAGGGTGATATCGTACTAGGCATGGAATTTGGTGATCACATCGGCGACTGGTCAGTCTATCCTAAAGACACCGTGCTGGTCATCTAACTTCTAAACTCAAATGGCCAGGGAACACAACATGATCCGCTTCGCCAACGGTACCCCCCAAGCGATATGGTTCAGTCAACACGCCAGCGGCCAAGCCTTTACATACAACGCCCTCGAAAAGAAAGGCAAACGACCCTACTCCTACTCGGGAAACGGAACCCACGCCAACTACGCCGTGAAGGGGTCCGTATCTTTTCCTTTCTCCTATGAACCCCAGCCCATACTTATCTACGTTTCTAACCACTCTCTCCCACAACAGCCAACACGACCACACAATCCCAGGCCTCAACCTCCCCACCGGCTTCCTCCTCGACTACACTGACCGCGGCCCCCTCTGGGATCCCACCCTCAACGCCTACGCCTATACGTACGATCCCACCACCGGCATTTTCACGCCATCTTCTCCGGACACCCCCGTCGCATGGCTAGAATTCAATGGTCGATGGGGTGATGACCAACCACCCGGGGAACCGACGATTTTCGGGGAGGCAAAGTACGTTGCTGGCCCGGATGGGCCGAAATTCAAGACGTTGGATCGGAAATACGTGTGTCCGTCGACGCCGTGTGTTGTTCTACCATTTAGGATTTTTGCGGAGTGATACCCGTATGTGGGAGTGTGTTTGACATTAAACTGTGATGAGTCCCGGATGGCGATGGTGACGGATGGTTGTACCACCTGCAGCTATGTTATATATTTGTGGGGGTTTCCGTGTGGCATACGCGAACGATGATGATGAGTAGCAATATCTGCCCTAATTGATGGACAATTACATATGAAAAACAAATTATCAAGGAGATCTTTCCGTTGAGGGTCGGAGCATGATCAACCTCGGGATCTATGACAGTCCGATGATACTATATCTATCACTTTATCACGCATTGATGGGATTCTACCGAATTGCCTAGCTTCCCCAGCGTAGATAGTTCGTTATCGTCCTTCCGAATCGGCAATCTCTTACCATATCCCGTCCAGGTAACGCTCCGGCACGCGATGAAAGCCCTGGACCCACTCGAAGCTCCACAAGGTCGTGCACGGATTTTCAGAGCGCAAATTGCGAGATTCTACGGTAGGATGCTAGGGAGCTTTGATGGACCCAGGCAAGGCAAGAGACTTGGAGTCCTGCAGAGGTTGATCTCACTTTGAATGCGGGTCTCAGCTGGAGGCATCCGTGGTTGTGTCTACCAAGATCATCCTCCCTAGATCGTTTCCTACGGTCGGCTGGCTCGATAGCTGGGGATTAGCTAGTTCGTGGTGCTGGACGCGTCCCAATGATGGACCTTACTGTGTGTTTAGATTTGCCCTACGGATTTTTATAATTGATTTTAGCAAAAAATTGTGTTCTCGGTTTTCGTTCTCAATTTTGTCGTGATTTGCACGCGAGTGATTAAGACTGCATGATGGTGATCATAGTGTTTGCTTGTTGAGGTTTACAATACCGTTGGTAGTGAGGCAGAATATATCTTTGAAACTCGAGGCAATTTCTTCCAGACTCGACCTCAATGGACCAGTAATTTCGAGACAGAGATATACTTTGCATTGAATTCATCAAATCGCATTTTAATCTGTACGTCAACCTTATATCCTCGGCTAAGCAACGTGGTGTTCATGCAACATGGAGATCCCACGATCCATCATGGCCATCCCACTTTGTTTTTCCCGGGATTTCCACGTGCCGAACTTGTCGTGCCCACGAGATGAACGGGCCTCGTTTAATGAGGCTCGTGGGACCCAGTTTTCCTAGCTCCTGTGGGCTAGTGCTGGGAAAATGGCAAATTGGCAATCTTATTGGGCCCTTGGCTTCGGGGTAGGGTACCGGCGAGTGGCATCGAAGAGTCTTGCTGGTCACAAAAAGGCGGCTGGGTGGGTTAGTGTTTACTATCGGATCTCCCGGCTGCGACCAGAGGGGAATCTAGGGGACCGGTAGGTAGTGTCTTCGTGCTGGATTGGATTGATGAAGCTTGAGTTAATCCGGTCACCCATTTAAATACGAGCATTGTGATCATCTTGGTGAGAGGAGGAGAAGGAACAACAAAGAAAAGTGCTGATCGCGTGGTGGAGTAGGGAAACGGTCCCGTTGTGCACGTGCCAGCTGCCCTTCAGGGGGAATACATGGAGAGAGAGAGAGTACAGATGTAGTAGTTTAGACATATTGTTTAGAGGCCGTAGGGTAGATGATAGTCAAGTTGTTGATCTCTGGACTCGTATGAGAAATCACAACATTTGGATGTATCCAGACAGTACTTTGCATCGTTAGGATCCTGACCATTTTTCTCTCTGTCAGCTCCGGAATTCATCGACAAGCACGTTGCCCCGTTCGGGCCTTAGCCGCCCGCCAGCGTCGAACGAACCGTCCAGCCGTCCACACAGAAGCTCCAAGTGGGGGAGTCGTGTCCCTTGGGGGCTCTGGACCGCGCTCAATGATTTTTTTACCCCTGAATCCGAACCTTGGGTCTGAAACCCGAGACGATGGAAATCGAGGACCCAGAGAGGGAATTGAAGCTTTGGCAAGGAGAGATGGTTCATAGCCATCATCATCATCATCATTCATCATACATCGACCTGATCATCCTACTGCAGGACCTGCACGATACTTCGAGTCTATCACATTGCTGATTAGCAGCGCATTGCCCAAGGAGTGTTCCCCGTACGAATAGCAATGCCGTGAGCATGGTAATATTAAACTTCAATGCACGTTCTCCATACGCAGTCCTCCATCATAAACCGAGCACCGTTCCCCCCCTCGGATTGAGCTCTCGATTGGTCCGTGGCTGGCGTCCCTTTCTGGTCTGCTCTTCTCCTCCTCCTCATCTCTGCTTCTCCCTCTTTTCTCTCTTCCACCCCTCTCTCCCTCCCTTCCATTCTTCCATTCTCTCCATGCGCCGCGAGAATCGGACGCTGTGAGCAGGCCATTTATCAATTCCCATTCCATCCCCCCAAAAACACAATATCGCCCAAAAAAAAAGAAACTTGGAAAGGAGGTTCGAATACGCAACTCCCAGTTCGAACAATCGGCCCCTCTCCTTATTTTTTTTTCTCTGCCCCCGTCCTCCAGTAGCGACGTGCAGCAGAACCGACAACCTCACACTGGCTGGGAGCAATTGTCACCTTTTTGATCTCACCCTCGCTTTGATTTCTTTTCCCCCGCTGTCGCAGTCGGGCTCCTTTCGTCTTTAGTTTGGACTCGAATTACGACTTTCGAATTTTGGTTCCTTGGAAAACCCGCAATCGCAATCGCAATCGAACTCCGCCAGCACGTCCAAGCCTCTCCTGCCCGGTTCGAATCGCATTCCCCGATAGCCTGTATATTTCGAACCATCCCGCTCGTTTCCGTGGTCAAGACCGTACATCCTCGGAAGAAGAAGGAATCTAGGATATCGCAATTGATATACTTACCCCCTGATAATCGCAATTGGCATCTTTAGCTCGTGTATTCCCACGTGAGTGCACTTAAAACCCCTTACATGGCGGGGATCGTCACCGGAATGGTGGACTCTTTCTCCCGACTCCGCACGCGGGGAAAACAGTCATGCTTAATTCGGATTGACATCAACCCCCTGAACAAAAGAGATTGAGAGGGAAACTAACCGAACGATGGCCCTGAAATTACAGTGTATCAGATATACAGCGATTGTCCCCCAACCCCACCCATATAAAGCCCTGTCTACTTTCTAGCGGCAGTACAGGATCATACCACATTCAGTTACGCGCAAATCTGCCTGAAACAGCAAACTGCCACACCTTCCCAAAATGGCAACGCCCACCTCCAGCCGCGCGCCTTCCGATGCGCTGCCCGTTGAAAATGGCCAATCTCTCGCCGCCCGTCGCACCTCGCTCGGTTTCCTTCGTCGTTCGAAATCTACCGAGCCGCTCGGTGAACGCAAGCCTTCCGGCAGCCGCAAGAAGATGTCCAAGACCCAAGCCATGGAAGAGGAACTCCGTCGTCAGCGTGAATCTTACGCCCCCAAGAGCGCCCCCCGCTTGCCGGATCTGTCCCCGACTCCTCAACTCGAGACCTTTGGTGGTGAAGAACGTGACACCCTCGCCCCCGAGCCTCCCACGTCTCGTCCTAAATCGGGAATCCCCGTCCCGACTGCATCCATGAGCTCGCCCGTCGACGCCGTTGACCCGTACGCGCGTACGGAGAGCATGACCCATCGTGGTCGTTACAGCTATGCCAGCAGTGCCGTCAGCACCGTCAACAACCCCCGTCGTATCCGTCGTCGGAAGGATCCCACCCCTTACAAGTAAGTCGAAACCTGCACATCCTGCGATGACCGCGAGATCACAATCTTGATGGAGTCGCCTTACTCTACCCAAAGCCAAATGCAAAGTACTGATGATGCTACGCACAGTGTGCTCGTGGTTGGTGCCCGCAACTCCGGCAAGACCTCTTTCCTCAACTTCCTGCGCAAGGCTCTGACCATGCCCCCGCACAAACACCCTTCCCGTAGCCCGGAAGAGCTGGAAGAACTGGAGCGCCAAACCTCTGCCTACGAAGGATTCACCTCGCAATACTTGGAGACCGAGATTGATGGAGAGCGTGTCGGCCTGACCCTGTGGGATTCCACTGGTCTCGAGCGCAACATCGTGGACCTGCAGATGCGTGCCGTGACTGGCTTCCTGGAGAGCAAGTTTGAGGAGACCCTCGCGGAGGAGATGAAGGTCGTGCGCTCTCCCGGTGCTCGCGACACCCACATCCACTGCACCTTCCTGCTGCTGGATCCCGTTCGTCTCGACGAGAACATTGCCGCTGCCGAACGCATCGCCAATGGCACGGCTAAAGCTACCGACGGCCCCGTGGTTGGTGTCCTGGACCAGAATCTCGACCTGCAGGTGCTGCGCACCATCCTGGGCAAGACCACCATTGTCCCGGTCATTAGCAAGGCAGATACCATCACCTCGACCCACATGGGATACCTTCGCAAGGCCGTGTGGAACAGTTTGAAGCAGGCCAACATCGATCCCCTGGAGATCTTGACCTTGGAGGACCAGGAAGAGTATACTTCATCGGAGAGTGCGGATGAGGAAGAATCCGTGCACGGAGAGACCCTCGAGACTCCCGCCGAGCCTGCCGAAGAAGCCAGCGAATCCAAGGAAGAGCAGACCGACGGCCCGACCGAGTCAAAGAGCCAGGAAGCGCCCGAGCCGTCTATCCCCCAGTCGCCCTCGCAACGCAGTCAAAACTCCCTCGGCGCTTCGCCCGCCAACCCGCACGTTCCCTTCTCCATTCTCTCCCCGGACCCGCACTCCTTAGCCTCTGGGGAAGAACCGGTCGGACGTCGATTCCCCTGGGGTTTCGCCGACCCGTACGATCCGGAGCACTGTGACTTTGTGCGCCTGAAGGACTCGGTGTTTAGCGAATGGCGAGCTGAGCTGCGTGATGCCAGCCGTGTGATCTGGTATGAGCGCTGGAGAACCAACCGGCTCAACCGTAATGGCCAGCCCACACCGCTGCCATCCAAGAAGTCATACGCAGGTCGCATGGGACCCATTCACGACGGTCGCCGCACGCGATAAACGGACGAATCAACCTGCCAGTTTCACCTTTTGACTCCGATTCCCACCTCTCTCTCTCTGGCTGCTCAGCCCGTGTATCTGATTTTGCCTTTTTTTTTTCGTTTGATTCCCGACCCTTTTCCTGCCTGTTCGCATAGCTTGCAGTTTTCGCACATACCCCCCGAATTCTTTTCTTTTTCTTTTCCGTGGTCGTGTCTATTCGTCCATGGATTTTCTTTCTTTTTTTTTTCCCACTTCGTGTCTTCACTCGACCTTCTGTCGGACTACAACTACAAATCCACTTCCTGACCTTCCTTTGCTGCCTCTTTACCTCTGGTCCACCTTGTATCTTTCCTTTCTGACAAAATGTCTCACACCGTATCCGGAGTGAACGAATCCTGTATTCAACGCCTTTTTCAAAGTTGCTGATGTGCTTTGCTTGCAGTTATCGGCTGACTAGCCGGTGACTGTCCGTGTCTTCTGTATGGTATAAGTCTAGTGGTGCTTTGGTATACTTGTAGAGCGTACTCCGCAGAGTGCGTGTAGTCTTGTAGACGCCCTTTCTGGTCCGTGGCTAGCTTGATAACTTGAATCTTCATTTTTTGCTAGCTTAACGGTCACTTTTCCGGAGTACGGAGATTGTATGCCCTTCATGAGATAGCGGTGATATGTGCTAACTATGGATCTGCATGGTCCTTGGCTCGACTTATCACGTCCCCGCTGCATTGTCACGACGGATCTGTGAGCGGCTGAAATACGCCACACAACTGGACAAAGCAATCGCACGCCCAGACTCTGGCCCCCAGCCAATCACCAGACCAATTATGCGGCTACTTTGGGGGGCCACTTGGGGGCCATTCACTGATTTAGAATGTGCAGGGGTCTACTGCGTTGCAGACTTGTCAGGATCCATCGGGCTGGCCGAGGGCTACTGCATGATTCCCCGCAGGCTTGTAGGGCAATACGAGAGGCTCACCACTCAAGTGCCTGGGCGTTGATTTTTACCCCTGCGCTTACCTGACCCTTTCCATTTTGCTTTCTTCTCTTTCTTACTTTCTCACAGAGCTTTTTTCTTTTCTCTTTCCTGTGAGCTTCATGTCTCCGTGGTAGTCTGATCTAGCTCTATCGCGACGTCTCCAAGGTGGGCCACAACCCTTTTTTCTTGTTTCCCGCTCACGCCCGCCCGAGTTTATCTTCCCCGCCCTCTCGCACAGATCGGCGCATCCTCAGTGCGCAATTCGAGCTAAGCAGAGGAAGAGAAACCGAGACACTTCCTTGTTACCTCGAGACTGACCTGTCCGAGTTTTCACAGAACCTCCTAGATCTTTTACAATCCGCCCCCCATTCCCCCCTAGAGCTCTGGTATACTTCGCACACCCCTGGTAAACACGTCTCCGATTCCGGCGGTCCCTCCCCACCAAGGACCCTGGCTCGCAATGTCGCTCCAAGTCAACGACCCACGGTCGCGCACCCGCTCCAAGTCCCCCGGCCGCAGCCGCGAACGCTCCCGGTCTCGCGATAGCCGAGCCCCCGATCGCCTGGACCTCGAACCCCCGCGCTCGCGACAGCGCTCTCGTTCTCCGGCCGTCGAGATCGCGCCCAAGTCCTCCTCCTCGAGGGAGTACGATCTCCCGCGCGCGCGTTCGCCGGTCGTGGAAATTGCGCCTCGCGCGGCCAAGACCAAGTCTTCGCGCGACTATGACTCGGATGAGGAGACGGAGATTGATCGGCAGTATAAATTGCTGAAGGAGGGGCGGTTACGGGATGGCGATGAGAAGCCTAGTCTTGTTGTTGCAAGGGTTCCGCGGAGTCAGCCGCGTTATGATGTGGAGCGCTCGGATGAGGATGAGGATGAGGTTGAGGTTGAGGGGGAGCGGAGGAGGCGTGGGGAGATGGCGTATAGGCGTCGTGAGGAGGCGAGGTATGAGCTTTCGGAGGAGGAGGATTTGAAGGCTGTAAGGATGAGGGAGAGGGAGAGGGAAAGGGATCCGAGGAGTTCGAAGGATTCGTTGAGGGAGTCGAGGGACTCGCGCGATCCGAGGAGCTCGAAGGATTCGTTGAGAGAGTCGAGGGACTCGCGCGATCCGCGGAGCTCGAAAGATTCCCTGAGAGAATCGCGCGAGTATGCGGCTCGGTCTCATCAACGTCGGCCTTCGTCCCCGCCTAGTCGGGATGGGAGGTTGGATGATTCGGACAGTGATTCGGATGATGGGCTGGCATATGGTGATGCTCTGGGTGGTCATCCGAGCTATGCGCGCCCGGGCAAGTATCAGTATGCACAGCCAACGCATCTCCATCCTGCGCAGCCGGTGGCACCGCGCCAGCCTGCGCATCCGGATCCCAAGTCGTCGGACTGGGCTCCCATCCCTGAGTGTGAGCGTCCGGGCTTCGTGCCGCCGGCCTCGCACCCTTCGTCGCAGGCTGGGGTGGCCTCGACTATGCCCGGTGGCTTCCCTACAGCCTCGACGTATGCGGATCTCCCCGCGACGACTGCACCCTCGTTCCCGATGCCGCAGTATGCGGGATTCCCTGCCCAACAGCAGCTTCCGTACGCACAAGCTTCTTCTGGTCCTTATAATCCGTCGCATCACCGTACTGCTTCCGCCACGAATGCCTCTCAACCAATTCCTGGCCAGTATGCGCAGCCGGCCCCGTATCAGTATGCGCATGTCGATCCCAATGTTCGATATGCTTCCAAGGCAACCCCCGTCCAACCTTATACTGCCTCGCCAGAGCAACAGTTTGCAAAGCCGCAGGAGCAGTTCAATAAAGGGCCTCGTGAGCCTCAGGCGGCTGCGTACCCGTACAGGTATAGCACTGAACCGCAGTTTGTAGACAAGCAGCATCCACCACCACCGCAGCCCCAGTCCCAGCATCATCAGCCTCAGCCTCAGCATCAGCAACTGCAGCCCCAGTACGGACATGGCCACAGTCATCAACAACAGTCCCAGCAATTGGTGGAGATTACACCTGGCGGCGGACGAGGCCGACCGCATAGCTTGTCCGTGTCATCAGGGAATAACCTCGCGGTTGCAGGCTCTCACAGTCTACACGCTGGCCATCCCCCGGCCAGTCCACTACTGGAGGCCTATCGCGGTACCTATCAGTCCATCTCGCCCATGCCATCTCCGATTATGATGCCCTCGCGGGACGAGGACATCTCGGACCTGGAGCCACTCGACGGTGGTGCTTCGGGCTCTGAACTAGCACGCCGTAAGAAACATGTCCGCTCCAAATCTTCCATTAGCGAAAAGGAAACCCGCCACCGCAGTAGCAAAGAGAAGATCAGGGAAAAAGAAAAAGACCGCGATGACCACAGCAAAGACGACAGGCGTCGCCTCCGCCACGAGCGCCACGATTCTAGCACGTCGATTGACCGTGATCGTGATCGTGATCGTGAACGCGATAATATAGTCGTCATCTCACCCACCACCGGCCGTAAGCGTGTCTCCTTCTACGACGCCGGCGCCGACGCAATCGACATGCAGAACGCACTCAACCACCGCACAATCGACAACAAGACCATCATCCAGGTCCTGCCCCGGCTCACAAGCGACGAAATCCTCCTCCTCCGCGCAGAATACAAAAACCGCGTCAAAATGCACGGCAAGGGTATCAACCTCGCCAAACACCTCCGCCTCAAACTCGGCAACTCCTCCTTCGGCAAGGTAGCCTACGCTACCGCCCTCGGCCGCTGGGAATCGGAAGCTTACTGGGCAAACTGCTACTACCAAGCGGGGACCTCGCGCCGCGAACTCCTCATCGAATCCCTAATCGGACGGTCCAACGCCGCCATCCGCGAAATCAAGTCCTGTTTCCGGGATACCCGGTACAACGATAGTCTTGAGCGGTGTATGCGGGCGGAACTCAAGGCAGATAAGTTTCGGACGGCCGTGTTGTTGGCGCTCGAGGAGAGGAGGCAGGATGAGAGGGAGCCCCTGGATGAGAGGTTGATCCGGCAGGACGTTGGGGATTTGCACCGGGCCTTGGTTTCGAGGGAAGGTGGGGAGACGGCTATGATTAATATCATTGTTTTGAGGAGTGATGCTCATCTGAGGGAGATGTTGCGAGAGTACGAGGCGGTTTATCGGGTGAATTTTGCGAGGGCGATGATTGCCAAGTCGAAGAATTTGGTGGTATGTTTTTTTTCCCCCTTCGATGTGGGTTTCCTATCTTGACAAGTACTCACATCCCCCTCTTTTTCTACTCGCAGGGTGAAACACTAGCCCACATCCTAAACGGTGCGATCAACCGCCCCATGCGTGACGCCCTCCTCCTCCACCAAGCCGTCCGAGAGTCCCGAACTGGCCGCGAGCGCTCCGAGTTGCTCATTTCTCGACTTGTGCGGTTACATTGGGAACCGCGGCATCTGGAGCTGGTCAAGAGTGAGTACCGGAGACGGTATAATGAGCGAGTCGAGGAGGCGATTGCCGAGGAGGTGATGAGTTCGAGTGGGAGTAGTGAGTGGGGGGAGTTTTGTATTGAGTTGGCTAGGAGTTCGACTTGAGCGATGGAGAGGATGGGGTGGAAGGATGGGATTGGTTAAATAATGTCTAGTGTACATGGAAGAGTAGTTTATGTTATAGAGAAAGGGCTATGCAGTGTTGTATGTTTCATGTTCTATGATTCCTTTGATATGGAGACCCCAAGTTGAACTGTACGGAGCTTCTCGTGGACCTCATAGGATTACCCTGACCTGGGCATATAAATTGGAATCAGTTATGATTACTTTGATTCACAGGCATAGGTACGTCAGCTTGGTCATGACTTCTCATGTTTGCATACCGAGATGGCCTTGCATCTGCACCTGCACTGGGCACTTATACGTCAAGAACGAGTCATTAAAGTCGGTAAAGAAACAGAGAGAGGGTTGAACAAACCGAATATTGACCCTTGGATAGGAGCGGTGAACATACCATTCTTTGTCGCAATCACGAACATGATCTCGTTCCATTCTCTGCATTTAATTCTCCTCCACATGAGGTTTACCTCCTTACACCTCGCTCTATGACACAAGAATTCATCCCAGGCACTAAAAAGCAGCGGTCATCTACTAAGAGGAACGACTGACTACAGAACTTACTCTGCTGCATTCCCTTGGTACTGATGTTGGTCTCCCGCGTTCAGACCTCCGCAGTATGCACGATGACTTATGATCACCCATGCACGAGGCCGATGATCAACGAAGCCAAGAAGACGGGATCGACAAAGAATGGGGCAGTCTCGTGCCCTATTCTCGTGGTAAGAGAATACCAAAATGCAAAATAGCTGCATGATACAATAAGCGGATATTGTGTGGAGTGCATTCTATATACTTCACTGGTTGGACGCTTCACTGCCCAGTTGGAAGTACACCGCACTCTCTGCTAGTACTAGAGATGGACACGACGACCACGTTCTGCACATGGAAAGCTGCAGTGGGCAAGGGGTAGATGAAGATCGGGTTGGAGTGTTACCCAAGACAAGGATAGCTGGGCTGTGTATATCATGGATTTGGGGGCATGTTGCGTGAGCTATGTAGGATTCATTCATACTCTACAGTATCACTCGGTAGGCGGTAGGAAGGGGGATGGCTGGGCAGGCTTGGCCTTTACTCTTGGCATTGGAGAAAATATACCAAGGGTTAACTTTGATTGGAATATTTCTGGTCACTGTGAAATTAGATGTTGAGTAGTGTATACTACTGTGATATCGTCTAGCGGTTTAATATCGGTGAAGACAGACCTAACATAGTAGCAGGTGGATCACGGCCATCTCTACTTTCCCACGGAGTCCTTCGTAGCCACCGCCGATCTCTAGGTTAGTTCAGTTTTCTGAGGATTTGTATAAACTTTCAGTTGTATCGGTTAATTTGAAGAATGAGCGAATATAATCACTATGGTCCTAATCAACCGTATACTCCGTTCCTGGAGAGCCCCAGCCACCTCCACACTGTTAGGTGTTACATCGGTAGTCAGCCACATTGCCGGTGCCGTCTCTTATTTAACTCTCTACCAATGACAAGCCCGAGTCAACTCTTCAGGAACGCAGTCTATCGGATATACCTCTGAAAATGGGATGGTTGATGAGGGGCGCAAAGCACCGTCGCGCACGACATGGCGCTGATCCGTTACTTTTCCCCTGAGTCGAGCAGCCTGACCTATCACAAAGTGGTCCCAGCAAGGAGGTCCCAATAAACTGGTAGAACTGCGGTGGAGTACCGGATACTTGGGGCACGCGACACGAGGAGGTCAACCCAAGACGGATTTTTCAAGTATCGTGTACTTACAGTCGTACACTGCGGTCTCCGATCGGCCTTTCCCCCGACGGGACGCGTAGTTGAGAACTACATCCCTGCAAGGGGAGCGGACTTGATTTGAACACTCCTGAGAAACCCTGTCACCGCGTATCTATCCCGCTGCAGGTCCCCGATTTCTATATTTTGTTGTGCCATATCATGATTCATGCAAGAGACGGTAGAAAGTGTCGGACCCGTTGTAGAGGCGAACCGCGTCATGCTCCGGAGTTTATCCTCCGTGGTTAGTATATTAGTACAGTATATTACTATAGTTGGATTATTGGACCGGGGGCATCATGCGCTTGCCTCTGCTGATCGCCATTTCCCCGCAGACCTCTCGGGCACGAAGTATTGGCCCCTATGGATTGGGGAGATTAAAGAATGACCGCGCTGAGAGCCGACGAGGATAGATGGTGGGTGTGGTAGAGGGAGAGTCTAAATCATGATAGGCGGAAATGAGATTATTGCTCCTCTGTCGTTGTCGTAATAACTGCCATCTTGTTGCCTAATAATCCCGAGCAGAGAGGGTGTGCCTGGGTCCGCCTGATGCCATCACGGAACCCCAACGTGCTTTCCCTCGGGATCTATACGGGTATCGCCATAACAGTCTAGAAGTAGAATCAGTCATAGAAAAACAACTGTGAATATGTCATGGAAAGAGTATGGGGTGCATGACTCCCGTCTTCCACCTCTCGCCTTCATTTCCTTCCCTCCATCTTCTCTCCACGCTCCTCATTCTCTCCATCTGCAGCCCATCTTACATTCGTTACTCCACACAGCCTTATTCTTTATTTCTTATTTGCGCCATCCCGTGTGCTCACTCGCTCAGTCACCTGCAAGATTGCAGAAGACTAAACTTTCTCCGATTCCTCAAACGCCACTAGGTCGATCCCGCATGGGCCGCTGCTTGTTCTATGCGACCTGATATTTCATGGCCGCGATTTAGTCTCCTCCTTGAGCGTGTTTCTGGCTCGGAGTTCCGCTCGACAGTCTGATTCGAGACTGGGACATTGCATGACTGCATGTATTGCTGAATTTGGATGTCTAGCGTGGGTTGTGCCGGCTTTACGACTGGTAAATCCCCCGGATTTCCCCTTTCTTGCGCATTGTGTATTCTCTCGATCTGCCCTGTCTGGTTGTTCACCCCCTTGTCATTCTAAGCCCTAACTGGCTCCCTCCTCCCTGTCCACATCCATGCAAAAAAAGTGATGTCCACTCAACCCCCTATACCACCCCCCTCACATCCGCATATCCCCCTCCCTTGCCATATGCCCGAATTATCCGCATGGCCTCCATTTCGGTTCTCGGAGTAGTTGCTGACGATGATCAGCCGACGTGCTGGCTCGGAACTTTGCTGTACACATGCGAGTCTGCTGTTCGATGCAATCTCCATCCTCCACGCGCTAAACCCCATCTCGATCGTGGGAGGGAGCATTCTGGCATGCGGGCCCGGGGCAAGAGCTCTGGGCGCGAACCCCTCTCTTCCGGGTCTCGTTGTTCTAGGGCTCGACTATAAAAATGTCCCTGACATTCCAGTAAACACAACGTTGATCTTTCCCTCGCGCCCCGCGTCTCTGTCAAAGCCAGTCCACAGTCTAGCTTGTCGCGGTAGTCTTTGGACTTTCTTGTCTCTCCTTACTCGCAATTCTCGCGATCACTCTTTTTTGCTTCTTCTATTCTTTGCTTCGGCTTTTTTTCTTGCTAGCAATTCTATTCTTGCATTGAGCATATGCTCCTGGGTTGATCATTTGGATCCCGTCCAATCCTTTCCTTTTTTTTTTTTGTTCGTCTGAACTACCGCCACGATGCAACTGTGGCATCTTGGTGCATTGGTGTCGACTTTCGTCGCCTCCATTGGAGCCCAGTCGACATTTTCACCTGCACGACCTCCAGCTCTCCCTTTGGCTGTCAAGTCACCGTATCTGAGCACCTGGTTGAACGCGGGTAGTGATGGTGGAAATGGCGGATATCTGGCCGGCGAGTGGCCCGTGTTCTGGGAGTACGTTTTCTGTCAAGAGAAATTGTGGATGGCTGCGAATGCCTACTAACGATTGACAGGAACCAAATCACTGGATGGGCTGGCTTGATTCGCGTCGACAATGCTACCTATACTTGGATGGGTCTGCCCGGCACGACCACTGTCACCCAGACTGCTTTCGAGTACACTTCAACAAAGAGCATCTTCACCATGGACGTTGGTGGAAAGGTTGAGATGAATATCACTTTCATGTCTCCGATTACTCCCAATGACTTCAAGCGCCAATCTCTGGTTTTCTCCTACTTGAATGTTGAAGTATCGTCCTTGGATGGCGATGATCATGATGTGCAGGTCTATGCTGATATCTCTGCTGGTAAGTTTCAGAACGAGCAGAAACAGGACTGGGCTAGTTATGTGTTGAAAGATTTCTAACTTAATCTAGAATGGGTTTCCGGAGACCGGAGTACCACTGCGCAATGGGATTATGGTACAGCCGATGGGGTTGCATACCACAGGGTTTACCGAAAGACCCAGCTCGCATTCTCCGAGATCAACCAGCAAGCCGAGTGGGGCCACTGGTACTGGGCAACCGATGTCAACGATGGCATGACACACCAGTCTGGTCAAGATACCGTTGTGCGTGGACAATTCTCGTCCAAGGGTGCTCTAACCAATGGAGTGGACACCAACTACCGTGCCATTAATAACGCCTGGCCCGTGTTTGGATTCTCATCCGATCTGGGCACCGTTGACTCAGACCCGGTCAGCACGCTATTCTCTCTGGGTCTGACCCAGGAGCAAGCTATTCAATATGAAGGTTCCTCGGGCTATGCCCCGGTGCCGTCCCTGTGGAAGAGCTACTTCTCCACGGATGTAGATGCGGTAACATTCTTTCACAATGATTTCAGCGTGTCTAGTTCTCTGGCGAGCCAATTTGATAGCAAGGTCGCAACGGACTCTGTTGCTGTCGCCGGAGAGGATTATCTCACGCTTACTTCCCTTTCGGCCCGCCAGGCGTTCGGTGCAACCCAGCTGTGCGGTACCGAGAACAAGACCTATCTTTTCCTCAAGGAGATTTCCTCTGATGGAAACATGAACACGGTTGATGTCGTCTTCCCGGCTTATCCAATCTTCCTGTACTCGAATCCTGAGTTCTTGAAGCTCGTTCTCGACCCCTTGTTTGAGAACCAGGAGGCTGGTTATTACCCCCAGAGCTACGCCATGCACGATCTTGGGTCGAACTATCCCAACGCCACGGGTCATAATGATGGTAACGACGAGGCAATGCCTCTAGAGGAGTGTGGAAACATGATCATCATGACCTTGGCATATGCCCAGAAGTCCGGAAACACTGCCTACTTGAGTACTCACTACAATCTTCTTAAGAAGTGGGTGAGCTACCTCATTGATGAGGCCCTGTACCCAGCTAACCAAATCTCCACCGATGATTTTGCTGGATCTCTGGCGTGAGTAGCCGAGGCCCCCTTTCTCTCTTATTATTTTCGGTAACCAACTGACCTGATTAGCAATCAAACCAACCTGGCCCTGAAGGGAATGATCGGTATCCAGGCCATGTCCGTCATTGCCAATGAGACCGGCCATGCAGCCGATGCTGCCAACTACTCTAGCATTGCCCATGACTACATGAGTAAATGGCAGACTTTGGCTATCAACAAGGCCGTGACCCCGGCCCACACTACTCTGTCGTACGGTGATAGCAGTAGTCACGGTAAGCTGCCGCCCCACGAGACAATCCCCGTTTGAGGACTCGGCTAACCTCTGGCAGGTCTTCTCTACAATCTGTTCGCCGACGCTCAGCTTGGTCTGGACTTGGTGCCCCAATATGTCTACCAAATGCAGAGTGACTTTTACCCGACTGTCGCCGCCAAGTATGGTGTTCCTTTGGACACTCGTCATACCTACACCAAGGGTGAGCCTACAACTAGCATTTTCACTGTACATTGACTATACATAGAGACTGAACTGACTTTGAATTAGGTGACTGGGAGTGCTTTGCCGCAGCTGTTGCGTCCGTTGACACTCGGGCCATGTTCATCAAAGACCTGGCCACTTGGGTCAACGAGACCCCGACCAACCGGGCCTTGACTGATCTCTATGACACTGCATCTGGAAAGTAAGTCATTAGAGCATGCTCCACTATCTCCAGATTCCCACTGACAGAACTTAGTTACCCGGCTAACACCTTTGTCGCCCGCCCTGTCGTGGGTGGTTCCTTCGCACCTCTCCTCGTCCCCCAGTAAACGAGGCCTACCTTCGCTGATTGTGAATGCATTCTTATATACTTATTTTTATTTAAAACTTCACGCGCCCTCTTTTAGCTTCTAACTCGATGAAGTCACTTTTGAGCCGAATCAAGCTACAGTCGAGCGCCTACCCGAGGGAGGCCGGACTATGACGCCTTACTCGTCATCCACTCGCTTTGTCCTGATACTACAAGCGTGCCATTTCTCTTGCTGTGCGCTCTGATACCCATCCATTGAGCTGTCGAGCTGTGTTGATGGTTGTGCGTTGCATATTTGTATTGACGTTTTTGCATGGAGATGGGCTGCGCTGGAGATTGTGGGGAATTTGTGTATACATACCTACCTCGTTCGCTCCGTTCCTATTACGTCATTATTTGGATTAATTTCCATTGTAATTCTAGTAATTTGTATTTCGCGATGGAGACGCCTACTATGTTGCCCAAGATGGAGAACCTTGGGGGAATTTCGAGCACGCCACGGATGGAGGAACGATGCTATGATTCGAACGCTCTATCTTCGAGGGAATCTTTTTCACTTCAAACTGTATGGAATATTATCTGAACAAATCTAGCCTGGCTCAAATGCCTCATCCCATGATGCGTTCAAGTTCATGGTCGTACCAGCTCTTATGCCGTATACTTCATACTTCATATCTTGCGTCCTGTACTTTATACCGTCTTATGTTGTTGGACCGGCTCTTCTCATCTCAGAACACGGTACTGAGTTAAAGCGTCATTTTTGCAGTTCTCAAATCTAAATCTGAACCACACGATATAGGATGGCATTAACGGCACGACAGAAAAGTTCATGGCACGACGAGGCTAGTCCTATAAGGAACNTCAAAAAAGATGACATGAATTCATGTAGGCAGTAGAATAAATAATAGGTGACATTAACGGCACGACGAGGCTAGTTTTAATGAGGAAACCCCCCCTATCAATACAAAATGCTACATTCGAAATACACAAGTTGCCTACCGAGTCCTTCTGTATAATTCACATTAATACTTCTTGCTAATATCTTTAGCGACTATATATGCGACCTCTATCTATACATCCCTATAATAGACTTAGTTGATATTCTACTCCCCCTTCTACTATATCACCCTCTTTTACGGTCTTTTCTACAGTCTTTCTCTACAGTAGGCTTTTACATCCATATGGACTATACTGGTATTTCCTAAGTCTCGAATATAGCATTCTGTACTAAAGGGGAGGCATTCCTTATTAGGACTAGCCTTGTCGTGCCATGAACTTTTCTGTCGTGCCGTTAATATCACCCAGGTATCTACTATGACCACATATCTACAATTGAATCCAACAGCTAGCATGTACCCAGAGCGGTCACTTTTTACGCAGACTCCTCGTCCCAGTTGTCAAAGGAGCGGATGAGATCTAGACGAGAATAGTGTTAGCGGGACAAGTTTGGCTAAAATCCAGGTCCATAAGAGGGGGGGGGGGGAGGCAACTCACCATAATACACCATAATACCCTCCAAATGCACGTCCAACCGAATCCGCTCGTCCACAGTGTGAATGTTAAAAGCACCACCCTGGCGCGAGGGACTCCAGCGGTAGATGTTCTCCGAGAGAGACCAGTAGAACCGTGTGTCGGTGTTACCGGTCATTATGTCCCCGGTAACGACGACGGTGGGCGTCGACTCGGACTCGACACTGTCAGTGCTCAAGGGGTTGGAGTGTGATTCAAAGACACTACGTGCGACGCCCGAGAAGCGCGCCCAGGTCTTGGAGGTGAGTGGGTCGGTCGGGGAGATGGGCGCTGGGCTTAGGGCCTCCATGAGCGGGGACAGGGTGAGCGTGCGAGCGCCAGTTCCGCCGAATTCGTCGGCCGTCTTGGCCACGCCGGGGAAGTCGATGTTGAGGGTGACGTTGTGGGCAGCGGCGATGGGGCGGATGATGCGCACGGCGCGCTCGCGGAGCTGGTCGGGTGTCATATGCAGTGCCACGCGGTAGTTGACTACTGCGGAGATCTTTTCGGGGAGAGCGTTCGTCTTGACGCCGCCGTTGAAGAGGTCGGCGGCTTGGGAGGTTTGCAGGGTGTACCGCACGGCTGGACCGCGCGAGGAGGCGACGGCTTCGCCCAGAGCTTCGGCGTCCCCGTCGGCTAGTTTATCGGAGAGCCAGGGCTCGACGAAGTCTGGCGAGTACCGTGCCTGACACTCGAGCATACCGTATGAGGGGTGCGAGCTGTCAAGACGAGGCGAGAAGAGCTCTTGCCGCTCGAGCTCGTAGATGATCTCGGACATTATGCCGATACCAGTGTGCGCGGGGGGCACGGAGCTGTGGCCGCCGGGCACGGCGAGCTCGAGAACAAGGTCCAGACTTCCCTTTTCACCGACGCCTGGCAGGGCGTACAGAATATCGGTATCATCGCCTAGATTCTGCAGACCCATACCACCCTCGTCAAGGATGAACTCGAAGCTATCCTTGCCGTATCTCTCCTCGAGAACCGGGGCGATCGAGCCGGCACCCAAAAAGCCGTGCGACTCCTCGTCGAAACCAAAGGCCAGCAGTACGGTGCGCTGGGGCTGCCATTTCTGCGTGAGAAGATCCTCGATGGAGGACAGCAGGCCGATCAGGACGTTCTTGCAGTCGCTGGAACCTCGGCCCCAGATCCACTCACCGTCGAACACGCCGGAGAAGGGCGGGTGTGTCCAGTCGGAGGGATCGTCGATAGGGACGACATCTTGGTGTGCCATGAACAGAACGGGCTTGCGGGTGGTATCGGCACCCTGCAGAGTGAAGACCAGACCGAGACGGTTGATATGCTCGACCGTTGCCTTGGCATGACTAGATGGAATATTGGATTAGTTTCGCTTCTGCTCTGACTTGGTAAGTTGGATGCTTACACCAGAGGGAAGAGCTCTTCTAGCAGCGATTGGAACTCTACAATGGGCGCAAAGGACTCGTCGTAGGGGTCGGTTGCAAAGTCGCCCACGGTGGTGGGCACCTGCACCGCCCGTGATAACCGCTTGGCCTGGCGAGCACGGAAGGCCTCGTCCTTGAGGAAAGTCAAGGATGAATGGAATCCGTCATTGGGAGTGGCCACCTTGGGTGCCTGGGGACAAGTCTCGCGGGCCGATGGCTTGAGTGCCTCGAGCTCGAGCCCGTGGGCGATGCTTCCCGGAAGCAGCACTTGTTGAGGAATGCCCAACGCCAGTGCGGATGGCACCGACGCCAGTCCGAAGAGACTCAGTCCTTTCATGATTGCCCGAACACGTGAATTGCAAAAATCTAAATCTTGGAAGGTTCACCAGACTCGGTTCAGAGTAGATGAAGAGCCAGTCGAACCGGATTGTGCGATGGCGTTATTTTAGCACTTGATTCATCTTTTCTATCTCCAACTTCTCCTCTTCTTATCTTTTCCCCTCACTCTCCGTTCCCTCGGCCGGGCGGGCTCGGCCGCGTTTTACCCCAATGGGAAGTTTCGTTGGAGGTTTGCCGATCTGGTCGGCAAGAGGATACGAAGATTGAGAGGGCATATCGAAGGACTTTCATCCGTATAGTTCAAAGCCCCTCTCGTTGTGATCGTGTACTGAAGAATATCCTTGGCTGACCAGTGCCAACCCAGTGGAACCAACGGAAGCAGCCAAGAGGAAAAAAAAACGTGGATCTCCAGGAACCAGGGCTTGTCCCGAGGCTTATGATTCGATCCGCTTCAAAATCCACAGAGTCGTACGGTACCTGTCAGAGAGCCATTGCGCGCTGTGATGGCTCTATGGAAAACCCATGGTTTGGATAAAGGGTGACATGAACGACACGACAGAAAAGTTCATGGCACGACGAGGCTAGTCCCCCTTTTAATACAGAATGCTATATTCGAAATTTACAAAATACCTACCGAGTCATTGTGTATCATTCATATTAATACTTCCTTCTCGTTAATATTTTTAGCGACTATATACGCGACTTCTATCTATTTACTCTTATGATAGACTCACCTTTTTATTCTACTCCCTTCCTACTATCACCATTTTTACGGTCTTTCCTAAGATCTTTTCCAAGGTCTTTTCCAAGATATAGGCTATAGGCTAATATATACATAAGGGCTCTACTGATATTTTGTAAGCCTCGAATGTACAGTAGCATTCTGTACTGAAGGGGTGGCGCTCCTCATGAGGACTAGCCTTATCGTGCCATGAACTTTTCCTGTCGTCTCGTGAATGCCATCTTTGATAAACTGCCGAGGGGCTTTTGCTTTTGCCCTGCGCCATTAGCGAGCCCCTTCGGAACTCCTTGACTGGTCGATCGCCAGCAGGGCTGCCAATACAGGAGGAGGCCAGGGGGTGAAGCTCAAAAATGCAACGCCCCGAGATCCCCCCCACACTGCGCCACCTGCTCCTCCCCGAGCGAACGAACATACAAACAGCTTGCCGGTGGCAAAAGAGAACCCTCATGGGAGGCTCCGAAGGGGTTTCGGGTGGCTCTATTGAGATGATGACTCGTCAGGGGGAGACCCGTCAACCACCTGTTGAGATACTCGAATCAGCAACGGGTTCATCCACTCCGCCCACTCCGGGGATGTCGATCGCAGCGATCAACGCCACCACGGCCAATAAGCCGCCTGCGCAGAGTTCAATAGAGCGTTCGGTTAGCGTTTCAGACTCGATCGTGCGGATTCACACGATGTCATCGTTCTCTCCGGTCTGGTCGTGACTCGGGTGTGTTGGTGTCTCCATAAATTAATGGATCCCCCGGAGGGTTCCCGGCCAAACGAACGAATCTGTCAGCGCAGGGTTGCACTTTCTTTAAGTGAAACCGTTTGGACCCTTTTTTTTCTTGGTCTTTGGCGTGCTTACTTGGATAACCAACTCTCGCTCGTTGTTGGATTTTACTACCTCTTTCATTATAACTCTCTCTGTCTCGTTCCACCCTCGACATTCCTTCGCACGCCTAACTCTTCTACAAAAAAATCAATTTCCAAGCTCCCGCTTATCCTATCGGACCCTTGATACCCACACCCTTCACCGAGAAGAGGAAAAAAGAACACAAGTGATTCCCCTTGCGCTATCACCATTATGCACCCACACCACATCCTCGCTACTCTCGCCTTTGCGCTGAGTGCCTCTGCCGCATATACCAAGCTCGGCTGTTATTCCGAGGTCCCGGATCTAAAGAACGACACCACAAATGTCTTTCAGTCCTACGGACAATGCCTGAACCAGTGCTCCGAGGGCGGCTACAAGATTGCCGTCCTGAGTCAAGGCGACCATTGCAGCTGTGGAAATGCCGTACCCCCGAACTCGGCCAAGGTCAGCGATGATAAATGCACGACACCCTGTCCCGGATACGTGAACGATTATTGTAAGTTTACTAAAAGCCCACACTCGGCTTTTCTGGATCCATAAGCAAATGCACCGCAAAGCTAACCAGTTCCCTTTTTTTTTTCCCCCCTTCTTTAGGTGGCGGTGACAACACCTACATGGTCCTCAGTACCGGTCGATATGCCGTTGTTTCTCAGTCTGATGGCGAAGCGGCGGCAACACCCACTGCTGCCACTGCCGCTGGTGGTATTGTCGTTGCTGCAACAAACGTCAACCCCTCCACGGTCCCAACCAGCATCCTGACTGCACCCGGCTCCATGATTTCCAAGGCTGGTGTCACCGGTGCAGCCTCCAGCTCTGCGGGTGTGGCCGCCACGGCTGCTAGCTCCAGCGCCTCGGCCTCGCATACCGCCAATGCTGCCGGCTCTCTGCGCGCCGGGTCATCGATGGCCGGACTGATGGTTGCTGGTCTGGGTCTGCTCTTGTAAGGAGTAGAGCGCCCTGGATGTTCGCTTGTATTGCCACTCATTCTGTCGACTGCACTGAATAGTCAATGATTCCCTTGTATGTCCCTTTGGTCGTGAGAATGGAGCCCAGTATTTACCAATAGTGCAACCGGCGAGCGGGCCTCGAGAAGGTTGCCAAGGGCTGTTTGTGGGTATTGGGATTGTTTCTCATGTGGGCACAAAAGTACAATAGGTATAGGCGGCCCCGAACGGACTTCGATCTCCTTCGGTATGAGATACTACATAATCAAATCCGCATTGAACCAAACTTGAGTGGAGACGGAGTGTCTTGTAGAACTACCGTAGCTGGATACCTCGAAGAAATGAGAGTCTAGACTCGAGGCATAAGAGTGGGCAAAAGACATATGAGGTGTCTAGAAAGACTGTCATGTCTGTACTGCGAATCTGGGATAAATGAAGAGCACTTCCCCACCCGACCCAGGGCACTGTGCTATTTAGCAGTACGCGAGTAAATTTTTTTTTTTTTAAAAAAAAATGTACTCGGTTGATTCAATTCCAAATGGTAAGAAATTCAGCACAACTTGACCCACGTGTGGATATCAAGGTCGTATTTGTTCTGGTTTGCGTGGAGATTCCTGCTTCATTATAACTTGGAGGATATTTAGAACACACTTTAACAATCTACATTTGTGCCGGCATGTAGATGAAAGATCTAACGAATCCCGTAACCGCTCTTTCTGTCCGAGAGACTCGCTCTCTCGTCGTTGACCAATATCCGGTCATCTGTGTCAAGATCCCAGGTTAAGCCGTGTTCCTTCATTCTCTTCGCTACCAAACTATATCCTATGACAGATTAATTGGGCAGCAATTAGGAAGAAGGCGAGTGCGACATGAAAATGTTGGATATTTGCAGTGAGAACGTTGTTTATGTGCAGTATAAACTCAAAGTATGAACAATGAAACAAGCCATCGTAACAGTAAAAGGGTATAGGAGTAAACGAATGAGAAAATAACACTTGATCAGCACCATATATTAACCCGTGCGACTGATCATAAGCGCAAACTCGCCAAAAGCCAGGTTCAAGCGAGCAAAAGTGATTTAGTTCAGCCACTGACTTTGTCAAAATTAGTTGGCAAATCCATGCCGCTCCTAGCAATGATAATATTAGTCATATTCACAGCCAGCAAAGAGCTTGGATGAGGTACCTCTTGTATTTTTGCTTGATATTGCGTGCCCGGTCCTTCATATTCACTTGGGTTCGACCGTTGAGCTTTGGCCCTCCATCAACAGCAGGACAGATTTGGTCCTGGCGCTGAATCACAGCCCATTGAGTGCCGTGTCGCGCTATGAGCATGATAAGACGTTCATCTTCCTCTTCACTCCATCTTCTCCGGGCACTGTGGCCAGTGGTATGGATAACAGGAGATGGATGTGATGATCTTATAGTGGAGTTTTCCGCGCGCCAACGAGATTCATGTCGAGCCGGGGCGGGACTGGGAACCTCGGATCTTGTCAGTTGCGACTGTTCTTGGCTGGCGGCTAGATCTTCATGCAGCTGTCCGGCAGGGCTAGCTTCCTCGTTGCTCACACGCTGCCGCTTCTCACTTGGGCGTGCTCGTTCGGGAATCTGAGCTCTGCGCTGGGAGATGTTGTGATCGCGAGTGTCCCGGTCAAAGTCATCATCATCGCTCGTCGTATCATCATCCGAATCTCCTCGGCCACGCTTTCGTGACGGGCCCAGACTGGTGGGAGGGGGTGGCATGCTTGGTCGCTTGGCAGGCTCGTGAGGGCTCCCTGCACCTTGAGAACCCTCGGAGCCTCCGGGCGAGAAGATAACCCTCGAGGCATTTGCTTGCCGATCGAAAACTGAACGGCGTGGTGATGATGGCTTTGCCTGAGCTGCCGAAGGACTATCAAAGAATCGGCCTGGATAGTGGCTGACTCGATTGATTCGCTCAGAGCCACGAGGGCTCGCAGACATGACTGCCTCATGTGGCTGATCAAAAACCAGATCGTCCTCAAGCGGATTGAAGGTAGGGTGATCATCCTGTGTAGTCGACCCCGCATGTTGAGGGGAGGCTGACCGATTAGTGGGAGGCTCGCGCTCGGGAGTCCCAGCGATTTCGTCGCGATCAGCAGTTACACTAATGCCCTGTGGGGAGTCCGGAACGACGGCGGCTTTTCCTTTCCCGGCATTTCCGGGCTGTGATTCCAATGTAGCCACATCTTGACGTCTGGCGTTGAGACTATTCGCAAGGTAGTCCATTGCATCAGCGGTACGCCAAATACTTGTAACAAAGGTTAGTGACGGGAGAGACAAAAATTCAGATCTAGAACATACCCTTTGTTTGATTTTCGCCTGCCTGGCACGCTCTGTGGCGATGGCTTCGGCGCTGGCTGTTCAGCCACTGGTTCTTCATGGACTTTATCTGGATGGGCTAGGTCTTCGCTTGCGCTCTCTTCGATTTCGACTTCTTCATTCTGGGTCACTTCACCTGGGCCCTCGTTCAATGTGGTGAGAGGTCCTGCATGGTTAGGATCCACGAGCGTTGAATGAACGGGCGATTCAACCCCGTTTGGATCCGCGCGACTATGAATCGCCTTGACCACCAACACTTGCACGTCATCCATCTTGGGCTGGAAAGCGATGGTCGCCTTGAATTCTTGCTCTCGCAACTGAACAAAGCGTGCAACACGCAGACAGAACCGGCGCCAGCTGAAGATTTTCTTAAGACCTTCCAAATCGAGATTATCATCATCATCAAAGAGAGAAGTCTCCAGCTCGTCGATGCGTACGCTGACCTCATCATGCAAACTGTCGGGAAGACAGCCATTCTCGTCTTCAAATGTCCCTGGAAGATTGAACCCTCGAAGGGAGCCAGCATTCAGCGACGAATCGTCAGCTTCATCAAGTGCAAGATCATGGTAAAATACCCCCTTTAGAACGGATTGGGCATTGAATCCTTTCTCGACTTGACGTTTCTCGAGCTCCGTGATGAAGAATTGCGTTCGAATTTCAAGAGCCAGGTCAACGGTGGCCTTCATGGCAGAGCTTCCACCACCTGTCAGCTTTTCCTTGGGTCGGACCATTTGACTCATGAAAGGAGCAGGGAATTGCCGATCGAGATTCTTGATCGCTTGCACCTGGGTTTGAGAACGAACGGCAGCGGAAAGAGTGCTTAGTGCTAGCCAAGCACAGTTTGCTCTGTAAAGGTATGGCCTTGGGTCCCATGGCTCAGGAGCGTCTTCAGTAGTGACAGATGGAATCATTTGAGACACACGGGCCACTTCGATATAGCTTTCACTGGTGAAAACCTTCATGCTGTCCGCCAGCTTTTTGTAGACGCGCTTGAACCGCTTATTGTCGGCATGAGCGGGAGTGGCAATCCGCTTTGCGACCTCGCAGATGCCCTTGGCATCTGAAGAGTTCGTGCCAACGAGCTCTAGCAGGCGAGTGGACGCCTGTTGAAGATCTGGCAGCTCGTCGGCCATGTCGACAGCATCGACTCCACCCTCCTCAGAGTCGGATTCAGAGCCATGATCCGAGTCATGAGCCAAAAAAGTCGTACCGGAAATGTTGGTATTGCCCTCCTCATGGGCTGGTGTGTCTGGCACTACCGAGGAGCTCACCCGTGAGGTTGGAGTGCGATGAGAGCTGATGGGCGATTGTTCAATCACCGGAGTCAGGTCTGCACAGGTTACGAATTAGTACTTCTTTCCCAAATTGAGTTGAAATAGGCCAACGCAAGTAGTAACAAGTCACGGGCTGCATGATCAAATATTGTTGACCATACACAAGGCCGAAAATAAGCAAGACTGATTTGCACAGGCTAAGATACAAGAAAGGAGTGATTCATGTAGAACTCACGTTTGACCCGAGCCCGACCTTGCAACCAGGCACGGGGGGCAGCCTTTGACGGAGACTGTTTTCCATAGTTCGGATCATTGAGTTCCCGACTCTGACTTCGGGTCACTCGCCGCTGAGGGGTGGCCCCCGCCGACTGTGGCATGTGGGCGGTGTGTTGTTCCCCAGCGCGTTGGTGCAGTCGGTGAAGCGGGTACCACGCGTTTGTTGATATGGGGACTCGGCACGTGTCCCTGAAGTGTTCAGAATAGAGACCACGTTCTCAACGATCAGTGGATATTTTGTATGCTGTGTGGGAAGGTGCAAAAGTAATTTTGACGCGAGGATAATTCAAGGGGAAGATTGTGTTTGGGGTGCTTAGGGTTGTTGGGCTTGTTGGCTTTTTCGGAGTCGGGGATTAGATGTTCCGGTAACACTAGTCTACTTTCAGGGTGGTCGTCACATATATACCAGAGGTTTCAGGCACCAAGGGCTAAAAAACCCTAATAACCTCAGGCATCAATAACTTTAAACAGCGGTTGCGAGCCGTGATATGTCTCCATCAAATTAAGAAGCATACAAATATTTTTAATTGATCATTCTCAGTTATCTGTCTTGATCATCGGCATTTTATTGAACGTTCGACGCGTGGGGAGTCGATCAAATATTCAGGCAGAAAACCCTAAGCCTTAAAACCCTATTTAAGATCTCCAGGCATCAACTTTATGCAGCGTCCGTGCGTCAAAAAAGTACACGACATAAGAGCCGGTCCAGTAGCATAAGGGAACTACGAGAACACAAGAGTAGATGCGGGCAACATAAGTCTCGGTATAAAGTAAAGGACACAGAATTTAAGAGACCCGCATACAGTCATTCTCAAGAACGGCTTCTCCCCATCTCGAATCTCAATTGTCGAATTGTTCCTTCATTCGTCGCAACGTGACTTTGTATGTTCTGCATTGCTCCATATCTCCACTATTCACGGTATGGGTATCTACGGTGCCGAACCAACACCATGTCCAACAGTCCGACAGGCTGCACCACACTCAACAATGGCCGCGTTTGGTCAACGCCTCAGATCATATTGTTTCTTGGTCTACGAAGCCATGTTGATAGGTTGCCTCAGACAAGACATGATGAAATTTCCGTCTGCCACCCTCCTAGTTGTGATGTCGAACATGCCTTTGGGCATAGTATAGGTGCTGCCGCGACGACATGCTGTAGTCGCTGAACTGCTTTACTTCGAGAGAGGACCTTTCCAGCTGAAATCCGTTCTCAACGCTCAAATCCAAGATTGAACGCCCGCCGCGAGCTACACGTGCAATGATAAGATTCACAAAATCGAGAAAAACGAATGCCTGGCTAATCATGCCTGCGCCAGTCACAATATTATATCATTAATAGAGAGATATTTTCACAAGACGTCTCTGACTTTACACCACGGTAAAACGCCCAAACTCGAAAAATGAAACACGCCAAGGTCGTAGATCATGCGACCGCCCACATGATGAGGTGTTAATACATGGCTTCTATGAAGTAAATAATACCGAAGATGAGGAAAGCCGTGGCACCGCCGAGAGTCACTGTGAATCAAGTATTAATGTTTGGAAAGACAGAAGTGGTTGTTGGAGAAAGTACTTACCGACTCGCAAGCTGACACGGCCAGCGATAGCTCGGCCGCCGATGACAGCCGCGGCAGTGCAAATGGCATGGCCGGTGATCGCGCCAACGGTCACCCACCAGTAATCTTGACCGGCAGCCATGGCGATGGTCGCAATCTGGCTACGGTCACCCCATTCGCCGAGGAATGTCATGACAAAAGTTTGAACCCATGCTGGGCTAAGTAGAAGAGAAAAGAGGTTGCTCACGCCATTCACCATGTCATTCAAGCGACGACGAGGGTAGGGAGATGAGCCACGGGAGGAAGACGAGGAGATGCTCTCGGGCGGAGAAGGCAGTCGGTTGGTAGAACCGCGCGACTTGGGACGACCACCAGCACGGCCAGCCTCGAGCGAATGAGGAGTGATCGAGGAGCGGCGACGGCCCATGCGGCGCTGCTCCTGCTCCTTCTCCTCCAGCTCCATCTCGACCTCGCGCATTTCCTCTCCAACGCCCTCGTCCGGAGACATCTCACGACCTTCCTTCAGCATCTTACCACCAAAGATGAGGAAGAGCACAGCCGCCAACAGCTTGGTGAGCGACTTGGGAATCAGGGTCGGAACGGCGTGGCCAAGAATGGCGGATAAGACGGTCATGATGAACAAAGCACAGAAGGCCGAGGAGAAGACAACCAGTCGTGGGTGTCTCATTGCCATGAGTGCCGCGACGAGGAAAGTCTTGTCACCGATCTCAGAGACGATGATCATGGTGAACGCAAAGACCAGAGAGTGTAGTCCATCGCTGTCTTCCGGAGAGATCTGAGTCGATGTCTTGTCGTAGGTAGAGGAGCCGGGGTATGATCCGGAGCCAGCGGAGCCGTGCTGGACAGCTAGAGGGTCATCCTTGGCTTGGGAGGGTGACTTGGGGTGGGGGATATCGTGGGGCTTGGTAGGCAGATCGGCCGGTTTCTATAAGAAAAAAAGGAATTAGCATCTGCCACAAGAGATTCCGTCCGTTGAGAGCGCAGTAAGTCATACCTCCAGCATTCCCAGCGTTCCAGCCTCATCGGCGGTGCGACCGCCAGTTCCCACGGTCGCATCGCTATCAGAGGATTGCTTCTGCTTCTCGCTATGCGGCAACGGAAGAGCCTCCTTGGGACTTCCAGGCACTTTCTCAGCATTGTACTGGTTCTCCTTTCCCTTTTCCGATACCCCTCCCTCGGTGCCTCTGGTGCCTGCTTTGGGGCCAGCCCGGTCTGGGTCATCCATCACACCACCATTGGAGTGCGGGATCACTTTTCCTTCGGCACTGAGGTGCTCCGACGAGGGAATTTTGAGGTCGTACTTCGTTGAAACCAGGTCGATATCATCACTGCCCTTGCTCTTGCGGTCGCGCTCCGCGGTGGTCTCCACCCACGGACCGGCATGCGGCCGGCCATCTTTGCCGTCTACTGGGGCGTCCAGCGACCCTTTGACAGCATTGGAAGATGCGATCGAGTCGGAATCGACATAGCGGGAATTCAGATCGGATGACGCACCGGCGACGCGAGCACTCGGTTGACTGACCGAGTTAAGGTCTGCCGCCGCAGTCGTCAGGGCGAGAAGGAGAAGAAGGACCAAAGACGGTGAAAATTGGATCTTCATGGTGGCGGCGGGCGGCCTCTACCGTAGAAATGAATGACTTGGGGGAAATTCTCGGTGCGATTGAGAAAATATCGAGAATTGGTGACCGCTTGTTCGAAAGAAGGTAACTGGAGTTGGTGGGTGGAGGAATGTAAGGACACGAGTGTCTGAAAACCGTTGCGGCCGTAGGCAGGTCAAGGTCGGCAGTGCACTCGAATGATGCACTCTGACGGGCGCGCGATGGCCAAAGGTATGGAAAATGTAAACAAGAAGTATATTAGAATCGTTAATGCAGATAAAAAGAACGCAGAACGAAGGAAGACACGACCAAAGAGGGCAACGAAAAAAAGGCTGCTGTGTTGTTGCTGCGGTCTGCAAAGGGGGCGATCCACGTGACCCCCCACCGGAAGCGGGCATACTGCCAATCGGCCAACGCTGATTGATCGACTGATCGACCGACCTGCACGTAGCCAGGCACTGGCTGGCACTGGCTAAGATTCTGCTCATGAAGCAAATATTGTCTATCTACTTGATAGCTCCCTATATTACTCGAGCTGTTCGCCTTGAACAGCAGCTTTGCAGTGATTACTCTCAAGTCATCTGACCATGAACGTCAGTGTAAGTTGAAACAACACCACTCCCGGATAGCCAGCCAACAAGATTAAGGAATACAAGAACTCCCCCAGAAGCCCCGGCGGACGTGTTCTATACACTGAATAAAGGGCTAATTTAGTTCGTAACAGGAGAAAGTCTGAGATTTGCGATCTTGATGGCTTCTGATTGACCATGTGAACTTCAACGCGTGGACAATCTCCTACGCATTGATCTATGATTTCTGCATCGCTATAACTACTCGAGACTGACAAGCCGACAAAAATAACGCCAATACAACATCACTGAAGGGCCCCAGAGACACTTACTGCACCCTAAGTGCAGTAAAAGCCTACCTCCGCCGAGGCTTAGTCCCATCAAGAAGTGAAGATCGCTCCAGAAGCGAGGCCTACTCAAACAGACGTGAAAATGGATTTTGACCAACTAGAGATGGGTATGTATCCCACATGGCTACTTGGGTTGTAGATGGTGATGCGAAAATCCTATTTCCGCGTGAGTGCTATAGCAAGTTTATGTCGACGATGGGGGCTAGGGGCCAATGGGGGCCAGTGACAGAGGATCGCAGAGGCTTGCAACAAAACCCAACTCTTTAGCTGTGCAGCTTTATGGGGCCGCCCGAAACTAACGCCACCAGGCACACCATGGGCTAGCCCCTGTCCGGCTGACTAGACTCAACAGTTGCTCGAAGAATACCTCTCCAGTATACGAGAGATCTCGACAGCAATGCTAGCCTATACACGAGAAAGCCAATATGCTGTTCTCCAAATAGTAGCAAAATTTAATTCTTCATGCAAGAAATGAACCGTGTCGTATCGGCACCCCACCAGATGCAAAAAATAGCATCATTCCAGGAACGACCGCCGCAGGTGGGGGCCACCCTATTGGCCCCCGCGAGTCGGCGCCTCGGATTCGAGCCGTGCATCTTCGTCAAAGCCTCGTCTCTTTCCCGTGTTCGTGTTCTTCCCACACCCTTCAGGGTCTTCTTTTGCCAGAAGATGGGATACTCGGCCCCCAGGACCGACAGTCTCAGGGCCAAAATATTTTCTTTGATCCACAAATAGAGTTGTATCCAAATACAACTGGGATGCTGGACCCTACAGTTCTCGGAGTAAGCTTCTACGGGGCCAAATTGAACAAACAGCTCCATCTAAGGGTATATAGGGTAGCCACTTTTCCTTAATGGAGGGTTAGAATTGTGATTCCTGTCTTTCACTTTCCATCCAAGCGAGCTGGTTCCTCTGCCTGGAATTTTCTTGAGCGTTCTCGGATAGATTATTGCCTTCTTCGATACACTAGACACCATGGGTCTGAAAAGCTTCCTGCTATCTGCTGCATTTGTTGCATCGTTGCAAGGGGTCCATGGCTCTATCTTTGCAGAGTCAACTCCCAAAGTGGCCGCTTACTTGAGTACGAAACATTCAAATTCTTTCTTCAGTGGATAGGCCTAACTTGATTTAGACGGTGGTGGTCAGGGTCTTGCAACCTTTTGCCAAAGTAAGTTGAGTCTTCTAGCGAGGAATGTTGACCTGCATCACTAATGTACATTCATAGATGCCAACGTTGATGTATGGATCAGTCTGCTACTCCTCGATAGAATCTGGATTTCTAACGAGTATCTAGATCATTCAACTAGCATTTGTGGACCAACTTGATACCGAGCCCCTGTCTACATCTCTCTCAACTATTCAAGGGTATGTAGTCCTGCTCGGCCGTCTGCAAATCATCATCTCACACATCAACAGTTGGGAGATTACACAATGCCAGAAGCAAGGCAAAACAATCCTCGTATCCCTCGGAGGAGCGACCTACCATCAAGCCGATAAACAAGGTGGCTGGAGCACTCCCGAGCTAGCCTCACAAATGGCCGACAAACTATGGAACAAATACGGTCCCGGTTCCAACGGCCAAGGCCCTTTCGGCACCGCAGTAATCGACGGATTCGACTTCGACTTCGAAGTCCCCATGACCAATCTTCCCGCTTTTACCAACCGCCTCATCACTCTCAAAGACACACTGACCAAGCCCTTCTACCTGACCGCCGCACCTCAATGCCAATGGCCAGACAAGAATCTCCAGACCGTGCTCGACTCCAACATGGGCGCTTTCGATGCCATCTTCGTCCAATTCTACAACAACCAGGAATGTGGTATTGGGGCCGGCTACCGGCGTCGCTCCCAGGGCCCATCTGCGCGTCGCTCCGGGCTCCTTGGGAACTTCAACCTTGCTCAATGGTTGACGTTGGCGTCGGAGAGCAATACAAAGTCGAACAGTAAATTCAAGGTGAAAACTGCCACTGCTGCTGGGTCAGGCGCCAATTCAACTAAGCCGAAGATCTTCGTCGGTGTTCCCGGTGGCACGGCGGGTACGGAGACTGCTAACAGTGGGTATGTTGACGTGAATACCTTGAAGCAGGCCATACAGGCGGTGACTTCTACGGGGAGTGCCAACTTTGGTGGTGTTTCGATTTGGAGTCTTCAGGTTGCTGTTAGCAATGGAAATTTCCTCGCGAATGTTAAGAGTATGTTGAATAGTTGGAAGTCATGAGTGTGAGACGCTTAGCTTTGATCACGGCGTTTGGGGTGCAAGTGACTACGGAAGATAAATGGCGTTTATGAAATCTTATTACATGATTGTTATTGCCTTTTGTATGATGTCAAACGAGTCGTGTCAAGTTCTTGGAGCTTCGTATATCCTTTGTTTTCTTTCCCGATTGTTCTTCTGTTGCTTTACTTGCTTCTCTGTGGAAGCCTCCCAAGACAACCCAAACAAACTGGACGGCAACACGAAGGATATCAAGGCCAACATCACTAAATTCCCCACCACATTGGCGTATAATGGTGTCCATTTACCCAGCCAACCATCGCTTACCATAAACCCCAAAATCTCAAGTGAAATATCTCTCGGTCAAACAAAAGTAGGCAAGATAGAGCAGTAGCTCATTATGGCACTGAGATTTTCTGCATAGTCAATCTGGCCCTGTGCGAGATCATCTTGAACCCAGACAGCCTGAATGAGTTTCTTGGTCAAGAATAGGAAGCACGAGGAGTCCCTCTTCCCTGTCCTGCTGATCAGATCCAAGACCGTCCGTCTTTCTGCATCGTTCCACGCCTCGCAGCTCAATATGAGCAGTGGGAACTGACGTTTGTATAGATCTCACTCTACTGCGACCGACAAGCTCCGAAAAGAACCGGCTTATATAGATACAAGACTGAGAGTCTAACATACTGGTTCTCGCCTTGAGTGGGCGAGCGACATTCCTCACTTGGTGCACAAAATCCGGCCTTGGTACCGAAGAGGAGTTACATCTCTAATGCTTGAGCTTGACACTGTTTTCCGGTTAGCTACACTTCTCATGCAATAGGTCATCAAGTGATCTTACCATTTGCCAGTAAGGTCCTTTATTCTGGAGCAACTCGTGATGCGTGCCTCTCTCCAAAATCTCCGTGCCAGGATTCGAGGCACTCTCACCAAAAACGAAGATATTATCTGCTTTCTGGATGGTGGCTAGTCTGTGTGCGACGGCGATGATTGTCATGTTGCGTTTCATGGCTAGACGCTCCAAGGCTTGTTGGATGAGTCTTTCAGACTGAGAGTCCAGACTGGAGGTTGCCTCGTCTAAAAGAAGAACGAGTGGCTGCCGGATAAGAGCTCGAGCAATACAGAGACGCTGTTTCTGACCCCCACTAAGAGATGCTTGGGCGTTGACACCAAGTTCTGTGGAGTATCCGCTAGGGAGAGACATGATGAAATCGTGGATTTCGGCGTCTTTGCATGCTTGCACCATATGTTCTTCCCTGAGCTGTTCGTCTGTGTTTTCGAGGCCAAGAAGTAGGTTGTCGTGAATAGTGCCATCGAAAAGCCTTGGCTCTTGTGCGACAAGAGAAATGTATCGTCGATAAGAAGACAGCTCAATTGATCGTATGTCTCGTCCATTGAGCATAATGGACCCGTGCGTGGTATCATAAAATCGTTCGAGAAGCGAAATGACGGTGGACTTCCCGGAGCCAGAAGGTCCAATAAATGCAACGAATTGTCCATTCGCAATAGACACGTTGAGATTCAGAAATGTCGGCACATTACGAGTACAGTATTGAAACGTGACATTTCTGAACTCGATATCTGCAGTGCAATCTTGATCGGGCGCGAAAAACGGTTCTTTCGGAGGCAGCTTGAGAATGCTTTCGGTCGTTGCTCGCGCACTCAATATGCGGCTAGTAGAGGCCTTGGCCTGAGCAATGTTGGGACCAAAGCTGAAGAATTGACCGGCTGACTGACCACCTTGAATGATAGCAATATATACCACAAAGAAAGCAGTAGTGTCGTATTCCCGAGACGCAAGCAACTGCCCACCGTACCAGAAGGTGAGAGCCATCGCGCATAGTTCAACACTATCCGAAAATGAGAAGATAAGCGTTGCATACCATGCTTTTCGAAGCGCCTTTTTCCTCTGTTGCTGTAGTAGATCCGCATAACGCTGAATGATATGCTCCTCCATCGTTAAAGAAGTGACAGTTCGGAACCCACGAATAGCTTCAGCGGCAAGCTTCGAACTGTCCTTGTAGACCTCCGCATTGAGAGACTCAAACATGATCTCGTAGCGAATGCGCATGAAGGCCGAGAGGAAGAGGAAAGGCATTGCGGCGAAAAATGTCACGGCCGCTAGCTTCCACCCAAAGATGAAAGATATTATGACACATCCAATGACATTGAATACCGAAATGAGGGGAAAGACCCCAGTGGGCCCAAAAAGCTCTTGGACCTGTCTTGGATCCGTTGACAGCCGGGCACCTAGACTGCCCGATGCATTTTCCTCACGGTCGAAGAATGAAACAGACTCACTGACAAGGTTGGAAAAATAATCCTTTCGATAGGCAGATACAATGAACTGGTTTAGGTTAGATTTGTTATGTTAAAGACGTAAAAGATAGACCGACCATTGAGATGGAGTTTGAGGCCCACCCGAGCATAAAGTAGAATGCGGCCATGGCGAGAGCAAGAATAAAGAACATGAGCGCCCAAAAATTGGCCGCATCAACAAGTTTCTGCCCAGTGTACTGGAATACTTTGACCAAATTTGCAAAAAGCCAGCTTTGCAATGCATACCCGGCTATAGAAACCAATGGGGTTAGTCTTGATCGTATAAGAAAAATATATAGCACTTACACCCTGCTCCTATGGCTCCCACGCCAATCAAGATGTACAGAATCCAGTGACTCCTTTGCTCCCAAGCTATGATCCCGAATGATCGGAAAAATCCAAATTTCTTTGCTCTTTGCTCCATAGGTGGAGCTTCGTTGTCTTCGATCTCGTGAATGTAGCCTTCTTCAGAGTTGATCTGTTCTTTCATCGGAAGTTCAGAATAGCCAGAGGATTCATCTTTTCCAAGATCTGTCAGTGGCTCAAGCTGCTGGGCATGAACCATGCTATGATATATTCCTTTGCTGTGTATGAGGTCCTCGTGTGTTCCATCTTCAATATTTAATCCGTCTCGAATCACTATGATTTTATCCGCTCGACGCACGGTGGAAAGGCGGTGCGCAATCATGATCGTAGTGCGGTCTTTTGATATGCGATCAAGAGCGGCTTGAACAACCTTCTCGCCACCCACATCAATAGAACTCGTTGCTTCATCAAATATCAGAATCGGAGGTCTTTTCACTATGCTTCGTGCAATGGCGAGTCGCTGGCGCTGTCCACCGCTTAGGGCGATTCCGCCTTCCCCAACGATGGTTGAGTAACCCTATCATAATTGTCAGTGCTGTCAGAATTTGCAAGATTGTAGGTATCATATAGGGTGTTAGATTTACCAGAGGAAGCCGTGTTATAAATTCGTCGGCGAAGGCCTCCTTGCACGCTTCCATGACAAGCTCCATTTTAGCATTATCTGATTCATTCTCCCATTTTGAACCTAAAAGCCCAAATGCGACATTGTTGTAGATTGACTCATTGAATAGGAACGGTTCCTGCTGAACAAGACCGATTTGAGACCTCCACCATTTCAGATCTAATTCAGTGATGTGGTGGTTTGCCACAGTGATTTCGCCTGGAAGCCTTGTATCTGTTGAGTCTGGCCGAGCTGTTTCGTCGAGGTGATACCATCTTTCAAGCAGAGCAACAACAGTGCTTTTCCCTGAACCGGAAGGTCCAACCAGGGCTGTTGTTTTGCCTGTCTGAAGGGTTGCACTGAAGCCGTTCAGGGCGTATATGGAAGGGCGCGTTGGATAAGCAAACGAAACATTGTGGAATATGATATCAGCTCGACTGTAGGCCTCTTGGTCGCTGATACCAGACGTTGCCACTGTCTCTGAGTCGATAATACTGAAGAATGCCGCAGATGCACCAATGGCTTTCGTAATTATCATGAGCGGGGAAGCAATGCCTCCCAGAACGGTGACAACGAGGAGTACGGAGAAGAAGACACTGTGAAATGGTTAAAAAAGCCCCATTCTGTGGAAAATCAGTGCAGGCGTGGTACTCACGTTATAACAGTATTGATGTTTGCAATGTGGCCCTCACGGTAGAGTTTTAATCCATACCAGAATGCCAACGCAAAGCTGACATACATGGCAAAGAATAGAAGCGCCAAGTGAATTCCCGAGACAGGTGACATTTTTAACCCTTCTTTTTTGGCATCATCAACTAACCGAGCAAACTTCTTGGTTAGAGGGCGCTCTGCACCAAGAGAGAAAACTGTACGAATAGAGCTGAACACATCAGCAGCGAGGGAGGCATGGTGGTTGTCCGCCTTATCAACTTTCTGCTGTAGCTTCACCAGAAATGGTACGGTCAAGGCGAAGCTGACAAGAACAAAGAGAATGGCAGAGCTGACAACCAGGGTGAGTGCCCAAGAGTATTTGAATGCAATAGCATATGCAGAGACAAGAAGTGCAAGAGATTGGAATAAGATCGAAAGACGGTCAGACACACTTTGTTGAATAGTGTTTGACAGGGCGGTTATTGAATTAGTTATTGTCCCCACAGATATCTCGTCTAGTCGACTGATAGGCTGTGCAAACAATGCCTTCGTGTATTCGAGACGCAGTGCCGCAGATGCATGCAAGCTGAATACTCGAAAGCAAATCTATTCCGCAACGGTGAGCGGCTATTCCCCAGATTCTTTTCGATAGATATCTGGCTTACCATTGAAACGTATGTCAATACAAATTTTCCAATGAACAGATATACGATGTAAAGACTGCAATCTAGGAAGTCAATTTTGCAAACCCAAGGATATCAGGTGAGGCGAGACGAGACGAGACGCACCTGCTTTTGTTGATTGAAGCCTTGAAAGCTTCTTCGCTTGGAGCAGCACCCGGAATGAAATATTGATTGAAATCACCAACAAGGCTACCAAAAACAATGTTCATTAATGGCAAGGCCAGAGAGGCTGTCAGCTGTAAAGTCAGACACATTAAGAATTTGCCTGACATACCACTCCAGACCCCATTGCACATATCGTCCCCAGGATAACGAGAAAGATGCGACCATCTTGAGCGCCATAAGAAAGTATTCTCTATGTCAGTGTTAGAATGCCGGAATACGCAGGATCGAGGTCTGACACAGTACAATATAGTTCTTAAAAGGAGGAGATTCCTTGCTCCCTTTGCTGTCATTCTCGACCTGAATATCGACTCTCTCCTTTGGGAGAGAAGGTGATGAGGATGATTCCATATCGGCTGTTGTCGCCATTGTCTCAGTCTGATGGGCGGAGCGGTTTGAATATGGATCTCACGCCGTGCTCCTCGTACCCGTTTTTACAGGTGTGGTGACCGGCGGGATTCAATCGTTCAGTGAGTGCAGAGACAAAGGGACAAAGCACATACTACTCAAGATTGGCCAACCCCAGAGCATTGGCCAAGTGGAGGCATCATACACGACCTACAACTTTGGTTGGTGGCGCAACCTTTTTGCGTTTAAAGTGCGGGTCTGCCCGTGTGGCTGTTAGGATCCAGTTTGTGACGCTGCAAAACCTGAACTTGTCAATAGCAGCCATTTAGAAATTACTTACGACAGCTATTTCGCTGCATTTTTTTTAAGGATTCAGTGTCAGTGATGCTTGCAAGACTGTGGTGGCAAATTCTATGGATTATGTTTTCTAGAATCACTCGACGTCAGGCGGTCGCTCGTAGTATGGAGTAATCTGGTTGAAATTGGGTGGTTTTGTGCCATATAGAAAGGCGGGAATGGTGGATACGTGTGCATAGTGGCCGTTCATTAATATTTGGATCGCGGTACTTCTGCCCACTAGCAAAAAGATAGGCGGTGCAGGTACCTTGGTCCAAATATATTACCAAGGGAATTCAATACGTATTGAGATTACATTTTCTTTCCTGAACGTTAACCCCCAGCCCCACCGACCGACTCTACCAGATCGTCTGTGCTTCCCCAGGTTCGCCGCTGGGTCTGAGGTAGCCCCGCAGCCTATCAAAACCCCAAGGTAAGGCGATCAAGAAGTCTATAGAATCTATTTTGGTCTCGAATTCTAATTCAAATGCTCCGAATGTAACCTAACCTCCACTCCGTAAAATCACCTCATAACACAGAGCTCGGATATCGTCATGGACTTTTCGCATAGAGGTCTCAAATCCAGCTACGGCTAAGGGATGAGTTTGGATATGATTGAACCATTTGAGTACACGGATGGCGCCGGGATCTTGTACATGACCTCATGTACTCATATCCCACCAATAGCCCATCTCAGTCTTGTCTGAGGCGACAACTGTAGGGATAGTCCGCCATCTGACCAGGCCGTTGAAGGGTAGCTTGCCGCCATAAAAGAATCAGGCTTCTTGCATTGCCTACTCTTTTAGTTCAAAATAACATCAATTACTTATTGCCAATTTTCAAAACCATCAATCTGACGTGAACTCACGTCGAGAGTCGAATAGGTGCTTAAGCGTGTTTAGCACTTTCGACATCATGGATACCAGAAGCACACTTCTTTATTCCGATCGCCATGGGTTAGGCTTAGGGTATAGTGCCGAGTCCGGTATATCAGAGGAAAGCCATGTCAAAACCAAGTCTATCATAGAAGGAGAAACGGTCATCTCGATCGCAGAGGCACCACCAACTCCACCCCAAGATGACGATCTTATGGAACAGGTGGCCGCTCAGTGTCGTTGCGGAGTGGAAGAGCTAGAAGATGTGTATTCATGTACTGCGCTTCAGGAAGGGATGATGGCAACGACTGTGAAAGACCCGACTGCTTATACGGTGGAGTATGAGTTTCACCTTGCGGCGGGCATTGATCCCAAACGTCTCCAAGAGGCGTGGAATCAGACTGCGCAGGCCAATCCCATTCTTCGAACGCGAATCGTTCCGACCAGCAACCGCGGCGTAATTCAAGCTGTCGTTAAAGGGGCAATCCCGTGGCAGGAACAATCTGACGACGATGGTATGCCCAGTGTCAGGAACAGCGTGGCTTGGCAGGCAGGCGCACCTCTGGTCTACTTAACACGAAACCTAACAAAGCATACTTTGACTATGATGATCCACCATTCTATCTGCGATGACTGGTCGATCGCACTGGTTCTGCGTCAGGTAGACGAGGCATATCGAGGCCGAGAATTAATTTCCCGTCCTTTCCGACCCTTTGTTGAATATGTCCAATCCACTCGCAGAGAAGCAGACGCATTCTGGCAAGAACAGTTTCGGGATGCGCACCAAACTTCCATGACGTCCTTTCCTCATCTCCCAACTACTGGATACATTGCTCGGCCAACATGCCAGGTCGAAAAGACTTTCGAGATTAAACCAAGCTCTGGCGCTGGCTTCACGGTCAATACCAAGCTACGTCTGGCCTGGGCAGTGCTACAATCTCTCTCCACAGGTTCTGATGACGTGCTATTTGGTACCGTGAATTCTGGCCGGGGAGTGTCAGTTCCTGAGGTCCAGGAACTGAGCGGGCCTGCGGTCGCCACAGTGCCAGTACGCATCCGTTTATCTCCAAAAGATACAGTGGCTGAGACCCTCGCAATTGTACAAGAGCAATGGGCAGCCGCAATGGAATATGAACAAGTTGGATTGCAGAATCTACTTCATCTTGGTCCAGGCCCTGAAGCGGCTTGCAAATTTCAGACATTGCTATCTGTGGAACCACGCGACGGCCATCAATTGCCCTCATTATTCTCTCGATATCAATCAACGCAGAGGAATTATGACCTCTTTGCGTTGGTTCTTCGATGTCGCCCTTCTAGTAGCGCTTTATGGATTGAGGCGCGTTTCGACCCGGGGGTAGTAGATATTCGGCAAATCGAACGGACTCTCTCTCAACTGGCCCATATATACGAACAAATTGACGAAGAGTCCGACTTACCGCTCGCTGAAATTGATCCAGTAAGCTCCGAGGATCGAGAGGAAATGGCACGGTGGAACAAGACTTCGACCACTCAAAGCACCCCGCCATGTGTGCATGAGCTGATTCGTCAGCGGACAGAACAGCAGCCACAAGCACTTGCGATTAACAGCTGGGATGGTGACTTTTCGTATCTCAGGCTGGACGAAGTATCATCTGCCTTGGCTGTTGAGCTATTGCGGCAATCTATTTGCAGTGGCATGTTCGTGCCTATCTGTCTAGGCAAATCAAAGTGGACAGCAGTGACCATGCTTGCGCTGATGAAGGTCGGCGCTGCGTTCGTGCTGCTGGATCCGTCATATCCTGTGTCTCGTATGCGCCACATGTGTGAGAGTCTGAAGGCAACTTTGATAGTGACTTCGAAAGCCAACATTGGTGTGGCATCTCAGCTGAATGTGGCAACGACCTTGATGGTCGATAGCCTCAATCTGGAGGAGTCTAGCACAGTTCCTGCTCCCTCATCATCCATCTCACCATCTGATCCGATCTATGCTACATTCACATCTGGGTCTACGGGTCATCCTAAATGTGTGATAGTTCATCACGCTGGCTATGCATCCAGCTCCTTGGCACATGGAAAGCCATATCACTTTGCAGAAGACTCGCGAGTTTTGCAATTTGCATCGCCGGCATTTGATTCATGCATCATCGAGCACCTCTCTACGTTGATTAGGGGAGGTTGTGTGTGTATCCCCTCCTCTGCAGATTGTTCAAGCCGACTCGCAGAAGCGATGAACGAATTCGCTGTTAACGTGGCCTGCTTAACACCAACTGTCACTCGAATCCTGAATCCAAAACTTATGAGAACTCTGAAAGTTTTGGCATTTGTCGGCGAGGCCGTATTGTCAAGCGATGTGGCCCGCTGGAAATCGCATGTACAGGTCTGCAACGCGTATGGCCCTGCTGAGTGTTCGGCAGTCTTCAGCGTTCAGCCCCAGCTTCGCTTAGAGGATCCAGCCAATATTGGATTCCCCACTGGAGGTATTGGCTGGGTTGTCAACCCCGAGAATCATAACCGTCTCATGCCTTTGGGGTGCCCCGGTGAGCTGGTGATTGAAGGAGTGATTGTCGGCAACGGATATCTGGCAAATCCCGAGCAAACAGCGAAGGCCTTCATTGATGCCCCTCCTTGGCGAAGACAATTTGGAGGCGTACCACTTCGTCCATTGTATAAGACTGGAGATCTGGTGCAGCACTCGGGAGATGGCAGTTTCCGGTATCTCGGCCGCAAGGACACACAAGTAAAACTTCACGGCCAAAGGTTGGAGTTGGCGGATATTGAACATCATCTCTGCCAGGCGTTTCCTCTGGCGGAGCACGCCGTTGCAGAGATGCTTCGGTCATCCGCGAACGACGGGCGCCCAGAGGCTCTTCTCGTTGCTTTCATCTGTTTCCCTTCAGCATCAATATCAAAGGAGGAAATGCAAGGCGAGGAGCTGCTTTTGCTCCCTAGTACGGAATTTCGGGCAGCATGCGCCGTGGCCGAGTCTCGCTTATCCGAAGCCCTTCCATCTTTCATGGTACCTGCAGTCTTCCTCCCAGTCTCTCATATTCCTGTGACAGCATCCGGCAAGACAAACCGACGTGGGCTCCGGGAACAGGTAGAACGTCTGTCCTGGGAAATGATGCAGGAATATCGAGTGGCCCAAGCGAAGCCGCAATCACCTTCAGGGGAACGTGAAGAGCAGTTGCAGCAAATCTGGGCGCAAACTTTAAATCGGCCAGCAAATCAGATTGGAGTGAACGAGAGCTTTTTCCGTCTCGGAGGCGATTCAGTGAGCGCCATGCAAGTCGCTGCAAGCTGCCAGACTGCCGGTCTGAACGTGATGGTGGCAGACATCTTCCGATTCCCCAGTATCAGTAAGCTGGCCCAGAAGATCCAGGAATCGAGCAGCCCACAATCTCAAATCAAACCTCCCGAGGAAGATGATACCGAAACTTGGTTCAATCTGTCGCCAATACAACAGCTGTTCTTCGAACATGTCCCAGATGGGCATAATGGGTTCACGCAGGAATTTCTTCTTCGAGTCGCCAAGCCAGCTTCAGCTTCCAAGATTCATGATGCGGTCTTGGAATTGACATCGCGGCATGCAATGCTTCGTGCTTGCTATAGGCAAAATGACGACGGAGATTGGGAGCAAATTGTAGGCAAAGATGCTGTCAAAAGCTTCCAATTCCGGGAGCATCAAGTTTCTTCCATCGACGAATATGCCGCACTACGAAACATTTTCAGTGACAGCCAAGGCACACTTAATATCGAAGATGGCCCTATGTTGATGGTTGATCTCATCGAAACAGAGACAAATGAACAATTTCTTGGGCTGATGGCACATCACCTGGTCATCGATTTGGTGTCCTGGCGCGTGCTGTTGCAGGATCTTGAGGATATTCTCACCACTGGTCGGCCTCTGCAGCCATCATCTATGTCATTCCAACAGTGGTGCCGCTTACAGCAAGAATACGCAGAACAGTCGCTCGATCCTGAATCAGCCCTTTCGACAGACATTCCTGCTGTTCCTCTTCGGTACTGGGGACCACCAACTAAACTGGCCAATAACACATGGGCGGAAACAGTCGAGAAATCCATTAGTATTTCTCGGGAATCAACACAGCTGATCCTCGGTGCTGCCAACGACGCTTTTCACACTCGCCCTGTCGAAATTATTCAAACTGCGGTGCTCTATGCTTTCGTTCAGGCTTTTGACAATAGACCCGCCCCTGCCATATTCAGTGAGGGTCATGGACGGGAGCCTTGGGATCCATCGATCGATATATCCCGCACCGTTGGTTGGTTCACCACTATTGCACCTGTCTTCATCAAAGCAAAGAAAGATCAAGATTTTACAGAACTTCTTGAGCTCACCAAGGATGCCCGTCGAGCCATCCCACGAAATGGATGGGCCTATTTTGCCTCGCGCTATCTTCACTCAGAAGGCATGAACTACTTCGCATCTCATTCTCCGATGGAGATTCTGTTCAACTACACCGGCTTGTTCCAGCAGCTGGAGCGCCCCGGTGCCCTTCTTCAGTTGCAGTCAGTTCCTGATCAGGGGTTGATACCGATGCCTGTTGACTTGCCACGATTTGCGCTGATTGATGTGACTGCGAGTGTGACCAATGGATGTCTGAATATTGCGTTTGTTTACAACAAAAACCTGAAGAACCAAGACCGACTGGGTAGATGGACTGAGTCCTGCCAAAGTATTCTTCAAGAGGTGCCGAATATGCTACAGAAAGGACGGCGACTCACCGTGTCGGATTTCCCATTGCTGCAACAGATCAGCAATGATCAATTCCAGGAGCTTCTACTCCAGATCTCCCGTCAGCTCGATGTTTCTGCATCTGACATTGAAGATATATACCCCTGCTCCCATATCCAGCTCGGTATGTGGCTGAGCCATGCGAAAAATCCGCAGATGTATTGGTCCCACATTCGGTGGGTTGTGCATCGTGCATCGAGCGACTCTCCACCCGTCAATGTTTCCAGACTCAAGGACGCATGGCAGCAAGTTGTTGAGCGCCACCCCATTTTGCGTACAGTATTCACAGAGAACAATGGAGAAAGCAGCCTTCAGGTGGTATTGAAGTCATCTCAAGGCGAAATTGAAGTTTTGTCTCAGTCAGAAGAGATCTCAACTGAGCACGAAGCTCTACCACCTCCATCCTATGACTCCATGTTGAATCAACATCACTTGAGCCAAAGTGGGCACCCACCTCACCAGCTGAGACTCACGATTCAACCCACTGGCGACGTGTTATGCGAACTAAGCATTCACCATATGCTCGTTGACGGCATGACCTGGCAAATATTACTGTCTGATTTTCATCGTGCGTATCACAATCACCCAAAAAGTACACCAGCGGGTGCGTACAGAGAATATCTCCGGTATCTGCAAGATCATCATCGAACAGATTCCGAGGCGTACTGGAAACAGTACTTGGATGGCGCGAATGCATGCATCTTCCCGTCTCTGGCGACTGAAAACATGGGAACTGAACCATCCACACTCAAACTGTTACCCTTCAACACCAGAATCGCACGTCATCTACAATATTTCTGCCAACACCAGGGAATTACCGTTTCGAGTCTCTTGCAAGTAGCGTGGGGCATTGTCCTCGGATCATATACTGGCTCCGAGTCGGTGTGTTTCGGTTACTTGAATTCCTGTCGCGATATCCCCGTGCCTCATGTCCGCGAGATGCCGGGACCATTGATCAATCTCCTCATATGTCGTCTGTGTTTGAATGACGATGAACCATTGTTGCAGACTCTACAGGAAAATCAGGACGCACATGCTCAAAATCTCGAGCATCAGCATTGCTCTCTGGCAGAAGTCATACACTCCTTGAATCTAGCATGCCAGCCGCTATTCAACACTGCCATGTCACTACAGAGAGAAGCTGCACAGACTATTTCCAAGGACTACCCGTCTGAAATTGCCCTTGAAGGCCCATTAGGAATTGATTCAACTGAGGTTCGTATCTGCATATATGATAAAGTGTTTACGCGCGATATACTGACATCTTCAAGTATGACCTCACGGTCAACATAATAGTCGGGGATGAGACCATCAGTGGCGATTTGACCTACTGGTCTCACCTTATGACTGAAGCACAGGCCGAGATGGTATCCGATACCTATTTCCACGTGTTATCCCAGATCATCGATCCTACCAATCAATCGCTTAGCCATGTAAAGCTGTTGGGCCCGAAGACTCACGACCGGCTTGCTGAATTGAACCGTCAATTGCCACAGCCTATTGAGAGCTGTATCCATACGGACATTCAGAAGTATTCTCTGACCCATCGAGCTGAACCTGCGCTCTGCGATGCAGATGGTGTATTGACATACGGCGAGCTAGAGGATGCCTCATCCTCATTGGCCCAGTATCTCGTGAGCAATGGTGTTGGCCCGGAAGTTTTCGTACCTGTTTGCTGTGAAAAGTCCCGATGGGTTGTGGTGGCCGTCTTAGCAGCCCTGAAGGCTGGAGGGGCTTTCATCCTGCTGGATCCGTCGCACCCCGCAGAGCGGCTGCGTGGAATGTTGCAGCAGGATTTCTCGTGCCCCATTATTTTGACCACTTCCAAACATGTGGGGCTGGCAAGCAGTATTGTTTCAAATGCCGTTGAAATAGATACTCAAAGCAAGTACTATTCTGGTTCAATCGAGCTACCACCGGGCCACCCGAGGTCTGCAGCTTATGTTGTTTTTACCTCCGGATCGACTGGAAAGCCGAAAGCAAGCGTTATTGAGCACCAATCATTCCGATCTGCGGCCGAGGCACATTCGGCCAGGCTGAACCTATGTGCAAGCTCCCGCGTGCTTCAATTTGCATCCTATGCATTTGATGCTAGTGTCGTGGAAATTCTCACTACACTTATCGTGGGCGGGTGTATATGTATTCCGAGCGAGCTTGACAGAATCCAGAGGTTGCCTCAAATCATAAACGACCTACAGGTGACGTGGGCTCTTCTCACACCGTCGGTGGCACGGACTCTGAATCCTTTGCAAGCCCCGACTTTGAAGACCCTCGTTCTTGGTGGGGAGGGCATGAGCGAGAATGATGTCTCCCGATGGTCATCTCATGTCCACTTGATGAACGCCTACGGTCCTTCTGAGTGCTCGGTTATTGCCACTGCCCAAACATCTCCACGGTGCCTCTCCGAAGACCCGGGCAATATTGGTTTCCCAGTCGGATGCCTCGCTTGGATAGTTAGTCCTCATACCCCTGAGAAGCTTGTGCCCATTGGAGCCGTTGGTGAGCTTCTGATAGAGGGACCTATCGTTGGTCGGGGATACATGAAACGACCGGAGCAAACCGCAGATGCTTTCCCGCCTGACCCTGAATGGCTCATTAAGCTACGTGGTACTCAACGGGGCCGTATTTATAGAACTGGCGACCTAGCCCGGCTCTTCCCAGACGGATCTATCCACTATGTGGGACGGAAGGATCGGCAAGTCAAGCTACATGGTCAGCGCATTGAATTAGGGGAGATCGAATACCAGATCCAACAGTGTTGGCCTGAAAGCAACTCACAAGTTTTTGCGGATCTAATCAGTCCTGCTGAATCTAAAAATACATATGTGGTTGCCACTATTGCCTCCACTGAGCACAATGGGAAGGACGGCGAATTTGAAGAGGCTGCACAGGCTGCCGAGCTTCAACTCCAAGGCCGTGTTCCCAGTTTCCTGATTCCATATGCATTTTTGCACATTGCTCAAATCCCCCGACTGCTCAATGGAAAGGTCGATCGGCGTCAATTGCGTGAGCATGCGTCGCGCGGACTGCAAGTACGAATCAATAAGAAAGAGGGTAGCCCAATGTCAAAACAGCAGAGACAACTCACCAAAAATGAGCAAATATTGCAGCAACTATGGGCCCGGGTTCTACACCGTGAAGCTGACAGCATCGGCCCGGATGATAACTTCTTCCGCTTAGGGGGAGATTCGATCTTGGTCATGAAACTGGCATCTCTGGCTGGAGATCAGGGACTGAAGATTCGCGTGCCAGACGTCTTCTTGCATCCCAGATTAAAAGACCTGGCACGAATTCGGTTACCCAATCAACAGGCACAGACGATCACACCAGAAGTACCTGGAACGAGTGAAGAAGCATCTGTCGAGCCTCCATTCTCCCTTCTCCCTCCAGAGCAGAGAGCTTCGGCTCAAGAGGAAGCAGCAAGGCAATGTGGGGTCCCAGCAGACGCCATTGAAACCATATATCCTTGCACTGCACTACAAGCAGGTCTGGCCGCGTTGACTGCGGAACGACCGGGATCGTACATCGCCCACCATCGTTTCAGGTTAGCCTCCAATATCGACATAGACAGGCTCAAGGCAGCGTGGGAAAGAGTCTCTGCGAGAATTGATATTCTCCGCACCAGGCTCATTCAAACAGAGTTTGGATGTTTGCAAGCAGTTGTTCGCGACTGCAACCTCGTTTGGATAGTTCCTGGCAGCAATGATCAAAAGTTGTCGTGGGAGATGGTTTTCGGCCAACCCCTAATCCAATTTGAGATTTATCCCGCTTCCGACGTTGAACTCCATATTACTCTGCACCATGCAGTCTACGACGCCTGGTCGCTTCCACTTCTTATTCAGTGGGCAGAGTTGGCGTATGACAACCTCGAGTCGCCGAAATTGCACTGTACCCCCTTCCAGACATTCATTCAATATACCATGAGTCAAAAAGAGGAATCTTTGAAATACTGGCGAGATCATCTACGTGATTGCGAGGCTGACCAATTCCCTGCCCTTCCATTCCCGTCATATCGGCCACGGTCGTCCAAGAAAGTCCAGCGCGCCATTAGGACCGGACCGCTGATGGATGACCTGATCAGCCGAACAACTGCAGTCAGACTCTCCTGGGCTTTGGTACAATCACAGTATCAGAGCAGTGACGATGTTGTTTTTGGAATAGTCTCTTCTGGCCGCTCTGCGCCAGTCCGTGGGATTGAGATGGTGGCAGGCCCGACGATTGCCACAATACCTCTGTCCTTTTCTATCAAAAAGGACGTGATAATATCACAGGCGCTCGCAGATCTACAAGAACAAATACTGCAAGTTACCCCCTACGAGCAAGTGGGATTATCGCAAATAGCTGCCTTGGGGCCTGGGGCGATGCAAGCATGCTCGTTCCAAACACTGCTTATTGAAGGGCGAGCCGAGGCCGAAGGCGAGCAGTCTGAAATTGCGCGACCCATCAAAACTACCTCTGATGAGGAAGGGACGAACGCATATGTTCTTGAATTGACCATAATCTTGGGAAAAGAGGAAGTCACTGTGGAAGCTGCCTTCGATGAATCAGTTCTGCCAGAATGGCAAACCCAGCGAATCTTGGAACATTTTGGCTATATCTTGCAACGTGTTCACGCCGAGCCTCAACGACTCCTTGGAAGCATATCAACAGTCAATTCACTGGACCTTGATGAGCTCAAATCATGGAATAGGGAGTTTCCTTCCTTAGACCCACGGACGGTGATTGCAGGGATTCAAGAGCATTCCTCCACCCGGCCATGCGCACCAGCTGTCTGTGCCTGGGATGGCAAATTCTCCTATGGGGAGCTGGATGCCAGATCCAACACTCTCGCTAGCATTCTGCAGTCTCACGGGGTTGAGCCGGAAAGTTTCGTTCCAATTTATCTTGACCGGTCGCGATGGACTGCTGTTGCAGTGTTAGCGGTTCTTAAGCTCGGTGCCGCGTTCGTTCTGCTTGATACAGGCCACCCCCACATGCGACTATGCACAATTTGCGAAGAACTCCAGCCTTCCGTCATAATTACATCCATAGGTCTCCATGCAGCAGCACAATCTATGGTGCCAAATACCGTGGTGGTGACGGAAGCTGCTCTCAGCGGGGGTCCTCGTAAATTGACAAGAGCTCAGCTTGGCCCACATCAGGCGCTCTACGCGGTCTTTACTTCCGGTTCGACAGGAAAGCCAAAAGCAGCCGTGGTTGAAAATGGCTCCTTTGTCACGATGGCAACTCCATATGCGAAGGAGCTGGGGCTGGGCCCCGATTCCCGTATGCTCCACTTTTCATCGTATGCTTTTGATGTTAGCATCCTCGAGATTCTCGGAACGCTGTTCATTGGGGGTTGCGTATGTATCTTGTCAGAATCGGAACGGAGAGACCATCTGAGACGGGCTATCACCGAACTGCAGCCATCTCATGCCATATTGACACCGTCTGTGCTGCGAGCGATCACACCGCTGGATGTGAGCTCCGTGCATACTATTATGCTAATAGGAGAGCCAGTCCGTACTAGTGACATCGAGCAATGGGCGGATAGGGTGCACCTACTGAACACATATGGTCCCGCCGAGTGCACTGTCGTATTTACCCTGCAAAGATCCCCTAAGGCTGATGGTAATGCTGCCAACATTGGATTCGCCATCGCAGGTGCGACGTGGGTAACTGATCCTAGAGATCCCCATCACTTGGCTCCCATCGGCGCAGTTGGTGAGCTTCTTCTGGAGGGCCCACTTGTCGGCCGGGGATACCTAAACAATGCAGAGAAGACAGATGCCGCATTCATTCCATCTCCATGCTGGATGCAGGAATTGTTTGGATCGGAGGTGTCCTCGAGGCCCAGTCCCCGTCTCTACCGTACAGGTGATCTAGTGCGGTACGAGGAAGACGGATCTCTCTGTTTTGTGGGGCGCAGGGACTGCCAAGTGAAGCTACGAGGCCAGCGATTTGAGCTAGGAGAGGTGGAAGCTCAAGTCCAGCAGAACTTTCCTGGCAATGTGGAAGATATAGCAGCACAAGTCATCACGCCTTTAGGAGCAGTGAAGACTCCATGCTTGGCTGTGTTCCTTGCACTGAAGGACGAGACCGATCCTCTTCAGCCTCCTGCCTCCTCATCGATCCCGACGCTGGACGTTGTAGTGCCGGTCAATTTCGGGGAAAAGGTTAAGACTCTGAACAGCCGCCTTGAAAATGTTCTGCCCGAATACATGATTCCCAGCGTCTTTGTGCCCCTAAAGCACCTTCCTCGCAGCATCGGCGGCAAAATTGACCGCCGAAAATTACGAGAGTCGGCCGCAAAGGTGTCACGGCAAGAGTTGAATGCGTTGTTTGTATCCGAGTCATCGGAGACGAGGCGCTTCGTGGCCACTTCAGCAGAGCGCACTTTGCAGCAAATCTGGGCCCGAGCATTGGGCATCGCTGTAGAGAGGATTGGCGTTGAGGATAGCTTCTTCCGTCTGGGCGGGGATTCTATTTCAGCCCTCCAGGCCACGTCTCAAGCACGCGCTGTGGATATTCACCACTCGGTTGGAGATTTGTTCCAATGGAGAAACATCCTACAAATTGCCAAGCGATTTTCACAGTCCAGTAAAGCCCAAACCGACTCGGATGACCCCAACGTGGATGAGATAATTCCTTGCACACCGGCACAGCGAGGAATCCTTATCGAGCAGATGCAAGTCGAACATCGATATGCCGCTCATTTTATTTGGCATGTCACAGGCAGAGACGGCTCGATTGATGTGGACCGCCTCGCGATGGCCTGGAAAGCAGTCATTTCTAAACATTCCGCCCTTCGAGCCACATTCCGGCAACATCCAAGCGATGATAGTCAATTTGAGCAGGTCTTGCTCCGTGAAATCGAGGCCCCGATTGCTATAGTGCACACGGAGAGCGACAGCAAAAATAACGATGTCGATGACATGCAGGTGCCCGTGGCCCTCAGTGCTTCGTCCGCGGACATAACTTGGCGTAGCGACGGCCCATTTGTACCACACAAACTGACTATCCATGTCAACCGCTCGGGGGACGTCTTCTGTCGACTTGACATCAACCATGTCATTCTGGATGGCAAATCCTTAGCCGTTCTCGAGGTGGATCTCTGCCATGCATATGATGCACAACTGGCCGGAACGCCCCAGCCTGATCCGTACCGGGAATACATCAAATTTGTTCAAAATGAACCACACGAGGAAGCCCGCGAATACTGGAGATCTTATTTGAAGAACATGCAACCGTTGGATCTTCCTCGACCAAAAGCACCAGCGCCATCTTCTGAATCATCAGTAGGGACCCGGGAACGCTTGGAAGTATCGCTGAACGCCCGTGGCGGCGATATCGAGTCAATGTGTCGTTCCACAGACTGGACCCCATCCAACCTTGTCTATTTTGCCTGGGCATTGACTCTATCAGCATTTTCGCTCTCTGATGATGTAAGCTTTGCTATTTCAACGTCTGGAAGGTTGATTCCAGTCGCTCATATCGATGGTGCGATTGGCCAGTTTTCAAACATGGCAATCTGCCGAGTGAGAATGACACCAGACATCACCCTGAATGACATTGCTCTTGGCATGCAGCAGGATTACTCTCAAGTCCTGGCTTATCAGTCATTCCCCTTAGCAGAGATTTCACGCGCTGCTAATGTTCCCGTGGAGGCCGTAGCCTCCTCCGCCGTCATTGTTCACTATCCACTGCCAGCGGACATGGTCGCACCTCTAGAAACATTTTCTATTCAACTTACGCAGCGGCAAGTGCTGGACCCTGGAGTTGTAAGTATTGACAATCCTCAAAGCTTTCCTCACATGCCTCGCCCGGGTTTGGTCTGACTGGTTTCTGATGCAGCACGATATTGCGTTATACGCCGTGTTCGAGGACGACGGCCTGATTCGTGCGTCCCTGACGTATCAGCCTTCTCGTGTCGCACCATCCCTAGCCACCCAATTAGGTGATTATTTCAATTTTGCAGTCTCAGAAATCCTGCGACGACCATACGCTTCACTTGGCAATTTGGACCTCCTAAGCCCACAAGATCAGAAACGTCTGTCATGCTGGAATGGTGTTCTGCCAGTTCCGTCACCTCTTTGCATACATGAGTTTATACAAAGGAATGCAAGCAAGCGGCCGAGTCATCAAGCTGTGACAAGCTGGGACGGAAAATTCACCTACAGCGAGGTAGACCAGCTAGGATCACAACTGGCCACACGCCTGAAGAAGCGAGGGCTCTGCGATTCTCAAATTGTCCCCCTATGTTTTGAGAAGTCCCGGTGGGCTATCATTGCTATGGTAGCCGTGATGAAGGCTGGAGGAACTTTTGTTCCACTAGATCCCTTGCAGCCGATAGAGAGGTTGCGGGAGATTTGCCGTCATGTGCATCCAACCTTCATTCTCACATCCAAGGCTCAAGCCAATCTAAGCCAACTTCTTGCTGAAGAGGTTGTTGAGGTCGGCGAAGACTTGACTCTTGACGTCTCTGAGGGCGGCTCTTCCTATTCTCACCTCAGCCAGCCCGCCAAACCAGAGCAAGCAGCATACATACTCTTCACCTCTGGAAGTACCGGGAAACCGAAGGGTGTCATGATATCACATTCTGCATATACCGTCTCGGCAGAGAGACAGATCCAAGCGTTCAAGCTGGATTCCTCTTCCCGAGTGCTACAGGCCTCCTCATATGCATTCGATGTCTCTATGGCAGAGATTCTCACCACTCTCATGGCCGGAGCAACGGTCTGTGTGCCGTCCGATATTGAAGAGAACACGATGGTACTGACCGGGGCAAGCCCTATCTCGGTGTCACATGCGTTCTTGACGCCATCGCTCGCTAGTAGTTTGGATGCCGCCAGAGCCTCCTCTTGGTTACAGACCCTGATCCTGGCGGGGGAGTCTCCATCTTCCTCTCACACGGACCAATGGGGCAAGGCCTGCCATCTCATCAACAGCTACGGGCCTACTGAGTGTTCAGTATATAGTACAGCATCGCCACGCTTACTCCCAGGTGATGACTGTCGCAATATCGGACGACCTCTTGGAGTCCATGCTTGGATCGTCGATCAGCATGACCACGACCGGCTCCTTCCAATTGGCGCTGTAGGAGAGTTAATCCTTGCCGGCCCATCAGTAGGCATGGGATATCTGGATCAGCCAGACAAAACCTCAGAGGTATTCTTATCAAGGCAACCACCAGCGTGGGTATCAACCATGTACTCGGAGCAGGATTCACACCATATACGGCTGTACAAGACTGGAGACCTTGTACGATATGAATTATCCGATGGTTCCTTGAGATTTGAAGGCCGAAAAGATCGACAAATCAAAGTCAGGGGCCAGCGCGTGGAGCTAGAGGATGTAGAGTCTCATGTGCGACGGTCGTTCCCTGGAGCGAAAGAAATTGTGATTGAACAGGTCATGATCGCAGAGCAATCATACTCAAGCTCTCCCAATGCTTCGCCGACTACCACCAGGCCACGCCTTGTTGTGTTTATATGGGAAGAACAAGAGGAGAATGCAACAGCGGCTCAGGGAATTCTGAATCCTCCTACTGAGGAGTTTTCTTCCACCGCTGCAAAGGCTCTCACCCAGCTTCGAGATTACCTCCCTGGGTACATGATTCCAGATTTCTTCATCTCCATGGCTCAACTGCCGCGAACAGTGTCGGGGAAGATGGACACAACTGAGCTGTGCCAAGCAATTCAGGCAATCCCGCCGTCTGATTTGCGTGCATACTTTGCGGCACAGAGGAACAAGCAGCGCTTATCGAGCGACACTGCTGTGAAACTACATGCCATACTCATTGAAATGCTTGGTATAGAGCCGGAGATTGTTGGCCCAGATGATAACTTCTTCCATCTTGGCGGAGACTCTATTCTAGCCATGAAAATTGCTGCGACCTCCCGTGCGCAAGGCATAGAGATCAGCTCACGCGACATCCTCCGGTATCCTACGATTGCAAAGTGGGCTATTATTGCCGACGCTCATCAAGAAAATGTGTCTTCCTACCAACAATACGCTCCCTTCTCCACGGTCACCGAGCATGAGCGTGCGGCAATTCTTTCTGCACCAGCATTGGGCAATAACTCGATTTCCGATAATAATGTGGTCGACATCCTGCCAACAGTTGGATTCCAATCGTACTATATTACTCACTCGTCACCAGTCTCCACAGCCCAGGTTTTCCCGATGGGGGTGGACATTGATCGGCTCCGAGTGGCGTGTAAGACGCTCATGTCGCACTATAGCATTCTGCGAACTGTCTTCGTGGGTAGCGGGGATCGAATGTTCCAAATCATTCTCCGGGATGTTGAACCAGTCTTCAATGTTGTCGATTGTGATGATCCAGAAACATACATCACCCATGAATCACAGCGACAAATACCGCCAGCCACGCCTCAGGGTGAGCTACCTGTGAGCTTCACCGTGGTCACTCGGCGGAATGGCTCAGATTGCGTTTTTATCCTTCGCATTTCGCACGCGCAGTATGATGGTGCCTCGTTACCTCTGCTATGGCTGGCTCTCGCAGCGGCTTATGAAAATGTCACTCTTCCGAAGGCAGTGCAGTTCAGTGAGGTGGTCTACAATAGACTCAAGGACACAAATGATGAAGCATTCTCCTTTTGGGGCAAATATCTCCAGAATGCTTCTGCCACCACGCTCGAATCATTGCGCTTTATTGCGTCACCTGTGACCCAATTGAACAACCAGACAGCTGTCACCAGTGCGCGACGGGAGATTGGAGAGTCCTGCTTTGTTTCAGAGATCACATCGTCCACCCTGGTAAAGGCAGGGCTAATATGGAAGCTATCCAGTTGCGGCCAGAGACGAGATATAATCGTCGGTCAAGTAGTACACGGACGTGGCTGCCCTATTCCAGATGTTGACAAGGCCCTCGGACCTTGCATTAACCTCTTGCCTCTTCGTGTTAATCTTGATTCGGAGTGGACTGTTATGGATCTGCTGCGCCACACACAGGCCCAGCAACTCGACACCCTTTCGTATGACTACCTGTCATTTGAAGATATTGTACGGAGGTGTACCGACTGGCCACGCAGCTCAAAGCTAGAGTGTGTTGTGCATCACCAGGAAGTCGATGATGCAGCTGTGTCCTTCGAAATGGCCGGAATTCGTGCCTCCTCCAGCTCTAGCTGGGCCAACTCGAAACTCGAGCAAGGACAGATCGGCATTGTATCAATGAGGCGGGGAACCGGCCTTGATCTCATGATCACAGCAACTGGTGATACATTGGAACAGTCAAGGGCGGAGCTGTTTGCAGACGAGCTTGTTGAGATCATTCAGTCATTTTCTAGCTCGCCCGAGAGTCGTCTATCTGAGTTATGATGAAAGAAAAAGTGTTTTGTGGTCAATTTTATGGCGTTTGATTTAAAGGTGTCCGTGGTATTCATTCGCGTGAATGATTCAATTTGTTTGGAGTTTATATGTATTTAAGTAACTTTTAAGGGTTGCACTTTCGATAGGATAATTTGAAATATCTAATTCTGTTTATATGGTTCTGAAGAGTAGATGGAGCTAGCTTTATAAAGGTAGTACAGTCTTATTCCCGCTCATATTGACCATCGCCGCTGAAATTACCCGATATGTTCGCGCCTTTTTCTTTTAGTTTCCCCTTTGAATGTCTATTAAGAAGGACTTTTCCAAAGCGTCAATCATAATAGAAAAGGGTTAAGTCAAAGCGTTCAAAGACTATTTCTTGAGGTGTTCAAAACTTCGTCATCATGGCTCAGTTTATGTATAATCTAATCTCTTCCCCAAACCAGTAAGGATGGGTACGCTCAGAACAGGGAAGAGTATTGTGAAAAACCCGACGCTGTGTACTGTGAACAAGGCCCCTCCCTGCAAGTATTCCCTTCCTGACTGGTCACCACTTACGGCAGGCTCTTAACAGACTAGCTAGGGGATTAACGTAGAGATTAACTAGAACCTGTCTAGGAATCTGTCCAGGAGCTCTTACGGCCCAACCGATTGACCTAATTCTTTTAATTCTGTGATCGCTACCGCGACGGTGGGGTACGCCCTGAGGTCTCCATACGTTTATGATTCTGCGCTTTCAATCAGTGTCCGCCGTACACAGCATCTACGCCCGCATCGCGAAAACTTTCCCCTAAGCAAGATATACAAAAGCATTAGTTTAGAGCGGGGCTCCATCCCTCTGTATCAAGCTTCTGGTGGGTAAGTATTCCCACAGTATGGCTGTTTATGTTAATACTGTGAGTTTATTTATTGTGTTTGTTGTCTCTAGTGGAATCAGCGAAACTTTTTTGTCGCGTTGCTGGTCAGACCCTCTCCTCTGGAGGAGGACTCCAAGGTGCACAATTTTACTACGCATTTCCTGCACGAGCCCGAAGCACTACCGTCTGGCCATCTTCTCCTACAGCCTCCTATTGAACTTATTAAAAGCACTATGCTCCGCCTCCTAGTCAGACCAGCGGAAGTGGACCAATGCGCTGGTCAGGCCACCCGTCAGCCACCATTATGATTTTCAGGGCCCAATCAACCATCTTTTCGTCGATCTCATCATGGATAAATAATATGGAACTTCTCCTTTGGATTTATACTGGACAGATAATTATAGGTTCACTGTGATGTACTGTTTAAAATATACGAAGAACGTTACTGACACTTTTCGCTGTCTCGAAGTGGTAAGTGATAACCCCAGCCAAGGGATGCCAAGACAACAACAGCGCCTCGTATCCCCAAACTTGGAATGGAGTTGGTGTTGGGAGCATTGGTATGATGAATCAGGTCGAGCTGCAGATCTTAGTACGGTATAATAAATATTGTTTCCCCCTTCTCAATGACATCCAATTTATCGGCAACCTAGTGACTTGGAGCAGCCACTATTGTTGCAAAATGTATGGTGTACATATAAGGCTAGCCTTATTGCTTAGCTTGGCAACAGCCATCGTTGGTTCTGTTGTTCACCACGATGATTCCTTTCAGCCGGATTATATCCTTCGGGTAACTGCCCAGGACTACACGGAAGCATGTAACACGAGATATTCAGTCCTGGTCAACGGAACTTCTCCCGGGCCCGAATTGCGTCTCAAGGAGGGACAAGTGAGTTGGATACGTGTCTATAATGACATGAAGGATGACAACACCACAATGGTAAGTTGGCAAAACTAAGCGAAGTCAAACTTCGCACTGATAGCAATGATAGCACTGGCACGGCCTTACAGCTTTTACGGCTCCGTTCTCTGATGGCACCCCAGCGGCTAGCCAATGGCCGATTCCCGCGGGTCACTATTTTGACTACGAAGTCAAACCCGAGATTGGTTCAGCAGGAACCTACTTCTACCATTCCCATGTCGGTTTCCAGGCGGTCACTGCAAAGGGCCCGCTGATTGTGGATTCGAAAGACGACCCACCGTTTCGTTACCATGGAGAGCGTACGATTATGCTCTCTGACTTCTTCAACGAGACTGACAGAAAGATTATCGATGGATTGACTTCGAGCAACTTCACATGGAGTGGAGAGACTAGCGCCATTCTAGTAAATGGGCAGAACCGCCAGGCAACCAACAGCACCGGCTCATGCCAATTGGCTTCGATCGGCGTCGAGCCGGGCTTGTCATATCGTCTGAGGTTTATCGGGGCTACTGCTTTGTCATTCGTTTCGCTTTCCATCGAGAGTCATGACATATCAATTATTGAAGCAGATGGGCATTACACCAAAGCACTGAACACCAGTTTCTTGCAGATCGGAAGTGGCCAGAGATACAGTGTACTCCTCAAGGCAAAGTCGGAGGCGGAATTGAAGAAAGCAGGGAAACGGCAATTCTACATCCAAATCACGACACTAGAGAGGCCTAAAACTTTGACAAACTATGCTGTGTTGCATTATTCAAGCGAAGAACAGGCAGATCTAACGACTGTACCTTTGACCCCGCCACTTCCTACAGCGAAGACAGTCCAGGGGTGGCTTGATTACAAGCTCGAATCTCTGCACCCAGACCATGCCTTTCCCACTCTGAATGAAGTCACCCGCAGAATAATCATCGAAGTCCACCAGAATGTCAGTGACCATGTCATATGGCTACAGAATGGATATGACTGGGTAGATAGCATCCCTCAGTCGCCATACCTGGTTGATATTTACACGGGGAAGCTTAATACGGATGAGATATATCAAAGAGCAACCGACCGAGGCCATGGATTCGACAACATTACACGTACCTTCCCTGCTCAGATAGGAGAAGTCCTTGAAATTGTCTGGCAAAACCAAGGCACCTTCACGAACGGAGGCGTGGATGCTCACCCATTCCATGCGCACGGCAGACACTTCTATGATATCGGTGGGGGAGATGGAGAATACAACGCTACGGCAAACGAGGAGCGACTAAAGTCCTCTTCGCCAATCCAACGCGATACCTCCGTGCTATACCGGTACCGCGAGAAAACGAAGCCTCTCGCCGCTTCTGGGTGGCGGGCTTGGCGGATCAGAGTGACGGATGCTGGAGTGTGGATGTTCCATTGCCATATCCTTCAACATATGATCATGGGTATGCAGACTGTCTTTATATTCGGGGACCCAAACGATGTTATGACCCAATCTGGTCCAGTTGATGCCGGGTATCTGACGTACGGTGGCTCGGCATATGGGAACACAACACATTCCCCTGTCGTGCGACATTATTTTGAATGAAGAACTTGGATCCAAGGACATGAATAGCATAGTCCGTGGAAATGATATTGAAAAGAACGTATACCATTTTACCACACGGGTCTGCAACGCGACTGATAGAGCAGAATTGTATCAGTGGCCATAGTGCCCAATATTAATTCCAGGTATGGAACGGGGAACTGAGCGGTGTTGTTGACTCCGCATAGATGGTTATGAGGATGCCTAGGAACCGATTATTTTTCCCATGGGGGTTTCTCTGGATGGAATACTAAAATTCTGAGCGGAGCTAGGTGGGCGGGTTTCAAATCGAAGCTTAATGCGAGAGATATATATCTGAAGCCGGCAGCTCGCGGATTGGTATCCATGCCCAACGGCGGCAACGGCGACAACAGCGGTAACAGCGGTAATAACGGCTCTTCCTCGACCCTTGAACGTGATTGCAGGTCAATCTTTGAAACTGATCAACATGGTCGAGTAGTTTCACTGCGGGGGAGGCGTATCATGTGTTGTTTACAGCCACGAGAGTAGTTCTGTGGTGCTCGCAGGCTCGAACTCAAATATTGACCAGTACTCGACATTGCGCATATCTACGGAGTAGCGTGGGTAGATCTACACAAAAATAAGAACTGGTGGTGACGTCATAACCCGGGTTTGAGCACATGGCGCGGAGCAGTGGCCAACAATCTCCGATGGCAGTGGATCTTTAGTTTTGAACGCGACCGCTCCCCGCGACGGGAGAATGCAGGATGACGGCAACCTGCACCCGACGAGTCAGCTGAGAGGATTCGAAAACAATCATCTGAACAGCATTAGACAGCTCCAAGCCGGACAGTCAAGCCCGGTGAGGCCACATTACGAAGACCAAGCACGGCCATGGCGTCGCGAGGCGGCTCCGACGTTCGAGTGCAGACCCAACGGGAAGCTGGGGATGGCATACGGTGGCTTGGCTCTCGTTTCAGGAATGGGCCGAGTGTTGAAAAAACGGGTCCCCGCTTTGAAGCTTTCTTTGCTGGGCAGTGCTGAGGGGTGAGTAGATCTTGGGGCCATTTGGGACGAGCGCTCGCCCCTTATCTTGAGCCTGTTGCGCAAATAACATGGATCGCCGCGTGAACGCTTGCTCGTGACTGGGCTAGTCAGACATACACCGCCGCCATTATGTTTTGGAGGGGGCAGGGTTGGCTGAAAACGTGCACCAGCAGCACAACCATCGGACTCCGAGAATGTGGATCGGTGGAGATGCGCCCGGTCAACCCATGTACAATCGGGGGGCCATGGCCTAGTATGGAGGGAAGGAGGGTAGGAGAGGCAAGAGACGAAGTTGCTCTCAGTGATAGACTAATAGCCATAGAATCAAAAGATAGAGAACCTTGCATGGGGATTGCAGAAGTATGGAATTCCATCGCTGCAGGGATTCTCCGCGTTGGAGAAGAGAGCCGAAGAGAGGAAGGAGTGATTTGCGAGGCCTCACCGCCTATTGGATCCCCGCAGCCACATGGACCCGTCGATCCGAGACCTTCTTTTTTGGAACTCGCCCGTGACGGTCTGCTTTGGAACGTCTCATCCTTATTGATATGACTCCCCTCCTTCCTTTCCGCATATAAACACCTTGTGGCTGCATGGCCCTTTATTCTCTCCTTGACTCACTCCCTACACGAGCTATGCCCGGGACAAGTGCCAGCCAGTTGCCGTTGCCTGGTCTCTACCGCAAGAGCTGATTTGCCCCCCTCGAACACAACCCTGCCCCTTACCTGGTTGACTTATTGAAGAGAACCCGATATCCTGAGGTTACGGGCCTAGATTTGAACTTGGGTGGCCTTGCCTTCGCATTCTGGTGCTCCCTTGCGGAGCTTATCAAGGCTTTTCTGGGTGGTGTGCATCCGTTCATTAGCCGGCGTTGATTGGGGTTAGATGTGAGCTTCATCCTTATATGAGCTTCTATCACTTTGTGGTAGAGCTCAACTGAACTCCAAAAAATAGGAAAAGCTGAGACTAATCATGTGCTTATCACAGTTATGCAGGTACTTTGATCACTACAGACATCGCATACACTTGTTCTGGGCTTCTTCCGAAATGGAATCCTCGGAGGAATCGATGCCTTCTACCATGGCTGAAAACAAGGAGAGGAAGTCGGCGCCCCAAGAAAGCTTTCCTCGATGGAGACGTCTTTTTGGCGGAAGACCTAATGATGATAACGAGAACGGGGAAGAAACCTACCGAGCGAGGTCGACTTTGGGGATTCTGAGCGACAAACAGACGGACGAAGTACCTGGTAAGCGAGAATCTATCAGTGGATCATCTTTAAAAAAATTTACTTTGTGGAACAGTTGCTGACCTTTGGCTCTTTATCACAACATAGGAACGATTCTTCTGCTGTCTTCCAATCGCAATGAGCCTCTGGGAATGAGGCATCAGCCCCAACGAACATCCACATCATCAATTCACTCCTCCGCTGCCCCGTCCCGATCCTCCTCTCGGTCTGTCGCTCCCCAGAAAAAACGCACGGCAGATGGACAGATAGTCCTCGAACCACAGCCGGACGACTCGGTGAACGACCCGCTTAACTGGCCTGTATGGCAGCGAGACGCGGCACTGTTCTCCTTGGGCTTTTACTGTTTGATCGGAGGAGGAATGACTCCCATCCTGGCGGCTGGTTTCGACGATGTGGCCAAATCATACGATGTGACTAAGCAGCAGGTGGCCTATACGACTGGGTTGTATATGATGGGTCTTGGTATTGGATCCGTCATCATGTCCCCGACGGCCATTTTGTTCGGCAAGCGGCCGGTCTACCTTTTGGGCGCGGTTCTTTTCGTTGTATCTGGAGTTTGGTGTGCACTTTCACCCAACTATCCAAGCCTGGTCGTCGCTCGTATCTTCCAGGGAATCGCCGTGAGTCCCGTGGAGTGTCTTCCGTCTGCCACGATTGCAGAGATCTATTTCCTGCACGAGCGCGCATACCGGGTGGGTATTTACACCCTTCTGCTACTCGGTGGAAAGAACCTGGTTCCACTAGCCAGTGCCGCTGTGATCGGCAGCTTAGGGTGGCGCTGGGTGTTTTGGATCGTCTCGATGATTGTCGGTGCTTGTTTCTTCCTGCTATTTTTCTTTGTTCCAGAGACTTTCTGGGATCGTACGCCTCGGCCGCGCAAGCACCACAAGCGCCCTCACAAGGGTAGGACCGTGTCTGACCTTGTCTCACATGGGTTTCGTGGTCGTCGCTCGCATCCTGAGCTTCCCATTGAGGCCAAGGGGGAACCTGCAGCCGATGTACCACCAGCTCCAAGAAAAGAGAAACATGCGCATTTCACCTTTGCGGATGAAGCAAGCAACGAGAAGCAGGCCCCTGAGATGACGCAAGACCCTACAATCCCCGAACACGTCGCAGGACCCGTCATCGACGACCACATCGTTACTGAACCCTCCACCGCGGCTACCGAGCGGGGCGATGGGTTCCTTCAGCCACCTGCCCCGGCGATCGTAGCACCTCAAACTCCAGGAGAGGTGGAGGCCGCATGGCGAGCCACCCAGTCGCCTTTGCGTAGCGAATCTCACTCGCCGGGAATGCACCTTCCTGCCACGCAGCAGTATACTAACCGACTTCGCGATCGACCTAAGATTCCCTTTTCCCAATTACTGACCGTTTGGAATGGCCGCATTGCCCACGACAAATGGAGAAATGTTGCTACGCGACCCTTCATCCTATTCGCTTACCCGGCCGTGCTCTGGTCAGCCGTCATTTATGCCTTATCGGTCGGCTGGTTAATTGTGCTTTCCGAGTGCGTTGCGGTGATCTACGAAAGCTCTGACTACTACGGCTTCACCGCACTTCAGACTGGTTTGATCTATATCTCACCATTTGTTGGTGGCCTGCTCGGCACGGCTGTAGCAGGTAAGGTGTCGGATATTGTTGTGCGATTCATGACACGCCGCAACGGTGGTATCTACGAGCCCGAGTTCCGTCTGATCATGGCAATTCCTATTGCACTCTCCACGGCCATCGGATTGATGGGCTTTGGGTGGAGTGCACAGCTGATGGATGCATGGATCGTGCCTACGATCTTCTTTGGCCTTATTTCGTTTGGTTGCTGTCTTGGTAGTACCACCGCCATCACATTTTGTGTCGACAGCTATCGCCAATACGCTGGAGAGGCTCTCGTTACCCTGAACTTCAGTAAGAGTATGTATAACCCCGGGTTTCCTGCTCGGTACCATTTCTAACTCGTTTTTCAGATATTCTCCACGGCCTCATCTTCTCCCTCTTCATTGTAAATTGGCTCGAGTCCGATGGTTCTCGGACAGTATTTCTGGCCATTGGTGGCATCCAGATATTTTGTCTCTTACTGACAATCCCGATGTACATATACGGCAAGCGGGCGCGCATGTGGACTGTGCGTAAGCGCCTGATGGAACGGTTTTAATTTGGTGGATTTCCTTGAAGATTTTGGCACGAACTGCATCTATACGTACGACATTGCATGAGACACGATTTCCAAATTTGTTAGCAATCTCACTTGAACACTTGTAAACCCTACCCGCAATTCAGCAAAGTGGATGCCCTTGACGTGCACCACTTTTGGAAAAGTTCAAAATCCCTCGGCGCTGTTTCAGTTGATTGACCCACATCTTCAGAGATATCGGATCGGATGCCTCTGATGCCGCACATGTGTGCTGTGCGAACTCTGTGGAGTCGCCATTGCCATGTGGCCTGCACAGCTAATACCCACCGTTTAGACCTTGTAAGTATTCTCGGCATTAGCCACGAGCGAGAATATTTCGTAACACGCGATTAGTCTCACTACGTTCCTATGATAAAGTTTCCTTGGCATGGGCCCTAGATTTCTCCGACATTATGCCAGCCCCTCCAACTACGCCTAAAGTTGCCAATCCCGGTCCAGATTGGGTTAATGCGCCGGCCCAACCATCTAATCAGATCGAAACATCCGCTATGCCGAGACCGCTGAGCGGGACGTGTTGGAGTCTTACGTGTTTTATTGGAGAAAGGACTTGTTTTGCTCCAATTTAAGGTTGTCGGACAATGGCCGTTATCTGATCTTACGACCCATTTGAGCGATTTTCTCCCCTGCTGGAAATTTTCTTGGCTGATGATGGGTCTTGCTGGCAAGGCTCTTGTATAAGTAGCCATGAAAAGCCGAGGATTCTTGTCGCTGAACCTTCTGCTCGCCCGTTTGCCCTTGCCAATTTGTAGACAAGAGTCTCACGACTCGACATGATGACAGATAAAGAGGTGGTTTCCAAGTCGGTGATGGATGTGGTGTCGACTCCTGCCTCGGATGAGGACCTGAATACACCGGTTGTCTCGGATAAGCAGTTGGTCACTCAATCCGATGATGGCAAGAAGGCGCCACCGTTGACAGCGAAGCTCTTCGCCGTAGTGTTGATTTCTTGTATCAGCTTTGGGTCACATTGGAGTTCTGGTGTGACGGGTGCCATGAAGAGCACAATCAAGAAGCAGATGCATATTAACAACGTACAATTCTCGCTTTTGGAAGCAAGCGAGGATTTTATGGCGACTTTATTGCTGATTCCGAGTGGGCTGGTGACCGATAGGGTTGGTGGCGCCGGTAAGATTCACTTCCATGACCTGTTTTTTAAGAAGATCCTGGGGCTAACCATCACTGAAGAAATGATCGTGTATGGAAATATTGTGTATACGATCGGATCGATTCTCGTAGCTGCAGCCACGACTGTGCGCTCTTTCAATTTCATGATTGGAGGACGAGTGATTCTGGCACTCGGAGATATCGCCACGCAAATCGCACAGTACAAGATGTTTTCTTCCTGGTTCGCGCCTAGCAATGGGTTTGCATCGACTCTTGGTTTTGAATTAGCCATCGGAAAGGTCTGGTGACATAACGGCGGCATTGAATGGGAGAATTCCGCTGATATCGGGTTAGATTGGCGGCTTTGTTGGTAAATCTACGGCCAACGTGATCGCAAAGGTAGGTTGATTGACTTGCATCTGTCACCCAAATATTTCAAAGCTTCCGGCTAATATGCAGTAGAAAACTGGCAACTTTGCCTGGGTCTTCTGGACTGCCGTGTTCATGAATCTGTTCACCAATGCCGCCACTGCCGTTTTCTGGTTCTTCAGCCGGTATTGCAACAGGCATTACGATGGACGTCGCGACACTGCGACCAACGAGCGTTTGACCGAGAGAAACAAGAAATTCGAGCTCCAGAAGGTGTTCCAGCTGCCGTGGATGTTCTGGGCAGTGTTGGCTTTCTCGTTGTTCCAGACTAGCACAGCTTCGACTTTCAGTCAGAATGCGACCGAATTGGCGGAGCAGCGATTTGATGTCGACTCGATCCAGGCTGGATGGTACAGCTCTTTGTCGCAATATGCAGGTATGTTGAATCGGACTGTGCTTGCCACCCGAGTCATATCTAATTCGACATTAAGGCTTCTTCCTCGTTCCTTGTCTGGGTGTCTTCATTGATGTTCTCGGACACCGTGCTTCTGTCCGTAAGTGGAAATGCATTCTTTCTGCCAATACTGGTGAAATCAATTAGACTGATCCATATTAGTATTCACCTGCGGACTGGGTATGTTTTTGAGTATGGTCCTGCTCAATTTCGCCCCGTCCAGAGCGGGCACGGGTGCATCCTTCGGAATATATGCGATCGCCGTGTCTATGGGCCCGACATCGATTATTGATAGTATCCGAACCACTCTCTGGCACCAGTCTGTCTTTGGATCTGCCTACTCGCTCAAGGTCACGATGAACAATGCGTAAGTCGAGACCAAATTCGTGCCATATGTGAGAAACCTGACCGCTGACACATGGCATAGCATGAACATCATCATTCGGATCATCGCCGGCGCTTTGCAGGATGCAGATGACAACTCGTATCGTCGTGTGGTTCAGGTCTACCTCTTCCTCGCAGCCGCCTCCCTCGTCGTCGGCTCCGCAATCCTGCTTGGCTCATTCTTGACGAACAATCTGGGTTTGTTGCAATGGACGCGACACAAGCGCTTGACATCTGGTGCCGAGATCATTCAGGGTCTCAAGGAGCGCAGCCTCGTGGCGCATGCCCAACGTACCCGGCGCGTGTCCGTCGGATGTTTCGGAGGCCTACTGCTCCTAATAATTGGGGGTTGGGTGGCGTATATCTGGGGTGCGGTGACGGGACACAACTCTTAGTCAGGCTGCAAGTCATTCTGTATACAGCGCTCATTGGCGGCCCTTCCCGGGATTTGACTTTTTCAAAAATGCCTTTCAATAATGGTCCACTGAGCGGCCCGCATATAATAAATATACTTTTCGTTATTTATGGCACCGTTTCCCGTATCATCTACCCGAAGATGGGGAGGATCACCCCGTTCGTAGCAGCGGTACCTGTTCCGATGTATCGTGATGTTGCCACCGCCACCGTGTCATGACTGACATGCGCCACAGGCTGCAGTTCCGCGAATGAGAATCCGCGTTGAAGCCGGAGGAAGAAGAATCTTGACCTCACGATGACGCATATGGCTTTTGAACTGGCCTGTCAACGAAATTTGAATCGTCTTGACCGCTTTCCGGAGCCGGGTGAAAGTAGTCCGAGCAACCATAGGCGCCTCTTAGATTTTCCCGCCTCTATCGAGGGGAAACATCAGCCACAACGCCCACAGCGTTGATGACTCTTTGAAGCCGAGTCCGCCATGCTCCACCCTTCACCGTCGAACTCGGAAGAGGTGGAACTCTGTGCCTGAGGATCAGACTGATTGGTAGCCTGAGGCCCTAGCATGCAATGTGATTCGCATTGATCCTCATCTCCACTCCACATCATCCGCCCCCTTCCACTTTATCGTCCACTGCCAGCCCACTATCAATGCATTGCCATTCTGCTGCTGCCCCTTCACAGCTTGTACGCGCGGGCTGTGGATCGCCACCTTCCCCTCCAAGGGCGCCGCGCGGTCAGGGTCCAAAGCTGATGCTCCCACTTATGCCCTTTTTGAGCAGTCGATGCCCCGCTTCGCTGAGGGGAGCGGTGGAGAAAGGATGTACAACCGATCGTGGTCACATTGCAAAGTGGCCCTCTCACAAATCATCTCCTCTGGATTATTTCTCCCAGCTACCCGCGGCCATGGTCAGTCCGCTCTCCACCTGACTGACACCTTTTGAGATCCTTTTTGCCGCATGATTGTGGCCTAAACTACCCACTTCTCTGGATTTTCCGTGGTTCTAGCAACACCGCCGCCGCCGCTATATCTGAGAATCTCATGTTAACTGGTGCTAGTGGGGTATCGTCTGGGTTTGTCCACACTTTTTTTTTCCCCCTGTTCCAACAACTCCATTTTAAGCATTTGATCGTCGTTGCCCACCGCTCAAGGGCTGAACCAATTTGTGCCCGCGCAATTTGTCGGCTAACAAACTTTCCAACGGTAGCCCACGACTTTCCTTGCGAATTTCCCTCTTCCCTTTCGACCCAACACCTTGTTGTCGTTGTTGTTGCAACTTCAATCTTGCGCACACACGAACACCAACAATCGGGGTTGTGATACCCCCCGCTCCCGTCTGATACGTCAGGGACCCCGAGTCCAAGGATGTGCAATTGTATCCTGACTTATCCGGGTTTCACGGTACACTATGGAGAGCTCTAGGACGCATCAGAGTCTTGAGCACAAAGCGGATCGCAGGGTGAGAGAACTTTACCGCTATTATCAGCCTGCTGGCTCCTCCGGCTTGATTCCCTCTTGGCTGCGTACGGGTGAAGATTTACCGTCCTCTGGCTCTGCAGGGACCCCGAGCACTCCGGCTGCTGGCGATGGCTCATCACAGGGCAGCAGCAGTGGCACCGCGCGCCCCTCGACTGCGATAGGCCCAGATCCGCTCGTGCTGGGTTCGACCAACGACACCTTGACTTCATTTGCGCAACTTGCAGCATTGCGGTTGAACGCAGAACGCGCTTTCATTGTCGTTCTCGATCGGGACCGTCAGTATATTCTCGCCGAAGCTACGAAATCGGTCAATATAAACGATAAAACCGTTTATGACCACAATGACAACCTTTGGATTGGATCAACCGGAAGTCGCAGAGCATGGAGCTTGTGCCAGGTGAGTATCTGGGATTCGGATGCGCTCATCTTTCTAGGGCGCCCTCACCCTTCGGTAGCCCTCCATTCCATCGACTAGCGATTAACATTTGCGATGTTATAGGAAACTGCTGCTTTACCTCCATCCGATCGCGAAACGCCCCATTACGAATTCCTCACAGTCAATAACTTGGCGGAACACGACCGTTATAGCCAACTACCTTTCGTGGCAAACGAACCGCATTTTCGATTCTTTGCTGGAACGCCCTTGACGACGGACCACAACATCAATTTGGGCTGCTTTTTTATTCTGGACAAAACCCCCCGGGACGGCTTGACACCGTTGGAGAAGGATACCCTCGGATCGCTGTCGACATTGGTGATGGATTACATGAAAATTTGTCGACAGGCGTCTGACGGCCGACGAGCGGCACGCCTTTCCAAAGGGTTGAGCTTTTTCGTCGAAGGAAGCTCGAGCTTCATCGACAGTGTCGATCCATCCCGCGCTGATAGTTCTGCTCGGTATTCTGTAACGCCAGCGTCCACAAATAACCGTATCAGCATGTCGGGGGGATCTCGCGGGAGTCACAACTCTGATCGTGCATCCAACGAGGTATCGCATAGCCCACAGAATGACCGATCGCTTAGCAGCGATACTCGATCCACGAGTTCTGGCGCTTCAGGTGTCTCGTTTTCAAAAGAGAATACGGGAACCTCTGGTGCGGCTAGTTCGCTCCCTGAGTGGCTCACCAGCAGTAGTCGCAATCGACTTCCGCCTGACGATTCGCATGGTAACTCGTGGTGCTTCCGCCGTGCAGCGAACCTCCTTCGTGAAAGTCTTGATTTGGACAACGATGGTGGCGTCGTCTTCTACGAAGCCACCAACGACAACTTTGTGGACGGGGATGGTGGAAGTGATTGCTCTAGTAGCGATGCGGGTGGTCCTGCGACGATCTTATCCATGTCGACCAACGAAGATCCTTTCTCACCTACAGCGGGATCGGTGGTTACGTCTCCAGCGGCCCATCTCGATCGGTCATTCCTCAGCCTGATCCTTCGGCGATACCCAAGAGGCAAGTTGTGGTCTTTCCATCGTGATGGACTGATCTCAACATCCGATGATGATGATGATCAGAAGCCTAGCGATGGTAAAATAACCTCTACTACTCGCTCGCCGCCTGGTGCTCCGGCCGTCGACATTACAAAGTCGCTGGGCAAGAAGAAGAAGGCCGTAGAGAATTCCTGGCTCAATCAGTACTTCCCGGGTGCCACGCAGATTATGTTTGTCCCCCTGTGGAATGCAGTAAGCTCGCAGTGGTTTGCTGGTTGCTTTTGCTATACCACCCTTGAAACCCAAGTGTTCTCTTCTTCTGTTGAGCTGAGCTCCGTCCTCGGGTTCGGCTCGTCGGTTATGGCTGAGTATAGCCGTGTGGAATCTCTTATTGCCGATCGACAAAAAGGTGATTTTATCGGCAGTATCTCGTAAGTTGGTTTCTTCCTCGTACCCTAATTGTGTAACATGTTCTGAATTTGTGAGTCAGACACGAGCTCCGAAGTCCACTTCATGGTATCTTGGCGGCGGCGGAGTTCTTGAACGGCACTCACCTTAATGAATTCCAACATTCCCTACTCGAAACAGTCAACGCTTGCGGCAGAACACTCCTTGATACCATGAATCAAGTGCTGGATTTCAGCAAGGTCGTCTCTCTGGAGCGTACCTGGCGTTCTTTGAAACGGAGGAAGGAACCGACCCTCGATTTCAGGGGGAAAGACGAGCTCGCATCTCATCTGGACTCTTACGTGGATACAGACATTGCCATCCTTGCCGAAGAAGTTGTGGAAGGGATCTGTCTCGGTCATGCGTACGGCCAGAATTCTACCGCTTCTGCCGACCTGCCGGTTCTACTTTCCCATAATCAAACAAAACAAGCGGGTACTCGCAACAATGTCCATGTCTCGATTGATGTTCAACACCAGGATTGGGTATACCGGACCCAACCGGGTGCTTTGCGTCGAATCGTCATGAATATTTTCGGCAACGCGATGAAGTATACTGAAGAGGGCCGAGTCTCTCTGACTTTAGAGGCTGCCAGTCATTCCGAGGGCCGCTCCCGCCGGCAGGGCTTGGAAGATATGGTCACTCTGACGGTGTCAGATACCGGAAGAGGCATATCGGAGGAGTTTCTGCGCGGCAAGTTGTACACCCCGTTTGCCCAGGAAGACTCTCTTGCCGTCGGCACAGGGCTGGGCCTTTCTATCGTACGCAGCCTTGTCAGAGCCCTTAATGGCCACATCCGCATTCGCAGTCGCCCCGGCGAAGGTACAATCGTCCGCGTGACCTTACCCTTAGCACGTCCGGTCGGTGAAGAGAGTCCGCCAGTTGAGCCACATACCTATAACGTCCAACAGCGCGAAATCCTGACCGAAACGCTTAAGTTGCGCGAAGGTTACACTGGGAAACGAGCTGCCATCTGGGGGATTGATTCTGAGAACCTCGGCCAGGATGAGACGTGGGGTGGAATCGCCAAGTACCTTACCGAATGGTTTGGCATAGAGGTCGTTTCTTGGCCTTGTTCGCTGCCTCTGGATATTTTACTCATAAGGGAGAGTGGTCTCCAAGACCTGCGAAAAGTTGATCTTTCTGCGACCCTTCCTTCTCTTCTGATCCTTTGCTCCAAACCTGTGGACTACAGCGTGGCGCAGTCTGAGTGGTTGCCTCTTGCCTCCTCTGTGGACATTATAAGACGCCCGTGCGGTCCCCACAAACTAGCTCGGAGTGTTTTGAAGTGCTTGCGAAAATCTCAATCAACGGTTGTCACGCCTGCGTGCGTTGCGAATGATCCGATGGAGTCTGTGGAACTCGTTATTCGAGACCTACCCAAAACTTCTAGCGTTCCTTCCCCGGTCAGCACTTACCCGATTGACGACTCTCTTCCAGATCTTGGACCTGAGACGACAGTCAGTGCTGACCCCGCATCTCCGGGCGAGCCTCCTCCTGACGCCCCGTCAGTCATTTCCGCACCACCAGAAGCTATTGCTGCCGCTCCGTTGCCCCGACCACTCGTTGAAGGGGCCGTTGAAGCAAAGCGGCCGATACAGGTCCTCGTGGTCGACGACAATTGCATCAATCTCAACCTTATGATGACGTTTATGAAGAAGCGCCATCTTTCCGAACTTGTCGCCGCAGAGAATGGCAAGCTAGCTGTGGAGGCTGTGGAGCGAATGTCGACTGGCTTTGATATCATTTTCATGGATATCTCAATGCCAGTTATGAATGGGTTTGAAGCAACCCGTGCCATTCGTGCACTGGAGCGAGAGAGCGATGGCCGCAGGCCGGCAATTATCATCGCTCTGACTGGACTGAGCAGTTCTCGGGATGAGTCCGAGGCTTTGGCTTCCGGTGTTGATTTCTTCCTTACCAAACCAGTCTCTTTCCGTAAGGTTTCCCGCCTTTTGGATGAATGGGAAAGGGATGGTCTTAAAAAGGAGCGAAAGTCAGAAACATGAGACGTCTAATTGCTTGGATGGGCTACGCACGCTCCTCCAATTGAAGGCTAGATGTGTTTTGCTTACCGTCGCTCACTTGCCAGCCTACATTGCTCTTTTTCTGAGCCTGTCGCCCAGTGGTTTCTTCCTTTCTTTCTTCTATCTCTAGGACTAGCTCCATGGGTCCTATCTTTTCAACCTCTTTTCTTTGGGATGTCAGCACCCTCACTGGCATTTTCGGCGACTATTTTTGACCGCTTTACTATAACGTTGTCAAATAAGTCGTCGTAGCCAGTGCCACGATCATCAATCAAAACCCCTCCCCCTCTTCTGATTTGTTTCCTCTGCATTTCATGTTATTTTTTACGATTTGAAGCGAATGATACACGACTGGGCGCATTGCATCAAGGTCGGAAGCTAGGTATACGGAAAGCTACGACCGGCGTTATTTTGAGTTTGCTTTTTTTTTTCCTGTTTTTTTTTTCCTGTTTTTTTTTTCATGCCGAGGTATCTGTTATGGCATGGCGATTGTAAGTTACGGTCTTTTTGTCCTTCGAGACCATCCGAATGGATGATATTCCAGATTTCTTTGGACATGATGTGGTTCGGACTACACTCTGCTGAGTGTTCCATGTGCATACGAGGAAATGGAATCAATGTAGATGGCTTATCCATGACGATACACTGGTCAAAAATACATGAATACACACAGTACTTTCTGGCCACTAGCTAATGGAATATATGAGTGGAGAATTGTGTAGGGTGACTCCACAGCGAGAGGTAGGTGTTATGCGGCCGAGAACGGCTACCGAGGGCAAGTGGGAGTGGGAGTGAGAGTATGAGTGTGAGTGTGTGAAGACCAGGGGATGAGAGGACTTACAACTTTTCCAAGTAGCTGATCTAAAAGCACCAAATCGCACAAATTTCATAATCTTGGGATATTGCTCATTTTGAAGATGTCTTCATATATTTTCCTAGAGCAAAGCTTTGCAGCTAGATGGTGGTCGTGAGCGGCGATCCGCTGGTACCAGCGACGGATCACGGCCCACAGGCTGATGGAATCCAGTACGAGCAGATCCAGTCATATATTGAAGAGGGTAAGAAACCTGGCAAGATGGTAATGGGTTCTGAACCGTTTCAGTATCAGATTGGATTCTTTGTTCAGCCAACGGTCTTTCTTGCCACATCAGAAGATGCCAGGGGCATGAAGGAGGAGATATTAGGACCAGTCGTGGACATCAATACACTCAAGAATGAAGATGAGGTCGTGGCCAAGGTGAACGACACCGAATATGGTCTCTATGCTGCAGTCTACACGAAGGATATTACCGGGGCTTTACATATGGAGAAGAAATTGGATTCATGCAGTATTGGTGTAAATTGTACAAGCCCCTACTGGTGCCCGAGATATGCCTGTCAGTGTCTGTTAAGCGAGCGGTATTGGTTGCGAGGGCTGGACTATTAGCCTTCAGAGTTACCTGGAGGAGAAAACCGTACTCATAAGAGCTGATGAAGAACGAGTGTCGGACAGGCGTCCTTGTCACTTAAATGCCGAATTTTCTGTCTCTACTTTGGCTATTATGCAAAAACTAAATCTTGTCTCGCCGTATAGATGACGATTTGCTCGTAATGTGTAGTTCATTCTCGCAGTAAATAGATCTTCAGATGGGAGCAATTTCAACCTTCGTTCTCGATCAAGCTGCAATCTGGAAAATTGCCCATCAACCACTCAACAAGCTTATGCCAGGCAAGGCTTTCCCTCAACTGAACCCTCAAGAAGATGACTTCACAACCGGGGTCTCATATCCGGACGGGTAGAGGTTCGAGAAGTCGTAGTAGAGCTCGTAGACACCGGTCACATTCGTTTCCTTGGCACGGAACGAGTCCGACAAAGAGCCATCACTGTACTCCCACATCAAGTAGGTACCGTAAAAGATGAAATCGGTAGTCACGGCATCAGAGGGCGCGGTGACACCATTGCCAGTGAAGCCCACGGGCAGGACCTCATCCGCAGTGGGACGGATGTAGAACAGGGTATCGGAGTCGAGTGTCACACCCGAAGTGGTGGCCGTCGTAGTAATTTCCGTGTCCTTGATAACGACTAAACACCTAGTGAGCAAAAAAGAGCGATTTCAATGAAGCTGGAGAGAGGATCCAAAATCACTTACAGGTGACATCTGTGGTGACAGATCCGTAGGTCCACTTCGATGAGTCGCCAGCATAGGCGATACCTGTAGAATGGGAGTTAGAATATTTGAAAAGTGTAACAAGTGATATAGACAAACCATCGGAATAGAAAATCTTAACGGCGCTTGACTCAAGGCCGTATGCAACGAGGCTAAAGGAACCACTGGGGTTACGCTTCAACAGCGGCTTCACGGCTCCTGGGGCAGCGAGCACAGAGGAGGCCAAAGCCAAAATCGAAGGGAGAGCGCTGAACTTCATGATTTACAATGTCCTTGTTGAATCCGGTAGTTCATTTCTTCTGGATCGGCTTCTTTGTTGATATCTTATATAGTTCTCCTTTTCTTCACGCTGACAAACTTCTGTTCGGGAATAACCTAGTTTTTGGGACCCCACTTGGGGATGACGCGGCCACATGGTCGTAAGATTGGCCCGAAGCTGACATGGATGCCGCTAAAAAGTAAGCAACCTCGAAACAATGATCGTTTGACAAACGACAAGCAATAGGCCTGTTGTACCGTGATCGAGGTTTTTCTCGTCTTCCGCATCATCACATCACCGGGACTTTATCACAGCCATAAGTTCATTGCGATATATAGCGTATAACAGAATAAACACGAGTTCGGAATCTGATAAGATATAATATAGTGATGTATAAGATTAAGGTGCAAAGCTTCAGGCAATTGGGTTTGCAAGCCATCCAGACTCGGAGACTGTCATCCCGAGAAGGAAGGCATCTCGAAGCGATTGGGCATGAATGAGTTTTTGGTCAGCTTGTAGCTCAAACCGAGCGCTCTAACTGCAGTTAGCTTCAATGCTAAAACACTTGGCGAGCGGCTCTTCGCCGAATAAAGGGACAAATCGGGAGTTACCGCCTGTTGAGGATGTGTGGGCCCAGCCTTTATGCCCTCCGTCTCGCACCTTCGATCCACATTAGGCTCGGCTCGAGACTTGAAGTCGTATGAATGGAAAGGGAGACACTAGTGAATGATTAAAGAGCCCCTAGTGTAGGCGTGTTAACAAGTCCGGGTCGTCCCCATGACGATGTGCTAGATATTAGGCGATTTCTCGATTTCTAAGGGCTACTCAAAGACATCGAAATTGATATTTGTGTGGACTGATGACTACCCTCCTACCTAGAAGGTGGTAATAATACTCAATTTAGTGAGTACCGTAGAAGGAGTATAATGTAACCACTATTCCCAAAGTCTAATAGCGCTCCAGCAACCATAATCGACGTTCCTCGTCAGCCATTTTCTGCAAGCGTTCTGATTCAGCGCGCTTGACACTGAGGTAATTCTGAACAATCTCCCGACCTAGGACACTTTGAAGCTCCTGATTGTTCGAAAGAGCAGCCATACTCTGGTCCAGAGATTGGGGCAGAGGGGTCGTGATACCAAGCGCAGTTCGCTCAGCATGAGTCAGATGCGAAGCATCCACTGCAGAGAAGATAATCAGTTCACCCGCAAATATCATTCAATATTGGCTTATGTGGCGCAAATCTTACCGGTGCATTCCTTCACAGTCAGGGGCAAATTCTTTTCCAGTCCAATCAAACCACCCCCAAGCAGCGCAGCCACTGCCAGATACGGATTAGCAAGACCGTCGATAGACTTGAATTCCCAGTGGCCTGGGCCAATCTTCCGCACGGGCGCCTCGCGGTTCTGGAATCCCCACGCAACCCACTCTGATCCAGACCAGATACCAGACCGTACGCGCTCGTAACTTGATTCCTGAGACATCGTGAAGGCCATAATAGACGTATAGTGCTTCAGAATGCCCGCAAGGAAGGCATCCTCACGAGTGGGGGGAGTTATAGAAATATGAGCGTGCGCAGCACTCCCAGCTCCGTCTGCGAAGGGACGTGGGTGAAGAGTTGCCCGAAGGCCGTGTCGCTCAGCCACGGCTGTGATAACCTGCCGGGCGGCGATGAGGGTATCGATAGCAGGAAGGGGTTTAGCAGGGGGAAGAATGAATTCGAATTGTCCGGACGCAGACTCGGCGTGGAATTGTTGGAGGTGAATACCCATCGACGTCAGCGTCCGATTGATCTCCTCCAAGAGCGGGACCATTTTCCGCGTGTCCGCGGTCATCTGCGACCAGGAGTGGTTTCTCGTCGCAGGTGCATAGCCTATAAATTCGCCCGTATGTTGGCTTGTGAGAGGCTTGAGAAATACGACTTCGATCTCAAAACCGCAGAGGATGTCGAGATCGTGCTTGGTGTGCAGCTTCTCGACAATGTTTTGAAGAGTAGTACGAGGACAGCCGCCGAGAGGAATGCCCTCTTCTGACTCCCAGAAAGTCATAACAGTTGCGCTCGGAGCGGCTGGTGCTGCCATGGCTCCATTGAGGTAGAGGCTGGACAGGTCTGTTTTCAAGTAGATCTGACCAGTAGTGGAGCCTTCGGGGGTAACTGTGTCATCTTGCAGCATCCACTGTACTGCTAGCGAGATACCAATGCGCCGTTCTTTTCTAGCAATACGAATAAATTCCTGCTCAGGGAATATTCGGACTCGGGTAGTTGCTGTATAATCGATCCATTGCATCCAGATGTACTCAACGTCTGGATTCGTCTGCAGAAATGCGTCTAACGGATCGGACGTTTGGGAAAGTCGAATGCCGTTTGTATACTGTGCTGTCTGTTTCAACCCGTAAAGCTTATTCGAATTATGAAACAGGATGTCGGCGGCGGCTGCCTTTGCCTGAGAGATATTGTAGTCTCCATGTTGGACATAGTCAACAAGAACCTGGTTTAATACCTAGTCAGCACGAAATGGATTTGGGTTTTGTCTCAATCGTCACGTACAGTCTCCAGAGTCTGCCGGAACTGCTTGTTAGCCAACCAAAAGGTTTCTGGATGTACGTGACCGTCCGTACTCCAGAGCAGACGATTGACTGGCGTGATCTCTAAACTCTCGCGCAAAATCTTCTCCTCAGCCTCCCGGCTCACCATCGGAAACACTTCACCAAGATCAAGGTAGATATTGGGATACACACACGCAAGATACCCCGCATCCCTTGTATACGGATACGATGAGTGCAGTAGAACAATTGGCGCATCGGGATACTGAATGATGAGAGGCTGCAGGTAAGCCGGGTTAGCTTTGACAAGATTGATGTCATTGTCACCAAGTCCAGTGTGAAACTGGAGCGGCTTGACCACGCCAGCTCTCTTCCGAAACGTGATAAGCTTGAGAGTCTGCTGAACTAGCCAATCATTTAGTGGCTTTTCCTGGACTCGGTAGCCGGATTTCCTCGTCCCCGAATCAAGGGTACGATGAAGCGAGGCAGTTAGCAGATCCTCATCCGGCGAATACGGATCAACGTCCAGCCCAGTGCGATAGCAGATCACAGATTTGAAGCCAACGACGGCGGGGTCGTCCATGGCGCGCTCAAGCGCGTCAATGAACTTGGCGCGGAATGTGGTCCATACGCTGTCGCCGGGTTTGCGCTCTTCACCCATGATATCGCGCAACAGGGAGGCGGCGACAGCCTCAATGCGAACGATACGTTTTGTCGGCGAGGATGTGAACTGGTCATGCCAGTCGTATAACTCGACATCCTCGTCCGACAGTAGGTCATCTAACAGCAGGGTGTGCGTGCCTTCAAGACTGCGGCGAACCAGCCCCTCGTAGTCTTCCTGCACCCAGCGCGTGTGCGCCGCGAGCACGTCATCCCAGTTTGCGCAGGGAGTGCCATAGAGCTCCCCCAGCTGATTCACGGCGCGTACTAGGGGCAGGGCGGTACGAGCATTTTCCAACGCGCGACCGTGGGCCTCGGAGGTGATCGACTCAAGCGGGTAGCTATCGTAGTCGGCAGCCACGTCGCAGCTCAGCAGATTGTGGGCATGATTGTCGATCAGGGGGTGATGTTGTATGAGATGGCGGAGGGAGTCAAGAGAATCCATGGTGGTGCAGTGGAGAGATGAGAAGCGGAAAAGATTCTATTTCATCGCAACCGCTGAAAGACGTGGTCGGTCTGTCCGACAGTAGGCTAACAGGCCCTAGTGACAAGCCGCTTCGGGAGGGGTGCAGACAGCGAGGTTCCCTGACAAGATTCGAGTCTTTCTCCGCGGCCCTTGGACTGAGGCTCTGGGACAGCTCAAGTCATCCAAAAAATAGTGATGTGATAGGTCGGGTGGCCGCGATAGCCAGGTCTACGCTTGTGTGTGGATATCGTGAATAGGGTGGGAGTGGCAGTAAGCGCCTCACATGCAGCATTCTCTTTTATTCGCACGCCCGTGCATTTTCAGCTATACTAAACCTGGTCAACTAGACGAGGTGAACTACACGAGCAGCGAGCCTTTCTACCAATCGTATCCACGGAGTATCATCCAGCATCAGCTATGATACACTTTATCCTCACGTCGAGCTTCCTCGGGGATCCCTTCGCATTCACTTTGTCCTCAATTTGTCCTTCAAGACTCCTTGGTAACAACGTAGTCGGTACGTGTACTACCAATTTTTGTGGCGAAAAACTTTGCAGCGTACGGAGTATGAAGCGATGCTTCCGATAATCATCTGCGTCTCGAAATAGCGTACCACATCTCCAAAACAATGTAGGCGAAAATTTCATGTGGGTCCATAAAACGATCCCACCTTGCATGAACCCTGCCGAGGGTTGTAACGAGTTATTACGAGCGCACCTGCAAGACTGTATGTAAATATTGGGATCGCCTTTTAGCCAAGCAGCTCAATTCGATCTCTATCACCAGTGAAACTGGTCTTGGGAGCCTAGTGTTAGTCAAAGTGTGTGAGTCTTGAGACCATCCCTGAAGCGGTCCAGCCACGATGTGGTGGTCAGTTCGCATACACAGAGCTGGTCTTGATCTCAGCGAGCTGTTCTAGATAATGAGGGATTAACCGGCTGCCCGCGAACATGCGACAACGTATCAGCAGCCTTCTCAAGCTCCTGAACCTTGACAAAGTAACGAGGAGACATGGGGAGGAAGAATAAGCCCGCGACGAGAATAGCGGCCCAGACAAACTAGATCCAGATTGGAGGTACCCTGAGTCGCTCCCGATGCCGTCAGATGACCAATGGTAATAGCGAACTGGTAGAGCGAGACCAACATACCACGAATTTTCTTAGGGCTGAGCTCGGAGACGTACAGGACAACGGTGGCAGAAACACCTCGGCTACCAAAACGGCGATCAAACGACCGATAATCAGACCGTGACGATGTGCGAGGCCACCTGCCTAGCGACACCACATGCAAAGATGAAGCAAGAGATCATGATAGTAAGGCGACGACCAATTCGCACAGCAGCCTCGCCACCAATCAAGGCACCATTGAAAGTTCCGGCTGACAGGATGGAGGTGATCAAGGACTTCTGCCAACTCGCAAGCCTGTAGCCCGACGAGTCAACACTAGTTGGCACAGGGTAACAAACATTCTGCTTGACATAGGCCATGCCCTCAACGCGGCTGATGTATCAGGAGTCATATCCGAAGATAAATACCGCCAAAGCATGCAAATCGACGGATCAAATAGGCCCGTAGGGAGACAGGAGCTTCGATGCTGCTCACATTGGAGCTTCCTACTGCCATGGGATTCCTACTGCCATGGGATTCCTACTGCCATGGGATTAAATTAGAGCAAAGGACCTGGAATATCGAGGAATAAAATAGGCCAAACCGGATGGTATAGATACAGAGACAGCCAAGAGACTGGTGAGGAAGAAAGAAAAAACTTTCTCTCAGGGGGTCCTGACGTTCTCTAAAAGGTCACCATCTCATGAGGCAGCGGACTCTGGTATCCGATGATTTGCAGACATGTTTGAGCCGGTCCCGGCAAAGATGACCCCAGTCACGCATTCGAAAAGGTGTTTTATTAAGCTTCAGACCTCAACGGTTCGCTGTGGAGGATCCCGAATGCGTCATGAGCCAGCAGCTGACGACACAACTGACGGAACGATCTGGGGCCGAAGCAGGAATGGTTGGGATCAGAACTTGGGGGCCGATGAATCGGCGTTCTTGTGCCTAACATTTCGTCTTCGCCTTTTGGGATGGATGAGCTAGTCAAAGCTGGACAGACAGAAACTTTTTTTGGAGGGAGCGCTACAGCCATGTGACGCGTCATTCGACTTGGCTGGTTAGGTTCGGTACCACAATTTTCGGCAGTCTTGATGGTCTGATTCTAATGATTGATAAAGCTCGCAGACGGCTTCTTCGTTGGTTCACTACAAATATCGAGTTGGGTTGCCGAAATACGAGGCCGAGCCGGTGGACTCGGCCTCCCGTACTTACCCTTCAGACCCTGATCACGGTCTCAGAGAAAGATGGAAGCAAAAGGTTGTTTTTCTCTTGCCAATCATCCACTGGGAATATTTAGGAGAGAAACTGAGTAACCGTAAACTGCGTCAAGCTCCTTATATTTTGGGCCCTTTCGATTGCACCTTGCGAGTGAGCTTGAGGAAAAGGAATGAACTAATATCCCTGGCTCCATTTGCGCCCCGAAACCCCCCAACTAGCAAAGCTACCAATACCCAGGCTTTAGAGCGGGGAAGGAAAAATCTGGGAATCGAGCATCTTGCTCAATAGAATTCCTTGCATACTCGAGTAGCTGCTGATAGAGTGGACCCATGACGGAGAATTGAGCATATGGTTGGTGGGAGGTGGCTTAAAGGACGGCAAGTTTAGAGGCTGGGCGTTGATGCGCACGGATGAAGTGCAAGGATTTGTATGGGAACACGGTATCTGATCACTTCCTTTGAGCAGCAAGATCAAGAAGGATCGCAAAGACTCCGAATTGTCACTGCTAGTGCTGTGCAAGTGAGGGGCAGCCACCCAATAGGTAGTACATAGGAGGCACGACATAATTCACACATGCCCCGATAAAAGCCAGTCTTCTGAGGGTACGATCATAGACTCTTAATCATTAAACACTTCTTTGTATTGAATTTGCTTGGTATCAGGGTTTGGATTTCGGAATAGGAAACATTTGCTTATGAGAGGAAGCGGAATATTGTGGAGTTTTCGAAAGACCCCGGAACGACCCCACGGGTCAATTCCCCCACATTTACACTCAAAGCCTTTCCCCACTCGGCGTCATCAGACCTTGTGTTAACGAGGCTAGACTGAGGAGTAGAATACGCCATGTTTGGCTTCTTTTCTTCCATTGCCAATAGACAAAAAGCCACTTCTTCGGGTAAACCTCAAGCCACCTCGTTGCAACACTAACTAACCGTCTTTGATCGAGGGTCCGGGTAGACTATCTCACTAGCAAAGAACAACCCCTCATTTGGGAGGACATTTCTTGGTGGTGGCTTGCCAAAGGCTTGTGGGATTCTACCGATATATATCCGATGGGTCTCTGAGCTCTTGGGAGAAGTTACAAACGGGATAGACGGCAAGGGACCAGAGTCAAGTGCCGGTTGATGCGCTTGCTTATCTTGATAGTTCAGTATGTACAAGGTCTAAAAGTCTATAAAGAGCGGGGTTTCTTGCAATTAGCCAGCTTCCACAGTAGACATAGACTGCAACCAAGATAATTATCTCTTTTTTCATCCAGGATGTTGACTTCGTGGGGAAAGGCAGGTCTACTGCTAGGTCTTGCGTTCGTCGCTGTAGCCGATGATGTTATCACTAGTGACGCCTACTTCTATGGTGACTCGCCTGCCGTTTACCCAACACGTATGTTGTCATCTTCACATTGCTATCTACCTTTTTGCTCAGCGTTATCATACATCGTTGCTAACATGCGGAGTAGCCGAAGGAACTGGTGTTGGTGATTGGGCATCGGCCTACAAGAAGGCCAGGGCATTTGTTGGCAAGCTCTCTGATGATGAAAATGTCAACCTGACTGCTGGTGTTTCTTCAAAGACTGGCTGCTCTGGGTACATCCAGGCTATTGACCGCTTGGGGTTCCCAGGAATCTGTGTGAACGATGCTGGAAATGGGCTAGTGAGTGATCTAAATCTGCTGCCAACTCTTACTCATATGATCCATGTACTGAAAAGAAACCTCGGTGACAGAGAGGAACCGACTACGTCAACGGTTGGGCATCCGGGATCTCCGTCGGAGCCAGGTAGGGTTTCCAAACCACGGGGCCAGGCAAAACATTACTAATGGGCTATCCTTGCAGTTGGAACCGGGATCTTGCCAATGATCGAGGTACTTTCATGGGCAGGGAATACCGAAGGAAGGGTGTTAACATGATACTTGGTCCTGTCGTTGGTCCCCTCGGCCGTGTGGCACTTGGTGGTCGTAATTGGGAAGGATTCTCAAACGACCCGTACCTGAGTGGGATTTTGGTCGCCGAATCCGTCAAGGGTCTACAGTCCCAGAATGTTGCGACTTCTCTCAAGGTACGCATAATTCAATATTAGTTGTTGTGCCACGCAGCTAATGGTTGATCAGCACTTCATTGGCAACGAGCAGGAAACAAACCGCAACCCAACCACGGATTCAGCAGGAAATGCCATTCAGTCGGTCTCTTCCAACATTGACGACAAGACTATCCACGAGCTTTATATGTGGCCCTTCCAGGATGCCATCCTTGCCGGTGCTACTAATATTATGTGCTCGTATAACCGTCTGAACAACTCCTACGCATGCCAGAACAGCAAGGCCCTCAATGGCTTGTTAAAGACCGAGCTGGGCTTCCAAGGTAAAAATCACCTGGAACCAACTTTTGCTGCAAATCTCTGATTGATGTTCATGAACAGGTTATGTCATCACGGACTGGTATGCTCAACATGCTGGGATTGCTGGCGCCAATGCTGGATTGGACGTCGTCATGCCCTCTTCTCAGACCTGGAACAGCAATTTGACCACCGCTATTGCAAATGGAACTCTGAAGGCTTCTCGTTTGGATGACATGATCACGAGGTAAGTGAAAATGGTGTCCCACCCCTTTTTGGTGAGCTGATACTAAAATGTATACGCAGACTCATGGCCACCTGGTATTATTTGGACCAAGACTCTGCCTTCCCCAACCCCGGCGTTGGAATGCCCAGTAGCGCGAGTGCTGCTCACCAGGCTATCATTGCCACCTCTAAAGAGGCAAAGCCACTCCTTCTGCAGGCAGCCGTCGAGAGCCACGTTCTCCTCAAGAACACTGAGAATACCCTTCCTCTCAAGTCGCCGAAGTTGATCTCCGTTTTCGGTTACGACGCTCATGGCCCGATGTCTCTCGACCTTGCCTCCAGCTTCAACTTCGGATCAACTCAGACGCGATCTGACCTGTATCAGAATGGAACTCAGTGGGTTGGTGGGGGCTCTGGTGCCAACTCGCCCGCTTATTTGGATGCTCCTATTGATGCTATTCAACGCCGGGCTTACCAAGACGGCTCTTCCGTTCTCTGGGACTTCACCTCCGAGAACCCCTCTGTGGATTACACTTCAGATGTGTGCCTGGTCTTCATCAACGCCTACGCCACGGAGGGCTATGACCGCGAAGCTCTGTCTGATTCTCACAGCGACGCCATTGTGACTAATGTCGCCAAAAACTGCGCCAACACCGTCGTGGTGGTTCACAACGCTGGCATCCGTACCGTTCAGTCGTGGGTTGACCACGTCAACGTCACCGGTATCATCTTTGCCCACCTCCCTGGCCAGGATACCGGCCGCGCTTTGGTGGAGATCCTCTACGGAGACTCTAACCCCTCCGGCCGACTCCCTTACACCGTTGCCAAGAATGATTCAGACTATGGTTCTCTGCTTGAGCCGGCGCAGCCGGAAGGCAAGTACGAGTACTTCCCTCAGTCAGACTTTGATGAGGGCGTTTACATTGATTACCGGGCCTTTGACAAGGAAGGAATCGAGCCTCAGTACGCATTTGGATACGGTCTTTCCTACACAACCTTCGACTACTCCAACTTGAAGGTGTCCAAAAAGTCCGCTTCGCCCTCTACCTACCCGCCCAAGGCAGCCATTCTTCCTGGCGGAAATCCCCATCTCTTTGATGAGCTGGTGACCGTTACCGCTGCTGTCAAGAATACCGGAAGCATTGATGGCAAGGAGGTTGCCCAGCTGTATATTGGTATCCCCAACGGCCCTGTTCGCCAGCTTCGCGGCTTTGACAAGGTCTTGATCAAGTCTGGCAAGTCGACTACTGTTACTTTCAGCTTGACTCGTCGTGACCTGAGCACATGGGATACTGTTGCACAGGAGTGGCTGCTCCAGCGGGGAGCCTACAAAGTCTATGTTGGTCGCAACAGCAGAGACCTGCCTCTTGAGGCCACCCTGACCTTCTAAGTTGATAGATATCGAATAGTCATTGGGAATGTGTTTAAGATTTGTTGGCTGTGCCCGGGATGATTTCGACTGAGAATTTGAATTTATCTGACGTTTCTCTATTTGTTTAGGATTTGGCTGTATGTAAAACTTGCAGACGTTTCATTTTGAGAAATCCTTATTTACCCATACAATAACTGTAGATACACAACTAATATCGATCTCTCCTAGACCCTGCATACGGTGGGCCGAATGCAAAGAACAAAGTGGACGGCGCCGGCCAACCCTAGTGAGTATCCACCAGGCTAAGTAGTAACTGTATCGCTGTCGCCACGTGCAGGAGCAGGAAAACACTCAAGTCCCGAGACTAGAAGCCTGTCTGGCCTCCTTTCTTACGAATGGTCTTTCTAAGTTGAGCCACGAAAAAACAAACAAAGGATTCTTACAATACAGAAAAAATCTGCACCAAATTGTGACCTTTGCCTTAACCTTCATAGCTTCAAAGCCACAATACCTTGGCGAAAACTATGACTACAAAATAAGCTCCACGGTAACTGTTTGATTACTTTACCGAATTAGGCAATCAGTCAATTCCGCTTACGTGGGTTGAAGAGTGGGGACCAAAAACTTTCCGGGCTAATCCCGAACATAGTCTCTCCGAAACTTAATCTAGCAAGCAATAAGCGAGTCCAGCAACAGGTCTTAACTTATACCCCTTTTCTAGATTTAAATTATTAATAGCCCTTTTATGCGTTAGTTATACCAACGTTAAAAGAAAGTGTCCACGGGGGGCCCTGAGGAGCTGAAAATTTTCAATTCCTAGTCGGCATTATGTGTGGACGTATGGAATAAAGTACATAATAAAGCCCACCGAGGGAAACAAAGTTATTCTAGCATAGAGTGCACAAAAATGAGAGAGATGTCTTCGCCTACGTGTTCATGCAGGGCAAAAGAAAGGTTCTAGTGCTAACCTAGCTCGAGGAGGCGGACAAACACGGAGGGACCAACCACACTGCAATCATTAGCATAAAAATGCCTCAGTACAAAATGAATGGCCACCACCTAAATCCTGAGTAGCTAGTGTGCACTACTTGGGTCAAAAGTGCCGATATCATAATGATATGAAAAACCATTACTTCTTACCGCCAAGCAACGACCTTATCTCGAATAAGAAAACAAAGCAGGTACCTACAGATGTTTCCAGTCGAATTGAGTTGTGCAGACGAACACACATTTAATTTCTTATCCACCAGGGCTAAGCTCAACTATACCATGTCCGTATCAAGTCAATCAACCGCTGTGAAGGCCACGAACGTAAGGTGAACTACTTCCAGTGGCTCAATACTGGCCCTCAATAGTCAAGGTTCCCGTTTTAGTCACCAGATACTCATTCACAGCGACATCTTTTCCACTCTCCTTTCCGTATCCAGACTCCTTAATCCCGCCAAACGGCGACTCGGCGGCGGATTGGTTACCTAAATTGGGGTTAGCGGGAATCGAAACAATTCCAACCAGACTCTACCAAGGGGAAAAACTTACCTGTGTTCATTCCGATCATGCCGGCCTCGAGATTCTCCAGCAGACGCCACATGCGGTCAATGTTCTTAGTGAATGCGTAACTGGCCAGACCCATGCTGGTCGCATTCGCCAACTTCACGGCCTCGTCTTCACTCTCGAATCGGTACAACGCAGCAATAGGCGCGAATGACTCCTCATGAGAGATCTGCATCTCCTCCGTCATACCGGACAAGATGGTAGGTTCGAAGAAGTAGCCCTTCTGCGAGGCCAAGGGCTTACCGCCCATGAGCACCTGCGCGCCATGCTTACGAGCATCTTCCACCTGGGCAATAGCCTTTTCAATGCTACGAGGGGTTGTCAAGGGACCCATAGTGGTCTCTGCCGACGCACCATGGCCCACTACCAGAGCGCTGGTACGCTCCTTTAGCAGCGAGGCGAAGCGATCGTAGATACCGGCTTGGACGTAGATCCGGTTAGCCGTGATACAAGCCTGGCCGGCATGGCGCCACTTCAGAGCCATAAGCTGGTCCAGCGCCTGGTCGAGGTTGGCATCGTCGAACACGATGAAGGGGCAATTGCCACCCAACTCGAGAGTGAGCTTCTTCAGGCCCTGTGCACAGTGGCCAGCGACCAGCTTACCGACCCGCGTCGAGCCGGTGAAGGTTACCTTCTTGACGAGCGGGTGCTTGCATAGAGCCTCGCTCAGGGGTGGCGTATTCTCCAAATCCGTAGTCAACACGTTCAGGACACCTGCCGGGATCCCGGCGCGCTGCGCCAACTCTGCCAGGACCAATGCCGAGATCGGGGTCTCCGGGCTAGGCTTGACCACCATAGTACATCCAGCTGCCATCGCGGCACCGACCTTGCGTAGTACCATAGCCACGGGGAAGTTCCAGGGTACCAGTGCGGCGGCCACGCCGATCGGCTGCTTGATCGTGAATAGACGGCGGTTGGGAGCCGCTGGGACCGCAACGGTGCCTTGGATACGCTCCGCTTCACCTGCAAACCACCATAGGAACCCGAGAGAGTAGTCTAGCTCGCCGTATGATTCTGCTAGGGGCTTTCCGGTCTCGTGGGTGACGATTTGGGCCAGGTCGTCCCTCGCCTGGGTGGTCAAGTCGTGCCACTTGAGTAGCCACTTGGCGCGCTGGCGCGGGCTCACTTTGCGAAACTCTTCGAAGGCAGCGTGGGAGTTTTGAACTGCGGCATCTACATCTTCGGCGTTATTGTTGGGGCAGGTTGCCCATGCCTGGTCGGTGCCGGGGTCTTCAATGTGTGAGAGAAATGAGGTCAGCCACCGCCACGATATATCCTGCGACAATCGCAACCATACCAAGTACTTCGAATCGCTGTCCACTCTTTGCAGACACCCATTGGTTGCCGACAAACGAGTCAAAATGCAACAGAGTTGGGTCATTGAGCTACATTTCATTCAGTGCTTGTTAGTTTTACTGTGATGTTCTGATCGCAATACTATGCAGCTCTGCCAAAGCACATCGGACATCTCGCCGAAGGCCCCACCACCTCACCCGTCTCGTAACACAGGAAAAGGGAGTGTGAAGAGCGGGAGCTTCGGGTATAGTAAGAAGAGGAGAAATACCTTGAATGGTAATTGATATTGCTGTGCCATGCTGGGCGATATACTCTGGAACAAGGAATGATGAAAGAAAGCAGACGAAAATGTTGGGCGGGGATGCTCTTATGAGGGGAAATGATCAACACCGAGGTTGGACCCCTCATCGCAGGGTGGTACACGGGGCAAACCCAACTCCACCACGTCCTCGACCAAATAGACGAAACTTCAGGATTCGGCTGTATGCGCGAGATTTCAAAAAAGTCTTTCGCAAGAAAGTCCGAAGAAGGCATTATGCGTCATCTACCCATTACTAATTATTTTTTTCTATACAGGAACCATCCCTTGACCCCAAGGTCCGACCACCCACCGACCATCCGGTAGGCACGGCTACACCAGACTGTCCATGCTGGCGTGCTTGCCATCCCGCGACCGTCTTTCATCGGGGGTCACTTCACCGACGGTATATTTGACCGACACATCGGTGGTCTTGACGATACCGACAACACCATCTTCACTGTTACTGCTGATACTCGGACTATCCTCCCCGCGGCGGCGATACTTGCGCATGTCGAAGCGACTATTCGCATCGTGGCCGATGTCTACCGTGTGTCCGCCATTCGGGTCCGCCATCTCGTATCCGTCGTCTGCGTGCGAGTGCAGCTGCGATTTGTTGGTTGCGAAGAGCTTCGATCCGGGGAATCGTCCGCGCGAGCCACTGGTATTGGGACCGTAGCCGGAGGTTTCACCGCGGGAAGTGCCGAGGAGACGGGGTAGGTATCGGCTGGCGATGGCTTTCATGGAAGGACCGCAGGCAGTGACCACGGCGACGTTGACTTCGATGGCGGAACTGCAGAAGCCGATGCTGTAGGTTGGGTCCAGGTTGACCTTATTGCTGAGGAAGCCTTCGGCGAGGATGACGATGCGCCAGACACCGATGGCAGTGGCACTGTGGAAAACGGGTTAAAATCAAGACTCTGTGGTATGTCAGAGATGCAGCGAACTTACACTCCACCAAGGCACAGGATGATGCACACAGCAAGCTTGCGTCGCAGGGGCATCTGCAAGCCCCAGGTGATGATTATGGGAATTGAAAGCACGACACAGTCCGTGGCGAGATTGAGGGCGGCGGTCGAGACGTAGAATTTACCCTGAGCAATGCATTTGCCACCTGGGATACTCATATCGTAGACATAAGCGACTGGTTGGCATTGAAAAATGTCAACAAACAGCACAGCGACGAAGAGACCGATGACAAAAGCAATGGCGCCCCAGATCAAGCCGTTGACGACGCGGGACCGAGACTCTAGCTTGCGCAAGAATACCAGCATAGACAGCTTGATGACCGTCAAGGTGGGATTGTAAAGGAGCTGATTGGCATAGTTCCACTGTTGGCGGTGACTCGGGTCAGTTGGAGTATAGATGGGGAACGGTGGCCAAGATACTGACGATTAAGCCTCTTTTGACATCGTAATCTTTAGGAATATCCGCGTAATGGATGCCGACATAGTTGTATTTGATATCTGGAATGCCCTTGGGTCAGTCAATGGTTCTTCTTTGCTCATTCTATCGGGAAACCCACAATACCATGAGGTCACGGATTGTCCGATAGCCAGAATCTATCGCAATCATGTTAGTATTCTGTATCCCAGCCATGGAGAGAGAGAAGAAGCGATCCCATACATATCCTGCCGTGATCAGATAGTCATCTAAGTAAACGCGTTAATAGTTCGTCGATCATTAAGGGGCAACGGGTCCATGCATACCGCTGGTGAGTGCCGATCGTGATAATCGACGACTCCAGAGCCTCAAGAGGACGGCAAGTCCACCCAGAATGGGGAACGCGACGACGATCCCCAGCGCAATATTTTGTTGGTGAGTATCAACCATCGTCCAGCATTTCTCAGAGGCCCAAAACGAGGAAGTGGAAAATCGGAGGGGGGGGGAGAGAATAGTTTCAGGCCAGCGTCTCGGGGTTATAACCTTTCCATGCAGGAGACGCCCGCCACGGACAACACATTTACAGTGTACACACCACTGAGCTTAATGGGTGCAGCCGAGTCGAGTACTTTTCTCACCTGCCATTCCTTCGTGCTAAACTTGAATTTACCATTTCCTAATAATTACCGAAATTCGCAGTGCAAGGCGCCGCTAGTGCGAATCCCAATTGGCTGTCCATGGCCCTGGAATCCCCGACCTGGAACACCAATTGTGGATAGTGGGCGAGGCTAAGAGTGACTCCACCGGAGGATTGAATATATGTGTGTCAAGAGAGCCAGAGGGAAAGAGCGAGCCTAGTCCCGAAGGCGAAAGGTTTTTCATTGTCATCTGGACTCCGGAACAACTACGGGAGATACCGTTGCGCACGGAGTAAAACACAAACTCTATTGGGTTGGAACCGGCGAAGAGGGTCGAATGGCAGTTGGGAGTCCACAAACTTTAAGAATTAGTGTTCTCCGTCCCAAAGAGTACGCAACGTTGGATCAAACTATGGACTCCGTACTTTAGTAGATAAACACCCATGTTTCTTCAGACGCACAAATATGCCACCAATTCCGAATAAGAAAAAGTCCTGCAAGCACAGGGGGGGGCCAAAAGGAAGAAATAGAAAATTCCTTGTGACTTCGACGCCATCGCGTGGGAAATAATTATTTACTTGGCACTGATCGGTACCTATCGCAGGCTAACCACACCCGTCCTGGCGCCATTACAATCCGAGACAGTCATCTCGCTATTTTCTTTGAATCGTAGAACCGACCGCCCCCACATTCGCAGACCCAAGAAAGAAAATAGTCGGATGTTAGTGAGGCAGTACGTTTCCCCTGGCCCAATTGTCTCTATCAAAGCTAATAAAAACACCGTTTAACCTTTTTAAGGATTTGGCCACAAAGGCAATTGCTGGCGGTGGAAAACGACAAGGACAAAGTGGAATCATATGGGGCATTTCCGTTGATTCTAGATCTTTGGTACGCCCAAGCCACGGCCGAGTGGGGAAAATTCTGACAGTCCATAGGAGAACAACCTGAGGGTACATACCAGATTATATGCTAGGACTTTCATTGTTTATTTTTGGCCAGCTCTATGCAGAGAAAGCAAAAGGAGACAAATACGTGGAACGTTGTTCATGTAAATGAAACTGCTCCCTGAATCGTACCTATTTGCTAAGCCATAGCTTACGGTCCAAGTGTTCTCCGATCCTTGTCAATCCGGCCGAATCGGAGAAAATCCCTTGTGGAGCGCGGGTGTTTTGGTAGGTTGGGGGTGGGGATTCCTCCAGGGCCGAGGGGTAAAAAAAGGCCACTGTGGGTTATGAAGTGGTTGCATCCAGTACTGTACAGTTACCAACCGACTAACTCCTTCGTGCCTGGTTGATTGTACGTACAAACTTTGGTAGCGTTGTATGTATTTCGAGGAGTGTCCTCCGCCATCGGCCATGGGTGTAAAACTGTAAGATTCCTTCTTCGCCGGGATTTGACTCCGGAGAGATTCTAGACACTAATCTGACCAGGGGGGTTGATCCCTCAGCGGCGCCCCGAAGCAGCCGGGCCACGTACCTGGTATCTCTGAAAGAGTTTAATAGGTACGGAGTACGAGTTCGGCAAAAGTCAATTCCAAGGATGAAGATAGCGTGAAGCGTGGCTGTATGGTTGCATATCTCTCGTCGCTGGGGAGTACTCTTCGGTACAAGCCTGGCAGTCTTCTCGATGACCATCGAACTCTGTACGAAGTAGTACTAGTCTGTCGGTTGACGTCCGATTTCTGTAAGCGAAGGGGTATACTCCGGGTATACTCCGGATACAGAATAGTATCTTCCGTAGAAGGAAACCGATAATGCCGGGCGCTCCGTTGTTAGCCCGTCATTTGAGCATGGACCAAGTCGCCCACTCGGACTCCAGTCATGATGATGTTCCGCACGTCCAGAGGACTTTCCTCGTAGTGGGGCACCCGATCTGGACATGTACACAGACGGAGGGGCGCGCCTCCACCGTTGCGGTAACAAGTCCGGGATAGCAAATCCGCCGCACGTTGGCCTAGAGCGCTTGTGAGCCACCTCGTGGCGTGTCCGTTTAATAATCGATTGTGCGTAGCGTCCGTATAGCGCTGCGCTACTTAGGATTAGTGAAAAGGATTGCTGCACAAAATCGCAATTACCGCGTGGGTGTCTCGGACTAGGATAGTCAGCGTGGGCAGTTGCAATTGATAGGATTGGCCCATCATCAGTTCATTGTGGAGCTTAATCAGGGCTTCGCAGCGCAAATTCCGAGATTCTGTATGTTAGCCTCGTTCCCCTTGCATTGTCTTGCCTGATATGGTATAGAATAGGTCGCAAGCTCTTTGCCCACCTCGTGGCTATGGAAGCTTGGCCACGTCCGGAATCTCCAAGTGCCGAACATTGGCTGGGAGTTGGCTCCTTTTCAGTCTCTCGCGAACTTCTTTAAAAAAGACGCCGTTCCCACTCTAAACCGGTCCTTTCCTGAAAATCATCTCACCGAACCGTGGGAGGAACTGAGCCAAATTGTTTGGAGTCTTTGTCGACCTTCGTTAATCTCATTGCCATGGCGCCCCGTTCCATGATTACGGGTGCCCTGTTGGGTGCTCTCGCACTTTCAGCCCCAGTTACGGCTCAAGTCGCGGAACAAGTTTCGTCTTCCTCGGCGGCTGGAGTTCCGCTCTTCACGAGTGAGACCCTTCAATTGACCGAAGATGCTCTGTCCAGCCTCAGCTCGAACCAATCCGCTCTCTTCCAGTTCGGAAATGCCTCCAGCTTGTCTGCCCGCACGGTCAGCGGATGCAAGGTCTACCCCGGTGACTTCTGGTGGCCCTCCAAGCTGGTCTGGTCTCTCTTTGACAAGGTCCTCGGCGGTGCGCTGATCAAGACCGTCCCTCTGGCTGCTTCTTGCTATTCCTCATGGGGCGAGTACGATGCCGATACTTGCGCGACCATCACCGATGACTGGACCAACTCTAACCTCCAGTAAGTATCGAGACTCAGTTGTGTACTACACCTCCAATTGGCCGCTGGTCTAACTATATCCCACAGTGCTGCCGATGCTGCCTCGGTGATGTGGCCCCTCTTCGAGGGTAGAACTTGTCTGCCTACTACCAATGCCTCCGCATCCTGCACGGTCGGTGGCTACAGCAGCTACGCTGTCAATGTCAGCACCGTGGCTCAGATCCAGCTGGCTGTGAACTTTGCTCGTAACGCTGGTATTCGCCTCGTGGTCAAGAACACTGGCCACGACTTCAATGGCAAGTCCACCGGTGCTGGTGCCCTGGGTATCTGGACCCACCACCTCAAGGATATTACCTACATTAAGAACTACAAGACCTCCGGCTACTCTGGTCCCGCTGTCAAGATGGGTGCCGGTGTTCAGGCTCATGAGATCTACGAGAAGGCTAACGAGCTTGGCTTCTCCGTTGTTGGTGGTGAGGGCAAGGTAAGGAGTTCCGCTTCAAACCTTTCTTCATTCGGTCCGCTAATTGTACTATAGACCGTCGGTGTTGCTGGTGGTTACGTTCTCGGTGGTGGCCACTCACCTCTGTCCAGTATCTACGGTCTGGCCGCTGATCAGGTTCTCGCCTTGGAGGTTGTCCTTGCCAACGGTCGCTTTGTCACCGTGACCGAGGCGAGCGACCCCGATCTCTTCTGGGCTATTCGTGGTGGCGGTGGTGGTAAGTTGATTTTCCTCAATCACAGTAGGTCTTGTATCTAACCCTTTTTCGCATCAAGGTACCTTTGGTGTTGTCACCTCTGTCATTTCCCGCGTCCACCCCAAGGTCGGCGTGACCGTGAGTACCTTTAGCTTCTCCACTGGCACCGACGTGTCTGCCGACACCTTCTGGGCCGGTGTCCGCGCCTACATGGAGCGCTTCCCCGCCCACGCCGATGCTGGTACCTACGCCTACTTCTGGGTTCTGAACACCGGCACCGACTCGTTCATGTTCCTGATGAACCCCTTCTTCGCCGTCAACCACACTCTGGCCCAGTACAACGCCCTCGTCCAGCCCTGGTACGACGAGCTCGAGGCCCTGGGCATCTCCTTTACCCCCAACTCGACCTACTACGACAACTTCTACGATGGCTGGTCCGCCGGTTTCCCCCTCGAGACCGTCGCTTCCTCCGTGATGATGACCGGTTCCCGCCTCTTCCCCCGCGAGAACTGGGAGAGCGACTCTCTGTTCAATACCACCTTCGAAACCCTCCGCTCCACCGTCTCCGACGGCTACGCCCTCCTCGCCTTCAACATGAAGGCCGAGCTCGTCGACGGATACCCCTCCAACGCGGCTAACCCTGCCTTCCGCAACACCCTCATGCACGCTATTAGCTCCACCAGCTGGGACGCCGACGCTACCAACGCCGAGATCCTCGAGAAGATGGATTACTTCACCAACACCGTCCTCGGCAAGTGGCGTGCTACTTGCCCCGACTCTGGCGCATACATGTCCGAGTCGGATATCCAGGAGCCCAACTTCCAGCAGGCCTTCTACGGATCTAACTATGCTCGTCTGTATAAGTTGAAGCAGGTGTATGATCCTACTTCTCTGTTCTATGCTCCTACCGGTGTCGGCAGTGAGAACTGGGAGGTCAAGAGTGCGGATGGTCTTCCTGACCAGAACGGTCGTCTCTGCCGGGTTTAAAAGTGTGGTGAGGCTGGAATTCTTGTACATTTTTTGTAAATTAATAGAGCTGGGGTTGCATTACCTTGTTATATTTTTAGCGTCAATCGGACATTTTCCTTGTTCAATTTTTTTTTCTCCTCCTTGCGGTGACCTCTATGGCTTAGAAATCTATAAAGTCCAGGGCGAAGAGGGATCATCTAACTTCACGGAGATGTACCTCGGGTGAGCTTTGTATAGATTGTGGCATGATGAACTCTGCATTTAGCTTTTTCCACCAATCCCGACGTGCACCGTGCCATTGCGAGCTGAACATGGTGTTTCCCGTCATATATATTCTAAGATTGAAGGTACATTTGTTTTCTGCACCCATTTTCCCTGTTAAAATGGTCAAATCTCTTCGTTCGTATCGAGTTGCCGTGTTGAATAGCCGCCTTTGGCACATGGCCAGAACGTCTCCACTGGATGGTCCCGAGGAGGGGATTGATTCGTTATCATCCAGTAACTGTCCAGCGATGAATCAAGCTTCCCAGCCAAGCTATTGATCCCAATGCGGATCAAAGACACAGCAGTAATTGACTACGTAGTATTAGCATAGTAACCCAGTCGCAACAAGTTGCAGTTCCAGGCAATCAGGCAACGATTAAAAGAAAAGCGGAAAGTTAAGGTCGATCTCCTCCTCCATCCAACCAATCAGCACCCGTGAATCACCACATGTTCGCGCTGCTGGCAACCAGCTCTCCAGACTCCCAGGGTCCAGAGGTCCATGACCACACCAATTCCCCAGCACGGCGAACTTTGTTCGACGCCTCCATGTGCTATTTAACTATTTCAAATCCCCCAAGGTCTTCTCGAGCGCCCCCGAAATAAAATGAACTTCATGTCACCTCTGCGTTGACCAACTCCCTTCGGGGGAACCCCCAGTCACGATGAAGGTTACTCGCCATGCGCTAATTGCGGGTCTACTCTACGCCGTGCTGGGCGTCGCATTGCCCTTCCAGCTCGTCTTAACCAGCGATACCCCGACAATTCGCTTCAAGGACAACAGCCTCCCGCAGAAGGGTCATCCCGTACCAATTCCCGACAATAAGCCATCGTTCAGGCAGTATGTCGCGCAAATGCAAGAAGAATCGCAACCTTCGGCTACTGCGACGCCGGACATCGAGTCCAATGCCTCCCAGAACGGACCAGAGCACGCAGAGTCCAAGTCAGGGTCTGACAACGATCGTGACCGCGCGTTCCGAGATCACTACGGTGCCGTCCTCGGGAAAGTGGCCAAACTCATCTCCAACGAGGACAATCCCGACACGCCGCCAATCCAAAAGGCGCAGCAGAATCAACACACAAAACATATTACTCCCACATCTCGGATGATCACATACCTCAAACCGGTCGATCTACTCGACATCATCGACCAGCATGGCCCCGAGTGCGTCGCACTAGCGATCTTCGTGCTAGTCCCCATCGCATACTTCCTGCTCGAATTGCTCGAATTAGCCATCGGATGCTGTGTTCGGGAGCGGTATCCCCATCGCGGTCGCGATCGCGTGCGACTCCTGGGCCCAGAGAGACGGTTACGGGCGTGGAGTAACAGGCAGCGTGAACAATTCTTGGACAGCGAGAAACATTGGTGGCAGGCGCGGAGGACTCGGTGAAGTTTCATCTGGGGGGGTGGGGTGGATACTGTCATGTCTCACTATCTTTTGTTTTTCTCTCTTCTGACCCTTTTCTTTGTTTTTATGACCATTCCTTTACATTGATACCCATTTACTGTAGCCGATCTTTGCAATGATATTTTGATTTTCGATTTGAGTTTCGTTGTTCAAGGCATCCCATCTCGTGAATTTGGGTGAATCCGTGCCAAAGCTTTTTAGCAGCTTCCAACCGGGTCCTTTCCAGCTTTTGCAAAACCCCCCATACCAAGTCCTGGAAAAGTAGACTACGAAATATCAAATATAATATCAAAGATAGAAGTTCTGCAATCCGGGACCCATCGCGATCCCTGGCTCATCATTGTACTTTCTCTCCTCCCCAGCCTCGAAACGATAGAGCTTTTCCGGGCCGGGATGGGCACACGATATTCCTCATGGATGCTTTCCAAGATATCACAACGAGCCAAACTTTTCAACAGCCGACCATCCTGGACAAACTTAATCTCCACGCGGTAATACTCAAAAAATCCCCCTAGACAAAGGCGCAGATATAAATTTCCAATGGTTCATTCCATTGTTTATACTTCCGGGTATACCCACGGTCAAGGGCTAACTTTGACGGATATCTACCGCGAACCAAACCTCGACATTGAGAGTTCACTAACTGGATATACCTCGAATTGATGCAATGTAGCACTGTACTGGAATTAGTCTATCTAATCAAGATCTGCCCAAATCTTCAATCTTGTCAATACACTCAACAAGAAGACAGTGGCTTGCACCGTTCACCGGGGTATAATGATGAGTGCTATAATAAGCTTCTATACACTGTGTCCAACACTGTTAATGGATGCACTAGGACGAAGAAAGATACGTTGCAATCCGTGACGGTGGGAGGGATCCTACGAAGGTGAAGTCTTTGCAGATTCGCGCGACTAATTTCATTGAGATGCGTGGGAAGGGGAGGTTTGACGCGCCGCGGGTGTCTTTGCTGGAGTTTCTTCATATTGGATGGAGTTCGGGAGTTCAGCATCGGATTTTGGAGAAAATGGCCAGGATTTGTTGGGATTGGTTCTGGCTTGGGGAGAGCAATTTGATTAGTTGAGGAGGATTGATGTTGAGGGGAGTAAGTGGTTGTATGAGGCAGTATAGGGGAGGTTTGGAGGGAGATTTATGCGGTTTACGCGGTGTTGTCGAGGGAAGATGTTTTGCTTGTACCGAGGGAGGTGAAGGATGCTTGTTTGGATAGGGGGATTGAGATTCACATCAGAGAGGCGGATGTTGAGCCGTTTTTGAGGAGCAGGATGATATGTTTTTGTTCGTTGGAGGTGGGCAGGAGATGTATTAGATGCCATTATCCCAGGCAACACATTCAATTATTTCGGATGGAACTCGCCATCTCATTGAGAGTGCTAACAAGATCCGATCGTGAAGCGACATTTTGAAACTGCAAAACTCCTTCAAATGTGCGTGAAAATATCAAAACAGCACCGTCAACCATCAACGCCTGCAACATGTTCTCATCTTTCCCAGAACATAAATTACTGATCAGCACTCTACTAAGCAGTCTGCTGGACACCATTCTGCATAGCTTCAAGATGGGCAAACTCATAAGTGTCCTCACCCAAAGACCACGCCATCACACCGCCCAGATTCTTAGCCTGCACGATATCCGAGAACTTGCGAGCGATCAGGTCAGGAGTATCCCACGACCAGAAGAGGTTAGTCTCCTCGTCCCAGTAGTACTGGCCACCCTCTTGGTCATCGGTTTGTCCGTCCTTGGAGGCACGGCGCCAGGAGTCGGTGATGGAGATGCCCTTGCAAGTACCGTAGTCGGACTGACAGCCAGCCTGGCAGAAGTCGTCGCCAGTGCCACTTATGAGGGGTTAGATAGGGGTTGATACGAAGATATATGGAAGAGAAAATGGCAAGACTTACCAGTTACCGTACGCGCTGCAGCAGGATCCCTGCTGGCACTTGGTTCCCTCAGAGTAACCACACTTGCCATTGTAGGAAGTCGTCAGGTTGGCCGGGGGAGGATCCATGACACCCTTCTCGAAAGTGAAAGCACCGGACTTGCCGTTATCGCTGCCATCGTCTTCCTCCAGCTTGACAACCTTGCAGCCGATAGGGTTCTCCTTGCAGTCAGAGTTGGGGTCGGTGGTGAACCACTTCGCGTAGTAGGCAAATCCAAGGTTGATCTTCTCAGGCTCAAGGCCCAGATCAAGATAAGCCTCGATAGTATCGAGAGATCCCGCGACGCTGGTGTGGTGGGCGGTAACATTGTCGCGGCGGTTCATCAGATCGTAGGTCATGACGTTGACCATGTCCACGGACTTGAAGATCTCGGGACCTTGTTCCTTGGTGAAAGCAATCATGTCCCCTCGTTTACCGGGCACGGCAATGGAAAGGGTCTTGTTGCCAATTGCCTCACGGACAGCCGCCAGGAACAAGGGGTAGGTCTCGATTTCGTCAACCTTGTCGGAGTTGGGGACTTGTCTATAGTCCTGGCCGTTACCGCCGGGGTATTCCCAATCGATGTCTATAACTCTTAGAATGATGCATTTGGCTACAAGGGCAAGCAGTATCTTACCAACACCATCAAAGTTGTTTGTATCAAGCATCGAAGCAACGTTCTTTGCGAAACGCTTGCGGGTGGTGTCATCCTTGGCTCCATCAGAGAAGCCGGCCGTGTCACCCCAGCCACCAATGGCAATCATGACCTTGGTGTCAGGGCCGAAGCGCTTGCGCATGGTTTCCACGGGCTCAAATGGCGAGAACGAAGGAGGGGAGTCAGAGTTGAACAGCTTTGTGGGAGCAAAAGCCATGATCGCGTGATCAATCTGGCCTGTTTGATCACTTCCAGGGAGATCGGTAGTATGATATCTAGACCAGTTAGACCGGAATTCTGCTTAATTACTCTTCATCGAATGCATACTCATCAATGTACATGACGAACCGCGTCGCAGCGGCGCTCTGAGCGGCCAGTAGGCCGAGGGCGATGTTCATCAACATGGCGAGGTCGTGTCAGGCGACTGCTAATAGCCGGGGGAATGATATAAAATGAATGAATGAAACCGTGTCAAACACTTGACAACGAACGAAAACCGGAGGAATTACCCAGCTCACGGAAGAGAAAAATAGGTCAGCACGAAGCTGTAGAAATGGATGGGATAAGAGGAATAAATGTGAAAGGCTATGGATTTGGGGCCTAATAAACTCCAGCAATGAGCATAACACAGCAAAACATGCCTAGAATGATCATCAGTTCCGAGTTTGGACCACCTCGCGGCCGAAGGGGAAAATGCTCTCCACATCCAGCGACACGGTTCTTCAACCTGTAAGGTGTAGTACATAGGGTCATTTCGGGTCATTTCGCGGGGCGGGTGTATTCTATCCCTGCGGCAAAGTGGATCACTTCTATCGCAGGCAACGGAGCCCCAACAGTATGGGGAAGGGGAGCTGAGGCTAAGAAGGGCGCTGGAATGTCGAACACACTTCGTGGCACCAGACTTGGTCACCTGGAAATCGGTCCTACTGGATAACAGCTCGGCTGGATTCAACTGCATGGCAAGGTTAGTGAGATCCAAGAAAGCATAAAATCCTGCGGAATAGATCCGAGAATCGGGACGCTCGTTCTACGGGCTGGCGGCAGGCTTGTCATAGATCGCGGTTGGTATTGGTATGCCAGACCGGCAGCATTCATTCCTCTCCCCCTCACATTCCACTGGCGTCACGGAGTATTCAACTGCAAGGTTATAATCCAATCACCTGTTAGAACATTAATTTGAGAGATTTAGCTCATGGCTTTGGGGGGATTGGTCGGGTTGAATCCCGATTTGTCGCGCTCCGGGCGTCGACTTGCTGCACTACTATGTGACACCTGCCAGTGCAATATGGAAGGAAGGAGGACAACACCAGAGCCAGAAAATGTCTCGTCGGACACAAATACAATAATCTAGGGGTATAAAATGGAGGCTCAGAAACGCCCAGTCTATATGACAGCGGCGAGATTTATCGGCGAAGAAAGGAGAAAACGAAAGGAAAGCTGCCCGGTCTTAGTTCCAATGTCGTCGAATGATAGGACGTGCTGGATCCCAAGGACCAATGACCACATTCTTGTATTTCTGCAGACTGATCAGCCACCAGCTGCACCCACCCATGGAGAACGCCGTCAAGACGCTTCCAAGGAAGGACCCGATAACTGCGGAAGCCCAGCCGCCACCAAGCGTCGTGCCAACAGCTCCCCCAGCAATGATGACCAAAGCAAGTGTCAGCAGGACATGACCGGTCCAAGATTTCTGTCGCAGCTGGCGGCGGAATATCGGGAACAGCCCGAATACTTCCATAGAGAACAGCATCAGGCTGAACACATGTGTCGTTGAAGGCAACCGGGAGGCAAGCACCGTAGATGCCATCACCGCAGCATTCGTGGAAAGAGAAGCCGGAAATTTGGTCGTGGCGCCAGCGCCCTCTCCACTTCCATAGTCGAAGGAGAATATGTTCATGATTAAAAGCCAGCAACTCAACGCCCAGATTGAGTCACTAGCAGTAGACTTGGTGAGTGATTTGAGAATGGGACTCAGTCCCAGCAAGGAAAAGTAGATCAAGAACGCCGACTTGACGGTCGATAGACGCTGTCGATTGCGTGATGACAAAAGGGATGCTCTTTCACTGTCTTGTGCATCTGTACTGCCGAGGGCAATACGAGGCGTTGTAGATGAAGATCCAAGGCGTAGTGCCGGATCCCCGATGCCTTCAAGGCTGCCATTGAATTCTGCTGTGAGATGTGACATTTGCTCTTTCGATTCGTTTGCAGACATCGTCAGGCCAAGGCCGTGAATTGGACTTCCTTTGGTTCCATTTAGCGGCTGTTCATTGCCCGATGGATTGGCTGCGCTGGTCATCGAACTCGAACTGGACCCGTCATAACCATTACTTGCAGCATTGAGACTCTGCGCAAGTTCTGCTTGTTCTTGCCAAATCCAATTGTCCCACAAGGTCCAGCCCATGGCGGTACCGACGCTACCCCAGCACACTATCGAAACGGGGCTCACTCGGTCCTGGACGATGCCGACAAAGCAGCAGACGAAGATAACCACAGAACAAACGTGTTGAACAATGACGGTCGAGTCGGATACAAGAGGCCAGAAGTCATAGGGTCGTACTCGAGGGTTCCGTTGCAGATGATCCAGGAACGTTTCAGTGTCGGTATAGTTGTCCGGATCTATCGTAGCTTCGTTAGCAACTCGTGCCAAATCCAAGCGTTGTACGAGCCAATCTATCATGACATACAAGACTGCTTCACCCATAAAAGCTTCTTCCAAGCACCCTTTCGCCTTCGTCGTGGGCCAGCGGCACCCAATTTCCTGCCGTCCTTGCGGATCAAATTCGCGCCAAGCGACCCTCGCGGCGGCCGCAACGTCGCAACACCCGATGCATCACCATTCAAAGAGCGCAAGCTTTCCTCATAGTCCGCAGGTGCTGAGCGTACTCGGGACAGAGATGGCGCAAAGTAAGCGTCCTCCGGCGCCAGACGATCAGGGTCAGGGATGCGGTCGTCCTCGGGAGGCCGTGATCCTGAGGCTCGGTTGGGATGCGTGTCGACGGGAATGGGCGGGGGAATTGGCGACAGCGATGGGGATGGTAGAGTCATCGAGTCGGGACGACTAGCATTGACGCATGACGTTTGTGAAAGAGGAGCGGACGTGGTCGTCGGTCGAGATCGTCGGGACCTTGCTGAACGCGCAATCCCACGTGTCACAAGCTGGTCATGTGATCACATGGAGCCCTGGGTATTTCTTCTACAGATCAACGGCGGCATCGCGAATGCCTTGGCTCACTATGGTGTTATTGTAGAAACCTCGTAGTGCAATTTCACATTCGTATGGCTCTGTTATGTAAATTGACCTTCAAGGGGCTGTTAACATCGGCGGCTTTTCAATTCCTGGTGTTAATCGAAACGGGCCCGAGTCACTTCAATGATTCGATCCTTCCCATCATTAAGACGAATTCTTGACTTATTCACAAAGACTATCAAACTCATTCTTGTAACTCTCTCATAGTTATCTCTCTTCTGTGATACCGGGGCTTAGGAGTTGTGACAGAGACGTCATGGCCGGGGGAGGTGAATCAATATAAACCTAGAATAACCTCCTGATGCCAACTCATCACTTAACAATTAGCAGAGGATATGTAAAGCAAACATTCATACAAGATTTCTGTAGATGGGAGGTAATGCAAAGTTTGGAAGAAAGTCTGCATCATGAATGCACGTGCGAGATCTGCCATTGAGTATACTAATAAATAGAGGAGCAGGATGGCAAACCAAACTTCGCATCCTCTTAACATTCTAAAGTCTTCTAAATGTCATATTCTGGCCATGCCAGAGGTCTCCAGCGTAATATAATTGGTGAAGATTTTTTTTCATGCGATTCAAAATGAGGTGGGCCCTTCTGTAAACTGGAGCAGAGGGTATGTAAAGATTCCCGTGTGTGGAGAGCCAGGTTTGCAAAAACCTCGACGAGTCAGATGAAGTGTACATTCCAAGGGGTATCGATTGTTCCTCCAGGTCTGGAGGTGGAGATAGAGAAAATGAAATTCCCGTCAGTGATCATGACGAGCTGGGTGAACCATTCTGTTCGGGGTTCAAGCCAGAATTCATGACGATGTTTCGGACCGCCTGCGGTGCCACCACCTCGTCGATACTATTCCTGCGTCCCCAGTTCTGTGGCTGGCGTCGGATAAAGGCACCGACGGCACCCAGGTAGCCCTCGTGGCGCAGGAAATAGGCTTGCTTTTCACCCTTGGACCAGAAGCGGATAGCATAGGAAAGGGTGTTCATAGTCTGACGGTGGCCCCGTATGAAAGATCCTCCAAAATAAATGTGCTTGACTTGATGCTTTTCCGACTGCAGGTAGGCAATTTGACCGATGTTGTTGCTAAATGAAGAGTTAGTGGTTGTTGCACCGAGAAAAGGACAGGAAAGACATACCTAATAGCATATAGAAGGCTCCGACTCATGTCTTCATGTCGGAAGTTGACTCCACCGTTGCTGCGCTCGAATTCCTCGTCGTGGATCAAACCCTCGCCGTCCTCAGCACCACGTTCAGCAGCATTCTTCAACCGGAAAACCTTGCCAAAGGTACTGGCAATAGCTGTGCTCTTGAGTCCAATCTTGGTATAGTCCATGCCGTAGATATCCCCCACCAACATATCCACTCCGGCATTGTCCCCGCGATCCGCCATGGCCAGCATGTCATCAAAGGTTCGCGCGCCAGTGAGCAAGGACATGATTCCCCAGAATGTGCCTCCACCAAGGTGCGTTCCACCTACACGTTCGAACTGTCTGGGGCCGGAGACCTTGATCATGGAGACACCAGACCCTATATTGACAAGGAGATACGGGTAAACGTCCGGTCGGGCCTCGGCAAATTGCATCGGTTCGGAATCGGTATCGCTGTAAGTGAAGACCTCGTTGGGAATTTCGGTGATGAAGAAATCGAGACCTAGTTGCGCGAATCAAGGAGCGCGGTTAGCTAAATTGCTTCCAGTGTGTCCATTTCCGGTCGTCCGAGAACACCTACCGATGATCAGGCATTCCATCTCCTCCTCCCGCAGAATATTGACGTCCAGCGCCTTTTTTAGCTTATCGTAAAACTTGAAAGCACCACCTCCAGTAGCCACGACACACAATTCATCGGGCACGGAGCCATTGCGCTTCTCGTGTTCCTCCTTGAGTTGGCGAATAAAGTTGATGCAGATGTCGATCCGGTGGGTTTCGAAATTGATAAAATTGAGGCGACCACCATTGTCAGCGGCATCGAGCTCTCGTGTAAAGTAGACCAGTTTCGCCAATGATCCTCCAATCTAAAAGGAACATCAATCCACAGTCAGTCATGCTATCTCAGAGACCACTCGTGCTCAATTGCCTCCCTGTCGGGCGGGATTGCGGGGACGGTCGGGGGTGCGGGGCAACGAGCAGTGACAAGAGGGAGCAAAAAAAAATAAAAAAGGAAGGAATCCAGGGACAGAGACCAACTCACATCGACGGCGACATGGCTTACGACACCAGTGTGATGTGGCAGACGAATATCCTTGTTCTCGTAGTGAACGCCTTCGGCCTCGACGGGGCTGCGTGACCGAGGCTCGTCGTCGACGATAAAAGCGCCCTTGACATTGATCTTGACGGCGCCGGGGTTTGAGATAGCCTCCTCGAGCCGTGGTCCCTTCCGGCGGATATCAGGCTCCGTCGTCATATCGGAGGGAGCCATGGCGATTGCGGAAGACAGAAGCAATGACAGCAACGGGGGAAGGGTGCAAGAGGAAGCCCTGGAGCTCATGGCGGTGGTTGATCCCGTGCCCACGCTTACGGCGTATATTTCCTTCTACCCGCACTCGCACTGTAACAGGGTTCCACTCCTCCCTTTCAATGGCTTCCAGTGGGCCGCATTTAAGTCAACTTGGCTTCTATTATTTCTCCAGGCCTAGGGAGGGCTGCCTGCTTGGGAGCCGAGGATCATAGCTTCCGAGGTTCAGCTGGGTGTAGCTCCCAACGTAATCTTCCCGACCGGTTGGCCTCGCCGAGCGCGGGGGAGTAGAATTCCAAGCCGAACAGCCCTAGCTAGCATAATTTAACATGTACTACTACTAGGCAGGTGACAATGTGCTCGAATTTCCAGAGCATAGTTTTTACACTATGAGTGTTGGCATGCTCATAAAGTACTTGCTTGGCTACTATCGGTGCATGGGGAAAATATATTTTGGACTACTTCCTGGGTTGGACCCTGACACTAATATACCTAGTGCCAGGCCCACCTAATTTTCGGCCTCGTCGACACTTGGCATGGATCGGCACCTAGATATCTATGGAATAATCTTCTGATCAAGATCTCTTGGCACACATGACAGCCGCTTGATTTATAACATGGATCTGATTCAAGAGGACGTATCTTGTGGTATATATGCCTTGAAAGTCTACCTAGTGAAATCGGCCTAACCCTATTCCACGCCATCTATGTGATATTTGAATCAATGATTTACTTCGCAGCGCGTACAGCTATTCCATGGTATTGAGTTACTGATTTTTAGTATATTGACCAAGCTGACGGGACTGAATCTGAAAATAGTTACACCTTAGCACATTTCAGTATTTGGATCCATATACAATCGCAGCCTGAGTCTTGGGGGTTGAACCCTTTCACAATCCATAACCTCAACTTCCATAGTTACTTATTGAGCTCCAGTTCCGGCAAAAGCCTCGAGAGCCTCGAGAGCCTCGAATTAATGCATCGCAAAAGAAAAAAAATCAAAATTCGGAAGCGGACTTGTGTCGGCAATCACCGGGACTGACCTCCAGCATCAATCAACATACGAAGCAGGAAAGTACCGAAAATGTCGCCCCAAAAGGAAGGCACGGCTGCACCATGGCCCCGTTATTTACCTTCACGTCTTCCCTCCTCTTGATGTTTCCCCCCTCTTCTTCCTCGCCCTGCATCTCCCATTCCAAGTCTCCCATCGGGTCATCGATTCGCGTATCTTTCTTCACGATTCAAAAAGCTGATTGAACTGACACACTCCCTTTGAGACCTGGGCGTTCCCTTATTTTGTCTTCAAGCCATCGAACTCGCTGAGCATCGTCATTCTCTCGTCTTCCATCACCACCATGGACTCCTGGGGTGAAGTCGATGACGCCCTTCGGGATGTCACAAACGATCCCGATGAGCTCGCTGCCGACAGCCACGACGACAACGAGCGGGCGTCTGACAAAGAGTACAAGCCACCTCGGAACCCTCGTGAGGCGGGCTGGTCTGAGCCTGTTCCCTTTCGCTATGAGAATTTCACCAATAAAGACTCCACTGACTGGGCTAGCACGGCGGCTCGGTATGAGTGGAAAGATGAATACGGTGACATTGGCCCTCGTAATGAGGACCTGGAGACACAACTGTTCGGCGAGGATTACAAGTGTCGCGTAGGTGTACGCTTCGAAGAGTAAGTTCAAAACCTCCAGCAGATATACTCAGTGGATATGAACTGAATCCTGTACCACAACCAGGCTAAAGAAGTCTGGCAAGGAAGAGCCCTACTCCGTCAGCATCGAGAGCAAGTTCAAGCTCCAGCCCATTGCAACGGTAAGCCCTTACTATTCCGTGTTTCCAAGTGACTGCTAACCTCGTCTAGTTCGACGATGGTGGGATTCACCCAACTCTGCGGGCAAACCTCGTACTCTGCACGTACACATGGCCAACGGCCATTCAGTGCTACACTATTCCGGCCCTCTACGAAGGGCGCGATGTCATTGGCATCGCCCAAACCGGTAAGCATCCTCAATCCATAGATTTCTGGCGACAAAGCCACTCACGAATTTAGGTTCGGGAAAAACTGGTGCCTTCCTCATTCCCATCGTCTCCAAGCTCATGGGAAAAGCCAAGAAGTTGGCCGCTCCTCGCCCCAACATTGCAGAAGGCTGGAATCCGAAACAAAATGCAGTGACTGCGGAGCCCTTGGTCCTGATCGTTTGCCCTACTCGAGAGCTGGCAACCCAAATTTTCGATGATGCACGAAGGATGTGCTATCGATCCATGCTGCGCCCCTGTGTTGTTTATGGTGGTGCTCCTGCTGCCCTCCAGCGAGAGGAGCTGCAGAAGGGGTGTGACATCCTCATCGGTACCCCCGGGCGTATCCTGGATTTCATGAGTCAGCCCAGGGTGCTATCTTTGCGCCGTGTGCGGTAAGTTCACATCCGTGGTTTCTAAAGACTCGCCAATCTAAGTGACTAACCGTTTCCAAAGATACACAGTCATCGACGAAGCTGATGAGCTCCTCCAAGCCGACTGGGAGGCGGATTTCAAGAAGCTCATGGCCGGCGGTGGTAAGCTCTGACTCCAGATTCTGATCATCTGACTTTACTGTTCCCAGTACTTATCAGCGTTCTTTAGACCTGAACGAAGATTCTGATCACCGATATCTCATGTTCTCGGCCTCTTTCAATAAAGAGTGCCGGAAGCTAGCTTCCAATTATTTGAGCAAGGATCATGTTCGAATTCGAATCTCTCGCCCAGGAAGTGTCGTCCGGCACATTAACCAAAGGGTAAGTTGGTACCGATCGTGGTGCAATTCAGGCCGCTGACATTGACCCATCGTCTAGATCGTCTGGATTGACCAATACCGAAAAAAAGGGGCTCTATACGACCTCCTTATGACCTTGCAGCCCACTCGAACCTTGGTTTTCGTGAACAGTAAACGAGACGTTGACATTGTCGATGACTACTTGTTCAATCAGGGGCTTCCCACCACTTCGATGCACGGCGATCGCCTTCAACAGGAGCGAGAGGATGCTATGTAAGACCTTCCCACTTGATCTAGTTATTTGACTTTTGATCGATGGCTGACTTGTGAAGGCGTTCATTCCGCTCCGGCCAATGCCCGATCATGATCACCACGGGCGTGTCTGCTCGGGGACTGGACATTGTGAATGTCATGCATGTGATCAACTACGACCTTCCCAGTGCCTCTCAGGGTGGTATTACAGAGTACATGCATCGCATCGGTGAGTGTGATCATTAGCCTAGTGAGATCTTGATTTTCTCTGAACGGGGCAAAGCTGATGATATACCTTGCTCATTATAGGTCGGACTGCTCGCATCGGCAACGAGGGACTGGCGACCTCTTTCTACAATGATGATCGTGATAGCGGGTTGGCAGCTGACCTTGTTAAGCTGCTGATGGAGAGCAATCAAGCCGTTCCCGACTTTCTCGAATCGTTCCGGCCCTCTGAAGCAACATTGAGCTTTGACGATGATAGCACGGATGGCGAAGACGAAGATGTTAAGAAAGATGAGACCCGTGGCTGGGCCCCAGACAGTGGCAACGATGTGTCTGCGTATGATGAACTTGCTAAAAAGGAGCTCGCCCTAAGACAGTCTGGATACATCACGGACAAAAACGATGTCGGATGGTAAGCGTCAAGCCCCACGGAAAAGGTTTCCGCACAAAGGCAATGACCCGGTGATCCTTTTTTGCTTCTGTCTGTGTTTATCGAGTCCAAGGTCCTTAATCATTGGCGAACTGATGACATTTCTTAACGGCAACTTCTTTGCGACCCGGAACTCCTGCAATAGCCCGTGGAACAAAGTGATGGAGATTTGATCGCGTTCTACCCGTCTACAGGCTCAAACGCTCTGCTAGATGTTATTGAATGTGCTTTTCTTATTTCACTGAGCATGTTCGGAGGTGTGTCTAGAGGAAGCTGTTGGATGTTTGCTGTCAAATCTACGAATGATGGATACGATGGATCAACTACGATATGTTGACTACCTTAGCTTTCAATTGATCAATTCTTGCAAATCATGGAACGTAGAAAATTCGTAGATAGCAGCAAAAGAGCGTCATTGCTACGCTTACCAGAAGTTACTGCATCGCACTTTCCAACCATGGCATTTCACCTCGAGGGCCTTTCTTCAAACCACTTGCATACCAGATTCGTGTTGCAGTACATCCATCGCATTCCCTTGTCATTTCTCCATACCGACCCCGCATTCGTTCTTTTTTACATCATGCGACACTCCTTTTCCTTCATCACGCCAGTGCTGGCCCTGGTCTTGATCCTCCCGGCAGCGAGAAGTCTCGTTCTCTGGCCCAATGATCAGCGTCCCTACGAGCAGCAGCACTGGTTTGAAACTCGCCAAGACATCGGCACAAGTCCAGATACTTCTGAATCAGCCGCTTCTTTGGTTATTGACACCTTTCAGAACTCGCTCCACAATGATCTGGGGTTCTGGCATGGCCCTGGCGAGAATCTGACCCTCCGCCATGAGCCTGGTCTCATGCGTCTGTTTCCGTCGGACCCAGACCAGAACTTCCACACGCAGTTCAATACACGCGGATGCTTTAACTTGCTTCCTTGGGAGGGCCAGTATCTGCATGTCGTGTTTAAGGGCAACGAGGAGTTCACTGTGTCGCTAAATGAACACAATGCGGCCTGCAATCCGTCTCAGTCGCCTTTCCCCGGTGCACCGGACAGTGTGCAGGCGTCGAGATACATCATGAGAACTCGAGCGGGAAGCCCAGATGCTGGAGGTGGCGACAAGGATGATGGTTCCAAGTTGGGCAGACCGATTACACCTGGTCAGGATTGGTTCAAGAATGACCCTCATGGTCGTGGTCCTGCATTAGCAACGAAAACCGAGTTGTTCATTCCTTTGTCGCATTTTCGAATCGACAAGAATCGCGTTGTCTCGATTTCATTCTCCGGCTTCTACGCTGATCAGCCCATCACTCTCTACCGGGTCGAGATCGTGCCGCATGTACCTCAACCATCCGCGTCAAATAATTTCTTTACTATTCCTGCAAAGCTTCCGACGGGCAAGCTGATCCTCCGCTGCAGTCGTCCCAATTCGTTTGCTTTTGGCATTGACGACGGTCAACCTCAGTATGCACAGCAGGTCATGCAAATTCTAGATGAGGAGAACGTTCGGGTGACGTTCTTTGCTGTTGCTACTGGACTCAGGGATAAGTCGACCAATTTTACCAGTTTCTATCGAGAGATGGTCAAAAGGGGTCACCAAGTTGCTCTGCATTCGAACACTCATCCTAAGTGAGTCCAATCGGATGGTTTTCTATTGACTTGAGCGTCAATTGCTGACAACTCTCCAGGATGGAATCCCTGCCAACTTTACATGAGATTGACGATGAGATCATTCAATCCATACAAACCTTGCGGAATCAACTAGATATTGGCTGTATACATGCCCCCGCATTCCCGCGAGAAGATGAACACTGACAATATCAACAACAGCACGATACTTCCGCCCGCCCTTCGGTACCGTCGGTGCTCGTCTTCGTCAACAGCTGGCACAGCACATCGACGACCCTTATATTGTGAATTGGAGCGTTGATGTGGAAGACTGGCTGTGGGAGAATACCACGACGCCGGAGCGACAACTCGATGCATTCTACCGTGATGTTGCTCGAGGTGGCAATCTGGCTGTGATGCACTACCTCAATCCTATCACAGTTGGATACCTCCGGCATTTTATTCGGCATGTCAAGGGTCTTGGGCTCAATGTCATGCGAGTTGATCAGTGTCTGGAGGATCCAAATAGCCCAGTGTTGTGAGGGGTCAGCCGATGTGCCAGGGTGCTATTTGTACAGATTAGGCCGTACGGCATATTCTTCCTGTGGTCTATTATTAGTGCACGCCTAGTGCATACTGCTATCCTTCATTTGGCCGGCGCAAGTCGTTATATGATTTTGTTTTGAGTCGATATTTTTGACCTTCAATTGTAGGCGCCTTTTACATCGCCTTTGATGGGAGCTATTTTGAACGCCTCCATTCATGGGCGACATAATTGAACAGGAAAATAGTTGCAAGGGCAAGCCAGTTATCACAACTTGCTCAAGTCATCAAGAATTTCAAAGGGCAAGGTTCGAGATGGCGCTCACCGAAACATCCCTCGGCCGAACAAAAAAGACACCAAGGAAAAGTAATAAAATATAGAAAAGACAGCACGAGAATGAAAAGAAACCCCGGTGCTGACGCCATGCATATAGATATACGCCCCTACCAAGACCAACCCACTGCAAATGCACCAATCATAAAAAGACTTCATAACAAGGCTGTGATACAGAAACCAACAAACCCAAACGCAAAAAAATACCATATTTCACAAGTACTTGTGATGGTGTCTATTCCCCAAACTCGGGTGCCTTGCATATTCCACTTGCTTCCATCTTCTCATGAATCCGGCTCATCAACCAACCAGACGAGGCGGCGGGATTCGCCGAACCCAATCGTGGATTCGAGCTGGTGAAGCAGGTATTATCGCGGAAGGAGAATTGTACACATTCTTTCTGCAGTTCGCAGACGTCGCGGCAGTCGTCGTAGGAGGATGCGAACGGTTGTGCATCGGCGGCTAGGTTGTCCCAATCGGGTTTTGTAGGGTGTGCGGCGATTTCGGGGAAGAGGTATTCGCGGAAGACGTCGCTGTGGAGGAGGATGCGCTTATTTTTCTGTTGAGGGGGGCCAGGGGTGGTCAGTATATGGGGCGACTTGGTATTGGGGGCCGGGAGGGGGATTAACTCACATCGTGCCAGCGCTTTTGTTCAAAGTTCCAGAGGTCTTGGATCTGGCGTGCGTTGAGATGGTGGAATGCCACTGCTAAGAAGCACCATGGGTGTCGGTATAGTTCTGTCGTGAATTCGTCTAGTTCGCCCAAGTTGGAGTTTTGTAAGATCGGCCAGGAGAAGTGCAAGTTGACGCCGGCGTCAGCAAGAACCTTGCCTAGGACACAGTCGCCGGCCCAGTGCTCGTTTGTATAGTGGTGAAGCTCGGTGCGACGAGCGGCGTATTCGTTCGAAGCGAGTTTCAGGGCTGGATTCGAGAGCATGAAGCCCGAGCCGCCGTGGGCGAAGATGACGTCTGCGATTTGGGTCTCCGTGCCCAGATACCACGATTGCTTGTGATCAAAGTGACCGAGCCAGGCTAGGAGAGTCGGCCACGAGACGTAAGTGTCTGCCTCCATGAAGACGAACCACTTGGCCTTGGGCTTGTAGCGCAATGCCTCTTGCGCCATCGGCAAGAACTTCCATTTATCCAGTTTCCAGCCTGGATTGTTTGGTTTGCCAATTGCGGAATTGGCCTCGTCTGCGAAATCGTCCTGCTCCAAACCCTTGCGCCCGAACTGCTTGATGCGATTGTAGATGTCAAAGTCGGGGATCTGCTGCGTAACCTCCGGATCCATACTGCGCAGCACGTCATGGATCTTGACGCCGTCAATCTCCTCCTCAAAATCGGAGTAGATGACATAGTGCGGGATACAGCGCAACGTGCTCTGGAAGTGGACCGGGACCTTATCCTTGGCCTCGGTCACGCCCGTCTTCATGACGACCAGGACATCCTCGATGCCCGGAAGCGGGGGACACACCGGAGCGGGTTCGCCGGTAATATCGGGGTCGGCGCGGCCAGCGCTGTTCGGGGCGGGTGATTGACGTCGGGGTTGGAGGTCGGAGTGGAGCGAGAAGATGTGGTATAGGAAGAGGAGGGCGAGGATGGCCGCTAAGGCAGCGAACCGGCGGCTAAAGCGGCGACGAGGGACCATGCTGGGAGTTCGAAGATTGGAAAGCTGTCAATCGCCCGCGAGCGTTGAAAGCATCGTTTCCTTTGAGAGAAGAACAGCTCGCCTGCGGCTGGGGGGACAAAGTAGCCGCAGGGCCGCGTTTCGTGGCGGGTGCTGACACAGCGGGACGCGTAGGCCTGTGCGAGGGCTGGACCGGACTATGTGGAATGTAGGTATGCTGATGTTTCATTTAGAAGAATTAAACAGGGGCTGTACAGTTGATAAAGGTGTACTAAGGAGATCTGTTTTGCTATGTTGGAGCTTTCATCTTTTGAATCTATCATCGATACTAACAATGCAGTGGTCCTCGAGAAAAGGCTGCATTCAACATAAACTTCATCCCGCCCGTGCTCTATCAGCCCCCCTGAGCATGAATGCCGATCCCCACGGTAAGAGACTTCTGAACCCCTGAAGATCCACAGAATGTGGAAGGAAAACCAAGGAATCAAGTACAAATCCACACATGGCAGGAATTGGAGGCGTGACCTCATAATCATCTTTGCTTCGCAATGGACTCATGCTTTAGGACTCGTGGTCTTACAAGTAGGAAGACCGGAAACTTCAACAATCGTCCTATGCAAAAGCATGTCTATTCGAGACTGACTACTGTTTTCGTATTTAATTTGGAGTGTGCAATTTCATCAGTCTTCACAAAGTATATATATGGTAAGAACGTGAGATCTCTCTTCCGGGCATCTATACTATGTGGCTCTTCTCTCGCAAACGCTTGTTCTCTATACTTCAAGGCCTTAACAAGCTACAATAGACGCCAACCAAAAACCGATCAACGATCCAAAAAACATATAAAATAAGCTAGGCTGTACGATACATTATCAGTCAATGGTCTGGCTAAGCGTGCGATCCAAAAGAAGTTTTCTACGTTCTGACAGCCTCCAACTTTACAATTTCATAGCTCGGAGACATCAGACTTGAAGATAAATTCAACCAGCGTATGACAAAGTGAGAATTTGGGTGGTTGTATGTTTAAAGAGATTTGAATAGTGAATGCGTACTTCAATGTTCGGACACTCAGCCTGGTCGAGCTACTCGCCCCGAAGTAATCAGGTCATGTCTTCTCTTCGCATCCATGAATCGGTGGATCCAGAAAACAATTGAGGCACAGAGCCAGAGAGATTCCTTCTGGTCTAGGTCATTCACCCAGCCATGCATTGGCTCAAATTATCGCCCCATGATTCCAGAAATCCATGAGAGACCCATCCCAATCATATGTCGATAAAAACCAGTCCTCCGTCTCTTCGCGGCAGTTCGTGCATGTCCATACTCAAAGCTTTGAGATCTAGAGTCCATGACTGCACAACTGCATGTCAACCTCGTTTGACTGAACTGTGATACTCCTACTCACCGATGTACCCAGCCAGATATGTAACGAATGGACTCATGCTTTTCCACATAAAATGACCGTTTCAAGCAGTATCAAGCCGTTCATAAAAAAAAAAACCGATTCCAATCCTGCGAAAATGATAGTAGGCCCTCGGTCTTTCGTCTCGCTTGATACAGATCTTGTGTAAGATGGAACTATCATCCAAGCAGCCAATTATATGCATTGCATCCCGGCCGTCTTCAAGTGCGTCGGCTGCTCTTAGTTTCACCCAGAAATTATATAGGGAAACGTTAAAGCTAAAATAAAGAGACTCCATGTCCTTCAAGAAAACTTGGCTGCGGCTTAGCGCCCGCTACTACTGGGGCCTCACGATAGGTTCATGTCTTGCTTCTCATGTCATCATCTGATTGGAAGAAAATCAATCTTGGGTGCGTATCCCAATGCGCTGGCTGCCCAATGTCGACTGATGGGGTATCTAGCCTTGGGCACGGGGACTAGGTTGCCCAATCTACGCCATCGTTTGTCCGAAACACTCTCTCCAGATCATGAATAAAATATGGAAATTCTCCTTTTTATTATAAATTCCATAGCCGAAAAATGTTTCCCGCCGGCAGACCGTCCAGCGACACATCCTATGAAGCCTGGGTCTGCTTCTGAATCATATTTTCATGCAACTTGACCAACTCCGGAATGATGATACTCTCAATCTCAAGCCCATGCCCAAAGTTTTCTGAAGGTGGCTGTACTGCCTCTGCGCCCGACGCAGAGCCGCCCTTCTTGATCTCAGCAAGACCAACCTGATCCTCGATGCCAGAAATACTCTTGCTGCGCCGAGCTTTCGGCACGCGAATCCATCGCTCGTAAGGCGGGTCTGGCGTGATGAAGACGACCTCCCACTTTCTCGTGGACAGCAGATTACCGATGACGAGGTGGTGTGAGTACCGCTGGAGTGCTGTCTTGGCCTTGTACACGAGCAGCGATGGATCCGTCTCCAGCTTGAAGGAAACGACCATGCTCCCCTCGGGAGCCCAGCCATCGACAAGGCGGTGCAGGAACTTGGGGACTGGATCGAGATTGATGACCAGCTTCTTGCTGTTCTTCGGCGGCTCTGGTTCATTCTCACCGGTGTAGATATCGTCCGACCCAACGGCACTTTCGTCCGAAAAGTTGGCTGGGATTTCAGAAGACTGGATCTTATGCTCTGCCATACGACTTCGAGGAATGAAGAAATCGCTAACAGCGGCAGCGAGATAGAAGAGCGCATTCGGTCCCAACGGCCGCATGATCTTCGCTAATGACCGCAGCTCAAACATATATTCCGCAACGGTAGTGAAAGGCAACAAAAGGAGCAAATTATTCTGCTTCGCAAAGCGATACTTGCGCAGCACATCGCGCATCTCATCCTGGTACTCGCTGCGCACCACGATACGGCCATGATCGGGATTCTCAGACTCGGAGGTAGGAGGAGCTTCGTCCATGAAATCCAAGAAACAATTCGTGGAGTGGCTGTAATGCCGCGAGTAAGGCAGGAGACTGTACTGGCGGTGCAGGAAGATGACTGCATACCCTTGCTCGAGGAAGTACTCGGCGGAGGTAGCACCACGGGTGCCGGCAGAGAAATTGTCGATGAATCGCACAGTCTGCGCCTCCAGGGGTACCGTTGTTCCACCAGATGTCACCAGTACCACGCGCCGGTTGGCTTCCACATGGCGCTCGATGAAGGCGCGAGCCAGTGCATCGTGTTTTGGGAGAGCCTTGGGCGGGGGATATTCATTGAAGTACGCGGACTCGGCCTCCGCAGGCTCCATATCGCCGATTGAAGGGGTCATGTTGGGCGTGGTGCTTGCAAAGAGGATAATAGAGTGAACGTGGGAGCTCGGCGAGCTTGCGACAAACTTGAGGCGCCTCGGTCGTAAAGACTCGGCGGGCGCAGATCAGAAGCCGAGGGTGCCGCCGCAAATGGAGGGGTATATGAGGAGGATGCGACCGGGGATGTCGCCGAGTAGCTCAGCGTCGCGCGATTGCCAATTAACTGATCACATGCGATGCACGTATCCTGCGACCCTCACAAAGCTGGATTCGGTAGCTCTATAGCACTGAATGTCGTCTCGGTGACTTGTTGAAGCTTCATGCGACCAGGTCGAATACCCCGCCACCAATTTGACGGCGGCGATGGTCGGAGGTACTATTTTGGTGCTAGCGCTGCCGCTGGGCCGATGCAAAAAGGCGGGTATAACTGGGAACAAGTGGGAACGCACTGGAGATCAGTTGAGAAGCCGCTTTGCTCAACGGGCGGGTCGATTGGCGCAGTGACTGGTGGGCACCGCCGAGGCCGAGGCATCCGCATCCGTTGGGGTCACGTGGCTTTCGCCGGGGGAGGTACAGTACCGAGTACATCGCAGCACTCTTTCGGACAGACGGAGATTAGGCAAGGAAGCGGGAGTGGGAAATGTTTTGAAGGGCAGAGGTGATGAAGGTGATATGTGAGTGTAAACTGCAACGTCCGGGACGTAGTCTTGAAATATGGCCGTTGGGGCTGGTCTAAGGAACAATTACATGCCTCGGGGCTCTATATACTAGATTGTCATTGGAGACACCCATAAGATTTGATTTGTCCCGAGAGCTCAAGATAATAGAGGAATTGGCAAATGTACAACAACCAGTGAGCCCCTGTGACGCCACTCCCAACTACTATCAGGAGCTGCACAGGCGACGTTTCACTGCAAGTAACGACTACGCAAAGCCTGGCTAATCGTACTCATGCGACTAGCCATCCCTCCATGCTGCATATTGCTCATAAGAGCCTCCTCCAAGGCAGACTGTGTAACGCTTGCGTCTAATGGAACATCCAGTTAGTAAGGAGAGGACGATCATCTTAAGAGCACGTAACTCACCATCCAGGTCACTGAAACTACTTCCCATGCTTGGTGTACCATCACTGGCCTCTCGTCCAGATGTAGTCGACTTGCGAGGGCTTTGGCGAGGGGCTTCCCCGGCGCGATGGGGACTCAACGCAGAAGCGGGCTGACCGAGGCGCCGACTATCACTGTTGGTCAGGCTCGCTGGGGCACCGGAGCTCATAGAGCTTGCGGATGACTCTGTAGCCACAGGGTGTCGATGGCCGACCCGCTCGGCCATTTGTCGCCGCGCTGCCGCCGCTCGTTCTGCATTGAGGCGTAGAGTTGCGCTTAGCTCTTCGCCGGGTCGATCTCGGGGAGTCTGATCATTCTCTCGAGATAAGGGCAGAAATGAAGGCGTATATTCTTCATCCTCATCTGCGTCTTCCTGCATTCCAAGGCGCTGAGTGGAGAATTTACCGAAATTCCGGAATCGAGGTGCCCTCCGGCTAGACTCTGCTTCCGAGTCGGATTCTGTGGAGCTGGAGCTGAGGTCCTCTTCTGCGAGAGTTGGAGACCGCAGGAAAGATGTTGTCGGGGGCTGTTCTCGTCTTGTAATGGATGGTCGTCGTACAAAGTTCTCCCAGCGCTGTTCTCTGCCTTCCATGGGAGTTTCATTGCGGGAGGAGTCCCGGGAGTGGCGAACTTGGTTGACGGTAGTCGTGGATGTAGAGCTTCTGCGGCGACCACCGGGTGCTACAAAGGCTGTGAGCCTGGTCGTCAAAATTGGTCTGATAGGGGGACACTTACTCTGTTGAGGAATTTCCTTTTGGTAGGAGACGAGTCGGGAAGGGGCTCGCGATCCTACAAATATTTGATGAGCTGTATAGAAAACCAATTGATAGTGTGAGAACCTACCACCAGCAGCAACTCCTTTTTGTGGCTGTCCGCTCAAGGCTGTACTGCCTGACACGGAGCCGGGTGCTGGCGAGGGCGAGCTCGATTGGACTGGGGGTACCCTCCGCATTTGCGCTCGGACCTGGGAAAGCTGCCTATCATATAACCATGCAGCCTGTTGGAGTAAAAATTGTAAAGTGACATCAAAGTGTTCTGCCCTGTAGGGATCTAACGTTAGCTCTTTCCCATCTGCAGCGGGGGCAATCGGAAGGGCGGGTTATTGATACAGGGCTTTCCCTGTTGTGAAGTTAGCTATCAGAAACGTGGAGGAAAGGCAGATAACCAGCCCGTTCGAAGTCTTGATGAACATACAGTCAATATCGTCTCCCTTGGATGGCCGGGACAGAATATCCCAGAGTGCCTGATCTTTCACCGCGTTCCATTCCACCTGATGAAGTCAGTACACGGCGCTTGACCGAGACCTGGGAGATATGGGGCACCTACGGGCGGCGGATCAACAAAATCTCCCCTTGGGAATGGCAAGCGAATGAATACCGTGAAGTTGGTATGGCTAGGGTCTGTCCTGCTCGCCATGGCGAATGCTGATGCTAGTAGCTTGTGAGAGCGGAGTTAATCTACCGGCAGCTACTGAGGTCACAGAATGCTACTGCAAAGCCAGAACCAGCTCCCAAAGGTTGGCTTTCCAAGGAAGTGATGTCGTTTTCTTCTTCTCGAAGTCGAAGGATCTCCTCTTTTTGGGATATAGGGACCAGCCGACCTTGAAAGGATGGGGTGAGAGCAGGTGATGAGGGAGAGTGACGACAGAGAGCGTGGAGTCTGATTGGCGGAAGAGGTGCGTGTCTCCGTCACGACTTGATTGTGGCTATAAGGCCCAGCCGTTCATTCGGCCTTTGTGAACGGACAGAGACGACTAATTCCACGGCCCCATGAATGTCGACGCACCATAGCTTTCCGGGTTCTCGGCAGGCAGGATGTATAGTACAAATGAACGATGGAAAGGCCGAAGTACAAAGGGGGTTTTGATTTAGGCTGTCAACTAAGAAAAGGCGCTCACCTTTCTCCACAAGATGCTTGATTCTAAGTCATCATCAGCTGTTTCATCAACGCATTCATTATCATCATTCGAATTAAAAGAATGGAGGTATTGATAAGGCTACGATGTCCTTTGGGCGTACAAAATGCTATTTCGTTCATAATATTTCCCCGGGCCTGGTCCATCCTGCTCCAGACCTTTCGACGGGCATTCTTGTTTTCCTTATCTCCCATTATACGTAGAGCAATCGAGAGTACTGTAGAGCCATTCAGACCGTATCAATGTTGCATGGGCCATCATCGGTTAGGTTAAGCTCGTGCCTCAATGGCATCTGCAGAGGATCGGCATCCCGCACTTGGTCCCATTCTCAATGGGTCTACCTCGGCTCTATCTATTTCGTACTTACGACCGTAATTTCGCCCCCTCTTACCTTTTCAACTCAACAACATCACCATGTTTTCCTTCCTGGCGTATTGCTACCTCAAGACAGTTGCGGTTCTTCTGCGGTCCATCATCGCCCTGGGTGGGCGCATTGCAGGCCGCCCTGTACCCCGACCGGATGAAGTTCGGCACATCGCATCGCGCGATCCCTGGAGGACGATCAAAATCCATGTGTATCATCCAGCCAAATCCATAAAGGAGCCGAGACCGGTCCTGATTAACTTCCATGGTAGCGGGTTCCTGCTTCCCATGCATGGCAGCGATACGGAATTCTGTCAGACTATCAGCAACAACACCCAATATACAGTGCTCGATGTGCCGTATCGCCTGGCGCCGGAGAACCCATTCCCTGCAGCACTGAATGATGTCGAAGATGCCATCAAATATGCCCTCCTTTGCTCAAAAGAGTTTGACCGCACGCGCATTTGTCTCTCTGGATTCAGTGCAGGAGGAAACCTTGTGCTGGCAGCGTCGGCCACGCTCTTCCCTCCAAATACCTTCCACGCTCTCATTGCATTCTATCCCGCGCTGGACCTGGCCTCTGATGCGGCTACCAAGGTCGCTCCAGATCCCAAAGGACGCGTGATTCCAATTCCTGTCGCGCGTTTGTTCAATCGTTGCTATGTCCCTCCCGGCGTGGACAGACGGGATCCCCGAATTTCTCCCAAATACGCCGATCTAGAGCGATTCCCGCACCGAATGCTGATGATCACTGCCGAGGGCGACTCACTCGCTCTCGAAGGAGAAGATCTAGCGAGAAACCTCGGGAAACTCCCCGGTCGACATGTCGTCAGCGAGCGCATGGCCGGGTGCAACCATGCGTGGGACAAGCGCACGCAGGCGGGAACCCCACAGCGAGAGGCTCGGGACCGGGCATATGCTATGGCGGTGGACATGTTGAACGAGGCTTAGTTGAGGTTTTTTGCTTTTTGATTTGACTTTTGGCTTTGTGGCGGTGTCCATTTTCCCCATCTTGATGATCTCAGTTATTATGCTTTGTGCTTCATTCTATGCATACTTTACTCGTTTCTGCATGCGTCACGCCCCTGACCCGTTAGGTTTTTCCCATGGCTCTGGCTGGGCCCCCGCTTGGAGCCTTGGACCTGGGAACCGCTGAAGACCGCGGCTCCTTAAAGCTAGTAGCTCTGCAAAGGATGGCGGCATGGAGCAGCCTATGTAATTGAATTGGACAGATCCTATATTGTCCATAGACTCCGTACATCCCACGTCATATACAACACACTTTCTGGGTTTCTCCTGCCTTCGCGCTTATAGCGGCCCAGTGTATCGGCCCATTCGGCCCTGCAAAAGAAGGTGAGCCCGATGGTCAGCAGCTAGTTTGATGATCCACATGAAGCATGAGACGTGGGCGGATTGCTTCAGGGTTGCCGCGTGGGTCATTCGGTTTCATTAACTGTAAAAACCACATGGCAAGTGGAAGGGGAAAAAGAGAAAAAAAAGGAGGAACCGAACGGTGGATCGGCTGCATCGTCTGCACACCTTGTTTCCTTGCTTTTTTATTTTTCTTCTCTTTCTCTCTTCTCCTGAACCTCCTCCTCTTCCAGTCTTTTTGAGTCCCTCTCCTGTCCTTACCGTGTTGTGCCTCTACCGATCTACCAGCTGGAAAATTCTAATGTATTAACCAACCGTCGCCAACCGGAGTTATCGCCCCTCAGCCCACTACTACTTACTATTCCCCTTACGTTTCCGTGTTGTCCCCCCCACCCATCCAATTACCCCCCATTACGCTCGCTCCCTACTCGCGAGATACCTCCCATCTTGACCACATACCTCGCCTTCAAGACAGCCATACGGTGGATGCTGACGTTGTGTACTTTCTCCTCGTCCACCGTTCCTGTGGTGCAGTGGACGAGTCCGCTCGACTCTCTCCGCCGTCCGATCCCAGTCCATGCGCGCCCGCTGGCTAGGCGCTCATCGTCCATATCGGTCCGGTGTATAGAACCATGAACTCAACGACGCCCGGGAGTCCCATCCCTCTTGATCAGGACAAATATCGAAAAGATGTCCTCGGCCTGTCTATAGAAGCAGAAAAAGCGCGGGCGCAACAACTTTTGGAAGATGCGCGGGGGTTGGGTCTGAAGGTTCCGGAGATCGAAGCCTCGGCACCACTGGCCGCCTCGATCGCCTCTGGAATGTTGGATTTATCTTCACCCGTGTTCTCGTCTGGATCGTCAACTGATCGGAATTCTATCTACGAGGGGTCGATCACCCCTTCCCGCGAGCCGCTGTCTCCGTCTCGGCTCGACGACGTCGTTTCGTCTCTATCGGAAATCACAATTGCATCGGAGCACATCAAACCCGGAAGTACGAGATCGCTGGCGTCTCTGTCTACACGGCCGACGTCCTATTGCTCTAGCGAGAGTCGAGCTGTGCTGGGCAACTACGGGAATAATTACGGAGCGTTATCACCTACACACCGAAACTCCGTGTTGAGTATTGCGTCGGCAGATAAGAAAGAGAAACGCAGGCACAGCTTGAAGAATGCCATCGGACGGATATACTTTCGCAAGAAGCGCACGCCGTCGAGTGTCCTGTTGCCACCCAATGCGCAAATAACGATCACCAAGGACGAAAGAGGAACCGTGGATCATGTCTACTTAGAAACGCGGCGAGACCGGCCACCTACCAGTCGTGATGGCGATGCAGTCTCAAACAGTACGGCAGAGTCTCTCCCGAAGCTGGAAATTCCCATCTTTGATAAAGAGGCAGTCCAGCGAAGCTTGGATGATCCGGAATTGAATGAATTGCTGGAGCGGCATCGAATGGAAAGGAACAAGCACGTTGCATTCCAAGAGGCGGCATTGAGCATCCTCCGACAGCGACATCAGACGGCTATCTCCGAACGGCAGTCCGACAATGAGCGTCTGGAGGATGAGAAGCGCGAAAAGGTATAGTCTGGACTTCCCTCGCACCAAATCTGGTCTTCGTTTACTAATGAGGATGTAACAGAATATCAACGATGCCATTCACATGGAAGAGCGCCAGCTCGCCGTTGAAATGGAACAGCAACGCGAATTCGACCGCGCAAAGCAAAACTCGCGTACGCGCATTAAGCATATGGAGGGATATTTCCGAAATGTCAGTCCCCCGCCTTCGCCGGCGCCAGCAGCGCAGCGCTCCTCCGATTCCTTCTCCGGGTCCGAGTCAACCACTCCACCCGCGCGCCGCTTCACGCGCCAGCAAAAGGAACAGCTTGAACGACAGTACCACGACCACGAGAGCATGGATGCGCTTCACGAGGCCCGGATCAAGGTCTTGCGAGATCGTCAAGAGCTCCGTCTACAGGAAGCTATGGCGCGTATGGAGCGCGAGCTCAATGATATGTGCATTCAGCATAGCAAGAACGTCACTGCTTTGCAGGCCGAGCACCGTATCGAGGAGACGTCCTTGATTCAAGCTTTAGATATTAAGAAACTCGAGTTGCGTCACCGCTGGAACCTGGAAGAAGCTATCCTGCGCAAGCAACTTGAGGTCCGACACGGTCACCCGTACGGTCCATTGCCGCCTATCTCTTTCAGCGGCGTCAATAACGAAACCCTCGACTCGACTACCAGTCTTTCCGATCCTGTATCACCTTCTCAACTTGAATCCCAGACCCCGCAGTGAGAACTCAACCCAGTTGCATTGATACCCGCTGGATGTCTTCATAATGTTTTATATGCACGCCTTTTAATACTTGCATCCGCGACCCTCGTTCGAAGCGAGTCTCGTCTTTTATACCACTTGACGCCCACTATCCATCTTGTAATCACTATTCCTTGTGCGTGGATATCTGGGAATTTCCAACAGTCATTTTCTTTATTCGTTTATACATTACGCATGGCGGCTCTTTGGTTTCCACCTGTGCATAGCCTTTGATCTTGGGTTACTCCATCTCTGCGAAATAGATACCTTGAATTATTACCTTTACATTGAGATTGCTTCACTAGTCAACTTGACTGTGTTATTGCATGCATTAAGTGGGGGTATCATGTATAAAATCGTCCTTGCAAATATCAATCGAACTCCAGCATTTCTCTGTCTATGTCGCAACGGCACCGCGCTCTTTCAATCGGTCGAGGAGAGTCTCCACCCTCCCACCGCCACCAGTCATGGCATCTTCAATCTGCTTATCTCGCCCATCGTCGCCGATAACAACCGCGCGTTCGACAATCCCAGCATTAGACAGCTTGAACCGTCCAACACGCCCATCCTCCCATTCCAAACGCACATACCGCGCCTCCACCGCAGTAGGCTCCAACGCGACAATACCCCCTCTAGACTCTGGCGACAACCGCTCCGCAGGATCAATCTGCGACTCCTCACTCAACCCCAATTTCTCGCGCAGTAACTCAACTGCATCGCCACGTAAATGCCACGCCACAAGTTCACGACGCAATTCACGAACAAATCCACGCAAATCTTGTCTCCTTCCACTCTTCCTCGTCGGCTTCAGCGGCTCACTCTCCTCTCCCTCCCCATCAGAATCGCCCCCGTTCCCCTGTCCCTTTCCCTTCTTAGGAAAAGGTAGATAGGCCCCCTCAACCCTCCCCAAATCAATAAACGCCGGCACAGTATGCCGATGCACCCTAAGCCTGACCTCCTTCTCCCCGCGGACCCGCTCCCTCCTCAACAACACATAATACGGCTTTGCGAACCGACCGCCACGTACGCAAACGTCAATTCGCACCCCGAGTAAACTCGAACCCTCGGGCTGCGCGGTGGGTGAGGGGTCTTTGAAGGGAAAGGCGGTTGTACCGAATGCGATGCGATGGTGATTTGAGTCGGAGTGGGCGCCTGCAGCGCGAATTAGGGGGGAGACTTCATTGTGGATTGAAGTTAGGGTTGTGTTGGATTTGCGGAGGTGTTTTTGGATGGAGTCTGAGGAGAGGAGGCTTGATGAAAGGAAGCGTTTGCGGCGTTGGAGGGTGCGGACTTGAGGACGTTAGTGATATAGAATTTGGTGTAGTGCAAAAGAGTGGTGGATTCAAGATGTATGTGTCTATCGAATGGAATTGGGGGAGGTGGTGGACGTACTCTGTGCGCGAATAGATTGGATGTCCGTGTCTAGTTGTTGCTCGTGCGGGTCTGGAGATGCCTCCGCATCGCGCGCGGGGAAGACCATTCTTGGAGATGGAATTGTGGAAATATGGTGGAGTTTTAGATTTTCAACGTGTTCGTTTGGGTTCTGGTAGAAGGTTGTGGCTCATAATTTCAATTGTCTTCGTCGATCGTCGGTCTGGCAGTCCGCGGGGATTGCGATGTTTTTGTTTACATTGATTGGCACGTGACCTTACATCACAGAGGCGCCCCCGAGGAGGCATTCCTTCTGGCTTTATTTTACCATGTCGATTTGGTTTCCGAAGCACCGATAACATGCCTCCAGCAAGATATATGTTATTTATATGCTTAGATGTTATATCTTGATCAGAATATGTTGTGTCGAGTCTCAGTGTTATACACACACCGCGATCTAGAATGGAGTGTTGGCCCACGTGACCTAGATAACTAAGCATGTATTCTAACCAAGTTAGGTAATTTAAGTAATCTGGAGGTTCTTGATAACAATAAAAAATCAAATCAAGCTACACTTTTCTTCCTAGTCAATGGACAAATAGTCTAATACCTAAACCTTCTTGACTCATACCGTATCCTTACCAATTAAGGTCACCCCTTTTTCATTGCAATCCCATCACCCGTGACCCTCGTGAGTGCCGCTCTACCGGACATGCTGATTTCATTAACGGCATGTTCTGTACAACTTGATCGTACTCTCGTAAAACTTCGGAAAGTAGGCCTAGCACAGATCTTAGGAATACGCAGAGCCCTTGTCATAGAAGTATTTCCCTTTGTATATCTGAGCGATCGTTTGAGGAGTTCGTGCAAAGACCCCACAGTCGGAGAAGTACCCGCAAAGGCCAGGTTGCCTCTCCGCGCCTGATCCGATCCGCGCTTCCCCAAATCTGGCCCAAACTTTTGGATTCTTCCAGCATGTCTCGCGCCTGAAGGACTGCCTGCCCCTCCTTCTTGCCAACTTGGCCTCCATGTATTGGTCACTCGTTTATATCTCCCCTATCACCGAAGCTATCAACGTGGTGAATACAAGCTACCTAAGCCACCGCGAGCCATTCTTCGTGTCCTGATCTGGAACACCCTCCCTTTGATCCCTCCCAGCGCCTTACTTTTCTTTCTCTCTCTTCGACAAGCTCTCTGCATTACCAATTTCCCATAACGACACACCTTTGACGGACTTTTTTCCTCTCAAAATATCACCCACGAATCTTCCAACTACCATCCTAACGAATACCTTCCCTCACCACCTTCGCCACCGTGGCTCCCCTCGCTGACAGACTTCAATGACACGCAAGAACGCCACGCTCTCCAAGCGTCGCTCCAAACCGAGCCTGAAAGTAGCAACCAGCCAGAACGGCTATGCGAACGGGAACGGGACCGGCAAAATGAACAACAATATTGAAATGCGCAAGCGCGACACCTCAACCGAGTCCTCCGGCGAGCGTACCTCACGCGTCCTTCAACACCCCCAATTCTCCCTCGACAATGAACCCGCTCTCGTACCTCAAACACCCGTGCTCGCGACAACCAGCTTTCACAATCTCCCGCGCAATGACAAGCGGAACTTCCTGCTGCTATGCGTGCTATACTTTTTGCAAGGCGTGCCAATGGGCCTAGCCACGGGCTCTGTACCCTTCCTGCTGAAACCGTACCTGTCTTATGGGCAAATCGGCGTATTCTCGCTTGCCTCATATCCCTACTCGCTCAAGTTATTCTGGAGTCCGATCGTGGACGCCGTGTGGAGCCCACGGTTCGGCCGTCGCAAGAGTTGGATCACGCCCGTGCAGGTGATTGCGGGCCTGGCGATGATATATCTAGGTAGCCATATCGGCGACATGATGGAGCAGGCGGGTGCTAATGGCGGCGAGGGCGTCTGGAACTTTACCTACTGGTGGTTTTTGCTGGTATTCTTCTGCGCCACGCAAGACATTGCCGTGGACGGATGGGCGATTACCCTCATGTCACCACCAAACATCTCCTACGCTTCAACAGCTCAAACCGTCGGCCTGACGGCGGGCCACTTCCTCTCGTATACCGTTTTCTTGGCTTTCAATTCCAAGGACTTTGCCAATCGCTGGTTCCGCGCTGTTCCCGCTGAAGGTGGCTTGATGTCTCTGGGTGGGTACTTGACCTTCTGGGGATGGACATATCTTCTTGTGACATTGTGCTTGGCCCTGTTGAAAAAGGAAGACCGCACCAAGGAGCGTGACAGCATTTTGGATGTGTACAAAAGCATGTGGAGCGTTCTCAAGTTGAAGAACATCCAAACTATCATCTTGATTCACTTGATTGCCAAGATCGGCTTCCAAGCTAATGACGGCGTGACCAGCTTGAAATTGCTGGATAAGGGCTTTGGCCAGGACAACATGGCCTTGGTCGTGTTGATTGACTTTCCCTTTGAAATCATGCTCGGCTATTATGCAGGCAAATGGTCCACCGAGTATACTCCAATGCGGCTTTGGGGCTGGGCCTTTGTCGGCCGCTTGGCAGCCGCGGTCTTGGCCCAATTCACCGTGATGATCTACCCCAGTGGCTCAGACGTACCATTCTGGTACCTGCTGACCGTAATCGTCGAGCATGTGGTCTCAACCTTCATGAACACGGTCATGTTCGTGGCCATCTCAGCGTTCCACGCTCGTATTGCCGATCCTGCTATTGGCGGAACTTACATGACACTTCTCGCAACGTGAGTGACCCTTATCGCTTCTTTGCACCCTACTTGCTTCATCGATCAAAACCCTAGCCTCTCTCCTTTGCTTAGAGCTAACCAATTCAATTTAGCGTCTCGAATCTGGGCGGTACCTTCCCCCGCTACTTCATCCTCAAGCTCGTCGACCTCTTCACCGAGGCCACCTGCATCCCACCCACCGTCGCTCCTGCCGCCGACACCCTGAAAGACACCCTCGTCACCACGGCCTTTTCTTGTGCCCTCGAGCCCGAGAAGAACCGCTGTATCAACGGTGGCGGCGTCTGCGAGGTCGGCCGTGACGGATACTACATCACTAACATGTTGTGCGTGCTCATCGGCACGGTCACTTTCTTCATGTTCATCAAGCCTGCTGCCACCAAGCTGCAGAGTCTGCCACTGCGGGCGTGGCGATTGGCCCCAGGCTCGGGTGGACGCGAGTAATTTGTCCGATGCGGACTTTTGCTCGTGATGATTATGAGCTCGTGTCATTTGTCTTGGGCCCGTGTACTGTAGTTTGGTATTTGTATACTTGGACAGGATTTAGTCATAGAGTGACATTGAAAAGAATAAAGTTAATTAGATTGTTCAAGTTGCCGTATTTCTTGTGATTAGAGAGTAAGTAAGAATGCATTTCACAGAGCTAAGGGTCTCGTATTCTTGTCACATACGAGACGTCTCCTCTTTCTCTCACTCAGTTCGTTTCTAGGTATAGCCGAAAGTATCCCCTTCCACGCGTTCCTTCGTTTCAGGGCATAGTGCCCAATTACTCTGCCTTTCAGACATCAGTCCATCTTCTTCGGGCCATGTTCTGAGCTTGCATCAGTTGAATAAGCTTGCTGTTCGGTACTATGGCAGGTGGGCGCTCGTAAAAGAACCGCCACATTGTGTCCGTTGCCGTACTCAAGGCTGCGTAGAAATGGGTGTCCATAAAGAAAGCCATGTCCATTTTCATCCAGCCAACATCCGAAGAGCCTTTAACAGCCTCCCCCTGGTCCTGTAGCTGTTTGGAATCCTCCTCCGAAGCAGAGTTCATATTCCCAGAGCGGGATTGACTTGACGACCCCCAGAAGCCATCAACAAAGTTGGCATGACCCGAACCTGTGGAGCTAAGGCTGCGCAATGCATCCTCGTCAACTTCGAAAAAGAACCGATATCTTGGAACAGGCTCATCGTCATAAATGAGCTTCTTCTCAGCGCATGGATTCTCGGAGGGAAAGGTCTTAGCCACCCAGTCTTGGAAGTGGGCACGTAGCTCTTCCTTGGAAGCTCCATCAAACTTTGCCTTGTCTTCGACAAAGACAAAATGAAGTTTATCGAACATAGCTTCGTTGAGTTCCAAACGGGGGTCCAGGTCGATGATTGAGCGCACTGAAATGTTGAGTTTTTGCTTGAAGATGTCCCAGGCTTCGTCGTCTTCGTATGTGGTGCGATAGAAGACCCAGCCCCATTTTTCTATTTTGCGAGCTTTGCACTCGTAGATAATAACTTCCGATGAGATCCATTTCTCTCTGAGAGCAGGCAAGGTCCGGAAGCCATGCCGTGGTGTTAAAGGCAAACGAGATTGACGATATCCTGATCTGGTTTGGAATAAAGTAGCGAATGGGCCGGGTTGCACAGAGAGGATCCGACGAGCAGAGAGTGGACAGGCAGACGTAGGCCTGAGACTGAATGCTCTCATCGTCATTGCGTATAAGTTCCTGGGTCTGGACCAAATTTGCGTTGTTGACGTGTAGTTGACAATCATCTCGATAGGGGTTACCGTACCACGCGAAACCACCACGACCTCACGGTAGGGGCCGGACTTTTGAATCCACTAGTTCAAATGCGTTCTAGGCGGACGCATTCATGTCCTATTCCCAAATACCCGGCCGATGAGAAAATGTCTTGGCGCGAAATTCGGATGCGTTTCTTGTAGCGTCAACTCAACCCTTCAAGTCAGCCTCGCGTGGACTCGCGGTTTGTAAACCCTTCCACCTTGCAGCACAATTGCTACTGTTCGTTACAGTGGTGAGTGGTCAACCAAGTATGCTAGAGGACGAGTAGTTAGTCCCTAATCAGCCAAATACTAAATCGAACCTCTTTACTGGCTCGCCGGTTCTACTTCATCTTATCTTCTCCAGCTCGAATCCTCATATACAATAACCATGCGATTACCTATTTATTTCGCACTGAATGCATCTCACCAATCCATGCCTCAATGACATCCACACAACGCCACCCCAAGGTCTCAGGTTCCAAATCGCATCAACTCGTGTCTGCAGAGCGATTCCCCACAACCCACATCCCACGGCCCACGCTTATTCGCCAGGTTCCTAGCCCACAAGCAACTCACATCCAATCGACCCCTGGCCCCTGGCCCCTGACCCGTCTGACTCGTCACGACGGGAAAAAAAAGGGTCTCGCATACAGGACGGGAACAGCCTCTCGGGGGTGAAGGGTGAACAAGGCCCAATCGCGGGTTCTGGTGGACTTTCGGCTGGGCCGAGCCAAGAGGGTTCTTATGCAGGACCCCCTCTCGCAGCGGAGAGAACGGACTCAGATGGAGAGTTGCATTTGTCCGCTCTAGAGCTATGGACTGGTCTGAATCTTGAATCTTTGGCTTTTGATCGGGGGTGGGACTCGATCCGAGCGGGTCCCCCGAGGATCCTAAGAGGCCTGATTTTTGGGAATTTTGGACTTTCTGCATCGGCGTGTCGGAGCTGAGCTGAATCGTTGCAGATGTGGTTATAAAGAGGGCGAGTCCTGACATGGTCGTCTATTTCCGCTTTTGCTGTTCCTTTGTTTCTTCGGGTGTGCCATTCGTTCTTCATTATTCTGTATATAGCCAGAGCCCATCGTTAATATCTATTTCACCCTCTCTTCAAAATGCGATTCACTGCCCAACTCGTCGGCGCCTTTGCCGTGGCTGCCGCGGCCGTCCCACACGTCCCCCGCGCGATCCTCGCGTATAGAAGTGTACGTCCACCCTAGAAGAGATTCATACTTTTATGTTTGCTCCCATCGTTAGAATGAGTCTCGGGCTAATTCCAATGTGCTGATACAGTGGGACCTTCGCCTCCTCAACACGGCCATCCCAACCTGCGACCCAAATGACTCTAACCTCGACGCGAGTATCTACCACCGCTATGGCCGGTACGATTCGACCTGTCAAACCTTGGAGGCCGATTACAATGCCACCAATGTGAAGAGTGTATCGTGGAAGAGTCCCAGTGAGGACGACTGGCATGATCTGTGCATGTTTAGTACGGCGGATTGCTCGGGCGGCACGGCTACGCTGTTGGGCTCTATCACGGATGGCTGGGAGGTGTGTTATCCGTATAATGGGTTCCGGGGTTGGTCCGTTGTAGCGCATGGAACTGCTTGTGTCTAGATTGATATGGGATTGTGGACATTTGCTGTAGGAGGAGTTCACATAGCAAAGTGGGAATGTAATCATGGAGCTGGGAATACGTCTATTAATACTGCGGTATCAATATAATTTACAAATCATGATGACCATGGACAGGATTATATTCATAGTGACCATCCAAAGAATCATTCTCGACCCTTCGCCTTCCCATACTCCTCCACAACTTCCCGCGCTGCCAGATCAAGTATCAACCGCGCATAACCAGCGTGCAACCGCATCACCCAAGCAGGAATAATCTTCTGCTCATCGCCTTCTTCCCTTACAATCTCATAGTCATGAGCGCCCATGAACTTCACATCGACAACCCGTCCCTGCCCGGGGATCTCGTAAGGCTGCGAAACACTCATCTCGTGTCGACCTCCAGACATCAATCGCCACGGATAACCCCACCGAGCCATCTTCTCGAAGAATCGCCGCGGCTCATCAGCCATATACCAAGCAATCAGCAATCCTTGACTATCTGCATCAGCACCGGGTGCATGTTGTGTATAAGCTACCCCGTTAAGTAGTTCTTGCGGCTTGCCATCTGGGCTGGTGTAAAAGCCCTGCGCGCCTATATCGCCGGGACTAAAAGTGCGTCCAGTGAAGAGGCCAACCAGAGATGCTTCGGTGCGAAGTATTCGACTGCCAAGTACGGATCGAGCCCATGCCTCTTCGAGGGAGACTTGGTCGTGCCTGCCGGCGGGTTGAGTTCGCGCTTCTAGGGCTGATAGGGGTATACGCGCCGCGAAGATGTCGGTATATGCGCAGCGCTGGGTCTTGGGGTTTGCAGGTATCAGGAGTGCATTGCTTGCATTTTGGGAGGTGGGGAGGTTGGGGTATTTCTCTTCTAGGTGCGATAGACCGCGATGGATACCGTATGTTGTTACGCCGATGGGCGTGGCGATGTAGACAAGTCGGGTGATGAATCGTTTCATCATGAATTTGGGCAAATAAGCAGAGGATAGTTAGATCCGCTTTGAGCTATATCTGTATAGCGTAGAAGACTGTGTAGATTGGGTTGGGGATGACTTGGGCATGGGTGTGAGATTCCCGTGGCACCAGTCTGATCATAAGATGGGGGCCGAAAATAGACAAAGTCCGATGCCTTGGGCCATCGTGTATTTCTAGCCGCTTAACGTCCAAAGCTGGAAATATGATCATAGGATTGAGACTACCGGAGAATCGGTTCCTCTCAGACTCTGCGCCTTGAATTAACTAATCAACAGGGCAATTGCATGCATAACGTGAGTAGCGGTGAGCATGGAGACACAGATCGGACCATACTCCGGACAGTGCATTATGGCCTATCCTAGGTATCCTAGACAGAACCACTTCCCGGTTCAATAAACAGGGCTGTGCTTAATATACAAGTTATGAATTGAATTCAAGATAAATGCCGTCATTGCTAAAGCAAGAGTATGTGGATTAAGGTTTCTATTTTGCCGGCCTCTCCAAAGATCTGCGGGGTCATCAATCGGACCAACTCCGAAAAATTATTCAACCGGTCAAGGCATCGGACGACTCCACGCCAATCAATCCCTTTCTGGCAGGTGGAGAAGCGGCAGGGCTCACTTGCTTCATTGGCACCAGACCAAATTCCGCCATCATCGACACAGGAACGCCGTGAAGATTTGCGGTTCCCCCACGCCTCTCCACGACGCCTCCACGCCTTTTCCCCGCTCTTGACCATACCTTAAATAACAAGTTAATTCCGGGAGATCGAGGCGATGGCTGTAGAGACGAAATCAAAACCTCCACCAGTACTAGGTACTCTTCTCGATAGACCTTGGGTTAAAATGACCGTTGCATCTGTTCTCGTGGCTGCCCTGGCGGTTCTAGGACCGTCCCTGTTGTCTCAAGTTGAAAGCAGCAAGCTTCCTGCTCAGGCTCAAGTCATTGACCAAAGAGCTTTCAATGTTCTCAATAAGACTCAGCCTCCAGCCGAATTCAATGCAGATAATGTACGGCAATCGACAATTGCACCAATTTCCTCTCCATAAACTTGGCTGATACTCTCAATTACAGATTTTCGTACCCCCAGGACACTCGGAAGATAGTCTGACCAAGCGACCATTCCATGTCTATGACGACGAGTTTCTGAAAATCATTGGCGACAATCCTACTCTGACTCGCATTGCACACTCGCCAAAGGACCCTCTGTTCCATGAGGCTGTCGTATGGTAAAAAGAATATCCAATCTTGACTGCGAAGTATACAAACGCTGACTTGGATTTCTCCACATAGGTCGCGAGAAACAGACGAAGTTTTCTTTGTCCAGAATGCAGGTGCTAAAAATGCCAGCACCGGTCTACACAAGTCGGCCATCATCGAGAAGATTTCCCTCAAGGACGCAGCTGCCGTCTCCAATAAGAGCGATGCCGCTGGGCTTGTCAATGTCACAACGGTACCCTCGTCGCCGATGGTGATTAACCCTAATGGTGAGTAACCACCCATCTTTCTGAAAAAAAAACCGGCTCAATTCTCACTCAGGATGACCAACAGGCGCCACCAACTATCGGGGACAGATCATCCTCACCGGTGAGGGCCAAGGGAATGATACCCCTCCTGCATTATGGGTTATGAACCCGCAAAAGCCCTACAACACGACTGGTACGTAGCCATTAGTATACCTTGCAGGATAGGGCTCAGTTAATTGAAACCTGTCTAGTCATTTTGAACAACTACTTCGGTCGCCAGTTCAACTCTTTGAACGACGTGGCAATTCATCCGAAGAACAAAGATATCTACTTCACCGACACTATCTATGGCTACGTGCAGGATTTCCGCCCCGCTCCAGGTCTACAGGACCAAATCTATCGATTGAACCCCGATACCGGTGCTGTGACCGTCGTTGCAGATCGATTTGACCATCCCAATGGTAAGTCTTATGCACTAAGACTCGTTTACTGATAGTATGATTTTGACACGTGTTGCAAGGTTTGACCTTCTCGCCCAATGGCGAGTACGCGTATGTCACTGATACTGGCATCAATTATGGTTTCTACGGAATGAACTTTACTCGTTCCGCTTCAATGTAGGTTTATACACCTGATCATTCGCAAGGATCTCGTGTAACTTGGAGAAATACTGACCATAATCTACCAGCTATCGCTTCGATGTGAAGACTGATGGTACTCTGGATAACCGCAAGGTCTTCGCCTTTGTTAGCCCCGGTGCACCGGATGGTAAGTCGGCCCACTCCCACTGATGAAAACTAGCGATTCATACTTGAATATGATATACTAATCAACTTGTAATGGGAACAGGTGTTCACTGTGACTCCCAGGGCAACGTGTATGCCGGATGTGGCGACGGCGTCCAAGTCTGGAATCCCTCGGGCAAGCTCATTGGTAAGATCTATCTGGGAGCTACATCGGCAAACTTCAACTTTGCTGGGAAGGGGCGAATGGTTATCGGTGCGGAGACGGATCTTTACTATGTTACATTGGCTGCTGAGGGGAGCTTTGTTGAGAGTGAGATGTAGGATGGAGATTGTGTAGCAGGATCGTTGGGAAGTATATAAGACCTAGCCTGAGTTTCCATTCTTCATTCTATTCAGAAGCTTTCTCCTCGCGTCTCTTCTTTGTTCTCCATGCTGATATGGTTTTGCATTCTCTCGCCTCGTGACTTTACTTTACAGTTGCACTTTGTTCCAGATATCCGAATGGTTCTACTCGCTTTTTTGGAAAATCAGACACGATGACTGTCAATCAAACTTCTAGTAAATACCCTCACCTAATAGGAAACTATCTTAATCCAAATTTCTCTGGATTGTGGTCTGCTAAAAGGGCTGTATGGGGGCAAGAGAGTATGATCGGACCTATGCCGTAGATGTTCAGCCCACCTGTATCATTTGCCGAGACAATTGAACGTTGCAAAAGCGTCGAAGACGATTGCACTAGATCTTATAAAACCGATTTTTAAGAGATAATTTGGGAATGGGGACATCCTAACAGTCGCCCTCGAATCCTATACTTACATCACCCAAAATTCGCGGCCCGATTGTGGAGCCGCGACAAGCCAATCTCAACTTTTTTTTCCTTATCACACCTCCCACCATCACCGTCATTTTCACCGCCAACCTTTCGTATACTCGACTGTCTCTCGACTCATAGCGACACAGCGAGTACCCCGTGCAGGCGATGCCAACCTCGACCAAGACAGATTCCAGCTCTGCACTTTCTGCCCCACCATCCCCCGCCACAACCATGAGCTCTACACACAGCGATGCCGACCCCGCAGTCGACAATTCACTAGACGATATCTTCGGCTCTTCGCCACCAGAGACCAGAGAGGTGCCCTCAGCCATGCGCCATGAAGCTATTGCTACAGCCGAACCTTCCGACCTTCCGTCTCTACGTCGTCAACACGTTACCGCGGGGTACCGCGAGGGAGTCTCGACCTCCAAAGGCGAGCACGTCCAGCGCGGCTTCGACGCGGGGTTTCCCGTTGGAGCACAATTGGGCATGCGTGCGGGAACTATACTTGGAATTCTGGAGGGGATTACGCGAGGACTGGAGGACCGGTCCGTTTCGGGTGTGGTTAAGAAGCCCGTCGCGCGGGGAGCGCTGGCGTCATCGGCGGCGCGGTCGGAGGATGCGCGGTCGACGGAGACGGCAGAGTCGCGTCGTCGGCTGAGAGAGGAGGTTCTCAAGATTTATATGGAAGCTACCAAGTCCCTCGATGTGCAGTCTGTCTTTGCGGGCTCTGATGTAGGGGCCGGAGCGGGATCGTCCGGGCACAATGCAGCGCAAGTAGGGGAGCCCGCGGAAGCTCAACTCGGACGAAAGGGAGACGCGGTGGTCTCGACGTGGGAGGACAAGGTCGCAGTGGCGCAGTGGGAGAAGAACATGGAGGCGCTGGAGATGAAGGAAAGTCAAGCAGACAAGGGAGACAAGGGCGCCGCGGCCGAGCGGAGCTGAAGGTTGAACATACAGTACTGCTCAACCGAGAAGCTAGACTTCTACCCGGTCATAATCGGTGGGTACTTCCCACTGCGCCGGCTGTTTACCCGAACAGGAGCTCTGCTTGCTGGCTTCCTCGGGAAGGACTTTGTGCTGCTGCACGCTGCAGTCGAGCGGGCCACGCTGTCTTCTTCAGGCCGGCTGCCAGGCCCACATCACTGCACGACCGCCCTTCCCAGACACCGGGATGGTTTGCTGCAGACCCTGCAAGGAGGATATGCGGGACTATATACGCAGCACAGTGTACTCGCGGAAGGCACTTCCGGCGGGTGTTGTGTCTTGGGAAAACGGTCCTCTTTCTCCGAGACACATGGTGGGACACACGACCCCTTTTCTGTGCCAGGCAGGCATTGCCATTCACTTATAAGAAGTAGTACATCTGTGGCTTTTTTGTTTGTGGAAGCGCAATCGACTTTGTGGGAAGAAGGCTGGGCTTCAAAGTGATGTATCAATTCGATCTGGATGGAAAGGGCCCCACTATCTGAGCAACGCTGTTTGCCTCGGGGAGGGAGGCAAACACGCAACCCTGCGATTCGGCTTCTTGCGGGATACGATTTTGTTTATGCCGGCAACCTTGAGACCGAGCATACTCCGATAGATCTGAATCGCCCAGCTCATTGGGTCTCGGGGAAGTCACCCTACACCCGCCGAGCTCATGGTGCCTTGCGTTTACGGGCCGTTGACTCCGACAAAAGGGGATTGGAACTTTTGCAAGGTCGATGATTTGGCCACGAACGATGAATATTGCTGCTTCACAGCTCGCTCAGATAATAAGTTTGTAAAGTGTGGAACTCTCAATGTGAGATGCAAATAAGTAGGAATGGGAATGTGTAAATCTGACATCAACTACTTGATCATATTCCCACAAAAACTCTATGGCAAGGCTGTCTGCCCTAAGTACAGAACCTAAACTGCCTGGGTCGAGGTAAATAAGTACAGGACAAAGTACGGCGTGGCGCAGGTCTGGAAGTCCAGAGCGACGCAAGGGGGCCGTTTAGTTCTAAACTCACTAATCATCCCAGAACGGAAAACCAATAACACGGAACATAACGCGCACAAAGGCATAGACTTGGTACTTACCATTAGGATCTCTCCTTGACGAATGTTTGTGATAAAGTCTGAGTGAGGAAAACGGATCCGCAAATCGACGAAGAATCAAAGCGAGCCGAGTTACTAAATTCCAGCCACGTTGAAATTGGAAATGGAGTTTAAAAAAAGATAGTGGCCTAAGCTAAGTGCAATAGGACGAGCATAGTTGATATGATGTACATTAACTATTTCTCAGCAATGAGTATCGATCAACATGGATTGAAGCTAATCTATCCCCATCAAGAGAGATCGCTCAAAAGACCAGTCATAAAAATCATCAAAAGGTCTATCTGTAAAGCGAGAATTAAGATCTTCCTCAAAGGAAGAGCCAGGACGTCGAACTCTTGAAGAGCTAACCAATCGTTCTCCAATTCATGTCAAACCAAACTCCCCAGTCGAAATTCCCAGAACCCTACACAAGTACGAACTACGTGTCCACGGTCCCAGCCCCCTCACTCTAGAAGCTCCATCCCTATGCAAGAATATGCCAGATCTGACACATCCCCCCGTACTTCTTCAAGAAACACCCAAGCACCAAGGATCAACACCCCTGCATCCACACAGAACGGGAAAGGTCTTGCACATAACACCCAGAAAAAGCTCATAACTTGGAACGAGTGCTGCAGAGTACTTTATTCGGCGCATCTGCGGGTTGTCAAAGCCACTTCTGCAGAAATCTTAGACATGCGCCTTACTAATGGGAAATAGGCTTATGTAGTTACCGTGCGAAGGGAATCTCCGCTGTGGATTCGAGCGTGGATAGTATTGAATTAGAGCAAACCCCGTGCATACCGAGAACTCCGAGGCAGATCCCGAGTGAAACAATTGTAGGATAACTCGAGACACTGATAGGAAGGCTGTGGTCGTTGTATTGGGGCATCGGCGTCGCAGTGATGAATACCTCTAGAGTAGCACTGTGGCTGTTCTATGGGCGTGTTCGCCGGAGGACGGTGTCGAGCATTCCAGGATCATCGAGATAATCGCCTAGACAACAGGGTCGTGGGGTATGGAGAAGAGGTTCAATTATGGTAGTCATGTTTCATTTTCTGCATTTTTGTGCAGGAGATCATATTCGTGAGATTCAAGGTGTAAACAGTATGCTTTTGATGCGCCAGATAGAGACCATGAAAATAAAATGCAATCTTGAGTAGCCGTACAGCGTATCCACTTTATAACATTATTGAAGCAGTTCGGACAGAAAAGAGATAGAGACCTGGAAAGGCCGAGTTAAAGGAAATCATAAGGAAATGATGGGAGATAAGTTGGTCGCCTGTGTAAAAAAGGCCGTTCAACCCATCGTGACAAGGTTCGACAAGTGCGATAGTGTACAGTGCAGAAAGGCGCAGTAAGATGTGAGCAAATAGTGGAATAGAACATGGAGAGGTAATCAAGTAAAAGAAAGTGGGGCCCGAAGGGCGAAACAGTAAGGAAATCATAGCCAGAGTAGTTTTGCTGGCAGTGTGGATCGTCCGTGACTTCGTGTTTGTATAGTCGCCGAGAAGATTGGTAACATTGCAAACCGAGGAACAAGTTCCCCGAGCAATCATTAGAATCATTTTAGGTTGGGTCTGAGAGCAAACCCAAAGCATCAGAGCGTTAAGCGAGTGTGAGATGTGTTCGTCATCATGGAACACATGAGAAACATGAAGCAAAGTGTGATCAGTTCGTTGAGAGAATCGTTGAATGCAAAAGCCGTGGTAATAATTTCTTCAAAACAAAACGCCGGGTCTCCAAGTCAACCGGAACACCCCGTATAGCCAGCCGTAAGGGTATCAATCAGAATGTGGTAGTGGTTTTGGTGGCTGCCTTGTGGCAGCTCAATGATCGGAGGGAATCAAGGACCCGTCTGAAGAAGGGTCTTTGGTCGATGGGATCCTCGAAGGGAACGGGAGAATGTTGCTCGTAGCACATGGAGGTTAACTTCTCTGTCTCTTCCTTGAGGTACTCGGGAGAGTCTGATTGCTGACGGCGCCTGGAGCGAGCCTGAGCGGCGGCTGCAGTTGACCGGTCAATGTCGGAGTCTCGCAAGTTGCCATTGCTATTGTTTCGAGAGCGGGGTTTAAGCAGGGATGTAGTGGAAGGTGCGACGAGGCGAAGGGTTTGCAGAGGATGATTATAACGCAGTCCATCCCGGCTGGTACTGGGTCGGTCGAGGCTGACACCACGATACGGTTCGGGGACAGGCTGGCCGACTGCATCGTCTGGCATGCAAGGGAATTTCTCAGGTGTCTCATCATCAAGCATAGCTTGGTGCAACTTGGGCTGAGACTTGGCAGCACGAAGCTTAGCACGGCTTCGAACCTTGCGCAGTGTATCGATGGGTCTGCGAGAGAGAGACTTGTGGCCGATGGACTCGTTATCAGAGTCGGACTCCCAGACAGAGTGCTCACAGTAAGCATCCATTGTGGAAGTCGAGGGTCGCTCCATAGATGTGGCAGTCCACTGGCGGGAGATGGGTGGTGAGCTAGCCGAAGGACTGGGAATAGGGCTGGGGCAGTCGTTGGCAGGGATGAAGAGAGCCTGCTCAAAGTGCGTGGCATGAGGCTCCATGGTCACTGGGTTGATCAAGCTCGGTGGTGAAATCATTGATGGATCCAATGGCGGTCTGGTTCCAGGGCTTGACTGTTTCCTCCGCGAGCTATGGGAGCTCGGACGGCGTGACAGGTTGGGCAGGGTAGGGTGAGGCTTTCTCCGACGAGATGAAGATGACATACTGCCTGATGCCTCGTATTTCATTGTGCTGATTGAAAGGGTATTCGCGCCACCGGAACCAGGAGTAGCGGGTCGGGTGTGTGCCCTGGGAAGTGCAGGAACAGGTGGAGGTGGAGGCAGCTGCTTAGGAGGAGTAGATGCAGGAAGGTAGAAATCACGACGGGGCTCTGATTGTGCACGCTTGGCGTGATGGTATAGCTTCTCAGTCGCCTTGATGACGGCGTCTGGGCAAGCAGCGGAGTATGTGGAAGAGAAGGAGCTGCTTGGGGTAAGATCGGGGGTACTGCTATCAGTCTGGACCGAGCTAAAAGACTCTTGGCTGCTGTGAAGAGGTCTGGTCTCTTCCTCGGTGGATGATGTATAACGATGGAATCTCAAGTTGTTCTCCAGCTCTAATTGTGCGATAGTAGACCGGTCAGGACCGAATTGGTGGGACGAATTGTGTAGATCCGAGGCGCTCCTCTGGTGTGTCAACGAGAGCGTATAGTAATGACTGTTATCGTCGCTGAATCTCTCATTGCGGATCGCTGAATCGTACGAGTCCCAGTTTGATGGGGTGGCAGCTAGTGACTGCTCGAGGTAGAATGGATCGGTGTTCGACTCTTCCAGTACCTTAGGTCCTGCTTTGGGGAGATACGTCGATGCTCGCTTCAATGGGGATGGTGATGGCAAGCAAATGGTAGTTTCGGATCTGTTCCAATCGCCGTGTAACGCGTCCAACTCGCCCGGACTGTGATGATCTCCGCGATCCATGGACTATGATGCCAATGCAGGGTATAGAACGGCAATGGAGACTTGGACGCGGGGGTCCCAGGAACGATGGATCATAGAAGACGATAAATCCGAGAAGGAGGGAGAGGGGAGAGTTGAACCGAGTCAGGGGATGGTTGCCAGAGAGGAGGAAGAATGAGAGCATCCCGGGGTGAAGGGGATATGTTTATAGACAATCCCAAAAATAGGGCTTGGCAAACCCGAGAGAGCGCAGTGGCTGTCTGTGCTTGGTGGCCATCCCAGTGGCCGGAAATAATAGATGCATGCCAATGCAGGTAAACAAAAGAACTGGACAGGGAGCACGGACGATCATGACCTATCCGACCTTACATGACGTTCCCCTTTCCGCTGTGTAGGGATGGAGTCGCAGCAAGGACCAGCCTGCTGGGCTGTTCCAGCAAGGGCGGCGGAACGGGGGATCCGGAGAGACAAAAGGACCCAGTCCAAGAGTGTGGTGTTTTTGGAAGATATGGATGATGATGTTGAATGATGGAATCGTCTATGGAGTACTCCGTACGGAAGTCCAGATATTCAGGCAAAGATGGAAGTCTGGTAATGGAACACCTGACACCACCTGACTCGAGAGGCTTGAATTCGACTTCCTCAATCCTCGTTCTTCAGCTCCCGCCAGGCACCGTCATACCCTCTTCGTTGTCTTTGTACGATGCCAAACTCTACCTTCTCGCACACTGACTGATGGATCTCATCTCAGCACGCGTTCCTGTACCACCCGGCTAGCAACCTCGCTTTGGATGTACGCTGCATCCCCGGGGATCTAAACAAACCTCCCTCCACCCGTGCATTCGATTCTCTTCAGATCGACCCCCAGAAGCTCACGGGCGCAGCTTGCCAGCGTCACTAGAATCCCATGCAGAGGCTGGGCTGGCGGGAGAATGTGAGATATCAGCCTTCCCCGTCTCCTGGGACTAGACCAGTCCCGGGGAGGCCTTTCCGGATCAGCCACTAAGCTCATCGAGCCCCACCGATCGCCCTGGCCTGTGTGGGTTTGACTTGGACTGGCCGTCCAACTGGCCAGTTGTGGCAAAGGTCGCCGCTGTCTCGAACAGCCACGAAACTCCTCCTGGGCCACCAAAGGGTTCCCACCCCTCGGAATCGGGGTCATTCCTTAATTTCCCATTCCTGGGAACCGCGCAACGGCGTTGGACTCGAGAGCCTCAGATGGCGCTTGATAGCTTTGCAACGTTCCATCACTGAAATCGCTGGGCTTTTCGTCCCCCGCACTGGATTCAAATCCTACCAACGTCATTTGCAATGTTCAAGCGCTCAATTCCAAGCCTCAATTCCATACGACGTTATTCTCCCCGTCTACTTGCTTTTCAGCAGTGGCTAGCTCAACTTCAACGTTACCATTTTGTTCATAGCCCTTGTCCCCCCTCGCCCCGTCGCAGCACAGTAGCGACCGGCTTGCCCCTAGAAGCTGGCCCCCTCTGCGTGGACGGGGGTTTCAGCTGTTCTGCGCCCATCAGTTCTGGACCCTCCTACTATCCGTGCCCTGGTGGTCGCACCCAAGACCACCCAAACGGGAAGCGGTTTGGGTGGGCAGTAAAGCCAGGAATACTTGAGCTCTGAGATCGGCTTGCCCCGTCCGTGCAGAACACCCCTCTGGTCCTTTTGCCCTTGGGGATGTCTCCGCCCATAAGTCGGCGGATTCAAGTTCCTAACTTTTATGGTGCATCAAGGGCTCTAATCGAATCGCCTGGTCTGGCGTACCTTTGGTTAGGGCCGCGATCCAAGCCCGTTTGGGCAACTTGTACACGTTATAACAGTCGACAAATCACATTTGCGAGCCATGGACAGTCAAACGCCGGGATTCGTGCTCCCATTGGTTATTTCTGTGGCCTGTGCCCGAATAGACCAATCGAACGTGGCGAGTTAGAGAGGAAACGCGACCTTGGGCATTGTAAGCTGTCACCAACCTTAGCAATGTAGTGTCGTTGGCTGGATCACAGTATGGCCATCGGAACTGATGGGTGTACTTGTATATATGATATCACTCTGTCCCTCTCCTAGTCCCACTGCCCCATTAATCTGAAACTTGATCTCGATCTCACATATTCGAGTGACTCGGACGACTTGTAGACAAGTCGATCGGGTTCATTCATCCACCGCCTGCTTTGGACGAACTCGCGTGCAGTGCGCGATATACCACTGCACACAATTTCTCCTCTTCCCTCTGTTTAAACAACAGTTCTTCATCCTAATTAGCCCACTCTCCACATTCCAATGAAAAAGTTAGACACGCATCCCATCCCGTCATGCATACAGCGGAAGAACAGACGGACCTGCCCGTCCCCCCTGCACCGGCTGCACCGCCAAATCCAGACTCGCTGCAGCCCATGAGCCCCATCCGAATAGAACTACTATTTGTATGTATATATATCTACGGTCTGCGTTCAGAAACCCCTGATCGACGAAGACACATGCCGTCTATGACCTTATCTTCCGACATGCTATGCACCCGGCTAGCGATTTACCGGGCCAACGCTCGTTACTGCGTCGCCCTCGCTTTCCCCCGCTCACATTCTTCTCATGCTGGATATATATTGAAGTTGTAGTGCAGGTGATGACTGATGGTCATTCATATCAACCACCATGTCGGAAATTTTGATACTTGACCCGAAAGGGCTCACCGTGGAAGTATTCCATTATGCTAGGCTAGCCGAACCCTCGCTCCGGGCTTTGACTCCAGACGAAAGGGGCACCCTGCTCCATGATTGTGAATACCTTGGATGACACTCAACTAGGGTGGTCAGCATCTATAGCCACAGTACCTTTGAAAGACTCCCTCAGATCAGCCCGTCTCCCTTAGGTAGAACCCCTAGCACGGCAACCCTATAGAGACAAACCAAGACAAGGAACCAAATCTATCACCCGCCTCCAAAACCATGTCTCAACGTCTCCCACCCCCTCCTCTGTCGTCAAGGGCACGAACAAGACGCCGAAACCCCGACCAAACACACACCTGAAACACTCCCGTCTCCCTCAGAAGGTCCCGACGGAATAGCCTTCCGCCCCGATCTTGCGATGCCCTGCATCCTCCTGCAAGGCATAAGTGAAACCTACCTAGACATTGGGACGACCGGGTCCGATATACTTCTTCTCCGGCGTCTGCGGCTGCATCTGCACTGTAAGAAACAAAAATACCTAGGATCGGATCGTCCTTTTCTCTCTCGGAAAAGTGGGGAGTAAATCCGCTGGACTGCGTCCGCGATGCACCGGGCGAGGCTTCCTCGGTCTCCTCGCTCTAGGTTCCAGGGTGTTGGGTATAGTATCCGCGTCAAAAAAAAGCTCCGATGAGGCTCCTTGCTGAGGAATCGTCCTGGGGAGGGGTCTAGAACTGGTAATCTGGTATATAGGAGACGTTTTTACTTGGCCTGAAGAGACCCGTTGTCTGCGTTGTGTTTGTTTAGATGTGGTTTGTGCCAGGGGCAACGGGGAAAGGAGGTTCTGTTCAGTAGTATTGCTCGAGTATAGTTCATTTACCCCTTGGGTTGAGATGACTGATTGACTTGACAGGGACTCGGCCAGGCTCGGCCAGACTCGACCAGTGTTGACTGGATTTGAGTTTATCTAGCTGGCGTTACCTCTGATCGAAGTGAGACGTTCGATCCAGGTTTTGTACGCGGGGTGCGGAGAAGTGGTTATAGTTCGGCTCAGTAGAGTTCCATCCTGTCGGAAGGTGGTACTATAGCGATAGGCATTTACTCTACCACATGGACCATGACTTGTAGCTGACGGCCTGGATTGCTTTAGCTTTCATCCAATCCTCGGCAGTTCCTGATCACTCCGTCCGTAGTGGGGGGGGGGGGGGGGGGGGGGGGGGGTTTAATCTTTACTGTGGGGAAGAGCCGAGCAGTTCGTCCCATCCCTCGATCGTTCCTTAGTTGGAGACCCAGTGGAACGACCGGACCCGATCCCAATGGTTTTCGTGTGTAGCAAAGAGGATTCTATAAACACCTGTTTCCCCCCTTTTTTTTTTCCCACCTTTCGCACTGTATTAATTTCAGACAGGATTCCAGGCCTAGAGATGGGGGAATGTTAGATGGGATTCTAGGTTAAGAGACTAAAGATGTGGCTACGTAGTTAGTGCCCGATTGCCAGCGCATCACGGACGTAGTTATACACACGCTGACAGGGTCGAGTAAGCGAAGTCATCTCTGGGCTTGGATACGTCCATAGATACTGTGTGCGTGTAAGTATACCATCTGTACACGCTATTCTCCATATCTTCTATCGTCACTAGCTGTATTGTACCTCGACGCCCAACCATGGAACTGGTAATGGAGTCTGAGATCGGCACCTTGAATGGGCCAAGTCGTCCCAGTTGAATCAGTTGGGAGGAGATGGTGAAAGTAGGATGCATGGTACGGAGTAATTTTGGAGTCCAGCTAGTGACAATTAGTTCATCTGTTGTCGTGTCCAAGTTGTGATTTGAGATCTGCCTGAGGATTGCGGCCAGACTTGCTTCACTTTGCATCCCACTCCAACCGGTCTGCCTTCACCAAGATGAAGATCCATTCATTCCTCTTGAATGTCTCCTACCTGTTAAATTTCTAAATTGTCACTCACTTCCTTCAAACCCTATGACGACTCTTCCTGTCCCCGTTCATCCAATTCCCGATCCGTCCGCTGTGCGACCGAGCCAGTTCCGGTGCAGGCAATTATTGAGCTGGTGCTTTTCTTAGCCGGACTGATGGTGCAAGCTTACTGCTAGTAGTAGTCCCTTGCAAGTCCAGAAACTCTCACTGGCCCTTATCTCTCTTTCTTTGGTTTCTAAAAGTGCCAGGGGGATTCTCTGAGGGAGAGAGAGAGAGCGAGAGAGATAGGGCAGAACATTCCAGCTGTCATCGCCGCGGGATCTTCCCCAACTTCGATTCCAGTTATTCCACAGCCTCAATCTTTCGTCCAATTCGTCCTCAAATTATCCCATTCTCCTTCCGATTCCCTTGATTTCATCCCGGACTGGCTGTTTCTGCGCTGCGGCGTAGGCGCTGGATGGTCCGCGCGACACGTTTGGTGCGCTGCAGCTCGACCCCAGCCATCTCAATTAAACCAGCCACCACGAACTCGCACCGAACCACTTCTCTCCCCCGTTCCCTCTCCCTCTAGTCTCCATTTCTCTCGGCGACAGAAAAAAAACCCCATACCCACAGTTACCTACCTGACAGTCTCTTGTCTCTCAATTGCTCCAGGGTTGACACACTACCGTCGCTGCCGACAGCCTCACGGGCTGCTTCTTCACCACCTTGCCCGGAAGTGCTCGACACTGCCATTGCGATACACCTTCAGAGCTTGATAGTCGTCCAGCTCCGGGAATTCAGCCAAACTTCACATTGTCGTCAACTTACCCATTCCTTCAACCCGCACCAGAAGTGTCTCACCACACTCGCCGAGCATCTCACGAAGTCTACGACCGTCACGACCCATCTACGCTTACGACCTTTGCGCAGCAGCGCCAACAGCCCTCTGCCCCCCGTCCTTCTTCCTCTCATTCAGTGGAATACCGTCCACCATCGGCGACAGATTCGCAGCGCCCCCTGCGTCGCATTCGCCGCTCATCCGACGTTCGCCAATTGCCGCACCGTCGTACCGTCTCGCACGACGTATCGAGTAGACAGCCGCCTCCTCCCCAGCCAACGCAACAGATCCCAGTCCTTGTCCAGCCTAGTCTAGAAAGCGGAGTTGCAGGAGTACGACCGGCACTCTCCGAAGCTCAGACTGACGAGAACGGGTCGACCATCGACGATCCATACGAGCTTCTCAATTGCTCGTACTGGCCGCGGAGAACCACCGGGGTCTCATCCCGAACTGCCTCAGCCATTCTCTTCGCACTTGAAGAGGCCATACGTCGCCCCTTCGCTTTCACCACAGACTGGGACGAAGCGAATGCTTCTATGTCCGATATGGTAGGCGTTGCTGGTCCCGCCGCGCCCGCGGGCAACGGCCGTGTTTCCAATGGTGGCTCACGCCTGCCTCAAGCTGCCCCAGCTCCGATGCCTTCTGCATCCTCACAACCGCCGAGTGGCGTACGCACCCCGACAGACATCATGAGACAACGTCGAGATCGGGAGGCTCGTCGCAAAGCGGAGCAAGAGATCCGCGCGAGAGAACAGGAAGAGTTGGAAAGACTCCAATTGGAGCAGGAGCAACATGAGCAAGCTCAAGCCCAGCAGTATGCTGCTGGCGCTGCCGCTGATCCAGCTTCACAGCGCCGTGGCCAGCCTCAACGAGCTCCGAGAGGCCCTCAAGCTCAAGTACCCCCGGAAAATGTGGCCGTGACAGCTCCAGGGCCAATCCCTGGTTATCGTCCTACCACCAGTGCCGGACCGACAGCTCCCAGGCAGGACTATCAAGCCCCACCTCCCCCCGCAGGTGGACGCGATATGACCGGTCAACCGCCACTAGCACCTTCATCAACTCAACAGCGTCTGGGGCCAACTGCTCAGCATGCGCGCTCGCAGAGTGCAGCCGCGGCAACGGGACCTCAAACCGGACCAAGCCCCTTCTCCAAGTCTGCACCAGCTCCCGCGAGCAGCCAACCGGATGGTACCTCTCAGACACTCCAGCAGCCACGACGATCCGGCTTCCCACATGCTTTTGAACGGTGGGAGACACTTTCTTCCCATTGGGAGGGTCTCACCAGCTACTGGATCCGCAAACTCGAGCAGCATAATGAGGACTTGGAACGTGATCCACTTAGCCAGCAACTGGCTCGCCAGATCACTGACTTGTCTGCCGCCGGGGCCAACCTGTTCCATGCCGTCGTTGAGTTGCAGCGGTTGCGAGCTTCCTCGGAGCGCAAGTTCCAACGCTGGTTCTTCGATACTCGTGCCGAGCAGGAGCGTTCCAAGGAGGTCCAAGCAGACCTGGAACGTCAACTGAAAGCCGAACGACAGGGCCGTGCGGACGCCTTTGCTGCTGCTCAAACGGCTGAGCAAGACAAGACCCGTGCCGAGGATCTCCTTCGCGAGATGCGACGCGAGCTGCAAATCTCCAAAGAGGAAGCGCGGCGTGCATGGGAGGAGCTTGGCCGTCGCGAACAAGAAGAGCGCGACAGAACCAACTCCCTCCGAAATGGCGAGCCCACCCTCGTCGGCGGCGTTCAAGTCGTTCCCATGGTCCAAGGTGCCCCCAGTCGTCACACCACCCGTCCACCAACCCGCGAGGGTCCATACCCTGGCGGTCCAACGGCGACCTCTATGGGTACAGACTACCGAGGCAAACCGACGGATCCCAGCGTAAGCCGCACATACTATGACGAAAACACACCCATGTCCCCAACGGGCTCCGATCCCTTCATCGAGCCCAAGAAGACCGACCCCCCGGCCTCCAAGGCATCCTACCCACCCACCAGCCAATTGTACCCGCACGAGCCGACCGCGGCATCCTATCCAGCCCCAACCTCCGAGCCCGACGCACATTCGTATGTCGGCAGCAGCGAGGCCGAGGAAGATTACGCCGGCTACGCACGCGACAACACTCATCCCTTCAGCTACCCGGCTGCACCACACTCCGAGGGCAGCGATGAGTACGATCACCATCCTGACGAGCGCCACTACACCACCGACGGCGCGTACACGTCCGGCGATAGCTCAGCACCCATCCACGCGCCCTACCCTCCAACTACGGCCGACTACAGCGGCTCCGGCTGGGGTGTTGGATCAGGTTGGGAATCCGTCACGCCCCGGCATCGTCACCCGACGCGTCTGAGCGACGTGCTCGAGGAGGATGAACCGAGCCGTACGAGTCCCAGTCGTGCTAGTCAGGCTAGTCGCAGTATACAGGGAGCCAGATCCGACTTGTAAAGTGGGAGACTGGGGAGACTCGATAGAGGGAGTCTGAAACGGGGACGATTGTGTGTTTCATCAGTCCTTGCTTTGCATCTGCATCTCCGTCTGCGTTTTTTTTTCGAAACATGCATGCCTGCATCAGATCTGGATCGGGGTTGTGTTGTGTTGCGTTACGTCGCGTACATAGAAAAGGGGGGGAGTCCAGCAGCGAGGCTCCTTGCGCTATTCACCTATCTATTTCTTTTTTGTTCCCCCTCTTTGTTTTTCTTTGTTTCCTAGGCTTCTCATATATCACGAACGAGCGTCTCTTCTCTTGCGATTTCAATATTATCTTTTCTGTTTATTTCTTTCAGAATGACTGGAAGTTGCCCGTCTTCGATGTGTCACTCTATTTTATGGCGTTTTGTATTTACTTCAAGCAGCTTTTTTCTTTCTGTTCTTTCGTCCTTGGTTCTAGTTTACAATGGCGATAATACCTAATTGTCCATTCGGGAACTTTGTGTCTTTCTTGTTCAAGGTCTAAGCATTACGTATGATAGTCATGCCGGTATACTTGGTCTAGACTTTGAGAACTTTGAAATGAGCGGGCATTCCTACTGGTATCTTCATCACGGACGCCTAGTGCTATCTATCTTCTAGGTATCTTCTTTCGGTATAGCTGAATAGTACACGCTCTAGGGCATTATTAGAAGACCCTTGAACCTGAACCTGAAAACCAATCCATTTAAGAGACTGGATTGGCACTATTTATCAACGATTGACTTGACAACTACCTCAGATATATTTCCTTCTCTTAACATATTTCACTCCTGGATTATGTCTAGGTAAAAGGTGAATGAGTACTGAATTTCGGGTATGGGTTCCAGGAGATATATATCGCGGACTTTGGGCAATCCAATGCTTGTTGAGTGAAAGGCTCGTATATATATTCTTGTCCCTCCCACTCTTCTGGGCATCCACTTAAAGTGCATCCATCCCTGTACCTAGGACCTATACGCCTAGATAAATATATGTCGGCTGAATATCATGCATTTATAGTGCGAGTATAGCCAGTAAGGTTAGTGGCACTCATCACGCGTAGCAAAGGGAGGAATCCTTAGTCTCGCTGTGACCTCATTCCTTATTCTAGAACAGCATTTCGCGAACGATTTCACTTTAGATCGCCATTCAAATCGAGAAAAGGTTTGATAATGCTTGAAAGCTTTCATGTGATTTTGAATAATAGGTACAGACGTCAAGGTATGCAGCTTGCATGGAACCGCCCGACATCGGAGAGGCTTCACTCCTCCCTTGCATTACCCGACTCAAGACCCTCATCAACCCCATCCCCAGAAACGACAGCACTACTATCAACCTCATCACTGACATCTGGCGAATGATAATCACGACTCGCCATCTTCAACTCCCTCTCCAAAGCCTCAGTCAAAGCATTCAACAACCACTCGACCTCACTCTTCTCCCCCAACAACGGATTCTTCTTATCAATCCAACTCCAATCCCGAAACTTCTCTTGTCGTTTCACATCCTCCTTAGCCTTCTCAGTGTTGGACTCATACGGTGGTTTGTGTTGCCCGGATATCAGTGCAAGATAGTATTCCCACTCGAGATAGTCGAATTCCTTTGACAGGTTTTTGGTAGTGAGTTCCATCATTTTGCGAATTTCTCGGAAAAGCAGGTAGTGGTAATGGTGTACATTTTCGGTCGCAATGTCGCCGCGGCGTCGGGCGGATTCTTCCTTTTTGTGTTCCTCGGCTTCGACTGCATGGCGGCGGGCATTGAAATCATTCCGATCAGTGCCGTTTCTCATATCAGTAAGAATATCCTGAGAGTCATTCTCCTCGCCGGTGGATTCTTGGAGGCATTTATCTCTCCAGGAGATGTGGAATATATCCTTGATACGGTCGTGTAAGGGTTCATCGCCAGGCAAAATGGTGACTTCACCAATGAAAAGCGTAATGTCCTTGACGAAGCGGATAAGAGTATCGCTGATGTTAGAGATGAGGATAGTGATTGTTGGAACGGCAAGAAGTGACCAGAAGACGAAAAACGCTTTGCCTAGACTGCTGACCGGGTAGAGGTCACCAAAACCGATGGTGAGAAGCGTGGTGTAGGCAAAGTAGAGAGCCTCAAAGTAAGTCCATTGAATATGAAGCTCGGAACGCCAGAAGATAGCTGCACCAATGAGCCACAGAGCCATCCAGACAACCAGGGACGTGATTAGTGAAATCCACTTGTGTTGAACCGTTGCCAGCTGGCGGACACGTCGCATTGTGATGAATTCTCGCTTCTGTCTCTCGCGATCGCTAAGCTCATTTCCCTCGTTTTCATCAACCCGCAGATTCGGCACCAGGCGGTTGTTCCGTTCCGAGAAGGCCTCCTTCACTAGGAACTTGTGAGTGTGTGCAGTGAGAAGGTCGGCAATCTTCTGTCGTCCGTGCTCCAGCATGAGCGTCCGAATAGAAGAGATAATAAGACCGAGAATCACGATACCCCCAACTGCGTAGGGAAAGAGGAGCCCGCGGCCAAGATGCGTGACTGGAGCGAAGTTGCCAACACCAATGGTCAGTAGAGTGTAATCAGCCCAATACACTGCATCCATGAATTTCCAGCCTTCAATTCTGGCGTAAACTGCTGAACCCCCTAAAAGGTAGATGAACAGGATGATAGTCTGCAGCATCAACGTCCGTTGACTCGTGGTCAGTTTATACTCGCGGCTGTAATGGCCCTTGTGAGCACCCCATGCGGTGACAACCAGCAAGGATGCGATGATGAAGTAAAGCCCTGCAGCAAAAGTCCCATAGAAGTATGCTTGCGTGTACACGTGCCCGGCATTTTGCGGCTCGTACATGAGTACACCCAAGCCGATCAGAATACCGAGCAGCAAGAATGATGATATGTACCATCCGACAATGATAATCGGTTGGGCGACCTCGAACCGGATGCGCCTTGCCATATTCAACGAGAGAGCCAAGTTTGCAATGAGTGCAAAGACCAAAGAAACTGCGTTCAGCGCAGTGACCCTGAAAAGAAGTATTAATGACCAGCAACACAATGTTCAAGGCGACATCTTACCATTTTGGATCAGTGATATCTCGCTCTCCGCCTCCGGGGAGTATTTCCATGCGCCATGGTTGCGATAGAGAGCAGATACTAAAAGCGCTGGACATTGGTCCGAACGTGCCCTGAGAATGGGTCAGATGTGGGCGGCGATTGGCACAAAAAACAAGGAGTGCTCACTGCGGCCAATGGATATGCTGTACTTGCAAGCCACCATCGCGCTGCATGGGGATGATGAGCGTCTATCTCACGAGTATCATCCTTTTCATTGTGGGATGAAGTATGATCGAGGGCGTTGGCTTCTGCCGCGACAGCATCGTCAAGCCCGGGGTCATTCATGCTGTGTGGTAGCCCGCGAGAATATGTCCATAGAAACGGATCGATGCGCCACTAGAGAGAAAACATCATGAAGCAACAGTTGGAATCGAGCGAGAACGCATCGTTTAATGAGCGGCTCCTCTGATGAGAGTGGAGAAACCATGCAGTGGGTGGAAAGTGAGTGGCGCTTGCCCAAATCAAGCTTTGTGTCAACGGCGCAAGCGTGGCCGTCATGATCGGCGGAAATCACAAGAGAGACTGGACTTTCCTACCTTGGTTGGCCGACGTCATATCACGTGCGGAGCGGAACCAGGTACTCTTAGGCTCAAATGAGCGGGGAAGTTAACACAGTCGGAATCCACATTGTGGAGATGGAACGGAACTATTTAAGTATATTCGGGTATAATAATGACTTTAGAGAAGTAAGAAAAAAGATGAATGGCGGTCTTTCGCACGAGGCGCTTTTCGAGTTAATAGAAATAGAAGAATCAACAAGTCGCCAGTATGACATCCGACTCTGTACATCTCGTCAACCAACCTCTGTACATGTCAGAAGCAGAAAATAGCCAGCATCTGCTGTACCAATGCTGGATTTGTGAAAGCAACAATCGTGTACGAGCGGGATGAATGAGAGACCCAAAGCTGCGAGAGCAAAGCAAGAAATCGAAAGAAAAACCATTGAGACGAGAACCGCCAAGTAAGATCGTTACACTCCAAAAACTCCAATCTCCATCCGCATTGCCATGATGTTAGGGAGAAAAATCAACAATCGTTCCAAGAAGAAGAGGTAAGTAGTCAGAGGATTCGAAGGGGTATCGCAGGAAAAGATGGTAATGTCGGTGAAATCGCCGGTGGAGCAAGGTGAAAAGACTCGTTCATCAGACTGAGTGTATGTCAGCGAAGAGTCACGACTTATTTGCCTACTGAAGGGACTCACAATGACCCCCTCCAGGGGTGAGAGAAGAAGGAAGCGACGACTTCGGCTGTGGTGAAGGACGACGGGCAAAGCGTGGGTCGACATCTTCATAATACTGGGTGGAACTTTGCCCAGCACCAGCGTGGACGGGCGAGGGAGAAGGCCGGGGGGCAAGGTTAGATTCCTGGCCACCCCATCCAGCACGAGCCGGCACGTAAGAGCTGCGACTGCAATGGTTAGCCGTACCATAAGCGAATGATTTCTACGGAGGAAAACTTACTCATTACGGCTGTAGAGACTCGTTGGGCTCTCGAGAGGCGCGTGGGCTCCATCGACAGATAGCGCGTGCGGATGAAACTCATTGCCCGTCAACGGCTCCGACTCATACTGGTCATTTCGGCGCATTTGGGGCTGCATTTCAATGGCTTGACCCACATTATCCGCAGACACAGCCATGCCAATCGGCCCCGGGGAGGGTTCGCGCATTGGGCCACCTGGCGCCATTCTGGATTGATCATAGGGCTCGTCCATGGGCCGGCCATAGGAGTCAAAACTGCGATTGGGTCCGGCCGCATAAACCGGAGCACCGCGAGGGCCTCCACGACCGGGCATCATGCCTCCACGACCACGTGGGGGCATTGGACCTCCCATATAACCACCGCGGCCGCCAGGAGGACCCCGAGGCGGGCCCATATAAGGGCCACCACGTCCGTAAGCACCACGAGGAGGATACCCTCCCCGGCCCCGCAGGCCGACCCCGGGTGGACCTCCCCCGCGTCGAGAACCCATGCTTCCGTCGGAGTATTGGGGCCGCAACCTAGGATCCGAAGGGTTGCGCATCATCTGGGGATTACCATACGGGCCCGCAAGAGGCATACCGGCTTCTTCTTCAGGAGAGCGATACGGAGACCCATGGCGGTTGGGAAATGGCGCATCCGGCGGCAGAGGGACATCGTGCATTCCATTAGCATTGCGAGAGTTAAGGGGAGTACGATCATCGTCGCTGGTCCGAGTTTCCGTGCGGAAACTGGCGAATGTTGGCCCCGTTTCCGAGGTGGGAGAGCCCGAAACCATGGCTTCCTTGGTTTCCGTCGCGACCGGCGCAGTAGTTATGGCGGCAGCGGCCGCATTCTGTCGGTTGTAGTAGTTCTCGCCGCTCATCTCTGCGTTCTCAGCAATGCGACGCTTCCGTGCTTTGCGACTGACAAGGGTGCGGCGCATGGCACAAGTCACCACCCCGCACGAGACGAGGAGAATAGTGGATCCCAGTACGATCCATCCACCCCATCGCAAGTGCGGCACGAACAGCAAAATATCGACCAAGAATGCAAGGAGGGTCACCAGAAGGGTGGGCAGGAGCAGAATGAGGAGGGCAAGCAGGAAGCGCGGCGAATGTGATGGACCGTGAAAGTGCGCGGCGGCGGCAAGGCAGAGGCAGACCAGAGTGAGGAACGCTGCAACAGGATGGACGACTAAGATGGAAGATAGCGATTTTCGAGTACTGGAGGGAAGGTTGAAGTCGCCGCCGGTGCTGTCTATATTGTCTACAAGGACAGTTAGCCACGATGTAGCAGGCAAGAAACGATATCGCGCCATGCACTCACTCCCAGTGTATCCCACATGGATTTTGGTACATGAATCGCCTTGACAATAGCCGAATACACCGTAGTCGACATTGTTAAAGGTCGCCAGTGGGATGCCTTTGATGATGGGGGTGGATAGGCACGACAACAAGAGGAGGGCGAACGCGATCAACAGCAAGATGGTGAGGGGTGTTGCAGGTTTGAGCAACATGACGAGGGGAGGGCGACAACTCGCGCCCTAGGGACCTTGTCACTCAAGCTGGAATAGAAACGAGTGAGTTCCAGACTTGTAAGCGCGCACTGTCGGTTAAGCGGGGAGCGAGTTAACGGAGCATGAGGTTCGTTGAGGGTGTCCTGCGACCGTAGTGGAGGGGACGGGGGTTGGAATTGGGGGCGGAGGAGGATCGTAGATGGAGAGAAAGGAATGAAGGGCCAGAATTGGGAAAGTGAGGGGAAGCGAAGATGCAGGGAATAGGTTCGGGGCTAAAGCCAGCTAAGGCTAAGGCTAAAAAGAATGGCAATTAAAAGAATGACAAGAAGCGATAAGCCGGCGCCATTGCGGAGGCGAAGGAGGAAACCGTGGGAGAGATGGGGGACTCGTGCTGGCCGGGGGCCTGAGGCACACTTGGACCAGGTGATGATCATGGGTTCTTTCTCTCTCCAGATCTTGGAATGAGACATCCACCGCTCCGACGACGATTGCTCTTTTGAAACCCAACGGAGTACGGAGTATACATACTGTCTGAGATTGACTGCTTCTAGTTTTTCTAGAACCCACCCTCACTAGCTGATCACTATTGCCCTCTTAGCCGGGGAGACTGCAGCAGCACTGATCCCGTTCCGCGCGGCGCAGCAAGGACCAGGTCTCTCATTCGCTCTACCCGGGCTAACCCAAGCCTCACAACCAGCCGTTGGAGGGTCGAAATTATCTTCCAAAAGATGGCGCAGGCGCACGGGCTAACTCTCCCTCCAAATTTCCTGGTAGCGCCAGAACAATACCCCACAGTATATTCCGTCTTATCTGTTCGGTTACATGCCGCGCATGGACGCGTTGGAAAAATAGAGCTCTTAAAGGAGCTACGTCGTTGTCGAACAAGCAGTTCGAAGAACGCCTCTCTTTGTTGGCTTTCTCTTCCGCCGTCCCAAAGATCCTGTCGCAGGCTTCCTTGGAAGTTGGATAATTCATCGATCTGACAATGCTAACGTAATTCCCGGCTAATCTGGCCACCCGGCCGTCCTGGCCACCCTATCCAAAATCGCGTCTCTCTATCAACCTACCAACTTCAACTTACTACCATGCCACCAATTCGCACTGAACCTAGCCATAACTTGGCCAATCGAGAGGGCAAGATCTTATTGGCTCTTTCCGATTTAAAAGAAGGCCGAATCAAATCTATACGCGCCGCAGCCGCTCTATACGCAATACCTCGCTCTACACTGTAGACACGCGTACATGGCCAGATATCTCGCGAAGATAGCCGCCCACCTAGCTATAAATTGACCTAAACCGTAGAGGATGCGCTTACTGAGTGGATAATCTCTATGGATATACGTGGGGTAGCCCCTAGGATAGCTATAGTAGGAGACATAGCCAATATTCTACTAGCTGCGCGTGGCAACCAGCCATTAACTACTATTGGTAAGAATTGGCCATTATCCTTCGTTAACCGCCGCCCTGAGCTTCGCACACGCTTCTTGCGAAGATACGATTACTAAAGAGCCCTGAACGAAGATCCAAAATCGCTTCGGCAGTGGTTTGCGACCGTACAGCAGATAATCGATGAGAAGGGTATCTAACTAGAGGATATCTATAACTTCGATGAGATAGGATTTGCAATGGGCCTTATATCTACACAGAAGGTTGTTACGCGGGCAGAAATATATAGTAACGGCCGTCGCCTTCTTTAACTAGGAAATCGCGAATGGGTTACTGCGATCGAATCAATATGCGCAGATGGCTATTCGCTTCCGCCATGCGTGATTTTCAAAGCTAAGGTTGCCATCGCTGGTTGGTTTGATAACCTACCAAAAGATTGGCGAATCGAGGTCTCTGCGAATGGCTAGACTAGCGATGAGATTAGCCTACGTTGGCTATAAAAGCTCTTTATTCTATCAACAAATTCGCGCGTACGCGGCCGATTTCGGCTATTGATCCTTGATGGCTATGGTAGCTATCTTACACCTTAATTCGACCGAATCTGCGCAGAAAACGACATTATACCTCTTTGTATGCCTACGCATACGTCGCATCTATTACAGCCACTAGATGTTGGCTGTTTTGCTGTGGTTAAAAGGGTATACGGTCGCTTTGTGAGCGATCTTGCCCGTCGAGGATACAACCATATCGATAAGTTCGATTTCCTTGATGACTATTAACGCGCGCGGCTAGAGGCCTTCCAAAAGCCATTAACTATTCAAAATAGCTTCGCAGCTACTGGTTTAGTGCTAGTAGATGCAGAAAGGGTCCTTTCAAAGCTAAATATCTCTCTACGAACGCCAACGCCACCAAATAGCCGGCTAAGCAGCAGATCTAGCTAATTCACACCAAAAACACCTAGGACCGTCACCCAGCTATTTAAGCAAGCTTCTTTATTAAAGGATCTATTAGATCAGCGGTCATAAAGCCCTCTAAGCCCAACCAAAACCGTGGTGGATTAGATGATTAAGGGTGGCTATCTAGCTTTACATACCGCTGCCCTACTTAGCTAGGAGAACGCTAATCTACGCGTAGCCAATGAGAAGAAGCGCCAGAAACGCTAGCGGTCAACTAGGTAGATACCCTACGAAGAGGGCCTATCTGTTGAAGAAGCCATATAGCTAGTTAAGCAGCTAAAACAGCTAGTGGAAGGTGATGGGGTAGGATCGCATAAGCAGGGCGAATTGCCTAATCAGGTAATTCAACCACCTACTAGGGCCCCGCCTAGGTATAGTGGGTGTAGAGAGATTGGCCATAAAATTAATACATATAAAAATCGCTATATTTAGTTGAATCAATGGGTGTTGGTTGAATTGATCGATTTTGAAAATTTCTAATGAGGTGGGTGGCCAGGACGGCCGGGTGGCCAGATTGGCCGGGAATTACGTTACTCCTAATCGACATTAATCATCATCTACTAGCGACATACTTAAAAACGGTGAAACAGGATCTGAGCTGTGGAGATATATGCGAATTGCGAGAAAAGGTTCCGTAACTCGGGACCTGAAAGCTTGCAAAGCAGGATTTAGCTATGCTCTTTCAGGGATTCAGCCCCCTTGAATAACTTATCCAGTGGTAGCGCTCTCGAGTCGCGACATGTGCAAGACCTCTGCTATTCCTTTCTTGACACGTCTGGACCAAGTCTACGACACGATTAAGATGAAACAAGCCGCGCTCCACTTTTTAAAGCTAAGATTATTGGCTAACTATCCTTAACTAATTTTCCGCTTGGGGTCAGCTAAAGTTTATTGCACTAGGCAAGATGGTCAAGGAATTGCGCAAAAGCTTAGGGTAGCTATTGGAGATAGGAAAGCTCCATGAAGTTACTTCTTTCCATCCGATGCACGCGTCTCAAGGATTCGGTGGTCGAGCCTAATTAAGCTTATGCGAAAAGCCACCCCCTTAACAATGCTCCGTGCATGCACGGGAGATAAGATAGGCCAATTCGAGGTTGTTCTTTGTGTTGCCACGCCAGAGCTTAATCGGCTCTATTTAGCTGAAATCAGGGATAGTAATGTCTAGCGGCACACAGACCATAGTGTCCGTGGGTTACACGGACACTGGGACCGTTACAGTATCTATTCAAAAAGATGAGGAAATGACACAAACGTAAGGATCTTTCCCTCCAAACGGGCTATTCGGGGGTCTCAATTCTTGACAGGATATGGATTAAACGTAATTGTTCAGGGTAGCAGAGCCATTTACAAACCAGGACAAAATACAACGACTGCGTAACCCGACGACAACAATCCAGACTCTTAAGTGTAGAATTCCCCCAATGCGCGCACGATGGCCGTTAGATAAGAGATCAATAACCTACCTACATCGTGATTCTTCAGCGAGTTGTGAGTCTTCCAGATCATTGTTCCGCGAAACGGATAGAGAGTAAGTTTAACCAACATTTCCAGATACACTCAGGATATTCCACATGCGCTGTTTATGGCGGCTCTGGCCCTGGGCTAAGCGGAAGAAGCCCACCGACGAAGAAAATCGCACGCTGCTACCAGGAAGGACCATCCTCTTACAACCCTGGGAAATGAGCGTTAGAACCGAAGAATTGCGCCACAGAATACCGTCGAATATGCAAGAACGATATGTGAGGTTTGGTATCGGCGGGGCTGGGAACATGCGCAAGTCTGCGGCCTTCTCCTAGCGTCTCGACAAAACATCTCCTCCTCTGCCTTGGACTGTTCTGACTTGATATATACGGTAGGGTTGTTTCGCACAATGGGCATACTATTCAAACAATCACTCGATAATCCATGGATGATTTGTGGAGAGCTGGGCATTGTTATGAGTGCGGTTCTGCCTTGAACATTAGAAAAATATCTGCTTAGTTAGTGGGAGCTCTTACAAAGCTGAAGCAGGTAGATATTCGCCGGTGTCGGCAGTAAGTGGCTCGAGGTTAAAAAATATATCTTTCCATAGGAGCTCCTATCAATGCAGACTTCCTGAATGTTGTTCTTCGATTTTCATTAAATGTCTTATCGGTCAGGGTGAGAGCATCCTCTCGAAAGGTGAAGCAATGGACCACGTTATAGCTTTATCGTATCATAAAAAAAATGAAATGCGAATTTTCGGCGTCTTGAACCCGTTAGTGGGATTTTTCTACCTAATAATGATATTGTAATATCTAGATACAGATATTATACTATTGCCAAAAATAATTAAAAAGCTTTAGTCAGGTCACTCAACATTCGATAAAATCAGAATTAATGTAGTTAACACACTGTATATAGCTGCTCTGTTGAATGATGCCTTACGACACGGGCGTTGAAGTTTGCCTTTAACAAGGGGCTTTTCTAAGCCACGGGCATTTGTCAGACGCAACAGCGATTCATCTTTGGTGAACTAAATGACTTCGATAGATGTTTGTATAACCAGGACATGGCATTGATTCGCTCGTGCGTATTGTAGCGAGAACCTCCACCGAAATTTGGTTCCTTTTCATCTATTGACATTGCCATTTCGTCAATCACAAAAACAGCGCATACATATAGAGGCCTTATAGTAGAGGGTAGCTTCTTTCCGCATCAAGCCAGGTCATACGTGCGACACCGAGCTGGACCAAGGCCGCGTACAAAGTTGTGTCAATACTCGGATAAAGGCGATAAAGAGCCCCTACAGTTATCGCAATTCGGAACGATCATCTTCTTCGCCGTTGGTTTCCTATTCAAACAAAATTCCTTTTTTTTACCCGAAAGTACGTCGTCACAAGGAACAATGCTGCCTGTAGAGTATTCTCCGCATTGGCTGCAGGTCTGCGCCCTATCCATGCACATTTCTTTCCCTGCAAAGAGAATTATTATCCAGAGCTCTAGTGAAGGTGTGAAGCCGAGGAAAATCTCTTCGATTTCGAAACTCACTTTATGTGGGCTGTGCTATTATCACACAATGTGTGTCACAGCGTATGAGGATTGGAGAAATTGCGCGGGGTGATACCAAGGGTGAGTTTGATGATTAGCCGCCCGGTCAGAGACTATCAGCAACCAATTTAGGCTTAAAAAAGTGAGGGGTGTGGTCCCATTTAATATCTCACTCATAAACAGATTCAATTAGATCTACACACAAATGCATTGTCAAATGATCATCTCCCACGTTTCGCCGCGCGCTAAGGTGGCTATACAAGGGCAAGTAATTAGTCCGTATGCACAGCAGCTAGGCATATGCATGACTCCAGCGCTATCACATCTTTGTGGAGATTTTGTAGTGGAGAATCGAATAGAGCGGCAATCACTTGTGAAGGACTGATTGGGTCTGTTGTTTAGTTGGAGGCCGAGCCGTCTGGTCACTTCGGTCTTTCCCTGTAAACACAGTACGACGTATTTTTAAGAGCTACGGCCTTGGCTACTATACATAAAGAAAAGGCGATTCCCTGTTCCATATCGCCTACCAACTATCTTACTCCAGGTATACACCAGTACTCCGGATAGAATGTCGAAAATTAGGAAGCTTGGTTTCACCCCAATTTCCACCCCAGATGTCCCACAGCTTGAGTAAGTGGTGTCTCTTCATGACCCCATCCACTACCTCCCTGGTCTAATTTTCCCACGAGTATTGTATTTGTACATGGTCTTCAAGGACATCCAGAGACTACGTGGGAATTTGTGCCCAAGAAACCAGTGTCAACCAATGCACAGCGCAGAAATTCGAACATTGGGATCTTCGAAAAGCTGCGGCGAAAGTCGGGTAACAAGTGCGATATTCTAAATTCTGAATTGCCAAAAGCCAGTATTCTGGCCACGTGACCTGCTAGCCCATAAGCCTGAGTGCGAAAATGCTCGAATCATGACATATGGGTATGACTCTCATGTCACAAAATTCTTGGAAGCAAACAACAAGGATAATATCTCCAAACATGCTGAGAACTTCTTGTATGACTTACAGCAAGTTCGGAAAACGGACGTGAGCAAAACTTTGAGCTATCGAGTCACGGATCTCTTGAGCTGTAGGCTAAACCCTTTAATTCAGGAGAATCGACCTCTTCTGTTTGTTGCCCACAGCTTGGGGGGAATTATTATCAAAGGGGTGGGTAGTCCTATTTTGGCGACTGTTCATGGGTCAGAACTAACGAACTTTCCATCCAAGGCACTGGAAGAGTCAAAGAGATCTGAACATCAACCTAAATTTCTCTCGATCTATAATTCAACTCGTGGTATTCTCTTTCTCGGAACCCCTCATGGAGGAAGTACTGTGGCGGAATGGAGCTTGATTGCAACAAAAATCATCCGACTGGCACTTCTGGGAAGCAATGATGGGGTCTTGAAAGGGCTACGCCCTGATAGTGAGAATACTAGAGACCTATCGCAAGAGCTTCATGAAGATGTTGGAAGACCATTAATTCACAATTCACTCTTTCTATGAAAAGCATGGTGTTACAGGAATTTCGGGCCTCCAAGGAAAGGTGCGTGACAGGCTATCGCGCATATATACCCTGTGGAAAAACACTAAGCCACAACCAATACAGATCGTGGATGACCGAGCGTCAATTGTTGGTCATGCAAGAGCCGAAACGGTTGCAGGAATTGATGCAGACCACCGAGGCATCGCTAGATTTGAGAATCGCGATGATCAGGGTTACCAGGTAGTATGGGGAGCTCTTCAAGACTATATTGGAGCGGTATTAAAAAGCATCAAGACTGCCGAAACGAGTATGTGCGTTGAAATCAAGGTATGCCTTGAATTGCTCACATGGCTTACCATGAATCTACTGCTATAGTGATCAGTGATGCTTTGGAAATGGAAGCACGAGGTAAGAACCGAGCAATAAATTGTCGTCCTCATTTCTTGTCGCTAATCTGTAGAAGAAAGCGCTCAATCTCTTCGACTACCAAAGCGCTTTGAGCGCAGAGATAGAGTGGCGGAACCGTGCCGCCTTACTTGTGAATGGATTTGGCAGCACGAGGCTTTCCAGGCCTGGCAGTCAGCGTCAAGATCAAGCTTTCTCTTCATTTCAGGAAGACCTGGCTGCGGCAAGTCAGTGCTCGCAAAGTATTTGTATTCTCAGATGCTTGTTGAAGCTTCCAAAAGTCAATGTGTGGCCAGCTATCTTTTCGATGGGCAAGAAGATGAAATTGGGAGAAGCATGGAAGGCTTGATTCGATCACTGCTCAGCGAAGTGATTGAGAAAAAGTTAACCCTGATAAACCGAATCCCAATCTCCCAAGAGTATAAAATGCTCAAAGACACCCAGCAGACTTCTCTCGTCGAGTGGCCGCTGACAGCCCTGAAAAATCTCTTTCGGTCTCTAGGTGACGCCGAAGACACCGAATTCCTATTTATCGTGGACGCATTAGATGAGGCGAAGCCGGAGGACATCTTTGATATTTCACAACTTCTTGAAGGTCTCTTGTCCGTTGACAACAAAGCTACATTCAAAATTATTCTGACTGCACGTCCCGCGACCTTTGTCTAGGAGAGCTTTGCTACAAGCTACCCTCGTATCTGGTTAGAATCCAAGGATTCCAGCCACGTTCAGAAGGATATAAAGACATACATCACGAACAAGGTGACACAATACTTCCGAGGTGACCCGAAGCCAAGGCCTTTGGCCGAGAGGCTACACGCGCGTTCGAACGGTATCTTCCTCTGGGTAGATCTAGTTCTGCGGATGTTGGCCAAGGAGAGAAAGCATGGCACACCGTTCTCCGATCTAGTCAAGGAGCTGGACAATGTTCCAGTAGGAATGGAAAAATTGTATCGCAATATCCTTGATCGATTGCCAGCGCAAAGACGAAACTTTCGACGAATTATGCTGCAATGGATTCTTTGCGCAGAACGACCATAACGATAGAGGAATATCGGTTGGCTGTGACCATGAACTACCGTCCTGGAAAATATGAGAATGATGAAATTCTCTGTAGAGAAGTCGACATTGAACTTTTTAAGCTTCAAATTGCGAGTCATTGTGGGGGCCTGGTGGAATTTCATGTGTCGAAGACGGGCGCCACCATTGCTCATCTTGTCCACCAGTCGGCTTTTGATTTTCTGAGCGAAAACCCAAATGAATGGGATTGCACCGTGGAGACCATGCAGAGTGAGAACTGGTACCACAGGAGTCATTTTGAGCTCGCATCAATTTGTCTCGAGTAAATCTCCTCTTGCAACCTTGAGGATGGTCCTACAAACCAGGTGTCATGGTCTATTTCTTCCCAGAAGCTGAAGGATCGAATACAGAGTTATAAGTTATTGCCATATCTGCTCTAAATTGGACATACCATCTTAACCACGCACCAAAATTATCACCAAAGATTTGGCCCCGAATATACAAATTTACAAAAAACAAAAAACGAGCCTCTTCAACGTACCAAATTGCCAAGTTCGAGCGAAGTTTGCTGTTTCCTCGAAATATGGAGCTGCTACACCATGTCAGCGACTTGGAACATACCGCCGTGCTCCATCTTCTGCTGGAAAATAAGCCAAGGCCAGATCTCGAAGACAGCTTCGGTCGCACGCCATTGTCATACGCGGCTCAGAATGGGCACCTGGATGTCGTTCAGGCGTTGGTCCGCTCCGGAGCAGACGTGTATTTTTTTGAAGGCGAGATATGGGGCACTGCCCTGGGAGCGGCAGCTATGCATGGCCATACATCCATCGTCCGATTTTTGCATGATGAAGGGGCGTCAATTGACGTACCACCAAACCTCATCACAAAGGTTGCCTCCAGGGGTCATATGCCGGTACTGGAACTACATATCACATACGGTGCACCGGTGAATTATAATCGCCATGACTCCACCGAAACCCCTTTGATGGCAGCATGCCAATGGGGACACACAGAGATTGTACGACTGCTTCTCAAGCACAGTGCAGATGTCAATCTATAAGGGGGATTTCATGGCACAGCACTCCAAGCGGCTTCATTTGGAGGCCACGAGCAGCTGGTGACTATGCTCATCGAAGGAGGCGCAAGGGTCAACACTCAAACAGGTCAACATGGTTCCCCATTACAGGCTGCTTGTGCCCAAGGTCGTAAATTCATTGTGGGTATACTGCTCAAGGTAGGGGCGAATGTCAACTCAACAGGGGGTCTGTATGGCTGCCCCCTCACAGCTGCCTTGGCCTGTGGTTATCCCGAGATCGTAATACGACTGTTAGAAAACGGAGCTGACATCAACCACCACCAACCAACCGAACACGTTGCATTCCCCCTTCAAGCCGCAGCTTTGAAGGGAGATACATCCACTCTTCAAATCCTTCTCAATCGGGGAGCTGACGTGAATCTGTGTGGGGGTTACCACGGTTCGGCTCTTCAGGCAGCATGCGCAGCAAAACGGATCGAAGCGGTAGATCTGCTGGTGACACATGGGGCCGATGTCAACTATACCGGCGGGAAACACGGCAGTGCTCTTCATGCCGCAAGTGCTCATGGATGCTATCCAAGTTGCGAGAGACTCCTTCTATCTGGCGCTGATATTAGAAAATCGTTGGGCGATTTTGGAGCCCCTCTCCATGCAGCTTGTTCTTACGGTCACGAACATGTCGTGAAGTTGCTGCCTGAACATGGAGCCGACATGAACCAGAAGGGGACAAAACACGGATCTGCGGTTCGTGCAGCTGCAGCTGGGGGTCATCACCTCATTGTAAGTTTGTTGCTTGAAAAATCACGGTTGTTGGAAATCGAGTTGCTAGGTATTGATGACGCGCGAAGAGTTGCAGAGAAACGAGGCCACAGAAACGTCGTTCTCCTACTGCAATAATGTCATATTTCATTTTGGGAAATAAGATTTATCTTCCTCCTTTGTTCTTTCGTTGAAGTAAGGTTTCACGTGTAACTTTAGGCCTCTCCATAGGCCTTTAATGTTCATGCCAGTCAAAATCCCACTTGATTGAAATTTGGCTTGTAAGGCGTATAAATACTCGCCAGCAAGAGTGTCAGTTCGCTAGGCAACTAGGACTAGCTAGAAGAATTTATATCCTTCTGTTTATGTTCCCTCTCGACATATATTGATCCTAGTCCTTGTTGCTATGATTTGAAAGACAAGGCGAGAGGTAGGTAATTCACGTCTATTGAGGAGGACAGCCCTGGAGATCTTTACAAACACGCTCCAAAGGAGCGCTACTTCAAATGTATCGAACTAGATCTTTCTCCGGTGGTTGGATTCTGACACAATTTGTGGCCCCAAAATATTCCTGTGATCAATCAAACCTTGCGAGTAGAACGCGTTGCATTCCACTAGCTCCTATGTGACAAGGACGGGCTAACACTAATGGCCCTCCTTGAAAGTGGGAGCAAACTCAAACTGGAATTTGCGCTCCTCACAGGGTACAAGATACTTCTCCAAAGTCGTCGGGCCACAAGCACCAGTTCCTACCCCGCTACACTCAGCATCAATCCGGACAAGAACTGTCTTGCCGGGCACAAGGTCACAAGGGTGTTTGGCAGTCTCGATTTGCTTTGCGCTGTACCGAGATGCGACCCATTGGAAAGTAGTACCGGTGTCTTTATCGGTGTCCACCGAGCTCCGAGAAACTTTGATGCCCCAGCCACGGTTATCGCTGAGTTGTAGCCAGCGGGTATCGGATCGGTTTCCACCTTCTTGGGGCACCTCGTATGGGGTATGGAGCTGTTCCATGGTAGCCTTGTAGATTCCCATTTTCTGAGAGCGCTTCTTGTCTGCGTAGGACTCTCCGGGACCAAGACCATGCCATTTCGCATTGTCGAACGTGTCGGCAAGGCGCAAGTCTAGACCCATTCGAGGAAGATCTGCAGGCATCGAGCCTTGGGGTTTGAGATGGACTGAGACTACAAGATGACTATCTCCAGTGATGGTATAGATTGTGGTAGCGACGAAGCCCCAGGCGAGAACTGGCGGACCCAACCAGGACTCGGTCGTAATCCGAACGCAATTATCACCGACGTGCGCAACTTCCATGCTCCGCAACTGTACTCGCATGTCATCCAGTGAGTACCTGCGTCGCTCGCCGAGGGCCCAGGACATGTCATTGTCGATAGGAGGACGCCAGAAGCCTGGAACCAGGGCCATGCCAGTTTTGGTATCGGAGTCAAGAAGTTGATAACCTTTCACTGTCCAGCCGGTCAACCCTCCAGTGGAACGCGAGAATGTAAGACTGAAATCCGAGCCACTGACGGTATGAACAGCTCTACTGGACACGAAGTTAATGGGAAGACAGGGGGGAAGACGAGGCTCCACAGAGATAGCCTTGAGCGGGTGCTGAAACCAAGCGACTTCATGTCCACTTGCAGCCCAGGGCTTGTCCTCCGTCGTACGGAAGCCCACCGTCAGCCAGATTTCCCCTTCTGAAATGGCAGGTAAATCTGGGCTGAATTCCAATTGCCCCGTTTTACCAGCCTCAATGAAAGGAAGGCGAAGAGTGCCGCTATCAATGATAGTGGATCTAGTCTCGTCAGCATATGCAAAAAGTCTGTTCCTTCAACACTGGAAATCTTACTCAGAGTCCATTACTTCTACGCGGTAGAATGCATGCAAATTCTCGAGACCGGCAAAGTCATACCGGTTTTCGATGGAGATCGAACCATCGGCGTACCAAGCATGAATAGGTGAATAGGCCTTGCGCAATTCTACCAGGCCAGGAGTCGGTGTGTGGTTGCTAAAGCAAAGACCATCCATGACAAACGTCCCGTCGTTAGGGTAGTCATCAAAGTCTCCACCGTAAGCATAGAAATTACGGTCCTTATCCCATAGACCATGGTTTGCCCACTCCCAAATCCACCCGCCTTGCAGGCGGCGGTGCTTTTGGAATGCCTCCATGTACTCCTCTAGGCCACCAGGGGCGTTACCCATTGCGTGAGCATATTCACAGAGGACGATAGGTTTCTTGAAGTTGTCGCCTTCTGCAACAGCCAATTTCGTTATCCTGTCCACCGATGGGTACATATAGGAGAACATATCTGCCGATTTTGCCTCCGGATCTCCTTCGTAGTGGACTGGTCTGCTGGGATCGGTCGCCTTGATGTAGTCATACATGGCCTGATGATTCTGGCCATAGAATGCCTCGTTACCAAGGGACCAAATCACAATACAAGCATGATTCTTGTCCCGCTGGACCATTTGGATCGCACGATCAACGTATGCATCCTTCCACTCCGGGTTATCGGTGGTAAACTGAGCCGCCTTCGCAAAGGTCAATTTCTTGCGTTCCTCATAGTCCATGGACTCTGGGACATCTAGAGGACGTGCGACTGCGTCATAAAACCCGTGGCATTCTAGGTCTGCTTCATCCATAACCCATAAGCCAAGCTCGTCACAGAGCTCGTATAATTTGGGATGGGACGGGTAGTGACAGCATCGTACGGAATTAATATTGTGGCGTTTCATGATCAGAAGATCCTCTCGGAGAAAGGACAACGGCACAGCCCGACCAAAGAACGGATGGTGATCATGGCGGTTGACACCACGGAATTGCACCGGGGTACCATTGACTGTGATATTTCCATTCTTGATTTCGACCTGACGGAAGCCGACTCGATGGTTGATCTCTTGCAGTGGTTTATCCCCGTTTAATGAAGAGCGCAAGGTGATCCGGAGATCATAAAGGTGTGGTGTCTCCGCGGTCCATTTCTTGGGGCTCTTTACCGGAATTACCAAGGTGAACGATCCATTCTCAACCACAGATAATTTGTTGTATCCGATCGTGTCTTGGGTACCCCGTAGATGGTGCAAGGCCGCTTCCAACAGGACTGATTCTGTCGCAACCAAATTTACTGTGACTTTCAACGTAGCATCGGTGTAGGATTGGTCAAACTCGGTCTTCGCGAAGAAGTCTTCAATCCGAGCTGCCATTGGGAAAGCAAGGAGGGTAACATCGCGGAAGATACCTATCAGATCCATGATCAGCACGGTTGTCGAGTTTCTCACGCGAGTACTAGTCTTCACCTGACAGCCACCACTGGTCCTGGTCCTCAATGTATGATCCATCCGACCATTGGTACACGCGTACAACCAAATTGTTCTCCTCGCCGTTGCGAATGAAGTTGGTTATATCAAACTCTGCTGGATTGCGACTGCCCTGGGCATATCCCACTTCTTTTCCATTCACCCAGACATGGTACGCACTGTCAACACCGTCGAAACGAAGACGTATTTGTGCAGAGAGATCCCAGTCCGATGGAACCGTAAAAGATCTGCAATATGTGCCCGTAGGATTCTGGCTGGGCACACGTGGAGGGTCGCAAGGGAAAGGGAAAATGGTGTTCGTGTAATTGGGACTACCGTAACCTTGAAGTTGCCAATGGCCCGGAACAGTTATGCTCGTCCACTCGTCGGTGTGAAAAGAAGGGTCTCTATCTTCCTCACTGTCAATTGACGGTGCCAGAAGAGGAGATGGCGCATAATGAAATTTCCAAGTGCCATTGAGCGACAGCGATGCGTCCGAGAGAAAGAATGCACGGGGAGGGAGCTTGTTCCGCTGGAAGATATGCGGATTTTCCCAGTCATTGGCGCTGATATGGGTTGTGGGAATGGTTACTGTTTCTTTGAAATCACCCATCTTTGTAGAATTCGACCAAGTTTATTCGCTGAGGCTCCGACAATGGGTGACAGCTTATGTATCAAGCAATGCTAGACTGAATGAGGATGAGGCAGCAGAAAAAAAATGTTGATTGAAGCGGGGATGGCGATACACCTTGTACTTGCCCCCTCTCCAGCACATTTCCGCGTCAAGGAGCCTCGACCTTCTCCAGAAGGCGGAGCGCGCCGAGTTTCTCAATGCGCGACTTGCCAATGCCAGCATCGGACATGGACGCGTTGTGGAGACAATTGGTTCAAGTACAAAGCTCTCTGTATAGGAGCTGGGCATGCCGACCCACCGGCATGAGCAGACACTAGCTCTCGACATGAGGGTGCGATGTCCGGCGCGGATCTCATCCCAAATCCCCAGCTTTCGGGCCCGGTATCCGCGAGAACAAGCATGAGTCGGTCCACTTGCTTAGAGTCGTGTACGCGGCATTGGCACGGAGAAATTCGTTGCGCGGGGGTTCCATCCAGCTAGCAATCATAGGATATGAAGGCTGGAGGTCCGAACACTCTCTGCAGCTACCGCTTCGGCAAGTTGAAGCTGATAGGATCTGAGTGCTGATGGGGTGAGGGAGAAAGTGGGTCCGGGGGTAACGGAGCCGAGAGCTCTTCGTTCGGTCTGTGCGCTGGGCTGTGGTGGAAAAGGTTGACACTGGCACTCCGAGGATGTTCAAGGTTCGCGGGTCTCGGGGACAGTAGAACCAACGGGACAGAAGCATATTTGGAGACCTCAAGCATTCTTGATATCTCACTTACACGGTGGTTGCTGAAAGGAAAAGCCCATGATTGGGGCTGGATCTCGACTTCCCCGCAGGTCATTCTGAAGAGATTCTCGGTAGGGGAAATTCCATTCTCCCCACTCGTGACTCTCGATCGGCAGAGAGCCGGCTAAATTACGTTAGGCCCAGCTCGACGATGGTGTTCTGACCCCCGCACCATGTATCCTCTCGGGGATGTCGGAACCGAAGACGACCGGGTCGGCACTCGAACCCTGAGACGGAAAGAGCCCGTGACCTACCTGGTCCCTTGAAGACCACGAAACGAAGTCATTGGAAACCGAGAAAAGACGCTATCGTCCGGAATTGGCGCCAGCTTCCCAAGCTTGATTGGGATGGGCTCAACAGCGTGCCCAATGTGAACACTCGTGCTGCCGTGCCACCGGGAAAAAGTTCAATTTAGTCAACGCTAGAGCTAAAGTCCGCGCGACCCCAGATTCTGAGCATGGCGCGAAGGATATACCAACCAGCTAGTCGCCAGAAAATCATATATATCACTATGTACCGCCGATCATCCCTGACCCATTTGAGCTCTGCATTCCCACCCGCGGCTTGGGATCAGCTTGGTTGAAGTCAAGTCCAGCTTTGCACTTTTGAAGTTCCTCCTCCAACATGACTACTGAGTCCACCAAGCCAACCCTGGAGCAGTTTGAAGTGAGCAAGAATGGGATAGGAGGTGGCGAAAAGGACCTCCAGGAAACGAGCGATGCCATCCAGCTCGCTGAGGTGGTTCAATCGATAAAATGCAGTCCGTGGACCGCCAGCATGTTTCGCCTGTACGGCTGTCTCATAATCGCATATCTGTGTGGATGCTTGAACGGTTACGACGGCTCCTTGATGGGAGGACTGAATGACATGACAACTTACAGGCAATATTTCCATATGTGAGTCTAACCCGAGACGATTGAACTTGCGTTTTCTGACCCAAGGTTTAACTCCAGGAAAACCGCCTCTTCATCGACCGGCCTGGTATTTGCCATCTATAACATCGGATCTATTCCAGCGGTTATTCTCTCCGGCCCCGTAAATGATATTTTCGGGCGCCGCAAGGGCATGTTCACCGGAGCCGCCATTATCATTATCGGCACGTGTATTCAAGCACCCGCCACTTCCCATGGAATGTTCCTCGCTGGTCGATTCATCCTCGGTTTCGGAGTCAGCTTTTGCTGTGTCAGTGCGCCATGCTATGTCTCAGAAATGGCGCATCCCGTATGGCGTGGAACGTTGACCGGTTTGTACAACTGCACCTGGTACATTGGCTCCATCGTCGCCAGTTGGGTTGTCTATGGCTGCGAAAGCATCACCTCCACGTACGGTTTCCGGATCCCTATCTGGTGCCAGCTTATCTCCTCCGTGGTTGTTGCAATTGGCACCTGGTTCTTGCCTGAATCGCCTCGGTGGCTCATGACGCAGGACCGCACGGAGGAGGCAATTCAAGTTCTCGCACGATATCACGGAGAAGGGGATGCCTCACATCCAATGGTCACCCTCCAGACCAAGGAGATGCAGCATCAGATTACCGTCAATGTTGCGGACTCCCGCAAGAAATGGTGGGATTACCGCGAGTTGTTCAACACGCACTCGGCTCGTCGCCGTTTCATTTGTGTGGCCGGCATGGCTTGCTTTGGTCAACTCTCTGGAAACAGTCTGACTAGCTACTATCTCCCGGTAATGGTCCAGAATGCTGGCATTGGGTCGGTCAAGACTCAACTCATGCTCAATGGCATCTACCCCGTTCTCTGTTTGATCACATCTGTCTCCGGCGCTGGTCTCACAGACCGTATTGGCCGTCGGCCTCTGATGATATACTCGCTTCTCTTCTGCTCTGTCGCGTTTGCCATCATCCTGGGGACCTCCAAGCTATCAGTTGATAACCCCACCAACTCCAGCGCTGCCAATACCTCCGTTGCGTTCATTTACCTCTTCGGCATCGTCTTCTCCTTCGGCTGGACGCCCCTACAAAGCATGTATATTGCCGAGACACTGACGACCAACACACGCGCAAAGGGCACTGCGGTGGGCAACTTGCTATCCAACATCAGCAGTGCGATTATCCAGTACAGCTCCGGACCCGCTTTTGAGAAGCTGAGCTATTACTTCTATGCGGTTTTCATTGCTTGGGACCTGATCGAGATGGTTGTGATCTACTTCTGGTTCCCAGAGACTAAAGAACGGACCCTCGAGGAGCTGGAAGAGGTCTTTGCTGCTCCAAACCCAGTAAAGAAGAGCTTGGAGCGCCGTGATATTGCCACCGTGCTGAGGACATTGGAGGTCACGGAAGTCAAAACTACCCATGGGGATGTTTAATCATGTAATGCTGGGCCCAAGGCGTTGTGTGCAGCGTGGAAAGGAGAACGGGCCAGGTCACAGATCAGGCCATTTCGTGTGCACAGTAATCGCCAGACCATGATTTCTCCATGGGCTACATCTTTAGTTTCCACGGCCCATCCATTGGCTTATGAGGAATCAATTAATGACACATTGAATGCTCCGGAATTTTTGGTACCTTGATTCTTCATAACCTGTTGCAAGATCATCATGCATATCTCCGCGGTAACCATATTCTGACAGCTTCTTCTCTCAACAACCAGTGGTATCCCGCGATCGTGCGTAGAGTGAACAGAAATCTTTTAAGAAGAGCTTATACTTGCGTGCATTAGCGAACTTTGAGTTTAACAGCCAATCAATACCTCGAACTCTCCTCTCCGTAGTGCACCTCGGTTAAATTAGCTCCGTTCTGCATGCGTGAGCATGCGGGGCCCCGCGCCAAGTCCAATTCTATTCATCCGACTTTTGCACCTCCCCCATTCCTCGACCTACTTGACGATCGACCACGATGATGTCCCCAGGGCAACAAAACGAGGGCCATAAGCGTAAACGAACTTCATTAGCGGTACGACAAGAAACCTTCCAGACTTACCGAGACGTGGTAGTAATGTGTATCCCTAGTGTGATCCTTGTCGGAATCGAAAAGTGAAGTTAGTCCACATCGCTAGGGTTCTTCAATTGGGATCTGCAGGTTGACTTCAACTAGATGTGACGGTCGCCGACCCTGCACAACGTGCGCGCAAATCGGAACGGATTGTGTTTATGGATCCGAGACCATCAAGTGCGTTCATGAGGCTGGGTGCTTTCATCACAGTCCAGCAGGCTAACCCAAGGCATGCAGTAAGAGCAAAAGCGACATGATTCTAGATGTTGCCATTCGGTCCGAAAATTTATTGCAGGAATTATTCACACAACTGGTTCGTTGCCATCTCATGGAATGGGATCAATGCCACATTTCGGTTACCTGAGGAACAGTTCTAAATCAACGCAGGCTGCCCGCCGCAGTCCAAGTCAAAATCCCTCTGCGATATCGCCTAATACGGTAATTTCACCAAGCGCGGTAAGCAACGCTCATCGTGGCGAAGGTCGTTCTGACCAAATCGCCAACGCCACACTATCACCGTTCCATGCATCAACCACCGAGTCAATCCTATCATGGCCCCAATTTGCGGAATTCGGAAACTTGATCAGAGAGCGTGGCTTTTCGGTTTTCAGCCTTGAGAGTCTGCGTACACCACTTGCTCATCGTCAATGTATGGTACAGCCTTATGTCACCAGGCAAGAAGTGGAGAGCACGATCCGAAGCTTTGAGCGTGGTATCAACTTTTGGTATCCGACCATGGCCCGGGCCACGACGCAGGAGTTGCAAGCACATATCATAGCGGGTACATTTGAAGAGACTACACGGTCATGTCTGTCACTTTTAATCATGGCTTTGGGCTACGCCTGCCAACTAGTCGGGTGCTTCGCGCACCGGGAATTATCTAATGCAAGCGAAGCAGATAGCCAGAGACAGCGGCGGCTAATGGCTGAGTTATACTTCGATAGCGCTTTCAAAAAAATTTATTTAGCCCAGGCGGGGTTCACGGCCGATGCAGTACAATGCTTATTCTTTACTGGGTGAGAAATCCTTCATTCAATTTCATGCTTCAATCAACTAATATGGAACTACAGGCTGTACTTTTCATTTTTGCAACGGCCACTTCAAGCCTGGTCATTTATAAATGCAGCTGCAACTAAATGTCGGCTTCTTCTGTCTTATGAGGTCCCAGAGCAGACCCGTGAACAGCTGGAATGCCTTCGTCGAATATTTTGGTCCTGCTATATTCTAGAGAGGTGTGTACCTTCTTCCGGTTTCTCCTCTTCGGCTTTGTTTCTCCGTATTACTGACTCGTCACTTCAGTGACTTTCTTGCCGAACTTGCCGGTCTTCCTCAAACAGGGATTGCAGAAATAGAGTCCTCCATACCTTTACCGGGCGATTACTGTACGCAGGACTCCGAAAGCGACCAAGAACAATCGTCACTCTATTTCCTCGCTTGTATATCCATGCGACGACTCCTCAACCGAGTTCACGATCTTCTCTACGCTCGCGACGTTGGTGTTGGTTTTGACAATCACCAGTTTCCGTCTGTTGTCTCAGAGCTGGCTTATCAATTAGACGAGTGGAAAGACCTTTTACCATTTTCGTTTCAGTTTTCAATCAATTTGGATCCCACGCGAACGGAAGAAGGCGCGTTTCTTCGCCAGCGATATTTGACTTGCAAGAGCGTCATCTATCGCCCCTATCTTACCTGGGCCCTGTCTAATGGCGATGCCGTGGAAAGGTGTCCTCCAATTGTCTATGAGGGGTCCAAGCTTTGCCTTGAGGCCTGCTGGATGCACGCGCAGAATTTACGCAGCTTACCCCATACCATCATGGTCGATACGTGGATTTGCTCTCTTTCGTAAGTTTCACCTATAGCCAATCGATTCGCGATCCTAATCTGGTAAATTGTTTACAGCATGGCGTCGGTTATACTCATCACATTAGCCGCGTCTCGTGTCCGCGCCTTACGACGACTCATGTCACCGAGTGTCCTGGATATTGGACCGCATCTCAACGACCTTTTGACTCAATGGACGCGTATTCCCGGTGGTGGAACCTCGCCCAGTGTCATGGAGAGTATTGGCTTAATCGCAAATGTGTCCACTTTGTTGAAGATAACCTGGAACGAGCATGGTCTCAGTGAGTAGCTATATAACTAGGTCATTATTTTATGAAACCACAAATTGGAACTCAATCAATTCCTGTGTCAACTGTCTGCTACTTCTGCAACGGAAAGTAATAGAGAGTTCTTATAAATTGAGATATTGAGTTACAGCGCGTATCATATCGATGGGTGTAAAATCTTTGAGTTTAGGATATATCCGAGTTCAACATTCAGTGGTCCTATACAAGAAATATATATTGGTCTGGATTCTATAGGACCCCTCTTTATCTTAGAATATAAGCAAGTTGGGATGAAGAGGTAGCTTGGCTAAAATTAAGGGATAGGGAGATTCAAGTGAGAACGTGAAATCGGAAGTACTTTCTAAGTAGAACATAATATAGGAGAATTGAGCCTAGCCGAGAACTTCAGTTCATCAAAAGATCTAGGTAAAATTTATAAAAAAAGGTGAGAGCGAAATGAATAAGACATCAGAGAACAATCTCTTAATGACTAGTCACATTCGATTTAGATTGTATTTAATGTTCTCTTGTTCTTTATGTTTGGTCACTTCATTAGTAATTCATTTATGATAACTTAGTTAATCAGTTCTGATCTCTCAAGAAGAGTTATCTCTGGGAATCTAAATCGTATGCTTGATATTAGACCCCTGCCTCAAATTCTTCCTTGGCACGATTCTCCACCATGTCCCGAACAAAGTACTTGATCCGAATTCTGGAATATCATCGATTCGAATTTCCCTTTTCCAAGAATGGATCCATTTACGGTAATAACGGAAGGGGAACTCCTATCATGTGAGAATTTGAGTAATGCGAAGTCAAAACCGGATTCTTCTCCAACGTACCTGGCAACATTCTTCAAAATAGATCTGTCGAAGCTCGTGTCGTCAAACCCTGGCCATGGTGGCTGGTTCTGCTGCAGGGGCACCAAGACTCATTCATCGCCTGGTTTCTCATTATGATCGGTGAGCTTAGTGAGCTTGAGAATTGTGTGAACCTCCTCTAGCTTGAGCTCGCCCAGAGCGCGTGAGACTGTCTCCGTATTGTCCTTCCCCGCAAGATCAAGGGCTTGGATCATATTTTCGACCCCGCTCTGGTCAAGGTTGCTTGAACCTCGGAGCAAGTTCAGGGATTTCTTGGCAAGCCTGCGGATGAGCGAGCTGTTTTCAGCGGACGCATCGGTAGTCATTCGAGGTGTTTGGAGAGTGTTATCAGCCATAGTGAGGGAGTCGATCTCCATTAGGATGCTTGGCGGTCGCAGAAAGAGCCTGTTGAAGGTGATTATGAGCGGCTGGTCGCGGAGGAGGATAATAAATTGTAGCGCATTGTTGGGCTGAGTACGCTCCGACTCATCTTGATGGTGACCACAATCTGAACATGCCTCTCACAGTCTTGAAGGCAGAGCCAAGCGTCAAGGATGAGCTGGACTGACCGATTCCACCATCACGGTAAATAATAGAGTGGGTGGAGGAGCACTTTTACAAGGCGCCCTATTCTCAAGACAGCGTGGCAAGAATTCTATCACTCAAAATATAGTGAATGATACAACCCTGGAACAGATATATCAAGATATATCACCAGACGTAGTTGATTATCCTTTAACAATATTTAGTACTACGCATATATGGTGAATGATATCCAGGCCACCTCGAAATTTCACGCAGGCTCTTGAGAGCAGACTGAAAATTGAAACCCCCAGCCAATACCCCCGCAGTCGGATGTTGCAGCGCTAAAGTTGTATGTAGCGTAATGCATGGATATTCACCACCGGTCCACCTATAGGATAATAAGGCAAAACTGGTATGAACTCCATTGGTGACTCCGGGTATCCAGCACTTCGTAATGTATGTCCGCTTCAACAGCAGGGAGCACATAGGTACCACAATATGTACTTTACCCCGCTGAAACAGATGTATACTCCTAGAAACCTTGTCATTTGTCCCCGCTATTGATACAGGGGCTAGTCAGCCACACAAGCTCATCGAAGGATTTTCCGGAGAAATCTCAAATCCGCAATGTTTCAGTCGGGGAAGTCGGATACTCGACCCTCACCTTGGCAGGGCAAGGTCCCATCGAACCATTCTCAGGGCGTATACCACACCGCGTCATGTGCACTTTATCAATCTCGTCCGGCGGGGTCGTGGGGCCTACTTAGCGTATTGCGGGGCATGGCTCTCCACCCAGGAGCAAATTGGTCAATGACCCAGTGCCAGGGACCAACTCTGCAGAACTCTGCAGAATCTCCGCTTTCTCCACTATCCCGACATCCCCGAGAAGGTTCAACCAACTCAGAACTCATATTTTCGAGGCATTATGCTTGGAGATAAAGCTCCTGGAGCCCGTCATGGCTATGACTATCGCAACCCAATGAATGCTTTTATCTTGTGATAAGCCTGTTTCCTGAGACCGCTGTCCTCACTACCATCATCATGAAGCAGGCAATGAATGGTGATTGGCTCCTTGGTCTGGCGTTGATGGCCAGCACGTTACCAATCGTCACAGCCGACTTGACGACAACCATCAGTTCCACCACGAATTGGGGCACCTGGGAGGGTTTTGGCGTGTCCCTTGCATGGTGGGCCAAAGCATTTGGCACCCGAACTGATTTGGCCGACATTCTCTTCTCTACCAAGTCCACTACCTACAATGGACAGAGCGTTCCCGGTATAGGGCTCACCATTGCACGGTACAACGCCGGTGCCTGCAGCTGGAACACGTACAACGGCTCTGCTATGGTGGTGTCTCCCGACATGATCACCTCACGGCAGATAGACAGCTACTGGTTGGACTGGGCCAGCACTTCACCGTCGTCATCGAGCTGGAGCTGGAGTGTTGACGCCAACCAGCGCAACATGCTGACGCTGGCTAAAGCCCGGGGGGCGAACATCTTCGAGCTCTTCTCCAACTCGCCTACGTGGTGGATGTGTATCAACCATAACCCTTCCGGGTCCAATGATGGCTCCAGCAATAACTTGCAATCGTGGAACTATGACCAGCATGCTATCTATCTTGCCACTATTGCTGAATATGCTGCAAGCAACTGGGGTGTGTCCTTCCAGTCTGTAGAAGCCTTCAATGAGCCGGTCTCAGCTTGGTGGAACGGCGAGACTGGAACTCAGGAAGGCTGCCACTTTGACGTCAGCACCCAGGCGACCGTGATTGGGAACCTCCGCACTGAACTGAACAGCCGGGGGCTCAGCTCAACCTTGATCGCAGCCTCGGATGAGAACACCTACGACTTGGCTGTTTCCACATGGAATAGTCTTGGAAGTACGGCTACGGGCAAAGTCGACCGCATCAACGTCCACGGATACCAATATACTGGAGGACGGCGGGATACCTTGTACAGTCTGGCCTCCGGTGCTGGAAAGCGGCTGTGGAACAGTGAGTACGGCGAAAGTGATGCTACAGGCCAAAGACTCGTCACCAACCTGCTTCTCGACTTCCGCTGGCTTCACCCGACAGCATGGGTATACTGGCAAGCAATTGATGGCGGCGGCTGGGGCCTAATTGATGGAAACAATGACAATGTAACGCTCGGTGCCGTCAGCCAGAAGTACTACGCGCTGGCGCAGTTTGCCCGTCACATTCGCCCTGGTATGCGCATTCTGGACGGCGGAAGCAACTACACTGTAGCGGCATACGACTCCTCGGCACAGAAGCTGGTCATTGTTGCTGCAAACTGGGGTACGGCCCAGTACCTCAACTTTGATCTCTCCAGCTTCAGCACGCCTGGGGTCAGTGGCGCCTTGGTCCCGCGATGGAAAACACAAGTCGGATCTGGCGATCAATATGCCAGCTACAGCGATACCTACATTAGCGGGAGCAAGTTTTGGTCGTATTTCCCGACGGGGGCGGTGCAGACCTTCGAGGTATCGAACGTCACGTTGTAGAACGCCATGTCTATATAGCCACCGTTCGATTTGTCAAGGACTGAAGATCACTGGAATCTTACTGAAGTTGTGCTTGACAACATACATATAGTAGCATGATAGACTTATCAAGCAACTGATATCTATTTGGCTACTAATATAATGTCTTCATGCTCAAAGTGTCCTCGTTGATGATGGGTATTCGAACTCAGAATCAACTAACCAGTGATTTCTCAAATCTAGATCGTCATCTTGATGAGCGCGTTGACTACTGTCGACTTGTTTTACTCGATAAAGTGACTGGTCGTCGCCCCGTGTTTTCACAGTTGATCGAGATCTCCTCGCTATGTGTTTCACCCAGCCACGATGACACCAGCAAGGGGGAGTAAGCAGCACTTATTGCTCAACATTCTATTGATGATTAGTGGGTGAGATATTGAGAATTAACATAGCGAATTCTCATCTAGGACCATTATTATTGACCTTGCTAGTCGACGAGGACCTTAAATGAGGGGCTTTGGTTGCAAGGTTAGTGCTACACCGCAGGTTGAAGGCCCCCTTGTGAATATACGCTACGATCGGTACACCGCTACCTGGAAAAATAAATCATAAGAAGGCTGTGACTAAGCGACACTTCAGTGTCTGAGTTTCCCGATTTCTGGATCTCGTAGGAAGAAGATTGAACTCAAGGTTCTGTCTATCCGTGGGATGGTGATGGGGCAGGGATCGGGCCGCGACACGCTTCAGCCAACTCAAATCAGCTTGACCACAAACGACGTCAGGCCGATCGGACACCCGCCCTTTCTGATTCGCCGCGAGGGTGGTGATTTATCGAAATAATGAAATAATAAAGATGTCTGACTTGTCAACCTCTTCTGTCTCAACCCTCCCTATTGGCCCGTTGGTTGGGAATCGCGGCGTGGGAGGCTGGGGGAGGCTGGGAAGCCCACCAGCACGATGCTATCCAAACAAAAGCCTGCTGGGCTGCAATTCTCGTCCATTCCATATCCTCATTGACTGCCCAAGCTCCATTACCTCGCCGAGGAATGCTTCCAGAGTGAAACTCTTCGAGACAGTCGAAGATTTACCCACATTCCGCACCTGTCATGTCGGACTCTCCTACACCTCGCAATTTCAGTCTGCGAAACGTGAGCGGTATGTACAAACAACGATGGCTTTAAGTATAGCTTGCTGTTCCAGATGAAAAATAGGATCAGAAAGCTTCGGTTTTATGAAATTGACTGACTCTTTCACAGCAAGCAAACCTCAAGTCTTTCGCACTGAGTCGCGGCAATCTGTTGCTGCATCAGACGACTACTATTCTTTCTCGGACCGGACAGCGTCATCCACTCCGGAAAGTCGTCTCACAGCAATGCGCTTTGAAACTCCGCAATCACACCACTCTTCTCAGGCATTAGATCCTACGGGGCCTACGACGCAACAGTCGCAACCTCACGCAATGTCCCAGTCCACTCAACACTACCAACAACAGCAACAACTCGCGCCAGAGGACCTTGGTTCACCCCGCCCCGGTACAGCCAGTACAGTCCGCTTCGGAGAAGACCGGATTGTTCATATCAGCCCTAAATCAGATGATACGGTCATGCAAATCGCAAATGACTACGCTGGCCCGGCACCCACGCCCGGCCTAGACGACTCGCCCTATGTTCGCTTCGCTATAGATCAACTAACCCGCGATGAAGATGTCGGGGTTCCTCAAAGACATGACTCAGTCTCGACCAATCAAGACTATCCGACTGATCGACTAGTTTGGGATCAGGGACTGGGATATTTCACTCGTGCCCGTACACCCATTCGACACACGGAAACACCACCAAGACCGAACTTCAAATCGCCATCCCCTCAAGCTCTACCTCAGCGGCCAGACTCGATTGACCCTGAGTCTTTTGTGGCAGTTGATCCTCCAGAGCAGAGTCTGCTCTACCCACCTTTGGACTACCTTCCTATGGTTCTGCGACCGTGGGCTTTGCTCGGTTTGATATTCTGCTGCCTCCTCATGATCGCAGCCGTGGTGTTTTGCAACATCTGGTCCCATCGCCACCAAGGCCTCTGGGACTATAACGGTCAGGGCGGGACTCGATACTTTGTCATGCAGTTCCTCCCTCAACTTCTGGCAGCACCGATTATAATTTGGACTTTTATTGTCCAAGCTGCTGTATACCGAATTTCTCCATTTGCGATGATGGCGGCGGAACGGAAACGAGGATCCATCTTGCAAGGCTTGCCCATTCTCCCACGAAACTTTGTTTTCCCTGATTTTTCCCATTTCCGTTATGGGGAACCCCTGTTTGGATTCTCGCTTGCCACGATTTGGCTATCGAATTTCTTTGCTATACCCCTCCTCAGCTGCATCTTCCAAACCAAGTACTATGTCATTGATGGCCAAGGAGCATGGAGATGGACCTCCGTCCAGGCTATCGGCTGGACGGTAGTGGCAGCATATGGTCTTACTGTCATTGGTTTGCTACTGCTTGTAATCCGATTCGTTCGAGGCTGGACTGGTCTGATGTGGGATCCAATTTGCCTGGCCGACTTGATTTCCATCATTCAACGATCCAACATACTTCATGATTATGAACATTCAGAGACCGTTCCATCAGTGAAACAAACTCTTGATCCCCGTGTGCTTCGACTTGGATATTGGAAGCTATCAATGAAGCCCGAGATATTTTACGGAATTGGTGAAGTGGATGCTCCCATTCGGACCCCTTCGTTGCACCAGGCCGATAAGAGCCGCGAGAAACAGCCTCATGGCATGGTCAAAGTTCGATTTGATCCCGAGCACAACGGCGCCTTTGCTAATTATCCCTTTGATCACCACCTATACTCCCCATCTACTCGTTACCGCTGGGCGCCTTGGTTCCTCCGCAAGCCCTCCGTCATCGTGTGGACGATCATTGTGTTTGCGCTCTTCATTGCCTTTGTTGCTGTCAGCTTCGTGAACAATGCGATCGAGGGCGGGTTCCCGCCAAAGCTACCGACTTTGCCATCCATAAGTGCATTCTCCTCCTCAAACTTCCTCTACAGCTTCATACCAGCGGTAATCGGAAACGTCTTGTTCCTTGCATGGCAACCGATTGACATTTATTTCCGCGCCCTCCAACCCTTTGTCGAACTTTCCGCTCCCACCGGCGCATCCGCCGATAAGAGTCTCCTCCTTGCCTACCCATCCTCCCTCCCCTTCCAAGTCACCCTCCAGGCCATCATCAACGGACACTTCAAGGTAGCCTGGCTCTCATTCATGAGCCTTGTCTCTGTGGCAATCCCCATCCTCGCCGGTGGCGTATTCATTGCGCTCTGGTACCCGGATCACGAAGAGGTCCGTATTTCCTCGCTGATGCCAGCCTACTACGCCCTTATCGCGTTTTGTGGCCTTTATGCCGTCTCATTCTTGGCAATCTGGCCTGGTCGTTGCCGCTACCTCCCACACAATATAACCACTCTCGCCGATCTCATGAGCTACTTCTATCAATCCCCCCTTCTTGCGGACAAACTTCTCCGTGAACCGCGCAGCAAAACCGATCTTGTCACTCGTCTTATTGTTGCCCCTCCCTCTGAGCGAATGTTGCCTATGTATGGCTTTGGAATTTACGTCGGCCGCGATGGAAAGGAGCATCTTGGTATTGATCGCTTCCATCGACCTGGCCGTACGGATATGTTGATTACGACTGGAACGATGAAAACCTGATGTTACTGCATTCTGAGTTATGCTCCCCGTTATGATATACGATCTGCATTGCTTCGCTATGAGCGATTGTTCATTTTTCCTGTTTTTCTTTGGGACCTGATCTTGCTATGTGATTTATCCATCCAAAGCTGCGTTGATGATACGTTTGTGATTTTTTTTGCCTTTGAGTCTGCGTTTAAGTGGCGGCATTCCTGGCGTTAACTGACTTCTTTTTTCCCATTGACCTCCTTGATGTCTAGAAATCTAAAAGATGGATCTTTCAGGTAATAGAATAATGATATAAATAGCGAATTCAATTCCCTTGTGATGAAGCACACCTATATTTTAGCTACCAGATATGCATTCATTTGACTTGCTAGCAATTGATGCATGCTTCCAATCCACAAGGTAGAGCAGCCGGGAAGAAGGAGAGGTTGTGTTAGAGGTCAGATGACAACGTAGGTAAACAAGCGAACGATGTTCCGACTTGGTAAGGGGCTGGAAGGAGAAGGGCAATAGCAGAGATAGAGTGGAAAATGGCGATGTTTGGCCCAAGATTCCCATGTCAACAGAGAAATTCGGGTCTTGTCAAGCTCCATAGCAGCTTGTCGTTTTCCAGGACGACTGAATGAGACAAATCCTTTCATCAAAGATGTGCCTTCGGGATCTTGCTGTTCTGAAGTGCCACACGAAGGGGCCTTCCCAGAATCTTTCCGCTGGGGCTTTTGGGAATCTCCTTGGCAAATGAATCCCCCCACGAAGTCTTTTGAAATTGGAAACTTTAGATTTAAGCCAGGAGTGAATTGGAGTCTTTAGAGCTTTCTGATCCGCCAGATGTTGATCTTTGAGAAAGACGAATGCAACCGGGACCTCGGTCGCTTGTTCCTCCACCCATTAACCAACAACCGCTGCGTCCTGGATACCGTGATGATCAAGTAGTACGGCTTCCAGCTCATTCAATATTACCTGCGAACCGTGACACTTGATCATTTTCTCGATGCGATCGAAAATGGTGATAAAGCCCTCATAGTCAATTGTCCCAATATCTTCCGTTCGGAACCAAAGAGTCCCATCTGCCTCGGTGTGAAAAGCGGCTTTTGTCGCCTCTGGATTCTGAAAGTGATTGTCAAAGTCCGGTTGTCCACTCAGCGGTTACGCATATGCCCACGTGACCTGGATCGACAGGGCTCCGCCTCCGCAGATTTGCGGCGCCCTCAGCATTCTCCGCCTGAAGAGACAAATCCCTCCTTGCTTGATTCAATCTATCAACCTCCCTCTGTGTGATATCCAATCTCTGATACAAGGATAACTCACAGCACTACCGTTTCTCTCTCCCTCATTTCTTGCGCGTCAAGTCAATCCTGCCTATCCTGGACAACCCCGTCTCCGCAAACCCACGCACTTCTCCGACCCCGACCTCCAATAATGCTTTCCTACTTTGGATGGGGCTCCAGCTCCAAGTCAAACGCAGACACATCAAATCAGCAAGCACAAGAAACGCCGAATCTTGACCAGAATGCCTCATCATCAACCCTTTCTCAACAGCCACACTCCCAACCACCACAAATAGTGCAACAATCCACAACCCCCGATAGGACCAACCTCAAACTCTTCTGCGGTGGCGTGGCCTTCTTCGCCCTCTCTGTATACATCACACGTCGCGCCAACATCAGGAAACGCCTCGCTTGCATTCCTCCCTACTACTCCAGCTCGATATACTACCAGCCGCAGTTCAATGGGGCAATGGAGGCATTCGAGGCCCTCAATCTGGCTACAATCAACGTGATCTCATTCAGTATGATGGCCACGGGGGGTGTCATGTGTGCTCTGAATGTCAATAATCTTGAGGATATGCGCAAGATCATGCGTGGATCTCTAGAAGGGGTGGCGGCTGGCAAGTCTGACGAAGAGCTTGAGAAAGATGTTGCCGAGTGGGTGTCCAGTGTGCTAGGTGATCGGTTTGACAAGCAGCTGGAGAAGGAGAAGGCCAAGAAAAGGGCGGCGGGTCACAGCGAGGAGGCCAACTGAGTCAATTAGAGGGTTAGATCATTGTTTGAATACACTCTACTCATGGGTTTTGTACGAAACGGATTTCATTTTTTCAACCTTGTATCTTGTAATCTAATCTGATAGAAATATAGTCTTAGGTCACATATATTATCAAGTAGCTTACCACGGTATAGGTCATTATTGAAAAGGATAAAAAAGCTGGGTGGTTTCTTGCAGGACGATAGGCGGTATTTCATCAATATTAGCATGGCTTTAGCAAGAACATAAGTTAGATGTGGGAAGTGAGATAGCAATAGGCGGGTAACTTTGACTGCCAAACCTCGGACACTCTTTGCACTCAGAATAGAGGGTTAGTATGAAGAAGTAGCGATATACTTGCACAAGGGTCAACCATGTACAGTATGTGAGGACTGGGAGCCGATTGATCTCTAGTTCCTTATTCAGGTCGATATCGCAGAGACTCTATGCATTTAGTTTCATGGCAGGCGACTGAAGAATATAGGCACACCTAATTTCGAGGATAACAAGTCAGTTATTCGTAAGTTCGAGTCTCATTCAACAAAATGTGATTTAATACAATGGATGAACCTCAGAGCCCTCGTCCCCATCTCAATATGGTTTACTAACATGTCGAAATGATTAAACGGCTGTTGAGGTTTGGGAACACCCTAGCCTCAGAACTTATAACCAAACCCTGAGTCACCCAGCATTTCGAAGTGACTCGCGTCCGGCAGTATCTAAAGAAAGATGAACTTCATATAACCAAGAAAGATGTTTGAATTGAACTGGAAGTCATTTCATCCTCCATCCGACTCCTATCAATACAAGCCATGGCCAACCGTGTCCGATCTTTTCCCCATCTGTGTTCCTCAAATATTCTCTATAAAGATAAACTGACCATTCCTCACCGATCATACATGACGTACGGCTATTTCGCATAGCTAATTACCCAAGGCGACTGCCAACTTAGCCATTTCAGCAAGTAACGGATGTTACTGGGTATTTGACGGGCTCGGCAGTCAGGCGCAAATGGCCTGTCCAAGTGCCATCGTGAGAGAAAGTGCAGCAACCGCGTACGGCGCCGTAGTTGTGGAGACGATTTGCGCATGTCTCGACAGCTGAAAGAATACTCTTCTTCTCGGCGGTCGTGTCGCAATTCTAGCCGCTTGCTGTAGCTTCGTAGGCATAACCTTCGAAATAGGTTCCGTCCGAGTCGGTTCCATAGGTCATGGTGCAGTAATTCGAGTTGGACTTTGGCTTGATCACATCGGCGATGAATTCGTAACTTGTAAGCGCAGATGAAGCGGCGATGATGGTGCTCGTAGTGGCGGCGAGGACAGTTACGGCAGCAACGGTTGTGGTGATACCAGTGCGTCTCGTGAGTGCAGTTGTGTCTTTGTAGAGCGTCACATAGTTTGCATTCACGAGGTCAAAGGTCACGGCCAGACTAGAACCTTCACCCGCTCATTTCTTCGGTGATCGGAATATAGTTCACTGTCTCATTTGCTCGTGCATATTCCGCAGAACATCGTTCAACAAGACCAAATGCGAGCAAAGAAGTGACAATTTTGCTTGGGTTGACCATTCTCCCGATGATACTCGAATAGCGACAGCACAGATATCAAGAATCAGAACAGCAAGAAACAGCCAGGTCTCCATGTCAACAAAGTGATATTAAAATGAAGTGAAGAGGTCTGAATTGGTTCAAAGTAACAAGGAATGTCGTTGTCTGGTGAGCAGCAACGAAACACCTCTTATATACTCGCGAAATTCACAGAATACATTAACCATGACCTCGGTTGCAGATAGCCAAGACGAGTGTAAAAGTTTTCCTCTTACCACTAGAGCTCAACTGAGGTATAAAATCTGCGATTAGGAGACCAGTTCCAGGTCTTCCAATCCGGAGAACTTCCGGGCCGGCCCATCTTTGTGGACCCATAATTGTGTCCAGTAGCGAACTCCAAATCGGGATGATAATTGGAGAAGCGAATTCATATCCACCAAGACATACAGAAGATTGCGCGGCTTTGATCAGTCAGTCCACTCTGCTGTATGTGATCTCTTTATCATTTTTTCTCCGTTGGTCTCTCTCTACGAATGGCTCTTATCCAACTTTTCTAACCAAATATCAACCACCAAAACAAGCAGATGGGTGCGAGTACGGAGGATCTCTCGCGTATGTATTTAGTAGTTGCTATCACCACATGCGTGTAATTATGAATTCTTGATGTTCGCATCTGCATCTAGGCTCTTAGATGTTGTTTTATCATAAAAAATCACGAGCACGAATAGCGGATCGATATCTTGTGGGTACCGTAGTTCTATCTAAGCCTCATGATGCGCGCTACTTCTATAGGCTCCGGGCATGCTAGAACGCCAGCATATCCGGTTTTTTGGTCTGTTCAGCTAATAGGCCGGGGCAGGCGTCTTGGAAGTTTTACTTGGTGTAATATATCGTTAAGTATTACAAACTGAGATTCTTGATTTCAAATTCACTGAAAAACAAGATTGAAATGATTCCAGGCAGTTTTGTCTTCTTGCCCTTTACTCAACATATTGTTATATGAGACTCCATTAGCATGAGGAGGCCTGAGGACATGCTTTTCTCTGGTCTCGTCTCTCACATTGGATTCAACTATCAGCCGCCCACACCCACTAATTAATCGGTTCAGACGCAGCAATCGGCAAGGTGAAAGTTTGGTGTCGGCTGAACGCACTGACCAGCGGATCTTGCGTCCTATGCTCGAAGGGGCTCGTCTGCGGTGCATTGATGCCGACTGCACCGGTAGGTGGGCCGAACATTTTGATGGGGGTCTTCGGTGAGATCGTTACGTTCCATCAGTAAATTGGACGTACCTTGTGACTATACGTACCAATTCCTATCCGGCGTGGGGTTTTTCTATCTTAGCTTTGTAGGGCACTCAGAGTCAGGCTCGCTGAGTAAATTTCAGCCCCGGAATCAGGTTCAAGAAATTTAATAATTCCACACTGCCAATTAATCAGTAGTATTGCTCATGCGTATAAACTTGCTCACAATAGCCATTTTGACGAAGATGGGTAAATAAGAGTGCTCCATTTTGTCCTTTAACCTTACTATCATATGCCTTGATTGGTCTGACTCGGAGAATAAAGGATGCATTATGCTGCAGTATAGCTCCGGTATAGCAACTTTCTCGTATCGCTAAACATAGATCATCTTAAATGGTTATTGTATAGCGAGGTAAAATATGTAGACAACGTTTTAGCACCGAATGGTTGCGAGCAGCATGCAATAATAATCTTTAAGTCTTAATAGGGATGGGTACGTCGTATAGAATGATTCACCTCACTTTGGTCCTATCTCTAAATGGTATACAGTCCTTGCCTAACAAGTAAGTTGTGGATGCTGCGACGAGACGGGTAGGATTTCTTCTCATCTTCCTTCTGTCTTGGACGATACCCTCCAAAAGCAGAAGGCAAAAATACCACTTAGCATAAACATCACCCCGGCAAATACCGCAAAGACAATCGTCATCCAAGGATCTTTGAAGATTGGGGAGATGGCAACTCCAAGCAGGGAGCTGACGGCCAATGTCAACATATATATCGCCTGTAGGAGAGATTTCATGCCCGCCGGGGCGCTGTTGTATGCCCACTCAGACCCGGCAACCGAGAAGAACGTCTCTCCGACCGCCCCGACCACGTAAATGGGCACTTGTAATGCCACACTGACATGGTTGGGTCCCTCCTCTAGTTTTCCATCAATCATGCAGTGTCGTGGGCTGTCGTAACACGGACCGGAGTCGTACACGATCTGCTGCACCCCCGCCGCGAGGGCCATGCTGGCTGCAATGCAAATAAAGCCGAGGGTCATTCTCACGGTCGGCCGGGGGTCGACCTTACATCGCTTCAAGACGGGATAGATAAATTTTTGCATTAGCGGGAGCACGAGTAGCACAGAGATGGGATTCAAGTTGCTCATCATGTCGTTGGGTATGCCGTAAGTCTGCATGGCGGCGGCCTGGGAGACGAGATTGGTTTGATTTTGGCTGAAACAGAGCCACACAATCGGATAAATAATCCTTTTCAATTTGGCTTAGTGTTAGCTTTCTTTTGGATTGTGAGTTAATCAACATACCAAACTCTACAAGCCAGAAGGGCAACCCGGAACTCGGAGACAAAGCCATCATCCCAGTCAACTGTTCTACCCAGTTGGCCTTGCTGATGGCTAGCTGTGGCGTTACTCAGGCTAAACTTTCCTGGCCAAATAGCCAGCCGCAGGATTTTGATCACGCGCATTAGTATACCTGCCTGCGGTTTATGATGGACTAAAGAAGAAACCCAGTTCTGTTAATTTAGCTTTTAACAAGAAATAGGCCATGCTTGAATCCATACCATATCGATGACGACTCATGAAGAAGGCAACCAGGGAGACAGCCAGAGAGCAAAGAGGGAGGAGAAACGCAGCCCAGAAACCATGGATTTTTTCCAACTCGGTGGATGCGATTCCTGAGAGCCCGCCGATATTAACACCCCTAAGCGTTCTTAATATGACGAGCCTAAGAGTCTTCATGACTATGTTACTCACCAGTAGTATATTCCATAAAGCTTGCTGATTGTCATCTCTCGGTCAATAACTACCGACTCGCCATTTGGGAGGTATTTGATTCGGGTTTGAGTCCTCTTCAATTGATCAGCTGCCCATGACAATTAGTGGTATTCAGGAATAATATATCACGTGTCGACGGCATACCCAGAAAAGGCGACACAGATGACTTGATTCCGCCAACCCCAATGCCAATCAGTATAAAGGCTGCGATGAGTCCTCCGACTCCCGCATTGTGCTGTAGTGATATCGGCAATGATGTGAGAAAGAGCAGTAGAAGTCCGGAAAGGTAGAAGCTACATGGGTTTAGTTAGATACGATATTTCAGTAGCCCCTGGTAGATGCAGCGCTCGCGTGAGAAACGAACCAAGAAAAAATGCAGATGGTAACAAAAGGCCCAAGGTAGCCATCCGCGACGATAGCAGCCGGGATGACAGTCGTATAACTCAAAACATTCAAGAAACAGATCAAGGCCGTAGCCTTGGACTGACCCAGCCCTAGTGCCCCGGGTCGGGAAACGTCATCGAGGGGGTTTTGAATATAGTTCTCTATCACACAAGTCAGCATATGATGAATCAATCGGCTGTGGAATACATGTCAGAGAGGGACACGAACGAAGTGGCCCTGAGAAAGCAAAGTATGTGAATCTTTCCATTGAAGAAAAGAGCACAACTAGCCAGGCAGCTGTAGGAATATGGTCGGCAACATGTCTGAGTGTTTCTAGTTGCGCTGGTGATGGGTCGACTGACTGCGTGGAGTCCACTGCTTGGGGGGTGAGCTTTTCTCCCATCGTGTTTGACAGTCCAGCAGTACCCTGTTTCTTCAGTTTAGGCAGCTAGGCTAGTGTCTTATAAGCATGGGACAGAGACGACCAATTTTTGAAAAAAAATACGCTCGATATTGCGTGCGGTCATACGGATTACCATTCTCTAAATTACACCATAATACAGATGGCTAGCACTGGTGGGATGGATACACTAGTTTCGGACTAAGATCTGCATTCAACAAAAGTCCGAGGCTGTTCAAGGTTACAGAATGGCCCCAATGACGGGCGTGGCAAGATAAAACAGCGTGAGATGTCCGATACCAGACGTATTTTGGGACATGAGATAAAATGGCTTCCAAAAATTCTAAGGGCTTCGTCAGACTCAATGAGCCAAATTCTTAGCACTTCCAATGTGATTGCAGAGTCAAGCTTCAAAATGAGAACCATTCACAACCAGATATTTCTTCCTCATTTCATCCTCGAATCGGGTACCACACTATACAATGTCATTATTGCTTACTCAACCTATGGGTTATTGAATGCGAAACGCGACAATGTGATTGTTGTATGTCATGGTTTCTCTGCGAGCACACAGGTTACGCACTGGTGGAAAGGAATGGTGGGCGCCAATCGCGCCCTGGATCCCAGCAAATACTTCATCATTTGTTTGAACGCCTTGGGAAGTCCATTTGGGTCTGCGAGCCCCCTGACATCGATCAACGAACAGCTATCGCTGGGACCTTACGGGCCTAACTTCCCTCTGGCAACCATTAGAGACGACGTACGGTGAGAGCTGCGATAAATTCATGCTCTCGGCTATATCGCTAACAACCTGCTTACCCTCCGAAGGATCCATAACGAAGTCCTCAATATTTTGGGCATCCAGCATATCCTGTGCGTAGTAGGGGGCAGTATGGGGGGTATGACAGCGTTGGAATGGGCCTACCTGGGTTCCCAGAAGGTCCGCTCCTTTGTGTCGATTGCTGCAACAGCCAGACTGGGTGCCTGGGCAATTAGCTGGAATGAGGTCCAACGGCATTGCATTATCAGCGATCCAGCATACAGAAATGGCCAGTACAGCCCATTGGCACCGCCCGTGTCAGGACTTATGGGTGCCCGAATGGCCGCACTCTTAACCTACCGGTCTCGGGACTCATACGAAAATCGGTTTGGTCGAGACCTAGCCATGGGTTATCGGGCCTCTCCCTTGTCTCCCGCCACTCCCGAGTCTGGTTCAATCTCAATGGACAGTGGGTCGTCTGAAGAAAATTTTGAAGACTCCCCCCAACCATTCCTCACCCAGACCTATATTCGATACAATGCCGGCAAATTCTGCACTACTTTTGATGCTAACTGCTACATTGCTTTGACGCACAAGCTTGACACCCATGATGTAACCCGGGGTAGAGTGTCCAGTACCTCGCAGACGCCAGTAGCTGATGCACTTAGTCAATTGACGCAGCCTGGGCTAGTGGTGGGTATTTCAAGTGACATGCTGTACCCGCTTCAAGAACAAAAGGATATGGCATCGGGTCTGCGAAACGCAGAGTATCGAGTGATTGTGAGCGATAATGGGCATGATGGATTTTTACTCCATACAGAAGAGCTCAACTCAATTCTGGAGGATTTTCTGTATAGTGTGAACAAACAAGTTACCGTGTTGGAACCATAAATAGTTATGCTATTGATGCATTTGGAAATAAAATAGGCCAGATAGCTAGGCATTTTAATGAAGCAATCCTATCCTTTGCATCCTCACCAGGGTCGGGAAGATACATGTTCAAGGTATCAGCAATATATTGTGCACCTCCGCCTTGTATATACATCGTTTATTGGTTTAGGCCATACTTTCCCCACTATTATGCCTCATTTTAATGGTATCCTTTGCCAGAGATCTATCTTTCATAGGTCGATCACTCTTTTCTTTTGGCTCCTTCACCGAGTCTTTGTTCGTCCGGTCATCATGATCACGATCTCTCAGGTCCATCGCCAATGAATGAATTGAAGCTACAGCATCTAATTCAGGGTAGATACCGGCTGCAATGGTAGGAGTCGTCTGCATCATGATCAACATCAAACACCTTTTTTCTGTCTCGTGGATTGAAGCATACCAGCATTTGTGCGATTCTTGCTTGAAGCAGTGTGACCTCGTTGAGTGAGTCCAATGTAAAAAGACTGGAGTATGAAGAGAAAAGTTACGTAGCATAAAAGTCTTCTTCGGCAGATCTATTGCACTGGGGCAGTCGTATTGTAAGTGGAGCCGGCCCCTCACGGACATGAACATATCTTCCTTCAAAAATCAATTGAAAGCCACTGATGATGCTGAAACCTCGGAGTTCCATGGCTGTCTATGAAGTCGCCATTTTTGACGCAAAGCATACCACTATTTTAGGCGCCCAATATATCACGCAAAAGGAATGCCGGGCGATGTGGCAACCTGTTGAACTATGCAATGTAACATCGTGTCCTTCGGCTCACTCTTCAATGTACTATCCGATGGCAGGTCAATTCCTGACCGAATGACAACATTAATCACTCAATGCCATGAACGGGGAGATCTTGTCTGGATTCATCCGGTCTATAAGCAGAATCTAGCTTGGCGGCTGTAACAAAACATCGACTACTGCAGTCAGCCGCTGATCTCCGATAATTGATTGAATTTTTCTTTAGTGGTATGACAAGATGATCAACAGTATCGAGAGTTGCTCAGAATCATGTTATTCTTCCGGGAATGAAAATTGCAATACAATACACCAATATCGTTCTCGTGGTAATTTTTCTGTCGTATGGAGACTGTACGCAGCTTCCGACCTCGCCAGCTAGCCAGCAGAAGGTCTACCCGACTAGTGAGAAACCCAGGGGTATATATTATCTGATTACATGGAGTATATGATGTGGCGGTAATAAGACTGCAACCCCGCCCTTCAATTTGTATTCATTCCAGGGGATAATTGCTTCGTTTATTGTCTTTCATATCTACAGATAACTGCAAACATTCATCCAGACTCCCAAGCCATTCATCATGACTCAAAACGGGACCTCTCAGGTCGAGGGCATTATCCTCGAGTTACTCGAACTCATTCAAAAGCTATCAGCTTTCTCCTCCTTTACTCCATCTCCTGAATTGGACGATGTTCTGGGTCAGATCTCCCATATTTGTCACCAGTCCAATGTATCCGTTAGTCAAGAGGACGAGGTAAGTGGCCAATCTTCTCTCCTGAGAGCAGACGTCTCTAATTGTACTTCTTCAGATTCTGAACGACCCTCGTATCACTGAATCCATCCACACGCTGCGGACACTATGGGGTCAAGCTGCGGGAGCTCTAGAGGACAGTTGGGCTGAGAAGATTCTTGCATCCAAAGACTCGGACGATGGTGATTGAAGACCTTCCCTAAATCAACAATTGTCCATGTCACAACAAAAACTAACAACACACTCAGCCAAATCCCTCCTCGCCAAATATCCTCGCATCCAGAACTACAAAACAACTATTCCTATCGAACTGGGGGTCATCAGTATTGTCCTTCAGCGATTTCCCTCGAAGGTGGCCATGCTTGGGAGCGGTCCACTGCCCCTAACTTCCCTCAGTATCAAAGACTACGCCATCGAGAAGAACTATCCACTGGATATTCTCAACGTGGATATTGTCCCTGAACGGATTGCAGCGTCTACGCAGATCTTCAAGTTACTAGGTCCCCAATACGACACCATCTCACATCACGTCTCTGATGCTTCGGGCTCCTCTCTCCCAGACTTGACCGACTCTGATGTCGTATACCTGGCGTCCTTGATTGGAGTGACCAACGAGGAGAAAGTGGATGTCTTGGCGAACGTAGCCAGGCGCATGAGCAAGGACTCGGTGATTGTGATTCGCAGTAGCAGTGGCTTAAGTCGATTGCTGTGGCCGGTAAGCTTACTTTCCTGTGCTCCTTCTCAAGGTGAAGAATTGGTCAAAAGACGAGACTAATGCTCTGCGATTGGTAAATGAAGAACCTTGAAGTGAAGGATTTCGCGCGTATTAGCGACTTGGTGGAGCCTTCCCTGGCTGCCCAGCCATTGAGTGGCCCTACAAAACATTCCGTTGTTGTTCTGCGAGTGGTTGGGTGAACATGGATGTGTGGCATTCAATGACAGAATTGAAAGCGTCGTAAGATCACGCCATTATTGGCGGAGATGCTGCCACTAGAGCGAAATAGATTTGTATACCAAATTGAACCCAATTTATCAATCGGCGATGTTACATGCTTAGCGTCAAGGGTCTACAGAGTAAACCAGATCCAGTTAACCAAAAAAAACTAGGATTCATTTGCTGACGGGCTTTGCGGTTCAGGCCGAGCAGTAAATATCAAATTTTCCTCGGTTTATTTTACGTGTCTCTTAATGTAATTGAACCTTATTTACGGAAGCGAGTGAATATGATCAGGGGTTTGGCATGGTAGTGGATCATCTGCGAGCCGAGAACAAAGAAACGTTTATGTTCCTCCGATTCTAGAACAAAGTCGTGTTATTACCCCTCATCCTCCGCGGCTTGAGACCGGGATCCGGTGTTGCAGTCCGAAGCCCCGCTAGACTGTGGTCATATTTATCCCAGTTTTCGCTTCTTACTCTTCTATTTGACCCATCACCACTGAGATTTCGAGCTCGTGTCCGGCCTGACAACAAGTTACTCATTCCACTTTTGGCACTCATCATCTCATCCGTCGATGTAACATGCTTTCGACTCGTGGAGAAGCATATGCCAAGGCAGGCTTGGCCGATGGTTATATCGGCCCCCGCAACGCCCAATTTGACAAAGATACCAAGCAGGGTGTTGTGTCTTTCAGCAATGCTGAGAATGTAAGCCAGCCCCAACAGCCTCCTTGCCAATTTCCTAAATGACGGACGTGCATATATTAAGTCTTACGGTGGTAGTTTCTAATGCAGGACGTCATGCTTGATTATATTCGCACGCAGGTGAAGCCTTGAACTCCCAAACTGTACTCATCATACGGGGAACAAGGTCGGCTAAGGCAATGGATGAACACTATAGGTAGTACCAAGCCTCGACAGCACGAACCTCACCTACCATGAAGGTCCCTTCGGCTCGACCCGCCTCCGAGCCGCCATGGCTAATCTAATTGCGACCTACTTCCGCCCCGCTATGCCAATCTCACCTGAGCACATCGTTTTCACAAATGGCGTCACGAGCCTCAATGCCATCTGTGCTCTGAGTCTCACCAACCCCGGCGACGGAATTTTGCTAGGGCAGCCCATCTACGGGTCCTTCACCGGAGATCTCCGCGTCCCGTCAGACTGCCAACTGATCTACACTCCTTTCCACGGGGACGATCCCTTCAGCATAGACGCCGTGGCTCGGTATGAAGAGACTTTTGTCAAGGCAAGGGACGAGCTCGGGGTCGCAATACGAGCTCTCCTGATCTGCAACCCCCACAACCCGCTGGGCCGATGCTACTCTCGCGAGACCTTGGTGGCCCTACTGCAGTTCTGTCACAAGTACCAGATCCATCTCGTCAGCGATGAAGTATACGCGCTCTCGGTGTACGAGGAAATTGATCCTACTGGCGGCTATGTCTCTATTTTGTCGATCGATCCCGTCCCGCTCGGGGTAGATCCGGCCCTAGTGCATGTGCTATACGGGATGTCGAAGGATTTCGCCGCAGCGGGGTTAAGACTGGGATGTTTGATTAGCCAGAATCAGAGGTTCTTACAAGCGGCTTTGTCGTTAAGGTAAGTATACTCCGTGTTGTGTTGTATTGGCGGCGGGCTAACTGGTCTAGTCGATTTCATTGGCCTTCGAATGTATCCTGCAGTATTGCCACGGCTATTCTCGAGGACCGAGATTTTGTGAAGACCTTTCTTCAGAGAAGCCACCAATTACTTCGCTCACATCGGGATCTAGCGGCGCGAGTTTTGGAGGAGGCGGGGATCCCTTTCTCGAAAGGCGGGTCGGTGTTCCTGCCCCCACGTTGCAGATTTTCAAAAAATGTCAGAAACTAAACTTTAGCATCCATCGATTTAGTGTTGCGGGATTTTTCCTCTGGATTGATTTGTCCAAGTGTTTGGATGATGCGATTGCGACTAGCCAGGGAGGGTGGGCTGCAGAGTTGGATTTGTCTCGCCGGCTGCGACATAGTGGGGTGGTGATGTCGTCAGGGTATGCCTATCATAATGAGGTTCCAGGCTGGTTCCGCGTCATCTTTTCGGTGGAGGTAGAGGGCCTGAAGATGGGTTTGTCAAGGTAAGTGTATTCCACGTTTGTGACGCGGGTGGGTCTGTACTAAAAAATGGCGTTTCCAGAATTATCCAGTTGTATCACGGCTCGGGGGATCGTCTGGTTTCCGGTTGACTCCTGGGTTTTAATAGATGTTTATGCAGAAATTGTGTTTAGTGATTGGAGAGAACGAGCTTATTTTGCGTGAACAAGATGTTTCAACCATCCCCTTCCACACTGAACCCGTCACATGAAGACACCTACGACGCCGAGGCTAAGGGAAGAAAATACTCAGAAGGTTGAAGCAAAGAATGGAATTGCAAAACAGAACTGTAAAACCAAGGTCGGGAGAGATCAAAAGAAGGTTTCTTCATTCACAGATCAGATAAGGACGGCCGTGGTCAATTAGTTAGTTAAAGTCGGAAAACACTGCTTAGTAAACCATACTCCCCAGGGCATGATAACTAACTAAGTGACCAACAAACGCGGATCTATAGTATTTCCTTCTTCCGGTCTGCACCCTGCCGTGTTCCAACACATCACACGTAGCCACGTAGCCGGGGTCATGTTCAGTCGGTGAACTGGCCGGTGACTTCAGAACCAAATCCCCTGTAACCGCCTCGCAAGGAAAATGCCTCGACGCCCTTGGCACGTAGAATACTAGCCGCGATTCTGCTCACAGCCCCATCATAACAAATTAGGAGCACACGCCTAGCCTCTTGTGGTTTTCCATCTTCCTTGGAGAAGATCGAAGGATTGTCATGGGACAGAATTCCATCTAACTCTTCCCATTGCTGCTTCAAGATCCTAGGATCCTTCCATGGACTTTCCGTCCCACCCGATAGCGAATGTAGCGGAAGATTAGTTGACTGCTCGACATGCGACGCGTGGTAGTCTGAGTCCGCACGAAGATCAATGATGTTGACCGGGGGGAGAACATTAGGCTGATTGGCATTCTCAACAGCGTCCTCCTTTTCCAGATGTGGTCCTGATCCATTGGCGCGTGACCGGGTTATATCAACACCGAGATGAGTGGGTAGGTCCAAAGGAAGGATTTCCCATTTGCTTTCATATGAATAGGTGTCCACTTTCAGGAGAGACTGGGCACGGTCGTCAGCTGGAAAGAAAATAAGTCACAAAGGTTTGTTGCATCTACCTCGTTCTCAATCGACGGGAAATGCTCAGCTCCAAGCCGGTCAAAATATTCGTCAAGATACTGATAGGGTAGGTCACAGCAGAGGAAAGCGCAGTGGGTGAGCCCATCGGGGCCTTGTAGTGAGTGGAGACTTTGAGAGGAAATCCGCTGTTTGAGAAATCGTAGTAGTGCTGTATGAACATAAAACCACAAGGTGCATTTATTTCAGCTTCTGGCCTTTGCTTGGTGGTATGTAAGGATGTGCGACTTACCGGTATATTGCATCCCGGAAGAAGGACCACAGATAATCCCTTCCCTTGACAACTTCACTGAATTTAGAAATGCATCCTCAGCATTGACCTCTTCGACGGCATCCACTGTGTCTCGCCAGGGAAAATCAATCCGTTGGATCATCGAATACATTCGTGGTCCGGGTATCTCATTTCCGGGGGCAATGCATACGCTTTTTCATGGCGCGGTTAACAAAAGGATAGTCTTTTAGAGCGGACGAAAAGACTTACCCCAAACAGAAAACAGACTGCTTCTCACTTTTCAGGTACGTTCCCAGTCCACTCATGGTTCCAGTGGTTCCCATTGCGGCACAGATCAGGTTAATCTGTGGTAACTGCTTGAGGATCTGCGGGCCAGTCCAGATGGTGTGTGATTTCCAATTCTATTGACGAGATGGCAAAATTTAGTTCATACATGGCAAAATGCTTCAGCCTGGCTGATTCTTCGAAACGAAGTACATTAACAACATACCGCGTGGTTCTTATACTGATTCGGGTTCAGAATCCTTTCACTTCTCCGGGCTTCCTCCTCGGCCGCATACACGCCCCCATATTCATCATCTGCATCAGGTGTAGAAGGACCTCCGAACAGTTTTCTATCAACCTGTCAATGACAACGACATCTATGCGCTCAATTCTCCTAACTTACACTTTCAGCCCGAAGAACTGCATCAGTCGGAGCTTGGTTAAATGGGTTTTGTTGCTGAGGTACGCCCGGGTATCTTGAATGCCATAATAAACACGCGACAGGATACCCAGGGAGATAATGGTGGAGCCGGAGCTATACTCGATGATGGTTTCCGTAGTTGAGGGATTGACCCCGTCTCGAAGAAGGTTGAGCGCTGGGAGGGCTTTAACATTTTGGGCCGGCAGGGCGGTCATGATCTTCGCGTATATTCGAACTCCATTGTCGTAGTAGGGATTCAGTGGAGGAGGAAGCTCTACCAAAGGAAGCGGAGGACTAGCGTCCGGGTTATGGTAGTCCTGGAGACTCTTGAGACCGGTGTAGATGTTGAGGGGATTCGATGACATGGTTTGCACGGAGATGTGAGAGATAGAAGGGAGTGGCGGTAGTCACTGATCGGTTTGTGAACTTCCAATGTGGCAAGACCGGACTATGTATTGAGTTTCCTCTCCTACTGCAGAGATATAAGCCTTTGATGCAGAGCGTATAGATGGTATATGCTCGAGGGCTTGGCGTTGTATGAGTTTCCTGTATGGTTATGTTTAGGTATTATGAACAGAAAATTACTAGGCCACAGATTTACGATATTTACAGCTCCTCGGATACTGTTGCAGTACTCATGTAGCAGTGAGATCTCCGTGGGGGCAGAAAGTAGGGCTACAGTAAGAGTGGCGTCGACTAGCTCGACTAGCTTTGCATACGCTGAAGAAAGAAGCTGACAGGGGCAATGACGCGAGCACTTAGGCTGACACGGCTTCTACTAGTCATCCGACATTACATCTAGCAATGACCAATATTGACAGCTCTGGTTATTTGATTGAATCAAGGTCAAATTAAGTTCAACCTTTATGTGATCGGTGCCAATTCACTTCCCAGAATCCGTTCAATCAAGTCAAGTGTCGCTTCCGAACCATGCCCAGCGCAGTGCAGCCATCGTCCCAAAAGGACCTTATTTATCTTTCGGACGAACAGAAGAAGGTCACTGTGAACTGGAAGTTGAGAAGAGTTGAAAAGTCAGACTTCTTCGAGATCATTACCGTTCCAGTCCATATCGTAGATAATCACTATGACGCTCGAGAGGAGAGCAATACACTTCAACAGTACGTCAAACTTACTTAGCTTCCTCAACATCAAGCAGCGCACCCCATCTAACTTGATACTACAGTGAAATCGCACCATTGTGCAGACTGGTGAAAGAGTATCTTGCTGGGTCGCAACGGAAAGGCGACGCCATCTTGCAGCTTATTCTTCCCCTTAGAAGGGGGTTTGGGGCTCGAGGAAATGCATTCCGTGACCAACTGAACGTCTACGGCTCATCTTTAGGATATTTGGATCATTCCGAGTTCGCGAAAGAGTACCAACCGCCGACCCAGCAGATGGCAGCCACTCTTGCCGATATTATCCCTTTCAGTGTATGCACGGTGCTGGTGGATCCAAGCCTCACTAATCAATCTGGGATACAATTCAAGTTGTTCGAAATAGTTTCCTTCCCATGGATTATGCAGGAACAACCGGAATGGAAAACATGCGCCCTCGTTCACGGCCGCGACAGCATCGAGGCCTTCCAGCCCATTGGGGAAACGGCCCACGATCTGGGGATTAAGCTGATTGTGTTGGATTCTCCCGGCCATTGGCTCCTTACGAGTCCCCAGTACAGAAATCTGTACGAGGAATTCGAGCCAATCGATATGACAATCGACGAGGATTTTCCGCGGAGGATTGCAAACGCCGTTCAGACGGTGGCCACACGCAGAGGACGTATTGACGGCATTTGCACTGTCTCTGATCGTTGCCTGCTACCTGTTTCCAAAGCCGCCACAGCACTTAATATGCCCACCGGTCCACCTTACTCATTTGCGACTGCCATCGACAAAGCCGCCAGCCGCCAGCTCTGTGCAGATGAAGGCATATCCTTCCTCTCTGTCCGGCAACCCGCCGAGTTAAGGAACCATCTCAAAGCTGGCACCTTCCATGCACAATACCCGCTCATCGTTAAGCCTTCCACTGGATGGAGCTCGGAGCACGTTTTCCGCGTTAAAGACGAGGCGGAGCTTTGCCTGGCCGCAGAACGTGTCGCAACACGGCGCAACACCAAAATCCTCATTGAGCCGTTTGTCGACGGGCCCGAAGTGGACGCCAATTTCGTGCTCTGTGACGGAGAATTGCTCTTTTTCGAGGCCTCGGACGACTTTCCCAGTCCCGCGGATGGTCCCGGGGCTGGGATGGAGTCGAACTTCTTCGAGACCGCTAATGTACTTCCGTCGGCTTTGCCGCAGGTTGAGGTTGATCGGATCCGCGATCGTCTGTACCGGCTTCTACTCGACATGGGTTTCCGAACGGGTGTTTTCCACCTCGAGGCGCGGGTGATCGACTCCTCCATGGAATTCGCAGCAGGCCAGGATGGGATCCTTGATCTTCGGCCTCGTTTTGTCACTGAACAACAACCCAGGGACGGGTCAAATCGTGCGAAGTGTTTCTTGATTGAGGTCAATCCTCGGCCCCCGGGCTTTCAATCTGTTTACGCCACTCGCTTGATGTACGGGGTCGATTACTTCGCTTTGCACCTGCTCGCGGCGGTTGGAGATAATGCGCGCATTCGGGGGCTCGGACAGTCATTCTGGGACCGTATACCCATCGTCTTTCCTTCATCAGTTGGTGGTCCGGAAAAAGGATTCTGGTGCAGCATCGTGTTTATTACCGGGAATAAAGGTGGAATATGTGACTCCACAGATCCGGTTTCAGATTTACTCGCACGATCGCCTTCCCTGAAACCGTTTATCTCGACCGGTATGTCATTTTTCAAGAAAGGCGATGAGATTCCGCATGCGACGCCAGAAAGACTGGTGTTTCTGGGGTTCTTCTTGGTGTTGTCATGGTCAGCACGTACGGATATAATAGATGTGGCACAACAGATTCGGAAGGAGTTTCGGATGGCCATCATTTGAAAAATCGTGATATCTAGTAATCTCTGATCAGCTGCACGGGTGTTTTCCAGCTAAAGGCTGTGCTGCCTAGTCTTTTAGATCAATACATATCATCAGAGGCGATCCTCACCTTCTTTCCTTGCTCCTTTTCCCTCTCAATATGAAAGATTTTTCTTCAAATGGACTTCTTTCCTTCGATCGTGTTCGGCCGGTAACACCGCGGGCTATGACAGTCAAGGCTATGCTAGACTTCGCTGAGACCTCACAGTGGTTTCGAAGTCGCGCGCCACTAGGGCAGCCTCGCAATGGGAGCAGTAATTAGGCCACGAGAGGTAGTCTGTAACCCGCACCTAACCAGCGATCTTTGAGTGACATTCAACTATCCAGTAGAGGTGTTCCTACCAAGAAACCCTAGCTTCTATAGTCCTCCAGCTACCTGGCTAGGAGATCTGTCTTACACAAGCCCTTGTACATTCTCATACATGCTGATATACTTGAGCATGCCTATCTATCGTTGACTGCTGTGCTGTAACGGCATCATGACTGACAAAAAGAATTTTTCATCACTAGTGCTTTGCCGCTTCAGGTTTAAATCTGATCGATTCGGGGATATCATTATTGTACAGAGCCCTCTATCTCGGAGGAGGCCCATCACTCATTCATCTGATCATAGCGTTGGCGGGCTGTCTCCCTGGTCTTCTCCAAGAATTCATCATATCGTCCCCTAGTGTTTCGGCCTGCCTCTTCCACAGCATCGCCGAGCTTGCTTCCTTGTGCGCCCAGTCCGACACCCTGAGCATAGACTTCCGTGGCGATAGGAGCAGTGACACCGGTACCTTGAGCACCTAGACCGGAGCCTGCCGACCAGCCCATCTTGCTCAGTAGCGATGCACCCTTCGAAGTAGCCTGGAGAGGCGGGGCTTCCTCTTCCTTGGGTGCTGCTGGCTTTTGTCGAGCCCCGGTCTTCGAACGTCCAAATGCCCGACGGCGTTCCCTCGCACGATCGCGATATTCGGACGATGATTGCTGGACGATTCCATGCTTGATCAGCTTGGCCATCCCCCGTGATTTTAATTCTTCATTCTGCAAGTTGTCTCGGTGGAGCTGGCTAAGGCGTTCGTGTCGGTTGACATTAGCAGAACTTTTGAATTGCCGCATGCAGAGGTAGCAACAATTTCGATTGAGATCAGCATAGGATTGAGTAGGCGGTGCGCCTGTGTCCGAAGACAATCCTCCTTTCTCGGTTGAGCCGTCCAGGATATCCTCCTCGCCATCTTTCGCGATGCCGTGAAGCTCGGCATGGCGGTTGCTCCAGAATTGCAGGTGGGACGGCATGGCAAGCTTCTTTGCACTCGCACTTGCGGCTGCGTCCGCCTTTCTTTTCTTGGCTTTTTCAGCCTCTTTTGTGCCTTTATTTTCATTATGTTCTCGCTGTCCCGAAGATTTGGTACTCTTCGGCTGATCTTGAGCAACATCTTCTTCGCCCGATGTTAGCATCAGCTCAGTGACATAACCCTCGTCATCCCAGTACATGAGTTTAACAGAAGGGTTTGACAACGGACTGAATGTAAAGTGGGCCGTGCTGGGCTTGGGATCCATGACTGGTACGAAGACGCCTGCGTGAATATAGCTGACCATGACAGGCTTGGACGAGATGGTGAACTTCTCGAACGAGTTTAATCGCGCCATTGCCGCTTGAGCATCCTGGAACACTTGTCAGCAAATGCCATCACCAAGGTAGAGCGATAGATGCATACCAATACGTTAGCGAACTCGGCAAATCCAAAGCGCCAGCTGTCGTTTGTGTTCCGGTCGCGAACAAGTAGGACACGCCTGATAGAGCCCTCACGGGCTCCGAGATTGGCATCTCCAGTCGTCGACGCAACTTTGGCCCCTTTCTTCTGGTTGGTTGACGAGGGGCCATCGTTGCTTCCCCCATTGGGTCGGTACAGCTTGGCAACACCTTTAGCCAGGAGTTCCTCTGTTACTGAGGTCTCCAGCCCTCGGAAAAGAAGGAATTGGGATGGTTGATTTTCGGGGGCGGCGTCGTTATCACCATTGTTCACAGCCTTGGGGATAGGAACACCAGGCGGGCCAGCGGGCATGATTTCTGGGCCTTTTTGATTAGCATCATATTGTTTTACCAATCGAAGTTCAACCATACCTGGACGAGGGGCGTTACAGCGGAAGCACTTTGGTCGGGTTGCAAAATTGACGACAGCACACTGAATTCGGTTGTCAGCTCTGGAATCATACGCGTGATCGTAACCTAGCAATCTTACCATTCGACAAGTCCAATCGCCTTCTCCTTTTGTGCGACTCCTGTCTTCCCTCTCGCGACTGTATGCGATGCGAACTTTCGTGCTCCGATCGGTATCTCCCGCGGATGGTCCGTATAGATAGATGGACGGGTGGTTTCGTTCCAGGAAAGCTCTGGATTCGTTGATGGAGTGGAATCGAAGGAATCCCAGCTGTCGCGATACCTCTATACACAACATGGATTAGTATATAGGTGCCTCATTCCAGGAACGAAAACTTCTCTACTCACTCGTTTGTCGGTCTCGAATCACTCGGATTTCCTCCAAGCCACTGACGTGGTACGCGTTCTGAAGCTCGTCCCCAATCTATGAGATCATTGACGGTCAGTACATAATCTTGAAGCTTAAGGGGTCCTGTCCCATTTACAACTCACATCGTCTTCAGTCATATCAATGGGGAAGCCTTCCATCATGATCTCCCGGCTCTCTGGGCCGAATCCAGATTGCGCTCGACGTGGGCTGCGACTGCGACTGTAGCTTCCACCGTGGTTATAATCCGGTGATCGATATCCCTCGCGATCGCGGTCACGATATCCCTGTCGTCCTCGCCGCAGAGGCGATCGATGACGATAGTCATCCCGCTCCCGGCTTTCATAGTGCGCTCCAGCATCTCTGTCCCTGGAGTACTCGCGCCTGTGGTCTGCTATTCGTTGGGGAGGCGAGCCAGAATGGTCTTTATTCGCAGAAGCCGACGGAAGAATATTAGCCACAACTCAGAAGATGTCAAGGCAGGACTCGGGCTTTCTCCGAGTCCACTGCCCATCGCTTAAGCACCATTTCCATGCGGGGAGGAGCGTATACCGCCAGGCGAGCGTGAGCGAGAGCGATCATCGTACATGCGGCCGTCCCGTTCTTCTCTGGGAGGGTAAACTCGGCGAGACGGCCCTGAATACGGTCGGCTTTCGTCTGAGTAAGGAGGTGCCATCCTTAAAGGTTGTTGAGAGTGTTATGAATGAAGAAAGCTCAAGCTGCGCTGATGCGCGATAGCTTCCGGCAGAATTTGACCGCCTCCGTATCTCCTGGTGGGTACTGAGTGCAGCTGCTGTGGATGAAGACTTACATTCAATCTCTGCATTCAATCTTCCGGTTCCATTGGTATAGTCAAGAAAGGGTGGAATCTGTACTTCAGAATGACTTTACTTTCTCCTATGGGTACTTCTAGATATATCCGGGCATATCATGCCACAATGAGAGAAGATCAGGTGGTTGTCAAGCTCTTGCGAATGTTACGACATTCACCTGTGCCGAAATATACCTCTGGTTCCATGTCCACCTCGAGCACATAGATAATTGATTACGTGCCCGAGTGGTTGATATACGTGGGGGAAAAGAGCCTGTATATATACAAGAAGTATTTGGCTCATTATTCTATAGGAACGGTAGCTTGTTTCGGGTCATTGATCCGTATCTACTCCCTGCACCCGCGGTGTTGCATCATCGATGAGGAGGACGGGCCATTGTCCCAGGGGTGGACTCGAGACGATCCACTATATGCCTGAGGTTGAGGACTACCAGTAGTTCAAAACCGCAGCTCATGTTGCAGTCAAAATGACGGATGTCCTTGGTAGACACGGTCATGCCCAATTGATCGGCGCCAGATATCATCTATTTACAGCCGATTCTCCACACTGCCCCGCGGTGGGATGCATTGTGTGAGCTGTGATATGGGCGATTGGCTACTGCCCTCCCAGTCCCTGATACCACGGTCCTTGAATTACTCGGAGAGCTAACCCCTCATTTTGAATATTCCATAACTCTTCTACCCTCTCTGTAGTATTGAGACTCATTTCAATACCTACTCTTACTATATCAACACACCCCATGTCGCTGTCCGTGAAACCCAATCACCGTGCTTGGTGGAAGGAGTGCTCCGTGTATCAGATCTGGCCAGCATCATTCAAAGACTCAAATGATGACGGTATCGGGGATATTCCAGGAATCATTTCACAGCTCGACTATATCAAGAACATTGGGGTGGATATTGTCTGGCTATGCCCCTCGTACAAGTCCCCGCAAGTGGATATGGGCTATGATATCGCCGATTACTACAGCATCGCCGACGAGTATGGTACGGTCGCAGATGTCGAGGAATTGATTCAGGGTTGCCACGAGCGTGGAATGAAGCTTCTCATGGATCTAGTCGTCAATCACACTAGTGATCAGCACGATTGGTTCAAGCAGTCTCGGAGCTCGCGAGACAACGAGTACCGGAACTGGTATATCTGGAAGCCTGCAAAGTATGATGAGCATGGCAACCGTCATCCTCCAAACAATTGGGTCTCTCACTTTCAAGGTATGAGGTGGTGCTTTCAATTGCTTAGGACGGATAAAATAGGTGCTTACTATGAACCTCTAGGTAGTGCGTGGCAGTATGACGAACTAACAGATGAGTACTATCTTCATCTCTACGCCACCGAGCAGCCAGACCTTAATTGGGAGCATCCTCCAGTACGCAAGGCAGTCCACGATATTATCCGTTTCTGGTTAGACAAGGGTTGCGATGGATTCCGGATGGATGTGATCAACTTCATCAGCAAAGACCAGGCATTCCCAGATGCCCCAGTGAAGGACCCGCGAACCCCCTGGCAATGGGGAGATAAATACTACGCAAACGGGCCTCGCTTGCACGAGTACTTGCAAGACATTGGCAAGATTCTCAAGGAATACGATGCTTTCAGCGTGGGTGAGATGCCTTTCGTCAAGGACGAGAAAGAGGTGCTTCGAGCCGTGCAATTCGATCGCAACGAGATCAACATGATCTTTAACTTTGAGCATGTGGACATTGACCACGGAGAATTTGATAAATTCGAGCCGGGCAGTTGGAAATTGACTGACCTCAAAGACTTTTTCCAGCGATGGCAGACCTTCATGTATGAAAATGACGGTTGGAATGCTCTCTATTGGGAGAATCATGACCAGCCACGATCAATTGATCGTTACACCAATGCTGATGAGGAACATCGTGATGTTGCCGCTAAGATGCTGGCAATTGCGCTAGCCTTGCAGTCTGGCACACCCTTCGTGTATCAAGGGCAAGAGCTTGCAATGAGAAATGTCCCTGCCTCGTGGGGCATCGAAGAGTACAAGGACATTGACTGTCTCAATCATTGGAACCGGTGAGACTCTCCGAGCACTCTATGATTCCGCAGAACATCGCTTATTCTTCCTCTATAGATTGATTAAGAGCAAGCACTTCGATACCGCAGCCCAACAAACTGCCCTTCGAGAGTATCGGAAGAAGTCCAGGGATAATGCACGAACCCCAGTTCAATGGACTGACGACCCGAATGGCGGTTTTACTGGTCCCAATGTCAGACCCTGGATGTCCGTGAATGATGACTACGTCCGAGTCAATGCCGCAGCGGCAGTTAGTGACCCCAATTCCTCTTATCACTTCTGGGCATCCGTTCTTAAGTTGCGCAAGAGGCACCTGGACCTTTTCGTGTACGGTGACTGGAAGATCGTGGACGCTCCCAGCCAGGAGGTATTTGCGTATACTCGCCAGTACGAGGACCAAAAGGCTCTGATTCTGTGCAACTGGACTGATCAAAGTGTTACATGGGATGCGCTGAGCAATGGAATCCGCGCGGTCAAGAGCGTGCTCTTGAATAATTACGAACGATCGGCGGAGGCCTCGAAGCGCTTCTCCGGAGGTAAATATGCTCTCCGACCGTATGAGGCGTTTGTCCTCCTTGTGTAAATACACAGGATTTCCAATGGTACAATAGTGATAGTCAATGATAGACCACAGAGTATACGGAAAGATAATCATTCGCTCCGAAACTTCCTGAAATAATTCGATCCACACCCTTCGGTGGTTTCCGCGAGACAGGCCGCACTTATCCACCGGTTCCCCGCAATCGATAAGAGCACACCCAAGAGGGGGTCCGCCAACTTAAACCTTGACACTCAACTCTACAAACTCCTACCCCTCTATATACAAGCACACACAATGACCGCGGAAGAATCAACCGTGCCAGCACATCTGGACCCATCCACCTACCCACGCACCCACCACGATGCCACCCAAAACATCCACCTCACGCTGACTTACTCCCCGCTCGACCCCAACAGCTACCTCGCACAGACATCCTCCCCCGCCGCAGGGGCAAATACTCTCTTTCTCGGTACGACGCGCGATACCTTCGAAGGGCGCTCGGTCTCGCAATTAAGCTACACTACATATCCACCCCTCGCGCTAAAGACTTTAACGGCAATCGCGGAGGCGGCCGTCAACAAACACCAGCTCAAGGGTGTGAGTATTGCGCACCGTCTTGGGGTTGTGCCTATCGGCGAGGCTTCTATTGCGATTGCTGTTAGTGCGGGACATCGGGCTGCAGCTTGGAGGGCGGGCGAGGAGATTTTGGAGGCTTGCAAGGAGAAGGCGGAGATCTGGAAGAGGGAGGAGTTTGTCGATGGAGGGATGGAGTGGAGGGCTAATGCGGATCGCGATGCCGAGGGGAATTTGGTCAAGAAGAATGAGCCTTGAGCGGGTTGGAGATGATGTACCCAACTTGAGGCGTTATGTGAATCGGGTTGTTCTGCCAGTGATGATGATGGGGCTGATTTACTCCGAAGAAAGCCCACGAACTTGGGTCTATGTGGGTTCAGCGAAAGGACTTCATACCATGCAGCATTGGGTGACCGATTGGCGAAGTCCAGTGAGCAGGGTATTGTTATTGGAAAATGATATAATACAGTTTTCATACATGTAGCTCGAAATAATTACTCAAGCTTCAAGGGCTTTCCTTCTCTCTTCCAGTCATTGATGTGCTCAAGGATCACCTTGGACGCAGATTCGGGGGTATCCTGTCGGCCAATGCACTCGACAAAATCGTTATCGGGATCTATGGTAAACGGTCAGACCAATTTGTCACAGCCTCATGGAACGGTGAATTATTTACCCATCAAGTAGAAGTAAATGCTGTGGTCCACCAGGTAATCCTCGCCAGGCTTCACATCCTTGGGTGTGCTGAAGTACACGCGGTACTGGCGGCAGACGTTCTTGACCTGCTCGTAGGTACCAGTCAAGCCAACAATGCCCGGGTGGAACTCCTTCAAGTACTCGCGCAGGACCTCGGGGGTATCGCGGGCAGGATCGCAAGTAATGAAGACCGGGAGGAAAACCTTGTCGTCCTTGGTGGCCGCCTTGACCTTCTCGATGATCTCGGCCATCTTGTCCAGCTCATCAGGGCAGATATCGGGGCAGTGGGTGAAACCGAAGTAGACCTATTACCACAGAAGAACCACGTCAGTGCCAATGTTTGCAACCACTGAGCTACACTCCGCCAACTCACAAAGCTGTATTTGCCCTTCAGATCCTCCTCCGTGAACTCCTTTCCATCCAGATCCGTTAGAGTGAACGGACCGCCAACCTTTGGCCTCCCAACACCCTTGCTCATCTCTGCAATCCGCTTCCGCTCCAGGCGTGCCTTCTCAACACGGAAGTAGATCATCATACCCGCGCCGGTGAGCACGAACAACAGCGCGGCCTTCCACGAGAACGGGCCGGTCGAGTTGCGCTGGCGCAGCTGGCCCATTGTCTTGGCGCGAGCTCGGAAAGCAGTCGTAGAGAAGTTATGGCGCGCATTGAATGTGCTTTGGAGGTTCTGGTTGTACCGGGGTCGCTGCGTTTGCGTGTAGGCGCGGCATTGTGGTTGGCTGGTGTTGCGGACCGTAGGGAAGATGCGATGCGAAGAGGTAGACTCAATGGCGGCTAGGTTGCGAGTAGCTCGGCCGAGGATTCCGGCAGCCATCCGCACTGAGGATGGCATCTTGATTAATGATTGGGATATTTGTGTCGGCGGAGAGAAGCACAGGATACTGTCGGATGACAGAGCGAGCGAGAATCTCCAGATCAATACCTGATCGGGACTAGCGTTTGAAGCCTGAGGCATCAAGGACCGAAGGCTGACTAATTCTCAGGCTCCACCGGCCTGGAGACAGCCCGCTGGCCAACCAACCAATAGAAGGCGCCCCCTATATTCTGATGGGGCGCATTCAGAAAAGAGAGCCGTTTTATGGCGAACACTTTCTCGGCTTCAACATCTTGAGGCTGTTCTGGATAACAGTCTTCGGGTAGTCTTAATCATTGCAATTATGGGCCTCTTATAAGGGACTAGATATTCATGTAGAGAGTCTCTATAACAAGCATAGGAGAGACTAGTGTTATGGCCCTCAGGAAGTATGGCTAGACCATAGAATTGTGGTGCCACAATTCTAGATTAACGAGGATATTCAACCACGTATAGGATATTGTTTCTTGCATAAGGTATGAATAGTGCATATTTGTGATGAGTTTATTAACATTAAAAATGAAAGGCTCGTATTAGTTGCGCAGCAAAATAACAGTCATCTTCAACAGTATCCAGCAACACCAAGTCCATCTTCAATTAAACCAAGCAATAGCAGCGATCAAGTAGTAAGCATGAGGAGTTTGTTCTCATATGCCTGAGTCTTCTTCAAAATGAGATTCTCCGCGATCCATCGCCCAGAATCCTCCCTGGAAATGAAATATCCGATCGCGGCAGACTCCCGACCAGTCTTTGGATCTTCAATGCCCACGCGAACGGTCTTCTTCGTCTCCCCGTCAGTGAGGAGACTTCCTCGAAGAATCGTGAAGGTCTCCCCGCTCGCAATGAATCGATCTTCCATGATCTGCTTATCCTCATGGGCAGCTTTAAGCAACCAAACATAGATCGGCAACAGGGGAAGAGGATAATCTCGGCCAAATCGCGACATGCCAGTGGTGCTGAAGGGCACAATGTAGGGGCGGCCAGTTGCCCCTTGGCTTCGAAGTTGAGCGATTGCTTCAACAAGGACGGATGCGCCTTTTCGACAGCACTCTGGGTCTTCGAGGGTCATCTTGTACCAAACTGGTCGGCTACCGATGGTGGTGATGATCATATCAACGAGGTTGCCACCCGATGTACGAATACACTCGGTGACCGCGGTGATATCGTGAGCATCGCCTTTGATGATCTTCAGATTGGGAGTTGAATCCGCTGGGAAAATGGCCTCGAGCTTGGAGGGAGTTCGGCAGAGTGCAGTGCACTGAAGACCTGCTGCAAGGCTGTGCTTGAGAGCAGACAGACCGACGCCACCGCTAGCGCCGAAGAAAGCTACCGTCTTGGTATTGGAAGTCATGGTGCGAAGGTGGTTTTGTGGTGGAATTATGAGTTAAATCGTGACTTTGGGGATGAGAAACGCAGGCTTGTCTTCTTGACTATAAAGAGAATATTTAATTCTGTCTGGTCAACTGTTGAATCTGAACGGGCGTCTTGCAACCCTTTTATCTACATTGTGGCTGTCAAGTCAACCTTCGATACGAGCCGAAAGTTGACCGAGTAGTATGTGGTCCGTGCTGTTGTCACTGTAAGAACTAAGCTCGCCTTTTTCTCGCCCTTTGGTGAATCCACCCGCACTCGTCGCTCCTTCACGGGATTTACCAGTTTTACGTCCAGCCCGGCTCGCATATTCCTCGGATCTGCATCATAAATGTGCTTGACTTCGTTAGAGTCAGATTGCGCGCACGGAGATCATTTTTGGTCGAAACATGACTCTTACTCGCTCACTCAAAGAACCAGTAAATTCATGTATAAGCAGGCGATTGCCGCTAATCCCAAAGGGGAAGACTGCCTGGGGGTGAGCAACGATGACCCGAAGATAGTCCCCCAAACGATGCGATCTCAACGACGAGTTCCTCGCTATGAGCGACCGGTTAACCTAAGACAAAATCCAAACGCCTGCTTTAAATTTGGCAGTGAGGATGTCGCAGGCGCCCATGCCAAAAGATTCGGTGTCGAGCGCAACGGTCGCGGGCGGCTCGGGCCCAAGTGCCGAGAAAAACGCGAGGTCGCCTGCAGTGAAGGGTGAACCATTAACGTCCACCCCGGGGGCCGGGCGCACCACCAAACCGCGCAGTTGTGTCGTATGTCGGAGCCGAAAAGTCCGCTGTGACAAACAGTCGCCGTGCTCCAACTGTCGCCGGGCAAATATTGCGTGCATACTTCCCTCCAAAGACCGCCCTCCGAGATGGGCCCGTCGTCTCGTGCAGCCAGCACCGGAAGATGTCATGGAGCGAATTCGAACACTTGAGAATCTAGTGAAAGATCTGAGTAACCAACTAGAAGAAGCAAATGCTAGGGCCAACTCTGTTGGTGTTTCCTCTGCGGCTCAGTCGCCCGGAAGCTCCTCTAACAATGCCACGAGTACATCCGGGACATATTCCGACAATGTGCAAAACCAGTTTGGGAGATTGGTCCTTCGAGATTCTAACCAGAGCCGGTACATTGGTAGTGGTTTTTGGTCGCGCGTTACTGACGAGGTACGCTCAATGCGCTGCTCGAGAATGAGAATCCTTTTAATCGGTATCATAGTTAGATGATTTGAAGATGGACACCGAGGGGCTGGCTCAGGAGGAGCTTGATACCTCCGACGAAGAGGAATGGTCCCATGGGAAGACCCCATCTACACAGGAAATCGAACGTACACCTGAAGATCGAAATGCATTCATGTTCCGGCATAACTTGATGCCTTCCACTCCAGACCTACGGGACTTCCATCCTCTCCCCTCACAGATACCCTTTCTGTTGGACGTTTTTCAAGAAAACGTGAACCTATTTCTCCAAAGTGTTCATATACCAAGTACCACGAAAATGATCCGTGACTTGCGTGGTGACATGACTAGCCTGACACCTGCCAACGAGGCTCTCATGTTCTCGATCTACTATGCGGCAGTCACTTCGATGGAGGAAGAAGACGTGAGGCTGAATTTTGGTTCCACCAAGGCTGAACTAAATCTGAAGTATCGCCTGGGTCTCGAGCACGCTCTCGCCAAGGCCGATTTTCTCAACGTACCAGACCTAGTTCTGATTCAAGCCCTTGTCAACTTCTTAGCTCTTGCCCGTCGTCATGACAGCCCCAGATTTGTATGGATGATGGTTGGTATCGCAATCAGGATGGCAATGTCAATAGGGCTTCATCGGGATGGATCAAATTTTCCCAGTCTATCCCCCTTCGAGATTGAGACGCGCCGGCGTGTTTGGTGGGCCTTGTGTCTGTTTGATGTCAGAGCGTCAGAAGATCAAGGAACCGAATTCACTATTGCGGTGGATAGCTTCGACACAAAAATCCCGATGAATATCAACAACAGTGATATAGACCCGGATTCAAAAGAAGGGCCTACGGAACGCGAGGGGTTGACTGACATGTCCATCTCACGCGTGTCGATCAAGACGTGCGAGCTCTCGAAGCGAATGATGGTTCGAGGGCCTAAGGCACCTAGCCTCGAAGAGCAGGACCATATGCTGCAGAAGATCTACCAAGAACTAGACGAAGGCTTCCTTCGCTTCTCAACAGAGGCGAATATATCATACTGGGTTATTGTCACTGTCGCCCGTCTCATGGTCGCCAAGATGACATTGTTTATTTACTTACCAGTACTGTTCTCTTCTCCGGGTGGGCAACTGTCCGAACAGCTCAGGACGAAATTGTTCATCGCTGCGATTGAAGTTGCCGAGTACAACCACGCGCTGAACGCCGAACAGGCCTGTCGTCAATGGCGTTGGATCTTCCAGACTTATACGCATTGGCATGCCATCATCTATATCCTGATCGAAATCCCTCGCCGACCGTGGTCTCCGCTTGTCGAGAGGGCCTGGACCGCCCTCCATAGCATCTGGCTTATCCCCACGCAATTCAAAATGCGCAAGAATTTGCGTGTGTGGTTCCCGTTACGGAAGTTAATGAACAAAGGCACACAACATCGAGAGAGTGAATTGAATAGGCTCATTAACAACGCGTCAGCGGCGGAAAACCTACAAAATGAATATCTGACGATGATCCAACCTTCAAGTCAAGCTCATTTCCCGGCCGGGTCTAATGCAGCGGCTCTCTTTCTCGAACAATGGAAGCAATTAGTTCAGTTCCCTACCCAAGGAATGCGAGCACACATGGCGGCTTCGTCTTTTCAGGGCCATTCGGCGACTGGTAGCTCGAAACTAGCATCCGGAGCACCCGAGGGTATTAATGCAAACTCCTATACCATGACGGTACCACGTGTCCAGCTTTGGCAAGAGGGGGTGGAAATAGGTGGGAGCCTTGATGCAGCGCCATCTTCGACCCTTGATATACCCTCCAACGCCGATAAATTGGAAGCACGGCCAGTCGAACCATCAGTGGGCCCTGCCTTTCAGCAAACAACGTCCACTTCCCTGGATAACTTCCTGTCTACGCAGCCTGCAGATGGCGAAACTATGCCCTCGCTGTGGACTGATGACTTTATCGAACAAGTGGACTTGGGGACACTCGATAACATGGATTTGGATAGTGATATAGACTGGTATAACTGGGTGGAATCTGCCAAGGGAATGGATTAGGACACGGATCCGAAGGGCGTCATGTAATGACAATTGTCATCGGAATCCTCCAGCAAGGATTTCTGAAATTTGCGCTAGTAATTCCTCGCTTCTTACCAACTGGACGGCCCGAAAATCTCCCCTTCAGCAACTGTCTTTCGAACAGCAGTGTAGAGGTAGTCCTTTTCGATTCTTATTAGCATGAAGACCGTTTTAGCTACGGAATATTACTTACCATGGTTTCAAAAGGAGCAGTATTTCCCCACCAATTTGGGGCAGAAACTCCGGGGAACGTGATGGCAAAGAAGATGACAATCGTCGACAGGACCAGGCCCGTATCTAGTCCTGCGGCTGTAATGTAGTTATAATTCCTCCACCAGCCACCCCAACGACGATGAATCCAATAGTTGAAAATCAGCCCGAACATGACCCAGGATGTGAAACTCAAAGGCGTGGCTCTGTTGTCATCAATCAGTACACCTTCTTGTGGACGGATAGTGCAAATCACTCACGGAGGTAACCATGCCATTGCGCCAAGCATACTAATGATGATGTTAGCGATATTTCAATAAAGAATTCTAACTACTTACACTGGTGCATTGAGCAGTCTTGCCTTGGAACGTGGGAAAAGCCGCATCAAGACGTAGAATGCCACGGGCAGGAGAGCTCCAAGCAACCAGAAATACTGGATCGGTCTATAGATCGCGTCGGGTCCGAACATGCGGTTTGGTCCGATTACACCTTTCCATCCATGTCAGTAAAGGAAGATACAGCTGGGAAGTCCTTAAATTCGCTTACCCCACACGATGCTGGAAGAAAAGAATGTCTTTCCGTTGGGGCAAGTAAAGTGAGCAGGTTGATCACTGGATTCAGCGAGGTGCAAGGTTAGCCGATACATAATGGATATGAGTGGAAGTTGATATACGTACGTGGTGCAAACATCTTCGATGTTATTCAACGTCCAGTTCATGACCGCAATTTGAACGAAGCAAGCCCAAATTGTCGCAACAATCTGGCACATGAAAGTGACACGGGGTGGAATCTTCATGTAATGCGCAATCTAGAACAGGCTAAGCTATGAGTTGAACAAGTGAGAATATCTTAATACTCACTTTGAGATCTGCGCAGAATGATTGACTAGCGTAATGGTTAGATCTATAATATGCAAGAGTGGAGGGTGACTGACGCTTGTCCAAGTGTGATGGTACTGAAGACTTTGAAGATCATAACTCCGATTGGCTTCCCGGGGATCATGAAGCCAGCCAAGAACGGCGAGAGAACATTGAGGGCTATATTCGTGAGCTTTTGTCAACTTAAAGGACGATGCAGTGAGACATACAAAGTTGGATGTTGGTTATGCCGAGAATCATGCAAGTAGGGACCTGTCAAGATAAGTCAGAGAGCTCCACACGGTTGTAATAGAAAGGCTGCACGTACAATAAACACGGCTGCGACAATGAGAGAGACGAAGAACGCCCACCCTTTATCTTCGTCAGTCTTGCAATTACGAATCAATTCCGAGTCGAGTCCACATACAAGGAAGCTGAGATTCATATCCAAGAATACCACCCAAGCCCAGGGCAACCGAGCCGAAAAACAGTACGGCGTACCACCACTCGGGTACCTCCGTATATTTTCTCATCAATGTCAAGTGGATATCCGGTTCTTGGTTTTGAGCAGCCTTGAACCGATGCCAAATCTCCTTTCGATGGAAAAGAATAACGTGAACAATCGCAGCTGTCAAAGCCGCAAATGAAAGTCCGTAATTCAAGGCAAAGGTCGGTGCGAGGAACATGGGTGAATAGGCTTTGTACGCTTCCTCGTCGAAAGTGAAACCAGCACCTAGAATCTTGCTCACGTTATATGAGTTCTGGGTGTTGTCGAAGGTTGAGGATGTGTTGATAGGGAGATATTCGGAATACCTGGCATTGTATTAGCCCTGAGACATCCTGATGGGCATATTACTCACAGGGCTCCAGTATATGCAATTCCAATCGTCGTGATCAATACAAAGACGACTAAGCCAACGAACGTGTTCATGATTGCGTGCACAGGTGAGAGGAGAGGATCAAGGAGATAGGCAGAAACGTAGCTGGGGGTGGTTAGTTCTATAGTTCGCTGTTGTCTGAAGAAAAATTCACATACGTCCAATCAAATGTGATGGGAATCAATGACAGCCCAGTAAAGCCTCCGAAGAGTTGGTTGAGAACGACATTGTTCGGTTTGATCCCTGAACACAATTCAGCTCCATTGAACGGAAATTGGTCGTTATGATCTTACAGGTAATGAATGCAAAAACAGACAGTCCTTGCCAGATAACACCAGGTATCCTTCAATACCGTTAGTATACCAGACAATCAGGGTAATTCTTGGGTTCATAGTCATACCAATACCAGACAAATGCCCCGGCCACGACGTACATAAAGTATCGGTACCGGGAAATTGTCCAGCCATTTGTCTGTGCAGGATCCGATTTACTCTTATCATGAAGAGCATAGAAGAGGACTGTGTTGGAAAATTGACCTGGCCATATCATAGCAGCTGGCCTATATCATTCTCAGTAGGTGCCGAAGGGGGTCAAAATAGAGTAAAACTTACCACACCAAGAATCGGCGAAAGATTCCGGCGAGTGAAATTCCGATGACCTGGCTGCTCAGAGCGAATAGAAGCTGGAAACCCCAGCTCATGTGGCGATTGTACAATGCTATATCATGGTTAGCGCAGTGATATCCCTATAAGAGGCTTCACTTACGCTTCGCTTGGAGCGCGAGTAGTGCATCTGTGCAGTATGCATAGCCAATGGAGACACTATTGCCTTCTTAGTCGTTTGATCCAAATTCAAGGAGAATGACCTACTTTGCCATAAGCTAGGAAAAGTTAGTTTTTCTTTTCTTACACTTTCCACTCCCTTTTCGTTCTTAATGGAATTTGGAGGTCTACATAACTTACCGTAACCACTGTATGTTCCTTGATGTTGAAAGGGCCCGTGTTCAAAGTCCAACGCACGCCGAACGTATTGAATACCCGGGTAGGCATATACCTGGCCCACAGACAGCCCATCGGATAGACAAGCAATTGCACAACTATAGCAGGGAAAGAGATGGCAGGACTCCTGTTTTATGGTTAGAGAATGAATCTGGAGGCTTGAAAGATATCGGGATCCTACCTCATACTCAAGAACATGTTCAAACCACTCCCAATGGTCGTGAAGAACATTCCCAAGATCCATGCACGCACCGTGTTTGCGGGTTCTCCACCGTCAGTGTTTCGAACTGCCGCTCGGACCGACTCATACTGAGAGTCTTGTACGAAGGACTTGTCAATTTCGGCAGCTTTCTCGTGATCTCCAGTCTTGACTGCCTCGTGGATTTCGTCGAGCGTATCTTGAGGCAGATTTGGATCCCATTGATGTGAAAGCTCGATGTTATGCAGCTCTTGAATGTCATCAATTGCTCGTTTATCATTGTTCGAAGACATTTTCAAATGTTACTGCGCAAGGCAATTTACAGTATTCTGTCGGGGAAATGTTGTCTTGTGGAACTAGCTCGAGTTGTCCGGGACACCGCATCTAGACAACAATATATATTATCCCCTCGAACAACCTCCCCCCCCCCGCGCGGCGTGGCTACTTTCTCTACGCGAGCTTTCTAGAAGATAAGACTTCCGTAAAGATAGCATTGTAGCCCGTTTCTATCCCGCATAAAACCTCTAGGATCAAGGGGCACGAGGTATCGCTTAGCTGGATAGGCAATGGGCGATGGCCCCCGCATACAGATAACGACCCCCCTCTTTGGGTAAGAATGCGGAGTAACGCGCGACGCTATTCTCTAAGCTTCAGCCAGGCCGCGATTGTGGCAGTCACACCGACATAAAACCGGCCATTCGGATGATTCTGCGACAATTAGCTTATTGTCGGCTGGATATCCCGACAAAGTATCATACCGTGGCATTCTTTCGTTATCGCTACGAGCTCCCGCACAGTATTTAGCCTGGTTAGCTTCTATCTTAGTTACTCAATTGTCAAACGACGCGTGTTCTCGGCAGTTCCGATCCAAGTACAAGCCAGCCAAGTAATATTTCTAACCGAGGACGGAACAAAGCCCATCGATTCACCTATCATGGTCCTCTTCACGTCTCCCCGGGGTGTCGCTATTCGACTTGCCCAAACGGAGCCCATTCGCGACAAGATCGAGCGTATCACGGCTGACCTGAAGGAGCTCAAAGAGTTCCTTCCGATCGAGTTATCGCCACGACGGCAACACAGACTGCAGCACTTTCTGACATCGGAGCTGAAAGCGCTCGATGATTTTCATGACCTGCCGTTCGTGCTTTATGACCAGGAGGCCAAGGTTGATTATCTGCTGCTCAAGAACTTCCTCGAACGAGAAGTTCGCGCATTGGACCTTGAAGCCAAGCAAGATGAGACGCTGTCTCCGCTGGTACCATTTGCCAATACACTGGTGGATCTTTTGGAGGCTCGCATCTTGGTGATGCCAATGGATCCCAAGGCGACTGCTCAGAAATTATTCGACTGTCAAGCGACAATTATATCGGTGGTGGAGAAAGTCAAAGCAAAGTCTAGCGACGTCGTCATACCGAAAAACAGCGCCTTTCGAGCAGTGACTCATATAATTGCTCTAAATGCTCACTTGAAGGAGTGGTTCAACTTCTACACTGGCTATGATCCGACATTCGACTGGTGGGTGGCGCATCCATATGGAGTGATTGACCAGGGTCTGCAGGACCTCGCAGCTGCGATCAAAGAGGTTCTAGTTGAGATCAAACCAGGAGATGTTGACGCCATTGTTGGCCAGCCGATAGGACGGGAAGGGCTGCTTTTTGAGCTCGGAGCCGAAATGTTCCCATACACACCAGAGGAGATCATCTCTATCGGCGAAAAAGAATTCGAGTGGTGTATCACGGAGATGAAAAAAGCTTCCCGAAGCATGGGATACGGTGAAGACTGGAAAAATGCATTGGAAGAAGTGAAGAATGATTTCGTTGAGCCTGGCCAGCAGACGCAACTTGTGCAGGACCTCGTCCAAGAAGCCGTGTCATTTGTCGAATATCACGACCTCGTCACAGTCCCCGAAATTGCCAAGAACAGCTGGAAAATGTTCATGATGTCTCCCGAGAGACAAAAGGTGAACCCATTCTTTCTGGGTGGCGATTGTATAATCGTATCCTACCCCACTGACGCGATGGACCATGAGGCCAAGATGATGAGCCTGCGCGGGAACAACATTCATTTCTCGCGGGCTACTGTCTTCCACGAAATGATTCCCGGTCATCATTTACAAATGTATATGAACGCAAGGCACAAGCCATATCGTCGCGTGTTTGACACGCCATTCTGGATTGAAGGGTGGTCCTTGTATTGGGAATTCCTTCTTTGGAACGACGAGCGATGGATCAAAACGCCTCAAAATCGCATCGGCATGTTATGGTGGCGGCTACATCGATGCGCCCGGATTATTTTCTCCGTCAAGTTCCACCTCGGTCTAATGTCGCCCGAAGAATGTATTGATCTTCTGGTGGAAGACGTTGGACACGAACGCGCCACGGCAGAGGGCGAGGTGAGACGGTCGTTTAACGGCGATTATTCGCCCCTCTACCAGGCTGGGTACATGTTGGGAGCATTGCAAATATTCGCTTTGCGTAAAGAGATGGTTGACGCGCGACGCATGTCTGAAAAGGATTTCCATGACCGATTTCTCAAGGGCAATCGGATGCCCATCGAGATGGTGCGGGCGCTGATGCAAGACCAGCCTCTTTCTGCAGATTTTCAGCCCTCCTGGAGATTTTATCCACTCTGACTATGACGCCCGTGATGGGCCACTGTGATGTTCTGCAACAGATTAATCGAGTCTCTCAAATTAGAGCCAGACCCACCTATAAGGCCAGGCAATGCAACCAGTGACGATGTATTTGTATTCCTGCTGACCACAATTCCGCTTACACCTACGCTCATTGAGGCTGGAATGCAAAATAAGAATCTTGTCAGCAACACATCATCAAGGAAAAGTGGGACCGCTAAACTCCTTCCGGACTAGGGCTGCTTATGGACGATGACCCGCGATCCCTAATGCTTCCATAATCTTTGAACGGTGGATCACGGACCTTCTACAGCCCTCTAGAGAACCTTATCCATACGTTAAATACCCCATTCCCACCCGCCCGAAAGCCAAAAAGCATCTTCTTTTTTACCACCACCGAGAACGACTGCTTCTATCACTGAATACTATCGAAATATCCACATTAGCCATGTCTGGTCCTCTCGCCCACGCCAAGATCGTTCTCCGTCGCTCCGGTGAGCGCGGATATGCCGAGCACGGCGGATGGCTGAAATCCTTCCACACATTCAGCTTCGCCAGCTACTACGACCACAAATTCCAAAACTTTGGAAGTCTGCGAGTATTGAACGAGGATCGTGTTGCCCCCCGAAACGGTTTCGGAACTCATCCCCACCGTGATGCCGAAATCTTCAGCTACATTCTCAGTGGAGAGCTCACGCATCGGGACAGTATGATCAAGAAAGGAGCGGAGGGCGAGCAAGGAAAGGACTTCTATCGTATGAAGCGAGGAGATGTTCAGTTTACCACCGGAGGAACTGGTAAGTGTCTTCTAAATGAACAGAGCAATTGAATGCCAAACTGACCGTTGAACAGGAATCGCTCATTCCGAGCAAAACGAATCCAGCAAGCCGGTGCATTTCCTTCAAATCTGGGCTCTCCCCTGGAAGCACGGTCTCAAGCCGCAATATCATACCATGACCTTCAGCGAAGATGCCAAGCGAAAAGAGTTCGTTCCCATTCTATCGCCGCTTGCCGCCGGTCCTGAGGCCAAGCCAGCGGATGAAGATGCCGCAATCCCCAAGATTCCAGGCACTATTCCCATCCATGCCGATTTTGTTATGGGTGCTGGAATCATCACTCCTTCCTCTACGTTCACATGGAACGTGGGTGCTGGGGAGGTTGTCAACTCTAAAAAGAAGCGCAATGTTTACATTCATCTCCCCATGACGAAGCAGGGCAAGATGAAGATCAAGCTGAACGGAAGTGAAGATGCCATCCTGGAAGAGGGTGATGGTGCATTCATCACACAAGTCAACGCTGGCGACTCGCTCCGCGTGGAGAGCATTGGTGAGGTAGAAGCGGAGGTTATTGTGTTGGACAGCGACTGAGATTGATTGAAATCAAGCGTTGAATATCAATGTAAATAGATCTAGGCGTTAAAAGGATTTACCGGTCGCAACGGGAGTTGGACTCTCAATTACGAATTGACCAGATCATGCCACTTAAGTTGAATTAAAAATATAAAAGTTTTTCGTAAAAAACCTGAATTCAATTTCAATTTGTACGGTACCAATGTCTTGGAAATTTCGAAAGAAAGGGATGATTGAAGCAAAGTTAGGAAAATGTGCATGTTCCATTATTCCAGTTCTAGCCTTCACAGGCGAGCGAGGTTCACGAACTCTCCTGGAGCCTGGTAAGTGGGTACCTCCATCTTCAACGCATCCCCAGAGTAGCCTAAATCCTCGGCAGTAAGTACTGCACACTTCTCACCAATAAGGAGGGCAGTCTGCCAATTCTTGTTAACCTCGGGACGTGCGTCGCGGCCACGGAATAGCAACTTACGCTGAAAGTGTTGCACCCAACATTATCTGGACAAATGGACAGGTCACAAACCTTGAGGCCCTTCACTCCATGGACATTCAGGCGCTCATCTACGACACCGCCGTGAGGTGCAATGGAACTTCCCTCCCGAGGCGCCATGCTGCAAGTTCCAAGGGAATGCCAGGTAGTCTCGACGTGGCGTTTGACTGAGAAGAGTGAGCAACTAACAAAGATATCTGAAATTTGTATAGACATACCCCATCTCTCAATATGTTCGACATCTTCTTTGCTATATTTCAGCTCATCACGGGCTTCATGGCGGTTAGAGCTGAGAGTTGAAGTAGAAGGCTGCTTTCCTGGACCCAGGGGCTCAGACCAAGATCCTGTCGAGTTTATGTCAGTCTCTAGTAGGTGAAACATAGAATTTGTAGTCCTCTCACCATGCTGAATACCGGCGGTGATATGATTTGGACCGGCATACGCCTTGGTAGTCTCCAGGTCAAGATCACGAGCTCGAGCTGGCGAGTCAAAGGCAAAGTGAGGATGCATTCCGGTCACCTCGCCAGCATAGGCCCCCATTCGACGTGCTGTTTCGCGGGACTTGATGTAGCCCCAGACCATGGGGGCCATATCGCGCTTGTCATTCATGAACCCTGCATCAAAGTCTGGAATAGCGTATGGGTCGGGCGACTCGATATGGGTGGAGCCTCGAGAGAATGGGTACTCCTACATCATTCAATAAGAAAAGGGAACAAAGTTAAGACATATAGGAGAGGGGAAGAGCAGATGGTGCGGAGTCGCAACGCCCTTGAGCCAATAATCAGATTTCAATACTCACCAGGAAATGGAACATGGTGAAGAACTTGCCCGGAGGCATGAGCATATGGTCACCGAACCAACTGATATAATTAGTCGCATATATCTGCAAGTGGTGTTGCGTTACTCACCCAGCGATGACCGAGTAGTGCATAACAGGCTTGTCCGGCTTGTTCTTGAAATAAGATTCCCATCCACTGCTGAACTCTGGAGTTGGCCACTTCTTCATCTCGTCCAACTCGCGCGGCGTAGGTCTAATTTTGACACCAGCATCGATTCCATTAGTTGCCAAAGGACCAGTACCCTTTTGGTTCCATTCCTGGAATACTCTCTTTTGAATCTTTGGGTCTCCACGAACAAAGTCATCGAAAGTATCTGTGTCCGGCTTTGCACGATACACAGAGAAGGTAAGGTAATGATCCTGGAAGTTCCGGCCCACACCGGGCAAGTTCACGAGAGGCTTGATGCCTGCACGCTGTAGCTTCTCTGGGTCGCCAACACCAGACCGCTGGAGAATTAGTGGAGAGCTTAGCGTTCCACTGCTGATGATAATTTGTTTTCGAGCCAGGAAGATCCTGCGAGGTGGGTCGACCCCATCAAGAGGCTTTGTTGGGACGGTCGCAACGCCCACCGCGCGACCATTTTCGATGATGATTTTGTCTACCTTGGTGTTGCACTTGAGATGGAGATTAGAGTGCTTAGCTCTAGTACTGTGAACATAGGCATGAGCTGCATCGCTTCGCCGCCCTAATCAAGGCTGTTAGAGGGACATAGAATGTAGCTTGAATTATCTGCCAGGCTCCCTACCCGTGTCCCGATTGATCCATTTCAACCAATGCTCAGCACCATGTCTGAAAGAAGTCAGCTTTGTAAGAATATTTAAAGGAAGTTACGTCAAGTGGTATGTCATACGCAGTCTTCAAATCCTGAAGGTCATCTGTGACTGGAATGCCTTGAGTCTCAGCAGCTCGCAGGAAGTCCTGCGCGATAGGGTATGTATAGTTTCCGAAGGAAACTTTAATCGGACCCTCGAAGCCATGCACATCCCGATTGTTACAGGAGCGCTGATAAGTTTCGTGTTTTTTCATGAGGGGTACTAGTTCATCTGTTGTCCAACCCTTGGCCTGAAAGTCATCATAGTCGGATGCTGACGCTCTTGTGTACATCTACGCCACAATGAATAACCAGCACTTCCATATTAGCGACATTGAGGCTGGGGAACTTGCCATAAAATTGATCGAGCTTCCACCCCCAAGGATGTTTGCGCATGGAACAATAGCCCGGCGTCCGTCCAGATGCTCCGAGGGCCGGGAGTGATAGAAAGAAGCTGTTTTTGAATCCAGCTTCATGTTCCTTGGATAGATGCCAGGGCGATAAACCCTAGACTTATAATCAACACCGCAACATTGAGCATTGCAAGGACCATATAACTACCATTGATTGTTCAGGTTGTCTTCTCCTGCCTCAATCAATAAAACGGAAAGGTTGTGATCTAAATTGGCGAGGCGGCCGGCGGGGACGCACCCTGCACTACCACCACCACAGATGATGATATCGACTTCATCGGGGATAGTCATTGTGATTGAACCAGAATAATAATTATTGCCAGAGCTCAATGGTATAGAGAATCAAGTAGGCTGTAAGTAGCTCCAATTCACATATGGATTGAACAGAAATTTCGGACTTTATATACCCCTAGCTCTGGTGCTTAGCTACCACAATCAAAAAACCATTTCTTTCTCACGGCTATCACCAACCCCATCCAACGCATGGAATTTCATAACCCCTCATGAGGAGACAGAGTTTGGGGCTCGAGCTCCGCATTGGAGAGGGCGATCCTTGTCAATTTGTATCCTCATGTATGGCATGCAGGCAGGATACACAAGTGTGGCGACTGATACGTTGTATTTTCGTTCACATCAGACCTGCAAACAGCTACTGTATAGAAAACTTTTGGATAAAAGAAGCCCGACGTGCAATTTTACGAGTCATGGTGTGTGTATAAATTATTCTTTCACCAAAGTCTGAAACCATCCCCTCCCTGCCAACGAGACTCGAGCATTATCTGAAGTTTTAAAAGCACCCAAACCTTTCCTTTAAGAAGTGGATTGAGACTTTCTTTCCTCTCATTGATAGTTCTCCGGGTAAAAATGCTCGATCTCATGTTTCATTGAGGTATCGAGCTTGTCACTATCGATGCCAAGTAGTGCCGGTGGCAAAGCTGTTAAGTACGACATGCTTTTGATCCTGATCGCCCCCGCACGCCAATATTCTGAACCAGTTACGACGCAAGACAATGGCTACTGTTTACATGGAGAGGTAGATTGCAGGAGGGGTCAATATTGACAAAGTACGAATACCAATCCCCGGTGGATGCCACGAATGATATGTGGGATCATATGCAGCCGACAACAGCCTCGACTATCATAGTGCGTATGTAAAGCAAGTAAAGCAGCACTCACTCGAAATATGTGCGATCTGACATGGAGACCATACTAAAAATGCTGGGGACTCCTGCTTTCTTGCAAAGGAGATCTCATGGAGCAGATGTAGTATTTTGTATAAAGTGAATCTCCACAGGCTGGTGACATGTCAAACCAATTTCGGGATTTGGTCAAAACTGGCTCAAGAATTTGAGTTCTCGGCACATCAATTCCGTAGACAATTCGGGGCTGCCCTAAAGAATAACGGACGCATTCTAATTTAGGTAAGTGGAGAAGAGTAATACGCCAAAGTATTCTGAAGTCTGTTCTGATGTCAGATGATTGGATGTCACAGAGCTCACACTCCATCAAAAGCGCGCTAGTACCCCCAGAAAACAGCTCAGTAGGCCCCATATCTAGAGGCCAAGGGCTAGTGCACACAATGTATGTGGAGAAATCGAAGCTCCGCAGGAATCCGGGGCATCCCTCATGTGGGGTCAGCTTCGTCTGCATGAGGGCGTTGTGGAGAAAGCTCTTGGTGAAGCGAGTGGACTATTGCAGCAACTGACCCCTCACTTGAAACAGCCAGTCAGTGGGCTCTACTGTGTTACGACCGAGCACACTGAGATAAATAACACACTCTAGCTTGAGGTATCTCGATCATCGGCTTGAAGCAGTAGCCAAGATACTTCATACTGCAGCGAAAGTACATGTCTTGACTACTATCCGCCCCAGACACTTCCCCAATAAAACGTCAGCATATGAAACTAAGAACATGTTACGATTGTTACGTTCTAGACCGAAGGGGATATACCAATGAGCTTTGATAGATGGAGTCAACTCCAGAATTTATCCGCAAGTCGGCCGAAAGGGAAACATCGGCAGCTCCGAGTTATCCCCGTATGTCAAAGCCATGATGCATCTTCCACCCAGTCTCACACGCCGTTATCTAAAGCGCCCTTGTAAATTCTTTGTCCTGTGTATAGTCATGGATATATTCCCTCCTTCTAGGCCATTGCCCAGGATCGATACCCTTTATTGAAGAGGACCAATGTCCCCCTTTACGAGCCGACAAATCTATAGCTCAAGTACTTGATGTTTCATTAAATGTGGAAAAGTCTATTTATGTAGAAGTGAGGGGAACTCAATTCTGCTTTGCCTAAGCACCTCCCCCTAGAACCCTTGCAATTCCTGGTCCGCACACAGCCAATAAACTATGATCTTTCTTTCCATTTTCGATCGTACATTATACGTGGTCCATCTTGACAATTGACCCATCTGCCAATCCAAGTCTGTGTGGTTTCTATGGCTTCATCAACTAAACCCAGGTCTACAATCAGGATTAACGTCAGCATTAGACCTAAATTATCTTGAGGGATGGCTGAGATAGTAGGAAGTAGAAGTTGAACATTGCCACAAATGGCAAATTCCAGGCCGGAGACGGCTATCCCATGTCAGTAGCTAGCGCGGCCAGGACTTTTGTCAGGTGCAAATACTCCACGAATCGGTGTACGAGATAATTTCGCCGATGAATATCATCTGTCAGACTTAGCCAGTATTTCACAGCTCTTGAATTTGGCGTGTAAATCCACAGTTTTCTCAATTGGAAATAGGCAGGAATATACAATTCACGCTGGCCAACACTTACTTGGCTATTACGTCACACAGTCATAGAGGTCTCTAATCCGAAGGAATGCCCAACTCCGCCAGTGACCAGTGACCTCCATCACTCTCGTGCGAGGTCTTATCCGTCACAGGAGTTGCAAACTCCACCAAGAATCGAACCATCCATTGATCCATGCGGAAACTTGTATCTGCCGACTCTCTGCAGGCTTTGTGAAATGCCATGAGCCTATTCATGCAGACGTCGAGAGTGGGCCATAGGGCACAGAGTTGCGTAATTATGCAAAAGTTCTTCTCCAACCTCATTTTCGCCAGAGTGACATTCTTCTCATTCGATTCGAAGAGAAGGTTATGGATTTGCACCGTCGACGCGATGACAAGCACATGACCAACCATATTGTACTTTGCGTCGCAGTCGGGCACTGTCTCTGAAGAGTAAACAATATCACATAGCCTGCCCGCATGCTCCTTGCATTTATTAGCGTAACGACGGTTGCGGATACTGGTCGATTCCAAGTCTTCATGAAGGAATCGGTAGAAGAGCATCTGTCCGAAGTGATAGTACCCCAAGTAGATTGCTACGAACATACGACCGAGGCCCATAGCGGAGTACCGTTCCAGGTTTTCGCGAGTATCTCGAATGTGATCTGGTAACTCATCAAGCCACCCGTCGAGCTGCGAAGAAAGGTGCTCAACGTCACTCAGAATATCGATGGCATCAAGCTTGGATTCGGCCACACGGATATTGAAATCGTTAATTTGTTGCAAAATATGATTCAAGCGGACCATTTCGGCAAGGAGTGAGGATCTTTGGTTTGTTTGAATCACATCATCAAACCCGAAGTCGCGACTCAGCTGGAGAAAGACAACTTCGTCCATCGGTAATGGGACGTTCTTTCTCGGGGCGAGCAGCCTTGGTAGTCGCACGCCAGTGGAAGACCAGACATCTATCATGCACAGACTCCACCATGCTTCAGAAAGAGGTGATCAGTAACGGAAAAACGACCCAAGAGGCGAAGAGAAAACAAACTTCGAATATTGACCTCCCGCTCTACTCGGCTATCGGTTTTGCAGTTCGGAAGGTCTAACAGCTGGGCCATCCGGCAGGCCATGGCGTAATATATATTTTCAATCGCTGATTTTCCCTCTGTGATTGCGATTGCACCGAGTAGAACGCACGCTTGAATTGTTGTCAAGGAGATATCGTTCCAATCAAGTAGGCGCGTACATTCCTTAGCGTAGGCATTACCCCTAATCCGTGGATCTGTATCACAGAAAGTTGTGTTCTTGGAAAATCTATTATGGATGAGCGATATAAGCATTATCAAAATGAAAAGCACGGTTGTAATGATCACCTTGCAGACAGGGCCATCATTCCATATAATAAAATGCGAGGCGCCTTCCCTCGAACCATGTCCTTTTCGAAACTTGGTTGATGGAAAAGGCTGTGGAATTGATCGTGTACATAGTCAAAATAGAGCTGCACTAACTCTGCACATAGCGATCGAGCAGGGGATTGGCTGCTCTGTATTCCCTGTTTTAGCGGAGTGGATGATCTCCTCGTGACTGCATCGGAAGAAGGAGACAGGCCATGTTCCACATTGGTAGCATCACCAGTCAGGCGTGCCAATGTGCATCGGAGACCTCGAGCAGTACAGAATGTACAAGGAGACCCTGATGCACTGTTCTCGCATCTCCGCCGGCGTTCACTGTTCAGCTGATCGTCAGAAGCCGCGGCTAGACGAGACCAGCAATTCCAAGGATCGGCATTTTTCCGACTTACCGGCAAGCTGCACAAGCCTTAGCCTTCCTCATACTTGCGTATTTGAGGAACGTACATGGTTCCTAGAGATGGCGCGGGGTTCTTCAAGAGCGATGGCCTTCACCGGGTTCCTGGGAGAACTTCCCCAAGTTTCTTGGCAAATTGGCGCGAGGCGGGATCGGCGTGTCTCCGGCCAATCGAAGCCCGCCAAAACCGCCGCTAACAAAGTGGTTTCCCCGATGGACGACTCACAACGCTCCCACCCCGATGCGTTGTCTCTGGAAGTTCTCCGCAACTTCGGGTTCTTCATGCTGCACCTGGAGACCCCGCAGCATGCAGTAATAGCGTGTCTATATCCAGGGGAAATACTACATGATGTCCGGCGCGCAAGTCAGACAAAATGCAAATAATTGGCTGATACTGCCGGCATCGGGTTGCCGCAACCCCCCCCCCCGCATTCCCCGAGGGGGCAAGTATAAAGAAGCAGGGACTGTCTTCACCGGTCCTTCTTTCTTTGCTTTTTCTAGCGATATTACCTTCCGCCCCTGTCTCTGACTATGTCAACCATGAGGCAAATCATGCAGAAATCGGTTGCGGTCGCTAGCTTGATAGCCCTGCTCGGCTCAACGTCGGCAGTCGCAGCTCAAAGCTCTTCGAACGGTCAGTGGTTCATCCTGGTTATTCTTACTGATTCGCTTGCTCATATTTATTCTCCAGCGGTTGTCGTGGATGGAACCACCTTCGCACTGAATGGGGACAACTTTTCATACCGTTTTCATGTCGATAATGAGACCGGTGATCTGTGGTCCGACCACTTCGGTGCCAGCGTGACAGGGGCCATCCCATATGAGAATGTGCCCGCAGTCAATGGCTGGGTCGGGATGCCAGGTCGAGTCCGTCGGGAGTTTCCTGACCAGGGCCGAGGTGACTTCCGCATTCCTGCCATTCGTATTCGACAGTCCGAGGGCTATACGGTCTCCGACTTGCAGTATCAATCGTATGATGTGATTCAAGGCAAGCCAGAACTGCCAGGGCTGCCTGCCACCTTTGGTACAGATAAGGATGTGACTACCTTGGTCGTTCATCTCTATGATCATTACAGTGCCGTGGCAGCCGACTTGTCGTATTCCGTATTCCCCAAATACGATGCAATCGTCCGCAGTGTGAAGGTTACCAACAAAGGCAAGGACAACATCACCATCGAAGCGCTGGCAAGCCTAAGTGTCGACTTTCCCTATCAAGACTTGGACATGATCAGCTTGAGGGGTGACTGGGCCCGGGAAGCTCACCGTGAACGAAGGAAAGTCGAGTACGGAATTCAGGGGTAAGTCCAAAAAACACCCCTTATCCACGAGTATGCAGAGAAAACTTACATGTGATCATTTTCGTGGTATTAGATTTGGCAGCTCTACAGGATACTCGTCACACCTCCACAACCCCTTCCTTGCTCTTGTCGATCCAACTGCCACAGAATCCAGTGGCCAAGCATGGGGCTTCTCGTTAGTGTATACGGGCTCATTCTCCGTGGACATCGAGAAAGGCTCCCAGGGCTTCACTCGTGCTTTACTCGGACTCAACCCCAACCAGCTCTCATGGAACCTTGGCCCAGGTGAAACAATAACAACGCCTGAATGCGTGTCTGTCTATTCCCAGAATGGAGTCGGCGGGATGTCTCGTTTATTCCACGGGCTTTACCGCAATCATCTCATCAAGAGTAAATTCGCCATGAAGGATCGCCCTGTCCTGTTGAACAGCTGGGAGGGCCTTGGTTTCGACTACAACGACAGCACCATATATAATCTTGCTCAAGAATCGGCGGACTTGGGAATCAAACTCTTCGTCCTAGATGATGGATGGTTTGGCGACAAGTATCCTCGATTGTCTGACAACGCGGGTCTAGGTGACTGGGTACCTAATCCTGAGAGGTTTCCAGACGGTCTGGACCATGCAGTGACTAGCATCACCGCGCTGAAAGCTGCAAACACATCCACCGAGCTCCGATTTGGTCTCTGGTTTGAGCCCGAGATGGTCAACCCTAATTCCAGTCTCTATCGTGAGCACCCTGACTGGGCTTTACATGCTGGATCCTACCCCCGCACGGAACGACGTAATCAGCTCGTTTTGAACGTGGCTCTTCCGGAGGTGCAAGACTTCATCATTCAATCCGTGTCGAGCATTCTAAGTAGCGCCGAAATTACCTACGTGAAGTGGGACAACAATCGGGGTATTCACGAAATGCCCTCGCCCTCCACTGACCATGAGTACATGTTGGGTATGTATCGCGTGTTCAACAACTTGACCACTCGATTCCCAGATGTCCTGTGGGAGGGTTGCGCATCTGGCGGGGGTCGCTTTGACCCTGGTGTACTCCAGTATTTCCCCCAGATCTGGACCTCAGATGATACCGATGCCGTTGAGCGTATCACCATTCAAATGGGAACATCACTCGTTTATCCCCCGAGTGCGATGGGTGCTCATCTTTCTGCCGTCCCCAACCAACAGACTGGCAGAACACTGCCCGTTGCATTCCGTGGCCACGTTGCCATGATGGGAGGGTCTTTCGGCCTGGAGCTAGATCCCGCCGAGATTCCTAGTGACGACAAGGCTGCTCTCCCCGGTCTTATTTCACTCGCGGAGAAGGTCAACCCAATCATCTTGACTGGGGATATGTACCGTTTGAGCCTACCGGAGGACTCGAATTGGCCCGCCGTTCAGTTCATCTCGCAAGATGGGTCGCAGGCGGTCCTATTCTACTTCCAGATTGACCCCAATATCAATCACGCACTCCCTTGGATCAAGCTTCAAGGATTGGACCCCGAGGCCGTCTATAGTGTGGATGGCAATGCTACCTATTCAGGGTCAGTTCTGATGAACATTGGGTTGCAGTTTGTCTTTGAAACAGACTACGGTAGTCAAGTGGTGTTCATTGCGAAGCAATGAAATTTGCAAGGCATTGCTTGCTGTACATAGCTCATGCTGTATAGAGCTGCTTTGACTCGCAAGATACCAGCCCATTCCATGGGTAATAGACTATGTCAATGAACTCGGATCTTTGTTTGGGCCTACCGGTGGATATGCAATAGAAACAAATCCCATTTAGAATGATCAATCTGAGTAGAGCTGCGGGGCAGTATCCTGTCCATCTCTTCTCACTCTGTTTCTCTTTCCTTCTCGCCCTCCCATAAGCCCATTCCCACATCCCCTTTCTCACCCTGGCCTCATATCCCGCTCTAAATTGAGAAACAAAGCTCTTATTGTCAAACTCGATGACCACGAGAGAGCTCACGGCATCGCAGTACAAGGCAAATTCCATCGCGGTGGCCGCCCCGCGTCTACTGAAGCTCCTCATGTGAGTATCGAGGCTCTATCTGTTTTTTTTTCTTTTACTTACATCATAAACACGGGGATCTAGTGTAAAACAGGCTTCGCGCGGTACAGGAACCGGCAAATTATAGCCACTTGTGCATACTTGGTGCTCGAGTACGAGCCAAGACGCGCCGTTGGGGATGTGTCCAAAGAAGAGAGGGCTCAACTACGGAAGAAGAACAAGAATCTGCTGAGCATCTGCTGCGCAATTGCCTTTAAAACAAGGAAGTGACTCTCTTGGTCAGTTTAGCAGCTGCGAAAAGGTTTAGCTTTAGGAAATGGGTTGTAGCATTCATCTTCATGGACTATCCACCCTGTTGATTCATTTAAATATATGCACCGGCCAGGCCTTTGCAGAGTCTCTCTCAGTTATTGCACATGGGTTTAATCGACAGTGACTTGATTTATAAACAGAACTTCACATCGTCTATATCGGACCTGTTTTCACCCGTGACCATTTAGCTCCCCACTTCTTCAACTCTCATCCGACCTAACAAAATACACGAAAGAAAAAAAAGATCATGCAGGCTCTTCATCCAAAGATCTATATCCGGTTGTGTGGCTTCAGAAAGTTTGGTGTTTCCTTCGGATTTGGCTGTCTCCGGCCACAGAGGAAGTCGAAGAAGTCACCTCGGTTGTAAAAGTAGACACCCGAGCTCCTCCCTGCCCACCAGGGAAGTGCCATCCTCCAGATGGCTTGGGATGTCCAGATGGTTTGGGATGTCCAGACGGAGCCGGCCAGGCTGACACACTCGGATAACCTGAGGGAAGGGAGACCGAAGTCTGCGTCGCAAGCCAAGACTCATGTGCTGCGACTTCCGCCGACCAGATATTGTCGACATCATTCTGGAGTTCCTCCTGAGAGGACCCATTTGCCATGTCATCGTGGAGTTTCTGCTGGGCTTTTCTGACGGTATCTGGCACGTCGTCGGAGCCATCATCACCTGAGTCGTCACTGGGGCCAGATGTTGGAATCGGTCGACGGCTAGGTTGAGCAGTCCAAATTGGGGTTGGTCTTGGTGTCAGACTGGGTGCTGTACCGGGCTCGGTGAGATCGATGGTCATCGTGGGTATGTCTTTTGGCCGCTGGCGGTTAGAGCCATCGTGTCGGCCTGGCAGGGCGAGTGCGCAACCCACAAGTCCTATGGCAGCCAGACAGGTCAATTTCATATTGATTGGGTTGTTGAAGTAAAATTTGGGTAGCGTTCTTCTTTGATCTTTATCGATTGCGATTAAATGGCGAGTTTGTCCTGGGTAACGAAAGTGTTCGAGATCTCAGAGAGGTTGATGATGAAATATGATTAACCTGGTTGCCCTTCACAATACGTGCAGACATCTACAGCGTATTATACTCGAGGTAAGAAGGGGCCATCTGTTCAAAATTTGTCTCAGGGGAGCTTATGATCTCAAGCCTTTCGCCTTCGGGCGGCCATAGTTGGGTTGAACCTATGCCGCTGGGGCGACGGCCCTGATCAAGCTTCCATAAAGGCAAGTATCAGCAGATGGAGTGGGAATTTGGGGCCAGCATTACTATCCACCGTGTTTCAAAGAAGAACTTGCACTTTTGATTCGTCCTGGGAGATCTTGGACGTACGCGTATAGTGTCGCAGTTGATTGTCAAGGCCCCTGGGGGCCAGCCCCCACTCGGTAAGCAGCGCCATGGACAGGTGGAACTATTTTTGTGATACGTGAATAAAAGGAATGTTTAAGCATATGCAAGCTTCCAATGCGTGAGCCTCCCAGCTGTTCGTATTGGCTACGTCAATAATACGACCCAGGAGACTGAGTCTTTCTGGATCCCTTCGTATGTTCCAACCGTTGAGGGCATCCTCGCACTGCTGGGTCCCTTGGCCCCCCGCCACCCGAAGTCTTCAATTCCTGGCCCGGAGCAGTCCTTCGCGGGGGCCAGCATCGGATAGAGGCTACGTCAAATTAGTCCAGTAGTGCGAAGCTTTGGAGGCCCACATGGCATGCAAGATCTTGAAACTTCGCGCTTTTACCCATATCAGCCACTCGCTGGAGGAGTACGACCATTTCTCTTTCGGTTTGACAATATACCTGTTCCTAGTACGCAAGGGAGTCAGGTACGGCTCGCAGTAACGTTTGCACCGAGCGTGCGCAAGTCCCTTAACTCTCCTAGGATGTCCATCGTCAATCTCCGCCGGCTCCTAAACGATAACTGTCCTTTTATGGAGACTGAGAGTCTTGAAAACTTCATGCCAACCGCGAGATCATCTTTAAATAGGCCGAGGAGGCCCACCAGAAGTTTATGCCACGGATCGGGGAACAAACTGGCGACGCTTTGTCGGCTAAGGAACAATTCTATGCTGAGAAGAAAAGGTTGAGCGCATGGATTCAAAAGCTAGGCCTCGATGACATCAACGATATGATTGTCCGTCACAGCTTTGAAAGTAGGGAAATCTGTTCTATCAGCGACCCTAGGCCCATGCTAGGACATTCCGGCGCGGTCGACCTTATTGAGGACATAAGGCATACGAGAATTTTCACTCACACTTAGCATTTAACTATAAAGCCCGGCGAACACAACTCATTCCTGACACGTAATCATAATCCAAAAGTCCTATTCCATCTCAGAAAGTGGAAAGAACCAAGGACTATAGGGGATGTTCTGGCTTTTTCGGCGAATTAACACAATTAACCCTTATAAAGTTCTGTGATATATCATGTCCCTAAACTCGTATTACCACCTTCACTTCTCGATTCTTTCTCGAACCCTAGTGTTTTTAAGAATGATCACTTTCAGTGGGCGTATATCACATTGTTTCTGACGAATTTCACCTAACACTACTGTGTAGTTGGTGGGATGTTTTTTTTATACACCTGGCACTCCCTGACTCCACCTCCCTCGAAACCCGTCTACCATGGATCAGGACTCAGGGCCACTAACAATCAATCAAAGATCTTCGTCGCATGTTTCATGATAAGCCATCGCCATTCAAACTCAATATGGACACGACATATGAGCCCATATCACTTCAGTGATGAATCTCAACCAATTGAAAGGAGCCGCGTATGTTGAGCCATCGTAAAAAGTGACGCCGTCGTAGAGCTTGGCCACAGAAGGGCATGGCCAGCACCTCAGAGGCTACAATGGATGAGTTCCCTATTCTGGTGATTGTATTCTTCGGTTCTATAGTTGCGCATGATTTAGGATAAATTTGTAACGGTCGGCTTAAGGGTTTTACGAACTATACGAGCATTCGCGATTATAGTCCAAGTTTGGTTGAAAAGGTAGTTCTTCAAGTCTCTACTCGTATCGGTGTAATTCGTGTCCATTTATAGTTCGTATTCGCATGCATATACTAAAAGCTAAGAATTGATAGAACAGTTCATTTCAATTGGTGGGTGGGTAGAGATTAATGTGACAGAATCACAGCGACACCAGATGATTTGCTAATTTTAAGGAATCAATAAGATTATGCTTTCATTCAATGCCAGCCTGCACTGAACGAGTATCATGCGTCCAACGCATACAGAACAAAACCGCACAAATCGAAACGAGATTGCAAGTCGGACAATGGCCGATGGCGAATCAGCCCGCTATGAAGCAAGTATCTGGAAGCGTTCAATATCACGAAGTATGAGAACAAGAAATCTTATCTCCTCGGTGCTTCGTGCGTTCTGTTGCTTCTAGTAGCAGCTCTAGATTGTCTGTCGCGCACAGCCGTCGCACCAACGGAAACACAAGCAGCAATGGTTTAATTCGACGTTTATTAGGCATAATGTGCCGTCGCGTGAGGGGGTTGGGATGGTGGAGGATTGGCATCCTTTTGACCGTTGTATGCCGTGTCGGGATACATGGGAGCAGGCGCATAAGCAGGAGTCTGAGGAGGATAATGCGGCGAATACTGGGTCGAGTATTGATTTCCAGGCGGGGGAGCATAGTACGCGCCGTATGGCTGTTGGTTGAGATCCATAGGAGGAACGGTCTGGTAGGTGGCAGCAAACTGATACTGGTTGTATCGGCGGCGTTGAAGGCAGTGTATGATGAGAAGGGTCCAAGCGATGAATTTGAAAACAATGGCGACCACAAGACAAACAAGGGCGGCGTAGTAGGTTGCGTTTTTCTTCGAGGCGCAATCTGTATAATCGTTCCAACTCTCGTCTATGTTGGCCAGGTAGCTATTGGCACAGCCCGAGGCATGGGAGTACCATGACCCCAAAAGCGCGCCACCAGCGACGAACAACGCAATTGCCCCGACGAAGAAGATCAAGTACCACCAACGGGGTAGGACCCTGGGTTGGTTGGGTTGTTTCATGATCTGGGTTGCTGGCACAGGCAACTTGTTGGGTGATTGTTAATTGTGGGAAAGCGGGAAAGTAAAGGAAAGAGAAGAGCTCCTTCGCGAAGTGGGCGAGGTTGACCATTTGAAAATTAAGGGACCCCTTAACTAAACGCCAAACGCTTTCTGGCTAGGGTCCATGTCACAAAGTAGGCTAAATTCTACTTCCGGCCTATCACAGTGTAGCAAATCGGGCGCTACTGCTTAGCACTCAAAGCGTGGGATGAGTTTTTTCGCCCCCAGCCTACAAAAGAGACCAGTAAAAAAGGTGATCTTAGCCGAGAAAGGGGTCCAGCCGGGGCCCTTTTTGAGATGAGGCTCAATCTCCGCAATCGGGTGAGAAGTTGGAGAAGGCAGTTTGTTGAAATTCTTTTAGCCGTTAGACAGGCTTCAGAGCAAGAATCTCACGAAGCATTGTTGCTACTTGTCATTCGAATCAGCGCGCATCATTTGGCAGTAGATCTCGAAAGACGCAAAGGGACTTCTTTTCTTGTAACCGTAGATTAACAGTTTCAAGAATAGAATTTTTGTACTCTAGACGTCCGCAAATCCACGTGTAATCTTTTTATTTTGATCACTTATCCAAAGCCCCAAAAGCTTTCCAGAACAAAGTTGGAGAGCGAGAACCCAATCGGCCCGCACATCCCCAACCGACCCACCAGTGCGATTCGTGGCCAATGAGACCAACGGGAACACTGTTCGGCAACTCGGGGGCAAAGGAGAAAGGAATTTTCTTGAGCAAAGCCGTCGGGATTTACACAATTGAAGAAATCGGGACCCATATAGCAAAGGAGTTCAATTGGCTGGTAAGTTGACCATGATTCCAAGAACGTCCAAACCGTGTTCAGAAGAAGTGTCATTCAATTGGCTGATTATTATTGTTCTTGCGACAAACAAGTCCCGATGGCGTGACGAGGACTAACTTTACATCTCTAGGTAAAGTAGACAATTGGGACAATCTTCGAACTGCAGACCTCGGCCGAGAAAATCAAGTCGCAGTGAAGAACATCTCTGCTTCAATTCCATTCCGGTTTTACGGTTTGCATATTCAGACCTTCCCACGCTCTCTCGCAGCTATGCAGTTGATCAAGAGCGTAGCCGTCATCGGAGCTGGCCCTGCCGGCGCAATTGCTGTTGATGCATTGATGCAAGAGAACGCATTCGATGTGATCCGTGTGTTCGAACGGCAGGAGATGGCCGGGGGCTGCTGGTAAGCGCATTCAGTCTCAGTCCTGAACTCCACCAAATGTAGTCATACTAACTTCCACCAGGGTTTCGAGGGATGATGATCCCCCACAAAAGTTTGACTTGGATGGCCTAGCTGCACGCACGGCAGATGCCCCTTTGAAGATTCCAGAGCAGACACCATGCTGGACACCAGTTGTCACTCAGGATCGCTTCTCGGATTCGCCCGTCTACCCCGGGCTAGAAACCAACGTGGATGTCAGCGCAATGTGCTACTCTCAGGAGCCTATCCCTACAGTTCGTTCAAAATGGTCCATTGAACGTCACGGAGATGATACTCCTTTCCGCCACCATTCTGTCATAAGACAGTACATCGAGGATCTTTTCACTCGAAAGGGACATGAACATCTTGTGCAGTACAACACCACGGTTGAACGGGCGGTTAAAGATTCCACGATCCAGAAGTGGACTCTTACTCTTCGTCGCACAGAAATTCACAATGGAAGCCCATCAGACTACTGGTGGACTGAGTTATTCGATGCCGTTGTCGTGGCCTCCGGTCACTATGCCGTTCCTTATATCCCCGCAATTCCAGGCTTGAAGGAGTTTGCTGCAAAATATCCCGGCAGTGTTGAGCATACCAAACACTACCGTGGCCCACAAAAGTATCAAGGCAAGGTGCGTTCTTTTCAACTCTGGCTGGGATACTTGCATTATTGACGGCGTTCCAGAAAGTCATCACGGTCGGAGCCTCTGTTTCTGCAGCAGACACTGCAGTCAACCTCATTGACAGCGCTCAAACCCCAATCCACGCCGTAGTTCGTGGTCGATATAATGTATACTTTGGCGACGACGCTTTTCAACATCCAAAAATTTTGCGCCGTGCGCCGATCTCCCATATCACGACTGAAAACCGAACGGTTCATTTCGAGGATGGCACTTCTGAAACCGGGGTGGATCACATTATATTTGGAACTGGTTTCACTTGGACTTTGCCCTTCTTACCTCAGGTCCAACCCCGGAACAACCGTGTGCCAGACCTGTATCAGCATGTATTCTATCGAAATGACCCGACATTGACATTTGTTGGAGCGGTAAGTTCGGAGAAATCCCACGAATATTATCTGGGACGACGACACTGATTAAAAATCCGTATCTAGGTTGGTGCTGGGCTCACCTTCAAGGTCTTTGAATGGCAAGCTGTTGCTGCTGCGCGTTTTCTCGCAGGTCGGGCCACTCTTCCTTCTGTTGAAGAGCAGGAGGCGTGGGAGGCTGATCGAATCGCAGTCAGAGGCGATGGACCGGCTTTTACCGTTATTAATCCGGAGTTTAGAACTTATTTTGAAGAGCTTCGGCAACTCGCAGGGGAGCCGCGAGAGGGCACACCAGGGCGGCCATTGCCGCCATTTGATCAGAAATGGGTGGATGACTTTAATGCAGGACATGAACGACGCAAAGAGATGTGGAGACGGCAAAACAACTCTGCCGCGGCAAAGTTATAGAAATTTGATTCAGCGTGCATGAATAGATAGCTATCAAACCTTCAATCTCATTTCTCAGACATTATGTCAATCTCTTTTCAAATACTATAGAAAGGGCCTGGTCTTTGAACGGACCATTCTCGGAACAGTATAAGACATGTCGTTCAATCGCGTGAGTACCTACCATTTTTTTGGTATCGCAATTGCAGACATCATTCCCAGCCAGTGTAATTCTGCAAAAGAAGATTCAACCAGGGATGAAAGCTTGATACCGAGCACCAAACAATGACTTGTTTAAAATCCCATGGCCCATTCCGAACAAGAAAGTCCTCCCATGTTGTCAATTTATCCGCGGGATCCAACTGCGCGAGAGTCCAATCTAGGTCTCGGTCACCATTGGGCCCGAAATACACGTACCTCAAGAACAAAGGACCGGGACGTAGCACATCTCTCTGCAGTGGATGAGTAATGAATTGGTCAATTTCATCACCAGTGGCAAGTCGGACATTCTTCCCGCTAACTCTCGACCATATATCCACAATATCCTGGGCAGAATAGTATGCCGTAGCCGAAACCAACTGCACACCGTCGTATTTGGCTGGATCTCACAATGCAGGTGCAAGATATTTCCCTGCATCGCCAATGTCGATTAACGGAATGCGCATATCTGGGGGCCAGGCAAATGGGAACAACACTGTATCTTCGGAGATCTGGATTGAGTTAGCGGGTGAGCAAGCGATTAAATTAGAATTGATTTGGAAGGGATGTCTGCACACCATCCTTGGCTTTGGAACAAAATTATCCCAAAAGTTCTGCATGAACCAACCAGAGAGGAAGAAGACACTACTGGGAAATTTCAGGCTTCGGATGTAATCTTCAACTTCGGCCTTGCTATCGAAATGCTCGACAGTGGTGAGTTGTCCTTTTGACATCTTCGTAACATCTGGCAGAGAGGACCAGATCATCAGAGATACGCCTGCTGCTAATGATGCATCGGCAATGGTCTTGCCTTGAGCAATTTCGGCTTCGGCACATGCTTTATCCCAGACTGTGGGAGGTGAGTCAGTACGTCTTCTGATGCTTGTTGGGGGCACGTAACATACAATTAGTCATGGCAAACACAGCGTATTCTCCCTCGAGAGCTGCTCTTAGTGACGGAGGATCATTCATATCCGCCTGAAAGAGATCCCCAGTCAGATAATGCGGAATTTTCGTGGCCCCGTCTTCCAGCTTACTTCGATGACCCCCACACCGCGGGCTTTGAGCTGAATCGCTTGCTGCATTGAGGCATTTCGCGTGATCCCTCTTAAACTGAACTCCTTCGAGAAGGTCTCATGTTGCAGAATAAAGTCGATTACTGCGCCGCCATGCTGCCCAGTGGCTCCGAAAATAACGAAGACTTTGCTCATTGTGTGATTTGTTCCTATATCCAGGACGGTGTTTGGATGGAGCTGGTAGTTTCAGACACCCAGCAAACTCGGAGCATGAATTCTTTTTCTCTCGATATAAGTACTTGCTGGGTCATTCTCTACATCTATACTATTCATATTGATAATCCTAAATCCACCTTACTACCCGCCAGGATTTTGATATAAGTGATGACAAAGTTTCAACCTCAATGTGCGGAATATGCATTCCGCAGGCGTTGGGAGAAGTCCTAGGCCAACCACCGACGGTGTTCGGCGCAACTATTTCGTGAAGGCTTCAGAGATCGGCTTGTTCAAAGCTCCGCCTCCGAGAACGTCTCGACTGTTTCTATGTTGACGGAAACGAGGCGCATAGACACGTGCTCCTTTCCATAATCCTATGTCTACCAAAGTGCAGATCCGGCTACAAACCCCGTATTCGTAAAGGTCGGTACAGAGTTAGTACCGCCTGCAAATGTCACTGGAACCGCCTATGACAGGCCTCTGATCTTTCACTACTGTAGTATTGACTCGACTGCAATGCAACCCCCCTCCCCATAACCAATTTACCCGCGCCTAAATAACTACATCCTCAGCATGGCAAATATCCGAATACTCCGTCACCACATCCGAACGTGTGACATGACAACAATTGGTCATTAAGGTGTCGATCCGACCCCGCCAATTGATAAGTTCTGGCTCTTAAGAGATATCAACCTTCTGAGGTGACAAACCAGCCCTAGACACATTCTGATCTTCTTGCTCCCTCTGCCAAACCTCTCCACATGCAGTACGATAGCAGCTTTGATTCATTGCAGACAATGGACTCCTTCCAAAACAAAGTCTACGCAATAACAGGCCTAGCCGGCATCGGCCTCGCTGTCGCAAAGCAACTCCACGCCTGCGGCGCACGACTCTCTCTCGCAGACATATCTCCTTCAACTCTCACAGCCGCCATCGCCGCCATCACCCCTTCAACGCCAAACCCCTCGACTATTTTAACCACGGTGCTCGACATCAGTTTCTCTGCTGCTGTGAACGACTGGATCACATCGACAGTGAAGCACTTCGGCCGCCTCGACGGCGCAGCAAATATGGCCGGGACGATCGGTTCCCAGCACGGAGTTGGCAGAATCGTGGATCTGGAGGATGAAGAGTGGGAGATGTTGGTGCGTGTGAACTTATCCGGGATGATGTACTGTGTTCGTGCGGAGGTACGGGCGATCATGGAGAATGCACCGGATGGAACAGGGAGTATTGTCAATGCGAGTAGTATACAGGGGATTCGGGGGTTTGCCTTGCATGCGGCGTATTCAGCGACGAAGCATGGGGTTGTGGGGTTGACGAGGTCTGTTGCGAAGGAGGTTGGACCGGGGATAAGGGTTAATGCTGTTGCACCGTAAGTTGAGTTCTTCTTTCATTGTGATATTGAGAGGATGAAACTTTGGCTGGTCAGCTTGAGTCGTGCTAACGGGGGGACCGTTGTGTAGGGGATCGATTCAAACGCCGCTTCTAGAGAAGGCGACTGCGATTCAGGGTGGAGTTCCCTCGATGCCGACGGCGATTCCTCGGATCGGGACGCCCGAGGAGGTAGCACAGACTGTCTTGTTCCTGCTGAGTGATGCTGCATCGTATACTACCGGGCAGGTGTATAGTGTGGATGGTGGCTGGGACCCGTGATCGTAAGCGACTCGAGGTTGATGTAATACAGTTGAGGTATGTTGGTATGATATGAGTAGTCTAATTGCAATACAAATGGTGAAGCTAGTCTTGAAAATCTCGATTTGAAACATCCACAGGGTATCACTGAAAATTTGCAGCAGAAAGAGTCAAAGTCGCCATACAAGAGGTATAACATCATCATCGATGCAATGCCATGATCATCAGTGCTCGCCGTAATGAAGACCAGAAATTGAATAAAAACGCCGCCATGAGGTCTATCAATGGAATCGCTTGACAGAAAGAGCAAATGAGGAATCATCAAAAATCCAGTCGTCTGGACCGGGCCAAGTAACTATGACAGCATGCATAGCCATAAACCTGTTGAAAGTATCGAATCAGCAAGGAAAGGCCCCCAATTGCAACTGAAACGGGGACGGCGATCAGGGCCCACATACCGGACAAAATCATTAGAGGCCACCCACCAGGCAAGCGGGCGATGGTCACTGCGCCACTCTTAGTATCGATTCCGTCCAAGACCACGGGCCACCCATTATCGTATTTCAAATAATTGTAGCCCAATTGCGCTTGCTGTAAGACCCCGTCAGCATCCCATCCAGAAACCCCCAAACAGAAGCAAAATGGACATACCTCGTCCGTAAACCCGATCGAAGTGTTCAGGTAATGATAATAAAGTATATCCGGCATGGAAGAATTCCCAGGCAACACGCCAAGCCCGCCAGGGGCATAAACCAGCCCGTGGTTCGAAGCATAAATGATCGTCCCACCGCCGTCGAGAAGCGACTTCCCCTCACGATCTACAAAAGGCCCCCGCACGGCCCGCGACCGACCAACGCGGATATTATACTCATCGCCGCGCGCAGGGAACCCGCGCACATCAAAGCTGCAGCATTTGCCATGGCTGAACCACACATAGTAATAGCCATCGTGGTAGCTCATCCACGAGCCCTCCTCGGGTCGAAACGTCTGGTTCGGAATAAAGGTCAATTGCGTCGCGTTCGGCTTTGCGGGAGTCTCAATCGATAGCCAGTCACTCGAGAGTGGTAGTTGCCAGATATCGTGCCAGTAGCTGCCGTAATTGAGGTATGCTTTCCCGGTGGCATTGTCGCGGATAAACGAGGCATCGATCGCATTGCTTATCGTAAAGGGCCACACATCAGAACCATTGCCCTGACCCGTGCGAATCATTGCGCCGTGGTCGGTCCAGGGCGATCCGTCGAGCGTGGTACTGGTCGCGACGCCGATTGCGCTATTGCGCGAGCCGTGCGTGCTCAGTGTGTAGAAGCAGTAAAAGGTCCCATTGCGCTCAACCGTCGTCGGCGCCCAAGGGCGGGACCGATTCCCCTGGTGGATGATACTATCGCTATCCAACACGGTTCCCACTTGCGTCCAGGGCCCGCTCATGTTGGCGGCTTTGAAATACGGCACATGCCAACCTCCCTTAAAGAGGTAGTAGTGATCATCCCAGTAGACCACATTTGGATCGTGGACTTGCAGATTGCCGACGTTGGGCAGCGGTATCGTATCCGTTGTTTCGTATACTTGCGAGGGCGTGGGGGTTAATAGTCCGGATGCCGGACTCGCTCTCACGAGGGCGACCAGAGCGGCGACCAGCAGTAGTATGCTGCTGCCATACATGGCGAGTAATATAGCGGGATATGCTGGAATCGGCGCAATAGATTTCTATGTACAATGCAATGAGCCCCGCGCGGCAGGACTTGTCAAATCGGCCGATCAGAAGCTGAAGTGGAGGGTGAAGAGTTACGGCCTAGGCGGCCATGAGAGAAGATTGCGAGTCAATGGCTATCGTGTCGCGCGGTACATTTCTGTGGTTTAGAGGGGAAATGGCCGAGAGGGACGAGGAGCAGTCGTTAACTTGGATGAGGGCGACGGGACAAAGCAATGACTTGAAAGAGATCGAGGAGTAGATCAAAAAGTTGTATAGCGTAAAAGGCCCGCGAGAAAATATGAAGAAAGGAAGGAATAGATAATTTCAAGGGTAGAAAAGAAAAACAGCACAGCCATGGAGCTTGTGCAGGGTCCGACGATCGACTGACTTTAATTTACTCCGTAAAGCCAAGTGATTTAGGCGGCCAGATTTGGAGACACAAACGAGGGGCCAACTCCAGTGCCGACCAAGATAGTGTGGGACATCTCGATAGTTAACTACGGGAAGGTACCCGCTTGATAACCGTGGGAACCAGAGCCAGACTCACCGTACCTAACGATAACCTTAGCATCAACGTATTTAACAAACTGTTCGCTGTGCGGCTGTGCAAATTGGGGGCCAGGTGCTGTTCTGCTCTGCTATCTCCTACTCTCCTCCTCTCGTCCAGACTTTCTCCCGTGTCTCCATCTCGCCTCTTTCATCGCCAAGCTAATCGGCCTGTCAGAACACGTGTTGCGCGCACGCAGGGGCGGCCAGCCCGAACGTTGATTGGGTCCAACGGGGTCCGAACGGTCGAGTTCAAAGGAGCGATTGGGTTTGGGCTTGTCTCGTGGCTATCCCCCTTTCCCCTCTCTCATAGAAGTCTGGTTCCTTTCATTGAATTCCGTTGTTCTCCACCAATAACACCCATAGCTTGGATTTTAACCTCGTCGTGTGTGGGCGGATATTTCTTTTGTTGGACTCTGGTCTCGTCTCTGGGGTATGTTGTGATCCCGGAGTACCTTTTACCCCCCGCAAACCCTAATTCGATATGGATTATCTTAACCTTCACCGAGTGAGCAACAACTTGGTCACCGTCAGCCCCATATGAATCGCCCCCACACTCTTTTTTTTGCCCGCGCTAGTCCACTTTCCCGAGGCTTGGTAGTTGTCCATTACGATTGCAATGCTCGCCGAGAGGGTTGGCGCTAGAGATCTACAAACGATCCGTCGCAAGGCTTTGCGAAATAATTGCATGGAGATGAAACTAAGGCTCATAGTTCGGTTTATCTGTGGATTCATTTCCGAGAGCAACCCGGTGTATAGTCATCATGGCCCTTGCAGGGCAGAAGCGGATCGTCGCGGGCCATGATTTCATCGTGACTTACATCGTGTGATCTCAGTACGATTCTCCACGAAAGGTGAGTGTAGGATGTATGTGGTAATGGCTGGAGATACACAATATCGACTCTGAGAGTAGAACGGGACTATTTTGATGCCGCGTCATTTTCAGGAGATGGAGCATTCCCATGTGATGAAGTCATGGGATACACAGTGCTCTAGATGATATTGTGATGTGGCAATATTCATGCCCTCGATAGATTCAAAATATGCAAGAACCCCCCTCGTACACTTATCAACCGTCTGAGCTATCTAGCTGTACAGGGCAATACCCGTCAAGTCCTCCCAGTCAAAGACATCCAAGAAAGGATCAAAATCGCCAGGTGGCTATCAAGTGAAAAAGATGGGTCAGTCGCAACCGGATTCGACATGAAATAGTTTACTTTGACGTACCTTAATACCAAGATTTGGCGGCGGGCGGATGCCATCAATGTCAGAGGGTAGCACCGGGGCCATGCCGGGAGTCGCAATGAACGAGGCGACCTAGCATAGTAAATGACACGTCAGTATCTCGCCAAATATCCAGTCCGATGAGCGGTGTGGCAAACCTGATTATTTTGGAAACTGCCCATCCCCGGTTTACCCAGGTGCTCACAATTCGCATGACGGGTGAAGAGCGTCTGCGCAAATGAAAGAATACGCTCGACTACTTGCTGCTTGTACATGGCTGCCTGGGTAGGCCAGATTTTGGCTTTGACCAGGGCTACGATTGTGGAGAGGAAGAAATAGTCTTTGGCTCCCTTGACCACTAACATGAATCGAACTTCAAGGGAGACCAGGACTGTCTCAACGAGGGAAAGAAGCGAGTCTGGGAGACCGGGTATAGTATGCAGGAGGAAGACGGAGGATGAAGGATGAGAATAGTGAGCTGTGATCGGTCAATTAGCTGATGTCAAGAAGTTGATACGGGAAGTGATGTTCACAGTTTTGATGATCCGAGGTATGCAGCACCTGGCACATGGAGATGTACGCCTGCAGAGTCCATTCACCAAGCATACATAGTGACAATGACTGTGAGGTTTCGTGAAGCCGCTTCTGCGTCGAGAGGATCATGGTTGCTGCATCCAGACGAGATCGTGCCGAGAGTGAGAACAGCGGTTCCCTCCTTGATTCGATAGCGAACGGGGTGTGAATGGAGAGCAAGCTTTGTGCCAATTTCGTCTCGATGGTAGCTTTCCATAGGGTAATCTTGTGCTGAGCAACAATGTCATTGACATCATTCGTGGTCCATTGAGGGATCCGGGAAAGCTGTCGATTCAATTCCCAATCTAGGCGCTGAATCTCTTCGTAGCGACAACTGACCCGAGGCGAGTGCATCAAGTGGCAGGCCTTGAGTCGGAGCGCAAGAGACCGACTCAACGCACACTGAAAGGATGAATCTGTGATCTCGCTCAATGGTCGGTCTGCTGGGGTTTCGGTGGAGCCTTCATGGATTTCGTCGTCGTCGATGTTGATAGGAGGCAGTGTATCGTAATCTAAAGTTTGGACCGATGGTGGCATGCCTCGGTCAATAGCCACTTGCAAATCCAGCTCTACAATGGTCATCCAGATGCGCCTGCGCATCTCTTTGTTAAAGATCGAGATTCGAGCGTATTTATCCGGATCCCGATGATAGCCAGAGAGCATTGCCTGCTTAACCAATGTGCTACTCGCAAGCCATGCCTTACTGCGTTTCATGCCAAAGCAATTTTGCGCCATGATCAGCAGAATGTAGAGCCGTAGCGAAGTAAGATCAAGCCGCTTGATATGTGCATTATCGATCCACTTTTCTGCATGCAATACCCATTCCATTGCCGTATAGCATTTCAGTGGAGTAGCGCTCTTCTCTTGAAGAATAGCCACATCGGCCAAATTCCAAGCACAGGCCAATACCAAGAGCAGTTGCACGACAAAGCCAGCCGAAACAGCACCAGGATTATCCATTATCCTCCAGAATTCGTCCACCTCCTGAAGAAAGGTGGGGACATGGAAGATGCGGTGTGTGGACTCGATGTATGTTAAGTATACTCCGATCAGCTCGTCCACTACTGGCCGTGCCGGCAGTAGGGAGATCAGAGAAGTGAGCGTGGGTTCGGGAAAGGGCTCATTGAGCGGCTTCCGTTTCCATAGTCCTCGTTTCACCCGCTCTAGGTCGGGTCGCACCCGTGAGAGGATTGGGTTAGCCAGACGAATCTCTTCAGCAAAAGCTCTGATGTCAGGAAACTAGAGTGATAGTGAGTGGAAGAGAACAAAAGGAGCAAAAAGAGGAACATCCTTCAGTCGAGCATCGCCATGAGAATAACATACCTGAGCAACCACATTGGCAAAGATACCCGACCCACTAAACCGAGTCTTGGTCTCACGACCCCTCATCATCATGCGAGGGGCAAGATCCAATTGATGCGATGGAGAGAGTACATCCACCTCCTCATTACCACCATCTCCCCGGTTCATCTGCGACGAGAAAAAAGGGGTCGCCTCTTCCGGCACGGGGCGTTTCGGCCGCTGCAAAAGGCCCGTATTCACATAGGGTTCTTGATTCACGGCAGCTTTGGGGGCTCCCAAAACTGTCTCCAGGAAGCCCCTCTCCTTCCCCAAATGCCGTCCCCGGTGGTGCGGTCCACACTCTGGACGAGAAGTTGAGCCCGAATCGGGCGCAATAGTCGAAACGAGAGCTTCCGACCGAGTCGACGCTGCTCCGATCCCCGAGTCTGGGGGAGTCTCAATACTAATAAACTCCGTCTGCTCCGTCCGGGGAGGCATGGAGATGATCGACTGTCCATTTCCTTGATCCGCAGTAAAAGGTGCCGCGGTGACGGTGGTGGGCTGCTGCCACAAGAAGCCATCCTCGTAGGTGCATTTGGTCGGGGTTCGGCTCTTCAAGCAACGGGTGCACGTTGGATATTCGCGATCGCAGCGCAGTTTGCGACTACGGCATTGCGTGCAGGCCATCGTGCGACGGCGCCTTTTGCGCGGCCGATCTGGCTGCAACGCATCATTTACACCTCCCACATCTGCCATGTCAGTTTGAAGAGAGATACATGACACGAATATCCTAAGAGAGTACTTAGGGATCTCGTTACCTCCGAGGTGGAATAGGGTGTGCTTCAGCTTACGTGGTGTGGGTCCACTTGGAACTGCCAAATGCGGTAAGTCTGTCCGAAGAAGCCGTGCGACCGGAAATGTTTCCCCAACTTTGGCCCGTGGCCTGTGGTTTTCTCCAGATCTTTCGTGCTGCAAATCACCTCTGCATATTATTTGCATGGCTGGCCACAGTTTGGGCTGTCATACACTTGGTTCCCTTCACAATCCTGGTATGACAGGTATGGAAAACATTTTCTTCCCTCCTAAGCCTCGGCGCTTTCAGAGCGGTTTCTGAGCCACGGCCCACTTTGCTGCAGCGATCTGGCGAGGTGTTGTGCCTTTTCGAGGACTGCTCGTTTCAAATCGTGTCAGTCCAGTCTAGATTTGGACTTGTCCGTGAGACACCCCAAGAGAAGTGGCTTTCCAGACATTTAATCTTGCCAGCTGTGGCTGAGATGGGGTGTTGTGCATTATCCCAGAACAAGGATTCCTACAGATGACAAAATCCAGTGTTGATAGCTTGACGTGCATCCCGCGTGAGAGATATAAATTAATCGATCATGATATGCCTCTAGATAGGGTCTAGAAGCCGTAATTCGGTCTCCCGCTTCATTGGCACATTGGCAGTCAATTGCATTACGGACCTGCTAATTCCCTCCGAATGATGCTAACATCACTGATATCATGGCCACTGTTGATCGATAATGTTCTAACTTGTAGCACCACAGCTACCCACCATTCTGGCCGACTTACGTCGCCCTGTTGCGAGTCGTGTTTACTGCGTGGTCAAGATTTGGAGCGGCCGCATAAATCTGGACTTCATCGTCGGGCTCAACGCGGTATGTCGCTACCTGTCCTAAGGGCATATCTACGCTGCCAGGTACCCGGTAGGCATGCAGCTCTCCGTTCCGATAACGTTTGATCGCAGTTTTCATGATTGAAAAATAAGAATGGGTGACTTGACTGGGAAACCGTAGGGACCTTACTTGGATGGATAGAGCGAAGATAGTAAAGATGGACGTAGAGAAGGATCCAGGCGATTAGAGGGAGATGACGAAATACTTGATCTAGTTGTCTCGGTCAAAGACTAAAGCTCCTGGACACAACATAGGCGTTACAATGAATATGGCCCTACAAGATGCTGACGGTGTCGTCGACGATAAAGACCAAATTCTTGAGGTAGGCTTTCACTCAGGACCCGATGATTCAAACTTAGCAATGATGTTCCAGCGAGACCTTTTCGCGAAAGACCCGTGGAACGGTCACCCTCAATCGAGCGACTACTTCTCCCCACAACTACTGCATGACCCTTGGAACCGGAGAAACGGTCTACAGAGGACTAGAGCAAGTTTCCATCTCAGAATACCAGGGACAGTTCGACCTCTCCGCTCATGCAGCGGACGTCCTTGGTATTGATCGACACAATGTGGTCGATTTCCAGGTTTCCGAACACGATCTGCCGCTCCTTAGGGAATTGTTGAGAAAGGTCGTGACTTGGGGTGTTCCGAGTCAAGTCTCTCAACTACGTTGATTTTCTTGATCTCAATTGGTTATGGCAGGAGAATAACCGTCTTTATGTTAGCGTTAGACTTGGATGAGCATCGCTGGGGAGACAATAGAAAGGCGATGGCGGATTTGTTTCAAACATTGCTCGACTTCTTGCTCAATAGGACACTCTAAGAAGACAAACATTGAACTTAGATGAAGACTTATCTGCTCTAAATGTCCAATTTTAGCCAATCTCCAATGCCATTAAGGAGGGATCAATTGTCAAGTGATCACATACAGCGGAGTGGAGGAAACTCGCTCTCGTGCGCATTCTCAACTCGGATCATTCCAAGCCTGGTGTCTTTGTGGAACTGCCTTGGTTGCTGACGGAAGAGCTTCCATCATGGGATATCCATCAACAAGAACAAGCAGCTGAGTTTCCTGATTGTGACAGCATGGAACGACTGGAATACTTGAACCTAGCTCCGAGGAGATATCGAAGGATGCTGAGTTGGATGGTTGGCCTCGGCAGGCGATATCTGAGCACCTGGCTGGTGATGATTCCTGCAAGATATACGCACTCAAAGTTTGGTATGATTCATTATTGGGCAGGCTCTCTCTATCTTGAACTGGTTACCGGGTCGACATCACCCACGATATTGACAATAGTCCGACAAGCTCAGCTCATCTTTAAACAACTACAAGACGTTATAGGAAAACTAGAAAATCTTAGCTCATACACTTATCAAGGTCCACAGATTTATCTCAATATATAATTAGTCAAGTCTTACGTATATTCACGGTGCCAGTTAGTGTCAACATATAGCGTTGTGGTACATAGCAACGAGGTAAACGGGAAGGAATCATATATAGAATCGTCGCATGCCCCTCAGAGCGCGGAAGTCCCAAGCGCAGTGAGTCGTGAGTCCCATCACTTTGATTGGACCGGCCTTGGCAGTTTAGTCTAAAGTCAAACGGCAATGGTGCCTGACAAGGTACAATTTCGAATCCTGGTGGATCCTCACTCATCGGCTTTAACGGCTCGGGGAAATGTTTCTCGGAGATACCTCCACCACAGGGACTATATCAACCCAGGCAGCCACAAAGTCTCCAACCAAGGACTAAATCTACATCTAACAATCCACAGACCTAGATACGCAACCATACTTCCAACGCGATCGCGACCATGTTACGCTCATTGCTGTCCATCGCCCGCGGCTCCGAGCCCAATTATGTTTTCCCCAAAGTGAATCCCGAGAAAGACGGGCCAGACTGTCTGAAAGATTGCGCGGATTGCACGATACAGTTTCCAGCGAAAGTGAAAATTGAAAATTCCATGCCACTATACGGTCACATCAAGGAGTTTCACTCGCACGTCTTGGTCGCGACGGGGCAGTCTGACTGGAAAGAGAAGATTGGACAAGTGAGGGGAAGTTTAATGGAGGCCTTTGAGGATTCTTCGGCAAAGTCAAAACGAGGTGTACGTTTGATTCCCTGACCATTGATTTATTTTCACTGGCTTACTCTACCTTTCAGCGCTACATGGTGTCTGCATCCAATATTCAGCCACCCGATCACCTTGGCAAGGAGATTGAGGCCGACCAACCCACAACGGTTCTAATCTTGCCCTCGTTCACATTTGTGGATTCCGTCTCTCAGGCAGATGTTCCCAACTTGGTTCACCAATTCATCGACAGTCCCGTCGACGGAAGTAATGGCGCTGGCCAAAATAGTCACGAGGCAGGAATGACCACGCGGCCATGCGAGCTCGACTATGTGGTTCTACTCTGTTCGCATAAGCGACGAGACGCACGCTGCGGCATTACAGCTCCTTTGATTAAACGCGAACTCGAGCGTCACCTTCGCCCTCTGGGATTGGATCGCGATGCTGATGACTCGCGGCCTGGCGGCGCGGGTATCTATTTCGTATCCCATGTCGGGGGGCACAAATTCTCTGCTAACGTGCTTATTTATCGGAAAAAAGATCAGCAGATGATTTGGTTGGCGCGTGTAAGACCTGAACATTGTGAGGGAATTGTGAAATACACGATACTCCAAGGGAAGGTGGTGCACCCCGAAACGCAGCTTCGGGGCGGTTTCGATCGAGTACGGGGGTTGACGAGCTGGTGATTGGAATCTTAAAGGATACTTCGCATGGTGTCTTATCAGCGAGACAGAGAGCATTATGGAAATCGTTAAATTATGGCTAATGCCTAATAGACAATTAATGGAACACGTTTTAAGATATCACGTTTCACTCCGTTCAAACCAGATTTGATGCTCTTTCAGCGCAGGCTCCAGTCTCAATCCGATCTTCTTGACGACTCCCGACACATCGATGTAGAATTCTGCAGCTATGGGTTGCATCGCAGCAAGATTGCTGGACTTCATTTTCGCAACGAAGAAATCGCCGCTAGCATGCGTAAGATTCAGGTAACCGGGAATGGCTCCTTGAGCTGCATCAATACCCAACTTTCCATCATCGCCTAAAACGACAGGAACCCAGTTGCCCGATGGGTGCCTGTACGTCCCGACATACTTCTCAAGCGGCAGAGTATGAGGAACGGGAGGATCGGCCAAAGAGGGAAACAAGTTTCTCTTGATAGCATCCATATCTTCAGGGTGGTACTTGAGAGTTTTCTCCTTGATCTTCTCATGCTGGGCATAGAACTCTGCCATTTTCTCATCGTGCAGTGGATCATCAACAGGCCCGAGCAGCTTATCCAAGAGAAGAACAGCGAGCCTGAAAAGAACATAACGTGCGGAATTGGAGTTTCCCATAATGGCAAAGCCAAACTTCTTCTCAGGCAAAAATCCCACATAAGAAGAATATCCAGGCCAACCCCCCGAATGCGCATAAAGATGCTGGCCGCGGTAGTTGTCAACAAACCAACCTAATGCGTACGCGTGATACGGCGTGGGGAGATTGATATCGCCGGTCTCGAAAAGCAAGGTCCGCGGTTTGGTCAACGAGTCGTGCCCCTTCAATGGCCCAGTGCGATGTATCAATTCACGCACCCAACACGAGTAATCCAGAACATTGCTGACCATCGTCCCGGCGCCCATATTCGGTTTCCAATTTGCCTCTGGTTCCTCGAACCAGTGTCCGCCAATTTCATCCGGGATCCATGTATACCCCTTGACGATCTTGGCTGCACTCGATGGGTCTTTCTTGGCCTCTTCGGTCGAGAAAAAAGTCTCCTTCATACCAAGAGGATCCCAGATGCGCTTCTTCATGAAGGCGGCAAGTGGCTCCCCGGTATGCCTTTCTAGCAAATGCGACATGACAATGAACATGTGATTAGTGTATTGGAATTGAGTCCGAGGAGGGGCTGAGAGAGGCATATGCCTAAGCGAGCGAACCAGATCAGACGCTATAGTATGTTTGTCACCATACGTGACCGGCCATATGTGGTTGGGAAAGCCAGATCGATGCGAGAGGGCGTCTTCGAGGGTGGTATGCTTAGTAGCATAGTCGTCTGATAGAACAAAGTCTTCTGGGATAACAGATGAGATCGGAGTATCCCAATCAATTGGTGAAGGACTGTCTTTGCTATCTTGAATTGCGAGTGATGTAGCTGCTGCTGTAAATGCTTTGGTGGTGCTTGCGGCTGGGAATATCGTGTCTGTGGTCATCTTCCTATCGGGGAATTCGGCGATGCCGTAGCCCTAATATGGGACTAGCATACGAGGGAGTTATTGATGGGGAGTTTGTTCTAGGATCATTACCTTTGAGAATGTATCTTCATTATGCACGACCGCGATAGAGAGTCCAGGGACCTTCCATTCTTCTAATGCATCTTTGACCCAGGTATCGAATGCTTCGTCGAATGGAGAATGAGTAGGCATGGCTTTAGAATTGTCTGAAGAAGGAAAAATAAAAATAAATTGCAGTCCCATATGCCAATGGTAACGACCTGCTATTGACGTCTTCAATTTGATCGAGAAACTAAGTAAGTATTTATAATTCGGGCTTGGGCGTAAAGAGTCATGGAAGGGCATACGGTTCCCCGCGCCGAGTGAACGCCACGTTTCTGACACGAAAGCCCATTGGCGTTTGAGGTAGGCCACCAACAATTCGGAGACCAAATCTGTCAGCCTGGTTGACACATCGAGTGTCATTCATTCAACGGAGGGGTCCCATAGCAGTTTAGCCTGAATTAAATCGGTCCAATAACCCCGAGTGTACGGAGTAAGCAGCAATAATAGGTCCTTGGGTGGATTGCGGGCCAGGCACGCGACGTCACCGCGTTAATTGATTTTCGCGTTTCGCGTCGATTCTTCCCCCCTTCCTAGGCGTCTGGCCGTATCTTCTGCAACAATGGCCGACCACGTCCTAAATTCGAGCGCTGAGGTTGCGTCAAGGGCAGTCAATCTCCGTGCAGAATTAAAAACCTGGGAGAAGGAGTTTGCGTCCACACATGACGGTCGGAAAGCTGGTCGCGAAGACATCAAGCAACATCCCGACATTGGTAAGTGACCGCTTTTTGGGCACCAACTTTCAGGTCATCGGATGAGCTTGAAGTCGCTAATATTGATGGGCCCTGTTCTAGCCGCAAAATATAAGGAATACGGTAGACTGAAGGCGCTAGAGTCTTCATTGAACCGGCGCGAGAACCGACAGGAATCATCCGACGCCCAGTCTAAAAAACGAAAGCATGCTTCTCCCACAGGACCAGATTCAGCGCAACCAGTCGCGACGCCCCGAAAGTCGGCCAAAGGGCTTTTTGCGACACCATCAAACAGCCGCAACAAGCAGATCAACCACGTAGACGAATTTGTTTCGCCCTCGACATTCCGCAAGCTATTCAGCCCTAGCGCACATCGTCAGAGCGCACCAGCACAGTCACCTCTCAAAGCTGCAATTGGACCAACACCGCAGCGCGACGGGAAAGCCCTCGGTTTATTCGACATGCTATCAGAATCGGGAGGAAGCAACGCGACACCATCAGCAAAGAAGCAAAGGGACTTTTTAGCTGCAGGGTTCCTGACACCATCTAAGCCTAAAACATTTGAACCTATAGCCGAAGTTCCTGAAGAGGAGGAGGAAGAGGAAAGCACTCGGCTTTCCCGCACGCCCGCATCTTCAACCAAGCAGTTCTACCTGGCCAATCTCTTCGCAACTCCAACGACTATGCGTTACGCTGCTATGGTGGAAAATGACGATGAAAGAGAAGATCGAGAAAACACGCGCCCAGTTATTGACGCTCCTGCATCGCCAGAACCGAACACCTCCGAAACCCCATCCTTCTTACGACGAACCAATATCAACAGACTTCCACCTCCAACTTTCAATGATCAGAGCGCGGGACTCAGTCCTATTGCATCCCGGAAGCCACTACAGTTCGCAGGAAAGGGATTAACGCATTTGGTCCAAGGCCTACGGGCCATGGAGGAAGAGCGCGAGGATGACGAGTGGGATATGCTTCGGGAGATCGAAGAGGCGCAAGAAGCAGCGAACTTCGAGGTTCCTCAAAGTCAGGTTATGCCGGAGAACCAGCGTCCATATAAAAAGAAGGGGCAGAAGCGAACAACGCGAAGAGTCATTATGCGGCCAGTTGCCCCTCGGCCAAAGCCTCGCCCTAATACCAGTCTGCCCCCTGTTGAAGAATATCCAGAAGAAGATGATGATGAGCTCGTTGCAGTTCCTGAAACTCAACTCCCAGCAGGCTCCGAAGTCGTTGACGAGACCTATCATGAGGAAACTATAGGCGACGACGTGGCCTCTTTGCATACCATGTCTGATCCGGAATCTGATCCAGAGGAGCCTGATGCAGACTCTGACGACGATCCAGAATATGGCGAGCCAACGAAACCTTTGACCAGGGCGAAGAGCTTCTCCGAGCGTATAAGGGAAGCAGTCTCCATGGCCAAGCCTCCACCCAAGGAAGAGCCATCGAAAGCATTACCGGTCCCGGAGAAAGAAGAGAAGGCACCCAAGACCCGAATGATCAAGGCCAATACCCAGGCCCATACGAATTACCGCAGTTTGAAGATCCACCATAGAGGAGGATCTCGTGGCCATGGGCGATTCCGCAGGCGATAGATGCTGTGGCTGAGGTACGCTAATGTTCACGAAGAAACGATTGCATTTATAATTAGCATAAACGGGTCCTGGACGGTCGCAATTCACACATCTAAGATACAGTCCAACCCTCATTTGATTTTTCTGTCAGATTTAGAAGAACCTATAGGAGAACCTAGTATATAAGGCCAGCATTGTTTACTATACCGTACTATGCTAGTCGGGAATATATCGGTCCAGAAGATGCCGATTCCGCTCTGGCCATGGAGCACGTCGATGTGAACCCCGAGTCCTAGGTGCAGCCATCCTCCGTGCAGATGGCTGTGAACTTTCGGGCCTCGAGACCCGATCGAATAAGCTCCGGTCGCGTTCTCGGGCAGGCGATGCGCTACGGGCGCGCGTCGAGCCTGGTTGAGTAGAGGCATCACGACGATAGCTGGCATCTCGCCACTCCTTATCGCGGGAGGCAGTCCTTGATGCAGGATACTGCACATGCCGATCCCAGTCCTCTAACGAATCGTAAGGGCTTCGCAGCCACGCCAATAATTCGTGGAGAAACAAACGAGCGTTGTCCCTCCCGAGGAAATCGCTCAGCAATTCTTCTGCTTGTCCGGCGCTCCCTTTGATGTCCACGGTACGCAAAATAGCAACGACGTACTCGAGCAAGAACTCGGCATTATTTGCCCTCCGTTGCTCTAATCGCTGCTGTCCCGAGCGAGGCACGGGATCCCGCCGCTCTTCCGGCGCATCCTCTGCCCCCGGGTGCAGAAAGCTGAACACCTGCAATTCGCGACGGATCCATTTGCGAGCGCGCGATACAAGCGCTTCATCACGGTTGAAATCCACCGGTGTCACCTCAGTGTATTGGGAAAGTCGATTCGACCCGACCCGGAGAGAGTATAGCTGATGACGATACACATCGCGACGGACAGAAATCGGATTGTTGGGCGAAGGCTGAGATCGGGGCAGATTATATCTTTGTCGACGTCTGTGTCCTCTGAATCGCTGCTCGTGTGGTATATGGGCGCGGGCTGTGGTTCCGGGAACAGTGACGGGAGGTACGACGTAAGTTTTTGGGCCTTGAGGTCCCTTCAAGTCATACTCCACAGCGGTGAGAGTAACCTTACCTGTGTCATATTGACAGTCAGCTACGTTTCGCGGGTATGTCCAGGCCGACTTACATAAAGGACAATTCGGCTGCTGCTCTATCCAACTAAGCAGGCACAGATAGTCGAAGTTGGCATGACGGCAGGGTACTCCAACGCATGGCTCTGTGATGGTCTCCAGACAAATAACGCAGGGATCAGCACCTTCTGTCTCTTCGTCCGCTACCTCCTTGAGAGTCTTCTGGAGGATTTGTTGCTGCAAATCTCCATTCTCTGCCATGAACGCTGGGAGTGGAGAAGTGGCGGACAGGAAAGAGCTGTCGCTTGCAGTTGCTTATCGCAGTGCTTATCGCCAAGTCACGTTCGAGGCAAACGGGACCGCCCGCGGCAAAAAAACCCTCGATCGAAGCTTCCAAAGCTGTCCAGGATCAACTAATAATTCGCGAGCCATTTCTGCGAGACTGGATCCCTCCTTTCGGTTGCAATCTCAAGATCGGCGCAACTCTCGCGAGATGAACTAACCCTGGTAGATTGCGGGCCGCTTCTACAACGTTGAGACAAAGACGCGCATTCGAGTCAACGACACACTCGAGATAAGGACGCCGTGATAACCCCCGATGCGTTCAGCGAAACAAGTTATTTCGGAGAAATTTGCACGCCTGGGGCCTTCAGCCTCCACGATGTCTTACGGCACCGCGACCTCTCAGCGGGGTCCTTCACATACTCTGACCTCGCTCAAGCGCTGGTCAGTCGCGACCAAAGAACTCCCAGGTGAGAGGGCCAGCGGAATTATGAACTATTCTGCGAAAATGGAGCTAATCGTTATATTTGTGGCTTAGCCGTTTCACAAATCAAAACAATTCATGTCTACGACTTTGACAATACTCGTGAGGATCATATAATATGTCGTCAGCCTACATGATCGCAGATCTGACTGAACCTTTTTCCCTAGTGTTTCTGAGCCCTCTCCCCAACCCGCAATTATGGAACGGCTCAACCATCGGGTTCCTACAGGCCTGGGAGAGCTTCGCAAACGGTGGATGGTGGCACGATCCTAATATTCTCTCTGCTACCGGCAAGGGAATAGAGGTCGAGGAACCAAGAGCTTGGAATGGTTGGTGGAACGAGCAAATTGTGTGACCCCCGGTCTTCAGCTGTGACTTGACACGTTACCCTTGACTGACAGTTCTGAAAGTTGCGCTTGGTCAAATTGAGCATGGATCAAAAGGATGCACTGACCGTGCTCTTAACGGGTCGGGGTGAAGCCAACTTTGCCTCTATCATTAAGCGCATGGTAGCCACTCAAAATTTGGACTTTGATCTCATCGGTTTGAAGCCAGAGGTCGGGCCAAATGGTCAACAGTTTGCATCGACCATGAAATTCAAGCAAAATTTCCTCGAGGACCTTGTTCTTACTTACGACCAGGCTGATGAGATTCGGGTCTACGAGGACCGTGTGAAGCAGTAGGTCTCTTTATTCCTGGCGGGTTTGGTGTCGCAATACTTATATCAATGTACAGTGTGAAAGGATTCCGAGACTTCTTTGGCACGCTGAACCGGAGCTTGCAAGCTGGCAATGGCCCGGTGCCTCGAAAGCCCCTCAATGCTGAAGTCATCCAGGTTACCGAGGGATGCACCTACCTTGATCCTGTTACTGAAACTGCCGAGGTGCAGCGAATGATAAACTCCCACAACCTTCTCCGCCGGAACTCGTCCTTGGCAAAGGTCAAGTCACGACCCTCTCGGCTGCGTATTAAACGTACAGTATTCTACACAGGCTATCTCATCTCTCAACAGGATTCGCAGCGCATCATTGATGACCTACTGAGTCCAATGTTGCAGCATGCTGAGTCAAATGATCTGAAGTACATGGCTAACAGCATTCTGATCACTCCACGCCCTGCCACTCAGACAATTCTGGGTAAAGTTGGAGGCATGGGAAAGAAAGTCAGCTGGCAAGTGACTGGACTAGGAGTGCTCGAAAACAAGGTTTGGGCGGCTCAAGTAGTGCCCATTCCGTCAAACGAACCCGTTCACACGGAGAATCCCACGCCACTGATCGTTCTGGCCTGCCGCAGGGGATCTCGTCCAGCTGATGCAGGCAAGATTAATAACTGGCAACCTATCCCGGCCGGACTAGCAATGAAGATTGACACCGTTGTCGGAGAAAAGGTCGTCTTGCGAGTTGAGGAAGACAATCCGTACGATGGCGAGTGGGACAACCAATATGTCAACCGAAGCCACAAGAGGCGCCACCAACAGGAACGTGATGAAGATATTCTCTACCCCCAGACAGGCCAAGGCAGCGGCGGCTATGAAGCTGTGAACCAAGGACAGTCACATGGTTATCACCCATACCAGCGTTCAGGTGGCGACAATCGACACTCCAACGATGAAAGCTCCCGACGAGGTTCTCACCGAGGTCGCGGTCGTGGAAATAGCCGTGGCCGAGGCTCTGCTCGCGGAGGTCGTGGACGTAGTCGTGGCGGTCGCGATGGTGGCGCAAATCCATACTACAAGTCACTTGATGACCAGGGCAGTGGCGGGTATGATGGATCTCACGACAAGGGTGGCAATGGAGGCGGAGGCTTTCCAATGGACTACTAAAGACCCTGGCGTTTGCCTGAATGTGTGTGGTCGACTGAAGGGTATATATGCTATCCTGTCGCGTTTCTATGGCTTCTAATGCATTGGTTATGGCGCACATCGGATACGGAGCCTGCAATCTGCAGACGTGGTTGTCTCTTCAGGCTTTAGTCTATCTCTTTGAACAAACATACTTTTACCGTCCATAGCAGAATAGATTCATTATGCTCCTGTGGCCACTATTTTTTCGCTTCCTTGTTTCCACAGTTCTATTTGCTCATAGCTTGAGGGAGGCTTCATGCAAGACAAAGAGATGTAGCATGGACGCTTCATTCCGATACCATTCAATGGAATGTGTCTCCAACAATATGCCAACTGGAATAGGTATGACCGAAGGGTAGCAGGGCTAGATGATAGAGATAGGGACGATGTCGATTCCTGAAGGTTGTTGTACCATGAGCTTTGCAACAGCACCAGCCTGAGGAGTCAGTTGCCAGCGATGCCCAGCAATCCATTCGCTACCAACAATGATTGAGGAAAATGTCTAAAATGAAGCATAAAGATTGGTATCTTTTGATTGAGTTTCATTTTCGGGGATCCAGCTATCTAGGAAGGCGTCAAATCGACACACCAGCAAAACACATTTTATGCAAGAAACATGAATCGACCAATCAGACCAGCCAAAAGCTTGATATATTCAAAAAATCGAGCGGGAAAAAAGGACATTGATTTATACATGAGTGAAATTATGATACGCCTGAGACCCACAAGGGGAAAAGCGTAACCAAAACGCCGGCCGCAAGGCTGTACAAGAAAATTTGAAATCGAACAGTTCATGACATTCAATCGAGGTCTGCTCGGCATATCGTCGAGCGCATTTCTTGACAAGATCATGAAGTAAGAGAATCGCTGATCCTCTGATATGTGCGTGAATCCCAAATTGTCCAAATCCAACCATTTCCATTTCCCGTTCTGGGAGTTATCATCCTAGATTTCGTGTTCCGTAGATTCCATTCCGTGTGTCGCGAGCCATTGTCGTTGGCTCGTAGAAAAAGATATTATTCGTATCCCATGCGTGTCGTTCGGTTATAAGGGCGTAGAGATATGTGTAGCGTGTCGAGGGGGTGATAAGTGCAAGGCATAACAAAACAATTCAACAAATGATGAAAAAAGAAATAGCAATCGATCAACCAGCATTTAGTCCTCGTCCGTCAGTTTTCTCAGCATACTAATGCTCAGGATCATGATGAGGAGGCCGATGGTGACAATCACCAATAACACAAATCCAAACCAACCCAGTACCATGGCGGAGGTGCCAACTCCGCTCTTGACGACGCTGTTACCGAAGTCTTGGGCTATCGTGGTGGCTGCAACGGATGCAGTATGCTGCCATAATACTGAGACGAGCACAAAGACAGAGGACACAAAGATAAGGGCAAGGGCGGCCTGGGAGACAGGTCGCGAGGGGAAGGGCTTGACTTCGACCGCAGAGCCAGACTCGTCGGGCTCCTCGTGCCAGCCGGGGAAGGTTGCGAGGAGGATGAAGCAGAAGAAAGCGAGAATGACGGCGACGATGCTAAACGCGAATTAATGACACCCAACAAGACATCAAAGTGCATTTGGGAACTTACAGGAGGTATGGAAACACTACCGCATCCTTGAATGTCGCCGCGATCCAGATCAAGTTGAGTGGGTCTGCATCGACATTTACAATCTCGGCGAGAGCAGTGGCATTGGCGTTACAGATGAACGAGCCATGGTCGGGTTGAACACAGATACCGAAGTACCCAACGCGGACTTCCAGCTCGGCACTGCTCACAATGTTGGACATGGCAGTTACCACGCCGGGGTCGACTTGTGCGAGATCGAGGACAGGCTTGTACTTCTCATAGTACATGGATATAAGGAATATATTGGGGATTTGCGGGGATGATGAAGAGCATCCAGCCAACAAGAGTGCTGTGAATGGTCAGTACACATTCCAATCTCATCGAGAAACGTGGGGAGAAAAGGCAGCGAATGTAAGCGATGACGTACATAACAAGATAATTGCGACGGCAATAAGAATCATCAACACATGGTGGTAGCCGACCATGGGAATGAATCCTGCGAATGGTGTTAGCAACACTGGTCTAACAAGTTCACGCAAAGTATCTGGGGTCCAACGTACGGCCAATGCCCTGCGCAAATGCAATTGCCATTGTGACCGGTTATGGCACACAAGCGGCCACCTCTCTCTAGATTGTCAAATAGACTCACTTCTCGGGTCTCCGAGAAGGAGTTTGAGAAGCTGAAGGCAGAGTCAGAACCTTCGATCAAACGCCCTGTGCCGGCGCCGGTATGATTCTCGACGAGAAGATGGAAGAACCGTCAATCGGCTGGGAAGATAAGATCGTTGGTATGGAATGTGGAGGATTAACGGGAGGAATGTGGAAGATCAGATGCGAAATAGGTCGAAGATCGAATTGATTCTGGTCGTCGAAGATCGAAGTCAAAGGCACACCAAGAAAGCAATCGAGTAGAATGAGGCGCTTCTTCGGATCTGGGTCGCACCTAGATAACAGTATCGACTGGTCAGATGCTTTAATGTCTTTCGCAAGGTCAAGATCGAGTTGTGTCCAAAGAGGAAGAATGTGTAGAAGGAATGGAAAGGGAGGGGAGGGAAAGAGAGCGTAGCTGCAGCCCAAAAATCCACGTCAGTCTCAAAATCGACACAATGAAGCCCTTGGAGGCTGGGGATGGAGACGGGGAGTATGGGAATCTGGGAGGCTGGGCCAACCGCCATTGTTTACTCTCCCGCTTCCCGGGAAACCAGATGTGACCGCCTTCGGTTTTAGGCGTTCTGCCAGGGGCAACGGGGTGGCGCCTGATCCTGACTAGTCCTAAATGGGGTTAACCTTGATCATCTTAAAGTTAGCCCCACCGTCATCCCCCCAGCCTCCAGTTTATCTGCCCGACCAACGCATAGTGTATGGAGTGTGGACCTATGGAGTCCAACAGGGTCTACACAGAATCTGGACACGGACTAATCATCCTCAATATTAATCAAACAAATTATGTTATCAGGATACTAGACATGCTTCGCCTAATCAACACAAGAAAATAAAACATGACTCCGTCAACGCCGCACCCGCCTTCTGATAGAAGGATCCCGTAGCCATGAAAATGCACACCTACAAAAGGTTGTTGTCCAGTCCAATACTCCATAATCAAAATCAAAATGCATGTCCTTAGTTCACTGCAAAGGAAAATCGCTTCAGATCCAATGTGGTGGTCTTTGCAGAAATGCCATGACTGTCCTCTTCGTCCTCGTCGCTGTCGGGGACGATCAGATCTTCGCTGCCCTGAATACAGTTGCGGGAGGATCTCGGTGCAAGCAGAGACTCTCCTTCGCTCTGTGAGTCCATGGAGTCGGCCTGACGAAGCTTGGTTGGAAAGTTGATGGACTGAGAGCGAGTGAGCGCTGCTTGGCCCATACGCTGCAACGGGGTCAATCGCTGGCGCTGTGGAGCTCTGTTCTGAGCGGCCACTTGGGGCGTCCGGGGCGATGCAAGTGGCATGGTCTTGTTCCCGGATTGGAAGACCGGGATTTTGGTCATTGGAGACCGGCTAGACGCAGCCTTGGAGCCTGCATTGAAGGTGTACTTTGAAAGGATCGCCGAGTTCTGTCGCTGGACATGATAGCCTAGGGCTTGATCAAACTCGCGATCTTCGGATGCTTCATCTACTGCTTGAGCTTCGTCTCTTGGCAGTGCGTCTCTCCCCTCCGTCCGTGGGATAGCTGGGCTATCTTTCTCGCCCGCGGTATCAACTTCTGCTGCTCCTTGCCCTCTGATAGGTGGTTCCATGGCATCTTTCACATCTTGCTTGGGACCTGGGTCAGGAATCCCGGAGAAGATATCTTCAGCCACCGAGTCATCGGAGAAAACATCGAGACCCGACTTGCGTTGTTTCTTGGTTCGAGAGACCTTTTGTCCGCTGGGGCTGGCTTGGTCTGCTTTGGAAGCAAAGAAGCGGCTCCGGAAGTCTGGACGCGCCGGGAGCTGATCATCCTCGGTCTCGGAGCAAAGCCTCTGTCGCTTAATGGGCTGAAGGGTAGACGCACTCGCGGTTTGAGCGAGGAACGAGTTGCGCTCAACACTACGGACCATAGGACTGCGGCCTTGGTCAGGCAGTGCCCGGAAGGAGGTTGATCTATTCGGCGTCGAGCGATAGGGCGAAAAGCTGGCTTGCCAAGAGTTGTTCGCATTCCGTTCCAGGAGCAGTTGCTGGCTCGGAGACGGGGTGAGACTGTTGGGATCCAGCTCGCCCAGCGGCATGCGCTTCGGGGTAAACATCGAACTGATGGGCTTGCTTGGCTTCAGCTCGGAAGATGACCCCAGAGTCTGACGGCGGATAATCCCCCGGGAGAATTTACCTGGAGCCACTGGCTTCAACTCAATCGGTTCCTTGGTTGTAGGGTCCAAGTCGCCGCAGGCCACTCCAGCCGCAATTTCCGCTGCCACGTCCGCGCCGATGAAAGGCAGCTCGTCAAGGTTGATCCCATCTTCGGGAGGTGTAAGAGTCACCAGCTTCTTAGCATTGGGACAGTAGACTCGCTGGTAGAGGAAAGTAAGCTCCGCCTGCTGAAACTTTGCGAGATAGTCAGCTGGAACCTGAAGATGGTTCTCGAATTGTAACATGCGCAAGGTCTTTTCCACAGTTCGGTGCTTGCGAATGCTGCGGTATGCGGTTTTCAATCCCATTTTGGGAATGTTGGCCAGGTAATCGCATCCACTCAGGATACACATCCGTCGGAAGTCCGCGTCACTCCAGCCAACCAAGCTAACTTCACGACACGCGGTGAATTCTGCCCGGTCGATCTCGATGCAATCCCCATGTTGATCCATTTTCGACAATAGTCTCTTCGCACCGAACACCAGCAAATCCGAGTCCTCGGAAATGATTCCATGGATGATGCCCTGTTGCTCAAGATATACCAGCTGGGCATCTGCTTCGTATGGGGCCACCACATATTGAACATTCATCTTCTTCAATTCCTCGATTAATTGACGGGCCATGTACGGCGTCACGTCAACAGCCTTCTGGAATTCTTGGTAGGCCTCCGGCAATCGACCTTTGCGTTGTAGATCGAGCCCTAGTGCCTTGCTCTGCTGGCGTCGTCGGTATCGATCCTGTTCGGTGCCGGCTTTGCTAGGGAGGTTGTCGCCATCGAAAACGAGATATGGGGTGACGCCGAAGAAGAGGAGCATGCGGACTCGATTAAGGACGAAATCGAGATGTCTGAGGGTCCGATGTTAGATAAAGATCGCACACGTCTAGGATGAACCATGCAGATTACTTACTTCCTCGTAGGCCTCTCCAGGACCAAGTCCACCGAGCAGGCCACTGTACCGCGGTGGAGCCATCCATAGGCATCGACGCCAAGGGTCTGTCCATTCAAATTCTTCAAATGACATGGTTTTTGTATGGACTTGAGAAGCCCATGAAGTCCTATGTCTTGTCAACTCACACCATCCCTCCCCTTGACTCGATCAAGGGCACATGACATACCCTTGATACCCATGGCGGGCACCGTTCAAAGGACAAGCGGGTCCTCGTATCTACTGGAGAAGCAGTAACATGTATGTTCAGAAATGACCGATGTTCAGCAAGTTGGAAGCCAGAGGGGCATGGACAAGATCAAAAGGATGCAGATTCACCGAGAATATCACTCCATGGCTGGTTGCTGGAATGTTTGTCCTCGTTTGTTCCCCTCGACGCGCAGACGCGATGCATGAGCCCGATTGGGCAGGCGGTGATGCAGTCGTGATTGTCCCTGACCGCCAAATTCTGCATGCCGCCCGAAAATAATTATCGCTGCTGCTCCACTAGTTAATTAAATAGTGTCAAGCAATCGAACCAATTTACCAAGAACCGCCAGCATGCCGAGTGTATCCCTTTCCAAGGTGCATAAGCACATTTCTAAGAAGCGCAGCGCTATGGACTCCATGCACGAGAACAGCCGTGACGCCAAACGTCTGCGCCGCGCAGGATCCCGAGAGGAACGACTGTCCCACCATGCGGGAATGACATTGAAAGCCCGCCAGCCATACGGTTAGTACAACGGCTGAACTTTTAAATTGCTTTACGTTCTTTAACTTTGTAATAGTGGAGCGCATCCAATATTTCCACCATGCCGTTCAAGACGTTGAGGAGCCCTTGTCCGATGCCCAGCTCACCGAGATGATCTTAGAGTATGTGTGCTGTGATGGATTTTCATCTGGCGAATCCCAAGACTAACGGGCTACAGGTGCATCCACCGAGATCAAGAAGAAATCGCACAACTCAAGTCCGAGCGCCGAAAAGGGCGGCCGCCGACCCGACGAGAGGAGCTTCTGTTGCAGCGGACAGAAACGGAGGAAAAGGAATTTAAAACTGGGTTCTGGTTGCCCGACATGGGAGATGCTGATGTACTGCACGCTCTAAAACACTGGAACGGGCATTGGGCCGGACTCAGCTCGGTCAAGTTCATTCGAATCACACAAGAGGGAGTGAAGCAAGCCTCGAACTTCCCGCCCAAAGGCATGTCATAATTACGGATCTTCTCGAGATTTTTCTACTTGTCTTTTGACGTGAGGGACGATTGGCGCATTCGGAGTACATTGGCCTACTTGTCCGGTCGTATATAAAAAATCTTGCATCTTATGAAATATAACACTATTCATGATTACATTCCCAATATTCGAAATTTGTCAATCATAATTATTGATTCAATCCCTCACCGCTGTCATCAAAAAAAGTGCTCGGCAGATCTGCAGGCCAAAACTTGGGCGGTGCCAAAAAAAGCGTGGGTCTTGGCGCTAGCATCATCGGCTGAGCTCGGCCGCGTCTTTTTCTCCTCGGAAGCTCTCTCCATCTCAACACATCCCCGGACTCATATCTATCCACCCATCACAATGTTGTCGCTTCGTGCCCTTACTCGCTCTGTCCCGCGCTTCTCGCGCTCCGTCGCCCGCACTTCTCTGCGCCCGACTATCCTGGCTAAGCCTGCCATTGCGCAGCCCTGGAAGCAGACCATCAAGCCCGCCTACGCTGCTTTCTCGACTGCCAGTGTTTTCCGCGAGCCCGCTGGTGAGGGTGAGTAAATCAATCAAGTCTTTCTCAACCGTCTAGCTTGGGGATGGCAATCCGATTCGAGTGTACTCTGTTCGACGTGTGCTAATGCACGGTGTTTTGGTTTTTTCTAGGTGACATCGAGCTTATTGCCAAGCTCGAGGAAGAACTGAAGCACGAGAAGGCTTCTGGCCTGGAGGATGCCAAGGAGCAGCAGTCCAGCATTGACTATACTCTCGAGGCTGGTCAGTGGCAGGCCAAGGATGTTGAGGGTGAGCAGGAGGTTGTCCTGACCAAGACCTTCGGCAACGAGACGTGAGTTTTTCGCAATCTCATCACTCAAGTCATCAATCATTAACCGGTCTTCATTTTCTAGCATCCGTGTCACATTCACTGTCGCTGATATCAACAACCTCGCCGAGGACCCCTTGGACGACCTTGCCGACGATGCCCTCGCCGACGAGGGCGAATACCAGAACAAGCCCGCCGAGAGTGAGGATGAGATCCTCCCCCCGACTTTCCCTGCCCGCATCAATGTCACCATTGAGAAGCCCAACAGCGGTGCTCTCCTGGTCCAGGCCGTCATCCAGGACGGTGACCTCCAGATCGAGGAGATCTCTCACTTCAAGAACGCTGAGATCGCCAACGCCCAGACTGCCGAGAAGGACTGGTCCCGCCAGAGCTTCTATGCAGGCCCCCCTGCCGAGAACCTTGACCCTGAGCTCCTTGCTTTCTGGGGCCGCTACCTTGAGGAGCGTGGCCTGAACCTCGAGTTCCAGAACATGGTCACCGACTACATTGCCTTCAAGGAGCAGAAGGAGTATGTTCGCTGGCTAGACAGTGAGTTTACCTTCTCTCTATATACGAGTGGAATATATACTAATTTGGTTGTAGACGTCCGCAAGTTCGTTGCTGCTTAAATGATTCTTGGAATCTAAATCTCCCCCTTCCATCCTCTCCCCGTGAAATTGTCACCCACTACGTATATTCTCGTGGAGGGACATTCCAATCTTTCTCCTCTGTGTTACTCTCCTATTTCCCTGTGATAGCTCGCCTAGTGAATCGGTCTGCCTTGGCGCTACTAGCTCATACAGTCCGAACGTGTACCAATAATCTTCTCATACATGAACAATCGACATCTTGAAGTCATCAGTTGAAATTTCTATCTCAATTACATTCCTCTTGTGGTTTACTGATAATGTCGTGTTTCCATGTCACTCGTAGTAAGTATCTTCAGTATTCCGCAGAGCCTCTCTCTCTCTCTCTCTCTCTCTCTCTCTCTCTCTCTCTCTCTCCTCCCTTGTATTGAGGATTTCAAATCTCAATGGCGTCAAAACAACGGTCTTGAAGAGAACCTACACCAAGAGCCTCTATAGGGCGGGAACCGCCTATTTCTTCCCATGCGAATTCCTTCTGAAAACCCCGCTTAGCCCATTTTGAAATCCTCCTTTTTTTTTCTCCAATCCTCCGAGAACAAGACAGGTAGCCCAGCTCCGGCTCCCGCTCGGATGTAGCATACCTAGATATTCCACAAGACCAACCGGCCCTCAAGTCGATTTTGAGATACACAATAGGTATAGCAATGGTCTCCAGAGATTCGTGCCTTGTCGGAAAGACATTGTTTTAAAGTCTACTTCTTGAATGATTTGCCCTGGTCACCGGGCTCTTGGATGTAGAATCTATGGTGAGGTTGGAGCAGGGAGCGGAAACTATATATATGCAATGGAAGCCTGCAGGTATTGACCCCCTGCCCTAGTTACCACGCAGATTCTGAGCATGAACGAAGAGAAAGAGACGAAGCTCAAAAACAAAATACAGTAGATAGGTAATTGGGAAAACTTTCATTCAAGGCCCATGTGAGACTAGGCGGAACAGTCTTGGAACTGGCCATAGATACACTCGCGCCGTCCACCAACCAATCATGGACTCGACGTGGCGTATCTTCGGTTTTCGGGTCCAATCGCGGAGAAATGAGCCTCATCAATGTCTCCTGGTCCAAGACGGTGGACTACCCCATTCAGAAGGCATTCGAGTTGATAGTCTAACAGCATTGGTCGACGCTGGGCTCACCAGCAACGGTACGGTGGTAGTAGACGACGAACCGCACTGAAGAAGTGTAACAGGAGGAATAGAGCTTACCGGTTTTGTGCGGCGACAAGTGACCGAAACGTGTCGCAGAGGTTGATAGGATAGAAAAATAGGTATCGAATGATGTCAGAGAGCCTAATTACAGGCTCACGGTCATCACAGGAGAAATCAGGACCTTCACTATCAATCTGTGCACGGCGAAAATGAGTGCCAGGCGACCAGCTGACTCCGAATATACTGTAATGGCCACTGTATTGCCAGCCAGACAGGTCTGTCTCCAGTCAATTGCAATTCAGCGTCGTCGGATACCTCTGCGATTGATCAATTCTCTGAGCGGTGTCCTTAATAGCAGATATGACTTCATTCGGCATATAATGTCATGATCCCGATGCTGTCGGCGCATAGCCTGGACAATTCGAGCCCGGGGTCTCCCAAGTGCATACTGATGGAAAGGGCTTTCACTCTCTGCAGCAAAAGCCCTCGTCTTCCGGAACAGATAGCGCAGACCAACCGATATGTTTAGCAGCGGGTCAGCAGCAAGACCGAGGCCGCTGGTGAATTCACGAGAAAGAGTTTACGAATTTTGGAAGTAAAAGGGAGCCGCTGCATGGTCGACGATAGACCACGCATAGTGATACTGTGGTAGCGATACGGCGATGAGTGCATCCGCGGGTGAGCTTGAGATGGGATTTGACAAGGCATCTGATAACCATACAGCGTCTTGGCCAGATGATTCCTCGCTACGTGATGATTTGCTGAATACCAGCAACTTTCCCAATCGCCATACGCTATACTTTGTATGCCTAGGTTAGGTGCAACCAACCTTCAAATACTATCGGAGGTGAATGAGTCGACGAAATGGATTCTAGGCCTATAATAGGCATTGCCTCGCTAGCCACAGGAACCGCCAGTACATTTGGTTTCGGCTATCTTGGCTTCCGCTTGACATGCAAGATCCCTCAAGCCTACATTGCCAGCATCTTCCGACAGAACATTGCATTTTATGATCACACTAGGGCCGGCGAGATTGGCACACGCATGACTGCGGTACAACCAGCGATCGAGCGAGCCGCCCATTAACGCACTATGATTGCGATTACACATCGCCTCAGTACGATCCAAAATTCACACTGGATCTACGTCTTAGGTGGTGGACGGGTGTTCAAACAAGTGAAATACGAGTTGATGAGGCTCCGAGGGAGAAATTCGCTCTTAGCCCAGGCGACAGGCCCGTCGTCGGGATACATGATCGAAATAGAAAGATGATATTCAGGCTCATGCAAAGACGCCAAAACGCCCAGAAAACTACCTATCCACGTAAAAAGTGCACGTATGGGATAAGTCTCGATTGTTGATAGGGGTATAATTTCATTAATCTCGATGGTCCATCGCCAAGAAGCACGGCTTCAAAACTCCATTGGATCAGCCTTGACTGGCGGAGCGGTTTCGTCGCGCTCTCGTTTGACCGCACGCTCTTCTTTGAGAAGATTCGCGATGAATGATCGGAAGAACTCAATGTAGGGCTTCAGGCTAGTCTTCTCATAGTCTTGAAGCTTGCGGGCACCCTTGATGTCTGAGCCGTTCATTGCACTGCCCTCGATATCAGGCATTTCTGCATCTTGGATACCAGCAGGATGCTTTGCATCGTATGCATCAATCTCCGCTAACAATTCCATCACCGTAGGAACGGAAAGTGGATCAAATTCATCCGCTTTGCTTGGGTCGATAGGCACACAAATACGTCCCGTGCCGGGATGGATGACGAATGGACTCTTCAACAAATGAATCATCTTCTTACTGACTTCGGCATCAAGGCGGGGATAGGTGTATTCGAGGACGATGTCTTGCTTGGCATCTCGTAGAGTAGAGGTGTTCAAAGTACTGCTTTTTCCGGTTTTTGCGAGGGCATCGATATCGGCCCACTTACTGGTGCTCGGGCGATCCGGAGATGAGTCCCACTTCCTCTTCAATGCCTCGTTCAATGACTTGTCTGGGAGCAACCCCAGTAATTTCTCTGCTTGCTCAGAGCCGGCGAATGTGTCTTGGTCAATGAGGGTAGTCTGAGCGAAATAGTTTTTCAGAATATCCAAGCTCCGGGTAACGTGGGGGTGGAGGGGCCGCTTGATGTTCACTCGCTTGCCGCTTTGAGAACCACCACGCAAAATCTCGAGGTATCCAGCAATCGCCCTTCTCCGGTCGTCTGGCAGATTACGCGCACGTGGATCACAAACCCACGCGTGCGCACCACGACGACCTGAGTACACCCAGAGAATATGCTCAAATCCAAAGTCTTCTCGGAGGGCGCTGTCGATGACCTTGATAGCCATGGTCACGAATGCCCAGCACTTGTGGCAAATACTGGCTCCCTTACAGCAGGTTCGAATATCGTCATAATCTGTCATATCGATATCGAATACCAGCTCTTTTGAGACGGGTTTCATTTGACCGCCTCGGAGGGTTTTGCGATCGCGGGGGTTGGTGCTATACACAGGCCCGATCTCGAACCGAGAGGGATTCATCTTGAGAATGTCTTTTCGGAACCTAAAATCTTCCAGGTTAGTTGAGGATACTTCTTCTTCTTGTTGTTGTTGTTCAATCAGAGAGACTCACAAATCTGCGGTTGGGTAAGACTGGTATCGAAGATATGCATCATTTTGCAGAGTTAGGGCAAACTCGCGGTTGCCAAAGTCTTTCGTGGGGACGACCCCGTGGTTGAGCCATTGGAACAAGTATCGGAATGGGAACAGACGTTGATAGAACGCGAGCATGACATCTGTGTCGACACCGGAGGGACCTGGGGCAGGGGCTCTATCGTGTCGCTTCCGGTTAACACCACAAATCTTATTCCTCCGCAGGTACAAGAGTAGCTTACGCTGCTGGCGTCGGGGCCGGAGAAGATCCCATCTTCACATCTTGGGCGCCAGATGCTGGGAACTCCTCGTCGTCATCGTCGTTGAACATGTCCTCCAACTTGACCCCGCCAGTCTCGGTCGTACTGTCCACGGGAGCATCTGGTAGCTCTTCATCGTCTCGACGAGGCGACGCAGCAGGTGACACTGAGTGCGGCATGGCGGACAATCGATATCTAGGGATTGGTGATAATGCAGTGAAGGAGGGCCCGAACGGGTAGGAAGGACGCGTGAGGACGCGTCGCGCCCTAACCCTACGACATCACGTGATACACATCATCTTGCCCGATTTGGACGAGTCATTGTGTTACTAACCACGTCGAAATTGACTTTAGAGAACCCTCCTCCAAAGACCTACAAGATGATTCATGCGGTAGAAGCAGAACATGAAAATTGTGCCCGAGGCACTCAATCACATGCAGAGAAACAGTCTCCATGTTCCTGGACTTTCAGAGTTTTCTCTTCCCTTGCCGTTTGCGGTCTCTGTTGCAGTAGTTCCTGTGCCCTGCTGGGATCCTTGGATGACAGCATGACTTACCACTTGAGAGAAAGGCTAACTGTTCAGGAACAATCCTTCCCACCAATTCTTTCTTGGAGCCCCTTAGGGTATCCATCGACCATGTTTGGTCGCGGAGAAAAGGCCTCCTGGAGTCCTCAAGTTGTGGCAACTCCACCTTGTGCTTGGGTGGAGGGGTGGAGACAGTGTCCAGTCCGGCAGTCAAAGCTCGATCTTCTTTTCATGGAAAGGCAATCAATAATTCTGTGATTCCCATCAAGTGTGGTCTCAACCATGTACCACGAATCTGGTCACTACTCGATGCGCGATGTCCATCGGCGGGGAGGGCTACTCAACCATCCCACCCACATTCCTCCCATCGGCAGTCACCAATAGAGAGTGATTGTCCGCGCGCGAACGTTATGATCTGCATTCTTCGATCCTGTAGGAAGCCCTCCGATTAGCAACTCGAGTTTCTGGCTGCTTCTGATCGTCAAGCCGCGCTCTCCGTCGCATGGTATTGCAGCACTGGAAACATCTACCCGAAGCCCAGACCTCATCATGATTGGTGGTCAATCTGTTTTTACGTTCACCTGCAGATGATCGTCTTCATCAATGTGGGGCTTCGTGTCTCTGAGATCTCGTGGGGACTGCTCTGACATCTTTGAAGCGGACTTCCGGATTCGGTCACCTTGACTTTTTTCCTCTGGCGCTCCCTAGGTGCCTTGCTTGACCGGTCAACAGCGCTGGGTTAATATGTCTACTAACATCACATGAACTCATCCTCCGATGACAGAAGTTATTTTACCAAAATATCTCATTCAGATACCAATAGAATCTACATCAGCACGTCTCGTCCGCAACGTGTCTTGCAAATCACCGATCTGATAGCTGTCATCGTCCTTCTGAAACTAATCGCCGCTTTAGGACTTGCAAGTGGGCCCACGATGGTCCATTTACCAGCAATGACACTACAAGATGTCACGTTTGCATCGTATACCACCCTATGGATTTACACGATCCATAATTTTCCTCCTATGCTTGCCCAGCGATTCTGTTGATGTCTAAGGTCCCCCTGCCTCAGTACCTGCTTTCAGGTAAAGACAGCGAGCGGTGGATCCAGGTCAACCTTTGCATCTCCTGGACACTACCATGGCAGCGCCATGTCCGTCATGACTTACGTTAGGTCGCTTCCTTCGAAAGTGCATATAAACTGCAATCTCGCTGCCCTGTCATCGCACTTCTTTCTTCATCCTTCTTCAGTATCTTCACTCGTTTGAATCGCTCCATTTTCTTGTTATCAAGCACCAAAAAAACCTTCAATTCTTCAAAATGGTCAACGCCCTGACTTTCCTGGCTCTTGCCAGCCCTGCCTTCGCCGGCGTTATGCAGGCTCGCAGTGCCGACTACATTCGCCCTGACTCTGCTACCACCACCAGCTCTGCTGTTGGTGAATGGGTTCACCAGGCGGACGGCCACTCTTCGTGGTCTACCCCCTGCACCACCTCGACCACCACTCACTCGGTCAGCACCCACTCGGTTAGCACCCACTCGACTAGCACCCACTCGACTAGCAAGCCCACCACCCCGTGCACCACCTCGACCAAGCCCACTAGCCATTCGACTAGCACTAAGCCTACTACTCCGTGCACCACCTCGACCAAGCCCACCAGCCACTCGACTAGCACCAAGCCTTCTCACACTCCCGTGAAGCCTAGCACCACCACCAAGGTTATCACCATTGTGACCACGACCCGCCCTGGTAAGCACTATAGAATATTGCATCCACCAATTGATTAGTAACCTTACTGATCAATTACAAGTCAAATCGTCGACTGTCACCAAGGGAACATCTACCTTCGTTATCCCGATCACCGAGACCAGCACCGTCACCCTGACCAAGACCCGCACCGAGCAGAAGTCTGTCACCTTCGTCAACTCCACCGTGCCTGCCACCAAGGAAACCTCCGCTGTCGTTGTGTCTACTCCTGTGCCTGTGTCTAGCGTCCCGGCTAAGCAGCCCTCTGCTCAGCCCTCTGGCCAGCCTGCCGTTCAGCCCTCTGGCCAGCCTGCCGTTCAGCCCTCTGGCCAGCCTGCCGTTCAGCCCTCTGGCCAGCCCGCCGTTCAGCCCTCTGGCCAGCCTGCCGCTCAGCCCTCTGGCCAGCCTGCCGCTCAGCCCTCTGGCCAGCCTGCCGTTCAGCCCTCTGGCCAGCCCGCCGTTCAGCCCTCTGGCCAGCCCTCTGCTCAGGCATCTGCTCAGCCCGCCGAGTCCCAAGCCGCTGGCACCCCTGCTGAGGCCACCCCTGCTCAGCCCGAGGCCAGCTCTACCGGCGTCTTCACTGGTGCCGCCTCCAGCGTCAAGCCCGCTGCTGGCCTCCTGGCCGGTATCGTCGGTCTGATGGCTCTTCTGTAAATCAACAGTTGAGTCATTATTGACGCCGTATTCACTATGAATCTGTTCTGGTGATGCGTCCATTCTCCTCTTCTGAATTTCTCCTCGACCTTCGTGGTGGGGGTCAGGGAAAACTTCAGTCTCAGGGAACATTTTTTGTGCTTTGAAGGCCATAAGTGCAGTCGGTTATAGACCCGCTTGGCTATCCCTTCGCTGGACAGGGCAGGGGGGATGAAAGAGTTGCCTGGTCATTTCTTTTTGTTCATTTTTCCACTTATTTTAGGCCGATATCTATAAGTAATAATAGTAATACATAGCTTTTGCTTGGGAATTTTTTCATCCTCATTATAATTTCAATCTTTCTGTGTTAAAAACGACTATAGCAATTCCAGTACCGTGGTCGATAGTTTGCTATGACGTGCCTCTTGGTCGTCCTCGAATGTAATCTTATCCCCATGAAAGTATGCAGAACTGACGGTTGATCACCCCTGTAGGAGGCAGGTCATCAAAAATGCAACTTTTTGATCGCTCTGGTGGAGATCGGTCACTATCTATGGAGCCCTGAGAGTTTGCAATCGAATTTCCAATGACGAGGATAATTACTCTGGCTATGTGCAAGGGAATAGCAATGCCATTGAGATTTAGAATGGCAACAAAGTTCCATTGGGCTAATTCAAGTCAAATATGAACATTTGATATTCATTTCAAACATCAGTGACATGGTGGACGAACAAAGTTTCTCTGGCAAAAGTCGCTGGCTACTTGCCGGGATAAGCTCCAGTTTTCCGGGATGTCTTTCTTTGAAGACGTCCTTTGACTGCCCCATCCGCTAAGGCCTTTTTATACATAGAGCTGGACGAATGTAACAAGACTACTCATTTGCCCTGCTTGATAGAAAGTCCGTTATTGCCTTTCTTTCCAATCAACTTCCCTCCATCTGCTTCTTCAAGTATGAACCTGCCTCGTCGCCGTGTCCTATCTAGAAATAGCATCTAGCCATCGACTATGCCTCGCCGCAAGCAGAAGCAAAAGAAGAGGATGCTTATCCTGACATTGTACCAGAATCACCTCCCAATACTGCCAAGAAGGCTGCGACCTCCACGGCTGAAAGATCCAACATGCCTCTCTTTTGTCAAGAAATGCAAAAACAAAAAAACATACAACAGCCAGGATTCGCATGTGGTCACCCACCATACTACTAACTGGCCGGCGTGTGGCTTAAGTACGGCTGAGCGGACGGGAAGCCCTGTTCTCCACACCCTATGGTCGTATGTACTTGACAATGAATTGAAGAAAATCATAACCTCTGACAGTCCTAAATGTAATGTAAGCGCTGCTTTAGTGTCGCGCGACTGGGGGTGAGTAGGGTGAGTGTGCAATAGACGGGGTGAGAAGCTGGGTGATTATCACCCCCCATCGCGCGACCAGCGCATTGACCTCTCTCAGCTGGACGGCAGTAGACCGCCATTGGATCGCTGCATTCCGCCCTGAAACACTCATTTGCTTGACTTCTGCACACAGCCTCGAATTCGATGTGAGATGTATCTTCGACACAACGAACGAGTATTCAGCCTCGTTGATAAGCTGTCACCTCTGATAAGGAAGCAAATGTCAGGATCTGTCCCTCAATCCGTTGCAGGCCACAATCGAATAGAATCCACCACCTTCGAGTTGATCAATACGTTTATCAACATAGTAAGCGAACATAGGTTAGCCTTGAAGTACTCAGTTTGTCAATCTGAACCGCAGATGGCAAAACGACTATTTCGGCATTCCGCAACACGATAATACCTTAAGCTGGTCTCGTGAAGCCAAACAATTATCCTCGAAGCGCCCTTAATGTTCCGACTATACGATAGCGTCAAAGCTCAAAATAAGGTATCATTGAAGAGTCCTGGGGTGGCAAGCAAACATGGCAAGTCGTGGCAGGTGGTTGTTATCAGGAACCCCACGATGCGGGGACTTTCCCTTTCTCTCTCTTTTCAGTTTCGCTACCTTGGTTGAATGCACAGAATTATTCTAACTTTCTTTTGGCTGTACCATCTACGGCTACCAAAATGGATCCCTGTGACTACTGAAGCGGATCCCCACGACTACTAGAACAAATTCCTTAGACCTTTCTCTTTCAATTAGGTGGACTGATTCTAAGCGTCGTCATTATTGCAAAGCGACTAGCCCAGAAGCGGACTGTTTCGCCCTCTAACATCGACATATCGTTACCAAGGCCACAAGAATGATGGACAGCCAAAAGGAGGTATCGAAGACTGCGGCGACTTTCACGTGTTAAAGAAACATTAGCAAGATCAGGACTACGTACACGGGCAGTTATAATGCCCGTGAAAACTATAACACAGTCGTGGTCTGTATTACGCTAGAACAGATGGCGGAGATACATTGTAAATGCGATACCGCCAGCTATACGGGAGATAAGGCAGGTGAAATTTGCAATGAAGTACCATTTAATGCCGTCTACCTGCTGTTGATGCGTGACCGTGGGGTGGCAAGCAAGGCCAACCTGGATTGCGACGGTAACGCAAGCAGAACTGGCAATGAGGAAAACCACAAATACAAGCATAATGACAGGGTCAGCCCTTCGTCTTGCAGGGGGGAAACAGGTCCGAAGCACGAGGCTAATGATCATCACAACATCATTAACATCAATTCGAAGACGGAAATCTTGATCTTGGCGACCACCTGCAGGCCATAGCGACGACTGAAGCCGCAGTAAGGGCCCACGCTGTTGCCAGTACGCCAATCCCCGCATCGTGGGTTGCCGTATGCCGTTGTCGATTCCATGGTAGAAGGGACTTGAAAACTCAATTGTTGAGGTTGATTGGATCATACTGGACATTGAATATGATCTTGTATGTTGAGTTAACTGCCGGGAGTAACATTTCTGTTTCTGTTGTCCACTGAAGTAGATACTGAGCAAACCATGATCGCACAATGACCTGGGTCACACTTGCGGTAGAGTGCTGTGAAAGGTATCTCTCCAAGTAGTGAACCGCGTCATCTTGATCATAAGGTTGTGCGGTGCTTATTCCACTACCAGATAGACGATGTATCTTGGTACAAAATAGATATGCTCAAGGGGCGGCCAAAATAGTGAGCCCCGAAGCTTGAAAAACAATTGCATGCTGGTCAAGAGCCTCCATCGTGAGAATGCGCCGTATATGGAGAGGAATGAATAGAACGGTATGATTGTTGAGCCATTCTTGCCCGAGCGTGCGGTTTTTCTTGAATGCTGACTTGGTTGCCTTCGAGAGGCACTTGATCTCAGCAGGTGTAAGATTGTCGTTAAAAAAGTCCACATCGTGGGTATTAGGGCGACTCCGTAATAACATTGTATTGATGGTGCCACCAACGACAATGAGAGTAATACCTTGATCCTTGGAGGCAATGTATGCTGCAACATTTTGTAGCGCATTCGTGAGGGTCTCACGGGAGAGATTTGGGGGGCTGCTCGGGGTCGGACGAGCGGCCAGGCCCTGGAGAGTGCGAGCGCTGCGGCGTCGACGTAGATTGGACAATGACTGACCCATTATTCTCAGTGTTGAAGTTTTTAGTATGGAATTGTCAAGATGAATAGCTTTGCCTTGACTCGTGGATCTCCAGTTACTCGTCAATAATCGAATTGATGGAGCAGGTGCTAGATCTGCTCTAGGAAGGCAGCCTTCAGCCTCAGGCAGCGTCTTCCCATAACCCCACGTAAGCCACACACTTTACATGATTACGCACATCGAGCCAGGTATGAAACACCACTGTAGAGACCCATTCATTCGATTCTAGATACCAGCTATATGCTCGCGGGTGACCAAGCCTTCAACAGTGAGGCAGTGGAGCTACCGATAGAGCGTTTTAGCTGCCGGTGACTCGGCTGGCGGAAACCACTTAGCATTTCGAAGAACGAAGTACTAACTTTGTACGACTTACTCCGTTCTTTCCCTGAATTCTCGCTAAGTTGAGCACATTACCCTGTCTGCGAAACCAAAGATTGGGAGAAGGCACGCTGGAACGAAAAAATTGTTCTTCTTTATCTAGTAATAATATTGTTGCGAGTATATCCTATGCACGTACCCTTGAACAATTAGCTCAGATAAACCTCCGGATACGTATCACAGTGACTTCGTGGGACAAACCACCAAGCCATCAAAAGCGAAGAGAAATCTATATAGAGATGGAGAGGAGAAATGATGAGTCCGTAGCCTTTGTCGGTGGACAATGGGCATCAACTTCAGCTTGTTACAGGCCAATCGAAAGGAACATGTCAATTCAGTGCCTTTGGACGAGAGTATCGAAGCTGAAGAGAAGAGAAAGAACATGGGGAAACTCTCGATAACAACCCATTGCCCTTTGTCTTGTTTGCACGCCTCAACTTCCTCTCAAGTTCTGTCCATGTCCATTGCTCCAAAACCAATTCGTATCAACTCGTCACTCGGCTGATTGTTCCCCTCGTGACTGATAAGATGATTTTGAAGTTTCTGTCGAGTGTTCAAGCTTATAGAACCTAAATATATGTGTTGAGAAAGGTGGAAAATATGTTATACCCAGGTATGTGGTGGCCTAAACCGTAGTAGCAGTCTCACGTATCAGTGATACTATTGCTCGGAAACGTATAGATAAGCCAAACGTAGGAGCTTTGATGAAACAACTGAGCATGAGGAAGGAAAGATGGAGAGATAGTGGGAGAACGATCTAGATAGTTACCTAGTTACATGAGGGATGCTTGCGGCAGCAGACGTCACGATATGTGATTCGTCAACACACAATACACATTCAATCGCTATGCACACATAAGTTCCTATATATCGCTTCACATTCTTTGACAATCTAAGAGCATCCTGTTGGTAGCTGAAAGCGGACTTTATATTATTTTTTTTTTGATTCTTTTGCCCTCTTCTTCTTCTTTTGTTTTATAGAATCCTCCTCGGATACATCGCTAGGGACCTTCATACAAAGAAGCAAAATATGATATGCATACACAGTAACCAAAAAAAAGGTGTAAGGAAGCATGCATAGCAAATCATGATAAAAAGAGTGTCGAAATTGACCCGGCACTTAACAGCCCATCCTGATTATACGCTAACTAACCACAAATTTGCTCGCCTTCGATCTAATCCCTCTGGGACCACTATAGAGGAATTTGGAAGTCAAGAAAGGTGAAACTCAATTCAGTTGGTGAACAAGATTACAACATCAAATAAAGATTTTGATGGGCTGCCTCCGTTCATTATCCCGCAAACCTCCAACGATGGACGGGTTTACGAGTAAACATTTTGCTTCCACGGCCGGACGGAGACATGCCTTAGCTAATTCCCACGCTGTAAGCAGAAGATTTCTGAAGCCCCCTCCAGCAGCGACAGTGCGCTCGTACGCCTCCTGGAGTCCATTAAACAACATTAAGTCGGTTCCTGAACCCTCATGGACATGACCAAATACATGCAGCCTTGGTCGAACTCTCCATAGCGTCTGTAGTAGATGAGGACAGCCCAACTTGAGTAGATCAAGATGAGCAAATGGTGGACCATGAGTAATGAGCACGTCAATTCCATCTGGTACTGAGCTAGCCCATACATTCTGATTTCGGGGGTATTGAAAGGTCCAATTGCCGTGCCGGGTAGAGTAAGGACTCCCGTAGACCCTGAGCTGACGACCAATCGGGCAGGAAATTGTTACTTCATCATTTTCTAGGTAGATGATATCGCCCCAGTCGAGCTGAGCTCGCTCAGAGGCTGCTCGACCTAATGAATCATCCCATGCTAAATCAAGTAATAGCTCATGATTGCCAGCAATCACGATTTTGATGGGATGAGGCAGGGTGCGTAGCCAGTCAAGTGCGTCCTGGAGTTCCTGGAAAGACCCAGACTGTGTGAGATCACCAGCATGTATAAGGATATCTCCATCCGGAACACCGATTTGGGTATTATGAGTATCGGAGATACAGACAATCGCAACAGGGCTTGTGAGAGGCATAGCTAGAATAGGTTTATGCCAACTGTAAAGCGTTCGTGCGAGGAAGACGTAAGGCTGGGCCCGGAATTTTTGCCATGGTCCTGGTCGCTGTCGATGAACGAGTTCGTGAAGACTGGACATGATTGGAGAGTTGAGACCCAGGAATCTATCGGTAGTAACGAGCGAGCACATGAAGTACTGATCTGTTTGGAATTAACGATGTCAGGATCTTGCCTCGATCTTCCAGATCTGCGACATGTGGAGACTATTAGAGTTGACGTCGTCGTCGGATTATATAATCCCTCTGTTGCACAAAGTTACGATATCGATTAATTCATGCGACCGCCCTGCTGATCATGTGACCGTCTTTAGCCTCCTACAAATCTCTGAATTCATTTGTACTTGGATCGCTCTCCCGCTATATCTCCTTTTTTCCTACCTCATGCTTAGTTGTTTCATCACTGCTACTATATTTCGTTGATCTCTTCTTCGTATCTGAGCAGTGGTATCACTGCTACATGATACTGCTACTAGGGTCTAGGTCACCACCTACCCGAGCGTTACACCCTGGAGCTCATGCTTATGGCCCGGGCTTGAGTGAAAGTGGGAGAGTGGGTGATCGGTGCGGAAATCCTCACCCTGTTCTCACCCACTCTCACCCTAAGATCATATCCGACGCCATTTTAGAGCTCAGGGCGCATTATGAATTTCCCGCGTACTATAATGGGCTTAAGTACGGCTGAGCGGACGGGAAGCCCTGTTCTCCACACCCTATGGTCGTATGTGCTTGAGATGGAGTGGAAGTGAATTAATTCCGTTAAGCTGAAATAGTATGTAAAGCACATCGAGGGTCGTGGAACTAGGGTACAAATAGTAGAGAGAGGGGGCCTGGGGAAGTGGGGGTGGAAGAGAGAGAGCCCGTCAGCAACAGCTTTTGGTTTATTGTACAACTTGCCGAGGGCTTTGCAGACTTGAGAGAGGTTTGATTTCTAAATGCGGTCGCAATCAAACTATATACAACATTTTCTAAGCAAGCCACTTAGAATCCCGAGGAGAGATTCCGCTTGATCCAGTTGTATCCATTTCTCTGAGATCTTAGCGTGCTTCCAATTCCGTGGAAGTCGATTGAGACCGATCTCCTTGACTCATTTCAATGTTAGTAAATTTTTCTACATTTTGTCAACCATTCGAGTGGTCATTCCAACACTACATTGTTGGGTAGGCAGGATTGGCGGTGCTGTAGTGGTCGGGTCTATTCCTCAATGGGTATAAGTGCCAAGCTTTCGGCAAGCGGGATTTCCCGCTGGAGCCGCAGGGTCGCATACATGGCAAAGAGAAGGTCCGAGTCAAATCGAGAAGCACGGGCATGGGTCGACATGCAAGTGCGAGTTAGCATCAGGAACTATCTCCTCGGCAATGTAACGCTGCACTTCTGGCCGCGGAGAGCTACGCCAAGGCCGGGCCAAGACCCTGCCAAGCCTACGTCCAGCTCTCGAATAGGCGGTTTCCGTCAATTCCATCGGTGCCCTGTGAGAACCTTCGAGGGCCGTGAAGCCTGTGAGAAGACAGACCGATAGCCGCCAAAGCACGACCTCATGCAGCCAAGGATTAGGGGTCCTGCGGGGCCTTTACCGAAACCTGTCTCTATTTCCTTCTCTTTGGATGCCGTATGACCCCTTATTTTGGAGCGCCTTGCTGTCGCCGTTGACTGCCAAATTGAAAATCGTCTTCGTGCGCTAACGTTATGAATCAACTCACAACTGCCTTTTCCTTCACACTTTTTGGCACCCTTGATAGCGCTTAGAGATCTGACTCGCGTTCAATATGCACTTTCCTCGCGCGAGCTGGCTGCTCGCTGCCTGTCTGGGGAACGTCGTGAGTGCTACAGGCGCTGGTATACTGGAAGTGGACCTCATTTTCCCGCGCAACGACACATATGCGCCAACGCACAACTTCCCCGTCGTTTTTGCTTTCCAGAATGCCCAGCGTGCGCGATACTTGAACCCCTCGATTCAGTATTTAATGTGGAATTTGCAGACGCAAGATACGTCCTTCACGTTGTCTCATGATCTCGGCTGGAAAAACTGGACCGAAGACACCTACCTCGCGCACGAGATTATGAGCTTCCCCAGCCAGGAGGGTCGCTACAAGGTCAGCTGGTCCCTGACCTGGGACAGTTGCGACGAAGAATCCTTCGAAAACCCAGATCGCATACCGAGAATGGTCCATAACAAGACTACCTGGGCAACCTGTTTCACCATTGACAACTCCGCCCCCCAAGTGGATCTTGTCGCTGCTACAGCCAACAAGACATGTCCTAACGAGTACGGCATGATAATCAATGTGTCCGACAAAACATTGATGGTCCCCTCAAGCGTGGAGTGGTCTGGCAAGACCTGGAACAATGACACCTGCGCCGTCTTGTCGAACTCTACGTCTACCCCTATCCCGGATCCTTGCCGTGTTCACATCGACAAAGCCGCTGCTGAAAGCATCAATGCCTCCGTGACAGCTCGCGTATGCAGCGGTATTGACCCGCCAGAGTATTGCAAAAAGAATGCGGCGACACAGTTGGCCGTCGCTGGGGTTTCCCCCTTCTTAGCTGTAGTTGGGGCGTTGGGCTTCTTCCTTGCTTAACCATGTTCCTACATCAGGCTCCGATTATTTGGAGGCCTGGGGATGAGATGTTACTTTGATTCTCTTGGGCGTAAAGCCTTGGCCTTTTTGTATTCCTGCACAACTTCTACACCTTATACCGGGTCATATTATCTGTGTATTGCTTTCCGGTCTTCCCATCTAAGGGCGAAATTATATAAAGTCAATAATTAGTAAGGTCTTTGCGTTGATAGAAGGAGGACCAGAGCCCAGCCAAAAGATTGGATTGATAGCCAGAAAACATCTTCTCACAAAGATTCTCATCGCTTTACCATATTGGTTAGCAGCATGATTTCTACCGGCTACATTGAACCCCCGTGGGAAGCGGAATACCAAGAACTAAGCCTCCCCCCCTTCCCTAGCATCGCACGGCCGCGTCCGCGCTGTTTTCCAAGACCCACAGCCAAGGTTGGGTTTTCAGATTAAACGAGCCCTTCAAGGCTGGAAAGTGAGTTGTTTCCCGTAGAAACCCCCGAGAATTTCCGGGTATTGACTTTCATCAAGCCTAGCATGCGCTAATCCACTTATTTAGATCGACCAGGATGACCACGCCCCTCAGGAGTTATATCTCATCATCGAGGCAATCTCCATTGTTACGATCTGAGGCCTTTGGAAACCGGGGCCAGGGATCAGGCCTTGACTTTGATGATGCTTAGCATGAGCTAACCCACTTATTTGGATCGACCAGGATCGCCGTGCCCCTCAGGAATTCCATCTATCGCTGAGGACATTGGAGAGTTGACTGGACAGTCGATAAGCCGGTAAGAAAACTCGAGCATTTTTGCAAAGCATGACGTAACGAACGCACTCGATTATCGAGGCCTCGTCGTGTAGGCTCCAGGTTAGAGGTTTTATGCCTATTGAAAAATCATCGTTTCAAATACCTATCACCTTTAGATATAACAAAGAGTGCGAAAATATTTGACCAACCGGGCTGTGTTGCAAAGCGTTCGAAGGGTTCATGTCAAGGTAGCGAAGGCGGCTAGTAGGCTCTAGGGCTAGCTATGTGGTAGCTGAACAGCTGTGTGTTTACCAAGTCACCTCGAAGAGCTCTGCGATTGATAAGTATCGATATCAATTTGCAAGTATGATAATAGGAGAAGCGTTGAAAGTGGAAGGAGGTGAAAGGGGGAGAGGTTAACAGTGGGAGTGGGAAAGAGTTTGCGTCAGAACGAGACTCTCATGTTGGGCGCCGACCCTCAAAAGGGTCAGGTAAATGCCACAAGCAAACCTAGATCTTGAAAAACTTTCAGGGTCCCATGAGACTTGACCTTCCACAATATTCCACGATCAGACCTTATAGAACATGAATGAAGAGAGAACGTAGTAGCTGTGCCGTCGAGGTGTACGGGTCGATTGGGCGTGGACAAAACATCGAGGTCAACAACAAGTAACATTGAAACAGAATAGAAGAGGCCCCTCATTTGGTCAGAAGTCAAGTCCCGAGGTCAGTTGCTTTCGTTAGCCCTGAAGAGAACATTGGGAGAAGTGAGGGGAGGTGTCCAAGCGAGATCTGGAATATTTTACTCAGGAAAAATAAACCAGTCTCACGGCCTGGAGTCCTAGACGCAGGCATTCATTACGTTCAAATTGATCACCTAGGATATACATCCAATTCTGAGCGCCTTCAGGGCTGTTTGTTGGCCCCAATCCCAATCGCAGATTCACCGTGGATGCCCAAGTTCTATAGTCTGTTCCTGGAGTTTCCAGATGAAAAAGCACCTGCTCATGTGCAATCTTAGTTGAACTTTGACTTGATCTTCGCGAGTTTGGGAAACAAAAAGTAAACATCATTATCAAAGCTACATCTATATTGCCACCATAGGGCTGTGGCTCGGGGGAAGTGGGGAAATAGAACGGGATCTGATGGGTTGACACGTAGAAAGATGGTCCGATAACACCGAGCCTAATTTGGTATATGGGCAGCGCTAAAGCTATTATATATAGATATCTGTATTAGTAACTTCTTTTTAAAAGGTAACATAGTATTCTATAAATAATTTGAGAACCTCTGATATTAGATCAGGCTGAATTTTTTTAAAGAAAATTAGGGTCTTGATACACATACCCCCTTCGCTAGGTCCCTCAGTTGCAATTCCACTGTATACTGTATACTGTATATATCTTATCTTTACCAAACCCTATTACACTACACCAACACAGCCACAAAATTTGCTGCCGAGGAGGCAAAGCAAAAGAGTGAAAAGGAGGAAGAAAATGATGAGGAGGAGGACAAGCAGCAGCAAATTCCTTCGAAAGGAGCGGCTTCTTCCAGTAAACTCCAAGCAGCGGCTGGGCGAGAATTCAAGGCTGCTTCTAGTGAATTCGTCAATCAGACTGTGACTGACAGGCAGAGTACATGCTCCCCAATCCCTAACGCGCACACACAACCCCCCCTCCCCCCAAATACAGCATTGCATAGCTAGATACCACAGAACGACGGCAAACGATCGTGGCCCAACGGACTCCACGCCCGTGATTCTCGAAATGGACATCCCTAAATACCAGTTCAGACGTGGCATACGAGAGATATTCACCCTGGAACGCGAACGGCGTGTCTAAAAAAGGAGTACTCATCTGGCAAGGCTTGCGACGAATGGGATCATGAAAAACGCGATAGGCGTTGTATTGGGATTACAGGGCTGGAAGATTGACTTGGCCGCAGGATGAGTCGGTCACTTATTGGAAGAAGGAAAGACTGATTTGTACAACTCACGAGTATAACCCCAGCGAACACAGAGAACTGGCTGAGGAGCAGGAGAATCCTAGGGGTTCTTGGGTTGAGGGGTTGAGTGTGCTGCTTTGAGAGCTGCTGTGTTTGTAGAGCTGTGGTTTGATCTGATGCTTCCGGATGGGTCTGATTTTTGAGCTGTGGGGGATACGGGACGAGGGAGACTAGATTGCAGATGACCCTGTTGAGTGGATGACAATTAGATTGCAATGTTATAATTGGGATTTCACCATTATCGAAACTATTCTTTCATTGGTGGAACCATAAATATCATGAATATTGTAAATCGCGTCTCCTGCACTGAGACATAATATTACCTGTGTGAGAAGACCTTTCGTCTTCCTCCACAAGCATATAAAAAGCCAAACGAGTCTATATCGACATACAATCAAGGAACCGAATTAATTCTAACGCCGACCCTCAAGCTCCTGCTCAACCTCAGCCTTGACAATCTCACGGACACCCTCCCAGCCAGCACCGAGAGGAACGGCCGTAACGCGCCGCTCACGCTGCTCAAGGCCAACGAATTCCTCGGGGAGAACCTCGCTGAAGCTGTAACCATCCTCATTGCTCAGGGCCAGGTCGACTGCGCTAGCAAACTTGGCAGGGTGGGCGGTGGACAGCGAGATGTGGTTGACGCCGGGATTGCGCTGGATAGAGCGGCGGGAAGCAGCGACACCAACGGCGGTGTGGGGGTCCAAAATGTAGCCACCAGTCTTGGAGCTCCTGGGGCTGCCGGCGGGGAGGTCGGTGGGGAAGCAGGTCTTGTAGGTATCGCGGATAGTCGAGATGGTCTCCTCGTTGCTGACACGCTCACTCTCGAACTCGGCCTTGGCGGCCTCGACGACGGCAGTGGGGACCTGGAAGCCGCCCTCGGTCTTGAGCTTGTTCAACCAGCTGCTGACGCTCTCACAGGCGTGTTGGCGGCGCTCCTCGGCGGTGCTGGCTTTATCGGTCTGGACCGCGAAGAACCAGAGAAGACGCTCGAAGTTGCTGCTGACCAGGATGTCCATGGCAGGGCTGTGGGTCTCCTTGACGCCCTCGTCCGTCGTTGCGCCAAGAGGCTGCTTAGTGTAGTGACCATCGGTACGGAAAAAGCGGTCAAGGATGCTATTTCATAATGATTAGAGGCAATTAGAAGGCAGTTTGTGGGGATTTAACTTACTCGTTCTCGTTCGTGGCTACAACGAGCTTGGAGACAGGCAAACCCATCTGCTTGGCGAACCATCCGGCCAAGATATCACCAAAGTTTCCAGAGGGTACAACCATGCGCACTCCGGAGCCCTTGACATAGTTGGGAGACTTGGTGAGGGAGAGATATGAGTAGAAGTAGTAGGTGATCTAGGGTCATTAAGAGTTAGTATACTTGTGATCAAAACCGCTCAACTTTGGACGAAACGCGGAACAGAACTGACCTGTGCAAGGATTCTGGCCCAGTTGATCGAGTTAATAGCGCCAATGTTGTGAGTCTTATTGATATCAGGGTCGGCGAACAAGGCCTTAACAATGTCCTGGCAATCATCGAAGGATCCCTCGACAGTGAGGTTGTGCACGTTGGGATCAAGCACACTAGTCATCTGGGCCTCTTGGATAGGGCTGACCTTGCCCTTGGGGAAGAGGATGAAGACGGAGACATCCTTCTTGCCACGCAGACCGTAGATAGCAGCAGAACCAGTATCTCCCGAGGTTGCGCCGACGATGGTCAGGTGGTGACGATCCTTGCCAGTCTTGCCCTCGTTCTTGCGCACAAGGAAGTATTCAAAGAAGTTACCCAGACTTTGCAGGGCAACGTCCTTGAAAGCGAAGGTCGGGCCGTGGAAGAGTTCCAGCAGATACAGGTTGTCCTTGGGGTCCAATGCGGCGATCGGGGTGCGTTCAGGGTGGCGGAATGTGGAGTAGGACTTGTCGATAATGGTCTTGAGGTCCTCGGAAGGAATTTCTGAGGGAGAGATATACCTGCAATGGCAATTTAATTAGCGATGATCCCCGTCGGTGGAACGAGAAGTGCTTCGTCAACTTACAGCGACATAATGCGGTGCGCCAGTTCGGCAAAGGACAAGTCCCGCCATTCGGACTCCCACGAAGAAGGAAGAGAGGGGATCTCCTCAGGGATGAACAGGCCACCATCTGAGGCAAGACCCTTCATCACGACATCCTCAAAGGAACGCTAAACACTCCAATGTTAGCCTAATTTATATAGGTGGCGGACAGCGTTATAGAGTGGGCGGGCGGGTGATACATACTCCAAACT